TGAAGTAACAGTTCCAGAAGAACCAACACTCACAACAACAACACCGGAATCAGTAGCAACATATCCATCAGATTCAGTAGTGGTGAAAGTAACACCATACGTGGTATCTGGATCACTTGATGTTGGGAATAATGAAGTTGAAGTAACAGTTCCAGAAGAACCAACACTCACAACAACAACACCGGAATCAGTAGCAACATATCCATCAAATTCAGTAGTGGTGAAAGTAAGACCATACGTGGTATCTGGATCACTTGATGTTGGGAATAATGAAGTTGAAGTATAGATATGGGTATTAGAATAACCTGTGACAATTACTATTCCAGAATCTGTAGCAACATATCCATTTGAATCAGTGGTAGTGAAAGTTGTAGTATAGGAAGTGAATGGGTCACTTGGAGTTGCGAATAAGGAGGTAGTGGTATACAAGGAGCCATGATTATTGGTAGTTTTTTCAACTATTCCACTATCAGTCTCGATAAAACCATCCGACTCAGTAGTAGTAAATGTAGTACTGTATAAAGTAATTGGGTTACTTGAAGAAGTACAGTAAGCCGAAAGAATTGTAGTTAAATTATAGAAATTACCACTTGTATCTGAAGTCACAATAATTTCTTCGACATCAGTACAAATTTGACCGTCAGAACTAGTTGCTATGGTAGTTGTATATTCAGTACCATTTATTCCTGGAATTGCTGGGAGAGTATAACACAAGGCACAATTAGATGGAACTCCTGGAGTAGGAGGTGGTCCACTATAAGTCACTGCGTTAAATGGCAAAATAACTAGGTCAGTAACGGCATCCCAATCAGTAGTTACTGAAAAGTCATTTGGATTATATCCAGTACCAATATCAAACTCTTGATTTGCAATCGTTGAATAAAGTGTCAATATACCTGTAGTTGCATCATATGAGTATGGTTGACTTATAACCACTCCCAAAATCGTAACGGCGGGATTTAAAGGAACATTTAAGGCAAGCATATTACCATTACCAAAACCGGAAACATTGATGACGTCACTTCCAATAAATGGAGAGCCAATAATGCTGGAATCGGAATCAGCTAAATAAAAAGTTTGCCCACTGAAGGATGCCAAAGGATTATCTATATAAATAGTGGAATTTGCTTGAGCAGTGATACAACCATTACCATTAATAGAAGATTGTTGTTCGTAAAGCTCATTATATAAACAAATCTGACCATTATTTGTGATACCGTCAAGCAAGTTTGTTCCTCCTAATGTGACCATACCACCATTATTTTGAGTTTGATAAAATACCATTAAACCATTATTAGTGACCACAGGACTGTTAATTGTAAAGGTACCGTAACCAATGGCACCATTCGAACCCATGTAAAAATCACCATCATTTACAAATGAAGAAAGGGTTGTGATAGTATAACTACTTGGAAGAAAAGAGTCAATAGAATTAAATGAAACGGTACCATTATTGTAGACACTACCGGAAGTAAGACTAACGACTAAACCAGCAAAGTTGGAGGTACTACTGACATAGAAACCACCACCATTTGCAACGTTAAGACTTCCAAGAATAGTGGTATCATAGTTATTGATTATAGACCAATAAACATTAGGATCTATATCAACGTCACCTAGACCGAGTTCAAATGTACCATATTGAATAGTATCATGAGTAATAGTTTGTGATAAAACTAAACTTAACTGTAGAACTAGCGTAAAAAGACGACTAAGTCCTTTCATTCTTTCTCTCATATTCGAATAAGATGATTGAATTGGTAAGGAAAGAAACTATAAGCCTTCTGTGAAGTTTATTTGCAGTAATATTAAATGTTATCCTTTTAGATTTGTTTGAAGTCATCAAGGATCTCTTATATATATTATATGATTAAAGTTGCTTGACATATTAATTATAGAACTGAAGTGAATTTCAACATGAATTTTGCAAATCAAGTAAAACCTTTTCTAAACCCTTTCACTGATAAGCATAATTTATTTTTTAAGCACCAAGGATACCTTGAAAATGAAATTTTGTTATAGTTGATACTGAGATTTCAGTAATGGAACCTTCTATGCTGAAAATAAAAATGGGTTGCATTGGGCGAAAACATACTTATAACACAAACTCAGAAAATAACAGAAGCCTGAATAACAAAATCACAAAAAAGTAATAAACCTATGGCTAGAGGCGAAACCATTCTATGTTTAAAGTTTGGAAGTAAGCATGTTGTTGAAGACCAAATTGGATCTATTTGAATGACGGGAATTAGGAGTCAATTCGATCGGTTTTTGATAACGCTAACTTGAAATTTAATACTTCGGCACAATGTTGAACGTTTAACATCTCATATGAGTATAGCATGTTAAGATGGCTGATTTTTAATATTAACTTAATACTTCCATTTAACCACTGTTTTGGTACATCTTTTTTTTTTGATATTCTAGAAGAGATAATAAATATTTTTTAGAAGCAGATTCTTGTTTTTAAGAAGCGCGGGCAAAATTACATTTGACAATTTTTGAGGCAAAAGTTTTTTGCAGTGGCTTGTGGGAAATAAAAATGAATATTTCTCTTAATTATTAGTAATAAATAAGCAATATTTCATAATTTCTTTTGTTCAAGTCAGTGAAGGAAAGTGACTTCGAATCCTATTCTTTCTTAAAAAGTTGTAGTCATGAAAATTGGTTATTTTGGATGTTTAATGTTCCAAAACAATTCCTGCGAAAACATTGTTAGCTGCCGAAGAGGGAAACAAAGTGAAACGACCCTTAAAAAACTAAAAGTAAGACAATCGCTAACTTTAATATATTATTTTTCCCATATAATTTGGGGAAGGCCAATACTTATCACAACTAAATTCTGTAATGTAGACTTTGGCTAAGATTTTAAGCTTTGCTTCGATGGACTTATGGTCCTCATACTTGATCTTGTTTAGATTTAAGATTATGGTAATGAGTTCAATTTCAAGTTGAAGTGAAGTTCTGCCAAATGAAAATAATGATTCCTATTACTATTGGTCAAGAAGTCACCGTAACAGGAATTAAATCGTTTTTACTTTGTTGCTAATTCTATTAGGTTTCATGCAGAGCAAATCTCAATATTAATTTACTTAATTTGTATAAAAAACAAATGCAGATACATATAACCTGTTTTAAAGATACTTCAATATTTAAAGTTTATTTAGGATGATCGCTATATTTAATGTGCGTCATAGGCTCTACAATGCAGGGTCCACAGTAAACAATCAAAAACAAAAACATGAAACTTATTCATTCCAAATTTAACCAGAAACAAAACTTCATCACCATCGTAAATATAGGTTACATTGTGCAATAAACGAGAAATATACGATTATCTTTCCAGATATCATAGTTTAAAATATAATGTGTTCACAAATAGTATCTTATGAACTTTTGTATACTTTGATTCCGATATGACAAACTCCTCTACGGTAAATTTAAAATACAACCAAGAAGTTGAAGGGCTTGCGCGGAATTGTTCTTCTTCAAAACTTATTTTACAAAGCTTTTCCTGCATCAAGGATGCAGTGCATAAAAACTGGTGCTCAATTGAGCCTCATTTCATTTTTTAACCATACTTTTGTCAAGGTTAAAGTTAAGAAGAACGGTCAATTAAATATGCTTTATTCTATCATTTTGTCAACAGAAGTCCAAGTTATGATTTAATGAGGTTATTATATGGAATACACGTGAAAGGAATACGCATCTCAAGATGAGGTAATGTTTACAACCAATAATCATTCATTCCTTTTTTTCCAAACCGTGGAGTAGATAGGATGCTCAAATTATTTAGCTACAAAAAAATTCTATTGCCGAAGAATACCAAACGCAAGATTATCAATCTCAAAAAAAGATTATAAAGAGCTTTTTGTTAAAATCAAATATTTGTAATTTGTTAACTTCGTTTCAAGATATTTTACTGTAATTTAAAAAATAATTCATCTCCTCACATGAATTTGTAAATAACTTCATTCTTCACAATTGAATAGGAATAAATCAGATTCTTGCTACAAATATCACAAAAGTTATGTTCTTCTACGTTAAATATTTTGTCCTTCTCGCCAAAAATATTTTTCGCACATCTTCTCTACAATGCGCAAAAAATACTTATAATTCAAAAATACAATTAGCTTTTAAATAAAAATAAAAACCCTAAACCATTATGGCAGGATTGAATACATTTTTCTGCACAATTCAATTCAATCTTCTGCTTTTCTAGTTTTCAGTAGATGAAACGATTAGCAATCACTTTAAGAACATCCCATTGGGTAAGGGATACAATGGTGAACATGTGTTTTTAGTTTTGTTCTTTTTTCCATAGGTCAAGTGCCCTTTATTAAGGAATGCAATCTAAAGTATTTGCACGCCCCGTCGTAGATGCGCATATCCATCTCGCAATCAAACTCACGCGACTTTATCAACAGAAAAATGATTTTTTAAGTCTTTAATTAGACTAATAAAAGAAAACAATACTAAATGCAACGATAAATGTAGATAAGTATGCCACATTATTGCTTGTGAATTGATGTATAGCTCAGTCATCTACAGAATATTTCACTATTTTTGAAGGTTGAAGAAAGGCTTCTAGATGCATGTAATGACAAAGGCTTTTGTGCAGTAGTCGGTGGCGTCGATACGCATTCAACGGCCCTTGTCGGAGTAGACTGGACATCGACGGAGGACTCAGTTTCCCCTCCAAACATCCACTGCAATACAAGTAGAGTGAAGTAATTGTTGTTGTATCTCCGTTAGAGTCCGTACTTTCCATAACTAATTAACATCTAAGTCCATTCTATTTTCCATTCTAACCATTATTTCCATTATTTCCATTATTATTCAAACAACTACAACATAATTACCGAGGTTTTTTTCTCTATATATTTAATCATATAGTTTTTCCCCATTTAGCATAATTAATTCGCTTTAATATACGAGGCAAAAAAAAACATAACAACCCAAGTGTCGGCAACAACTTCACCTAATGAATTGATACTTGTAGTACAATCACTACATAATAGCTTGTTTTGATAATTATTGTATAATATGTAGTACCCTCGTTTTCAATAGTAGCGCTCGTACCAAATATCAAATATCATATTCTATTTTCTTATATTTTTATATTCTCTACTATTTATTACTCTACAGGCTACAATTATCTGTCCTACCTCTGTTTAATTTTCCAATCAATCTATTTTTACATATTTTAAATCATATATTATTTTCAACTTCATATATTCTATTATTTTCATTTCATATATTCATTCTATCACTTTATTCTACTCTTCTATTATAGTAACATGCCTGTTATACTTATTCGTATTCTATTATAATTTAATTTCCTTATCAATATTATTCAATATTCAAATATTATTATTAATTATATCTTACTCTTTTAATTACCTATTACATTTTCTTATTTATTTCATTTATGTATTATCTTTAATTACTTATTCATTTACTTTCTTACTTATTTAATTATTATAATCTACTTCATATTAATATTTTTTAACTTATAACATTCAATTCCACTTTCATTTATTCACTTATATCTAATCTGTATCAATTTCTATCAATTCTAAAATCTTAATTATTCATTATATTCTCCTTCTATAAATATTGTCGCTTGTCGTTCCCTCTACGCGACATTTCAACTTGTCCTTTTCGTCCACCGCATCATATATTCTGGGCTATCTATATACACCTATTACATACTATCTACAATCACAATCACAATGCAATCGTCAATAATAAAGACCTATACATCTAATATCATCTAGTCCCTAATCATCTTGACAGTACGTACTACCACTTCAAACTAATGTCTGTCTCATTCAATCTTCCTGGGCTATCTTAAATTCCACATAATTACTCTCCATTTTCACTTTATCGTCATAACGTTAAAACTTCAATCAATCGTGCAATCATGTATCATATCATCACCGGTCACATATTGCTTTACTAGACATATATTTAAATCATTAATGATCTTTATCATTTTTACCAGTCTTATAATTCAATATTATTAAATATAATTATGATTCAAGTAAACTAAACTTAACATAATCATAATTCAATTGAATACCAAATAAATTGAATCCAAGACCTAATAACGTAATAAATTTCTTCATTCACTGGTTTCATCGATCAACAGTCGTAAATATCATCGACATTACTTTTGCTTTATTATTTTTGATTGCCTTCCACATTGACTTATCTTATTTACTAGAAATCTGATTACAAATCTACTGATTTATATCTTCTCAATAAATGATACCGATCTTGTTCAGATCATACATATTACTTCACATATTGCGTTACTAGACTTAATTGATGCTTGACATCTTTGTCATTTTCACCTAGGTTATATTTCAAGATTACTGAATCTTACTTACACTAATTCATACCATCATTGAATACAGAACTTAACATATGAATCAACTGTCTTTATTCACTGCTTTCCTGTATCAACGATAATAATTGTCTTCGAATTTTATTATGCTTTATTAATTATAATTTCCTTCGATATTAATTTATCTGATTTACCACCTACGGAACGTGATACTACTTAATCAAATAAATTAGATCAATATAATAAAAGATAAAGATAAAGGTTTTGATCATATCAATCATATCGATTAACATATTACATTATTTAATTCTTTATCATTCCTGTCCACCTTATATTTCAATATTCCTAAATTTATTAATTTAACAGAATCATAATTGAATTAAATGCCAGAATAGAATCCAAATCTAGAATCTTCTGTTTATATTCACAGGGCTGCTATAATAACAGATATACTTCAAAATTGATTTATCTTATCTAAAGATACACATTTAATATGATTCTTAATTCATGCTTGATATCTTTGGTTCGCCTGACTTATTTTCAATATTGCTAAATTGACGTAATCATATTCAATAAAATACCATCTAAATAAATTCATTTGAAAACTAGTATCCTGTATCTATTTACATTCACTCTACTATACCAACAGACATGATTGATTCGAACTCATTTTGCTGCTGGTACGGAGTTTTTTAATTTACTAGTAATGTGATTACCGAATATCATATTAATTAATCAACTGAATTAAATCAAGTTAATAAATGATCACTCATACAGATTCATATACTACATTGCTAGACTTATATTTGATTGATGCATGATATCTTTTCGCTGCTGTTGACCAGACTCAATATTATTAAACTTATCTTCAACTAAATACCAGTTAACTAAGTTTAATGCAGAACTTGCAACTTGCGACACAGGTTTCTTCTACCAGCATATTAGAAATAATAATTTTGCTGTCCTGCTTAAACAAATTTCAACTACGTTAGTATTTAGTCATATATTATTATTCTTGCATCAAAACAAAGCATAATCTCGATATATACCTGAATTTGCTACTTCCATTAATCAATTCTTGTTCCAAGTATGTCAGTATCAAGTTCACTGATCCAGTGGTGTCATGAATATATAAATCGGTTGAATTAAATAATGATCAATATTAATATCAACGAATGCCATTCATGCAATTTATTCTACTTAGAATATCATAGTATAGATGTAGATAGAATATTACTTAAGAAAAATTAATTTTGAATATATACAAAAGACTAAATAATTAATAATATTAGAGTAATACAAATAAGTTAATGTATCATATAAACTAAAGAACATTTGAATAAAACTAACATAAACATTAAACCTCTTTTGAAATATAGCGTTAAAGACGTTGATAAGATAAACCATTATCATAAGCAACTAACTAATTATGTTTGTTCATAAGAGAATACCTCAACAATCAACTCCCATTTAAAATTCAACACTTATGTAATATTGCTCTTGCTTAATAATTTGACATTAATAAATTTGCTGAAATAATCATAATACTTGATCCAAGTTGATATTAAAAAGAAAGCATAATTAATTGGAACACGTTTAATAGGTCCAAGAATTGAACTTCTTAACATGTTGACTACTTTTCAACCTGTTATATCTTCAACAAATGAATCCTGAAAAAATGAAATGTATTATCTTTTATTTAAACATATAATATAGTAACACATTTGATGTTGTCATTTTAATTGAAAGAACAACAAGATAACAAGATTAATTTCAAGTAGTATTGTGAATATCTAAACTTTTACTTTTGGTATCAATCTTGAGGTTTATCTTAACTTTATGAAAGCTACTCTCTTCTAGCTAACTCAGTCAAATGATTCAATTAATTCAGGAATAATATAAATTCCTATACATGAGTATAATTTATTCAATAATTAATAATCTGGATTTAAACAAAAATTCTTGAAAAAGATAAACTAATATAAAATAACATCATCTTCTCTGGTATTATCACAGGGAATAGTTCTTAGTATAACATTCATTAATGAAAGAAAGAAAGATTCAACAGACAATTTTAATGCTTTTCAACATTATCTATCAGGTGATTTATGAAGTATAAATTTTAGAATTTGATGAATCAAATGTGTCGGATGACTTAAGATGAATCAATGATGGACTTATTCAAACAAGTTATAACGATACTGTTTAAAATTTGATGTGATTGATGTGATCTATAGTTGTATAATTATTTGTTGATTAGTTTATCTTAATTTTAATTTGTTTTCATTTTCATAATGGGCCATCACGCACGACTTTCTGATTTTGATTTTGGTATAATTGAAACCTAATACACCATATAGTTCAACCACAACAAATGGACAACTCAAAGATACATAAATCTATCCTATAAAACAATATAAATATATTTGTCTATCAAAATATAGATTCCCTAACAATTCGCAAATTGTATACGTTTATTATTTTTAAATATCCAAATACCCATATCAAACCATATTTTAACCTATCCCTAAAATTCTTCAAATGACTCGATTTGATATAATACACATCCTGCTCTATTAACTTACTAATTTCAGCTATTATTTTGAAATTTGCCATCCCGAAATGACATCCCGATTAGAAAATATATTTTTTGCCATCCCATTTTTCCGTTCCAAATCGGTGGCCAAAGAAGAATCTAGTTAGTAGTCTGTGTATGTTTGCCAATAAGTTCATAAGAAATCTACTAACCTTCTACCATCTGATCACACCTAGTAACTGCCCTGCTCTTCGTCTGATGGGAAATGTCGTCTAAAAATTGTTCCACCGTCGAGACATTGTTGCAGCCAATAACATTTCTATTGAACAACTGGCGTACCACATATATTGCCTCGGGATACTCTGCTCTGACATAGCTCATTATCATATAAGATATTTCAACACCTTTTGAAGTGATTTTATCTACAAAAGTACAATTCTTTCGAAAAAAACGTTCATATATATCTGTCTAATCTATTCATTGCAAACCACTCTTTCTGCCTTGGAAGAAAGTTCCTTTAACTCATCGTTGCTTGGAATGCTCAAGTTTTTCAACCATTCCTCCTTTTCAAAGGGAATAGACTTCAGCTGAGCATATATGGCACTGGCAAGCTTGGTGCTAGAACCGGCAGCAACTGATGCCCTCAATTGGGGTACAATTACTTTCGATGACATGAAATTGGTGTTTGGATCTGGCTCAGTAACTCTTGCTTTTCTAGATCCCAACAAGTTTACTATTAAACTAGTATCCTCGTTAGTCGTCACTTCTCCTAAAACAGGGGATCCGCTCTGTTCAGTAGTCTTGATACCCTTGGCGATCATCGAAGGTACTGCGAAACCTCCTTCAAGTGAGTCTACATCATATGGAGTCTTGTTTTCAATATGGTGGACTCTTATGTGGTATTTGCCCTTCTGTAAAATCCACGTTTTGACATCAATTCCAGTTACTGGGGTCCACTCAGAATATAATCCACCATCGAATATCCAAGACTTATTGTTCTGTCTGACGTAGAAATCACGACCTGAAAAACTGAAACCAATCATATTATCAAGAGTAGCAAAGTCAAATCCTCTTGCATTGTTTTCAACACTGAAACCGTACCTAGTACTATAAGCAAACTTGTTGTATTTTTCAGCTTGATTTCTTAAGTTGAAAGTTTTATATGGCCCACTAATTAATGCTACTGTGTTTAACTTGTTATGTGAAAAGAGGATACCAGGAATTTTCATCTGAGTATCTTCTAACACCAACGGTTCTTCTTTTGACGTCCAAAATGGATGGTTGTCTGGGATCATTAAAGCAGTAAATGCTTTAAATGCCCAATATGGTGATTGAGGTGAATTGTAGGATTCAGACAAGAACTGATTAGGATATGCATACCCTACTGAAAGAATGTTTGTTCTAAATCTCGAGATTGGTTTCTTAGACCACCACCTTAAGTTTCTTAAGTATACTCCCTTCATAACTCCCCAAGGAATAGCTGGCTGTTCACCCTCTTCTAATGCAAATGCCAAGGCACCCCAAAAAGCAATGATAGCATACCTGTATGTCATTGATCTACCATACGGAAGGGCTCCACCATCATCTGCAAAAAAATGAAGGTATTGCTTGGCGAATTGAACAGCTCTATCTTTCAACCTTTTACACCTTTCTGGTTCTCTATCTTTTCTTACTTTAGAATAAATCAATCCAAATAAATGCAATGCATAGGGGTTGTAATAATCGACACTTGCTATATCACCATCACCATACCAACCATCCCTTATGTACATAGTATCTACTTCATCCAAATAATCGTGTGTCATTTGGTGATCAAACTTGACTCCAATTTTATCCAATCCCAAATCAATCATGACTCTGAAAAACTTCCAGTTACAACGACGAAAGTGACGGCTCCTGGCCGTGAGAAGGTATTCACTAAGATTTTTCTTAGCTTCTTTCAGCAATGGTTCCCAAACATGCTCTGGTACAAATGCTAAGGCGTATCCAACACCAGCCAATTCAACCAATTTTTGGTCGCAATCTTCGATATCTCCCCAATATTCTTCATGATTGTGGTCTGTACCATTAGTCAACCCTTTTCTAAATAACTCCCAATGTTTGAAGTCTCCACCACCCGCAGCAAATGGGACGGCTCCCAACAATGCTCTTGCAAACCCTTCGAAGTGAGCTGCTGTGGTTGGAAAATGTCCACCACTCTCCTCCAAGTTCACACCAGCACAACCTTCTGAAAATGCTGGAACCAATGGTTCGAAGGTGTCCACGAAAGCGCGTCTAACATCATCTTTCGTTTCGAATAAGTTTCTTGAACATGGATTAAAATTGTCTAGGTTGCTGGTCATTTTCAATTGTGTTTATTTTGTATCGACCCAAAGAAAATACCATCCATCTCCATTATACGGACCCCTTCTTGTATATATACGTTTCTATTAATGGCCAAGCTTATACCCCACCCCCACTGCCTGTTATTGACAGGAAGGTATTACCTTGAAGGATCGGTGACCAGTCCGTGATCAAAATGCTTAGAAATGTGTCAAATTGTCTCCCCCACAGAATTTTTAAATACTTTTAGTTAACTTTCAGGGAGTAATAGCCCTAAGTACTTAGTTTAGCCACCCCACCGGTTCGTCTTGCGTCAATTTCCAGAAGGTCTTAACTAGGTCAACATGCAAATGCCGGGCCATCATATAATAATCCTGAATACTTTGCTAAAAAGCATCCTACCCCACAAAATTCTCGACGTGCCTAAAAATGGTGTCCAGAGAGGTTGTTCAACATCAAATAGATACCTTTTCCGCTACGGGGGTACCCCTCATGCAAGATGCGCACCTAAATAGAGGGAGCTCTTCAAATATTTTAAAAATGCACCTTCATTTATTTTTTTACCCCGTAATAAGTAATGAACAAAAGTGGTGGGGTGTATGGGGTTAATGAAACAAATAGCATTCTCCGCAGACAGATTGGAAGATTTACATGTTTCTTCGCAGCAAGAGATGTGTACGGATGATTTGCTCCCACTATGTTCGTAAACACGATCTTTTTGAATAAGATCAAACGGCTACACTGACAAGAATCGGATTGTCGCAGCCAAAACCTTATATGTGGATTAATTTCGCTGCCATGTCGAAAAGTTTTGAATATTGTTTTTAATTATCAAACATGTTTCGTACAAGGGATAATAAAGAAAATAACATTATTACTGTTACTTCCAAGGACAATGAGAATGGATCTCTTGGCCAGGAAGAACACAGAGAGTTGACTTTGGAAGACGTCACTCCAAAGTTAACAAAGTTTTGGTTTCGGTATCCTCATTTGTTAAAATTAAATACATTCTTAGGATGTGCTCTTCTTGGCCAAGTTACCTTGGGCTACGATGGTAGTATGATGGGTAACTTACAAACCTTACCAAGTTGGTCAAAATATTTTAATAACCCTCATGGTAAGGTGTTGAGTACAATGACAAACGGTATAACCATCGGTGCTATGGCTGCTACCCCCGTTGTTAACTGCAAGTGGTGATCGTTTCAAAAGAAAACACGTCCTTGCAGCCGCTATTTGTATTACTATTATTGGTGCTGCTTTGCAAGCCGCTTCAGTTAGTTTTGGTATGTTCCTTGCATCTCGTATCATCCTTGGTTTTGGCTCTGCTGGAATGCAAGTCTCTGCTGCTCCGTTATTAGCCGAAGCTTCGTACCCATCACAGAGACCTATAATGACTAGTATGTTGCAGGCAACATTTCCAGTCGGTTCTTTTATGGCAGCAATTTTAACTTGGGGTCCTTACCAATCAGATATGAAATACAACAACTGGTCTTGGCGTTTACCTTCTTTACTTCAAGCTTTTGTCCCTTTAATTCAATTAGTTTTGGTTTTCTTCTGTCCAGAGTCACCTAGATGGCTCATTGCTCACGGAAAGGAAGAAGAAGCTTTCGAAATATTGACTCATTATCACGCAGCTGGTGATAGGGACAGTGAGCTTGTAAGATTTGAAATGGCTGAAATCAGTGCAGCTATTGCCAAAGAAAGAATTGGAAGGCGTGTTTCTTGGGCAACTTGGTTCTCTTCCAAGGCAAATATGCATAGGTTATTTATCACCCTTGCGTTGCCATCTATTCTTCAATTATGTGGGTCTTCACTTATTGCTTACTACTTCTCGATTGTTCTTCAAGATATTGGCATTACAGACGCAAGTGACAAATTGAAAATTAACATTGGTTTAACACTTTTTGGTGGAGTTTGTGCTCTTTTATTTGCCGTCTACACTGCTGCAATGAGACGTAAAGTCTTGATGTTAGGAAGCCTTGGAGCAATGTGTGTAACATTCATTATTTGGATTGTATTAGCCGACATAAATGAAAAAACCCACTTCAAGAACAAGTCCTTGGGTAGAGGAATTATTGCTCTCCTTTACTTCGATATGGGGTTTTATCATGCATTTTCTCCAATTGGAAACACCTATGTTATGGAGATTGTTCCTTATACATTACGAGGAAAAGCTTCAATTTTGTATTCCTTGGCCAGTCAAGTTTGGATTTTTTACAATAACTACGTCAACAATCTTGGAATGGATTCCATTTCATGGAGATATTACATTGTTTACTGCGTTTTATTATTTACGCATATGATCGTTATCTATTTCTACTTCCCGGAGACTAAAGGATTGGGATTGGAAGAAGTTGCAAAAGTTTTTGGGGAAGATATTTCTGACTTGATGTTGGAAGCTCAACATGCTATTGAAGAACCAGTTCATACTAAAAAGTTAGATGTTGAACATGTTGAAGATGTTTCTCCTGAGAAGTCAGAAACATGAAAATTTTAATTTGTTTAGTTTTGTTTAGCAGGTTTATCAATCAGAGCCTTTTGGATGTCTGTGACTCAAAGTCTCTGTTCGAAGAACCATAGCATATGTTGTTTATGAATGAAAAGAAAATAATTCGATTATATTTGATTATCTTATTTTTGTAGTCCACTTCAATCACTGTAAGTTCCACCAAGAAGTGTTACAAGCCTACTCGGAAGAGAAAGGTGCGGGAGGACTAGCTCTTTTATTGGGTTATGTTTTCTACACATACATCTGTACGTGTTCTGTTAAATAAATTTTAGAGAAGCTTGACAAAGACTATTCATTTCACGAAGAGCATTGAACAACATAATTCCAAGTGCCACCACAACTCCATAACTATTCGTACCCCATCATAAAGCAGTGTCAGGTATACTGTGGCATGCAAAACATTCGGCCACCTTCAATAGAAAAGCGCTGGTACTGTATACCATAGTTGCTCAATATGCATTGATAGTAACCCCACGAATTCCGTACAATTATCCCCCTCCCCCACCCCCACCAAAATTGATTTTTGATCTGAACTCTACAAACATATAAGAAACCTAGAGTCCACTAGTAGATGAGAATTTATGAATTTGTTTGAAGACAGCAAAGAATTCACATATAGACGATTCTAATTCAATTCACATCCTGCAATGGCTACTCCCCACAAGTATGTTACTAAATATTCTTGAAATATCTCGGACATCGTAACTAACGACTCTATTTAGATCTTCAAAAGTTTTCAAGCTCAACAATGGTGAAACCATTCCTGCTTTAGGGCTTGGAACTTGGCAGGCACTGGCTGACGACGTTTACAAAGCTGTTTTAGTAGCCCTTGAGGCCGGTTACAGACACATTGATTCTGCTCTTGCCTACGGCAATGAGGAACCTGTTGGTCGCGCCATTAGAGATTCAGGAATTCCTAGAAAAGAGATATTTGTTACAACCAAATTGGCCCCTATTGACGCTCTTGACCCTGCTGGTTCCTTAGACCGATCCTTAAAAAACCTTGGTTTAGATTATGTTGACTTATATTTGATGCACTGGCCAGTTTGCTTGAACAAGGCAAATAAGAGTCACCCTGGTATTCCTTTATTGCCTAATGGGAAGCGTGATATCGTGTTTGATCGCGAATTCACCGAGACCTATGCAGACATGCAACGTTTGGTTGAAACCGGTAAGACAAAGTCAATTGGTGTTTCCAACTTCTCCATTAAAAACTTAAAAAAATTACTTGCTTCTCCTGAATTTAAGATTGTACCTGCAACTAACCAAGTTGAAATCCATCCATATTTGCCACAAACTGACCTTCTTGAATTCTCTAAGAAGCATAATATTTTGTTGCAAGCATTCAGTCCATTGGGTTCTTCCAACTCGCCATTATTGAAGGATGAGACAATTAGAAAGATTGCTGAGAAGAATAAAGTTTCAGCCGCTACAATTTTGATCTCTTGGGCAATCTGGAGAGGTACTGTTGTCTTACCTAAATCCACCACTGCGTTAAGAATTGAAAGTAACTTCAACGTGATCGATTTATCAGAAGAAGACGGTCAAGAATTGGAAAATCTCCATAAGGTGACAGGAGTCAAGAGATTCGTCAGTCCTAACTGGGACCCAATTGACGTGTATGGCGAAGAGTAAGTACGACTAGTCTCAATATCGTAGTTATCTCTACATACCTAAATTTAACAATAGACATCAATTGATATTACTGCTAGCCCGTGTAATCAGAAACCCTGTTCCCTACTGCAGGATGCGATAGCGCAAATCAACCATCATGTACTTTCGGAGTTTTCCTAACTATTCCGGAGTAATTATCCCAAACACCAAAAAATGGTGGGGTCCTGTACGCTAGAATAATTATTTACTATTTACGTCAAGGGGTGCAATGATTAGGGAGGGGTACAGGCTTAACCTAACCTTCACACCGCACCAGCCAAGGTGCGGGCCAGCACACAATTGATTTCATCCATAAAAAGGACCAACATTTAAAAAAATAAGGTAAAACCTTGCTGCTCCGGGGATAAATTATTCTCTGACCCCGCGGCTACCGTGACTGCGAGTTGGATCATTATTACCGCTTGGACCTTATCGCATATATGTCTCCTTTGGTAATAGTCCTCTATAAAATGTCGTCTCCACTCTTCAACTAGCAACGTTGTCCAACACTTCTGAAGGCAGTACGGCAATGACCGAAATCGACATTCCAATATTTTCCCCAGAAGAATGAGCTGTCAGAAAGTCATCTCGTTGTTTCGAGAACCTGGGAGACTAATGGAGCAAGATGAAGGTTGGAGAGAGATATGTGTGTGACGTGCCAGATTGTGGAAAGTCATTCTCGAGATCTGATCATCTATCTCGGCACAAGTTTAACCATGAACCTCGCTCAATCCACACATGTTCATGTGCCGGTTGTAACAAGCTGTTTGTCAGAAAAGACGTCAAGGAAAAGCACGAATACTATCATAGGAAAAAGATCAAGAAACAGAAACTAAAGTCAGCGAAGAAGCAGAAAATAGTAAAGATATTGTCAGCAAAAAGTCCTACTGATCCAGCTAATGGAATCGGGGAACTCGTTGGAAATGATGCAAGTGGAATGAAAAACACAGGCAAAATAATGGAAGTGGAGAATTTGAGTGCTCAGAATGTTGAACATTTAAGGTATCCAACAGCCCAACAACACCGAATGGAAGAAAGTCAAAATACACACCATCGTACTGGTAACAGCATGAATGCAAGTAGTAACACGAATAACGATATAATAGCTCATTTTACTGTTGCAGATCAGTACTTTTCCAATTTAAATCAAGAAAATTATAGTGCAAGTGAAATCTCTTCAAATTCTACCCGTTCAAATTCAATAGTTGAGTATAATAGCCAACCAATAGCATCAGAGAACTCTCTTTTGCCGACTGACTTGACACAGTGGCTCTTCAATGATATTGATTTTTTGAACCAAAAAAATGTACTGAGTCCTTCTGGTACTTCTTTGAGCGGAGGAACGAATGCTAACCAATTGTTAGAAGGGGCATTTTGCATATCTCCAAACTTTCCCCAATACAGTACTCAAACTTTCAGCGGTACTGTCTTGATCCAGAAATTGTGTGAGTATATTCCAAATTTGCATGAATTACTCTTTGGTGTAGAACAGCTACGTCTATGTTTGGATGTATACTGGGCGGCATATCACGTTCAGTTTCCAATACTACATAGACCCTCTTTTAGTGCAGATGATGTTCATCCTTTTTTGCTATTGAGTATGATTATGATGGGAGCTGGTCTAATGGATGTCAATGATCCTCCTTCAGTGGCGATCTTGCCGCTTTCTCAGAGGTTAGCAGATTGTATTGCTGTGCCTTTGAGATGGCTCATATCCTCTTCGGAAGAGTTTGGGCTGCCTACTAAGGCATGGATGATCCAAAGCTTAATCGTATTAGAATCCTACGAAATATTGTTCTCAAGTAGGAAATTGCACGAAAGAGCCTACTTACATCATGGACTTAAGATACAACTACTTAGGAGAAGTGCATTGTTAGGAGGTGATCCTTTAAATAGAACTAGTGATGACACGAACTTGACAGAAGAGAAAGATATTTGGAAAAAGTGGATTGAAATTGAATCTTTAAAGAGAGCTGCACTTGTCTCTTTCTATTTGGATACTGTACATGCAACTATCTTCGGTCACGAAATTGTATTATTTGCCCATCAGATTAAATTGCTGATGCCTTGTGATGATATGCTATGGGAAATGTCAGTCATAGATAAGAACAATTTGCCTCCACAAACCGAGACCCCAAGATTCATTGTTGCATTGACCAAGTTACTTCACCAGGAACAATCAGAAGCGAGTTCGCTAAGTAAGAAATTGCTTTTGGCAGGATTGTTGACCATAAAGTTTCAAATGGAACAAAAAGACCTTCAAATGACTTTTTTAGATTGGAAATCAGTAAAAGAGTCCTGGAAATCCACAATCTATAAGGCCATAGATGTATGGAGGGATGCTGTGTGTCATGGTGACTGTTGCGATACTAGAAATGCTTTCTATTTGCCTCTGACTGGCGAACCGTCAAATTTTGTTCGAGCAGAGCTATCATTGAGTGATACGAAATGTAAGTTCCCCATTTACCATCTATGTCAAGCTTTTATGAGGGTAAAGCAGTACGACATGATAATATATGCTGGTACCCCAAGAAGAATGAGTGTTAAGACTACTGAGAGAGATTACAAAGTAGTAGAGGGAAGAATTAAGGAATGGTCCAATTCAACTAATGGAAAGATTTCTGTACTTCATTGTTATATTTTGCTAAACGAGATAATGTTCAATGGTGGTGTTGAATCAGTTTATGAACCAGACTGTGATTCCGTTCTTCACAGGCCCAATATTGTGGCTTCAGCATTATTTGTGGTTTGGGTTTACAACTATTCTTTACATGGGCCCGAGTCTTTAAGTCACAAATTCTCTTTACAAAATGAAATCAGGGAAAGAGAAGGGGGTTACAGCTACATCAATAGAATATACCATTCATTGGTAAAGCACACAGGTGAGAAAACATTAAATTATAAAGGTCTTGAGAAGTATTCGAAAATAATTGATGATATTCCGAATAAGCACTATTTGGTTGGGTTGTTGAAATTGTTCAGGAACAAGTACATTCGTTGCCGGTCAGAGATCTGCCGGGAGTATGCTGAACTACTCCAGAATTGTATTTTGCGTAGCATGGGAAAAGAAAGGGAACCTTTCACTTAAAATTATGTATTTGTATATTGTAAATAGAAGATATATGACAAACAGCGTCTTGAAGATTAAACGAAAACCGTAGGCTAAATCCTTGACACGATTACGGTGACTTTAATCGACAACAAAGAATCCAATACTATGTAAGACTACTACCAAATTAAATTAAATCTCCGGGGACCACCCTCAGGCATAACTCTTTGTCCATAATAAAATTTGGTTGCAGCAATTTTTTTGCAATTACGGATTCCCCACTTTGCTGTGTGCTAATATATAATACCCAAATTAAGCCCTATTTCGCTACTCCTGAGCCCTTCCACAGCAAATTGTATTATCTACTATTTCAGTGGGTGGTCCACCCGTTCGAGAAAACTTGTGGGGTCTGATTATTAGTGGTGGGGTGAAAAATGGTGGGGGACGAGATTCTTTATGGGGAAGCGACATTTCTTTTTACCCCCAGTTCTAAGACAATAGCCCCCCTCCCCCACACCTTTGATACGGAAATGGTGTGTTGGTATCGGAGTTCTATGTAGATTTGCGGTCAAGATGATTTATATATATTTGTATATCGCTGTGAGTTATGATCTGGAAAAGGTATCTTCTTCTGGTACAAGATAACCGTGTAAACGTACAATATGACATTCAACAATAGTTTAGTAATTCCTAATGGAATCTTCACCCCAATTCCTACTTACTTCAAAGATGACGGAGACTACACGTTAGATTTAGAGACACAAGTCAAGCATGCTAAGATGTTGTACAAAGCAGGTATAAATGGGCTTGTAGTCTCTGGATCTATGGGAGAAGCTGCCAACATTACCATGCAAGAAAGATGCTCTGCTTTAAAGGCAATCAGAGAAGCTGTCCCAGATACTAATTTCAAGCTTATTGCTGGAATCCCTCCATCCAGTTATAGAGACATCATCGAAGAATCAAAACTTGCCAGCGACGTGGGTGCTAACTTCATCATTGTATTGGTTCCAGGTTACTTTGGCTCAAAGTTAGTGTCTCAACAAGGTATTATTGATTACTTCAAGCTTGTTGCAGATGGAAGCAGCTTACCTATAATGATTTACAACTACCCAGGGGTTGTCAATGGTGTGGATATTGAAGTTAGTACTTTTGAAGAGCTTTCAAAGCACCCATTTATTTCTGGAGTGAAGCTAACTCATTTCAACTTAGATACATACATATTATTGGGGAAAAACCCAGTATTGAAAGCAAACCACTTCACGTCCTTTACTGGATTAGGACAGGTTCTTGTTCCAGCTCTCTCGGTGAATATTAAAGGTGCCATTGATGGTTTATCTGGAATTTTCCCAAAGACTATGTTGAAGCTTTTGAAATTATATGAGGACGGTAAGTATGATCAAGCCGCAGATTTGCAGTATCTCGTTACAAGAGCAAACATGATGATTGGTGAGTTTAACGTTTATGGTGTTAAATATGCGCTTAAACAAATCTACGACTTTGGAGACTGTATCACAGGTAGACCTCCATTGAGCACCCATATCGACGTAGGTAAATACAAGAAATATCAAAATGATATTGATGCCTTAATTAGATATGAGAGCTCTTTATAAATCTGATTAAGAATAAATGTTTGCAAGGAAAATGTTGTCTGTAGAATAGATTAACTATGTCTTACGATCAATGATACAAACACCTACGCCTACTCTTATGGTACGCTCATCTGTATTCCCAGAAAGTAATAATACATTGATATATACAGTAATTTAAAATACATCTTAAGCCAGTAGCCTTCCTTAGTGAACTCAAGCATTAGCTACAGAGATAAACTGAATCAGACGACCCTTGATTCCATATCGATCGTAAAAATCATTTATGTTTGGAAAGGCGCCTTCAGCAGTAATCGGTAGTCACCATTATATGTAACTGAATTCTTCAAGTTTATCGTTTGTCATCTGAACATGCAATCCCTCTCTTATTGCTTGATTTTCCAACGCAGCAACGGAGCTCTCCAACTTTAACTTTGCCATCTGTAACTGGCTTGTTTCCTTATTAACAGTTGTCAATTCGTTATACCTACTCTCAAGAGTGTCTTGTGTACTCTCTTTGCCAATTGCCATTATTTCTATCCATGGATTATTAAACAGCTTGATAGGTTTACCACCATTTACATTTGGGCAATTAATCCATAAAGATAGTTGTTTCAAGTATAATAGCAGCAAATTCACTAATCTAAGCGATCTTATCGACATCTACATTGTTTGAATAAAAAATATTCAAATGATGATCAATGTTAATACCATATTATAACATCATACTATTGGCACACAAGCAATTTATTCCATTGACAACTATCATAGTATAGATGTAGATAAAATGTTAGGTAAGACAAATCCCATTTTGAAATATATATAAGATTAAATAATTAATATGAATAATAATAATGAACGATGGAGAACTTAGTAGTGTATATTTTGAACTGCTCTATGATTCACATGGTGTAACAACTAAAATTATTGAACCAGTCAAACTATCTTCCTCTTCACTACAATTAATGATTTGTAAGCGATAGATGACTTAGAACTCTCAAATGGAGATGTTAATTTGAAAAACCAATAAAAATATAAAAATAACTCTAAAACTTATAAAATAGTTAAATTTAGAAAATTATTGTATGATTTAATCAGATTAGATTAAAACTCCTCTGAAGTCTTTCTTATGTTACGGTTTCACTTCTCTTCAATGAATCAGTGCCACGATTTTAGAAAGATCAATATTTATTCATAAGTGTATTAAACTAATTTAAATAGTAAATTATAGATGACCGTTTATTAAACAAATGTCATATTCGGATGGAAAATTCATGGCATTGTTGTTTGTTTTTCTGTTAATTTTAACAGAGACCATTGAAGTTTAAGATTTCTTTAACCTGTTAGATCATATTTGATAAATATTAATTTAGAAACTTAGTTGAAGTGCTATTATTTGGTGAAAAGACTCAATTTTCAAAGGACTTTTGTTATTGCAAGCAAAGAATCGGGTATTAAGATATTGCCTTCTTTCATAAATGCAGATATATATATTTGCTCAAGGCAATTATACGGATTAGCCAAAGATGGTGAAGCCCAAAGATATTTTTGAAATTGACTAAAAATAGAGTTCCATGGGTGGGTTGCATAGCAGGAACTTGGATTGTTGGGTTTTCTGAATACAAAGGTAGGAGCTGCTGCCGCATTTAGTTATATATCCAACACTGTGTCAATTTTTGGTATCATCAATTGGATTTACATACTTATTGCATATATTGGATATCAGAGGGCTATAATAGATCGGAAAGTTCCGCATGATAAATACCTTTCCGAATGTGGCTTCAACCCTACATTTCCTATATTGCACTCGCATTAATCATTGTGATTGATATCTTCAATGGTTACAGTGCATTCATTAACTCGTTTAAATAGAGAACTTTCATCACAAGTTATATAGTTATCTTGGTTAATGTTATTATGATTATTGGACAAAATCTATGGTATAGAACAAAATCAGTTAACCCTAATGAAGTGGATTTAAGAAACACTTAAGGTAACTAGATATATAATAATTTAACTTCTTTCGACAATCTTCACGTAGTCCATAATAGGAAAATCAATGAATATTGTAAAGAAATAAAAAACTATAAAAACTATGAATAAATACATAAATTAAGAAGAAATGTTGAACCATCAAAAATTAAATCTTTAATCATTTCACTACTTCATTTCTGAGACTACATAAAAAGATTGTGATTAATATGATGAAACAATATATCCCTTCAATTACATCAAAAATCATTCCAATCCCATGCTATAGCTAATCTCTATTTCCCAGAAATCTGTCAAATTCAATGCGAACATTTCTAATAGATTGTGGAATTGCTTAACTATCATTGAACTTTTTGTACAATGCATTTTCAAGTCAGTGCAATAGAAGCCATATATATGAGCTTGTATGATTCTTTCATCTTCATCAAAGTCTATGTCTATATAAAGTCGGGATAACAATTTTCCATTACCAAATGTGTCACAACTATTAAGTCCTGTTAGTGCCATGGATAATGGTGTTGTAAAGGACACTACTTATAGGGTAGTGTGCACTAGCAACGGGGGATAACTTATGGTAAATGACTTGCTTTAGTGAAGAGACGTAGATTTAATAGTGAGATTAACTTGTATTGATATTCGGTACTTTCTAAAAGAGTGATATGAATCACATATTTCAAAAAGTGGGAAATAGAGTTATTTATATAAATGTAATTAGGTAAAAGTAAGAGATTTATAAAATAGTAATAAAGCACATGACTTATGTCATATGATATGTTTTAGTGAAGAAGTGCGGATATTATCCCACAATGGAGTTCTTGTATATAAATCAAGTGAGAATACCTAAAGTGTGGGGAAGCGAACACTACAAAAATATTTGTTATTCGTTAAAAATGTATTTGCTCAACTTCATATTGTAATAGTATATTACTTCATATTAGAAGCTTTAGAGCTTTGGTTTACGACATACTTTTCGAAGTGTTTTGAGGGCAATCAAGAAAGAAAGAAAGAAAGCTTCATCTATGTCGATTATGAACTTTACCATTAGTGGTAAACCACCCACAAGACCTCAATTGTTTATATGCCCTAGTTGTTCAAAAGGCTTTTCCAGGAAGGATTATCTATATCGCCATGAAATGAATCATTCAGAAATTAAACCATTCAAGTGCGAGCAATGCAATTTATCTTTCACAAGAAGTGATTTACTTACAAAACACTGTAAATCAAAATCTCATCAAAAATCAAAGGCAAAGGAGAATTTGAACAATGCATATCACAACAATAATAGAAATATTGTTATTCCCAAACGTCCTTATCGAGGAGAGAAAAGAAGTTTTGACTCTTCGGATGAGAATACATCCAATTCTTCTAATATAAATAATACTCGATTACAAACCACCAGACTTAACCAATTCACTAAAGAAGATCACATAAAAAAAGATAAAAGATTAGAAATTTCAAGTTTTTTAAATCGTCGTTTTAATGATGAAAAAATTCCGGCTCCTCCTCCTCAACCTTCGATTATTTTGCCTGCTATTTCAGAGAAATTGGACGTTAATGGTACTTCGTCAATAGGTTCTTCAAAGACGTTCATGACTCGTCCACTTGAGCAAGTAAAAGATTCAGAGTCGAATACATATGTCGACCAACAACAACAGCAACAACAGAGAGATAGTCATCATTTAAATTCTCAGGAAGAATCAGTACACGCTCCAAATTATTCAGATACTAGAAATGATTTCCCAAGTAATTTCGATCCTACATATGGAACTATTGATAACAATTTATTATGGCTATTTAATGATACTACTCCAGGTGATAACTTATTCTGGTTATTTAGTGATTCAACACCGTGGGAAAATGATAATTCTGGAAATGAAAATAAATTAACCGATTCTAAGCTGAGAATTGAACCTTTCACTACACCTAATTCAATTACAATCCAAACTAATAATCAAGTTGATATACCTCCGGTTATGTATCAAAATTTGTATAATGAAAGTACAAATACAAATATAAACAACAATAAGATACCTATGGCCGAGGCAACAAGATCAAGAATTGTCAATATTTTTCCATCAGTTAATCAGTTAAATAAAGTTTCATTACAACGATTTGAAGAATATTTAGATTTATATTGGTTTAATTTTGCTCAAACCTTTCCTGTAATTCATCAGGCAACTTTCAATCCAAATACAGTGAGTATATACTTATTGATAAGTATGATTGTTATTGGTATGGCACATTCTTTGGATAAAGTTGAATATGAAACTTCAATTTCACTTAATAAAAGATACAGAAGAATCATCTATGATGTAATTGAAGATAATACTGAGTTACCTTTGCCTTTGATGCAAGCATTGATCTTGCATAATTTTTCAGCAAAAAATTTTGGTGACACTCAATTAAGCAAAATAGCTCAAATTGATCATGGTGCAAATATTATGTATCTAAAATTTAGTGGATTTTTAAACAACTTATCGGAACCAGTAATCCGTAAACCGGCAAATAATCCAAATTTGACTGAATTGTCAGAACAATGGCAAAATTGGATCGAATATGAAAGTTGTAAAAGAGCAGTATTTTTTGAATTTATCTGTGATACTCAACATGTAACATTTAGCAAAATAAGGTCATTATCAGCTTTTGACATTAAATTAGAATTACCATGCAGTGATGAAGTTTGGAATTGTGCAGATCCACTTAGATTTTTCGAAGAATATCAAAAGCAACCAAAAGGTTTAGGCACAAGGCAAAAAATAGATACTTTAGATAATTATGGTTACAAGAATGAATCATTTGATAACGTTGATGGTGGAAATAAGAAAGAAAATATTTATGGCTACTATAATGGTACTGTTCCTGATGCTAATGATAATGATACAAATTCCGAAAAGAATACACAATTTTCAAAGAATGAAGACTTAGCTGCTTTTTTTACGAAACCAAAAGATTCAACTGATTTACTGAAAGAACCTAATACCTCATACTCCACTCAATCGATTAATATGGTAAGTAAATGGCCAACATTTTTGTGGGGTTTAAAATCCATGATGACTAAATATAAAGCGAATCAGAAAGAGTATCCATTGGATTGCTATTCATTGTTTTCAAGATATATAATTTTACATGGGTTGTTACGAATGTGCTGGGATTTGAGAGTTCAAAATCTTCAAGACTTAGGATTTGTATCAAAGAGGAGATTAAGTGATTTTTTTAACAGATTAGAAAGTGCTTTTGTAAATTGGAAAGGTTATTTTGACTTACATGTTAAACTATATGAAAAGCAAGTAGGCTCATTGGGAAAATTGAATTCAAGTAATCATTTAATATTATCATTGAACAATTATGGACCAACTAATGCTTCGTGGGCAAACATTAGCTTTTATTACACCGGATTGTTCTGTCTTTATGCTGATATACCTTCTGTTGCAGTATTTGCAGCTGAATACAAAAACTTTCATTCTGTTACTAAAACAGAGTATAAAGGAATTAAAGAGATGGAATATGAAAGAAATAAATTAATAATTGAACAATGGGCAAAATCTATTTATGGTAGATTAGCCTTAATAGAAGCTTGCAAGTTTTTAAGATTAGTATATGAAAATGAAGAAACGATTAATACCTTTTCACATATACCACAAACAGCATATCTCGCAGCATTAATTATATGGTGTTATGAAATCAAGAGAGAATCTCCTAATTTCGAAACGGTTAATAAGTTGAGAAAGGGAGATGAAATTAAATTTACTGAAATAAAATTGGATGCAAGTAAATATTTCGATTTACTTGGTAATATTCATTATAAATTGTCGAAAAATGATGCCTGTGAGTACTTTTCTACCATCTTGGATATGAAAACAGATTTGAATGATGATTATCTAGAAGAACAAAATGATAGTCAACAGTTTATTGAAGAAACTGCCTATGAACAATTTAAGGAAAGACAAATGAATACAATTGGAGTTGTATGCTATATCTTACATCTCTTAAGAAAATGTAAATGGGTGTATTCAATAGATTTGGTCCAGCAGTTGGAACATGTGATTATAACCTACGATAAAGTATAGTGTTATTAAAAATTCATTCATTTACTACTTTTGAACTATTAATTAATATCTAGTGAGACTCTTCATAATACACATCCTTCATATTTTACAATCTCTTTAACTTTTTCAGCAGAAGCGCTAGTTTGATCAAATACATAAGTTAACCACTCTTTAGCTAGTCTTCTTGCAAGTTCTGATCCGATAACCCTTTGACCCATACACAAAACTTGGCAATTGTTACTTAGGATGCTTCTTTCAACGCTGAAGGAATCATGAGCTGTTACTGCTCTAATACCTTTAACTTTGTTGGCAGAAATAGCAACACCTAAACCTGTGCCACATATTAAAATAGCTCTATCAGCTTCACCATGAGCAACTTTTTCGGCAGCCTCAATACCAATTATTGGATAAGCTGTTTTAGTAGTGTTCGACAGAACTCCAATATCGATAACTATTCCAACTTCAGGATTAGACTCGAGATCTTTTTTAATGATTTCTTTGTAATCGTAACCTGCTTGATCGGAACCTACTACAATTCTTAGTTTTGTAGCACTCATCTTCAAAATAAACGGATGATGACCGACACCTAAACACACTTTAAATTACTTAATAGGCTAATTTAGAGAACCGCAACACTATATTAACTCAACATATTTTACTTCTATTATAGTAAATTAAAATTTATCCATATAATATACTCTAGTAATCTGAGAAACTCAATTATTGAAAAATGCACGTAGGGTTATAAGCGGTACCTTCTAGTTTCCTTTGTTAGGGTGGAGGGTGGAGGGTGGAGGAGCGTGGAGAAATTGGGGTAGAGAAATGGGGAGAGTGGAGGTTTAAAAATTTTTTTTCTGTTGTTAGTTTACTGCAAAAAAAGGTGGAGGACATTAGTATTACATTTACATGAGCTCCAAATCTACTGAGGGGGTTATTACAAATACATTCAATGCTATCGTGAATTTATAATTTTTCAAAATTTGAACGTCTTATTGAATACAACCATGTCAAGTAAACACTTCCTACCATCGGACACAGGAAAACTTGTTCCAAACTGCTTGAAGGCAATTACATACGAATATGAATTCATGTCATTGTTGGAAAAGGAAAAGGTCATTTACAATAATGAATTTGATTGCTCACGAGTTGCATTGATTAGTGGGGGAGGTTCAGGGCATGAACCTGGATTTTATGGTTTGGTTGGTTCAGGTATGCTTTCAGCTGTTGCTCAAGGTGATATTTTTGCTTCTCCAAATTATAAAAATGTCAAGGCTGCAGAAAAGATATGCCATGAACTTGGTGATTCAAGAGAATGGGCTGGTTGTATCTTCGTTATTACAAATTACACCGGAGATAATCTATATTTTGGTATGGCAGCTCAGGATTTAATTGCTAGATTTGGAAGTGAAAAGATTCGACTTCTTAGAATCACGGACGATGTAGCTGTTAAAAAAGACTCAAATTCATTAGTTGGAAGACGTACTTTAGCTGGAATCGCTCTTGTGTCTAAATTAATGGGTGCCGCATCTCAAAATGGATATAATATAGATGAGATTTTTGAATTTGGTCAAAAAGTCAATGATTCAACTGCTTCTGTTAATGCTGGTTTAGATCATGTTCATATTTCTGGTCATAGTATGGACTCAGAGTTTGGTAAGTTGGGGAGGACTCAATTAGAAATCGGATTAGGTATTCACAATGAGCCTGGTGTTAAGAAGTTAGATTACATTCCAAGAAATGAGGAATTAGTTTCCACTTTATTAGATATGATCTTAAATAAAGAAGATGAGGGCCGGGGCTTCTTCAAATATGCTACCCAAGATAAGTTTGTATTATTGATTAATAACCTTGGTGGAGTCCCTATTATTGAAGAAAAAAATATTTTATACACCACTTTAGAAACGTTAAAAGTAAAATATAATATTATTCCAATTAGGGTTTACACTGGCAACTTTGTTGCATCTTTTAATGCTCAAATATTTACTATTACACTTTTTAATGTCTCCACTGCCGCTACAAAAACTTTTACAACTGATAAAATATTTGACTTCCTAGATGAACATACTAATGCAGTCTGTTGGCCAAATACAACCTTTAAAGGTAAAAGCTTTATTAAAAATGATCGAATCATCAACCACTTTGAAGGATATGACGATGACGTTCATAATACTTTGAAGGATAGCTCTCAAGATTTGAAAATGGATCCCGTACTATTAGAGAATATAGTTAGAACTGCTGCTGAAAGAGTAATTAAGAAAGAACCAGATTTAACTGAATGGGATACTAAGATGGGTGATGGTGATTGCGGATATGGATTAAAGGCTGGTGCTGAATTGGTATTAAAAAAGTTGATAGAAGATAAAATTGCAGCCTCGGGATCGATTCTTAATGTATTGCACGTTGTATTAAATATCATCAAAGATGATATGGGAGGTACTTTAGGAGCTATCATTTTTATCTTTATGAAATCTGTTATTAATAAAATTGAAGACCTTCTAAAAGAAGATCCTAGTCAAAATGTTAATCAAGTTTTTGCTACAGCTTTGCCATTTGGGCTCGAAACTTTGTATTCCTATACCAAGGCTAGAACTGGTCACAGAACCGTCATGGATGTATTAATCCCATTTGTTAACTGCTTCAATGAAACACAGGACACCAACAGAGCTATCCAGGTTGCCTACAATGCTGCTGAAGGAACTAGAAGATTGAGACCAAAACTCGGCCGTGCTACTTATGTCGGTGGTTTAGACGAGCAAACCATTTTACCGCCCGATCCTGGAGCATATGGTGTCTATGAAATTATTAGTGCATTATCTTTATAAAAGTCTTATACTTCGAAATATATACTTCAATATTAAAATATCTAGAATATTAAAATATAATATTAAAATATCTAGTGGAATGTAGGATCACATATATCATGCCTTAAAGTACACCCACAGCACTTTCCATGACTGAATAGTGATTCCTAATAAAATAAACGATTCTACAAATACTATGTGAAAACATAAAAATTTTATTAATCATAAAATACTATTTAAATATAAAATACTAAACATAAAATACTATTTAATCAAACTATCGAACATATTGTGAAAGTTACTCAAGATGCAGAACACTCGGTTTCTCGAAGTCCTCGACGTCACGAATCTTACTTTCAAAAGGTAAATCTTGAGCAATTTTGACAACATCCCAAGGAGTATAAGGGTTAGATAATTCAAAAATTTTATCCATTTCTTCTAATGACCTTCCAGAGGTTTCTGGATAGAAGAAATAAACAGCTGGAATCATTAAAAAGTTGATTACTGCGAAAATGGTATAAGTATAAGAATCAATATTTTCAAACGCAATAGGTGTAATCATGACGACCATAAAATTGAAAGACCAATTTGCTGCAGTACTCAACCCGTTTGAAGGTGCTCTAATATTCAATGGGGTAATTTCAGCTGGATATAACCACGTCATACCTAACCAACCAATTGCAAAGAAAGTATTGAAAACAAATAAAAACGTAGCTGCAACAATAGCTGCGCCTCCACTATTATTATGTTTAGGACTAGCGGCCCAGGTAGCTCCTGTCAACACTGCCATGGACATAGCTTGACCAGCAGCACCAAATAACATCAATTTCCTTCTACCTATTCTTTCAATAGTGTAAAAAGCAATCCAAGAAACTATGAAATACTCAGTTCCATTACATGCGGCTAAGATTCTTGAATTCAAAGGACTTAAACCAATATAATCTTCAAATATAGTACCAGCATAGTAAGTAATTAAATTAATTCCTGTAATTTGTTGCATGATTTGAGACCAAACGGCCAAACAAGTTCTGTGGAAATTTTTGGTCTCACCTTGAACAAATAAAAGTAGTAACTTAGACTTTTTTTCACCATCGTGTCTTTCTTTTTCTAATGATTCTTTAATTTCATTAATCTCATGAACAATTGTTGGATCATTAATTGGCAAATCGTTAAGAGCCGAGAAGGCTTTAGAGGCCTCTTTAAAATTGCCTGCTTTCAACAACCATCTAGGAGATTCTGGAAGATACATAATGAAAGGTAATATGCATAATGGAAAAATTATTTGGAATGCTATCGGAAATCTCCAAGATACAGAGCTCGTACCAACAAAATACAATCCAAAATCAATCCAATAAGAAATACATATACCTCCAGTGATTAATGCACCTTGAACCATAACTAATTTACCTCTCTTATCTGCTTTGGCGCATTCGGATTGCCACATTGGAACAGTAGAGGTATTCATCCCATTACCAATACCGGTAATAATTCTACCGGCAATTAACTGACCAACAGAATACGAGGAGCATTGAACTGCGGCACCAACAATCATTATACAACATCCAACGAAAATTGTTTTTCTTCTTCCAAGTTTGTCACCACAGTACATTGTGGCAAGAGCTCCAATTAAACAACCAATTTCATAAACAGCAATTACAAAACCTTGAAAAGTAGCTCGATTTGGGTATTTTGTAGTGTTAATAGCATTAAATGTATTTCTGAATTCTGGCAACGTCAACAAAGAACCCATTACACCCTGATCATAACCAAAGAGTAGGAATCCCATACCAGCAAGAAATGAAATCATGTGATGTAATTTCTGACCCTTAAACCCTAAATATTTATAGACAGTACTGTCTTCATTGTCGACAACATTGTTTTCAACGTACTTCACGTTCTCTGAGCCGTTAAGCTTCCTAGATGATTTTGAATTTTCAGATGAAATACTAGACATATTTCTGTTGCTATTATCCTTTTAAGTGAACTTATGTGACTTAAAAGTATTGGCTGCCAAATTTGAATGCATAATCTAAGAAAAGCGAGAAAATAACTCAATTATAAATAATGAGAATTTAATCAATATTTTTTTTTTCAATTACATCTTGCTGATGAAAATACCCCACATCTTCTACAAGCACCGATCTTTCAAATACGGTATAATATGAACTTTTATTAAGCTTTGTTTTGATCCTTTCTCCAATATGATCATAATGAAAGGCTTTAGATGTTCCTATTCATATTTACTTGGACTTGAACAAAGAGTGTGGGGTAAAAGTCAACAGAAAAAATGAACAATGCCTTACTCCAATGACTCCACCTGCAGCTGCACCTCCACCTACTCCACCTCCACCTCCACCTCCACCATTCAAATTCAATCGGCTGAAATATATTCCAGTGTATTTACATGGGGAATTTCGGAAAAATATTGCTTCTCCACCGAAATGATTCAATTTCTCCACCAATAATTTGAGTTCTCTATAAACTTTGTGGTCTTAGGGTCCGAAAATGGAGTAAGTCTGAGAAGCTGTTCAAAAGTTACGATAAAATTATTTGATAATCTCAATTCTATTTGGAGTAGTTATATACCTTTTAATTTAAAGGTCAATTTTTTAAAACAAAAATATTCAGAAACACTGATAATCTTTTCAAAGCACGCTAACTATGACACTTCCAGATAGAAGAGAAGGAGACCTTCCGATTGTTTCGTATCTCTCAGACGAATACACTGATGAACTTCCAAGAGAATCACCACCCAAGAGGCATATAATGAATTTGCTATCATTAACAGGTAAAGTGGCTGTCGTTACTGGTGCAGCAAGAGGTATTGGCTTTGCTGTTTCTGAAACATTCGCTGAAGCAGGAGCTACTGTCATTCTTGTCGATTGTGCTGATTGCTCAAAGCAAGTTTTAAAGCTAGAAGCCAACCACAATATTACAGCCAAGTCATTCCACTGTGATGTATCTGATTTAAAAGAAGTCGAACAAACTGTCTCGGCCATAGAAAAGGAATTTGGTACTATTGATATTTTTGTTGCTAATGCTGGTATCGTATGGAAGACTGGAAATATTATTAATGAAGTCAACAGAGATGGACAAACTTGGCAAACTCTTATGGACGTGAATTTGAATGGTGTTTATTATTGTGCTCAAGCTGTTGGTAGAATCTTCAAGAAGAAAGGTAAGGGGTCTTTCATTGTAACTTCCTCTATGTCTGCACATATTGCGAATATTCCAATGAACTTGACTCCGTATAACGTCAGTAAAGCAGCTGTCAAGCATCTTGCCAAATCTTTAGCTATCGAATGGGCGGGTTTTGCTAGAGCAAATTCTGTTTCTCCAGGCTATTGTGATACTGGTCTTAACGATCATTTACCTAGGCAATCTCGTGGAAAGATGTGGTCTCTTATTCCTGTGGGGAGAGAGGCTTTACCATATGAGATTGCTAGTGCTTATTTATATTTGGCTTCTGATGCAGCTTCGTATGTTACTGGTACCGATATAGTAGTAGACGGTGGTTATACTTCTGTTTAGTTTAATACTCTCAATACTACCCTCTGTAAATTAGATGTTAAACTTTATATGGCAAAAGAACTAACTTGATTTTCGCCCAGATTAAATTAAAAATATCTCCTTTATTTAATCAGTAAGTACTCCGCAAATACCTGGCACAAAATTAAACTTTTCCTCCACCATAAAAAGATCCTGGTGGAGGAATCTGGGGGTACCGTAGACCACAAAAGAAAACATTCAAGTATACTTATTTTATAATCAATTTTCGGCAAGTTACCGGAAGAATTTAAATATTAATTGAAAAAACTATTACTTAAATAAGCATGGCCTTGTCTATGATTTAGAGATGTAGAATTAATCTGCTATATCCTACAAAAAGAGGACAATTTTCAAAAGATGAATACAAACGAATCTTTGGTTTTAAACAAAATTGATGATATATCCTTTCAATATCTTGAAACTCCTAAGATAAGTAATCCAAATGATGTGATAGTTCAAGTCAAAAAGACTGGTATTTGTGGTTCTGATATACATTTTTATGCTCATGGAGGTTTTGGTTATTTTAGATTAAAGAAACCTATGGTTTTGGGTCATGAATCATCCGGTGTGGTAGTTGAAGTTGGTAATGAAGTGAAAACATTAAAAGTAGGGGATAAAGTAGCTATTGAACCTGGTGTTCCATCAAGATTTAGCGATGCTTACAAGAGTGGTCATTATAATTTATGTCCTCATATGGTATTTGCTGCTACCCCAAATTTAGATCCTAATGGTCCTAGTGCTCCAGGAACATTATGTAAATATTTTAAAAGTCCAGAAGACTTCTTAGTCAAATTACCAGATCATTTATCTCTTGAGCTTGGTGCATTGGTAGAACCACTTTCAGTTGGTGTTCATGCATGCAAGATTGGATCTGTAAAGTTTGGAGATGTTGTTGTCGTATTTGGAGCTGGTCCAGTTGGATTATTGGCTGCAAGTACAGCAAAACAGTTTGGAGCTTCAAAAGTTATGGTCGTTGATGTTGTTGATACTAAACTTGAGATGGCAATAAATTTAAACATGGCAACCCATAGATTTAACTCCAAAAATGGTACAATTGATGATTTGATCAACGAATTAGGTCAAAGACCAAATGTTGTTTTAGAATGTTCAGGTGCAGAGATTTGTATTCAAACTGGAGTTCACGTATTGGTACCAGGTGGAAGATTTGTACAAGTAGGCAATACTGCTGGACCTGCAAGCTTTCCAATTACAGAATTTGCCACCAAGGAGTTGACATTATTTGGATCATTTAGATATGGATTTGATGATTATAAAACAGGAGTTGCCCTTTTGGCATCTAATTATAAAGATGGAAAGGATAAAGCTAGTGTTGACTACTTAGGATTGATTACTCATAGATTTAAATTTAAAGATGCGATTGAAGCCTATGATTTAGTTAGAGCCGGTAAAAGTGTTAAATGTATCATTGATGGTCCAGAGTAAGGAGAGGAAGATGTTGTGCCGTATATAGAGCAATAAACATATCTTTGTCTTTTATTCGTTAATATATTTGCTTACTATTGTTGTTTCTGTCATTTTGGATCATGTTATTGGGAACGTAGATAAACTAAACTAGTTCAATTCCTTTCCCGTTTGCGCCAATTCAGAGAAAATATGATTTGAACTGAGATATTAAGCTGAAACATAATTAAACTTTATCAGCGAAAATTGTACCATTATCAGCAACAACCAATTTACCAAAATTTAAATATTTATCTAAGTAATATGGCGCTAATCGATCAAGCTTGTACTTTACTTCTGTCACCATTCAATACTATAATTATCTATATACTATTGGCTTTCTTATCCAACTATAAGTATTTATTTCTCACATCCTTAATACTTCTGATCTCCTGACCAAAGATCGACTTATTCTATTAATCCTGAACAAGATTTGAAAGAATTCTTCCTTTTGGCAGGACTTTATCTGCGTTGGAAATCATTTTCCTTCAAATACCAAACTTTTTTTACTCCTAATAAATTGAGTTTTATTCTTCTAGACTAAGAGAAATATATTTGCGTATACAGAAACTAAATGGTAAGTAAAACTTTATATATTTGAATATAGCAAAAGGGATCCTTGAATTTTCAATTTTCAATAACTCTCAAAATCCACTATGAAATGTTCTACTCAAAGAGATTAAAATATACATGTTTATATTATAGAAATATACTATGCTTCAAGCATTGAAACTAAAAAAATTAAAGTATGAAAAAACTAAAATAGAAAATTTAATATCAATGTAACAGTAGTAAGAGTAATATACTTAAAACCCTTTTCAAATTGTATTGACAAATTGGTACAAAAGTAATAAAGAAAAATTGCAATAGTTAAGCATTGGTTAACCGATTCAGCTTCCCGATAAGGCAAATTGCACAAATTGGAAATAAAGTAGCAAATACAAACTAGTGGTTGTTTGTTGTTTTGAAAATCACAGTCCAGAGTTTCCGAAATAACAAGCTTCATACATCACACAAATACGATAGTTAAAGCAATACTAATAAGACCTGTAATCAATATGCAATTTGTGGATAATAATTGTTCTCCATTATTTTCATAACCAGCTACACCAGCTGTGACAACTGGCAAATCTAAGCTATGAGAATATGAGGTGCCAGCACCTGTAGTGATATCCACTAAATATGAATCTTTACTCATATCAGGCTTGTTATTGAACTCAGTAGTCCTAGTTGACACAGATATGAATGAGGGTGTCGCATTAATTTCTCCATCCGAAGAGAAAACTGCAGCAAAGATAGTATCCTCGGGTTTCACTCCACCGGTAGGGACAGTACTCAATGTAGTATCTTGAAGATTCACACTGCTTGGGGCTACAGCTGTAAATCCGGTGTCTTGCCTATTCTCTTCACCTGTTGGGACAACAACCAATGTGTTACCGTGAGAACTCTCTTCGCTGTCATCAGTATCTAGTACCACTTCACTGTCAGAACAAACTGTGGTTGTTCCGGTCACCATACCTGATGTTGTAACTGTATTTCCTTCAACACTTGTAGTAGTTGGGACAATACCAGTATTTGTGGTTAATCCACCATTGGAATCAGTTGAAGTAAATACAGCAGCCAGTCCGATCAAAGATCCACCTGTGGTTACTGAACTATTTTGATAGTTTGGAATGCGTGACAACGTTGAAGTGCTTATAAACGATGATGAGACTCTAACATCAATAGTTGAAGTTGGCAACAAGTTATCGCTATTCGATACATTTTCTAAGCATATATTTGAAGTATTATATTCTGCCTTAATTCCATATCCAATGGAACTGCTGATTATATTAAAGAAAACTCTATAACCAGCTGGAATATTGCTGTAATCAATCACTACTTCATTGACAGAACATTTGCTTACATTAATTTCACTCCAATCTTCAAAAGTCATTGGTAAATACCAATCATTTAGAGTATTGGTGATTGCCATTTCTATTGAGTCACAATCAAAATCTCCAACGTCGATCTGAAGATTTAATGTACCTGAACCATAGCCTACATCGCATGTTGAACCTAGCAAGTAGAAATCAGATCCTAATATTCCCAATGATCTGACGGCATTTACAATTAATTCTGGATCTTCTGGTGATGCAGATCCACCTTCAAATAAAACTTCCGTCAGTAATATCGTATTGCCACTAGTGAAAGTGACAATTTGAGACCCAGCGTGTAATGTGTTAGCAGCGGCAATGTCCACTGCAGACTTCCTTCCCCCTGCATTAAATATAATACCAATATTAATCGTATCAATTATGTCAAAAGAAGAATCATCCAATAAGATACACGACAATGTTGAATTATAGTTTGATAACTCACCCGATAACTGTAAACACTCTGCATAAACAATCCCCGCACTGGTCAAAAGGCTCACATCAACAGCAGTGTCACGCTTCTTCAATGCAGCTGCATCATTGTAGAATCCAAACACACTTGGAAGAACCAACTCTAACGTATCTCCCTTCATCAGACCAGCAGGAATAACCCAATCAATACTCAAATTCCAAAATGGTGACATTGGTTGAACTAATTTATAACCTTCACCATCCGTAAAATTAAGCGACCTCACTGCCGTAAATTGAGGCACATCAGGCAAATTCGTAAACATAGCTCCGTCATCAATCGAAGAAATAGACAAATCAGATGCAGAAACATGGGAAGCAACACTACTATACAAATCTTGCAAAACATCAGTACTAAAAATGAGTTCTCCAACACCAGTACTAATTGATCCATCGGAATTGGTACTAGTCCAAGTGGTAGTATAATCATCAGTAGGACCAAATGTAGAAGTTGCGGTATGAACATTACCTTCGGAATCAGTGGAAAGAATTACAAATCCTGTACCAGTACTAACTGATCCATCGGAATTGGTACTAGTCCAAGTGGTGGTATAATCATCAGTAGGACCAAATGTAGAAGTTACGGTATGAACATTACCTTCGGAATCAGTACTAAAAATCACTTCTCCAACACCAGTACTAATTGATCCATCGGAATTGGTACTAGTCCAAGTGGTGGTATAATCATCAGTAGGACCAAATGTAGAAGTTGCGGTATGAACATTACCTTCGGAATCAGTGGAAAGAATTACAAATCCTGTACCAATACTAACTGATCCATCGGAATTGGTACTAGTCCAAGTGGTGGTATAATCATCAGTAGGACCAAATGTAGAAGTTGTGGTATGAACATTACCTTCGGAATCAGTACTAAAAATCACTTCTCCAACACCAGTACTAATTGATCCATCGGAATTGGTACTAGTCCAAGTGGTGGTATAATCATCAGTAGGACCAAATGTAGAAGTTGTGGTATGAACATTACCTTCGGAATCAGTACTAAAAATCACTTCTCCAACACCAGTACTAATTGATCCATCGGAATTGGTACTAGTCCAAGTGGTGGTATAATCATCAGTAGGACCAAATGTAGAAGTTGTGGTATGAACATTACCTTCGGAATCAGTACTAAAAATCACTTCTCCAACACCAGTACTAACTGATCCATCGGAATTGGTACTAGTCCAAGTGGTAGTATAATCATCAGTAGGACCAAATGTAGAAGTTGCGGTATGAACATTACCTTCGGAATCAGTGGAAAGAATTACAAATCCTGTACCAATACTAACTGATCCATCGGAATTGGTACTAGTCCAAGTGGTGGTATAATCATCAGTAGGACCAAATGTAGAAGTTGTGGTATGAACATTACCTTCGGAATCAGTACTAAAAATCACTTCTCCAACACCAGTACTAACTGATCCATCGGAATTGGTACTAGTCCAAGTGGTAGTATAATCATCAGTAGGACCAAATGTAGAAGTTGCGGTATGAACATTACCTTCGGAATCAGTGGAAAGAATTACAAATCCTGTACCAATACTAACTGATCCATCGGAATTGGTACTAGTCCAAGTGGTGGTATAATCATCAGTAGGACCAAATGTAGAAGTTGCGGTATGAACATTACCTTCGGAATCAGTGGAAAGAATTACAAATCCTGTACCAGTACTAACTGATCCATCGGAATTGGTACTAGTCCAAGTGGTAGTATAATCATCAGTAGGACCAAATGTAGAAGTTGTGGTATGAACATTACCTTCGGAATCAGTACTAAAAATCACTTCTCCAACACCAGTACTAATTGATCCATCGGAATTGGTACTAGTCCAAGTGGTGGTATAATCATCAGTAGGACCAAATGTAGAAGTTGTGGTATGAACATTACCTTCGGAATCAGTACTAAAAATCACTTCTCCAACACCAGTACTAATTGATCCATCGGAATTGGTACTAGTCCAAGTGGTGGTATAATCATCAGTAGGACCAAATGTAGAAGTTGCGGTATGAACATTACCTTCGGAATCAGTGGAAAGAATTACAAATCCTGTACCAGTACTAATTGATCCATCGGAATTGGTACTAGTCCAAGTGGTGGTATAATCATCAGTAGGACCAAATGTAGAAGTTGTGGTATGAACATTACCTTCGGAATCAGTACTAAAAATCACTTCTCCAACACCAGTACTAATTGATCCATCGGAATTGGTACTAGTCCAAGTGGTGGTATAATCATCAGTAGGACCAAATGTAGAAGTTGCGGTATGAACATTACCTTCGGAATCAGTGGAAAGAATTACAAATCCTGTACCAGTACTAATTGATCCATCGGAATTGATACTAGTCCAAGTGGTAGTATAATCATCAGTAGGACCAAATGTAGAAGTTGTGGTATGAACATTACCTTCGGAATCAGTACTAAAAATCACTTCTCCAACACCAGTACTAATTGATCCATCGGAATTGGTACTAGTCCAAGTGGTGGTATAATCATCAGTAGGACCAAATGTAGAAGTTGTGGTATGAACATTACCTTCGGAATCAGTACTAAAAATCACTTCTCCAACACCAGTACTAATTGATCCATCGGAATTGGTACTAGTCCAAGTGGTGGTATAATCATCAGTAGGACCAAATGTAGAAGTTGCGGTATGAACATTACCTTCGGAATCAGTGGAAAGAATTACAAATCCTGTACCAGTACTAATTGATCCATCGGAATTGATACTAGTCCAAGTGGTAGTATAATCATCAGTAGGACCAAATGTAGAAGTTGCGGTATGAACATTACCTTCGGAATCAGTGGAAAGAATTACAAATCCTGTACCAATACTAACTGATCCATCGGAATTGGTACTAGTCCAAGTGGTGGTATAATCATCAGTAGGACCAAATGTAGAAGTTGCGGTATGAACATTACCTTCGGAATCAGTGGAAAGAATTACAAATCCTGTACCAGTACTAACTGATCCATCGGAATTGGTACTAGTCCAAGTGGTAGTATAATCATCAGTAGGACCAAATGTAGAAGTTGCGGTATGAACATTACCTTCGGAATCAGTGGAAAGAATTACAAATCCTGTACCAGTACTAATTGATCCATCGGAATTGGTACTAGTCCAAGTGGTGGTATAATCATCAGTAGGACCAAATGTAGAAGTTGCGGTATGAACATTACCTTCGGAATCAGTACTAAAAATCACTTCTCCAACACCAGTACTAATTGATCCATCGGAATTGGTACTAGTCCAAGTGGTGGTATAATCATCAGTAGGACCAAATGTAGAAGTTGCGGTATGAACATTACCTTCGGAATCAGTACTAAAAATCACTTCTCCAACACCAGTACTAATTGATCCATCGGAATTGGTACTAGTCCAAGTGGTGGTATAATCATCAGTAGGACCAAATGTAGAAGTTGTGGTATGAACATTACCTTCGGAATCAGTACTAAAAATCACTTCTCCAACACCAGTACTAACTGATCCATCGGAATTGGTACTAGTCCAAGTGGTAGTATAATCATCAGTAGGACCAAATGTAGAAGTTGCGGTATGAACATTACCTTCGGAATCAGTGGAAAGAATTACAAATCCTGTACCAATACTAACTGATCCATCGGAATTGGTACTAGTCCAAGTGGTGGTATAATCATCAGTAGGACCAAATGTAGAAGTTGTGGTATGAACATTACCTTCGGAATCAGTACTAAAAATCACTTCTCCAACACCAGTACTAATTGATCCATCGGAATTGGTACTAGTCCAAGTGGTGGTATAATCATCAGTAGGACCAAATGTAGAAGTTGCGGTATGAACATTACCTTCGGAATCAGTGGAAAGAATTACAAATCCTGTACCAGTACTAATTGATCCATCGGAATTGGTACTAGTCCAAGTGGTAGTATAATCATCAGTAGGACCAAATGTAGAAGTTGCGGTATGAACATTACCTTCGGAATCAGTGGAAAGAATTACAAATCCTGTACCAGTACTAATTGATCCATCGGAATTGGTACTAGTCCAAGTGGTGGTATAATCATCAGTAGGACCAAATGTAGAAGTTGTGGTATGAACATTACCTTCGGAATCAGTACTAAAAATCACTTCTCCAACACCAGTACTAATTGATCCATCGGAATTGGTACTAGTCCAAGTGGTAGTATAATCATCAGTAGGACCAATGGGGAGAGTTGTGGTAAAGGGATTGCCGTCTGGATCAGTAGTGATGATGACTTCTATTGTACTAGTGGTCACTGATCCATCCGAATTGGTCGTAGTCCAGGTGGTGATGTAGTCAGTGAGGTCGTAGTCATCATTGGCTGAAGTTGACAGTGGAGCTTCAGTATTGTAAGATGCGTTAGAGTCCCAAGGAATTGTAGTATAAGTAGATTGCGCATCAGCTTGAGGTACTTCATTGACACATGGTTGACATACTTCAGGTGCCGAATTATTTGGAACTGGTCCTGAGTAAACGAAAATTGCTCTGTTGGTGTTGGCTTCATATGATGTCAGTCCGTAAGACCAGCTGATTAAACTTGAATCATATCCAGTACCAACTATAAATTGATAGGTATCACCGGCATTAATATACAAAGTATCACCAGTATAAACCCATGTGGGATTATTATTGTTAATAGCTATAATATTTCCCAGACCCCAACCATAAACGATGAAAGGTTGGGTAGCTATACGAATACCATTGATGTCGAGAATGGATGAATCTGTGCTGAGAAAAATAGTTTGAGCCGCACCGTTTAAACCCCAACTATCGGGACACAACAACGAAAAGGTACTTTGTTGACCAACATTGATACACCCGGTACCTTCGTAACCTGAAGCTTGAAACAAAGAATTATGATTATATAAACAAACTGTACCATTATTAGTTATTGCTGATCCATCACATTTATCAGATCCTTAGTACGTACTAGGACTTGGCCACCAAGTGGCTGGATTCCACCAAACATCATATTGAATAGTCTGTTGATGAAAAGTAATAGTTCCAGTGTTAATAAAATTGCTAGCTAAACCATTCAATGGATGAATGTAGTATGAACCCTTGGAACAACTTTGTCCTCCTGTAAAAAAGATATCTCCATAATTATAGAACAGACCTCCATCCCACCAAGACTGAGGAGAATTGCAGGTGGTTTGATTATCAGCAAATACAATAGATCCGTAATTGGTAATTGAATTTCCATTATATCCTTGATTTATATCTAAAGTCATTGCTCCTGACACTCCGTTCAAATAAGTTGGATATGCACCGATATTCCTAATAAAGAAAGCTCCGTAATTTAAAAGGTTTCCTCTCATATTGAAATTATAATTATTAAATATCAAGGTGGCATTTTGATTGATAGTTAAGTCAGCATTGAAATTAGAATTAACTCCCCCATCTAAACTTGTAATATATAATGCAGTATTTACATCTATAACCATGGGAAAATTCCAACATGTGACTAATTTTGTCATAGATAGCAAATAGAATAGCCATAGTGGCAGTGATAGTTTGAGATTCATTCCGTCGAATTCTTTTTATTATAGATAGAAAATGAATATAAAATGTTATGAATATAAAATTAAAATATAAGGACTTATTTATGTTCAATGAAGTAGTATTTAATATAAATAATGTTTCCATAATTCGACAAAAGATACATATCAAGTTAAGCAAGAGTTTTGAAAGATAAACAAGTAATCGTTCTAGTTTGTAAATACAATGTGATTGAACAAAAGAAAAGAGCAAATGGATTCATGTTTTGGAGATGATGCGTAATTTCGTACATGATAATCACATGTATTTATCAATATAAGACCTTGCATGAGTGTCAAAGACTGTATTTATGGGGAATTTTCCTATTAGTTGACATGCAATCACTTCGTAAAAAAAAGTAACGTTAGACTGAATAGGGAATTATGGATTGTAATGTATTATAGTGGTATTGACTCTTTGATAAATACCATATATCATTTGGAGTCAAATGAAAAATGTGAAAATAAGTCCTATAATTAATAACTTCCCTTACACAAATCCGAGAAAAATTTAATGGTTATTTAAGATGACGTGGGAAACCTCTTTGTTCTCAGTTATGAAAGGATATTTCTATGCATTTTGTAAATCATTACCAAAGGGCTACAGTTTTATAGTTAGATAGGTTTGCCACGATGAATTTCAAATTTGTTATACAACTGAAAGACAGCATTTTGACTATAATATTTTAATCAAGAGTTGGAATTTCTTAGTATTCTAGATAAATCCATAAAAATCTAAATTAAAGAAACTTATATTGAGTACATGTGTATGGAAGCTGGAATAAGAGCAGGATGTAGTTTTGCTCTATTTGATAAAGTATCTTTGTATTTGTTTTTATGGCTTAACGTTTTTGAAGTAACAATACCAAGATAACTTTGAGGTTCCGTTTCCCTTAACACAGGTTCCCCATAGGAGAATTTTAAATGATAGAAATTTACTATTACCTTTTCATAGTTTGGCTTATTTCAAGTTCCACTTTGGAAAATGATGATATAACTATTGTTTTAAAAAGTTAAATTCAACATAGTTTGTATACTTATTCATTTGAAAAAACAATTACTGCAAAAATGGAAACTGATTCTTCTATTACTTGTGATCTACTTTTTTTTTTCTCTTGCTCAGCTAAACTGCGAAAAAAAGAAAAGAGTTTTTTCATGTCAGCAATAATATGTGCGTCGGAGTAGTAATATTTTTAATGCAGAATTTATCGAACCATGGAATGACCAGTTCTTCAATACATATAATAGACGCTTTAGGGGGCTCAGGATTGTTCTTGATTCTCTCCGACACTAATATCGCATTGATATGGGGATCGCCATCTTAAATTAAATATCATACTACATGATTATCACATTAAATGCTGAAGTCATCACAGTATACATCAGATCAAGTTATTTCCATAAAAGTGAATATCTAGTCTCGATTCGTTCTACCGTTAAATTCACACTTAGAATATTTAAAACTTACTGGTCAGATAGTATTGATATACTTTATTAATGGTTCCAAAAAATAGTATGAAACATATTTTGAGCTACGAATTTTGTAAAAGTAATAAGTGGGTGCATCGAGCAATAGGCGATCTTCACATTTTTAGGCTAAAAATTACTGCATATAAATAAACTTTTTGATTAGACAATCTATAATGTACATTGTACTCTCACAGCCTTTGTTTCCCAATCGATAGATAGTAAATCCTTTTTACTCATCAATATGACGTTACCATGCTCTCATTTAACAAAGGATGAAAAGAGAGTATCACTCCGGTAATAGTAACTTTCATTTGAAATGGGCCCTATCAGATATTCAAATTTCTCGATGATAACGAGATTTAGAAATTGAGCAATATTTTTTAAAACGTCATCCGATTTTGAAAGTGCGGCCCTTGAAGCCTTCCTTCATTTTTTGAAATGCTGCAAAATTATGAAATTTTTCCACGAATTGTGGTACAAACGACCCATATTTTAACTGAGAGAAGTTCTTAAAGGATAATAATATCAGTTCAATAGATCTTTTCTAAGATGAAAAAGAGATGCTACAAGATAAATACCTCTTTTGAATTATAAAATTAAACAAGCAATTAAAAAGACTAACATAAACATGAATGCCAATAAGTAAATAAACCGAAGCAACACTTGTCAAAAAGTTAAGAAGACTTGAAATTAGAAAAGTGCATTTACACTTAAGACTAATGTCTCAAACATTTTCAGTGTAATCTCTGGTTGAGTCACCTTTGTTGGACTTTCTTTCACTGTGATTAAAACTTAATTTGTCACTTGGTGCTGACATAAACTTTAAAGTAGATTCGGCATCATCTCCAAATACTTTGGCTACTTCTTCTAAAGTATAACCAGAAGTTTCCACGAATGTGAAATAAACAACAGTAAATTCAACAGCAAGGATGCAACAATAAACAATATAGTATTTCCATTCAATAGCATCCATTGCAATGGCATTAACAAACCCATTATAAACAACGATCCATGTTTGAACCAAGTTATGAATATTAATACCCTTAGCTCTGTGACTATATGGTAAGATTTCAGTCATATACAACCAAGGTAAACCATTAGCTCCAACATCATAAGCAGCATAATAAAGGAAAATCATGGCTAAAACCCCATTACCTAAGGACTTTTGTTCAAAATTTCTTTGTTGATTGATAGCTGAAAGAATTGTCCAAATAACATAAAGAATAAGCATCATTCCTGTGGAGAATAAGAATAAAGTTCTTCTTTTAAATCTGTCAACGAAAGTTGCAACTGTACCAGCTACAACCAAATTATAAATCATTAAACACCCATTGATTTCTAATTGTTCTTTTTGCCCGGTAATACCAATTGAATTTAAAACTTTACTTAAATAATACGAAACTAATCCATTACCAGAAAGTTGCATAATGATGGAAACAAACACAACAAGGAATAATCTCTTTCTAAAGGATGCAATAGTAAAAAAGTCAGCATATTTGGTATTAGCATAAAGCTTTTCAAGTTCTAAAGCAGATTCAATTTCTTTCATTTCAAATTCAACTAATCTAAATGCTCTTTCATCTTGAGAACTTCCGGTATGAAATTTATGTAATATTTCTCTTGCTTTCTCGTTCTTACCTTTTGAAATTAAATATCTTGGCGATTCTGGAACCATCCAAAAACATACAACTTGAAAAAATGGTAAAGCACCTTGTAAATATGATGGGACTCTCCAACAGTATGAGCTACTTAAGATTCTTGTACCAAATGTGACCCAAGCAGCAATGATAGCACCAAGATACCAGAATACATTATACAAAGCAGTAGCAGTTGGTCTATGGGTTGGATAACTAATTTCAGAAATCAATGAAGGGCTTGAAACGATTGCAATACCAGAACCAAAACCAATAACCATTCTTGAGATTAAAAAGAAAGCATAATTAGTTGAAACACCTTGTAAGATAGCTCCAAGAATAGTAATTGAACTTCCTAACATAATAGCATATTTTCTACCAATTTTATCAGCAATAAACGAAGCAACAACAAATGATAACATAACACCAAATGTATTACCATTATTTAAAGCTCCTAACACTGGACCAGCAGGGTGAGACATATCACTTTTCCATTTAGAAAGAGATTGTAAACCATTAAGCATACTACTATCATAACCATTATTTGTGGAAGTTAAAGTGGTTAAGAAAATACAAAAGTTTAAATACCTAAAGTGTTTGTGTTTCCACCATGAACCTTCCAAATAAAGATATGGTTTGATGTCATCTTTGTTAAGTATATTAGCTTGTAGTTCTAATTCTTCAGACACTGAACCAGCAGATTCTTGGTTAATTGAAAAAACAGCGTTATCTTTAATTGAGGATGTCATTGTTTGTTTGTTTGTTTGTTTGATATCTTAATTGATATTTATTTTGAAATTTAATACCTTAGGACCTTAACAAGGCGGTTGATCAACTTGTTTATATACTAATAAAATATTAAATGATATAGATTAATATTTTGCGGTAATATATCTTAAGTTAGAGGAGTCTTAGTAAGGATATGAGTATTTGAAACCCAATATTTTTAGAAATCCCCCCTCATTTTGAATGATTACATTTGGGGTATACATGAAAGAACAACAAGAATATAATAAAAATATTATAAAATATTATAATTACATGATTATTTTGCAATTTAGTAATTATTTTTTTATTAAATTTATAGTTAACTCAGATTTTACCCCACTACGACCATTTTATTTTAGTTTTCAGGTACGTGCGGCCTATCATATCATAATAATTTCGGTAAAAGTGATTTATTTATGGCTTAGGATTTTTGGTGATTAAATTTTTGATCTGATAAACGGCTTATACTTGTTTGCTTCGGTGGCTTATTCTCTCTATATGACTTTTAAATGTATATTCAACAACTTTATTCTAATAGTAACTACCAATGTAACTTTATTTAATCATTGAATTACTGTTGAGCCACATTCAAAAACTCTCGGAAATAACGTATCTTTATTGATCCTAGTAATCAATTTAGCATTAGAAATTATCTATAAAAGAATCTATTTCTTGGCAATACTAATTGGAAATCACAAAATTCTTGTATCTTCCCACCACATTCTTTATCAAATCTACTTGTTGATGATTCACTAATGGTGATGTCTCTCAGTTTTTATTTGTTTTGTTTTTTCTTGGAACAAACTTTCGATCCCCCAAAATCCTCACACGCTTAAATTTTTTCTCCATTCAGATTGGGGGCCCTCCCCTCCTTTATCGTAAACCTTAAATCAAAATATGCGTATAAACACTTTCCTAATTACACTGCCTAACGGAAATGAGTCGTGAGTTAATATCAAGCTTGGTTTATGTAATTAACCATATTCCCAACAATATGATACACAATATGCACCCAGGTTTCTTCAAATATTACGACCTAATAAATAATGTATCTAAAAGGGATTTTACACAAGAAATTTGTCAATAGAAACAAAAAACATTAAAATTAAACCAATATTGATGAACAGTGTGTTAAATATCGATCAAATTGTAAAAAAAATCACTCAAATTTAAATTGTTCTACTTTTTGCAAATCTGAAACTATTAAAAATAGAATGATTTTATTTTGCATTATTAAACCAAATGATGATGATATTCTCCAGGGGTTTCTTTTTTAATCTGATCAAATCAAATTTGCAACAGCTAAAAAGTCAAAGAGATTTCTACATGCAGGAGATTGAATTTGATAGAAAAACACGAGGAGTCTGAAAAAAAAACAAAAGAAAAGTTGTGGGGTAGGACAAGAAAAAATTGCGAGAAACTAAATAAATGTATGGGAATGATTTCCCCATTAGTGTAGATAATATGAGGGAATTCTTATTTGGGAAGTGATGCCTGGATTTATTTCAGAAAAAGGTATACCCACCCATAACTAATTAGATTTCAATTGAATGTTATAGCAAGGTATGATGGTTAGTAATAGCTTGAACAAACATTGCAATGAACACCAACTAAATTTATGGACCCATAACACCCTCCCCCATCCTCCACCTCCACATAATCGATCCTCCAATTCTTTTAATTAGAGGAGTAATTTATATATATTTGGAGATTTACAAAGAATTAAAGGTATAACTTTTTCTATCATTTAGTTACTTACTTCTTTTTATCCAAATTAAAAATAAATTAATCTTGTTATTATTATTTGTTGGTAATTGTTTTTCTATGTTAATATTCAGTAAAGATCAAATGAGTCCTGCAATTAAACAATTAGATATTGAAAGTTTGATTGAGGAACTTACCGTCGAAGAAAAGCTTTCTTTATTGGCTGGTAAAGATTTTTGGCATACAGTCCCCATTGATAGACTTGATATTCCAAGTATTAGAGTTTCTGATGGCCCAAATGGTATTAGAGGTACAAAATTCTTTAATAGTGTTCCTTCCAATTGTTTCCCTTGTGGAACTGGTTTGGCTGCAACCTTCAATAAAGATTTATTAGTTGAAGCTGGTGAATTAATGGCCAAAGAAGCTAGAATGAAAGGTGCTCATGTTATTCTTGGTCCAACTTGTAACATTGTTAGATCTCCTTTGGGTGGTAGAGCTTTTGAAAGTTATTCTGAAGATCCTTTATTATCAGGACATGCTGCAGGACATATTATTAAAGGTATTCAAAATCAAAAGATTGTTGCTTGTATTAAACATTTTGTTTGTAATGATCAAGAAGATGAAAGAAAAGCTGTTAATACCGTTATAACTGAAAGAGCTTTAAGGGAAATTTATTTAAAACCATTTCATATTGCTATTCGTGATTCATATCCAAAAGCTTTAATGACAGCATATAATAAAATTAATGGAGTTCACGTTTCTCAATCAAAGAGATTATTACAAGAAGTTTTACGAGATGAATGGAAATGGGATGGTACAATTATGTCAGATTGGCATGGAGTTTACTCGGCCAAAGAATCGTTAGATGCAGGTTTGAATTTGGAAATGCCAGGTCCAACTAGATTTAGACAACAAACTCCAACTCTTCATTCAATTCAAACTAATGAAATTCATCGTGATGTCATAGATGATAATGCTCGTTATATTTTGAAATTAATAAATGAAGGTTTAAAAGCTGGAATTCCAAAGGAAGTGGTAGAATCTCCAAATCCTACCAAGGAAGCTTCTGCTTTATTAAGAAAAGCTGGTGACGAATCAATTGTTCTTTTAAAAAATGAAAATAATATTTTACCATTATCTAAAAAGGCAATCCCAGGTCAAGAAAAGATTGCCATCATTGGTCCAAATGCTAAAGCTGCTCAAGATTCAGGTGGTGGTTCAGCTTCCTTGAATGCTGCTTATAAAATTACTCCTTTTGAAGGTATTGAAACTAAGCTTAGAGAAGGTGGAAATACCGTATCTTTGGATTATTCTTTAGGAGCATTTTTAGATAGAAATTTACCTGATATTGGTCATAGTTTAATCAATGAAAGAGGTGACAAAGGTTTATATGCCAGATTCTATAAAGAACCACCTGAAGATAAAGAACGTAAAATCTTTGAAGAATTCCCATTATCAACCTCAAGAATTTTCCTTTCTGATTTCAAGAGTAAAAACTTAGCTCCAGGTGAATTATTATTTTACGCTGATTTTACTGGTACTTTTATTCCTGATGAAACTGGTGATTATGATTTTGGTGTTTCATGTTTAGGTACTGCTCAACTTTTTGTTGATGATAAATTAGTGGTTGATAACAAAACCAAACAAACCAAAGGTGATGCTTTCTTTTTAGGTGTTGGAACTAGAGAAGAAAGAGGTGTACTTCATTTAGAAAAAGGTAAAGAATATGACATTAGAGTTGAATTTGGTTCATCTCCAACTTTCACATTAAACAAAGCTCCTCTTGAAGGTGGTGGTGTTTACTTTGGTGTTCGTATTAAAACCACTGGTGAAGAACTTATTGAAAAAGCTGTCAAAGTTGCTAAAGAGGCAGATAAAGTAATCTTAGTTGTTGGTATTTCAAAGGAATGGGAATCTGAAGGATTTGATCGTCCAAATATGGATATTCCAGGTTATACCAATGATCTTGTTTATGCCATCGCAAAAGCTAATCCAAATGTTATTGTAGTTAATCAATCTGGTTCACCAGTTACTTTACCATGGATTAAAGAAATTCCAGCCTTTGTTCAAGCTTGGTATGGTGGTAATGAATTAGGTAATACTATTGCAGATGTACTTTTTGGTGATTATAATCCTAATGGTAAATTATCTATGACTTTCCCAGAAAGAATAGAAGATGTTCCTTCCTTCTTAAATTTTGGTTCAACTAATGGACAAGTTATTTATGGGGAAGATGTCTTTGTTGGCTATCGTTATTATGAAAAGGTTAAAAGAACACCATTATTCCCATTTGGATTTGGATTATCTTATTCCACGTTTGAAATCAAGGATTTAGTGTTAACTTCAAATGATGAAAGCATCACAGCTTCAGTTAAAGTTAAAAATACTGGTAAGGTTGAAGGTGCAGAAACTGTTCAATTATATGTTCAACAAGTTGATCCTAGTGTTAACAGACCTATTAAAGAATTAAAGGATTTTGGTAAAGTTTTCTTAAAACCAGGTGAAACTAAGTCAATTAAGCTTACCGTATCTATCAAAGAAGCTACTTCATTCTGGAATGGATATAAAAATAAATGGCAATCTGATAGTGGTAAATATAAAGTTCTTATTGGTAACAGTTCTGATAATATTACTCTTGAAGATGAATTTGAAACTAAAAAGACCTTCTCTTGGCTTGGTTTATAAGCATTTTATCAATTTTCCGTTTGATTTAACAAAAAACTACATAGATGAAAAAAATATACATCATCCTCTATTTTAGAACATAACATTACTTGTGTATTTATAATTTGTAATCTAACTCTGATCGAGAACAGACAATATAGTTTATATATAAACTTAACTTAATTGAACATAATTACCTGGGAAAACACCGGTTTGCCCATTGTACCTACCAGTCCACCATCCATTTGTATCAGTAGTTCTTTGGACAATTTCTATTTGGGCTCCTGCTGGGAAGGTTAAATCACCTTGAGCTTGAGCTGTGTAATCATATAAAGCAGTACATGTTTCAGCAGTTGGGGCAGGTAATGGTAATGCTCCATATACTGGAGCAGCAGCAGCTGCTGGTGGAGAACCATAGGTAGGAGCAGCAGTTGGAGCACCATAACCTGGAGTAGCTGGTTGCTGAGCACCATATCCACCGTAAGTAGGGGCTTGATATGCGCCCAGAGGATTCTTATAATCACCAGCAGGAGGTTGTTGACCATATTGACCATATTGACCTGGAGTATAAGTTGGTAATTGTTCACCATTACCAGCTACAGGAGAACCTGGAGGCGGACTATTCATCATGGCTTGACGTCTTTTGGTGGCTTCCAATCTAGCTTTAGCATGACCAACTTTGAAATGGGTTATAGTAATAGCATCCGTTTGTTCTTCAATATTACCTTTCTTAAAATGATAAGCTTCAACCACATCAGTGGTTAAGTCAAAATAAGGAATTTTTAATTCTTCCATTCGACTGTATAAAGTATAGAAAATATTCAATTGCATATAATAGAAACTTATAAATAAAGGTCTAATAAAGTCTGATTGCATTTGAAATAAAATTGGTAATTCATTTTTCAACATATCATTATAATAATCATATTCTTGTTGAGCAATTTGAACTTCAGCTTCTGCATTATACATTTTTTCTTCGTCTTTGACAGTCCTTTCCTTTTTCTCTTCGAATTTCTTATAATTTCTCTTATAACGATCTAAATCAAGTTGTTTATGTTCTCTTTTGGTGGCCATTTTACGAATAGATTGAATAACTTTTAATAATTCTTGAGCTGGATTAACAATTCTTTTTTCAATCAATTCTAAATCTGGTTTCAAAGTTTCTTTCAATTCTTTAACCACTTCTCTATATTGTTCCGATGCCTGTATACCTTCAGGATTATCTTCTGGTACAGTTGAATTTGGATCTGATAATCTTCCACTAATTGGTTTATAAATTTCTTCAATGGCTTTTGAAAAATCAATTTGATGTTCCAACATACCATTGACAGCAGCAAAGTATCTCTTTGATTCTTCACTTAACTTCTTAGTTTCCAATTCTAATTCTTTAAATCTTCTTTCAGCATCTTGATAAACGGCATCAGAAGTCATTTCACCCATATTCATCTTTTGTCTAAAAGTCTGGGGAGCTCTAACAAGCGACTTCTTGAGACCCTTGAATGACATTTTGGAATTCTATTAGCTGATTTCTATGATTATCTCTGAATATATGGAATCTCAATAGATGTTTAATACTGATTTACCAAACAATTGACTGGACATCGCCCCTTATAATTTGAAATCGCATTTTGATTGTTGGTCATTCCCTTTATTTTTGGTTCGGTACTTGATGGATCACCAGAAATAAATTAAAGGTCGTGCACGTACACACAAAAAAGAGACAACCCTTTTTAATTATAATTTCCTCAACACTAAAAATAACAATTTGCAACTAGAACAGCGGCTAAAAATAGAATAATAATTGAATTGATTGGTTAACCATAATCAATGGCTCCAAATTATAATAATAGGCTAAATCCTAAGATTTCCAAACCTAAACAGAAGGAAAAAGTAGTGGGAACAAAGAAAAGTCAAGGTTATATCTCAGGATTCTTCATAAATGCGGTTACAACTCTATTAATATGTCTAATTCTCCCCTGGTTATTCTTACAAACAACTCTTATTTGGCAATTTGATTTATCCTCATCATTTTTAAGATGTTTCTTTGAAGCTCTCTATTTCCCTATTAGACTTTTAGAGTTGATTATAAATATTCTCTTTAATCGAACCAGTTCTGAGAGTTTGTTAAATCAAAGACCAAGTTACTCTGATTTCAATTTATTTCAAGTTAAACAAGGTGTTGATGAATTAAGTGAATATATTAATCAATATTATATTGATATTAGACAATTACCCTTTAAGGCAGATTATGTTATAGATAGATACTTTTATCACTCTCCATATTGTTTAATTAATAAACTTAATCCTAATGCAGTTAAATTAAGTTATCAATATCAAGGCATAGAGTTAGGTCGAGATGAAGGATTTGAGGATTATATGTTTAAGAAAGAATTCAATTTTATAGACCAACCTTTATTATCGAATGATTTCAAAAATAAGGTATTCATGGATCATAATCAAGTCCCAGAAGTTGAATTACCCTTAACCAAAGTCACTATCGATCCCATAACCCCATCAATCAATCTTAAAAAGTATAATATAGAATCTTGTCCTTATTATAAAGAAGAATCCAAACCAATGAACATTATTAAAATAGATAAAAGTTCTCTGAATAACCAATATAATGTCCAATTATCAGGAAATTCAAAATCAAATAAATTTGTGGTTAAAATTAAACCAAGGAAAGAACCTATAATTGAATCAAATCAATTACCATATAGAGTTGTTGGATCCATCCTGAAAAAAGATGGAGCATATATTGAAATGATTCTGGAATCGATTCGAAATATATTTCCTAAAGAAGATTATGATGATGGCTCTTTAGCTCCAATTATACTTCGTTTATCATGGCATTGTTGTGCAACATTTAATAAACATAGTAAGACTGGGGGATCAAATGGAGCTACAATGAGATTTGTTCCTGAAATTACTGATGAAGGTAATACTGGACTAGATATAGCAAGAGCTGCATTAGAACCAATTAAACATAAATTTCCTAAAATCTCATATTCGGATTTATGGACTTTAGCTGGTAAAGTTGCCATAGAATATATGGGAGGACCAATAATTGATTGGAAACCAGGTAGATATGATTGTTTAGATGATAAATATGTTCCGCCTAATGGGAATTTACCATTTGGATATAAAGATGCTAATCATATTCGAGAAACATTTAGTCGAATGGGATTTAATATTCAAGAGATGGTTGCATTATTAGGAGCTCATACATTAGGTAGATGTCATAAAAGATTTAGTGGATGGGAAGGTAAATGGACTGAAAATCCTATCAAATTTTCGAATGATTTTTATAAAGTATTATTAGAAGAAGAATGGAAGGTTGGGAATGTTCCGGAAACAGGCCGAGTACAATATTATAATAATGATAAATCATTAATGATGTTAAATACTGATTTAGAATTAATTAGAGATGAAGAATTTTTAATTTGGGTTAAGATTTATGCTCAAGATGAGATGAAATTTTTTAATGATTTTAGTAAAGCTTTCAGTAAGTTGTTAGAATTAGGAATTGAAAGATTGTCGTCAAACGATGAAATAATCCTTGATAAGAGAAGTATATAAGTTGGTTCAGGGCTACAATGATGGTTACATATTTTTTTACTATTCAATTGTTGTATACATAGTAGATATAAAGAAAATGTACATAGTCATAGTAAATGACGCTATCATTGCTGACTAAATCAACCGATTCGATTTAAGTAAATCATAGAAAAAACGGTTTATATCACTATAAATATTAATCCATCGTATAAATATGTTTAATGTTTATGTAGTTATAAATCCCATAATCGCATCATACCATAACTTAAGATCTATACAGTTTCTGCCCCCACTAACTAAACTGTCTAAACTGCGAAAGTTTCTTTTTTTTTTTTTTTTTTTTTTTCAATCAGCTCATTAATGTGCGACATGAAAATGAAAAGTGAAAATTGATTATAAATTACATCTTAATTCCACAGTTTTTATCTATCCTTGTTTCTGAGTTGTTTGACAAAGTGTAGAAGTCTTAGTCAGTTCTGTTAGTGTATATGACTCAATTTCCAAACATAGAAGACTTTGATGTCTTTCCTCAATCCGGGTTCTTACCTTCCAGTCTTCCCTTAGTTAGACTTCCTCAAGCTTATTATCAACCATGGGAAGATCTTGTCAATAATTTGCCAGCATTGATTCTTGCTAAAAGAATTCGTCAATTGGTCGATACAAAATTGCCAGTATTATCTACAGATCAATTATCCTCCGAGGAAGAGTACAGACGTGCTTATCAAGTCCTTGGATTCTTAGGTCATGGTTATGTATGGGGAACTGATGAACCAACTAATCAACTTCCGGAACAATTGGCTAAACCTTGGTTGGAAGTATCTCAACATTTAAGATTACCACCGGTTGCTACATATGCTGGATTATGTTTATGGAATTTCAAACAAATCATTCCTTCTGATGATATCTGGGATTTAAATAATCTTACTAGTATAAATACATTTACTGGTTCCATTGATGAAAGTTGGTTTTATTTGGTAAGTGTTTATTTTGAATACCAAGGTTCATTTGCTATTAAAGTAGGAATGGATGCCTTAAAAAGTGTTTATGATAATGATATTCCAAAATTAATTGATAGTTTACAAAATTTAGCTGAAGCAATTGATCATTTAGGTTCTGTTTTAATGAGAATGGAAGAAATGTGTGATCCTCATATATTCTATTTTAGAATTAGACCATTTTTAGCGGGTTGGAAAAATATGGCTGATATTGGTTTAGATAAAAATGGTATGATTTATGGTAATGATCCTATTCCAAAATTATATTCTGGAGGTTCAAATGGTCAAAGTTCTTTAATTCAATTCTTAGATATATTATTATCAGTAAAACATTATTCGACTGGAGAAAGAGTTCCACCCCATAAACAAGGTGAAACTATAATTGATGACAAACCAGAAAATAGCTTTATGGATGATATGAAAACTTATATGCCAGGTAAACATCATGATTTCTTAAATAGATTACAAGAATCAACCAAGATAAGAGAATTTGTCTTACAACACGGAAATGAAAATCCTGAACTTATATTGAGTTACGATGGTTGTTTGGCCATGTTGAAATCCTTCAGAGATAAACATATTCAAATTGTCACTAGATATGTCGTACTTCAAGCTAAGAATAAAGTTAAAATGGGTTCATCATCTACTATGAGATCTGGTTTAGCCAAACTTAAAAAGAAAGGGGAAGAAGAAAAAGGTACTGGTGGTACTTCATTATTACCATTCTTGAAACAATGCAGAGATGAGACAGGCGACCCAGCTGCTGGTAACTGGGGTAAAAGAATCCTTAGTGATGGTGTTATGAGATTAAAATATTCAAAACCAAATGGAATTAATGAAGATTGAATAAAATAAAAGGGGTCTGTAAAAAGGAAAAACGAAAGCCGTTTAATGTGTCACGAAGAGCGTTCTATAAAGCTTTATATATCACTGCTAGATTATATATAGATGTATATAAATACTTATAATAATATAAAGTAAATTATAGAAAGCATCAAATTACTTACTCATAGTGTAACAATTTTCCAGTACACCCAAAAAAAAAGATGAATCACCATTGAAAAAAAATTTTATAAATTTTCTGGAGTGGTGGTATCAACAGTTTTAAAAAACCCATTAAATAAATTCAGTTCCAGTAATTGTATGTTTCATAGACTTTCTACCAATATCTCAAGAAGTCTAATTCGTACAATGTCCACTGCTATTCCAGTCGCCGCCGCAGATGCAGCTGTAGTACCTCAAGCAAAAGCTGCTTCAGCCACTCCATCATCAGATAAGAAAGGTGGTAAGAAATCCAAGAAACAAGAACAGCAATTCTTATTGAAAACTCCTAAGGGTACCAAGGATTGGTCTGATAAGGATATGGTCATCAGAGAAGGTGTGTTCAACTCATTAACAGATTTATTCAAAAGACATGGAGGTGTTACTATTGATACTCCAGTATTTGAATTAAGAGAGATTTTAACTGGTAAATATGGTGAAGATTCTAAATTGATTTATAATTTAGAAGATCAAGGTGGTGAATTAACTTCCTTAAGATATGATTTAACTGTTCCATTTGCTAGATTCGTTGCTAGTAATAGTATTAGTAGTATTAAAAGATTCCATATTGCTAAAGTTTATAGAAGAGATCAACCAGCTATGACAAAAGGTAGAATGAGAGAATTCTATCAATGTGATTTCGATATTGCTGGTAATTATGATATTATGGTCCCAGACTCAGAAATCTTAAACATTTTATGTGAAGGTTTAACTGGTTTAGGTATTAATGATTTTAAAGTTAAATTAAATCATAGAAAAATTTTAGATGGTATTTTTGAAGCTTGTGGTGTTAAAGAAGAAGATGTTAGAAAAGTTTCTTCTGCCGTTGATAAATTAGATAAAGCTCCATGGGAAGCTGTTAAAAAAGAAATGGTTGTTGAAAAAGGTCAACCTGAAGAAGTTGCTGATAAAATTGGTGAATTCGTTAAAGTGAATGGTACTATTCGTGAAGTTTTAGAAGTTTTAAAAGCAAGTGAATTATTATCTACTAATAAATCAGCTCAACAAGGTATAGAAGAAATGGGTGTTTTAGCTGATTATGTTGATGCCTTTGATATTAATAATTTCCTTAGATTTGATTTATCATTAGCTAGAGGATTAGATTACTATACTGGTTTAATTTATGAAGCTGTTACTGAGGCTTCTGCTCCTCCAGCCAATGCATCTGAATTAAAGGAAAAGGCTCAAAAGGAAAAAGCTTCTAAAGATGGTGAAGTTGAAGATGCTTCTGAATATGTCGGTGTTGGATCTATTGCTGCTGGTGGTCGTTATGATAACTTAGTCGGTATGTTCTCTAATGGTAAATCTATTCCATGTGTGGGTATTTCATTTGGTATTGAAAGACTTTTCTCTATCATTAAAGCTAGAGCTGCTAAAGGATTAGAAAATATTAGTCCAACTCAAACTGAAGTTTATGTTATGGCCTTTGGTGGTGGTGAAGGATGGAATGGATTCTTAAAGGAAAGAATGACCGTTACTAAGAAATTATGGGAAGCTGGTATTAATACTGAATATTTATTTAAATCCAAAGCTAATATTCGTAAACAATTCGATGCTGCTGAAAAATCAGGAGCTAAAATTGCTGTTATTTTAGGTAAAGAAGAATATCCAGCTGGTAAATTAAGAATCAAAGTATTGGGTCAAGGAGAAGATAGTGACGAAGGTGAACTTATAAATACTGATGATCTTTTATCTTATGTAAACCAAAAATTAGAGTCATTTAATCAAGATGGTTTAGACGAAATTAGTCGTTTGGTTAAGGGCCTTTAGATGTATATAAAACATATATTATTGTACAAAATACTTTTTTTTTAATTCTAGATTGCCGAATAAATTTCTCTATATAAGTTTTAATTTTAAAGTATAATATTTTAGAATCAATTATTTTGATCTAAATTATTAATACTTGTACCATGTTTTTCTTTACCGTCTCTCTTAACTCTGTTCCATAATGTGTTGATATCATCAAAACAGAAATACCAAATAACACCACACCATGATTTAACCTGAGGTAAAGGATCATAAAATTCATGAGCGATTCTTCTAAGTTCAGGAAGTTTTGTCCAAGCAATATATGGGAAATCATGATGTTCATTATGATAACCAACATTCCAAGTAAGCAAGTTAAGAGATCCATAATAAGAATATGTTTCAGGTGGTAATAAATCAGCAGAGATACTAATTCCATCTTTTAATTCAGTTCTAGCTCTATTGTTTTCATTTAACACATAATGTTCAGCAATGAAATGTCCAGCACATGGATGTAAAGAACCAGCTAAGAAAGAACTCATGATGAAATAACCAAATGCATGCCATCCACAAAGTTGAACTAAGACATAATCAGTAGAGACTTGAGCCACAATATTAAGTAAATGAATAGAAGTGAATTTAATCTGAGTAACAAACATTGGTCTTAAAGCATAAAACAAAATTTGGAAAGTGGCAAAGAACACTTTACCTAATACATTGGATAATATAACACTTTCAAATTTTGTTGGTAAATCAGCATCTAAGTACTTATCACCTAAGAATTTATGATGTAATTGATGGTAAGGTTGGAATGAAGCAGCATAAGGAATACCAATAGGTAAATTCGTGAATACAGCAAATATTTTGTTATGAATTGGCTTCTTGAATAATAAATTATGAGATAATTCATGAATTGCTAAAAAGAGAGCTTGATTTGCAGTTGCACCAATAACATAGGCAAGAGCAATGAATTTCCAATTAAATATTGGAGTATTTCTTAAGTAGTAAGCAACATAGAACTGCAATAATACAACTCCAATCACATACCATTTGGTCTTGGTTTCATACCCTGTTAACTTAGCTACTTCAGGATGTCTTGCTAAGATCAATTTTCTTCTACTGAAATGAGGTTCCTTTTCTTCAGTCCAATAATATTCATTTAGAACTTCAATGGGGGAATCAGCAGCTGGAGTAGTGAATGTAAAAGTCTTATTTGCTACTCTATGAGTGATCGAGTCAGTAATGTTGTCATCCAACATGTTATGTAATGAACGTGGTGATAGGGGTCGGCTCTTAAATTTATGGCTTCTGTGGTAACCTTTTTCTGTGATTTTTTTTTTTCAGTCTAGAACAAATTGTAAGCTTACAATTTCATAAGTTCCACTGGGTGAAGGGACGAGAGACTGAATACGATGAGCGTCAACTGAGAGTATACAAGTCAGGAACCACTTATATTTATATACAATATGTCTATACCAAGAAGAAGTTAAAACACGTAAATTTAACCAGTAGAAACCTCCTGATCTCTAATCGGGCCATACAAAATTTTCGTTCCTGTCGTTAAAGCGTAAAGTGCGAAATCTTAAATCTTAGCCCAATTTGAATTAATAATGAACCAGTTTGGCTCAGCCCGCTCATTTAGGAAATATTGGAGGATAATTATAACGTTATTTTTGCAGACAGACAAGTGCTACAAAGTAATTATGAATGGGTTATTTATGTTGTATATGCATTAACTCTATAAGACAGCACTATTTACTATCGTATGTACCTTTGTACGCGCCATTACCATTTTTTATTTACTATTATTTACTGCTATGTTAGTGAATAGATTCATCGATTATCGATACTGTTGGTACTGTTGATCTTGACTTTGCTGCTGTTGTTGTTGCTGGTACGAAGCTGGTGGTCGAGGTTGAGGTTGTAGTTGTGGTGGTTGTGTTGGGTATGGTGGGAATGGGAATGGTTGTTGCTGTTGGTCATAAACAGGCATTCCTAATGGCTGAGATTGGGGATGAAATTGAATTGGCTGTGCTTGTGGAGCAGCAGCATATGCATCTGGCAGAGTAGTAGGAACTCCCATTGCTTGAAATGGTGGATAATACGGTACTTGCTGATTGACTTGGTATTGAGGATATGGTTGCGATTGTTGATATTGTGGATATGTAGCATATACATTAGCAACTGGTAGATTGGATCCAATTGGTTGAGCATTACTTGGTACTTGCGGTTGAAGTGGTAACGATCCACCTATATAATTGAACGGTTGTTGTTGTGGGTATGGTGAAACAGTAGACTGTGATCCTTGCGATATTATTTGCTGATTTGGTGATGGACTAATTTGACTAACTATACTAGTAGTTGCTGTGATTTGCTGAGTATCATCATTTTCTCCATTTTGAGTCAAATTAGATGGTATTTTAAAATGAATATTATTATCTTGTGGAGCATTGTTATTATTCCATATACTTCTACTTCTTGGTTGTTGTTTCTGTGGTATTGGATTCAGTTCAGGATTAAGCATAATAACATCTTCTGGCTCGGGTTCTGGTGATGCTGATTCTTCTAATTGCTTATGCAAAATATTAGTATGGTTTAATATGGTTTCCTCAATATCTTTCATAGAATCTGGAGAATTTATTTCTTGAGAAGAATCTCTTACAGTTGATACCGATGATTCTTTAGAAGTTTGAGACTTACCTTGATTCTTGTAAACTTTTGGATTCGTGTCAGTTCTATAGTTAATCAGTCTTTTGGTACTTTTATCTGATTTGTTGGCCCTGACAGTCTTAGCAGCGACAGCTGGTATAACGTCTACCTTCTTTACAGCAAACACCTCGATTTCATGATCAAAGTATAAGCCTCCTGACTTTTGAGTATAAATGCTTCCTCCCAAAACTAACAAGGCATTAGCTCTTAATCCAAGTTCAAAAGCATAAATTTCAGCTCTAATAGTTTCAGGTGCAATAATCGGGACCTCAGGAACAGCTGCGTTTGTGTCAGCATCCTTTTCAACTTCTTTCTCAGTTGATGGAGAATCAAGAAATGTTGGTAATTTACCTTCTCTTAAAAACTCGGTATAATCTCCACATAATAAATTAATATTATTTGCTTTGAATAAGTTATCATCCTTAAAATCTTTAAATTGATATTTAATTAAACTAAAATCTTTAAAAATGACATCATCTTCAAAATAATAAGCTCTAACTGGTCTTGTACCTGATTTAATATTTTCTCTTAATTCAGGTAAGTCCAATGGATGAGGGAAACTCTGGGTATCTTTAAGAATCAAATTCAATACGGCACTAACTATACTTAATGTATTTCCTCTAGAAATAGCAGAAGTTGAAACATTCTTATTTTCTTTTAACCAAGTTAAGATGAATCTGACACAAATTAATATTGGATTTCTTGTAATTTCATTTATTTCTTGTTTAACAATGATATCAAGAAGTCTTTCAATATATCGTAAGGCGAATCGTTGAATATTTTCAGAATTTTCTTCTGAAGTTAATTTATTAAACCCAAACACGATGATTAATTGTTTGATGAAGAAATAATATCCATCGGTGTCTCGACTGATAATGAGATTATGAAATAACATATTTAACCAATGAAAGAATTGAGTTTCGATTTTGGAGAATTTAAGATCTTTTACTAAATTTGGACCCTTTTTATAAACATCAGGATAATAAAAATAACCAATCAAACAAACCAAAGTATTATTTAAATCATCTTCAATGGTTAATGAGTTTTTATTTCTTCTGATTGTAGATAAATCTTCAAAATTTATATCACATAAATTAGTTAAAAACCATTTCTTTTTAATGACTGAATTTAAATTGGATAATCCTAAATTATAATTTGGAATTCTTGTAAATTGAGATCTAAGGAACCAAAGTAAAGCATTAAATTTTTCATCTATAAGATTATAAATCATTCCGATATGATTATATGGTTCATTTAATGCTGGTAATAATAATATACAAATTTTATAAAATTGAACTGATTTTTCATATCGAAGTCTAAGATTGAAACTTATTGCTTTTTCTTTGTTTGACATATTCCTATATTTAAAGAAATCTTTATTGGAAATACACGGTATAACATATGAAACTTCAATAAAAGTTCGATGTCTTGAAATATCACCTAATGATAATAAACATTTATGGATTAAATATACCAAATTTGCTTGAACATTGGCATCTTTTATTTCAACTGCATTGGGAGTTAGTTTCAATTTAAAATGAACTAGTATAATACGAGGTAATAATGATGCCTTATAATTAGTGGAAAAGTGAGTTAAAATATTAATATAAAATTGATAAATCAATTTTGTAAATTTGACAAAGTTATCATTGAACTTTCTAATTTCAACTGGTTTAACTTTAAACTTATTAGCACTTCCTTGACCTTGAAGTTTTTTAAATTCAGATTGAGTATCATTAAAGTATTCTGAATGAATCTTTTGGAAAAATTTAATCACAGGATAATGAAATTCACTCCAAATGCATTTTAAATAATCCATAGTGTTGAATTCTATGATAGGTTGATTATTCGGTATACTGGCACTTTCACTTTGACCACTCAGTGGCTGTGTTGAATTTGTAAAATATTCATTAAAATCATTAGTTATCCAAGTTTGGAATTTTGACTGTATTATGGAATTAAACCCAATCAATAATGATTGATCAAGATACTTCCGACCCAATAGCTCTTGAAGCTGGGTTTTATATACATCTATTTCTGATTGGAATTCCATTTTAGGCTTTGTATATGTAAATGATGAATATGAAGTGAGTGAATGCAAAAAGTGGAGGTTCAATGAGGTGAGTAAATGAATGAATGGATATGGATTCTTTTTGTTTTTGTTCTTCTAGTTCGTTTCTATGTTTATATGGATGAAACTAATGGATGGTATATGTTGTTATGCTAATATTGATGGAACATTATAGTATTTTGTGATTAAATTATTGTATGTATACAAGAATGTATGAGATTTAGCAAACAGATTTGAATGGGGATCAAATTTATCAAATAACAAGCAAATTACTCTGTTTAACTTGTCGATGCAGTAGTGAACGTTCAATTCAAGTGAATGAATGAACCAAAAGAAGGATGATACAAGTTTTAAGGAAACTATAATGTTAATTACTTCTGATCAACCACCACTAGAGATCAAATTTACAGCACGTCAGGTTTTTTTACGCTAAAATTTTCTGAAAAAAAATATACCGGGTCGTGTGGAGGTTTAACTTTTTCTGTTTGTGGTAACAGAAAAAATGTGTGCTATAAAAAAGTTGCAGACCGTTGATGGCAAAATAACTATCCGATAAGAAACTTGTTTATTTTGGTTCATTTGTCAGATATAGACAAGTTTTTAGGTCAATGACTTATAGTAAAGAAGATAAACATAGTGGGAAGAGTGTTCCCGATGGGTTAGAGGTGGATAAGAGTGATATAAGTACTGAAATAGTTAATGTTGATACTGGTAACCAAAGTGCGGAAGCGGAAGATGAAATAGATCAAGAATTCGATGTGACAGTATTGGTATATGATTTATCAGGAGGGATGGCAGCCCAATATTCTCCTATGCTCTTGGGAATTAGACTTGAAGCCATCTATCATACCTCAGTGGTTGTATATGGTAAAGAATATTTCATCAATCAAGGTATTCAAATAAATCCCAATCCTGGAAATACAAAATATGGCATGCCAATGGAAATCCTTGATAAAGGGAAAACATTTATAACGGAAGATATATTTAATGAGTTTTTAGATGATTTAAGAAATCATGATGAAAATAAGTATCATGCTATGAATTATGATTTATTTAATAATAATTGTAATCATTTTACCGATGTATTATTAGATTTCTTAGTAGGATCTAATCTTGATAAGAGAATATTGAATTTACCTGATCAAGTATTGAATACTCCAAATGGACAATTGTTGAGACAAATGATTGGGAATGGAAATGAATTAGTGTGATCCCTTGTTTACTGATAATCAATAGTCTGACCTATAATACAACCAATGCTAGACAATGATCTAATCTAATCCAATCATTATTTCGGGATTGGGTTGGATTAGATGTCATGATATAGCCTATATTTATATAAGAGAACCTAATAATAGATGTGTAATAATAATAATTATAACTTGTAATCTTAAAATAGTGGTGGTTGGCAGCATTTTGTAAAAAAACTTTGTGGTTGTAAATCAAAATCCTTTATTTTTAAGGAGACGACTACCACATTTACAACAAATTTTTTTGAAATCAGATCATATCATCTTATTTCTTTACCAATTATCAATATTTAAGGTCAATTAATAGAGTAATAGAGACTTATGATCGAATCATGGATACTTCAAACATTCAAGTACGTATTTTAGTAAATCTTGTTTGATAGGATCTAATTGTTACTAACAAATAATGCAGTCAAAATTAAATCAATTAAATTTTACAGCTACACCTCAACTTGTTGACATATCATCATCGTCATCATCATCCATAATAACTTTAGGGGCTAATGATAGTCAATCCATAGGTACTACTAATTCATCTTTCTTTAGTGAATCCAATACTACTACTGGTACTACCAATAATAGTACTGATACAAGTTTGAATAAGCTGATGCTGTTAAATTTTTGGCAGTCAAATTCTGATAATGAAAATTCAACTACTACTGGTGGTGGTGGGAATAATTTCAACTCTTATTCTAATAATAATAATATTTTACCATCGAATAATTCTTCCTTACTTCATAAGTCTTATAGTACTAGTAGTACCTCCATGGGTAATTCTAATCATAATGAATTAATTAGACATAATTCGGAATCATTAGGAAATAGTAAATCAAGAAATCAATCAATCATGAATATTAATGCTCCTAGTTATTATCCAAGTTATAATACTCCTGCCAGTTCCAATGTTCAATCAGGTAGTACTACTCAGAGTACTGCTAACTTTCGTAGTTATTCTAATCCATCTCAAATTAATGATTATGAAACTTCCCCTCTTTCAAGTGCTGCCGTTATACCTAATAAGTATTATTATAATAATGCCACTACTGTTAATACCAATACTAGTAATAACATGAGTGGAACTACAACAAGTGGAGGTAATACGATCGGTGGTGGTTTAGATTATTATTATTCGAGTGGTACTGGTACTGGTGCCAACACTAGTACAGGTGGTAATACATATGGTGACACTCAACTGTATTCGCATCAACATCAGCAACAACAACAGCAACAACAACAGCAACAACAACAGCAACAACAACAGCAGCAGCAACAACAACAACAACAACAACAACAACGCTCATATGAATCAATGAAAGAAGATTATAAACAATTAAAGGTTGATTTAATATTAAAGAATCAAATTATTAAGAATTTAACTGATCAATTAAGTTTAATTAGCAAATTAAAGACAAAATCATTAACTGAAGTGATGAACACTACTAGTTCCACTACTAATAATGGAATAAAACTTGCTAAAAATCATTATCAATTATTTCAAGATTTATCGAGAACGTTACAAGAGAAAACGATTGAATTAGAAGAAACTAAATCTCGATTAGAGGCTATATTAGTTAGTTTAACCGTTACCAATAATTCTAATAATAGTAGTTTTATTAAACAAGGTCAATATGATGAACAAGAATTAAGCCATAAAATAATTAGTAAGATTGAAGGCTTAACAAATGAGAATGAAACATTATTAAAATTAATTAGTTTTGGTAATAAATCCAGTTTATTGATTGAATTGGGCTTATTAAAACGAGAAAATAATAGTTTAAAGGAAAAGTTGCAAAAATATGAGAATAGTCTTTAAATTGATTAAAAGAGAAAAAATAGTATCAGCCAAAAGGCTTTGGTTTTAATTATTTGTTTTATAGCTTAAGAGGGTTAAAAAAAAAGAATTTATATTGCTAAATTATTATCTATGTTATTGTCTTCATTTTTTTTTATGTTTCAAATACGTTTGACTTGGGTATGTGCTATGAGTTAAGCATTTTTTTTTAGATTGCAAAGTCAATTTTGTTTCGTTTTGTTTCATTTCATTTTAATTTTAATTTTCAATTTCACGTTCATTTGTCTTGTTTTTCTTATTGTTTGATGTTTAACACGTAACATATTTGTTAATAGTAGTGTTTTGATTTGTTGTGTGTTGTTGTTATTATTATGGGTTTAAAGAGTTGGCTTAATCATTAACTTCAACAGTCTGTTGTTTCGTTGAGAGTTGAGTTTGAGTTTGAGTTTGAGTTTGTTTATGTTACTTACTTATTTATTTATATTTACTTACATCTAGTTTAAGTCTCAGTTTAATTAATTAATTTACTAATATTATTTATTTATATTACAATGATATCCGTATACGGTTATTGTTATATACGGAACAATAACTGATCTAGGAAACAATAGATAAAACACGATGACTATGATTGATCTAATAAGATCGAACTGTGCCATGAGCAAAAGATATAAATCTCGGAATAATCATAACTTTAACGGTCGTGTTGGCAGTGCTAAAGGCGACTAAATCGTAATAATCGCTGCAATATAATATAAAATAAAAAAATTATTATTCTAAATTTTACGCATTCACCTTACTTCCCACTATATAAAGTTCGTTCTAGACCAACACGATACCTATACATCATGAGAGAGATCTCAGCATTTAATAAAATTTTATTAAATCGTATCATACCAGTTCATATGATCCTGTCTATCCTTATTATTACTATTGACCAAACAATCCTTTACTAATAGAATTAATTAACTCAACCCTATCATATACATTTGTAAAATCTAACTAATACTTAGATAATAGGAGAATGTAGTACTGGAAAAGATGGAATCGTTACGTCCACTTACCTTATAACCTTATTCTATTTAAACAGTGTGATGTAATCGGTAAGAAAATTAACCAAAAAAAAAGAAAGGTGGAGGTACTGCATGAAGCACAAAGCATTTATTTACAGCAGCAAACCCATTTCTATATTTATAAATAAATAATCCTAACTTCAATTTCACTTCACTTATTTCTTCTTCTTCTTCATCTTATCAAAGGAAGTTCGTCTAATTATCAAATCATCAAGTCATTCAACCATCGTTCGTTGATCCCAGAGAATGTTAAACCTTTAAACCATGTCATCACCTTCTCCTGCATTTCCGGATCAACCTCCACCTGCTAAATCCAATATGAATACCAATTTCAAAAAGGAGTCAATCTTGCCTGCCACCGACCCTAGATCTCCATTCTACATCAACCTACCTACTTATGAAACCAAGCCTATTGATGATTTAATCAATTTCTTCAGATATTGGAAATACTTTATTCGATCTTTAATTGCCTATTTTAAAGAAATTGCCCTTGTTAAAGAATTTGAAGCCAATATCAACTATCAATTAATCAGCGCTATTCAATTCCCTGGTTGTAAAGATTTACCATATAATATCCTTAAAGACTTATCCAATAATGTGACTAGTCCTAATGGAAGTCAATCAAATACTCCTACTAAAGAGTTGAAGCGATCATTATCGGGTTCAAGTATAGCCACTATGTCATCAAATGGTTTATACCCTCTTACTACCAATAAAACTAATACCATTCCTGGTACGGCCTTAGGGACAAATAGTGGGAACTCTTCATTAAATACAATGAATAATAATAATAGTCAATCTGATTTGAAACGACCTGGACTATTCAAAACTAAATCAAATAATTCATCATTTATGAAACCATCAAATCTTCATAAAAAGACAAATTCATTTTCTACAAGTTCTAATAAAGGTTCTTCACCTAATTTTGGACCTTTATCTTCATCAATTACATCACCATCAAGTACCATCCCAGTAGCAAAATCAATTGCTCAATTCACTAATGATGTTAAAATTCCTGAAAGTTTCTTTCCTGATGATTCATTATTTAAGAATTTCCCTTCAGTGGCTTTAAGTCATCATGAAACTAATTATGTCAACAATTCAAAATTATATATGGATATAAATCTGAAATTAGTACCTCGATTAGAAAATTTATCCAAGCAAGTATCTAATAAAATCAAAGAAATCAAAACTTCATTAAAAAATGAATCATTTGTAAACCCTGAATTATTAAAAGAAATTAGTGAAACTGGGAAAATCTTACATTTATACATGTCATCAATTGAAAGATATAATCATTTAAAACCAGTATTGAAGAAAAAAGTAGTTATTGAAGCTGATAAAGTTGAAGAAGATGAAGAAAATGGGGTTATGGATGATCCATTCTTATTGAAATTACAATTGGATTATCAATTGAAATCACAATTATTATTTGAGAATTATATGTTTGCTCTGTACCTTAATTTACAAGGTATTGCTAAAGATTTATTCACTTATATTTTGAAAGAATTGAATATCATTGTCGATAGATTTGGAAAATTAAATTTTAATAGTGAATTTTATCAATTTTTAAAGACTAAAATCTCCAATTCATCAAATCTTGATTGGGAATATTTTATTTCCAATAATCCCAGTTTTTTAAATATTTATAAATCAACTTCAGTACTGCCTAAAAAGGAAATTCGAAATTATAAATCCATCGTTGTACCTTATGCTAATTCAATTCATAATAAATGTTTAAGATTTGGAATTTTATATCGGAAAACTAAAATTTTAAAGAATTATACTCGATATTATTATGTTTTAACATGTAATTATTTACATGAATTTAAATTTGAAACTCCAACTCCAGCTCCAGGGGGTAAAACTCCTATTAAAAAATTCATATCTCAAGATGATGTACCTGTTAAATCTTATAATTTGAATGATTATCTGATCCAAAATAAAGACGAAAAGGGGTTTAAATTCCAATTAATAAAGAATTCAAATCAACTGACAAAATATAGTTTTAAATGTGTTAATGAAAATGATTTCAGTTGTTGGACTAATGATTTTGATGAATTATTAAATTTTGGTTGTAAACATTTGGATAGATTTAATCATGTTTTAAAGAGAGTTGAACAACAAGAACAACCTTTAAGATTGACTAAAAATAGCACCCAACAACCACCTTCTATTAAAAGTATTCTTAATCCATCTTCTACTAATGGTATGAGAAGTACCAAATTAGATAATAGTTCATCAAGTCTTTTAAGTTTACCAAGTAAACAAAATAGTGGAATTGGGCTTGATGGAGTATTTACTCCAAGAATAGCTACACCTCAATCGATGGAAAATAATCCATTTGATCAAATTTTCCTGACTGAAATGAGTAGTGGTGGTGTAGGTGTAGGTGGTAATGGTGATAGTTTTAGATTTTCAAGTAATCATTCATCATTATCATCACCAAGTTTGACACCCAATTTATCACCCAATGAATCTACTACAAGTTTTAATGGTCCATCACAATCAGAATATGATTCACAATCCCAACTGGCTCAACATGATAATTATCTTCAAAAACAACAAGAATTTATTAAACGTCAACAAGATGCGTTAAACATTAAAATCAGAGAACTTGAACTTGAACAAGCAAAATTACATATATCTCAACAACAACAACAGCAACAGCAACAGCAACAGCAACATCAACAAAATCTGCCCTATGGAAATGGAGAATATCACAGACCATTATATAGTTCAGCATCTACGGAATCAATGGGATCATTCATCATTTCGAATGAAAATACATTATTAACTTCAAAATTAATTGATTCAAATCAAAATTTATTAAAGAGAAATATGGAATTTGAAAGACCAGCTGTATTTTCATTACATGAAGATAATGAATCAGGTGGAAGTTCATCTTCAGTACCTACTCTTCATGTTACATCCAATCATTGAATACCCCCTCTCCCTCTCTGTCTGTCTCTTAAAAGGAAATTATTTATAGAAAGTTATATACATACATATATATATTAAAATTATAAATACAAATATTTATTTATGGTAGCATCTTAGTTTTTTATAAATTTACCCGGATAACTCTATATACAGGAAGGTCAAAATTAGACTTTTTTTGTGGTCTTTCAGAGTTGAACAAACAGTGAGAGTGAGAGTGAAAAATTTTTTACGATCATATAATTTAAATATATATAACGTTTCAATATATATATATAACCATATTTAATACATAACATATAATCAAAGATGGATACCAAAACCCCAGTCACTTTAGCCAAAGTTATCAAGGTCTTAGGAAGAACCGGATCAAGAGGTGGTGTTACTCAAGTTAGAGTTCAATTTTTAGAAGATGCTACTAGAACTATTGTCAGAAATGTTAAAGGACCAGTTAGAGAAGATGATATTTTATGTTTAATGGAATCCGAAAGAGAAGCCAGAAGATTACGTTAAGTCTGTGTTTTATTCATTCATATACAATTCAGTCATTCATATTTTTTTTCATTTCATAAATCATACAATCATCATAAAAAATCATTTACATACACCTTTGTAATATAGTCATATACAGAATACATCAAAGCTTAAATATGTTTTAATTTTATCTATCTATACTAAAGGGCAATCAAAAGAGAGATGATGGATCAGACTGTAATGAATTCATTACACTGTGAAGTTCTCCCCGGCAAAGAATATAATATATAATAAAATAAAACAAATTACAATTTTAAAAAACACAGTTAATAATCATTTTTGAATATATTACTTTGTAGAAGAACAAGAGGAATAAGTTATACAGACGTATATACGTAAAATGAACAGATACATTGAATATCTCTAAGGGTTGTGGAAAGCATGGCCATGGTGGGGGCAAAACCAAGGCAGGCCAAATCTTCAATTTTGAATTAAAATGGTTCATGAATCATTATTGTTTTTACTCTATAGGCGGGTCTAAGATTGAACTTTTCTTTTAATTAATTTCTTAATCTTTGTAGTTGGTTTTAATTTAATTCTTTCATTTGATTCTGGTTTATCATTATCTTTGGCAGATACTAAATTTTGATAAGATTGAGATGATGGGATTGAAGAAGTAGATTTAGTTTTTGGTATGTCATTCACTATATCGGTTGCTTCTGATTCTATTTGATGAACTGCGTCTTTTACATCTTCACTTATGTGTAAAGTTGATAAATCATCATGAATATCTTGAGCTTCAGATTCAATTTCATGAATAGTATCATGAATACGACTATTCAACGATATAACTGACTCTTGATTGAATTCATCTTCATCTTTTAAACCACTTACACTTCTAATCATACTAGCTGATAAATCATCTTCGACAATAAAAAAGGTATCAAATTTCCAAATAAAATATTGCACTAAACTTTCATAAGCAATTTTATCAAATTTAAAAAGATTAGCCAGATCGATATTTAAAGGAGAATCAGGTTCAGGATGATCTAATAACATAAGTATAGCTACTAATAAATATTGTAAATTCCAAGCTGGAGACCAACTATCTTTCTTTAAGATATCCAAACAAATTTCTCCTGTGATAATATTTATATTTGGATGACATATAGGGGATATGAATTTAATAGTGGGAGGAGATAAAGGATAATCATGAGGGATGGTTATATCTAAATTCCATTGACCATTATAATACCAAGGATTATCTTGTTGAGTAGGTTTTGATATCACAGCATTCCAATGAAATAAATCATCATCATTTATAGGATTTAATGATTTAATTTGATGATTTGATAACGAAGGAGGATTCTTTTTATATTGATTAAGTTCTTTAATAAGTCTTCTTTCTGACATGGTGGTAGTAGTAGTTAGTTGTAATAAGTAGATGTTATATGGAAAGAAGAAATACAAATAATCTGGGGTAAAAAGGAAACAATATAAGTAATTGCTACAAATAAATTTTAAGTCATGAAAATTTGTATGATGAATGATTCCCCCAGATTTAATTTAATTGTTTACCTTCTTCCTCGGTTTAAAAAAGAAAGATGATCAGTCACGATATCCACATCACATGACCTGATTTATCTGTGATTACTTTCCATGTTAAATTAATTGGTTGAAGAAAGCGGAGAGATGTCACATCCTGTATATAAAGATAGTGTCCGGTACAGGATTTTTCACTCTCACATTTTTTTTTTTTTTCATCCTTTGAGTCAGACCGCCAGAGCAAATGTTAACAACCATCCATCAATTTGATCGATGATTTCAATTTAAACTACTGATATTTCCCATTTAGCTTTCTTTCCTGGGTTTAATTCTAGTTAGACATTCATCGTCATGAGTTTACTTCATAAAGCTTCTTCTTTGAAGAAACATCAAATCAATGGTTTCCAAAGATACTTCTCCTTATCATTATCAAATCATGGTGAAAAAAAATTAAATAAATATTCATCCATTGTAACTTCAGATCCTTCTCAAGGGGCTTCTCAAGCTATGCTTTATGCTACTGGTTTCGATGATGCCGATTTCTCAAAAGCTCAAATCGGGGTTGGTTCAGTTTGGTGGTCGGGTAATCCTTGTAATATGCATCTTATGGAAATGAATAATAAATGTACTGAATCAGTTAATAAAGCTGGTTTAAAAGGTATGCAATTCAATTCCATTGGGATCTCTGATGGTATCACCAATGGTACTGAAGGTATGAGATATTCTTTACAATCAAGAGAAATCATTGCTGATTCATTTGAATCAATGACTTTAGGTCAATTATATGATGGTAATATCTCCATTCCATCTTGTGATAAAAATATGCCCGGTGTTTTAATGGCTATGGCAAGACATAATAGACCTTCGATTATGGTTTATGGTGGTACTATCTTACCAGGATCTCCAACTTGTGGTAACCCAATCATTCCTGATAAAATTGATATTATTTCCGCCTTCCAATCTTATGGTCAATATTTATCAAAATCAATTTCTAATGATGAAAGAAAAGATATCGTTAGACATGCTTGTCCTGGTCCAGGTGCTTGTGGTGGTATGTATACTGCTAATACCATGGCTTCTGCTATTGAAGTATTAGGTATGTCATTACCATTCTCTTCATCAGCTCCAGCTGTCTCTAAAGAAAAAGATTTTGAATGTGCCAATATTGGTGAAGCTATTAAAAATTTATTAATTTTAGATTTAAAACCAAGAGATATTTTAACCAAACAAGCATTTGAAAATGCTATCACTTATGTTATTGCCACTGGTGGTTCAACCAATGCTGTGTTACATATCATTGCTATTGCTTCTTCAGCCGGTATTGAAATTACAGTCGATGATTTCCAAAGACTTTCTGATTCAACTCCTTTATTAGCTGATTTCAAACCATCAGGTAAATACGTTATGGCTGATTTACAAAATGTTGGTGGTACACCAGCTGTTATGAAATATTTATTATCAGAAGGTTTAATTGATGGATCTCAATTAACTGTAACTGGTAAATCTATTAAAGAAAATTTAGAAAAAGTCAAATCTTTACCTGACGGTCAAGATATTATTAGACCTCTTTCAAATCCATTAAAATCAAGTGGTCATTTACAAATTTTAAAAGGTACTTTAGCTCCAGGTTCTGCTGTAGGTAAAATTACTGGTAAAGAAGGTACTTATTTCAAAGGTAAAGCAAGAGTTTTCGATGATGAAGGAGCATTTATTACTTCTTTAGAAAATGGTGAAATTAAAAAGGGTGAAAAAACCGTTTGTGTTATTAGATATGAAGGTCCAAAGGGTGGTCCAGGTATGCCAGAAATGTTAAAACCTTCCTCTGCTTTAATGGGTTATGGTTTAGGTAAAGATGTTGCACTTTTAACTGATGGTAGATTTTCCGGTGGATCTCATGGTTTCTTAATTGGTCATATTGTTCCAGAAGCTTATGAAGGAGGTCCAATTGCCTTTGTTGAAGATGGTGATGAAATTGTTATTGATGCTGATAATAATATCATTGATTTATTAGTGGATGAATCTGTTCTTGCTAAAAGAAGAGAAGGTTGGACTCCACCACCACCAAGATATACTAGAGGTACTTTAGCTAAATATGCTAAATTAGTAAGTGATGCTTCTAAAGGTTGTGTTACTGATTTAGTCTAATCATCTCATCTCACTTTGACTCCCTTTTCCTATTACTAGTTGGTAGTAGAAGTTTTATGATTGATTTTTTTAATCATTTTATTACATTATTATTATTTCATTATAATTACATAACTAATTGTCACATTGAAAGACAAACGTTATATCATTTATTCAATTCTTAATGTGTTGTTTCTTCCATGAACTACATTTAACTATACCTTTTTTTATATACGTACATAGGCATTTCCCCAAAAAACATCTTTATATACATAGTATCCTCATGAAAGGATGATGGTTTAATTAATAAAAAAAAATAACAAAAAATCAAACATCAAAAGATACTTGTACTATCTATTTTGTAATTGTTTGATGAGGAATTGAATAAGGTATTCTTGATCTTTAACGAGGGTGGGATATTTATACACTTGAGCTATATTGAAGAAGGGTAAATTCAACTCTTTTAATAATGAAGATGATTCATATGATAATTTCTTGGATTTAAATGATACAGACTCATCAAACTTGTTCAATTCATCTAGTTTTGAGGTCTCCAAATCTTGTAATTTCTGTTCTAAGATTTGAAGTTTAGTAGTAGCCAATTTCCGAGTTTCATCTTCATTATTCAAACTCTCAATATCGGATTGAAGATTATTTATATCATGATTATACTTCTCCAGTATCAATTCTCGATCTTTAACCCATTGATCCAGAAGATTGAAATGATCATTCATCAATTGTTTTAACTTGTTTGTTTTATTGGCATTCGATAGGATATTATTCTTTATATATTGTTCAGCATGATATCGATTAGTGATGAATCTTGGATCGATTAACGTTGGTTCTCGTGATGAATTTGCGGATGAACTTGAACTGGATGAACTTGAAGGAGGTCGTTCATCATAATTATTCCCATTTACATCCCCACCCTCAAGATCATTCAAATATTGTTGAGCTTTCTTATCGAAATAATCTCGATTATTAAGTAATCCTACGAATTTAACATGATTTTTATTCTCATTGATTAATTTAATGATATGAGATTGATTTCGTTTAATTAATCGAGGAAATTTCGATTTCACTATAGCTCCAGGTCGATTCCTACCATCGTTCTTATCGATATATTTATATATATTGTAATTGACCAACTCCTTCTCTGTATCATTCATGGTAATATGATGGGATGTTGATGTGTATAATCTAATCGCTGAGAGGATATTTACAGCCAAAAAAATTATTTTCAGTTCAAAAACTGAGATTACACATTTTACGACAATTTAAAAGACCACTTATTTTTATTTTATTAAAATTATATAAAATGACGACGACGAATACTACTACTTCATTCTAATGGTATAATCTTCACCACTTTGAGTGATATATCTTACCCAAGGATAGGATTGATATTGTAATTTTGGTTCTGTAATTCTTAAATATCTAACTTGAATACCACTAGTAGTAAAATATGGGATTGAAAATTTAACTTTAATAGGTTTCTTAGAAATTAAATTTTCAGTATCATTTACAGCAGGTAATCCTAACTCAGCTCTCATATGATATTGTTTCCCACCTGCAAATGATTTCAAAGTCCAAATAAGACATGATTTTTCAGGAATCCATTTAACTGAACCATATTCAGGAGTTAATTTTGGAGTATCAGCATCTTCAGGGATAGGAATAATGATTTCAACTGATGTAGCAGTTGATTTCTTTTTAATTTGAGCTCTGGCTGAACATAAAATTTCAATTCTAGAATGTTTATGAACTTTAGTTTTACAATTGACAAGAATTAAAGGTTTCATTAAGAATTGAGTTGATGATAATCGATAAGACATAAGAGAAAATTCTCCATCCGGTGGTATAAATGTAATAATTCTTTCATTTTCAAATTTAGATAATCTAACACATTGATGGAATTTTATATCTTCTAATTCAATATTTTTCCCATTTGATTCATCAGTACCAGGATTATTATTATTACTAATTGGAGTTGAAGTATTATTATTACTAGTGAATATTCCTTTATCATTTAATCCTAATCTTAAATCAGGCATACCACTTAAATGAGATTTAATTTTAATTTCACCCAAGATTTCACTATTAAGAATTTGACCATTAGCATTAATTAACATATTTATGGATTCAATAACATCTAAAAATGCTTCATTTTTTTTATAAAAGATATTATCTTTTCTCCAACTAATTGAATTAGTTAAAGCATTTGGAGGTTGAACTAAATGATCATGAGATTTTTTAATTAATTTATAATAATCTTGAGTAATATATTCTTTTAAAATCTTTGTATCAGTGGTTTGAGGTATACCAAAATCCATCATTTCATCTAATAATTCATAAATTATAACAAAATTATCTCTAATTGATTCTTCTTCTAAAGATTTGAAATATTCAGTTAAAACGGTAATTAATTTAGATAAAAATATAATAATGGTCATTATATTTTCATTTTTTTTAGTTAATCCACATAAATAAAGATTATTATGTAGTATAAATATATAATTTATACCTTGATGATTAATGAAAGGTTTATAATCTGCTGAATTTTCATCTTCCAAGTCTAATAATAAGAGAGGGAATTTTTCAATGGTATTACTGGGGATATCACCTTTATAGTCACGAGATAATAAGGGTTTACCTTTGATATCTAAGAAATGAATTTGGGATGCCATGATTTTTTTTTTAATGTGTACAAAATTGTCTATAATGGGGGAGGGGAGTGGAATGTATTATATGATCAACGGTATAGATGAATGATATATGAGGGTATGAATGTATAATGGAGATGAATGAATGATTTATAATATTAGTCAATCAATCAATTGAATGGATAGTAGGAATTAAACCAGGATGATTTGATGAAAAATAACCGGAATGAAGTGAAGTCGACAACAGATCAATCAATCAATCAATCAAGTCAATGGATGGGTGGAAGGGGGCAATGGATGGGAAGTGAAGAGGTTGATGTGATGTGATATGATACAATGATGGATGGATGGGGTATACAAACTATAGATGTATACGTTTAAGGGATAACACTATGGTTAATTTCAATTTGGTCAAAGGTGGTAGATTTAAATTTTTGGTGATACTTGTTTGTTTTAGATTCCTCACTGAAAGTTGCTCCTCCAAAAATAAACATCAATTTTTATATACAGGTCATGGATTGATTATGTAAGAAATTATATAATCAAATAGGAAATCATACCAGAATACACGACCTTAATTTATCCTGTATACAGTGTCAATTACACAAAGACACGCCACACGCTCAAAAAAGAAAAATTAAATTATTTATATACAGTACTGGGTACAGGGTTTAAAAATAAACAATGAATAACTCAATATGAAACAAAGAAGAATTGTGGGATGTGATAGATAACAATTTAATGAAAAGAATGGGGAGGGAAAGATACGATGATGATGATGATGATGATGATGATATAGTTATATAATGATGAGGTTGGGGTTATAGTTTATTATTATAAGTGTGTTACATCATTGTATGTCTTAGATGATAGAACAACACACGTAAAATAAACAAACAATGTAATAAGAAATAAATTTCTACAGCTTAAATTTCAGTTACTGTAAATTTCCCTCCTCACTTTTTCTTTTAAGCTTTTTCATTTTTACAACAAACAAACAGAAAAACCAAAATAAATAAATAAATATCACCATTTTCTCCTGTGCTGCCATTTCTGTTTTACAATCCATCGTCAATCATTTATACCAACCACTCTTTATCGTTAGAGAATCAAAGTAGTTATCCATATACTATCTATCCCAAATAAGTACTAACTACATACACTCCTTTCTATACTTATACCCCCCCCCCCCTTCGTTTGTTTTACCTTTCTTTTACATCAATACCCCTGTTTGACTGCCAAATTCAAACTTATCATTCATTCCTTTTATTAACCCATATATTACATCAACAAACACTATCATAATGAAATCATTCTTATCCTTATCATTACTTGTGTTATCTCAAATCGCCATTTCTTTAGCCATCTCTCCAATCACTGTCAAAGGTAATGCCTTCTTTGATGATGATGGTAATCGATTCTATATTAGAGGAGTCGATTATCAACCAGGTGGTTCTTCAAACTTAGTCGATCCTTTAGCTGATTCAACCATTTGTGAAAGAGATGTGGCTTATTTCACCGAATTAGGTATTAATACCGTCAGAGTCTATTCCGTTGATAATACAGCTGATCATGATGATTGTATGAATACTTTAGCAAATGCCGGGATTTATGTCGTATTAGATGTAAATACTCCTTATGCTTCTATTGCCAGTGAATCGGCTGCTTGTTCTTATAATACTGATTATATTCAACAAGTTTTAGCTTCAGTTGCAAAATTCGCTGTCTATAATAATACTTTAGGTTATTGGGCTGGTAATGAAGTTATTCATGATGCTGGATCAGTAAGTGCTGCTCCTTATGTTAAAGCAGTAGTAAGAGATATGAAAACTTTTCTTCAAAATAGAAAATTTAGACAAATCCCAGTAGGTTATTCTGCTGCTGCCATTGATGAATATAAAGTTCCAACTGCAGAATATTTTAATTGTGGTGATGATGATTTAGCTAGAGTTGATATGTTTGGATTTAATGATTATTCTTGGTGTGGTGATGCTTCAATTTCAACTTCAGGTTATCAACAAGATTTAGAAGGTTTTAATAATTATTCTATTCCTTTATTCTTTTCTGAATTTGGTTGTAATACGGTATCTCCAAGACCTTTTACTGAAGTTGAAGCAATTTATTCAACTCAAATGTCTTCTGTTTTCTCTGGTGGTTTAGTTTATGAATATTCTCAAGAAGTTTCAAATTATGGTTTAGTAACTATTAATTCTGATACTTCAGTAACTCCAAATCAAGATTTTACAAATTTAAAAAATCAATTTGGTAATGTTACTGATCCATCCGGTGATGGTGGTTATAAATCAAATTTAACTTATGCTTCATGTCCTGGTTCTTCATCAATTTGGAATGCTACCACTAATATTCCAGATACTCCAAAGGGAGCTCTTATTTATATTGATGGTTTTGTTAATCCTGTAGGACAAGGTTTCAATGCTACTACTCAATGGGCTTGTGCTGATCCAGATGATAATGTTGATACTACCGGTAATTATACTTCAACTCTTGGATCTCCTGCAGTATTCCTGGGTTCAGGTTCATCAACTTCAACTTCTTCAAGTAGTTCAAGTTCTTCAACTTCAACTAAAAAATCAGAAGCTGATAATCTTATTCCATCTCATTATGTTAATAAAGTAAATTACTTAGGTTTCTTTGCTGTTTTAGTTGGATTTGCCTTAATCTAGGGTCATTAAATACTTTTACTCCTCGTTAAACTTTTAATCTTCTTGTTTTGTACTTTTTTAAAAATATTATTATCTATATGTTTTTTACTTTTATTTTTTAGTGTTGATACATATAATATATATACTAACTATAACTAAGCTTTCTGTTTAATACCATGAATCATTTCTTCTTTAGTTATTAAATGTCCAATACTATCAACTTCTTCTAATAATTTATCAATATCATAACACCATTCATTTAATAATTCATTAATTTCACTACCACTTGATTTTGATTTATTATTAGTTTCATCATCTTTCTTATCATTACTATTTGAAGTTATAACTTTAACTTTTTCAAATATAACAATTCCTTGTGGTCGATTAATCTTGGCCGAAATCATTCCTTTATTAACTAATTCACTCACATAAGATTCAGCTTCATCACCATCTAATTGTAATAAATATGATAATCGATCTAATTTAATACATTGATAATATTTATTAATGATTCTTAAATTATGTTCAATGATTCTCTTTTGTAAATTTTTATAATTTATTTCTTGTTTGAAAATTGATGAAGTTTGGAAATTTTCTTTATAAATTGATTCAATATTTGACCAATGAATTAATTCATTATTAGTAAAGATTTCTAATAATTTTAAAATCTTTTTATCTTCAATTATTTTATTAAAAATTGCATTTAATTTGATTTTATTAATTAAATCATTTTGATGAGGATCATAAGGAGATAATATAATATAATAAATGATGGAAATTAATAATTCTTTTAATTCATCATTATTTTCTTTAATTAAGGGGATTTCAATTAATAATAATGAATTCTTGACAATCGAAATATAATCATGTTCAAATATTCCAATATCAATTAAATATTTTAAAAATATCGATTTAAATTTATCAGCATCTTCAAAATTCTTTAATGCTTTTAATAAAATTTTACGACTTAAAATCTTAGCTTGATTATAATCTCCCTTTTTTAATGTTAATTCGATTTGTTGTAAGATATATTCCACTTTATCATGGAATGGCATTAATGAATAAGTTTCAACTTGTAAATCACATAAGATTTCCACTGCTTTATCTAAATCAGATAATCTATCAAGATAAATTTGAGCTAAATTTCTGGATACAATAGCTCGTTCAACTTCAACGAAAATCTTCTTATCAGTTATGGTTCTAATGGTTTCAATCAATTTAATCTTTAAATCTAATTCTTTCTTATGATCTTCATTTAATAAAGTTAAATTATCAATCACAGTTTTAATCAAAATTTGAATTGATGATTTCAATTGTCCATGTTTCTTAGATAATAATACCATTAAATCATTTAAATAATCCCAATCTTCATTCTTAACTAACGTTTCCACAATTCTAATCAATACTCTTTTAGATGATGATAAATCTGATGATTGTCTAGTTTGTTTCTCTAATACTAAATATTTATCAACTGCAGTTTTATAATCAGTTAATTGTTCAATTATTGGGAATTGTTCATCCAAGGTGGCAGAGAAATCTTTCTCAGCTTTGATGGGATCCTCTCTTGACATGACTAATGATGGTTGATTATGATGGGGTTGGTTAGTTATGTTATACTCTAGATCAACTTGTGATTGTTGGTGGCAACTTTCAGTTTTGTTCAGTGAGGTCTTAACTGGAAATCATAGAGGTCGTGTGGGATGGTGAACTTTTTTAATTTTTGCAAATGTCGAAATAAATTGACGACATTTGTTTATGTCGCATACCAGAGATTATAAAAGTTGCAAAATTACAATTTAATATTACAGATAAAAACATAAAATCAAACATAATACAAACTAGAAAATGTACTTATTATTATAAAGCCATTTATTTTTTTTTTTTAATTCCAAAAATCTTCAGGAACATCAATGTTATTTGAAGATATCACATAATTCCAATAATTTTGTGTCCACGCATCAAGATTAAAATGTTTAGTTGGATCATTGGGGGTAACTTCAATGAATCTACCATAGCCCGCTTCCCATATTGATACTTCCCTGTTAAGTAATTTTGAAGTATTGATAAGTCTAGAAACCTTTTCTACCTCACTTGTGCTGGACGAACCATGTGAACCACAGTTGAACTCAAAAGCACCGGATTTTGACTGGAAACATCTATAATGCTCAAAAAAACTAAATATAGGGATACCAGGTGTTGGAAAAGTGTCTATAGCTAGAACAGCTGGCTGGCCAATTTGTGGACTCCATACTTGTTCATTTTTAACAACCCCTTCACATTCAACTAAAATACCACTTTCAACAATAATTTTCTTATCTGATTCAGTTAATTCTCCTGGAAATTGATCAAACTCATCCGATAAAATAGGGACATATTTAATATCTGAAAACTCAACAATTGGTTGAAATTTTGGAGGTTCATTTAATTTATAATAATTCACGGCATCTTTATTCTTGATACAAACTTCAACTTGAAAATAATCTTCGCATGTAGGGATTTCAGGAATAGAAGCACCAAAGTTCATAGTATACGGACCTTCGCACCTATAGGTTTGGTTAACTCTGCGCTCCAATAAGTACAAATACATCAGTAAATCTGTATCTTTATTAGAAGAGTAATCCGAAAAAAAATTATTGGTTACCTTCTTTTCTGGAGATAACGTGGAAATTCGTCCTAACTCGGAATATATACTTTCATTTAAAATAATGGAATGTAAAACAGCTAAATCAGCTCTGAAGCTCCAATCGGAATACGTTTTATCTAAGATTGCAGCTTTTTTATTCGATTCTCCTGAGTAAAATCTTAATGGATCAATACCAGATACGCAATAAAACTTAGGCATGGTAACAAGTATAGGTTTTTTGAACCATGATGTAGATTCAGCACTTTGAGGACATGGAGTGGCAAATATCTGACAAATCATACTATATGCATAGTAAAATTCTGCTTCAAGATGATTGTCATCCACTAAACTATGAATCAATTGCTTGATATGCGACAGTTGAATATTACAAATATCAACTCTTTCGTTAGGTTTATTATAATCGCTTCTGATAAATAAGTCATCGGCCAACTTTGGTGACGAGTGGGCCAATCCAAGTGGGCAATCTGCAATCCATTCTGACAATGCTATTTTGATCAATAATAGATCAGCGGATGTAACACCATTCTTGATATAAAGATAGTTTTCTCCATCCATTATTCTCTGTGCCCTTTCATAAAAAGGTAAATAAAATAGTTCCTGTCTAAAACATTGACATTAGCTTGTCCACCTTCACCCAATTTAAAAGCATCAAAAAAGTGTTCCATATCATTGGTGTTAGTGTAATGATCAAATACCAGACCATAAGTAATGTAAAGATACTTATTCTCAAAACACTTTTCATTCGGATCGTACTTGACTTTGTTTAGTCATTTTCCCGTAATACATTCTTAACAAATTGTAAATCAAGGATATAGTATTCTTTTTAGGCAAATACTCAGCAACTGTCTTCGCATACAATTCTCCATGTGGTTGATAACCAATAGCTCTCAATAATTCTGTAATATAAGCCTTACTTTTAACACTATCTCCCCAGCAGTAATCTTCATTAATTCCGTCCAACATCGCTTTCCCAACTTCAAGATCTCCTTTAAAATTGGCCCATATGCCATATTTACTCCCGATCCAAGCTTCATTGGTTTGACACTTTTTCTCTCCAGCCTCATTGGTAATTTCAAAACTAATTTTAGTAGTGTATCCGATTTCATATAGCGCTGAAGTTATATCGATTGTTGTGTCCTTGAATTCTTTTGGAAGAAGCGATTCGAAAAGACCAAACATGACTCAATATATGGTTCCTCCTCTTCTGCTTATTATTACTCATAACTGGAATTTTTTTAATGGAAAAATGGGATTCTAGGATATATTTATATTAATGCCTTATCCAACTACGGTACTATCCCTATTGCTCTATCATGCATTGGATTATTGCGAATTTTTAAACAGAATTGTTTTGGTTGCCGCACGATATTATTGCAACGACCTGTACATAACATATCATTACAAAAAATTTAGTTTATTATTTTATTTAACCATCTAGCTGATATAGGTTCTGTATTGGATTATCATTACTAGATGTCTGAGAATGGTAATATAAAGGATGATCCAGATTCCGAGTCAACTTTACTATCCAAATTATCAAAAGTAGTCCTGAAACACTTGGGAGTAGAAGATAATGACTTAACCATATCAAAGTTTATCTTGCATCTTTCTAAACAAGCCAATGGCAGTAACAACAGTATAGAAAAGTTTAAACAAATCTTGAAAGAGAATGGTGGTGATGATTTCCCAGCTGAGTTTATCGATGGTTGTTTTGAAATAGTATCGCAACCATCAATTCAAATCAAAAAAGAAGAGCAAGATTTAAAAATAAATATCAAACAAGAAGATGATGATCTCCCCACAATAAAGCAAGAATCAACGTCAAACCGTGAATTTAGTGCATTAAGCTTACCTGATAAGATCATAGATTATGAAGATGAAGAAGAAGAAGCCATTAAACGAGAAGATAGTCCAGCTATACTGATAAAACAAGAATATGATAACAATACAACCCGTATTACAACAAGCAATGAGGTAAAAGTTGGCCAAATATGTAAGGGGTATGTAACTAACTTAACATCATATGGAGCATTTATAAGGTTAAATAATCCAAGATCAAATAAGTCAGGATTGTGTCATGTTTCACAGATATCATTTGATGGAAGAACTAGAATTCAAACACCCTCAGATATATTAAAATTTAACCAAGAAGTATTTGTCAAAATCACGAAGATAGACATACCGTCTAATTTAAATCATGGGGCTAGAGAGAAAATTTCATTATCTATGAGGGCAATAGATCAAGTAACAGGATTAGATAGATCCGAAGATTTGATTCTCGAAGAACAAGAAAGGCAAAGAGGAAGAGAAGCTCAAAGAGAAGTATTAGCTGAATCAAAAGCTAAGAAAAGAAGATTAACATCCCCAGAACGTTGGGAAATTCGTCAATTGATTGCATCTGGTGTTTTTTCTGCTGATGATTATCCTGAGTTGCAAGGAGATGAAGATCCCAACGCTGCCTTTGAAGAAGACAAACCGGCTGACGATGAAGATAAAGACATAAACTTCGAGATAGAATTAAACAATAGTGAGCCAGCATTTTTAAAAGGTCAAACTCAAAATTCAGTCCAATTAGCACCAGTACAAATATCAAAAAATCCAGAAGGTTCATTAAACAGAGCAGCTATGAATGGATCAAAATTTGCTCGAGAATTTAAAGAAGAGAAATTTAAAGAGAAGAAAGAGTCCGAAAAGCTGACTAAATCAAATAGACATGATCCATTAACGCAAATGAATCAAGACACTAAGGAAAAGACTGAAAATTTCATTTCCCAATGGAAGAAAACACAAATGTCAAAGAATACTCTGTTTGGTAAGAGAACAAGTTTATCGATAAAGGAACAAAGAGAAACCTTACCGGTTTACGCTATGAGATCACAATTAGTGCAGGCTATAAAAGATAATCAGTTTGTGGTTATAGTGGGTGAAACAGGTTCAGGAAAAACTACACAAATTGTACAATATTTATCCGAAGAGGGATTTAATGTTGATGAAAATGGGAATAGAAAGATTATTGGTTGTACCCAACCAAGAAGAGTAGCAGCTGTTTCTGTGGCGAAAAGAGTAGCTGAAGAAGTCGGCTGTCGAGTAGGAGAAGAAGTTGGTTATACTATTAGATTTGAAGATGAAACTAGTTCAAAAACAAAAATTAAGTATATGACTGATGGTATGTTACAGAAGGAAGCTTTAACTGATCCACTTATGAGTAGATACTCGGTTATCATGCTAGATGAAGCTCATGAAAGAACAATTTCTACTGATGTGTTGTTTGGATTGTTAAAGAAAGCATGTTTGAAGAACCCTAACTTAAAGGTGATTGTTACTTCCGCTACTCTTGATTCTAAGAAATTTTCCAAATATTTTAATGATTGTCCGGTTATGACTGTTCCAGGTAGAACTTTCCCAGTAGAAGTTTTATATACTAGAGAACCAGAGTTGGACTATGTGGCAGCTGTTTTGGATTCAGTTGTTCAAATTCATGTTTCAGAACCAACTGGTGATATCTTAGTCTTTTTGACGGGTCAAGAAGAAATTGATACTTGTTGTGAAGCATTATATGAAAGAATGAAAGTATTAGGTGATACTGTTAGCGACTTGATTATTTTACCAGTTTATTCAGCATTACCATCAGAAATGCAAACTAAAATCTTTGATCCAGCTCCAGCTGGATCTAGAAAAGTTGTTATAGCTACTAATATCGCAGAAACTTCCATTACCATCGATGGTATTTACTATGTGGTTGATCCTGGTTTTGTTAAAATTAATGCTTATGATGCCAAATTAGGTATGGATTCATTGATAATTTCACCAATCTCACAAGCACAAGCTAATCAAAGAAGTGGTAGAGCAGGTAGAACTGGTCCAGGTAAATGTTATCGTTTATATACTGAAAATGCCTATCAAAATGAAATGATGCCAAATTCAATTCCTGAAATTCAACGTCAAAATTTATCGCATACGATTCTAATGTTAAAGGCAACTGGGATTAATGATTTATTAAATTTTGAATTCATGGATCCACCTCCTACTAATACTATGCTTACGGCATTGCAAGATTTATTCACGTTATCAGCCCTAGACGAAGGTGGTTATTTGACTAAATTAGGTAGAAAAATGGCTGATTTTCCTATGCAACCATCATTAGCAAAGACTTTAATTACGTCAGTTGAATTTGGATGTTCAGAAGAAATTCTTAGTATAGTTGCTATGCTTTCAGTTCAAACTGTCTTCTATAGACCTAAAGATAAACAAAACTTAGCTGATCAAAGAAAGGCAAGATTTAATCATAGTCAAGGTGATCATTTGACATATTTGAATGTTTATCGATCTTGGGTACTTAATAATTACAGTAAAGATTGGTGCCAGGATAATTTTATTCAAGAAAGAAGTATGAGAAGAGCACATGAAGTCAGAAGACAATTATTAACAATTATGAGAAAGTATAATCAACCTATAATGTCTTGTGGGTCTGATCTTGATAAAGTCAGACGAGCTTTATGTTCGGGATTCTTTAAGAATTCAGCTAAGCGAGATCCGCAGGAAGGATTTAAGACTGTCGCGGAGGGTACACCAGTGTATCTTCATCCATCATCTTCATTATTTGGAAAGAGTCCCGAATATGTATTATACCATACATTATTGTTAACTACTAAAGAGTATATGCATTGTGTCACTGTTATAAATCCAAAATGGTTAGCTGAATTAGCACCCTCATTCTTTCAAGTATCAGACCCAACAAAAGTCAATGAAAGAAAGAAGAATGAAAAAATTGTACCATTATTTGACAAGTTTGCTAAGAATAAAGATTCTTGGAGATTAAGTGCACAGAATTCTGCCAAAAGAAGAGCCTTAGGAAATAGATAGAGATAATTTTTATAGATCCAACGGTGTAATATATAAATGGAGCTTGTATAACCTCTAATCCACCCTGTAAAGAACAATGGCCTATGACTATCCGATGAGCCGGGTGCAAAATACCAATTTAGGCGTAAGCCGCCTTTAAACCTGGTTATGAAGATCATGACACGATAAATTATATCGTCATTATGTCATATAACTTGCCATAAAAAAAAGATTTATTTTGCCATATGAATAGCCGAAGTTAATTTTGAATGTGATTATATCTGTCTACTTACTCCACTTTTATTATGTGCAGGATATTTTATCCATACTGATTATGATTGTGATGATGATTGTCTGATATAAAAGCGGCATTTCTTACTTATGATTCAAAATCAGTTTGATTTGCTCTTATCATTAGAGATATCTTTCTAGCTCATCGAGGAGTTGATAAGGTAGTTTTATTCATCGTTCATGTTCGATAGTCATTCCTTTTTATAAACATTTTCTCGATTATAATATGAATAGCGCAAAATATGCAAGGGAAGCGATACAAGATCGTGTGAACTTATATAATGCAACTTCGAATATTTCATTATCAGGTGTAAAACCTTTACGAAGGAAATATACTGCCAGTGCACCTATCACAGAAACACCATTAACAAACAGTCCCTCGAGCATCTTGCCATGTGCACCTTTGGAAACTGATGGGGAAGGTAACTTTATCCATAGTACCAGTGGCAGAAAAATCATTTTGAAGGGTATAAATCTTGATGCTGCTATGAAGTTACCTACAAGTCCAGCTTTACCTAGTTTTAAAGGAGACTGTACTGATGGAGATAATGTATTCTTCGATGGAGATAATGTCACATTTGTGGGTCGTCCTTTTCCTCTAGAAGAGGCTCAACAGCATATACTAAGAATAAAATCTTGGGGTTATAACACGATAAGGTATTTATTGACCTGGGAAGCTATAGAACATGCGGGTCCTGGTAAGTATGATGACAAATTTATCGATTATACTCTAAAGATTTTAAAAATCATTCATGAGGTTGGTGGAGTTTATGTATTTCTTGAGTTTCATCAAGATGTGTGGTCTAGATTTAGTGGAGGTAGTGGAGCTCCATTATGGACTTTATATGCCGCTGGTTTGCAACCAACAAGGTTTGCTCAAACTGAGGCTGCCATTTTGCATAATGAACCTCGATTTCATCGTGAGGAGAATCCAGAAGAGTATATAAAGATGCTTTGGACATCAAATTATAAACGTTTAGCAGCAATGACCATGTTTACTTTATTCTTTGCCGGTAAGAACTACTTTCCTTATTTGAAAATCAATGGTGTAAATATTCAAGATTATTTGCAAGATCATTTTTTTAATTGTACTAAACATATTTGGACAGCTATCAATAGACGATTACCTCAAATGATTAAAGATGGTACCATATTAGGTTTTGAACTGATGAACGAACCAAATTGTGGTTTGATGGGTCATGCTCATTTGGGTGAATTACCCGCTAGTCAACAATTAAGACTTGGAACAACTCCTACTGTATATCAAGCATTTAAACTTGGAATGGGTCTTCCGGCAAAAGTAGATGAATATAGAATATCTATTACTGGTCCTCAAGTCTACGGTACAAAGATCGTTGATCCTAAAGGTGCGAGAGCTTGGCTTTTACCAGAAGAAGCACTCATCGTCGATAAGAAATATGGCTGGACTAGAGATCCAAAATGGGTTCTCGGCACCTGTATATTTGCCAATGAAGGTATTTGGACCTGGGATGAAGATGTTGATTTGGATTTATTACCTTCTTTGACTGAAGAAGAAAGAACCAATATAAGTATTAGGAAATGTCATTTGGAGAAACCAAATTTCTTTAATCAAGCCAGTGCTAGGCATAATTTAAATGGATACCCTAAAACTGTTGATATTCAATATTTCAATCATAATAATTTCATTGATTTCTATTTAAAGCTTAAAACTATCGTTAGAGCAATTGCTCCTAATGCCTTTGTGTTAATGCAACCTCCAGTGTTGGAAATCCCACCAAATGTTAAAGATGATGTTCGAAAGATTGTTGATTCCAAGACAGTTTATTGTCCTCATTATTACGATGGGATGTCTTTAATGTTTAAAACTTGGAATTCTAAATTCAATGTCGATACCTTAGGAATCATGAGAGGAAAATATATCAATCCTGTATTGGGTATTGTATTTGGTGAGAATGCTATTAGAAATTGTATTAAGAAGCAATTCATGGAAATAAGAAAGGAATGTGATGATAATCTTGGCAAAATACCCACCTTGATGTCAGAAACAGGTATGCCATTTGATATGGATGATAAAAGGGCATATACCAATGGGAAATACTATTTGCAAACTGCTGCATTAGATGCATTGAGTTATGCATTAGAAAGTCTGAATATGTCCCATACTTATTGGTGTTATTCAAGTTCCAATTGTCATGAATGGGGAGATAGATGGAATAACGAAGATTTTTCATTTTGGTCTCCTGATGATAGAAATTTACAATTTGATGAAGACAATGAAAATGCTAGTTTGTTCCAAAGATCACAAACTTCAATCAATTACACCAGAGCTACGATCAAATCAACTATCAAGCTCATTCGAGCTAAAAGACTCGAATACACTGCAGCTAGTTTGAGACGTCCTCGCAGAGCCAGTACAAGAATGTCTAAAACAAGATCAGGTCAGTCTGATATTAGTCAAACTGATTCCATTGATAGTCAACCACAATATAAAGATGACGAGGATGAATCAACAGATACTGCATCACTTATATCAAGTACTACTGAGAATGTTCAAGCCAAGCATAATCGAAAATGTTATCCTTCCCCTGATGGTGTCAGAGCCGTTAGTGCGGTGGTTAGACCGTATGTGGTAGCAACTAAAGGTGAAGTTCTTGTCTCTGAATTCGATATTAGAAGTGTCAAATATGCAGTTTCAGTTGAAATCGATAAAGAGAAATCATTGAATAAACCAACTGTTATCTTTGTACCTAAATGGCATTTCCCATTTTTAAATTATGGAGATATATTTTTAACATCGGGATATATCAAATATAATGAAGAGTTAGAGTATTTAGAATGGTATCATCAAGATGATCCTGATCTTGTCATTAGTGAAGAAGAGGCATCTGCCAGTCCTGAACCTGGGAATTCGAAAGAAACCTTGATCATTAAAAACAATAGTGGTACTTTAGATGTATCTAAATTGAATGATGATCAAGGACTTTTCTACAATGGAGAACTTAATTGTCCAATAACTTAATGTATTATGTACTTATTTATTTATATATATATCTTATAGAATTTCATATATGTATCATATCTATTAAAAATCAAGAGAATCATCTTCTCTTTCTCTTTTAGCTCGTAATTCATCTTTGATTAAATCATTAACGAATTTGGCAAAATGATCCACATAAGGTTTCAAACTGGTTTTATCATAATCTGCTAAACGTTTAGATTCATCTTGAGGTTCATCTGAATCTTTCGATTTGGATCTTTCCCATGATTCAAGTTCATCCTGTATTTGTTTCAAATTTGGAGATGTGGTGGGATTGAAACCATAATCATCATCTTCAGGATTATTAGATATATTTCTAGTAGGATCGAAAGGTACACATACATTCCCAGTACCTGGATGAATACAAAATGGAGATTTCAATAAATGGATAACTTGTCTGGACACTTCAACATCTAATCTTGGATACATGTAATATATAATGATATCCTTTTTAGCTTCATTTAATAAAGTCACTTGAAGTTGAGATTTTAATACTCTTTTAGCAACATCATTAATATCTTCCCATTTTGATTTTGAAGTTGATAATGATTTTTGATCTTTCCATTTATTACGTAATTCACTTTGTAATGATTTTTCAGGTATAAATGATAAAAGTTCATCAATTTGAGTCCAAGCTTTAGCATCACTTGGAGTACTTGCACTAGTAAGCCAAGGTTCTTGATCTTGTAAGACTATATCGATGAATTCTTCCTTTAAGAAATTAAATGATCTTTCAACATGAGGATGATATGGTTTCTTTAATTTTTTAAATTTACCTTGCATACTTGATAAAACATCCATATATTCAACTATAGCTTTTCTAGTCCCTTCATCTAAATTACGAGCTCTTGCATCACTAATCCAACAATGGGCCCCTCTTCTACCTGAAAAAACCCATACTAAATGTTTAAACCCAAAATCTTCTTTTAAAGCTGATTCAATAATTTTTGATCCAACTCTTATAAATTTCCAACATTTCATACAAATATCAGTACCTTGACAACAAGTTCTAATATCATCATAATCAGTTAAATCAATATCAAATACAAGTTCTTTAGATATTGGTTTCAAGGCATTCTTAGGTAAATTTCGTCTTTCCTTAGGATTAACAGTATAAACAGCCCCCACTTCAAAACGAGTTGGATTAGCACTAACCACGGATTTCTTAAAGTCTTCTTGACTTTCATACGAATTATAACGTTGATAAGCCCCAGATCGATGTTCATAAGCAAATTCTCTCATGGTGAAATCCTTAGTTGCCTTTGGTGAATGACTTAACCATTGAAATATATAACGGAAAGGTAATAATCTTTCATAGTAATGTTGCATATCTGCAGAAGAAGGTTTCCATTTTTGAGCTGGAGTTTGTGATTGGGTATCAAACGTGTTTAGTACCACTTGTGGCCTTGGTGGTTCTATATCCTGAGTCATCCTTGATATATATGTCTTTAGATGGTTCTAATCAGTTGCAATTTAAAATGGTTTAAATATTTTTGTTTTGATATCGCGTTTGACTGTTTGGCTGCTTTAATTTTTTAAACGCGTCAGTTCCAGTATCAAAATTTATTTCAATTACTGCTAAAAAGTGCTAAACTGGTTTATACACATTTATGGTCTACGTAATACAGATACACGATTAATTAATGCATTTGAAATGAATATCTAACAGAAGCTTTTTATATATATAATGTACAGATTTTTATGGAACAAGTTAATGTAACCTATTCAAGTTTAAATACCAATGAGACACCTTCATCACCAGCTGTTATAAGTTGTTTCCCATTATCAAGGACCGCAAAATCTAGCACTCCCATATTATGACCTACACCAGCAAATATTTCTTCACCAGTTCTAGCATCCCATTTATAGATCTTACCATTCATACTTGAACCCACTAATAATGGGGTATCATTTATAAATTCTAATTTTGTAATGGCATCATTCACTTTAATAGTTCTACGTAATCTCCATTGGAAAGTTTCAAATAATAATATATCACCAGAGACTAAACCCACAGCTAAAAGATTGATTCCATTAGCTTTACACCAACTAAGAGCTTCAATTGATAATTCATTCACATCATCGACATTTTCTAAAGTTTTGACATTATGAACGATTTTACCAGTATCATTATTTATAATGGTTAATTGACCATCTCTAGCACCGACAGCAATGACATTTTTATAAACTTTAATAGTAACCCAAGGACTTTCAGTACCTTTGAAATCATCATAAGGTTGTAATTTATAATTCACTACTCCAGTAAAACAATTCCAATTTACAATAGTACCATCTTCAGAAATAGTTACTAAAGTTAATTCATTTTCATCTTTACCTTCAATGAATACACCACCATTACATTCTAAGGAATGAGAGAATCCAGACATGATTTGAACTAAAGATTTAGATGATTTATCAATTTGATAAACCCATACTGAACCATCATTGGCTCCAAATGCAAAATATGGTAAGGAAGGATGAACAATGACGAATAAGACTTCTTCAACTTCATCCAATTCAGCGAATTTAGTCCATTTTTCTCCTCCTTTACTAGCTTTATGAACTTGAATGAAACCATTCATATCAGCAGTGATGACAAATTCTCCATTAGAAGTAAATCCACCACTAATAACTGATTCTTTATGACCTTGTAATTCACCTACAAATCTTGGAGGTTGAGTATGAGTAGTCCATAAGTATGCAGTATTATCACCCCCTCCAGTAACCACTAAAGGTAAGACAGGATGTTTAAAAATAGTGAATATACTATCAGTATGTTTATCAAAATAAGCCCATGAATTATTAGACATATCGATTTCTATAGTTTCACCATTTTCATCATCCATGTCCATATCATCTTCTTCGTCATCAGGCACGGGGCCATTATCTTCAGGAACTTCTTCATCGACTTCATTCAAGTTTAAGAATTCTTCTTGATCTTCTTCATCTCCAACATTTTCCACTTCAGGATTATTATATTGATCAGCCATTGTATTGTCTCTATTTCCTCTGACTTTTTCTATTAATTTCTAGTTTTTTCTAATAAATGTATCGAATGACCAATGGTAATGATATTTATAGTCTATACTAATACAATTATTTTTAAAAATGGTTGAAATTGATGGCAAAATTGATTATTAATTGATTTTAAATTATAATGATTTCAATATTTGATGAGATTTAGAATTTTTTTTTTTTTTTAATTGAAAGATGATGTGTTGTGTGCAGGATTTCCTATATATAAGCAAATATTATTCCTATTTGGTGAATAATTTTGCAATCACAATTTATAATAAGGTACAGTTGATATTGTGAGGTTATTAAGAGTCTCAATGGTTACTCTGAGTGTTGTTTTATGAGTACTCCATTGTACCTACATTTTCATATTTCAATTTTTATATAGATAAGACTTTCGTAGTTTGTTAGTACTTTTTGTTTAAATTAGCAGTGAAATTAAGATGTTCAAGAAATTTGATGAATATAATTTGTAAGTCAAATTAAACTCCATTTTATATAACAAAGACTTGATGATACAATTATCAAACCACTAACATTCACAATTACTATACACAAATACTCTAAATATCTGTTTAAATATGATAATTCCCATTAAATGGCTGCTATTTTTAAATAATTAGATATTTCACACGACTCTCTCTCTATTTCTGGAAACTATAAAAAAAAATTACCGTAAACGAGTGAGTGACACGACACTTTCTATACAATCAGATAGATCTTACATCAGATAGATTAACTATATATCATCATTAAATAAAAGAGGTATCCTATTAATAACCCTACCAGGGATACTCATACCATAAACATCAAAATATACTTTTTAAATTCAAAAAAACATTCACAAAACACAGTCGTTTAGTCATTGATTTCAACATCACTCATACCCATTAATATAGAATCATACAATTTTCAACTCAAACTCATATAATCATAATATAATCATAATATGTCAGATTGGATTTCAACATTCCCTGGCTATGAACAAGTGCTAACCACAGCCAAAAAAATATTTGGTAAAATAGTTCAAACTGGTCCTGTTCCAAGGCATGTAGGGATAATTATGGATGGGAATAGAAGATATGCCAGAATAAATAAAATAGAAATTAAAGAAGGTCATAGTCTTGGTTTCGATACTATGGCAAGTGTATTGGAATTATTATATGAATCAGGTGTAGAATGTGCTACTGTATATGCTTTTTCCATTGAAAATTTTAAAAGACTGAATGCAGAAGTTAAATGGTTAATGGATTTAGCTAAATTAAAATTTGAACAAATTAATCAACATGCTGATTTATGTGAAAAATATGGAGTTAAAATAAAAGTTCTTGGTAATAAAAGGTATATGCCTCCTGATGTGGCAAGAATTTTAAGAAAAACTGAAGAATTAACAAAAAATAATAAAAGAGCAACTTTAAATGTTTGTTTCCCATATACATCTCGAGATGAAATGGTTAATCTGATAAAGAGAGTGGTGGATGAATCAACTAAAAATCATGATTTAATAATTGATGAATCAGCTATTGATAGACATTTATATACATCTGATTCACCTCCATTAGATTTATTAATCAGAACTTCAGGTACTTATCGATTATCTGATTTTTTATTATGGCAATGTGTTTCCCCTGATTGTTCCTTGGTGATAGTAGATCAATTATGGCCTGCTTTCCGTCCTTGGCATATGGCCAAAGTTTTATTAAATTATAGTTTTAATAAATATTGGTTTGGTCATGGTAATGGATATACTACATCTAATAAGGGTATAAATTTATATCAAAGTAGTTCAGTAATAGATTTGAATGATGGAAAATCATCTAGTGGATATCAAAGATATGCTGATTCAGAATGGCCTGATGAAGATGAATCAGAAGAAGATGGAGAAATACTCGAAGATATTGAAGAAGAGGAAGAAGAAGAGGAAAGTTCAGGAAACAGTAGTGGTATAGAAAGAGAAAGAGACGATGAAGTAGATACAGTTACTTCCAGCGAGTCTGATTCTAATAAGAAGTATTAATTTACGTTTAGTATATATATATAACTTTATTTATTTATTTATTTAATTTTAATTTTAATTTTAATTTAATTTGACATAGTTAAGTTAATTTAATTTAATTTCATAGCCCTGCTGCCTGCCTAATTGGGAACATCCTGTATATGCATTTTTTTGACTACTTAAATTTCGACACATAATTAGCAGCCAAATAATATTGTTAGCTTCTACATAATTGACTAATTTGGTTCTTACTAGTTATATCTGTGAATAAGAGTTGATGAAAGAGTATTTAAGGTTACATTTATTGAATGTGTATCTTATTAGATCTGAGATAGTAACAACTATCCTATCTATAGACTTGTCACTATGTACTTATTAAACAAGACAAATAAGCAAAAGATATCACCATTATCAGAATAACAGTAACAGTATCGGATATTTCCATTAAATAACAACGTTTATACCTAGACAGACCAATTAATCAATAATAAATGTTGTCTGATTTGAGGTAGTGTCCATATGGATAAAAATGGTGTCATAGTTAACACTTTGACTCATAATCAAAAAAAATTTATAGCAAAACATCCAAAAATCAATACAGGTCCGTTTTAGCATCTCCATAAATTTTTCAATCAATCAATTTAAATTTCAATATTCAACCCATTCAATTCATTGAGATCTATAGTTTAAACTACAAAATCTTACTATATAGTCAATATGGATTTAGTCAACCACCTACCAGACAGATTGTTGTTTGCTGTCCCAAAGAGTATGTACTTTCAAATCAGTTAACCAAAAGATATCATAATCTTTACTTGTTCATTTTACTAACACATGTGTTTTATTTATAGAGGGTCGTTTATATGAAAAATGTTGTGAATTATTAAGTGGTGCTGATATTGAATTCAGACGTTCAAATAGATTGGATATCGCCTTATCCACTAATTTACCCGTTGCTTTAATCTTCTTACCTGCTGCTGATATTCCAATTTTCGTGGGTGAAGGTAATTGTGATTTAGGTATAACTGGGTTAGATCAAATTGAAGAAGCTAGTATGGTTGATAACATAAAAGATTTATTAGATTTAAACTTTGGTAAATGTAAATTACAAATTCAAGTTCCAGCTGCTGGTGATGTTACATCTCCTGAACAATTAATTGGTAAAAAAATTGTTAGTTCATTTACAAAATTATCCACTGATTATTTTAAAGCATTAGAAAAAATCACCGATACTGAAGATTTAAAAACTCAAATAAGATACGTTGGAGGTTCAGTTGAAGCTTCTTGTGCTTTAGGTGTGGCTGATGCCATTGTTGATTTAGTTGAAAGTGGTGAAACTATGAAAGCTGCTGGTTTAAAACCAATTGAAACTGTGTTATCAACTTCAGCTCATTTAATCTCATCCAAGACTCCAAAATTCCCTGAAATAGTTGAAATCATTCATCAAAGATTCGAAGGGATCATGGCTGCTCAAAAATACGTTTTATGTGAATATAATGCTCCAAGATCTATATTACCAATTGTGTTAAAAATTACTCCAGGTAGAAGATCTGCTACTGTTTCAGCTTTAGAAAAAAGACCTGATGAAACTGAAGAATGGGTGGCTGTATCATCTATGGTTGAAAGAAAAGCCAAGAGTGATGTCATGGATCAATTAAAGAAAGCTGGTGCTTCTGATATTTTAGTATTTGATATTTCAAATTGTAGAGTTTAACCATATAGATTATGATTCTTCCCCCCCTTTAACTACAACAAATCTTATATATATATAATAGACTTTTTTTTATTATTGTATTATAATAAACTATATTCATTCATACTTAATTAACTTAATAACCTTCAATTTCTTTTATACCATCTTTATTAACAACTTTAACATATACACCTTTAAAATCTATTGGCATTCTAGTTTCTAATTCTTTTAAACATAATTTCAATAAAGCTAATCCATCATCAACCTTCATATCTTTTCTATAATGTTTATCTAATAAAGATGTAGCATAAAATGCAGCATAACCATGAGCTCCATAAGGTAATTCAACTTGAGTACCTAAATAATCTATCCAATTTAAACTTGGAGTATCGGTTTTAACATCATATCCACCTATCAATACATTGACTTGATATGGTTTACGTGATCTAAGGGAACTGGCTAATTGATTTCTTACAAATGATGCAGTGGCTTTTGGAGATAATTCAATATCATTTTCTCTCATACTATATAATTGAACATTGGCTTGAATATATTCGGCAAATTGAACCGTATCTCCTGATTCACCAGTATAAGCAATTAAATTACGAGCATTCAATGGTCTGGTCTTATCATCTGTGTCCTTTAATACTGAAATACCTCTAGTGGCAGCTTTGGAAGTGGCTATAATAGTACCATCTGCTACTCTTATACCTAAAATAATATCCATATTGTATTGATTGTTATGTTTATGTTATGTGATGGGTGATTATTATATATGATATAGTTAGTCTGCAAGATGTGGTTTAACTTCAATTGTAATGGAATTGAATTATAATTGATCAAATGTTATTGATTCTATATCAATTTGCCATCCAACTAACTAATTCAGATCGGTATACATTTTGTTTGTTCAATCAAAATATATTTTCAGTTGGTCGTGTGAAAATGGTTAAAAACTGGTTAACTACTAGAACACCACTTTTATACCTATTAATTATGTATTAACTATTAAATATCCTATTTACCAAGTACTTCATTTATCTTCTTCTCTATTAAAGAAGTAATAAGTTTGTTTAATGCACTATCTTTGTTCTCAATTTGACTGTTCAAGTTTAATTCAATTTGTTTTTCAATTAATTTCCCCGTTAAATCAACTTCAATATTAACTGAACCATCAATATCTTTTGTTGGTAATGTAACTTTTGATTGGGTATAACTTACCATCATTATGGAAAACTCAAAGGTTTCATAATTGACATTTGTAACTGTTAAGGAAGTACCATCTACTGCTATGAACCCCTTTTCAACTATATAATGAATGTAATCTTTATCTCTTAATTGGAAAGTGAAAGTAATGGCATTACCATCAGGTACTCTTTTAGTTATGGAAGCAATAGTATCAACATGACCTTGTACGACATGACCGCCTAATCTAACTTCACTAGTAACTGCCCGTTCTAAATTAACTTTAGAACCAGTTTTTAAATCACCCAAATTTGAACGACGTAAAGTTTCAGGAGCAATTCCAACTTTGAATTGAGTTTTGGCTTCATCGAATTCAGTCACGGTTAAACAAACTCCATTGGTTGAGATTGAATCACCTAAATGAACATCAACTAATATGGATGCACAGTCTCCGATAATGGCTGATACTCCATTACCTCCTGATGAAGTAGTATCTAATTCAGTATATTCTAATACTGTCCCTATAGTTTCGACTAATCCTGTAAACATGATGATGATATAGAATGAGTTATGAGATGTGAAGATGTGAAAATGGTGGTGGTGGTGGTGATAATTGTTGCTTATATATATGTAGATAATTTTGATATTACTAACAATTGACAAACTAATTTTCTCCATTATAAATTTACTGCACTTTTTAAAATGATCTATATAGTTCACCACAAACTAAGTCAATGTTTTACTTTATGAGATGAGCTTGAGTTGATGATCATCTAATCAAACTGAATATATGATCAAAGGACTAAAATCACTCTAAAATAATAGTAGATACTGTTCAAATAAAGTACTATTTAATTTTGCAGACTTTATATACAATGTATACTGTTATTTACTATTACAAAGCGTAATTTCAAGACTCTGCGAAAAGTTGGAAAATTTGAAAACGCAGAATTATCAGACAGTATTCAAATCATATAGGTAAATTGATGTTGGTATAGATAGGATAACAACAAATTAGAAATGCCATTCAGATTCCCTGTCAAGTTTGATATTCCAAAACATTCATTCGTGAATGCCAGAGTCATCAGAGATCAATTCAAAAGATTACAATATGAAGAACATGAAGTCACCAGAAATGCTTTAAAATATATCGCTAGAAATACCGAATTACCATCAAGAGTTAGATTAGAAGCTCAATTACAATTAACTTCCATGCCAAAATATACCGCCTATAATCAAATCAGAGATAGATGTGTTGCGTCCGGTAATTCAAAATCTCTTATTCGTGATTTCAAATTGAATAGAACTGCATTTAGAGAAAGAGCTAGAGCTGGTTTGATACCAGGTGTTAAGGTTGCTTCTTGGTAGATTTTAAATGATAATCTCCTACTTAATTCCCATTTCTTCTTGTGAAGAACCTTGTAATGACTTTATAATCACTTGTAAATAGCTTTGTATAATATACGTTATAGAATATATTCATATTTTAAACCTCCCGTAGTAAGTTCAACCACCAACCACCCACACACAAAAAAAAATTATTTCTCCAACTATATTTCAAAAGTTTTCTTTGATAGTTTTACTTATCTTGTTCAACGCCAACAATAAGTTATAGTTCATCACATACATACATACATACATCTATAACACTAATAGAATCATAATAGAAAATGTCAGTAATACTGTTAATTCGTTCGGCATACAGACCCACCAATCAAATAAAATCAATTAATCTCATCTCAAATATATATATAACCAGATCAATATCTTTAAAACCTGACTTTTCCAAATTTAAAAAGATCGAACAACCAGCAGGTCATGTTGTAGGTACAGTCAACGATGCCTATGTTGCTCCTCCTGCTAGATTTTCTGAAGGTGGTTATCATTGGGCTTATGAAAAAATAGTCACTTTATCAATGATTCCAACTATGATGGTACCTTTTATATTTGGACCTGAATATCCTATGATTGATTATATATTCTCGGTATTATTGTTATTCCATTGTCATGCTGGGTTCAAATCTTGTATCATTGATTATATTCCTCAAAGAGTATTTGGTATTTGGCATAAAATCGCTTCTGGTGTGTTAACTATGGGTAGTGCTGTTAGTTTATATGGTATTTATTTACTTGAAACCAGTGGTAATGGTATTTTCGAATTAGTTAGAAACTTGTTTCTTGCTTAAGTAACCACTTCAACATGTTAATTGAAGGATATCTTCATATTATAATCATGGACTCTTTGAAAATGTATATAGTTTCTACATTTTCTGTTTATTTAATTAATGTAAATAGTATCATAAACAATTGTAATCTAGGTTTACATCCATTACATTCTACAAAGTATCATTATTCATCTTTTCATAGAGATCTGTTGTAATATGATATGAATCTCATATCCCAACCACACTTCAAAGAAATACGAGACAGTAAGATTCTCACACGTACAGTGAAAAAAAATAAAGGACATAACAGTACAACTCCAAAAAAATTCAGAAATTCACGTATGTCTTAAAAAAATACGACAAGTTTCAATTCCATCAATTCTTGAACTTGCTTTACCCCATTGACCCATTCCATACACAAAGATAAAGATGAGTGATACCGAGGTACTTGATTATGAAGAGAAGAGAAGAGAAATAGTGGACGATATGGAAGTGGAAAGAAGAGATGGTGATGAACCTCAAGAAGAACAACCTGAAAAGAAACCATTCGATCATCAAGGTCTTCAAGCTTCAGATGGATCTGAACCTCAAGAAGAAGTGGTATATGAAATAAAAGATGAACCTTCATTCCATGTTACGAGAGCTTTATTCATTGCTAATTTAAGAAGACCTTTGAATGCTATTCATTTTCAAAATTATATGAAGACCTTAGCAAAAGAAGCAGGTGATTATGCCGTGGAAAGAGCTTGGTTAAATAGAACTAGAACTCATGGAATTGTACTTCTTGATAATGAAGCTGGTGCTGAATATATTCGTAGTAAGATTCTTGGTTCAATTTATCCTTCTGCAAGTGATGATTCTAAATTAAGTGAAGAATATGAATCAAGAGAAGAAGAAAGATATGAACAACAACTTCAAGAATATAATGATGCTATTGCTGCTGCTGCCAATGATGAAGAAAAAGATGCATTGACTCCACCAATAGAACCAAGAAAATATTCAGTAGAGAGAATCCCACTTTTTGTTGATTATATTCCCGTAAAAGCTATTAATCAATGGGTTTTTGAAGAAGATAGAGGTCCAAGAAATGGTAAATGGAAAATCGATTATGAATCAAAAAGTGGGGATGAAGTTATTGCCAGTCATATTTTATTAAATGGTGATTTCATTCCTCGTCGTTATCCAGGTCGTGATTATAGAGGTAGAGGTGGTTACAGAAGAGATGCTTATACTCCTGAAGGTAGTTCTGGTCGTAGAGATTATGGTGGATATAATCGTGGAGGAGACTATCGTGATAATCGTGGAGGAGATAACTATTATCGTAGACCTTATGATAGACCTTATGATAGACCATATGAAAGACGTGATAGAGATCAATATGTTCCTGGTCAATCAAGTGATAGAAGAAGAAACCGTACTGATTCTTATGAACCTTCTAGACATAGAGAAAGATCTCCAACTCAATATTAAAATTAAACACACGAAAAATTGGTAAATATAAAAAACTTACATTGTAGTATACACAGAAATAATATACAGTAAACATAAAAATTAGTATTATACAGTCATATCACCATTTGAGGTTATTTTTTCATTAGATTCATCGATATTTTCCTTTGCATCTTCTGTTGAAATAGATTCATCTTTGGAAACACTATCAGTTCTTGGACGTTTTGATACATTTTCATTATTATCAAGGATTAATGATGACAGTAAATCTTGTTCATTTTCCCGTCTTCTTCTGATTGGAGATGGAGCTATGGTTTCTGTTAAATTACCCACAGAACTAACTTGCTTATCATCGGATGGAGGTGGTGATATAATCATATCATCATTGACGGGTGATTCATTAGACATATTATGAGCACTATCTCCTTCATCTAATGATATATCGGATGATTTTATACCGTCATTTTCATCTTTAAGCCAGGGGATTTCCACTAATGGGATACTTATAGAGGATGCTTGACTTGTTATTATCGGTTCAACAACCTCCACATCTGATTTAATGATTGATTTTTCCAGAAAAGTTGTAGGTGGGAAATCCAGTACATCGGTTGAAACCAAAATCAATTTAGATATGGAATTGAAATACTTTAGAATTTGAACATTATTAATTAAATCATAACCTTCCTTTTTACTATCAAGTAGTATTTCCGATATTCTATGAATTGTGAAAGGAGGATTGGTGGGGAAATTATCTTGTAAATGAGCAATGATTCTATCTTGGATGGATTGAATGGCTCGTATTAAATCAACACCCTCTGGTCGTTGACTGAATTGTTCACCTTCATTAGTTGATATTTCGACAATATCATTAAGTCTATAAACTAATTTCGGCAGTATCGTACTAGTCCATCTGTTTGAGTTATCTGTTTTATCTATGACGTATTGTTTCTGAACCACTATTTCTCGTAGTTGTGATTCTAGATCAGGATCTAGATGAGGTATGCTTAGAGTCATTACTCTCTTTGTCTTCTTCTATATGCTATATCAATTGATGGAATTCAATGTTTTGAAATTGAGGTCTATTGAGATTTCAATTTATAATACGTATTATTATGTATAACGCGCTTTCTTTCAAGATTTCCAAGCGCTACCAATAAATATATTCAAGATTGATTATTATGTGCAGTCGCTAACAAATTCAAAAATTCTTTTGACCAAAAATTGTCTCACCAAAAATTTTTCAAAGATAATTGAAAGCAAATGAATGAATGAATGAAAGGGTTTAACATCAGTTTCACTAATCATATCAATATGTCAATGATAAGAGGCTGTTCATTTAAAGTGGCGGCTTACGCTCCAAGAGTATTGCGTGCTGCTCCAAGAGCTACACCTTTGATAACATCCAGATTCAACTCATCATCTACTACCAAGAAAGATCAAGATGTAAGTTTATTAGCTCAAGTATATCCTATAAATAAAGATACTATAACAGAAGAAGATGTAAATGAATGGTTAAAGTCAGTACAAACTTTAAAATCAGGTAAGAGTGTTCCCGAAACTGAGACTGAAGTTTATCTTTCTCAATTATCTAATCCAAGTCCATTTTTAACTGAAAAATTTGAACCAACTGAAGAACAATTAGCTCAAGCTGAAAAATATAGTAATGAAAAAGTTCCAATTTTAACTGATCCAACCGTGGAAAACTTAATAAATCTTGTTATGAGACATGGTAGAAAATCAACGGCTCAAAAAACTGTATCGAGAGCCTTATACATAATACATTTAAAGACTAGGAAAGATCCGGTTGAAATATTAAAGGAAACTTTAGATAAATTAGGTCCATTAGTTACTACCAAAGTGGTTCAAACTGGTACAGCCAAAAATAAAATCGTCCCATCTCCTTTAAATAGAAGACAAAGAAATAGATTTGCTATTACTTGGATCTTAGATGGATCTGATAAAAAGAAATCTCCCGATTTAGCAGTTAGATTAGCTGAAGAAATTATTTCTGCTTATGAAGGTAAATCATCTGGGTATGATAGAAAAGCTCAAATGCATAAAACTGCCATGCAACAAAGAGCTTACATTCAACTTTAGGTTGAGCATTCACACACATAGTCATATATTAATTTATAGTCCATTTTTCTTTTCTTGTAAATATATATACATTATTTGGTAACATAATAACATAACATAACAGTAATGTTTTGAGGGAAAATTTATTTTTGGTGATAATGATTTTTTTTTTGGGCGCTAAAAAAGTTTATTCAATTTGCATCTTTTTATAAATGTATTTTGATGAAAGTGTTTGGAGGTATAATTACTATATGATAAGAGGTTATTTTCATCAGTTCATAGAAATTATAATAATAGTATCATGGGATCTTTAATTCAAACATTTCGTTTTATACGTTATAAAATTGATTATTATTATGTGGATTATAAACAAAGATATTATAGTACCAATCGAAATCCAAGAATAATTCAAACCAAATTACAAAATAAACAATTGATATCATTAAGAACTTTCCCAAAGGATAAGTATTTTACAAAACCAGGTGAATATCTTATGTTAGAACCAAAAAGTTGTGATGTTCATGAATTGCCGCTATCATCCTCATCTCCTTTGGAACCAATTAATGAAATTGCAGGTGATGTGGTATCATTTTTAAGTTTTGATGAAACTTTTATTCAGAGTCATAATAGAAAGAATAGGAAAGTTGGAGTTTCATTACCCACTACTGATATTCGAATAAATAGTGTACCTGATTTAATGTTTAGTAGTAAAAATAATGCTCATCATAAACCATCAACATGTATTTGTGAATGTCATGAAAATAATGTATCACCTCTAGAATCATTAGAATTGGTTAAATCAAATCCAAAGGAATTAAAACAACCCAAATCATCGAAAGTTAGAGAAAGATTTAAACGATATATCAGAATTCCATCTAAATCTACTCATCCATTACCACTTAATGATCCACCTTCAAACATTGATAGTAATATCCATGTTCCAATTGAGTTAGATGTGGGAATGGGAATGGGATTAGATAAAGAAAAGAATCAAGATAATAATCCATTGTTACTTAAATTAGCTGATTCACCAATTAAACTTTCATCATCATCATCATCATCACCTTTAATATCACCACAACAACAATTTTATTCATTAGTATCAAAATTAAGTTCATCAAGTTTATTACCATTTGGAAATGATAGTTCTGAATTAAAAGACACCAGTACAATTATGCCTAAAAGTCCAAAAGTATGGAAAACGGTATTAAATGAAGTTTCATTATCTGCCGCTCGAATCTCTACTGGTAGCACCCCATCTCATCTTATAGATTCTCGCAAAGTTAGTGCTGATTTTATTGATGCAAAATCATTAAATAATAATGAAAATGAACAAGAGCAACTGGAGACTGATTTATTTGCGGTTAATTTGGCTCAAGCTAAAATGAAGTATAATGCCATTATAACAAAATCTAATCATAATAATAATGTAAAAATGTCTACATTACTTGAAAAAAATGGTGGATTTTATCATCATTATTTAAATAGAAATGGTGGTCAAAGACATGGTAGTAATACCAGTGCTGTTACTGGTTGTGGTACAGTTGCTATGGGAGAATTATATGGTGATAATGGTATATTAGCTATGTATAATGATTCTGAACCTGAAGATGATTAGTATTATATATATATTAAATAGTATTAGTTAGCTCCTGCATATACTGTTGTTATAATTTGCGAAATTTTCATTGGTTTATCAAAACAACAAAACAGAGCACACCAGAAGAAGAAAATTGAATTGAAAAAAAAAAAACCATAACGACAATTAAAGGATAATAATATTGTGTGTGTCTGTTTGGTTATTATACAGTTAGTATCTCATCTATATCGTTTGAATATTCATTAACATAGACAATGCTTCGTGGTTCAGGTCTCCGTTCTGTCAAGAACTTGGCATCTCGTCGTTTTATTTCTACTTCCAATGCTCAAATCCAATACACTTCATTATCCAATGGAGTCACCATTGCTAGTGAAATCAATCCAAATGCTACTTCATCTACCGTGGCTGCTTATATAAGTGCCGGTACTAGAGCTGAACATCCTTATAACAATGGTATCGCCGCATTGACCACCAGCATCTTAGCTTCAGGTTATGAAAATGGTGTTTTATTATCATCAGAAAATACTAAAGAAGTCAATGGTATTATTGCTCAAACTACTAATGGTAATGTTCAAGAAGCTGGTAAAGTTATTGCTAAGATTCTTTCTAATCCAACTGCCATCTTAGAAAAAGCTGATTATGCTAGTGCTAAAACTAGATTATCTGCTCTTGCTGAATCCATTGAATCTAATCCATCATCTAAAGTTTTAGAACATTTAGAAGCTTCTGCTTTCCAAGGTTATTCTTTAGGGTTACCAACTTATGGTACTTCTGAATCAATTGCTGATTTACAAGCTGAAGATTCTGCTAGATTATTAGAAAAATATTTAGTTGGTTCTAATATTGTTATTTCTGCTTCTGGTAATTTCGATCATCATGCTTTAGCTGATGCTGTTGATGCTGCTTTAAAAGTTGAACAAGGGGTTAAACCAGTCACCAAGACTGCTTCATTCTTAGGTTCTGAAGTTAGAATGAGAGATGATACTTTACCAAAAGCTTATGTTTCAATTGCTGCTCAAGGTGAATCTCTTTCATCTCCAGCTTATTACGTAGCTAAAGTTGCTGCTGCTGTATTTGGTGATTTCGATCATCATTCAACCATTGCTCCTTATACCAGTGCTAAATTAGCCAGCCTTGTTCAAGAATATCACATTGTTGATAAATATACTCATTTCTCCAAATCTTTCTCCGATGCTGGTTTATGGGGTTTCAATGCTGAAATTTCAAATGTTGCTGCTGTTGATGAATTCACTCATTTTATATTAAAAGAATGGAATAGATTATCTATTTCAATTTCAAATGCTGAAGTTGCCAGAGGTAAAGCTGCTGTTAAAACCGCTTTATTAAGAGAATTAAATTCAACTCAAGCTGTTGCTTCTGATATTGCCACTAAAGTTTTATTAACTGGTTACAGAGCTTCCATTAAAGAAGCTTTAGAAAAAGTTGATGCTGTTCAAACTGCTGATGTCAAAGCTTGGGCTCAAGCTTCATTATGGGATAAAGATATTGTTATCTCTGGTACTGGTCAAATTGAAGCTTTACTTGATTATGGTAGAAACAGAAATGAAATGGCTATGATGAGATGGTAATCGGGTTTAAATATGAACGTCCTTCCATTACCTTTTACCATTTAAAAAAAATTTACTTCTTTTGCATCCTAATATATACAGACATTATCAAATATATAAGAAATTCATTATATTTATTCCCCTCCACGTCCATCTACATACATACATTTTAGTAATAAATGAAAGTCCAATGTTCAACATGAACTTTACATTCAACTATTCTACTTTTTTTGTCATTTATATTTTTATTATTAATATACATTACATAAATTTTGTTCTTATTCTTGAACTTTCACATTAATCCACTCTTCTTTAAATTTTGTTGAACAATCATATCAGTTACGGCTGATAAAACGAATTTCATTGAATTTGTATCAGTTGCACAAGTTCTATGAACATAAATTGGACGATTTGATCGATTTAATTTTAAAAAATTTGATTCAAAGAATTTTATTGAATCTTCAAAATCATTCGGTTTACCATTATAGTCAGGGAAATAATTCTTTAATGGTGATGAAATTAGTTTCTTTTCGAATATATCAATTTTATTTAAGAATAAGATGAATGGAGTATTAGCGAAATATCTTGAATTAACCAAGGAATCAAAAAGCACAATTGACTCATGCATTCTATTAACTCTTTCATCTTCAAACAACATTTGATCATATTCGGAAACGGCCAATACGAATAAAACACATGTTATATCTTCAAAACAATGAATCCATTTCTTTCTTTCTGATCTTTGACCTCCAGCATCAAAAACTTTAAATTTGAATGAATTAATATTGAAATTGGTTTCTGTTATACCTGTGGTTTTAATTCTCCCCTTTAAGATATCCATATCATTACATGAATAATTAGGATCGACAAATTTATAAACATTATCAAAAAAGTATGATGCACTTGATTCAAATTGAAATTCATTGGATCGATTATAACAACGATTTATCCCTTTATCTGAAGTCCATAATTTTGTTATAGCTTCTGCAATCTGTTGTCTTGAAAATTGATTAGGATTGACAGTATTGGCATTATCATAATAGTTGACATTAATTTCATCATCTTCATCACCATCATTTTTAGTAGCTTCATCATCACCAAAGAAACTTGTTACTACCCCTGTACTATTTAATTTTCGTTTATTTTTATTTTGTTCACTATATTTAATCACATAATCATTTAAGAAGTTTGTCCCACCAGCAGCACTAGTATCAATTTGATCTAATGCATTGGCTCTTAAAATGATTTGTTTATAAGGTATTAAAGGATTATTAGATTCATCACATTGTAAGGGGATACCTAATTTTCTAGCTTGAATGATTAATATCTTCATAGATTGAATGACATCACACCATATAACTTGACTATATTGAACTCTTTTTTGTTGAGTGAACCCTCCTTTATGTAACAATTTCATTTGTTTTAAAACGGTGGATTTACCACTTTCACCAGCTCCTAATAATAATAATTTCATTTGATTCTTTTCATTCTGTCTTGATAATTGTAAGCTTTTCTCTATGGCATCATTGATTCGTTTCTCTTCAAGAAAGGGATCAGATTCCCCTGATGTAGATGGAACACTAGCAGTACATCCCATGGTTATAGTTGTTCTGCCTAGGTTTCAAAGTATGGTTTGTAGTCTTGTAACTTGGAACAGGGGAAAAAGGGACTGGACTGACTGCAAAAATAAAGCTATGAAAGTGAGGTTTTTGAGCAAGTTGTACTTGAAGTTGTTATATACCCTTTGTATACTATGATATAGACTTAATTGAATAGATGAACAACAAGAATGACACTATAATAACATAAAGAAAACAACCATCCATCAACTTAGAAACTGACGATGATGATTTCTAAAACGTAACTTTTACACATTTAGATTTTTATTTTTTACGAGATCTAACTAGATTGTAACAGATGTCCCAATGAGGAAATGTCATTTACGCCGCACTCATCAAAAATAAATATTATGTCAATAAATAAATAATGATATGTATATTAAAAGTTGCTTTTTTTTAAAAGTTAAAGGTATTTATAAGGTTAAACAGAATAATATGTAGTATATGGCAATTACTGCGACGGCAAGTAATATAGATTGTTTTAAGAAAGAACCAAGGTTATACTTTTTAATGATTTTATTAACATTGGTTACTTTTGAAGTGATCCATTGACCCCATTTGGTATTTGAAAAGAATGATTCTGATGATGAATTTAAACTTTTTGTAAATGTATAATTCGGTATATGAAGTAATTTATTGGTGGTGGAAGGTAATGAGAAAGAAGTACCGGAATAACCTGTATCCGATTCCTTGATATTATTATCAATCGTACTATTACCAGTTTCATTACCATCTTCATCTTGTTCTCGTAAAAAGTTTCTAATTTTGGTGGAATTCGAATGAACAGTAGGTTCATTTAATGGTAATAATGAACTATAATGGAATCTTGATGAACCTGCATGCTTAATATTCCATATTAATACCAATAATCCTGATATAACCGCTAATATCACATAACTTACTACATTTACATATGGAGTTTGTAAATAACATAATCTTGTTTCATATTGAAAAGTGATTTTCTGATCTTGTTCTTGATCCTCCACTGGTACTTGCCCTTGTCCTTCTTCCTGAGCTGATTCTGATGTTGCTGGCTTAACTATCTCATCTTCTTGGACTTCAAAGTCATCCTTTAAGTCTCTTCTGTTTGTATTTGTATCTTGATTCGTAAATGATAATAATTGAACAGCAGGATATTTAATTCCCATCGCCATACTTATTGATTTTACTGTAATTTCTCGAGTACCACCAAAATTCTCATGAACCATATCACAATAATCATGATCATCACCGGCAAAGATTAAATCAGGTCTCATTCTAAATAATAAATGTTCAGATAAACCTTTATCAATAGTTGATTTATATTGATAACCTTGACCATAGACATTAAAATCAGGATTTTCTCTTAAAGGACCACAACTAACTGATGGATCACGATATAATGGTACATGAGTTAATAAGACTCTAGGATTAGTTTTAACAATCGTTGGACCGAAATTATCTTCCATGAATTTATAAGAAACACTATTTATATCTTGAGTACCTGAAGAATATGATAAGGCATCAAATGTTATAAAATCAACATTTTCAATAGTATGAATCATATTTGAATCAGCTTCTGAAAATTGAGATTCAAATCGTAATCTTGAATCTACTTTAACCCCTTCACCAAATCCTATATCATGATTCCCCGGTACATTTAAGAAATAATTAATCCCCTTCTTGTACTTCTTTTGAAATTTCTTATTATGAAAGATCTTATTGAATCGGGTTAATTCCTGTTGAAAGTATTCATCAGTAGAAGATCTCCCATTATCCAAGTAATCACCCAAGAAGAAGATATAGTCAGGTTGTAATTGATCAATAAGATAATTATAATTTTTCTTTAAATATATATCAACAGTATGTTGAGATAATTTTAATAATAATGGATTTCTACCGGGATAAGTATGATTATCAATTAATTGGGGATCAGCTACTAATAACACTTTCGTAGCCTTAGGATGGATTGAATCGGCATTTACCGTTTGTAATAATACATTATTTTCATCTGGTTTTGAAAGATGTAAATCAGGCCATGAACATTTTTGAACCGTATAATACGTTAAAATCCGTTCATGGAGAATGAATGTTATGATCCATGCTATTATTATGAAGGTATTTAGATTATTAAGATATTTCAATCTAGCTAGTGATAACCTAACCATGTTTGGTTGCTGTAGTTGTGACTGAGTTAGAATTATATAATGGTAGCTTTAGATCATCAATCTTTGAGTTTTATCTGTTAAGAACTAAAAATCAAAAAATGGTTTGATCCATGCATCAAACATTTCATTTTTGTTTGGTCGTATAAATAAGTTTTTTTGGCAGCACTTTTTTAACATCGTATAAACCAATATGTTTTACCAGATTACAACATCATTTGGTCAATTGAATAGGAAGAAAAGGTTAGTTAATAGATAATGATAGTGGAGGTGAAACATATATTGATTGGACTAATCATTGTGTTAATAGTGTATGTTGTTTATCTTGAAGTCTTGAAGAGTAACAACGATATAAATCAAATTTATTTACAAGAACAATCAAATCAAGATTCAACTCGATTATTTCATGAATCACCCATTTATAAATCAAACAAATTGGATTATGGTGGTGGATTAAGAATTGGATTGGATATTAGGTATGATCATTATAAGATTCGTCATGGTAATTTGAATGATATTTGGAGTATAGTGATGAATGGTGTTGAGAAAAAAGGAGGCAATAGAAAGGGAATTACGATAAATGATTCATTTAAATCATTTCGTAAATTGAATTATCAAGTGAATAAATTCCAGCAATTCTTAATTAAGCATGATATTAAATCATTAAAAATTAATCAAAGATTGTTTTTGAAGTCATTCGATTTATTTGTGATTATTATTAGTTCATTCATTAATCAAACCATCATTGAATTTTATGATAATTATAAGATATTAGAAGATGATAAAGGATGGATTGTGATTGATGATGAAGAAAAGTCCCTCATAGATCATCCCAATTATATCAATATTAACGATCAAACTATCTTCAACATAAATGATAATAACGAATCATCCGATTTTCCATATGAATATAATCCCAGTAAGGATAAAGGAGTATGTTTTAAACTTATCGGTAAGACTTTATCAGGAAATCCCAATATGATTTCCACCGTTGAATTCACTCAATTAAATATCATCAGTGCTATTGCATCAAGTTTGAAACATTTACCTCCTGGTCATGAATTATCATCAAAAGATTCGATTTTAGTAGTGCAATCTAGTACTAATAAATTTTCGTCGTTGATGAATGAAATGGTTAAGATCTTGATGGGATTAACTAGTAATGCAAAGGTATACATTCATAATGATGATGAATTCAAATGGGATCAATCCATGGCAAAGATTGATCCAACGATTTTATCGATCAATAGTAAACAATTATCATCTGTCAATTCATTCAAATCGAAATTAAATTCATTGCAACCTATTATCCACAAACATAATTTGAAATCCCTTGAACAAGGGAGGTTCCCATCCCACCAACTTGAAAAACTCCACCCCGGAAACTTACGAATCATCTACCTTTCCGAATCCATCACTTCCCCACCCCAATTCTCATTCGCCGACTTGAATGAATTAAGAAGTATCCTATCCACGCGAATAATTTACGAATTCAACACCTATAACGTCTCTAGTGCCATCATTCATACTGATATGTTTGATTATCGAGATTTCAAAGTGAAGTGTAAATCATGGGGATGCTTAAGTCAATCGCTTGAGATTAAATTAATTAATGTCGATGAAATGTCTAAAATTGGGGATGTAATGATTAGAGGGTTTATCATTGGGAAAACGATGAATAAATTCTCCACCAATAACATCAATGAAGATAATGGTAAGCTGAGTTCGGGAGATGGATTTATGCCATTGGTTAATGTTAGAGGGAAATGGGGTAATGATGGATGTTTATATATAGTTTGATTAAAGTTAATGTAAAGTTGTATAATTAATTGAAAGAAAACACCTATATAAAAAAGACATACGAGAGAGTAATACATAAATATAAATAATAAAAAGCTAGAACTTTTATAATCTAACTTTTTTATGATTGATTGATTCATTAATGATGACTTCATCACCACAAGCACCTCTTTTTCTTGATACAGAGGTGGAGGAAGATGTAGTTGATTCAGTAGTTGATGATGAGATAGTGGCGAATAAGGATGGGATTGATTCATCATCTGATTTTTTAATAAAGATTTTCTTATTTAATTGATTTAAATAATAATTACTGAAATTAATTTTAATTAAATTTAAATTGGAGATATTTAAATTCATAAAGAATTTAATCCATTTTTGTAATTTATTTTTAATAATGATTTGATTTAATTCCCAAATAATTTGATTTTCACCATTTTCATCATTATGTTTGATTTCAGTTTCTGATTCAGTTATGAATTGATATTTAATAAAATCATATCCGAAAATAATCAAAATATTACACCAATTTTCATAAACTAATCCATTAATATATAATTCATAATTTAAAAGTGTTAAACATTTGATTTCAACTTCTTTTAAAATCTTTAAATTAGTAGGTAAATCTTCAACTTTAATGCCACAGATTTTTAACCAAGATCTGAATGAATAATTATGATCTTGATTAAATTTAGATGCTAAGATAATCATTCCAAGGAATAATTTTTTAGAATCTTTTAAAATAGGATATTTATGAATTTGAGTTTTATTTTGAATCAATTTAAATAAATAAAAACATGTTAATTGTAATGATTGAATTGAAGTTTTTGATCTTCTTAAGATTTCAATAATAAAGAATTTAAAATCAGGTTCATTAATTTCATTTTTATATAAAATCTTAATCAAGTTGGTAGCGCATGTGATTAAAATTGAATTAAATTGAGATTTATTAAGATGATTAGTATAATATTGGAAATGATTTGGGGATAAAAGTTTTGAGTTTGTAGTAGTTGATGATGATGAAGATTTTGGAGAATTGGTTGAGGTTGGAGGAGGAGTTAAGTAATCCGAATTTTGATCGATATCACTTGAACTATTAAATTCAAGATTTGAATTGGCAATGAAGCTTGGAGATTTTGGATATTTTAAAGCAGTCATTGTATAAATAGTTATTTTTTATGATATTATAAGAAAGTTAAATGAATAAATTCTTATGAATAAGCGAGATGGGAGGAAGGTAAAACAGTAGACACAATGGATAATGGGAAGGATTTAAAAATGAATAATTAAACTAATAAGTAAATAATGATAAACTTCCACGGAGACGAACAATATATATAAAAAACACTTTTTTTATTCTAGACAATAATAGCAACCATTTTTTTGAAGATTGGTTACTTTGATTTATGACACTGAAAATAGATTAAAAAATGTTTAAATGGTTGTTTAAGTGATGATAAAATATATGATGATCAAGGCTATGATGATAAATTTTAGCAGTCAAAATATATTTTTAGGGGCAGTGAGATGGGAGTGTATATAACAGAAAAGGACCAGCTTTTGAAATTGAATACACTATGCTATGATAAGTTTGATTGATTGATTGATTGATTGATTAGGGATGAATGGAATCAAAGAATCAAATGATGAGATGTGATGAGATGAGATGATACTAGTAGGAGATATAGTAATACAATATGAAGTTAAACCTGAAAGTAAACTGTGATGGATTGATTGTTTGGTGGATGTTTTAAAAATAGGCAGCCACACAACACAAAAAAGTAAACAGTTAGAAAGTAGTAGTAATAATAATAGACAACAACGATAGATAGTAGTAGTAGTAGTAGTAGCAGTGATATCTATGAGTTGAAGGGATGAAGTAAAGTGAGCCGTGATTGGATTGATTGATTGATAACCTTTAAAGAACCTGGGAAATGACAATATAATATGATAAAAAAGCACCAAAATAGAAAAGATAAGATAAACAAAAGATGAATGGAATGGAAAGGTAAAAGATGATAAAAAGAATAAAGCGTTACAATGTGAGAGTGTTGAGTGTTGCTGGGGGTATCTATACAACCTTTGATTAAATCTATATGAAGAGAGATAAACTTGGTATAAAAGATAGATGATAGATAGTTAGAAGCAGTTGGTTGTAAATATAAATTATTATGAGAAATTGGATGCCATTTATAAATGAGACACACTTCCCCTTTTTTTTATTATGAGTAACAATTTCTTTTGGATGGATGTCTCGTTCAGTTCAGTCATGTCATGTCATGTCACTCATACTTTGGAGGAGACATTTTTTTTTTGAAATTAGTCATTTTTTTTAAAGCTTGGATGAGTACATCCATACTGCAGTAGACAACACATGGATGATGTAACATCCACACCTCACACTATTATTTAGTTAGTATAACTAGACCTTATCACTATTATTATTATTACTCCTATTATCACTAGTACTATGCCTACTTACTATACTTAGAGTCATCGTAACCAGTCATTCATATTTACTTAATAGCTTGGCTCATCCCATCCCATCCCCCCTTTCTCTTTCTCTTCCCATAATAATTATTAAGTACTACTACTTAATAGTCATTTCTTTTTCTATGTACTTTGAATTTCTTTTTTTTGCATCTCAAATCTGACCGACTTCGGCACCAAAAGCGAAAGTTAATCACGTGAGACGACATTTTTATTTTCATAAAATGAGTCAAACTGTACGACATTTATGACTGAATCTTTCCTTTCCTAATTAGGACAATCTTCCCTCCTTCCCTCCCGTCCTTTATATGTCATACTCAACTTAATATGGAACCATAGTCGTCATTATTTACATTTACTTTCACCATTTCCGAGATTATGTGACATAATGTGATTCAATGCGATCTGACTCCTTTGTTCTGTCTCCCCCAACTTTCACCACCATTTACTGTTTAGTCATAATTTAAACCTTAACTGTCATACGACTACTATATTTCTTTTTATTTTTATTAAAACTAATATACATATAAATCTACTTAACTATTCACTTATAATATTGTGATGTTATACCTCTAAATAATGAATCAATTATATCTCTTAACTCTTTATAACTAACAATAATACAATTCTTTTCATCTCGACTCACTAATAATAATTTCTCTTCAATTCCAGCATCTAATTTATTTAAATTTGTTAAAACTCTCAGTAATTCAATTATTGGTTTCCCAAATTCATCAAATTGAAAAAATATAAAATCTCGAAATAATTTAATAATATATCGATTATTATTAACTTCAGGATTTAATTCGGGTCTTTCAATTATAAAATTTATCTTAGTTAATAATCGAAATAATCTCAGATTCTCTAATTCAGTCGATAATTGTGATTCCACAAAATCATTCAGATCTTGTAAATTATTTAAAATTAAAAATAATTTATTAGTACGAATTAAATATTGTTCATTAAATTTAATTAATGAAAATTGAGGTGTAACATCAAAATTTAAAATTCTTAATACTCGAATAAATTCTTCACTAAATTTAAAATGTTTAATTACTTGATCAAATTCATTACCATATCTTAAATTAATTGGAATAGTTAATAAACTTAATTCAAATAATATTTTCCCTAAATTCTTAATATCTTCTAATTGATATTGTTTTAATTTAGTTTTATATTCTTCAGGATCAAATTCATATCCATCTTCTTTCTCTTTATAATTATCTTCATCTAAAATATCACTAATTCCACAACTTGATAATCGAATTCGATTCTTATTAGTAACGATAATCTTATTTAAATCCATTGATGATCTAGCTGCTAATCCTTTTTCATGAATAACTTGTAAAACATTAATTAATTGAATTAAATAATTCCAAAGTATATCTTCAGTAATAATTTCACTTCTTAATCCATTCTTCTTATGATGATCTATTAATGTATTAGAATTTGGATAAAAATCATAAATTAAAATTAATGAACTCTTACCTCCAAATGACATAGTTGTAAAAGCATCATAAATTGAAACTAAATTCGAATTCTTAATACTTTTCCATTTCTTAATCGTCTTAAATGGTAATTCATTTATAATAGGATGATGATGTTCAATTCTTCTTAATACATATGGATTACCATCCATATTATTATAAACTTTATAAATACTACTTGGTAATTGCCAAACTTTTGATAATGTTTCATAATTTCTATCAATGGGAACTAATGAATGATAAGTACTTATATGATCAGGTAAATTTGAATGGGATAACGTTTGTAAAGTTGCTTCATTCTTTTGTTGAATTGATTCTCTTAAATCATTCTTAATAAATAATAATGATGAATTAGTTTCATAGGGAGCTAAATTTCCATTAAATCGTGGTGGAGGTCCTGGAGCATATAAATGATAATTTAAAGGATAATTAGTAGCTTGATTATGATTATGAGCTTGAGGTGGTGGAGGCGGTGGCGGTGGTGGAGGAGGTCCTGGTACCATAAGTCCTGGTGCTTGTTGTTGTTGAGAAGGTATTTGAACTTGTGATTGTGGATGACCTAATGCAGATGGAGAAATTTGAGCTTGAACTTGGGGTGGAGGTTGATAGTATAAATCGTTACTATTATTATGAAGGGGTATATTTTGTTGTTGAACTTGTTGTTGTTGCTGTTGTGACGGAGATGGTATACCCTGTTGTTGCTGTGGTTGTTGTTGTTGTTGAAGATAAGGATTCTGTATGACACCATTAATACCATTATTATTATTTATAGAATTATTGGCATTATTTACAATAGGTTGACCTTGACCATTAGAAAGTTCGGGAGTATATGAAGTTGGTGTAAAGGATGGGGTAAATGAAGCGGTTGATGCATTAAATTTCTTTATTGGTATAATATCATTTTCATTGCTCGGAGCATTGGGACCACCGGGAATAAAAGGAGGAATATCCTTTAATTTAGGTGATAAGTTAGCGAACTTATTACTCAATCCTTGAACTCCAGATGGTTGAAATGACGGGGTATTCATATTAAATTTCCTCTTTGCATCAATGGTTGCGTTATTTAGTTGTTGAGGTGATTGTAATTGTGATTGACCTAATGGTTGACCCGGTTGCGCTATAGCAGTACCAGTGGCTCCACCAGCAGCACCAGTTCCAGCGGCTGCAGGAGTTGATCTATTATGATTGAATGCACATCCTTTATTTTCAAATTTACAATATCCATAAATCAAGATATTCTTGCATAGCGTATCCTTAGCAGTGTCTATATTAATGTTCATTATTACAAGGTTATTCTTGTTGTTATTGTTTTGGTGGTTGGAGTCTGATTCAAGTGTGGTTGTAATTCTTCTTCTGATCTAATCAACATTCATTCATTCAAATATCATATCCTAACCCTAAATCTTTGGTATATATCATAACAACAAAAACATTACGCTTTGTAATTTTTGGTTTTGTTTTGTATAAAAAATTCTCAACAAAATTGATCAGGTGACGTATCATGTGATCAATTTTTATCGTTTTATTTTAGTAACTGCTAAATATAGAGATTGTTGAAACAACGATATAATTAAACACTAGATAGATCTACTTTAAATTATCAACTATTCAACCACAACTAATTACAATGGGTAATGCTGCTTCTGCTAATATCTTAGAAGGATTCTCTGAGGGGACCAATTTTGATGCTGATGAAGTTAATCGTTTGAGAAAAAGATTCATGAAATTAGATCAAGATGGATCAGGGACTATTGATAAGAAGGAATTTTTATCAATTCCAGGATTTGAAAACAATCCTTTGGCTACGAGATTAATGGATGTATTTGATGTAGATGGGAATGAAACCATTGATTTCCAAGAATTTATAACTGGATTATCAACTTTTAGTGGTAGAACTTCAAAAGAAGAAAAATTAAAATTTGCATTTAAAATTTATGATTTAGATAGAGATGGTTTTATTGGTAATGGGGAATTATTCATCGTTATGAAGACAATGGTGGGAGATAATTTATCTCCTAATGAATTACAACAAGTGGTGGATAGAACTATTATTGAAAATGATAAAGATGGGGATGGTAAATTAAGTTTTGAAGAATTCCTTAATGCCATCGAATCAACTAATATAAGTTCTTCGTTAACTATCAATCTGGTTTAATCAAGGGAGTATCTAATACATATTCATATTCATTTTCATTTTCATTTCATTTCTGTTCTTATTCATATCCATTCATGTTTATGTTCATTTCTATATTTAGTTTTTTTATGTTATTAATACGATTTTATCATGACTTTTCCAGGTTTAACCTCATATTCAGTAGTTTGTTCATAAGTACGAAACTCTCACAATATTCTAGTTACGTTAGATCACCATTATTATCATAATTTTACTTTTGAGTTGGCTGTGGCTACCCCAAACTTTGAAAGCATCAACTGAAAAAAAAAGGCGAACTATGAATCATAGTTTGATCTGAGCTGCTACCACATTTCTTTTCAAGTTAACTCTACAACAATACTTCATGACTGTTAAGGACAATAACCTAGAGTCATTACTAGAATGGATTAACAATACCCAAGATGTTCATTTAAAACCATCTTCTCATTCTTATATATCTCCCAAGATTGAAGTTAAAGATTATGGTGACAATGGTGGTAGAGGTATAAATTCAATTCAAAAGATAAATCGATCAGAAACCATTCTAAGAATCCCTCCTTCATTCCTACTTAATACTAATACTGTCATAGCTCATATACTGAAACATAATGATTCTATAACTTTAACGGAACCTTATTATCTAAGTCTTTATACTCCTTACAATAATCCATCTGATAAAATCACTAAATTTTATAGCTTATTATCATTACCAGAATTATTAGAATTAACATCATTTCAATTGTTATCATTATATATCACATTAGAAAAGAAACGTCAATCCAACTCATTCTGGAAACCATTTATCAATATGTTGCCGGATATTTCTGATTTCACTTTAACTCCTTTAGTATGGCAAGTTTGTAAAGTACCAAATTATGAACAATTATTAAAACTTTTAACAAAGTCAACCAAAGATCATGCTGATAAAGTTTATCAACGGTTTATTAATGATTATGATATCATCAAACAATTGGTGATTTCAAAGTTAGGTGAAGATGAAGTAGATGAGTATATCCCCATCGAATCAGTGTTATGGTCATGGTTATGTATAAATTCTCGTTGTCTTTATATGACGTTGCCCCAAAGTAAAACCACAGCTGACAATTTCACCTTAGCTCCTTATGTTGATTTCCTAAATCACTCTTGTGAAGATCAATGTAGTATCAAAGCAGATGGATTAGGTTTTCAAGTCATAACTACTTCTTCATATGATATCGATCAACAATTGTTCTTAAGTTATGGACCTCACGCCAATGATTTCTTATTATGTGAATATGGTTTCATCTTGCCTAAAGATAATAAGTGGAATGATGTTAATATATCTCATTATTTATTGCCGTTATTCAGCTCAGCTCAAATTGAGTTTTTAAAGGAAAATGATTATTATGATAATTATACTTTAACATCAACTGGTATATCATTTAGAACTGAAGTTGCATTAGCTATTTTACAAGAACCAAATCCAGCAGAATCAAGGAAATTATCGGCTCTTATAAATGGGATCAGTGATGGTTCAGTTTATAAATCTCATTCAGATGCATTACTCACAGAGATTCTTGAAAAGATAATTCATAAATGTAAGAATCAAACTTATTTGGAATATGCCGATGATTTGGATTTACCTACGAGAGCTAGAAAAAGAACGATCGGTATATTATATAGAAACATCCTAGATATTTGTAAATATGTAAAAGAAAATTTATAGAACCATGGTTTATATACAAGAAAGAGTCCTCTATGGTTTAATGACTAATTTTGCTGCTTGTCTTTCAACAGCTCTATCTATAGCTAATTTATTCTTAACTAAATCAACAATATTCATATTGGTAGTTACGCTAAGATCATGCTTTTTACCTAATTTAACAATGTAACCGTTGATATAATCGATTTCAGTATCATTTAAATGTCTAACATCTTCTCTCATCGATGAACTATTTTGAGCTGTAGTCTTACACATAGTAAGTACCACATCTAACAATCTATCGGGGGATAAATATGCATGAGCATCAGGAATGGTTGCTAAAATCTTATACTCAGCAAAGAAACAATTGACTGCTTCTTTGATAATCCTTTTCAGTAAAGCACTTATTCTATCAGCATAAAGAAGATCACCGTTAAAACAATCCAATAAAGCAGTTATAGGATTAATAGTTGCATTAACTACTAATTTCTCCATTTGAATTAAAAGGAAATTCTCATACTTCTCATAAGTAGTATTTAAAGATGGAGTCTGTAAGATTTGATCAATGAAATCAGGAATCACAACTTCAGTATCTTTCTTATCTGTTGGTTTAGGTATATAAGAAATAGACATTTTGCCTGGAGCTGCAAAATGAATCACATTTAGGGCTGTTTTATAAGCACCATGAGTAGCAACGGCTTGAAATATATTAGGTCTATTCCAACCTGACGGCCAAAACTTCTCCGTTAACAACGGAGCAACTCCCATCCCATTCTGCAATATTAAAATATTTGAATCTTTGGTTAAATGTGGTATATAATTTTCCAATGCTGCAATCGATTGATATGTCTTGGTAGATAAAATCAAATTATCTATGGTGACTTTACTTCCATTATGATTAGGTGGCTTACATGCTGCCTCTATATGAGTCTTAGTAGTTGTAATGTTTGAGTTCTTTGATTTGACTATCGATATTTCTGAACCTTGGGAATTATATAAATCAACTACGGCTTGATTTCTGAATAATAACACTGGATTAACCTGATTACCAAAGGCTTGGGTTAATTCATGTCCCACCAAGCATCCCATGGACCCTGCCCCAAGGATGAACACCTTTGGAACTTTAGACATCTGATGATAGTTATATCGTTGTAGATAAATATTTCATTACACCAATATTTTTTTTTTTCAATTTTGATATCTCTCGCACAAAAACATCAAAAATGGATTGATAGATATGAATCATCGATTATATTCATTAGACAGCTAGGCATGCTTATTGTGGGATTAACAGGAGGAATTGCCTCAGGTAAATCAACTGTTGTCAATTATCTTAAAGATGAATACAAGTTAACTATAGTGGATGCTGATTTGATTGCAAGAGAAGTAGTCCAACCTGGTAAAAGAGCCTATCATCAAATTGTGGCAGCATTTCAAGAGGTGGTACCAAACTTATTAAATGAAGAGGATAAAACTTTAAATAGAGCTGCTTTAGGTAGTGCTGTGTTTGGAAACAAGGAACGATTATCCATACTTAACTCAATCGTTCATCCAGCTGTTAAAATAGAGATTGCCTGGCAAATATTCAGAGCTTATATTGGGTTAAAAAGCTTGGTGATTCTTGATGTGCCACTCTTATTTGAAACTAAACTAGATAAGATTTGTGGGTTAACCATAACCATTACTTGTCCTAGAGATATACAGCTTGAAAGATTGATATCCAGAAACAAAGAATTATCAAAAGAAGATGCTGAAAAGCGTATTGCTAGTCAATTGTCAAATGAAGAAAGAAATTTCAGAGCTGATTTAGTGATAGATAACAGTGGCGATCTTAAACAATTGCATTCATCAGTTGCTTCAGTAGTAGATGAAATAAAGCCAAAATTCATTTTCACTGTCTTAGAATATTTTCCTCCATTTGCTATTATATCGGCGGTATATACCTTTGTCATAAGGAGTCTTAGAGATAGGTTTAAAGCCCAAAGAAAGCCTACGAAATCTGATTAGATATTTGTATGTTCTAGTTTATGTTATTATTATTATTCATTATTATGGTCCAATACTTCCTATGCTCTCCAATATTGAGCCAAACTATGTAATCTATCTATAACATTTTGGTAGAATGCACCCACATTATTATTTATTAAATCTTGGAAATGTAACATAGCACCTTCATCACTCATTTCAAGACAAAATTTATCTTGAACATTTTCAATTACTCTTTGAGGATCAGTTTTAATATCAGGTATATTAGCATCAATCATTAATTGAAATAAATTCAAAATTAAATTACTATTCTTTCTTAAATTATTATATGTAATAAAACAGTAACTCTTAAAAATATCATAGTTTTCATGATTCATTCCACCCATACCATCAATAACCTGAATGGGTAATTTCATTAGTGGTGGGAATGGTTTAGGATCTCTTCCGAACATGTATCCAAAATCTGCATGCCAAAATTTACCATTGGGCGATATTAATAAATTATCCAAATGACGATCTCCAACTCCTAAAATATATGTAATAACACAATAGGCAGCACATGATTTAACATAATTGTCCATAAGTATATGAGAGACACCCAAGGCAGACTTAACAGTTGGTTGAGGTTGCACTGATGATTGTTGTTCTGATGAATAGGAAGAGTTTAATACACTTGTAGCTTGTGGTTCTGCTTGTTGTGTTTCTTCACTGTGTAATCGAAGATAACTTAAGATACCATTGTTAGACGCTACCAATACATTATTTGATGTAGCGGAGGCAGCTGTCACTGATGGCGGAGCAGTACCTTCATCATAAACAACTGATGCAGGATACATATTTGCAAGAATAGCATCCAAAGTTTCATTTTCAACAAATTGAATCAAACCTGCAACTGGACTTGTGGCAAGAATTTTATATGGAGTTAATTTCAAGTCTAAGTTTTCATTCTTTAGAAGTTGATCCATTAAATTAATGATTTGAATGACAAATTGATCTTGCCTCAAATCATCTCCAATTTTGAACATAAGACGATATTTACCATGCTTACTGCCCTTCTTCCCAAATATTTGTGATGTGGCATATTGGTGCTTGTTAAGGACAGTTTTAAACGTTATTTTCACTGGTGATAAACTAGATTTAAATACCGAACTTTCTTTTGGATAGCAACCACATATTATAATTGATGGATCTAATGGAAGTGGGAAAGGTTCGAATTTTAAAAGTTCATTAGAAGCAGTTGAAAGATATTCTCTTAAAAATTCAACTTTCTTTGCTATAGTATCGAGTTTCCTAGTCGGTGACCTTATTTCTTGAACCAAGGTAGTTAACTTCTTTATAAAATTAATTTGTTTTCTTAAATTATCAAATCCAGGTAAATTATTTTCTTTACAATGACCTTTAAGGCTCTTAATATATATATCCATCACCACAGCATATATTTTCTCTGAAGTTATTTGCGATTGTTGTTGTTGATTTTGATTTTGATTTTGGTTTTGAGTCTGAACTTGATTTAAATAATCTTCATTCTCTACTTTAACATACCAATAAAAGAAATTACCTAATTTTTCACTTTGAACTGATCTTTCGATTAAGAATTTGGCTAATGGTGATCTTAACGGTGACTTGTTTCCATTTTCTTCTATTGGTAATCCAGGTATGTCTCGTTCAAAAATAAAAGCTTCATACTTTAATGTTTGTACTAACTGAAGTAAGTATAACAATAACTCATCACTACTAGCTAATTTCAATCTATCAACTGCCATATTTCTTATAATGGTAACATATCTGAATATCTTTTGAAATTTAGTTTCTTCCTTTTTATTAGTTCCTGACAGTTTTACATCACCATTTGAAGATAAGGCATTTTCCCCTAGAGTAAATGGATTGAAATAATTACTTAGAAGATCTAAAGCATCACCCATCTGAAGCTTCTCCACCAGCCAATAACGAGGAATGATTTCTTCAAAAGCATGATCTAATTCATTATCTGTATCCCAATCAATAGACTTTAAGAACTTCGGTAAGAAAGATTTGGCTGAACCAAGTTTATTGCTTGGATCATTACTAGTATTATTTTTACTGAAATAATATCTGAATTTCCAAATCCAATTCTTTTCAATCTCAGTTAATTCAACATGTGATGGTTTTAATAAGATTCTCACTAACTCATCTCTTAATTGTGGAGTGGGTTTCAATTCTTTATCTAAGATAGGATTATTAATTTTTCTTTCCAATTTATGATACTTTGATTCAATAGGATCAGGTTCAGTATCCAATGTGTTATTTTGATTTATATTTTCTGAATATTTAAAAAATTGATAATCAGGATCATAAACTTTGATAGCATTGGGAATATCAATAGAATTCAATACCACACTTAAATTTTGACTCTCAGCTGCGGTAGATACTTTACTTGTATTATTATGAAATGTAGGTATTTGATAATTTATATCAGAATAAAGTATTGGAAGTTCAAAAGGTACTAATTCAAGATATAGATAATAATCATGATCAGTATTAACTTCATTATATTTTGACAAACTAGGTAACACTTGTTTATCTAACCAACTCACCACTTTAAATTCCCCATTTTCATGCCTTATTTGAAGTTTCTCTAACTCTGTTAAGCCAGGTATATCTTCATATTGAATGATTTCAGTTTGTACGTTTCGATAAACTGGTATTTTTTGGGATCCAGTTCTTAAAGTTGAATTCTTTTTATTAAACATTGAAAGGTATCCAACTCCAAATTGTTTAGGTTTAGTTTCAACAATCTCATATAACTCAAATTTCAAATAACTATCAATAGGGATTTGATTATAGGTGATAGCAAGAGTTAAATATTGATTCCATTCTCGTTTATTATTATTAAATGACTTATATGAGGTTTGAATAGGGGTAGTTATAAGATTATTGCTACCATCATAGATTGAAAGTTCAATGTATAAATCTGAATTCCGATATACATTCGATAAAGTATTGAACACCCTTGCATTTTCATATTTTTGGGATAATTTAACTAATTGATTATTATCTGGTTTAGTCGTTATCATATAACATATCTTAACCATGACAGGAGCATGGACATCTTTGGACAAACCAAATGAGACCGTTGGTCTTGACAGAGTATCTAAATGTCGTGATCCAGACATTGATGCATTATACGATGGAGGATGACGATGATGGTGGTGTTGAATGGGGTATAGATTGGGTTGGTTAATTGTGTTGCCTTTTTGTTGCCATATATTTTATTTATCAATTATTTTTCTGGAGTTCTAAATTTATCCGCGCTACCATTCTCAGTTTTGCACACTGAAAGAAGAGATTATGGTTGGTGATATTATTATGTTTATTAAGGTATTTATGGTTATTTACAGTATTATATTATATACCAATATTCTAAATTATCTCCTGGGGTTTAATTTCTATTATTTCCAAACCATATATAATCATTTGGTTTCCTTTTCTCTGAACTGCTTTCCGGACTGTCTGATTCAGATATGAATTCATCTTCATCGTCTTCATCAGAATCAAGATTATAAAACAATGGCTTGATCTTTGTTTTCATTTTCGATTCTATAGTGTTATCTTTATCTTTATCCTCATAGGATAATACAGACGGTATGAATTTGATTGAATTACCTCTTGACCTACCTTCATGAGGTGATGATGTATGACTACCCTTTCCTGATTTAACCTTGGTCAACGCAGAACCATTACTATTATTATTAATGTTCTTCGGATCATTGAATGATAATGAAAATAACCGTTCATTCAAACTCTCATCTTTTTCCTTCTGAAGTCTAGTAAGGAAATATGGACTTTCACGTTTATGATTCAATGATCTTGATCTTGATATGGCTGATATAGGTGGCAAGACTGAATTGGAAACTTCATTATGATGTTCCTTTATAACATCCAATTCTTCATTAGATCCAAGTTTAGGTGATACTAACGATGTTTCTGAACTTGATGATTTGGCCAATCCCACTACTGTCAGAGGAAAATATGAATCCTTAGCATTATGTTGAACGGTAACATTAGCAGGATTTGATAATGATCTCTTTCGGAAATTATTTATTAATGTAGGTAAGTCCAGAGTTGAACCTTCTTCATTGGAAGATGAACCATAATCATCGAATCTTTGTATTTGAATAGCACCAGGTTGAGATAATGGTCTCATATTTATGGCTGCCATTAACCTTGCTAAATCGACAGCTGAACCTTCATTTGACGAAGCAGTTGGTGAACGACGATATTGGGCAAGATTAACTTGAGAATTCACTTTGGAATTCAAATCATGGATTGAAACGTCTGGACTACTTGAATATCGTAATTTAAGCGGTTTATAATTCTCGTCAGTTTCCACTAATTTTGATAAATCAATAACGGAGTTATTCCTACTTGGTTCTGAATTTGGTGATACTTCAGGTGTAATAGGTTTAGATGGATGACGACTTAAATCGAAATTCTTTTTAAATGCTTCATCATTAATCATTTTTAAAAGAAATTCATTCTTAATTTGAAATTCTTTGATCTTTTTAGGATCCCAATCTTTGGCAGCAGGACATATATGATTATAATTGATAGGTTTATGAACTTTATTAGCGATGAGAGCTTTATCACTTGGTTTTGGTTGATACATTTTGAATGAAGGTCTTGGTCTTTCATCTTCTTCTTTTAAATTATGATCAATAGGATTAGTGAAATCACCTCGAATATAATCATCACGCTTTATAAAGTTGGTTTTATAATAGACAATATCTGAATCCAAATTCAAAGTGGTATCAAGATCAGGTTCTCTTTCCATTAAATCTAAAGCATCTTTAAATAATTTCCAAGTATAATGTTCTGGATTTAATTCATCTTCTTCAGATAACATATCATCTTTATCAATTAATACTCGACTGGCGAAATTTAATTTTGATTCTGGGATTTCTTCAAATATAGGATGACTTATGAAATATGATAAAAAATTATTAATGGCATAACCATGAGATATTATAATGACCAAATCTCTATTTTTTAAATATATCGGTTTATCATACGTGGCTAATAATTTTTGAAAATAAGTTTTGCATCTTGATTGATAATCACTATAACTTAAATAATGACCATTGTAACCTCCTAAAGTATTAGTAGGTCTGAAATTTGAACAACAGTTTTTATTTTGTAAAGTTTTAAGATTGGGAGTATACATTTCATAAGCATCATTTGAATCATGAAATGGAGGTTTATTTCTCATTTTATCATGAACCCATTCACTTAAGGCAAAATCACAAAGTAAACTGAATTTAATTTTATAATGAGGATAAGCTTCTGAAAGGTATTTTTTTAAATAAGTTACTAATAAATCTGCTGATTGACAACATCTTAAATAAGGACTAAAATGAATGAAGACATTCTTACGTTGAGTGGTGGTGGTATCATCATCGAAGGCTGTTGTGGTAGATAAGATTTCATGAGCTATTTGTTGAATTTGAGGGATGGCAGTGGTGGATAATGATGGATCATAAGGTTGATAATCTGAAAATAATGGTGTGGCAGAAGCATTTGATTTTAAATCATGATCTATACGTCGAGCATGCCGAAAGAAGTATAATTCAGACATGATATGAGATACTCCTTCTGTTCTTCTTCTTCTTCTTCTTCGTCTTCTATCGTCTTTCTTCGTGTTAATGGGTTGTTCCGTAGTTTGAAGTATAATTCATTCGTCTAAATTTATACGATCGATTCGATCGATCGATCTGATGTTAAGAAAAATTAAAAAATAAGAGAGCACACCACACACACACACTCTCTAACGTAAACTAAATTATTCTTAGTTGATAATGTGATGAAATAGGTTGGGAATATTCCTATACCTATACAATGATATAGATATTGATATCTTCGAGGTTTAACTTGACTAAAATCAAAATAATGATATGGTGATATTTTTCCAACATCTCTATACAATGGACACTATTAACTATAAATAAATAAACTTCGGAAAAACACATGATGTCATAATGTCCTGCATATACATTATTTTGCACGTGAAAGCATATCTGTTATATGCAAACTGTAAAAGAATAAGAATAATGGACATTGTGCAGGTTACTGTGAGTTTACAGTTTGAGTTAAAAATAACTTTTTTACAGGTTTGAGACGGAAAAACTTAAAAAAATAACGAGGCACAAACTAAATTCTATCACAATCCAAAACGGTATCAAAATCCAAATCAAATCATATTTCAAACGGCTGTTTATATCTAGAAACTTATATCATATTATAGTGTAAAGCAATACAGTGGTATATCCATCTAATCCATACTATACGATTCCATCTTAATTTCCACGCACCGTTTTTCATTTACATCGAAGAAGTTATACGTTATAGCAACCATATTTTAAAGATTAGAGTTTGGGGGTCCCATTTACGAAGAAGCGCATCTAATGTCATTAGTAGTATCAAATTCAAAAGACCTTGAACATAAACCTACCAAGAAAGTGAGATCTAGGAATGGTTGTCTGAGTTGCAAAAGACTAAGAATCAAAGTAAGTATAATAATTGAAATGATAAGTTAAAAAAGCTTATGTACTAACATTTTAAATCTCTAGTGTGATGAAGGTAAACCAAAATGTGAATATTGTTTCCATACCGGTAGAATCTGTGAATATCCCGATCCATCAACCTCTAATTCAATCAAGAAAAATAGACAACTGCAGTATCTAGAAACTAGTATTGAAGGTTTAGAACTTCTTATGAAAAAGGCTGAAAAATTCCATATTATAGATCAAGATCAACATTATCAGTCCGCTCGAAATCAAATGATTTTAAATCAAGCTACAGCTCAACTAGGGATATCCAGATTTGAATTAAGATTATTAAGTTTCTTTAATAATTATTGTATTTATTTATTTTCATTCGGTGTCAATGAACCTATTCATGATGTATGGTCAAATCATGTTCCAAAATTATTCTTTACGAGTGAATTGGTACGAAATAGTATTTATTCATTTTCAGCTTTAAATTTATTTCCATTATGTGATATTGAAGAATTACAATTACAAGATAATATCGATAGTCGATATCAATTTGATGAAAGAATTGGTCAAATGAGTTTTAATGAAAAAGCATTACGAAAAGGTGATGATCAAAGTTTATTTGTTAAAACTACCAATTATTTTATAAAAGCCATCAATGATAAAAATGATGTATTATCAAAAGAATCCCAATATTATGGTCCTTATATTGCTGATGAACAAACTGCTAAAGAATTAATGATATCTTCCATTTTAATATTTTCATTTTTAGGAGTACATCCTCATAAAATTGTTCCATTAGTAAGTTTTGATCGTGAAGAATCAGATTATCTTTCAATTTCAAAGGGTATACATTCCACCATTGCATCTTGTGCTCCTGCCATTATAAATACCGAATTTAGAGGATTATTTAACTTTGAAAACAATCAAAAATCACCCAAAATAAAAGAAAGTACATATCCTATAATCATCAATTTAAAACGAGATCTAGATGAAGAATTCGAATTAAGAGAATTAGATTCAAAGCTGGCAGATGATTATCAAATTTTTAGTGCCGCTTTAGAAAACCTCCAAAGGTGTTTATTCAATGCTATTCTGTATGATTATCCCATTCCTATATTCAGATGGATCTTACTCTTACCCTTTGGATTTCATGAATTAGTCTATCAAAAAGATTTCTTTGCCTTAAGAATGCTTTATATCTTTGCAAGCATTTGTACTGTGACTAGGTTCCAATTATTTCGAGATTCAAATGTTTGGATAGATTATATCTTCTGGTACTGTGAATATAATTTAACCAACTTTAATAATACATGGAAATATAAAATGGATGAGAATTTCTATAAATTAATCTTTGTGAAGGAATATAGTTTTTTGAATATTCCATTTTCAAATTTAAGAGATTTTGATCCTGATTATTTAGTTCAAAATATGTAAATAAATAAGATTGTTCAAAAGTAGTATGTATGTATAAATATATATATTATTTATTTATAGAATTCGTAGTAAGTTTAATTCTAATACGATAAACTTTACAAGATCTTCCTAGGAATTGAATGGTTAAGACTAATTTATTAGAGGTTGCAATATTATTACACAAAGAGCACAATGATGCAAATTCATGTATCACCAAATTCAACCAAATTCAAATTCAAATTCAAATTCAAATTCAAATTAAGCTAATGATCCAGGTCAAATAGATCCAGATACAGACTCAATGCGAAAAGCACATAAGCAACACCGAGTTCAAGGTCACTATTACATGGGTCAAAGTGTACATCTAATTCAAGCATCAGCTAATAAAAATCAAATTGTAAGAGGGTATGACGGAATTACAATACTTCTAAATCCTCCACTACTTGGACCTAGAAGAAGAAGAAGAAGCCCTTCACCATTTCCTAACTATGGTGGCGATGCTGAATCTGATGTATGCGAAGATCGATTAGATGCTTTTGAAACTCGATTAGATGCGGCTGAAGCTGAATTAGATGAGGTTAAGAAAGATTTAAGTGAGGTTAAGAAGGATTTAAGTGAGGTTAAGAAGGACTTAAGTGAGGTTAAGAAAGATTTAAGTGAGTTGCGAGAGATAATTGCTGGGTTTCACAATGATTTGGATGTAATTAAAAGCCAAATAGCCGTATTGATTGCGAGAGGGAATTAGTTCATCAATAGTAGGTAGATAGGTAATGAATTTGATTACGTTGATTAGCTAATTAAGTTTAGATCAGAGAACATGAAAAATATAATTATTATGTATTTTTCTTCAACCATCGTACATATTTTGTTAAGTAGTAAAAATTCATATATTTTGAGTATTTGTATTGTACGTTAATGTGCTACTAAATCTAGATCTAAATATAATGATATCACTATTCATATATCAAGTAATATAGATTGATGTATACATTAAAACTTAAACATTTGAGCCGCACCACACCCTTCGGAGATTCTTCATCCTAAAAACAGTAAACCCCGTAAAATAAAATCTGTGAGGGCGCAGACAAAACAAAAAAAGATTCTTTACCGTTCTAGAAAACTATAAGCCTTGCTTTAGGAATTATCATCATCAAAAAGGTTATCAATTGTCTTGTGTTGAAAGATTAGTATATCGTTAGACAAGACAAGATAGTGATAACTCAACCAAGACATAATGGATGTTATAAATACTAAACAAAAGTCAAGAACTCGAAATCGTAAAAGATCAAGAGCTGGTTGTAACAACTGCAAAAGATTAAGAATAAAAGTAAGTGCACCCACCTTAATTTATAAGTCTAGAGTGATTATAACTAACACCAATTGTATCAACAGTGTAGCGAAGATAAACCAAAATGTGAGTATTGTTCTCATACAGGCAAGGATTGTGAATACCCTGATGTAATCAGATTAATGATGGATACCAATGAAAAAAGATTAAGATCAATACAATTAAAACGACAACAGATATCAGATCAAGATGAAAATGATGATGCTATACCTACATCACGTATGTTGGAACGAATGACATCAGGATTTGTCCCTATTAAAAACGAACAAGACTTTTTCCATTTAACTAATGATTTAATCTTAATTCAATCCACTACTCAATTAGGTATATCTAAATTTGAATTAAGATTACTTAAATTCTTTAATAGTAGTTGTGTCAATATCTTTTCTTATGGGGAGTTGAATCCAGATATTCATCGTATTTGGACAACTCATGTCCCCAAATTATTCGTTCAAAGTGAATTATTAAGAAAATCAATATATTCATTTGCTTGTATTTGTTTATTCCCATTATGTGATTTAGCAGATTTATGTGTCAAAGATGATGCTGAAAGTGATATTAAATTTAGTGATAAATATGGTTCAATCATTTATGATCCAAAAAAGAAAGCTTTAAAATCAAAACCTTTGCCAAAGGAACTTGCAAATTCATTATATGTCCGAACTACTGATTATTTCTTGGATGCAGTGGCAACCAAAAATGATATCTTGACCAAACAACTGCAATTACATACCGATGAACCAATGTATGGTCCATTTATGATGGATTCAGTTACCGCTAATGAATTAGCCATCACATCAGTAATAATATTTTCTTTCCTAGGGGTTCATCCTCATAGATTATTACCATTAATAAGTTTTGAAGGTGAGGCAGATTTTCTATCAATCAGTAAAGGAGTTTGTACCACTATTGTAGCTACTGCTCCTCTTGTTAGAAATAGTGTTTATGGTGCTATGTTTGATTATGATGGAAATCGAATAACTCCTCCATTAAAGAAAACAAATTATAGATTAATTCTTACCTTAAAAGATGATCTTGAATTCGAATACTCATGCAAAGACTTTAACTCAACCACAGCAGAAGAATATCAAATCCTTCAAGATTCAGTAATGCTTCTACATTCTTGTATTCATCGAGCAGTTACTAAGAAATATCCTGTCCCAGTCTATAAATGGATTATATTATTGGAAGGCGATTTCCATCGTTTGGTATATAAACAAACCTACTTCGCATTGAGAATGGTATATATCCATGCTTGTTTGATGGCCTTGACCCGATTTCATGTCTTTAATGAAGCAAATCTTTGGGTAGATTATATGAATTGGTTTAAACGTTATAACGTCAAATTGTTTAATGGTTGGAAATACGAAACAGATCAAAGTTTATATACTCTCATATTTGATAAACAATATCTGTTTGGTAGAAGGTCGTATGCTACTTTAGGTGAGTTTGATCCTGATTTCTTAGCTAGTATTTTATAGAGATTAACTGAATAAATAAAATATATTGGGCGCTACCACTTCGGTTATTGATATGTTGCTGTGCCGCCTTTTTTTCTTCTATAAAATCGCACGGCCTTAGAATACAAATCTGAAATTTAACCTTAAATTCAAATTAAGCCTTATAAGTTTCAATTATCCCTTAATATTTATGAGATAGATGTTATATAATAAACATTGCTATAGATGAGTACCATACTTACTACTCGAAGGAAAACATCAAAGTCCAGGAAAGGATGTCTTAGTTGTAAAAAATTAAGAATCAAAGTACGTATACATTTGTTTTAAAATCATAGAAAGCATTGAAACTAACTGTTATAAAGTGTGACGAGGCCAAACCAAGTTGTGAATATTGTGTTCATACAAGTCGTGAATGTATATACCCCAGTCCAATAACCATAGCGAATCTTCAATATGGACCCGAAACTTCCAATTCCAGTACATCTACATCCAGTAGTAATGATCTGAGTCCTAGTGAACTTGAAAAGCAACAATTAACAGTGACGTTACAAGAAAGTACCGTCTTGAGACGATATCAAACAGATTTAATGCATCAAACTGAACTTAATAACGCTACTAGTCAACTAGGTATATCACGATTCGAATTGAGATTGTTAGACTTTTTTAATAATTTCTGTATTTATGAATTATCAAATGAACCAAATGATGTGATTCATTCAGTTTGGGTGACCCATGTTCCTCAAGTCTTTTTACAAAGTGAATTGATAAGGAATAGTATTTATTCATATTCAGCCTTAAATTTATTCCCCCTATGTGAAGATCTACATAAACTACGTATAGAAGATGATATAGAAAGTAGATTGAAATTTAAGACTAGAATTGGGTCTATATCATTTATCAGTGATGATCATAGAGACGTACCTGAATCTGATGATTTATATATTAAGACAGCAAAATATTTTATGGATACTATTACAGCTAAAAATAAATTTGTGGATGAATTAAAATATAATAATATTACAGATCTACCTACAATTTCAATCATAGAATTTACTATTTCAAGTATTTTGATATTATCATTCTTAGGTATTCATCCTCATAAAATCATGCCATTGGTAAGTTTTGATCAATCCGAATCTGATTTAATTTCAATTTGTAAAGCTATTCGTGAAACAGGGAAGATGTATGATTTAAGGACTAATAATATATTCAAAGATTTGTATACATATGATAAGTTTGCAAATATACCATCCGTTAAACAGAGTTTTTTCCCAACCATTATGAGATTAAGAGATGATTTAGAATTGGAATACAAACATTCATCAACCATAAGTGAGGAATATAATATACTATATGATGCCCTTGAATTATTACAGTCAGGAATGTTTAAAGGTATACTTTATTCTCATCCAGCTCCGTTATTTAGATGGATAATAATAATATCGGATGAGTTTCAACAATTAATCTATAAGAAATGTCCGTTTGCATTACGGTTACTATACATATTTTCCAGTCTTTCAATCTTAGTAAGAGTCCTATTGTTTAAGGATGCAAATCTATGGGTTGATTACATGCAATGGTATAAGAGTTATAATTTCGATTTGGTTGGAAGTTGGAAGTACAGTATGGATGAGGCGTTCTATTATCTTATATTTGAAAAGGATTTCACTTTAATTGGAAACAGTGAGACCAATCTAATGACTTTTGATGCGGAATTTATAGCTCAAGTTATATAGATATTTGCGACTTGGTTTGCAGATATGAACATACAATACATAGCAACATTATACTCGTGAGATGTGGATCGTCTCAGTGTATATATATGTATAAGACAATATTATTCATACGGTGGCAAATGTCGACATAGCTGTAGATATAAAAATCGTTGTAGCGGAGATATAACCAAAATCCGCATTTGGTAGCCTCAGTACGGAGAAAATTGAAAATTAGAGTTGTAATATTTCAACCTTAAATTGTGATGATACTTCCATTGAACAACAAGTTAACAGTTTTTGCCTTCAATGGTCAATTGAATAAGAAGTTTCATTAAAGCAATATCACTATGAAGGCTAAAAAATCTCGAGCTAAGAATATCACAAGATCTAGAGCCGGATGTGTTAGTTGCAAAAAGTTAAGAATTAGAGTATGTATTCGTCAATATGACGTGTGAATTGGGTTACTGGAGCTATTTCTTACTAACATAAAGTCAGTGTGACCAAACAAGACCTAAATGTGAATATTGTGTTCATACAAATCGAGAATGTATTTATGAAACCTCGAATTTCGTTGCAGCAGAATACAGTCAATTGTCACAAGCTAAATTATCAGATTCAGAGCTACCGCTCGAGATCATGAATAATTCGAAGAACCTTGTTAAAATTAACTTAAACGACAACATAAATCATTGTGAATTGGAATATCAATACAATCTCAATAAAGCTACTAGTCAACTAGGTATATCCAAGTTTGAACTCAGATTATTAAATTTTTTTAACAACTTTTGCCTTTGTAAATTTTCAAAGCCAGCTCATTCAATGTGGAATAGAAATGTACCTCCCATATTCTTTCAAAGTGATTTAATACGAAACAGTATCTACGCTTATTCATCTTTAAATCTTTTCAATTTGTGTGATGATTTTGAAGAATTACGTATTCAAGACGATTTAAATAGTGAAATAAAATCTTGTGATACAATTGGATCAATTTCTTTTTCAGCTACCAATAAGCGTCAAGTTGAGGTGTCTAATGATTTACATATCAAAACTACCAATTATTTTATAAAGACCATTTCCAGAAAGAATCAATTAATTGAAAGGTTTTATGATCCAAATGATACCACAGATAAATCAATAATAGCGACTGAGCTAATGGTATCAAGCTTCGTTATTTTTCCCTTCTTAGCAATGCATCATCATAAATTAATGACCTTAGTTAGTTTTGACAGATCAGAATCTGATTTCATATCTATTTGTCAAGGCATTCGTAATATAATGACATCATTTGGACCTCATAGTCCATTCAACAACATATTTGCATCTGAATTAAAACTTAAAATACCAAGTGTTAAACAAAGTAGTATTCCTATCATTGTTAAATTAAGGGAGGATTTAGAATTTGAATATGATCATAAAGACTTATATTTAATTTCTATAGACAAATATAATATATTATACCAAATGCTTGAGAGCTTACAAAAGTCTTTACATATATTCATATTGATTGGAAATCCAGTTCCTTTATATAGATGGATATTATCAATCACAGATAGATATCTTGATTTGGTCTACGAAAAGTTCCCCTTTGCATTGAGATTCTTGTATATATATTCTAGCTTAGCTACATTATCAAAATTTCAACTAGTCAATGACTCTAATTTATGGGTTGATTACATGAAATGGTATAAAAAGTACAATTCCCACTTGTTTGGAGGTTGGAATTATTCAATGGATGAATCATTTTATAGTCTAGTATTTGATAAAGGGTTCAGCCTTGTTGGAAACAGTGAAGCAAATTTGATCACTTTTGATCCTGACTTCTTAGTTCAGATTGTATAGACATGTCCAAAGACATTCTATATTTCTAATGTGTTACAGTTTATAATTCTTAGATATAAATTTAAGCTTAAGATGAAATTTGCATCAAAAATGTGGCATCCGCGTCAGAAATATCCTAATCATCTAAAATCTATAAAATCTATAAAATCTTAGACATTTTAGAAGTGTTATATTGGAAAGCCTTAAGAGATAGATTCACAGATAGAAAGAAGGGGAGTTGTTACTTCCTGTGTCACATACCTCCCATGGATAGCATCCATAATGTCAATAATATATCAAAAGTTACCAAATCCAAAGGATAGTAACCGTTCAAGAGGCGGTTGCATGAGATGCAAGAAACTCAAGATAACAGTATGTATTCATGGATAAAACAAAGAAATTGACTAGTGTTACTAATAATAGCTTAGTGTGATAACTCAAAACTGAAATGTGAGCACTGTGAACTTTCCATCAACGATTGTGTATATCAATCTACAAATTTCATAAATTCTCAGTATAACCGACTACTTGACCAACAACAGGAACAGTTAATACATACTACCCCAACAAATGTTATTGTATTGAATACATTAGTGCAGAGATATAGTCATCAGTTTGATACTCAGTTACGCGTCAATAATGGTAGTGGTCAATTAGGAATATCCAAATTTGAACTCCGATTATTAGACTTTTTTAATAATTATTGTATTTATGGGTTTTCCTATGAACCCAATGATGAAATTCACTATATCTGGACCAATAAGGTGCCTTCATTATTCATGAAGAGCCAATTAATACGAAATAGTATTTGTGCTTTTTCTTGTTTGAATTTATTTCCCTTCAGTGATGATTTAAATAATTTACGTATAGAAGATGATTCTAGCAGTAGGTTGAAATTTAATGAAAGGTTCCATACGACAACATCTTCTAATGAGAGTCAACAGATTATATCATCCTCCTCAAATGATTTATTAAACAGAATCACTGATTATTTCACCCATACATTATCAGGAACGAATCAACTACTTGAAAATTTACAAAATCAGAACGCGTTCGATAAAGATATATTGGCTAATGAGTTTATAATATCAAGCATCATGATGTTCATGTTTTTGGCAACACACCATCACAAAATCATGCCGTTGGTCAGTTTCAATAAATCAGAATCAGATTTTTTATCTATATGTGAAAGTATCAGAAATGTGATAGCAAACCTTGATTCAATAATTCAAATTAACGTGTTTAAACAAATATTTCTATTCCCAATAAATTTAAATGTACCGAATCTTGAAGAAAGTGTAATACCAATCATTGTTAGACTCCAACTAGATTTGGAATCTGAATATGATACTACCAACTTTTCATCGACATCCTTACACGAATACAACACGTTATACCATGCTCTAGAAACGTTACAGGTAACGATATATAAAGCGATATCGTATGGGTATCCGATTCCAATATATAGATGGGTATTAATACTTTCAAATGATTATCATGATCTAATCTATGATGAATCTTCATTTGCTTTGAGGTTGTTATACGTCTTTGCAAGTTTAGCATCATTAACCAATTTCCAGTTATTTAAAGAGGTAAATTTATGGGTTGATTATATGAATTGGTATAAAGCTTACAATTATCGAATGTACGGAGAATGGAAATACAGTATGGATAAATCACTATATCTCCTAACTTTTGATCAAGAGTTCACTCTTATGGGCAATAGAGAAATAAACTTGATGAATTTTGATCCTGATTTTTTAGTACAAGATTTGTAGACTTATATATCATATTTTATTGTTATTATAATACTGCATCTATAATGGTTAAACTTTATAGTTCGTAGACACCACTTTTAGGGGTTGGAAATGTTTCTTATCCCGTATGTTTAACAACATTAATAATTGATGCAAATTTAAACTCGCGTCTGTAAAGGTCATTCTTCTTCTGTCAAAATCTAAGCCCGATATACGGAGAAAACTAAAATCATCAAAACTTCAAATTGAAAATGAAACATCTACAAATAGTATGGTCTAAGGCATAGATAGTTTGTATAGTCAGTTAACGTTCGATACTCATGAATAACAATAATACACCAAATCCAAAATCTAAAAGAATTAGATCTAAAGAGGTGGATGTCTCAGTTGCAAAAAGCTAAGAATAAAAGTATGTATTTTTGTGCCTTCATCTACTTTAATCAATGAAACCAATGACTAACCGTATTATAAGTGTGATCAATCGAAACCTAGATGCGAGTATTGTGTTCATACGTTCCGAGAATGTATATATCAATCATCAAACTTCATAAATTCTCAATATAATCGTATCACAGAACAGAAACAGCAAGAGTTATCCGCCAGCAGTTCAACAGATCTTACGACAATAAATACAATAATTGAACGATACAATTATAAATTGGACGAGCATTTGAATCTCAATAATGCTACTACTCAACTTGGTATATCCATGTTTGAACTTCGATTGTTAAATTTCTTCAATAATTATTGCATTTATGGATTTTCGCATAATCCAGATGATGACATTCATTTCATATGGAGAAATCTTGTCCCACCAATGTTTATACAAAGTGAATTAATAAGGAACAGTATTTGTGCCTTTTCTTGTTTAAACTTATTTCCTTTCTGTGATGATTTAGATTCGGTACGTATAGAAGATGATTCTAATAGTGTACTAAAATTCAGTGAAAGATTTGGTTCACCTTCAAGTACAAGTGAAAACCATTTATCAACACAATCTGGTGAAGTATTCATCAAGACAACTAATTATTTCACGAATACCGTATCTGGAAAGAATCAATTGATTCAAAGCATGCAGAACGCTAATGGAAATGATAAGTCCAAATTAGCAACAGAGTTCATGATTTCAACCATCATGATATTTACATTTCTAGCTACCCATCATCATAAATTAGTTCCTTTGGTGAGCTTTGATAAATCAGAATCAGATTTTATATCCATTTGCCAAGGAATCAGAAACACCATAACAGAATTTGCTTCTATAGTTCGACATAGCGTGTTTAAAGATGTTTTTACATTTGAGGTAAATCTCGAAATACCAACAGTTGATGAAAGTGATATTCCGGTTATTGTTCAATTGAGACAGGATTTAGAACTTGAATATGGTGATGAGAACTTACTATCAAGTTCTATCGATGATTACACCACTTTTCGCCAAGTACTTGAAATATTACAAATATCAATTTTTAAATCAGTTTCATATGGTTATTCAGTCCCGTTATATAGATGGATCTTATTATTGTCCAAACATTATGTTGAATTAGTGTATGATAAATGTCCCTTTGCCTTGAGATTGTTGTATGTATTTTCAAGCTTGGCCACATTATCCAGATTACAATTACTTAAGCATTCAAATTTGTGGGTTGACTACATGAAGTGGTATAAGCAACATAATTTTGATTTGTATGGTGGGTGGAGGTATAGTATGGATGAATCCCTTTTCTGTCTTGTATTTGACAAAGATTTCAGTCTTTTGGAAAATAATGAATCAAGTTGGAAGTCCTTTGATCCAGAGTTTTTAGCTCAAGTTATATAGAAATTTGGTCTTTTTGAAGAAATAGCAAGATAGGTTAAAAGCTCTATCACTTAGAGTTTAATGGCAATAGTTATGTATAAATCATATATATAATCTTGTCTCTGTCTTATCTCTAGAAATATAATTGAAAATATAAAGTTACTTTAAATATAATTACATGGGGCTTAAAAAAGAAGCTTCGCGATTGGTAGCAAGTCGCTGCTTTTCTAGAAGACAAAACAAAATTCTTAATTTCATAATATATACTGGTTTCAAATCTAACGAGCCTATTGCTATTCTCAATGAAATCATAATCAGGTCCATCGTTATGAATGATAATGATCGGATTAATGGTCCTAATAAGTCAAAAAGAAAAAGTGCCAATGCAAACACTCCACGAACTAGAGGTGGTTGTCTCAGTTGCAAAAAACTACGAATAAAAGTAAGTATTCATTAATTCATCAATAACTAATAATAAACTGAATACTAACAATGGTTCATTATTACAGTGTGATAGATCTAAACCAAAGTGTGAGTATTGTAGTCACACTCGTCGAAATTGTATATATCCAATCCCAGATTTCATAGATTCACAGTACACCCAAATATTAGAGCATGAACCACAAGAATCAAAGTTAACATATACCAAGTCTACAGATCTCACCAGAGTCAGAGTCAACAATAGAGTCCAGAGCTACCAAAGTGACTTTCATGATCAATATATTCTTAATAAAGCTACGAGTCAATTAGGAATATCCAAATTTGAACTCCGATTATTGGACTTTTTCAATAATTATTGTATTTATGGGTTTTCATATGAACCCAATGATAGAATTCATTTAATTTGGAAGAATATTATACCACCATTGATGACTCAAAGTGAGTTGATTAGAAATAGTATTTATGCTTATGCTTGTTTGAATTTGTTTCCCTTGTGTGATGATCTAATTAGAGCACGTACGGATGATGATTCTGAAAGTGAGTTAAAATTTGGTGCAACCAACGGTACAATATCATTTCCAAATAATAAGAAACAAAATTTGTTAGTGGATTCTGGAGATTTGTTAATTAGAACCGCTAATTATTTCACAAATACAATTTCAGGTAAGCAGAGATTGGTTGATAAGTTTCAAAACACTAAAAATGAGGATGATTACTCTGAATTGGCCAGTGAATTCATGATTTCAAGTATTATGATATTTTCATTTTTAGCTACTCATCATCATAAACTAATGCCATTAGTCAGTTTTGATAAATCAGAGTCGGATCTTATATCTGTTTGTCTCGGTATTAGAAACGTAATATCAACATTTGGCTTAATAATACAGTATAGCGTGTTTAACAGAATCTTCATATTTGAACTTGAACTCAAAATACCCAGTGTTAAAGAAAGTGATATTCCAATTATTATTAGATTACGACAAGATTTAGAATCTGAATACGAAAGTAAAGATTTATCAACAAGTATCTCAAATGAATATAATAATTTATATCAAATTCTTGAAACATTGCAAATATCGATTTTTAAATCGATAGCATACTCATATCCAGTTCCATTATATCGTTGGATTCTATTATTAACTAATGAATACCTTGAATTGGTTTATGATAAATGTCCTTTTGCATTAAGATTGTTATATGTATTTTCGAGTTTATCAACATTATCAAAATTGCAAGTATATGATGATTCAAATATATGGATAGATTATATGAATTGGTATAGAATGTTTAATTATGAACATTACGATGGTTGGAGATTCAGAATGGATGAATCACTTTATGATATAGTCTTTAATAGACGGTTTAAATTTGTAAAGGATTTTTCTAATTTACAAACTTTTGATCCAGAGGTTTTAGACGTGGTTATATAGGAATAGGTTAGAAAAGGTTATATAGATAGTATATTTTAATGTAATTAATGATTTTGTATATAAAACATACCCTGTAATGATTGCCCCATATTTGAGATCTGTCTAACACGAAAAACGTACTTGATATCGCAGCCTCAAAAATTTGAAATATAAGAATTAATCATCTCCTCTTCTGTTTCACTATCTAAACAACTAACACAATAAATGCAATGGACAGCAAGCGAAAGAGGAACATTACTAATATAACAAGATCGAAAAGCGGGTGTCTTAGTTGTAAAAGACTACGAATCAAAGTAAGTATTGGTTGACTGACATTCTAGCTCTTATTTAACTTACATTACTAACTCATCAAGTGTGATCAAACCAAACCAAGATGTGAATACTGTTTGCATACGAATAGAGAATGTAAATATCCTAACAACTTGAGAACTATAGAATTCAAGCCATCATATCACAAAGAGAAATCAGTTTCCAGATATCAGCCTAATGTACCTATTCAACTTCATTTAAATAATGCTTCCACGCAGCTAGGTATATCAAAATTTGAGTTAAGACTATTAAATTTCTTTCATAACTATTGCTTAGCTGATATAACCAATGGAGTCAACAATTCCATGCAATCTGTTTGGATGACTAAAGTACCACCGTTGTTTGCCGAAAGTGAGTTAATAAGGAATAGTATATTTTCATTTGCTTGTTTGAATTTGTATCCATTGAGACGAGAGTTAAATCGGGGTATCTTGACATCAAGCTCGTCTACAGATGATGAAATATTACCAGAAGCTAATGAATTACTTGTTAGAGTTTCTAATTATTTTAGTCATACGTTATTAGGAAAAAACGCATTATTAACTAAATTACTGAATGAAGATTTCTCTGCTGAAGAAACGCATACTAAAGTTGTTTTGGCAACAGAGCTCTCGGTGTCTACTATGATTGTTGCCTTGTTTTTAAGTATGCATTCACATAAAATACTACCTTTGATATGTTTCGATAAATCAGTCCCCGATTATATATCAATCTGTAAAGGGATGCGTCTGTCTATTATGTCATTTGAATCCGCCTTTATATATAATGTGTTTAATGAAGTATTCAAATTTCACATAACAATCAAAACTCCCCCTTTTAAAGAAACTCCATACCCAATATTAGTTGCATTGCGTCAAGATTTAGAAATGGAATACTTGGATAAAGATTTGTCAACATCTATTACTGAGGAGTTTAATACGATGTATCAAGGTCTTGAAATATTACATTCGTGTATTTATAGAAGCATGATGGATGGATATTCAGTTCCTTTACTTCGATGGTTGTCACTTTTGCCTAGTCAATTTTATGATTTAATTTATAGTAAGAATTTCTACAGCTTACGAATATTATACGTGTGTACAAGTTTGATAACATTGATTAAATTTCAAAATTACAAAGAGTCAACTATGTGGGTTGATTTCATGAATTGGTATAAGGAGTATAATTATCAAGAATTTGATGGTTGGAAGTATAATATGGATAAATCGTTATATTCTCTAGTATTTGATGGCGAATATAAGTTTGGATCTGACTACTCAAATTTAAAGACGTTTAATCCTGAAGCCTTTATTATTTAGAATGAACTTGTATATAAATGGTGTATACTTACATATAAAAAAAACATATGCTAATTAATGTTAAAATCAATGATTTATAATTTATGTGTAGCTGGATATCAAACCCCAGATTTAAGAGCTCTGAAGAAAAATCCAATATCGCAGTGATAAAAAATGAGATTAAATATTATGAACTTCACTTAGGAAGAATCACTAATTAAGTAATGGATGACAGCAGGAAGAGTGGAATAGGGAAACCTAGAATAACCAGATCAAGGGGTGCCTGTTTTAGTTGCAAAAGACTAAGAATCAAAGTATGTATTGGTTGACTCAGTATCTTAACTGTTTCATTTGACTTACATTACTAACTAACCCAGTGTGATCAAATGAGACCAAGATGTGAATATTGTACTCATACAAATAGAGAATGTGAATATTCCAACTTGACGACGATAGAATTCAAACCATCATATCACAAAGAGAAGTCAGTTACCATATATCAGTCTAATACACCTGTTCAACATAATTTAAATAATGTTACCACCCAGTTAGGTATTACAAAATTTGAGTTAAAGCTATTAAATTTCTTTCACAATTATTGTCTTACAGATATAACCAATGGGGTTAGTAATTCCACGCAATCTCTTTGGATGACTCAAGTGCCTCCCTTGTTTACCGAAAGTAAGCTTATAAGAAATAGCATATTTTCTTTAGCATCTTTAAATTTGTATCCTTTAAGTCGAGATTTAAATGAGAACAAATCAGCCCCATTCAGGGCCGATAATTTATTACCTGAATCCAATGAATTATTCATTCAAGCTTCAAAGTATTTCAGTAATACATTATTAGGAAAGAATGAATTGATAAATAAATTACTGAATGAAAATTACGCTACTCAAGAACTACATACTAAAGTGGTTTTGGCAACAGAATTATCGGTATCTAGTATGATTATTGCTTTGTTTTTAAGTATGCACTCGCATAGAATATTACCGTTGATATGCTTTGATAGATCAGAACCTGATTATGTTTCAATTTGTAAAGGGTTGTATCTGTCTATTATTTCATTTCAATCGACCTTTGCATATAATGTGTTTCGTGAAGTGCTTGAATATCATTTTATTATTAAAGTACCACCTTTCAAAGAAACTCCATTTCCGATATTAGTTGCATTACGACAAGATTTAGAATTGGAATACTTGGACAAAGATTTGTCAACAAGCACCACTGAGGAATTTAATACTATGTATGAAGGTCTTGAAGTATTACATTCATGTATTTATAAAAGCAGGATGGATGGATATTCAGTTCCACTACTTAAGTGGTTATCACTATTAACCACTCAATTTTATGATTTAATTTATAGTAAGAATTTCTACAGCTTAAGAATATTATACGTGTGTGCATGTTTGGTAACCATGTTTAAATTTCAAAATTACAAAGAGTCAACTATTTGGGTTGATTTCATGAATTGGTATAAGGAGTATAACTATGAAAAATATGGTGGTTGGAAGTATAATATGGATAAATCGTTATATGATATAGTGTGCGACGGGGGATTTAATTTTGGATCTGATTATTCAAATTTAGAGACGTTTAACCCTGAAGCGTTGATTGTTTAGAATGAATTGTACAGTAGTAGTATATAGAAATATATGCTGATTAATTTTAATAAAGGCCTTACCAGGCATTTGTGCTGTTGTATATCAGTCCCTAGATTTAACGACTATGGGTAAAATTCCGCTAGATATCGCAGACAAAAAAATGTGATGGAATATCGTATCATGAACTCGTGTGAAGAGGAATCTCTAGATCAACCACGATGGAGAACGGCAAGAAGTCTAGAATAGGGAAAACTAATATAACAAGGTCAAAAAGCGGTTGTGTTAGTTGTAGAAGACTACGGATCAAAGTATGTATTGGTTGATTATCGATCTAGACAATTTCATGTATCTCATTTTACTAACCTATCTAGTGTGATCAAACCAAACCAAGATGTGAATATTGTATGCATACAAATAGAGAATGTGAATACCCCAACAATCTAAGAACGATAGAATTCAAGCCATCATATCATAAAAATAGGCCACTAAGGAAAAACCATGATAATATTCCTATTAAAATTAGTCTAAATGATGCTTCCAGCCAGTTAGGTATATCAAACTTTGAATTAAAGCTATTAAATTTCTTTCACCTTTATTGTCTTGCAGATATAACCAATGGAGTTGATAATCCCATGCAAGCCCTTTGGATGAGTAAAGTACATCCAATGTTTATGGAAAGTAAATTAATAAGAAATAGCATATTTTCCTTAGCATCTTTGAATTTGTATCCAATATGTCAAAATTTAAATGAGAGCACCATCAAATCAAATTCATTTGCAGGTGATGATATGTTTCCAGAATCTAGTGAATTGCTCATTCGGGCGTCAAAATATTTCAGTAATACATTATTAGGAAAGAATGAATTGATAAATAAGTTACTGAATGAAAATTACGCTACTCAAGAACTACATACTAAAGTGGTTTTGGCAACAGAATTATCGGTATCTAGTATGATTATTGCCTTGTTTTTAAGTATGCATTCGCATAGAATATTACCGTTGGTATCGTTTGATAGAACGGTACCTGATTATATATCCATATGTAGAGGGATGCATCTGTCTATGATATCATTTCATTCCACATTTATATGTAATGTGTTTGATGATGTGCTAAAATGTCATATGGTCATTAAAATACCAAATTTTAAAGAAACTCCATATCCGATTTTAGTTGCTTTACGTGAAGATTTAGATTTTGAATATATGGACAAAGAATTATCAACAACTACAACGGAGGAATATAATGCTATGTATGATAGTCTTGAAATATTACATTCATGTATATATAAAAGTATGGTTGATGGATATTCAGTTCCATTACTTAGTTGGTTGTCGCTGTTACCAAGTCAGTTTTATGATTTGATTTATGATAAGAATTTCTTCAGTTTAAGAATATTATACGTATATACAAGTTTGACAACCTTAATTAAATTTCAAAATCACAAGGATTCAACTTTATGGGTGGATTACATGAGTTGGTATAAGGAGTATAATTATCAAGAATATGGTTGTTGGAAGTATAATATGGACAAATCATTATATTCTCTAGAATTTGGTGGTGATTTTAAGTTTGGAACCGATTATTCAAATTTAAAGACTTTTAATCCTGAAGCTTTGGTTATTTAGAATGAATAGTATAGAAAATATTGTGTATGTATATACTTTAAGTAATGTTAACTACCGAATTATACGAAATGTGTAGTTGTATTTCAAACCCCAGATTTAAGGATTTAAAGGATTTAAGAGAAGGGCTATGGGGAAAAATACGTAGATATCGCAGTTATAAAAAAGTGAGATGAAACAACTAATTTATGATCTGATATGATCCATCTGTAAGTAGTTCATTTACAATGGAGAATAGAAAGAAGCCAAGAGGAAGGACAACTAATATAACAAGATCAAGGGGTGGTTGTCTTGCTTGTAAAAGATTGAGAATAAAAGTAAGTATAAATTAGTTAACTACTAATTAGAATGCAAACGAATACTAACAAGTTCAGTGTGACCAAACCAAACCTCAATGTGAATATTGCAAACACAGAGGTCGTGAATGTTCATATTCTTTGAATTTGGTGTCGGTTTCATTTAAACAACCATATCACCTGCTGAAAGAAAGGACATTAATAAAATACCAAAGTAATCTAACAAATCAATTTAAATTAAATAATGCTACAAGTCAACTTGGTATATCAAAATTTGAATTAAGATTATTATGTTTCTTTAATGATTATTGTGTTGAAGATATAATGAATGGAGTTAATGATGCTATTCATGATATTTGGTCAATCCGAGTTCCTCTGTTGTTTCTAGAGAGTGAATTAATAAGAAATAGTATATATTCTTATGCATCGTTGAATATGTATCCATTTTGTGACGATATACAAACTTTACAGATACAGGATAATGCTGAGAGTCAAATTAAGGTTAGAGAAAGGATTAATTCAATACCATTTTTGACTGAGATAGATTCAGAAGATCCATATGAAATGAGGATTAATACAGCTAGATATTTCAGTAATACACTATTGTGTAAATATAAACTATTAAGCAAATTGCAGAATGGTGAAGCTATTCTCAAAGGAAATGATCAAGCACATCAGAAAATGTTGATAGCAACAGAGTTTTCAGTATCATGTATGTTGATATTATTATTTTTAAGTATTCATTCTCATAGAATACTACCGTTAGTATGCTTTGATAAATCTGAATCTGATTTTGTATCGATTTGCAAAGGAATGCGTGAAACTATAATGATATTTCAAGCATCATTTCGATATAATGCATTCAAGGATGCCTTTAAACGATATGCTGATTCTAAAGTTCCACCAGTGAAAGAATCTGAATTTCCAATTTTAATCGCATTACGACAAGATTTGGAACTTGCATATGAAGATAGAGAATTCTCGTTAACAAGAAATGAAGAATATTTGGCTTTATATGATGGTCTTGAACATTTACAAGCAAGTGTTGGAAAAGCTATGGTATATGGACATGCCCTTCCATTAATCAGATGGCTTTCAGTATTATCCAATAAATGCGTTGAGTTGATCTACAGTCAGAATTCATTTGCGTTGAGGTTATTATATGTTTATTCAAGTTTATCAACGTTAACCAAGTTTCAAATGTATAAAGATGCTAATATTTGGCTTGATTTTATGAATTGGTATAAACAATATAATTTAGAACTTTTTGGGGATTGGAAATATGGTATGGATAAGAGTCTTTACTTTCTTGCATTACAAAAGGATTTTAAATTCATTGAAGGTAAGTATGCCAACTTACAATCATTTGATCCTGAGTACTTTGAACAAGTGGTGTTTGATACTCTTGTCGATGATATCGTCGCTTAACTGCTGCTAAATCCATTAACACCGACGAAAATTCGGCGAGCAATCCTCTCGAAGCAAGGCTATTTCAATATACTAAGTTTTACAGAATTGATTTATAAATTATATAGAATAATAGGTTTCATAGTAGTGAAGATAATTAATATGATGATGATTAACAAGTGTTTAACAAAATTATTGATTAATTATCCCTGTTCGTTCCTAATTAAATGTTTTATCGTAATTATAATTATCGTGTAAAAAAAATATTGCGCGCACTTCATCTGTCCGCGCATATGTAGAAATCTGTCAAAACGACCCATTCCATCCCTTGAGACAGATTCTTTTGGTCTCGAAATTTTGAACAGCCGTTTCCTTATCAGATTCAATTGCTTTCAAGTATCATATTAATTGAGTTCAGATAGATATGGAATTGAAGGGAAATGTCATCAAACGATCTCGTAATGGTTGTGCAAGTTGTAAACGATTACGTATAAAGGTATGTGCTTATGTTAGTTTATTTTTGTACCCCACATGTATGCATACATGATACTAACAAATATGTTATAGTGTGATGAAGGTAAACCAAAATGTGAATATTGTACTCATACTGATAGAGAATGTGTATATCCTACTCCAAAGATCTTACCCCCATCATCCATTCGTAAGAAAAGACCCTATAGAAGGCATATTAAACCATATGATGAAGTTGATGAAGATGAAGAATTGGATGATTTATCATTGATGATGGCTAATGCCATGGTTTTAGAAGATCAACCACCATCGCCTGTTGATTTAGAGTATCACTTATTAAAGGAGGAGGCCCTGTTAAATCAATTCACTACACAATTATCCATCTCCAAATTCGAATTACGATTACTCAGCTTTTTTAATAATTATTGTATCAACTTATTCTCATTTGGACATAATCCTGAAATTCATGATGTATGGTCTAATAAAGTTCCTCAATTATTCATGAGTAGTGAATTGGTTCGAAATAGTATTTATTCATTTGCTTCAGTTAATTTATTTAAATTATGTGATTTAGAAAATCTTCGAATTCAAGATGAAATCGATAGTGATGTCAAATTTGAAAAAGAATTGTCCTATGATTCAATGTCATTTATAAAGAAATCAAGTGTTGAACAACAAACTAATCTCTATATTAAAACCACCAATTATTTCATGAATACTATATCCCGAAAAAATCAATTAATATCTCAATTTTATGGTCCCGTTATAATGGATGGTGATGTAGCAAAGGAATTATTAGTATCGTCAATTTTAATCTTTGCATTTTTAGGAATTCATCCTCATAAATTATTACCTTTAATCAGTTTCCGTGATGATGAATCTGATTTCTTATCTGTATGTAAAGGAATAAGAGAAACCATTATATCTTGTTCTCCTGTTATACGACAAACCTCATTCCAAGGTTTATTAAGTTATCAAAAGACTCAAACGCGACAATCACCATTCTCGAAAGATAGTACATACCCAGTAGTAGTCTACTTTAGAAAAGATCTCGATGAAGCTTACTTTGATGATCCCACAAATAACGAATACAATGGTATAATTGATGCATTGGATGTATTACAAGAATGTATTTTTAAAGTTCAAAAATTCAAATATCATGTTCCCTTATACATTTGGATCATTTCATTACCGTATTCATTTCATGATTTAGTATATACCAAGAACTTACATGCATTGAGATTATTGTATATATTCTCATCATTATGTATCATGGGACGATTTCATATGTTTAATGCCTCGAATATATGGATTGATTATATGTTTTGGTATAGACGATATAATATTGAATTATTTGATGGTTGGAAATTTGAAATGGATGAAAATCTCTTCACATTGGCATTTATTAAGAATTATCGATTTTCAAATGTTAATTTGAATTTAAATGGTGTTACCATGGTTAATTTTGATCCAAATTTGATTGCCGCCGTAATATAAAGAAACAAAAAGGGTAATATAAAGATACAATAAATATTGATTAAGTTTATATATATGTATATATATATATATAGCTACATACAATTACGATAGGAATAAATTTGGGTTTTTTTGGGGGGTACCTTGGAAATCAAACTAATTAACTAACTGGCAACGTTTAAACGATCAGCTTCTTCAACAACTTTTTGTCTTCTTTCTTTTCTAATCTTTTCAGTTCTTCTTTTATCATCATGTAAATGTTTATGATCCATATAATCATTAACATAATCTTTATAAGTAGATTCATGTAATAAATGTTCATCAATTTCAAATCCTCCATGATTTCCAAATTCGGAATCTGAATCTTTTAATACATCTCTTATACTTTCATTACTTACTAATTGATCATGTAATCCAAAACTAAAACTCCATTTTAAAATCCTTAATCTTGAATATAAGATCCAACTATCAATCGGTAATGATTTATATTTGGATAATCTGATATATGTTGAATCCATGATGGAAGTTATAATTTCTAATCCAGTTGGAGTTCTTAATAATACTTGTTCACGTTTTATAGGATCAACATGAACTTTTATAGTATTTAAAATATTTCTAAAGATAGAATGAGATTGTTTTTTATCCTTTTTAGAAACTTTCTTAGATGAGATATTGGCTAATCTTTCCAAGATTGCAAATAATGAACCTTGTTCATAATACGGACCATTCGGATTAAATTCTTCATAATCTTCATTATCAAAATCATCAGGATTGATAGCTTCAAATGTGTATAATTCATATATGACAGCAATGACTCTGGCTGATGCTCTTGAAACATCACGAAGATCTTCTTCCTCCAACAATGGAATAATCTTAAGAATTAATGCTTCCACAAATTCATTTAAATATTCTCCTCTTGAAATTAAAGTTAAAAGACATGCCACTCCATTTAAGGCTGATGATGCTACTGAAACTTCAGAATCAACTTTTGAATAAGCTTCAGAAACTAATCTTTTATCTTCATTTTTATCATTTATAAGGGTGGAATGTTCTCTATCTCCAGATTCGATATTTTTTCGTAATAATACAGCACTTGATGTAAACCCCTCAGCAATTTCCATTAACCAATTGATTTTATCATCAATTCCAAAACTGGAGGATCCATTATGTAATACTAAAGTCAAAGCAATAAACCCATTGATTAAAGTTGATTTATTATCATTGGTAATGATGGATGTGGCAGGTTCTTGAATTAATACTTTTATTTTACCTAAGAATTCACTGGTTATCATATAACCAAAATCTTCAATATTACTAATTAATAAAGCAATCATTGATCTGTATAAATATAAGAATTCAGTTTCAGTTCTATAATTAGAATCATTAAATAAATTAATCACTTTTTGAACTTTTTCTTCATCAACATAATTTATAGATCCAATATTTTCTTCATTATACACCATGATAGGTTTAGTAACCATCAATTTATATAATTGAGCCAATAACAACTCACGGGAAGTGGATGATACTTCAGTTCTAGTTAATAGCAACGATCTAATGATATCATTGATAGTTGTAGTTTCTGAAGTAATCTTTGCTTTATTCAAAGCTTCAGCATTATATTGACGTCTATCTCCAGCTCCAAATCGATCTTCTTTATTGACAGATATATTTTCAGGATCGACATTCAAAGTTAAACTTTGTAATCTTTGATTTAACAATTCTTGAATCTTTTTAAAGTCTTCTTCAGTATCTTCTTCAAAATCAGAATCATCATCATTTCTTAATGGGGTTCTTGATGCAGAAGCAGCTCGGGAAGTAGAATTGGATGGAGTATCCTCTCTATCCCATCTTCTCTTCTTGAATATAGCCCGATGTGACATAGTTCTAACTCAAACAATTGAAATAACAGCAAAGAAGGAATTGATAATTACAAATCAGATTCAAATGATATTTGTTATTCTAAATTTATTTTATTTTACATTGCCCCATAAAAAAATATTTCAAATTGCTTGTTTTTATATACAGGAAAGGGTCATTCTTTTTTTGACTCACCTAAATTTAGAGTAAAGGAGCAAAGGGGACTTAAACCTTAATGGGGATAAGGTTTACCACTTAAAGTTATAAGTCATAAGTATTGTAAAGTAAACTTAAGTTAAGTTAAGTTAGGTAAATGTCTTACAATGGATATTAGATATCATAATTAATAGTCATTATACATTAAATAATTGTAGAAATTGTCTGTCTGTTTGTGTAGAGTCTATTATAGTTCAGTATATACAAGTCAGTTAGAATACTACTTCCATTGGTAATACATACACTTTATCACCATTTTCTCGAACTGTTTCATTATTAATATCTCTTGGTAACAGTTTTCTCATATCAAAAGCATCAATTTCATCATCAATTTTATTTCGATCTTGGGGCATTTCTCGTCCATAATATCCTACTACTCGTCGATATACCGAATAACCTAACTTTTCATATAATTGTCGAGCTAACGAATTGGTAACTTTAACAAATAAATCCACAAATAACGTATTATAAGGTTCTATACTGGTTAATTGCTCCAATTGTAAACATAAATATGATGCTAATCCAATTCTACGATATTGATCTTGAACCGTAACTGCAGTAATATGAGTATGCCATTCCTTTTTAGTTAATTTCCCTTCGGTTTTACCCATCATATATCCACTAATTTCATTCTGTTGATGGAAAAATTGATTATCATGATATATTTCAGTTGATTTAAAGAATAATGATGGCCAATCAATTAAGTATTGTAAATAAAATGAAACATTGAAATTCTCAGTTAAAGGATCTAAATTAACAGCATTAAATTCAAATAAGTCTTCAATTTGAAATGGTTTTATCGAAGTCATCCCTGAACTGTTACTGTTCTTCTCCAATGAATCTATTCTATACCTGTTAGTTTTAAGCAGTAGTTAATTTTTCTTTTTGCTTCATAGTTAATTTGATGATATTGAACAATGGGACACGACCTTCCAATCAAAAATGGAAAAAAAATTGATACAGCAATCAATCAATATGGTTGTTGATGTTACCGTTACTTCCATTTCATATCAATTTAAATAATAACAATCTACAATGTACGGTGGTGGTGCTCCAAGTGAAGAACAAAGAAAAGTTCAAGAAAAATATGCTTATGATACTTTGAAATATGCTGGTCTTATTGCTGGTGCTTTATGGGTTACTCCAATCATTTACCATTTCATTAAGAGACAATTATAAGGATTATAAGTCATTATATTCAATGGAATGATTGACTGTTGGTTTAAAGATTTAATGTACATAGAGAGTAAACAATACGTTTATCATTTCATTTGAAAAATTGGTTTTATTTGTTGTATAGAGAGTAAATAAAACAAAAACAATTAATAATATACAAGACCATAAACAATTATATATCATCTTCATCTTCATCATCATCAATATCAAGTAAATCTTCTCTTAATTTCCCAATCTTTGTCGATAAATTAATAAATTCCATTCTTTCAGCAATCTTGGATGCGGCTAATAAGGCTTTATCAGTTTTAATTAATTTGGCAATACTTAATGCTTTATTCAATTTTGAATCTTTACATGATTCAGCAAATAATTTTAAAAGTGATTTATCAAAAAGAATCGAATATTTCGTTAATCGATCCATGATTTCATCATTTTCATCATCATCACCTCCAATAGCTTCATCATTTAAGGAATCACTAATGATTTTTCCCATAGTTAATGATCTTAAAAAGTTTTCTTCTGGATCATCATTATCATTGAATAAATTCTTAATTTGTTCAGACCCATCAGTATCCATCAAATCATCATCTTCTTCTTCCTCCTCTTCATCATCTTCATCAAGAATATCATCTGGATTCTTCTTCTTCTTCTTCTTTTTCAAACTTCCATTCTCTTTATTAATACTATGCACTTGAATAGGTAATCTGATTTTTAATTCAACCGGTAATGGTAAGGGGAAACCAGGATATGGATTATTATTCTTCAAGATTAAACAATTCAATTGATCATTATATAATCCTAATGGCCAACATTTCCAATTCTTTTTATTTGGATTACTACCATATTCAGTGATAACATTATTACAATTCAATATTGGAATCCATTTCGAATTATTCGAATCTCTCCATGTTTGTAAGATTAATAACGTATCATCTTGATTGGAGATTATACATGGATCATTATATTCATTAAAGAAAAGTCCCTTAAGTAATAATTTTTCATTCGATTTCCTCTTGATTGGTAATAATACATCTTGTTGAATGAAGTTATAATCTTGATTAATATCAATCAATGAGAAAGTATAAATATTATTAGCAATTTGATTCACCGTGAAAAGATTTGATGTAGATGATGAGATTAAGGCATAAATAGGTTGGACTTTCAATACATTAATACAAACCCCATATAAATTAAAGAATCGAAGGTATCCTAATGAAGTCCCAACCGTTATTATTGATGATGATTGAGAACTGGTATTAGAAAGGCAAACCCCAGTTATAATTTCATCTTTTAAAAGTGGAATGGTCTTTTCCCAAGAATCAGTTTCACTATCATGATGTCTATAATAAATCTTTCCTCCATGATCATTATTTTTCTTTTCATTTATACCTGAATAACCTAATAATAATCCACGATTATTGAAAGAACATAAATCAAATTTAAAATGATCAGTGAAATGATAATCCTTCTGTATCGATCGATCATAAAATGAGATAGTTAAATGTTGTTGTTGTTGATCATATCCTGAATTACGTACAGCCCAAACGTGCCCCACAGTATTAATACCAAGGTATCGTCTTTCAACTGATCCTGAATTATCAGATTTGGAATCTTGAATCCAAGGAGTTGAACCGGGAGAATATGGTTGGAATTCTTCCACTTCAGTATGGGAGGTAAAATATGATGATGAGGTAGAACTACCACCATTGGTATATTTCTTTGATGATTTAAATCGTTTATTATCACCATAATTATCACCATCAAGATCATCCCCAAATAATCCTTCATCGTCATTATCATTAATATCATCATCTTGATCTATAATCATGGAATCTTCCTCTTGAACTTTTGAACGATCTCTTTTGGCAATCTTTTCATATTCTTCTTCATCTGTATCTTCAGTCGCATCATCTATGAATAATCCACTAGCTGCAGAAATAATAGCTTCAGTGGAAGTAGTAGTTGTAGAAGTGGTGGTGGTTATTTCTTTTCCAACTTGTTTAAAATAAATGATTTCACCATTAGTAGTTCCAAAATATAAATCATATTTAAACCATTGTAAATTAATGGCTATATTATTGTCATTGAGACTTATTGGAAATCTATGTTCAAGTTTATAATTGATTAAATTAAAAATCTTAACTGTATCATCAGAATATAATACTGCTATTAAAGATTCTTGATCATTTATATGAGTTGATCTAATTGATCCTGATGATTCTATATCTTTGATTTCTGTGATTTCTTGATAGGTTGATGAATACAACTTTATTGATGATGGACCATCATTGGCAGGAATTAAGAAATTACCATTCTTAAGAGCATGAATCTTTGTAGCCACCAATTCATCTTGATGATCATTTTTATAATCAATAGTATCTAATGAAGTTAAGATTTTCGTAGTGATCATATCTGATTTTTTAAAGGTAAAATCATCATCATCACCAAATCCATCCACATCATAAAATTTAACTTCACCATTTGATAAGGATATAATTAAAGAATTATTCAATCCTAAACTTAAATCAACAATCAGATCATTCAAGTCAAGAGTCTTTATTGCTTTAAATTCAGAACTGGAAGTATCTAAAAACACCAATTTCCGATCATCACCACCAACGACAACTTGATTCAAAGTTGGAATCAGTTGAATTGAACGTAATGGTAATTCAGATCGATAAATGGTTTTAACAACAATATCAATCGAATGATCAAGATAATTTTTCAAATCAATCACTTGGAATTGTCCATTTGTATTAGAAATAAATAATAAATCCTGAGATTGAACTAAACTAGTGATATTATTATCAATATCAATTGATTTTGGTTCTAAATCCAATTGATCTAAATCATAAATCTTAATCAATCCTTCACTATTACCGACAATTAATCGAGATTTTTGAATCGAAATAAGGGAATTACCATCTGGAAAGGCAGCTATTCTTTCTTGAATTGGAGCCATCTTTAGTTTTTGGTTATGGTTGAGATGATTATAGTTGAATGATAGTTGATTCTTCTTATATATTTTTCATATCAAAGAGATAGATTTCAAAACAACGCGTATATTATTTTTGTTTTGGCTGCTGTTTTGTACGCGTTGGAGAAATATCCTGTATAAAGGCACCCGTGACATGTCACATGACTATTTTTATGATAAACTATTAACTAGCAAGTTTTTGCAGCAGGTTCTACTGTTGATCATATACTAACATTAGATGATTTCCTTACTGAAGATGTGAATACCTTGGAAGATTTATTAGTTTTAGATGGTTCATTTGATGATTGTGATGAAGTTGATGATGATCTTGCTTGTTTTCGTTTTGAAAACTTAACTCTTAGTACATACAAGTAGATGAATAACTTGATAGGAATATTTTGAATTCCATCCATGATGTGACTTTAGTATTGGTTAATGTGACTTAGTTAATGAATCAATTAATCAATCAATTCATAAGTTGATCAATTATTAATAAAATTCATTTTGATTCTTTCCTCACTTTCAATATTTATAGAACTACAAAGGGATAAGACTAAAAGGTGATTTTAAGCAGCACAAAGTATCATCAAAATTAATAACAAATGATACTGTTCTTAGTAAAAACCTAAATTATATCAAAAGCATAATTTGATCTGTTAATGTCATACATTGATCATAGATTGATATTTGGTTGGTTAATCTGGATAAGTTGATAGTACAATTTTCAACCTTATAATACTTTAGTTTACATATATTTAGATCAATTAACTTAATAAAGGAATTAAAAAAAAAAACAAGGATTCCTACCGCAATACATAACCTTTCACATAGTTAATATTTAAAAATTTTAAAAATTTAAATTTTTGGGTGGGAATTGATTAAAAGTAACATAAAATAATTCCCGCATCAGACAAAAATTTTAATCTCATACAAAAACTTGAAATTCTTTTTTTTTTCTGCTCTCACTGAGTTTGGTTGGCGCTAGAAAAAGATCAGACAGTTAATTAATAATTTTTATTAGTTGCAAAAATATCTCAAATTACGTAGTTGATTCAAATCTAAATTAGAATTTGTGTTCAGAGTTAAAGTTAATGTTAATGGTGTAACTTATTCAGATTAAATCCCATCCCCTCTTTTGAAACACGAAGTAGGAGTTGACAAAACCGTTGGTATGAGTTAGCGCCAGTTTCATGAATGGGTTACATGGCGTTGTGAGTTTAAACCAGATTAATCTGAGACATTATTCCATAACAGGAATAAATGGAACTAATAAAATTTAAAAATAAAGAATGATGTTTTGTTTAAACCATGTTAGGCTAAAATAACGAGATTTTCAGGAAAAAGAAAAGAAAAATTTAGAGAGAAAAATATTTGATCTCAGCTAGCGAAAGATAAAACTCTTTTCTTTTAGTAGGGAGCAAAATATAGTGAGTGAGGGACGAGGAACAGAGAGAGAAGGAAAAAACTTTATTTTGTCTATTTTGACACATGGGCTATTTACATTGTTTGTTCCCTTGCTCCATCGCCCCTCCCCCAGTAAAAACAAAAAAAACCACCACAGATGAGAATTTAAGTTGCGGTAAATAAATATGAAAATGGAAATGTAAAGAGTGAACACCAACCAAAAAGGAAAAAAGGAAAAAGGAGTAGTGTGAAAACTTTGTTTCAAATGGGGGAGAGATGCGCTCAAACGTCAAAGTCCGTTAATTATTATTATTATTATTATTATTATTCATTCTAGACTACTGTAGTATATTCAGTATTCGATGATGAGAAAAATTTTGCATTGTAACAAAATTTATTTTAGTGAGAAAGAAAAAATTTGTCACTAAAATAAAAGTGAGATGATTTTTTTATTCCATTTTACTGTAAACAGAAAAAGATCTTTTCACTAGTTGCGAAAAAAGGGGAATAATAAAAGCGTAAATATTTTAGTTTTATCAGACACAGTATGGACAACGAGATAACGGACAACAATCGAGTATAATCAACATGGTGAATATTGCAATTAGCGCAATATTCAAGTTTGTAACATACAAGACAGCAGATACGGAACAGTTGAAGAAATAAAATAAATAAATAAAAAACATTAACACAAATCTGATGGGGGTGTAATATCATATGAAAGAGAGGATAAGCGCTAAACAGAGCGATTTTAATAAAAAATGAAAATGAGAATTCTAATTTTAACTATGTAAAGAAAGTAATTAAACATCTTAATTAAGGTCTAAGTAACTAACTAAAATTGTACGGCTTATTATAATATGTATAGAAATTGCAGACAGACAGACAGACAGACAGAAACACAAAATAAAAGTAAAAAAAAAAGAAATTCCTCAACCAAAAAAAAAAAAGAAAGTCTCACAGCCAGACAGACAGACAAATTTTGATTTGGGGAGAGTTGAGGGATTAATTTCACTACCAAAAACATTACTTACCAGCAGAGGTAAAAATCATTGGGTAAAACTTTGTTTTATTATTGTTAAAATTTTCTCGTAATGAGCAAGCCCACACTGCCTTCTCTACCAACCATCCAACCAACCACTGTGCTCATTCTCCCTCCTCCCCAAATGTCCCTCATTTTTACTCTATGACCTCATCTAAAATAACTATAATTTCATATTTCATTAGCGACAAAAACAGTACATTTTTCTCGACAACGAGTCAGACAGACACAAAATTAACCAGACAAAAATTGCTTTTTTTTATTTTTACTGTGTCAAATTTTTTTAGCGGTGTTTTTTTTACTTAAGAGGTAAATTTAAATTTTGCCTAACAAATGGCCCCCTAAAGAAAAATAAAAGCGCTTTCTTCTATGAAGGCTGTCACTGAATTTGCAATTTTATCTATAAACACTCTTTACCTTAAAAATTTTTATAATTATAAATATCTTTGGTTCTTCTTCTTCTTTATTAAACCTGATCTTTTTATTTGTTTGAATCAATTTTCAACCTTTCAATCTATTAACTTTAGCTTATACTTTTTAAAATTCTTATTTCCCTTTCGGTGAATGTCAAGCTCTGAATCAGTTAAGGCTGAATTTGAATCAAATAAACATCATGGTTTAGCTCTTCAAAGTGGTGTCAATGACACTGCTAAATTCAATCAAGATGAAGATGATCTTGATGTTGATTTAGGTGATAATGTTTCTATTATCTCCAACCCTGATTCTATTGCTTCAAGAGATTTCAGTGGTAAACCAACTAATCGTCATCGTCACACTGGACGTGTTAACTTAGATGACAATGAAGAGGATGACGATGAAGATGATGATGATGAAGAAATGAGAATCTCCAATGATTCCGAAGAATCAATCATCTCTGCCAAAGATTACTCTGATAGTTCAAAAAAACAAAACTGGAGACAAATCTTTATGCTTTCCTTCTCATCTTTAGGTGCTATTTATGGTGATATTGGTACTTCTCCATTATATGTCCTTAATTCTATCAAATATCCAAATAATCCACCTAATAAAGATGATATCTATGGTGGTGTTTCAGTTATCTTTTACCTTTTTACTATTATTGTTATTTGTAAATATGTTTTGATTGTTTTGGTTCTTGGTCCAAATAATGGTGAAGGGGGTCAAGTGGCTATTTATGCTAAGATTGCAAGATATCTTAATATCGGTCCTAAAGGGGTTCATATTCCTGGTGCTGCTGAAATCTCAGATATGGAATTAATCACTAGACAAGATACAACTTCATCATTTATGTCAAATTCTTTAACTCGTCATAAAACAAGAATTGATAAAATTAAAGAATCTCAATTATTGACTAAAATCATTCAAACATTTATCTTGTTTGCTTGTTTTGTCGGTTGTTCGTTGGTCTTTTCTGATGGGTTATTAACTCCAACTACTTCTGTTTTAAGTGCAATTGGTGGTATTCAAACTGCTATTCCATCATTCACTCAAGTTTTGGCTGTTTCAGAAGTTATCTTAGTGGTATTATTCTTAATTCAACAATTTGGTTCTAATAGGATTTCGTTTTTATTTGCTCCCATCGTTTTCATTTGGATGATTGGTTTAATCATTTGTGGTCTTTATAATATCATTAAACATGATCCTGGTGTGTTCAGAGCTTTATCTCCTTATTATGCTATCAGATTATTGAAAAAATCAGGTATAAATGTGTTTGGAGGTGCCATGCTATCAATCACTGGTACAGAAGCTATGTTTGCTGATATTGGTCATTTTGGTAAATTGCCAATTCAATTAACTTTAGGTTTTTTTGTTTATCCTGCTTTAATGATCTGTTATTTGGGTCAAGGTGCTTATGTGGTTAAGAATCCTGAAGATTGGATTAATCCATTCTTTTATTCAGTTCCAGGTGGTACTAATGGTGTACCATTTTGGATTATGTTTGCATTGGCCACTTTAGCTACTATTATTGCTAGTCAAGCTTTAATTTTATCTGTATTTTCCATTGTTTCCCAATTAATCGCTTTAGATTGTTTCCCTAAATTGAAAATTGTTCACGTTTCAAGTCATCATGAAGGTAAAGTTTATATTCCAACTGTTAATTGGTTATTAATGATTGGGGTTTGTGCAACTACTGCAGGTTTCAAGAATTCAAATAATGTTACCGCTGCTTATGGTTTAGGTATCTCATTGGATTTCATTGTCACTTCCCTGTTAATCATGCTTTGTATGTTCTACGTTTATAAATGGAACATTATTTGGCCTATTCTTTATTGTTTAGTCCTTGTACCTTTGGAAATGTGTATGGTTATTTCTAATATGAGTAAAGTGGTTCATGGTGCTTGGTTCCCATTAATGATGACAGCTTTAAGTGTGATGTTCTTAAGTATTTGGAGATGGGGTAGATCACTTAAAGTGAATCATGAATTTTCGTCAAGAATTAAAATTGGAGATTTATATCCTAAATTTAAAAATTCTCCAGAAGTGGTTCAATTAAATTTAGGTAGTTCAGATAATCATAAATATGATATTATTGATGCTAATGCTGGAATACCAGATAAAAAGGATACTATTATTACAAGATTTGGTAAGACTACTTTAAAGAGATATGAAGGTATTGCTATTATGTATAATGATTCATCAATGCAAAATATGAGTTCTCCAAATACTTTACCATTGATTTATGCAAAGTTAGTGAAGAATTTCTCATCCATTCCATCATCATTCATTTTTGTTTCTTTTAGAGTATTATCAATTCCTTATGTTCCAGAAGAAGAAAGAGTTATTATGGCATCTATGAAAATCCCTGGACATTATAGATGTATTTTAAGATTTGGTTTCATGGAAGAAATCACTATTGATAATACTTTAAATAAAAGAATCATTAGTTCTATTCCTGAATCAAATCAATTGGCTAGAAAATTCTCCAGATCAACCGTCAATTCAAATCCTGGTTCGATCCAATCTCAAAGTCATGTTACCGTCAATAATATTCCAATCTTACATATTTTTGAAAGTAATTTGATTAGATCCCATGAATTTAATGCTGATATTGAAAAGACTAAGAATCCTTTCATTGTGATTAGAAGAGTGGCCAGAAAAGTGTTGATTAATTATTTCTTCAGTCCTATAACTTCTATGACTCAAGGTAATGGTCAATTAGTTAAATTGAAATCGGAAGATGAAGAATCGGATAAAAAAATCTTTATTGGTGGTGTTGCAAGAATATAGTGATATTTTGCAACACATTTTACTTCGAATGAATACTGCTTATTTGTTTCAAGGCTTTTTATATATATACATTTTTATCAAATTTTATTTTTTGCAGTAATTTTTATATTATTTTTGGGGTTATTATAGTTATTTTTCTTTTCATTTTGCTTTTTTAGCTGGTCGTTTTTGACTGATAGAATATAAGTTTTAAAACATTCATTATTTGATAAGTGTAGAGTAGAATAAGTTATTGGTCTTTGCTACAGATTTTAGATATAATCGTATTCATAAGCCACTGCGTATACTTTTTTTTAATATGAATAAAATAAAACTCATCTAGATATGTTACAAGTTTGACATGGTAAACTAATTATATAATAATAAAACGAAAAAATACAATTTTCAAAATCTAAGTTTTATGCCCATTCAGGTTTAGAATTATAATCATTATTTCTTTGACCTCCTCTACCTCCACGGCCACCTCTTCCACCACGATTTCCACCATCATTATTTCCTCTATAAAATCCACGTCCACCTCTACCACCTCTACCTCTACCTCTTCCTCTACCTCTACCATTATGTAAGGAAGTTTCTCCGAATGTATCTAAATTAAGCGATTTTTCTTCTGCCCATCTTAATGAAGTTCTTTGCTCATTGGATGAAGATATATTATCAAAGAATGAACTACTCTTGTTATAAGCGGTATGTTCTAATTCACGTTCACTTTCTAATTCTTTACTGAATTTAGCATTGGATGATTCGAAATCAAACTCTTCAGTAGGGATTTCTGGAGCTTTAGAGTTTCTTCTTTGTCTTGGTTGATGAGGACGTGATTGTGTTTGTGGTTGAGCAACTTCATCATCGGTAGTGGTGGTCTTGGATGGAATTGGTTGTTCTTGTGGTTGTGATTCTTCTTGAGTTTGAGTTTTCGAAGGTTCTTCAACTTGAGTCTTTGTAGGTTGTGCTTGAGTTGATTCTGGAATTGAAGTTGACGTTGGTGCAGCGGCTTGTGGTGCATTATATGGAGCAGCAGCTGGTGGTTGACTTGAAACAGATGCTGGAGCAGCAGCAGTAGTTGTGGTAGGAGCTGGAACATATTGTTGTTGTTGAGGTGGTGCAGCTGTACGAGTTTGAGGCTGAGGTTGATAATAACCAGTAGTTGGTGGAACATAAACATCAGGCTTAACTTGATCAATAGGAGTATCCAATACCGATAAATCTTTGACATCGGAACCTCTGAATACCACATGTTCATAAACATCTGAACCAGGTGGAACTTCACCTTGAGGATTACCACCTTGAGCCATTCTACCTTCAGTACCGAATAAACGAACTGATTTTAAAGCAACAGTTGAATCATCAGCATTGATATTATCTAAAATACCAACATAACGAAGACCCTTGTTGGAAATTAAAGAAATGGTTTTCCCAATATATTGAGACATGATTGTATTTCTTTTCCTTAAGTTATGGTTGTTCTTAACAATGATATATCAAGATATCGTTGTTCAATTGATAAAAGGTTTTGATATTTGGTCACTTTTTGATTGAAATTTTCCACTGTGTTCTCCAAACTATTTTTTTTTCTCGTGGCGACAGATTTCTGTTAGTGATTTTAATTAACAATGAACGATCTGATTGGAAGTACCGCTTTAATGGTAGTGATTGAAATGTATAATGGTATTGATTGTATCTCTTCATCCTCTATAGTCAAGGATATCAACGGGAAAGATCAACAGGACTTTTATGAATTTATGACCATTTTTAACCAATTATTTAGGTAATTATGATAAGATTTTGCAAAAATTAACTCAATTTTTCACAAAATTTGAAAATCTAAAAGAATCGACAAACTTAAGAACCTCTTTATTTCGAAAAAAAAGATCAGAAGTAATTTAATCTTACTGTAATAATAAACCACGTCAATATAACCATCAAATACTCTGTAAAAGGAGTCTGCAAAATAGAAAATGACATCTATCTTAAACTTGCGACATTTTTTTCAAATTCTGGAGCGACATCAACAAATTAGATATAAAAGTTTTGGAAAGTTTTGAACGACACTTTCAAACTTAAGAATAGTATACTTATCATCACCCATAACTATCATCATCATCGAACCCATACACACATATAGATAATGTCTGACGTTGACAATCAAGAGAATGATATGGATCAGTTCATCGCTGATGACAATGAAGATCAAAATGAAGAACAAGAAGAAGTCCAACAAGATCAAAATGAAGAACCAGAACCAGAACAAGAACAAGAGCAAGGTGAGCAACAGGAGGATGATTACGATGAAGAAGAAGAAGACGATGTATATACTATTCAATCTCATAAGATAAGTGATGGAAGTCAAATAAAAACCACCAAGAAGAAAGTGATCAGAAAGAGTACTAATCGATTACCTGGTGCTGAAGAAGCCCGAGACATTGTTTATAATGACCGTCATGATGAATATGCTGATATTGATCCTCATACTAGAAAGAGATTGGCATTAGAAGAAAAGATGGATCAAGCCATCAAGCAGAAATCTACTAGACGTAGAAAAGCTGATGAAGATGATTTAGAAAGAATGCAAGATGATAAGATTGATATGTTAAAGGATCAAATGATTAAAGCTGCCAATGCCGATGTTGAAAAGAATTCTCAAGGTCAAATTGCTACTGATAAATTAAAATTATTAAAGGTTGTTACTGATGTATTAGCTCGAGCTGATTTAGCTGAATCCATTTTAGATAATAATTTATTAGAAGCAGTAAGATTATGGTTAGAGCCATTACCTGATGCATCAATGCCCGCTTATCAAATTCAAAAAGAATTAATTCAATCATTAGCCAGTTTACCCATTAAGACTGATCATTTAGTATCATCTGGTATAGGGAAAGTATTAGTATTTTATCAACGTTCTAAAAGAACAGAACCAGTATTAAAGAAAATTGTCGATAGATTAATTGGAGATTGGACTAGACCAATTTTAAATAAATCAGATTCGTATAAAGATCGTTCAATTCATTTTGCTGAATATAATAGAAAGAATTATATTAATAAATTAGCCAAGAAATCAAATAAACCTCAAGAAGTTAAAACATTATATGAAGTTAATGCTGAAAAGAGAAAGAGAGCAGCTATACCAAGTCGTAGAACTGCTGCTTATAAGATTGCACCAAAAGTTGATGCTGAAGTATTAAGAAGATATGCATCAAGAGCATCTAATGGTAATGATGAAAGATTTAGAAGAATTAATAATAAATTAACTAATATGAGTACTAAAAGAAAGATTATTAAAAAGGGTGGTCCATCTATTGAAGGTAGAAATTTACCTGGATTTTAGTTGTATAGTATAAAAATAATAGTAATAAACGCATTTGGAAATAATATGAAGATTAGTAGAGAGATCGTTTACAGATAGATTATAGTAGCTCACTAATTTGAAGGGATTTTCTACAGAGGATAACAACTTAATGATATAGATAGGGTTATCCCATTATTATAAATTCATTTACCTGAAAGATATATGTTTGGAATATTATATTTGAAAGTTTCAATATACACGTGAGATTTTTTAAATTAGAAAAAGATTATGAAAATTATTGTGAATTATCAATGAAAGATAGTAGTAGTAGTAGTAGATACTTAGTGATAAATCATTAGAAAAGGATTTGATATATTTCAGATAAACATTTTGAAAAAGGATGAGATATTACATGGTTTGATTTGAAAATAAACCCATTTTAATATATGACTTTTTTATATTTTTATGGTAGAAACTATTACTATATGATGATTTATTGATATAATATAACAATAATAAGAAATCTATGATCTTGGTTTTTCCTTCTTTTCTTTCCATAAAGCTAATAATGAAACACCAGAGACTTTAACAACCTTGAATCTAACCCCTGGAATATCACCCTTAGCCTTACCTCTTCTACCGAAACCGGCTAATAAGACTTCATCATTTTCATCAACGAAATTTAAACAACCATCATTTGGAACGAAAGCAGTAACTTTTTTACCGTTTTTGATTAATTGGACTCTAACACATTTTCTAATAGCAGAGTTTGGTTGTTTAGATTCAATACCAATTTTTTCTAATACAATTCCTTTGGCATGGGAAGAACCACCAAATGGAGATGATTTGAAAGCTGTTCCTAATAATCTAGCTTTATAGGATTGATCGGCCCATCTGTTGTCACGACGGTGGACTCTTAATTTTCTAGCGGCATTAAGACCTCTTGGTTTACCTTTACCCATGATGATTAGTTATTCCTTGTGGTGATATAAGTAAAAGGGTATGATATTAAAGGAAAAGAAAATTTTATTTCAGGTTTAACATTTTTTGTTCCTCTGGAGCTTTGCTCAATTGTCTCACTGTAATCTCACTAAAAATTTTCTATGGACTGATTATGTCATGACTTATGTAATCCAGGTTTTATAGTGCAAACTCCTCACATGACACCCAAATCAGATAATTAAAGCTGGTGAGATGGGAAATGTGCGTGGAGGGGACTGTATATTGTAGTCATGTGAGTTATGGATGTTCTAAGGTCTCCAGCCCTAGTAGAATAATATCAGGAATATCCACATTTTGCTTGATATACCCCATCTTGTCTTGATTAGCTTTATCCGTTTTTTCATCGGATTATCAGATATCACATATCACTTCATAATCAGTATATCCATTATCCATTATCCATTATCCATTATCCATTATCCATTATCCATAATCCCAACTCAACTCAAATCATCACTCTACAGATTTAACCCACAACACACTTTACTCATTCATATACTAAATGACAATTTTATTAAATATTAAAAACTATCTATTAATCTATCAACTCTTCATATTGATAAATCATAACAATCAACAATCGATTCTAACTTGTTCTATTAACTAATAATAAATAAATATAATATGATAAATCATTTCTCATGCAACTACCTAATTCTCCTAATGACTCTTTAAGCCCTTCTTAGCTTTAAGTAAACTTAATAATGTTAAAAATGATAAATCAATTTGATCTTTAAACATAAATAATAACCCTTGGACAAATACTCCCTTTAATAATTGAGGGGCAATACCCTTATATAATCCATGGAATTGTTCAGTCTTCCATAAATGAACAAGGGCATCCGTGAAATTATCAAACGTAATATCTTCTTCTTCTTCATCTTCTTCATCACCTTCATGTACTTTCTTATTGGCATCACCATTCTTATTATTATTCTTCTTCTTTTGTAACATCGCTTTAGAAACAATCAATGGTTGAGTAATCACTGTAGCTAATGATTTAGCTAATACTCCTAATGAAAAACTTTCTAATGGTCCAAGATATTCTTTATTACCATATAATATTTGTTTAAATCTTTCATATGATCCATAAGTAATAGATGGATTAATACATAACACTAAGGAAACTCTTAATCCTCTCCATAATCCACTAACACCATCTTGTTCCAATACTTCCTTAGTTAATTGAAATAATGTTTTATGATGTTTATCAGTTTGTTGTTGAGTTGTAATAACTCCAATTGGCATGGTAAACAATTGAGAAATAGCAGCTGCCAATGCTCCAAGAAACAATTCAGTTAAGGTATTTGCTTTATGATTAGGAATATGTTTATATAAATTAGCATAAACTCTTTTAACAATCGTATACCAATAAAAATATGAAAAATTTTGAGCAGCAGTACCTAAAATTGATGAAAATAATCCATGATACCAACCTAATATTCCCTTTTTAGCATAAATCTTTTGTAATACATCAAGAGTATTCTTATATTTTAATTCATGTTTTTGAGGTATATATTTTTGTTTATAAACTGATTCATCTAAATCAGAATCAGATGGAGGATCAGAACTACCAGATGATGATGATGCCTTATCAATCTTTTTAACTTGAGTTTGAATCAAGGTTTTACTTAAATCCAAGGGATAAACCAAAGTATTGGCAATGACTGAAGCTAATGCTCCACTAGCAGCCTTTTCAAGTGGTGTAAGAGCCATGATCTTCTATGTGATTAATATTTATGATTTATATGATCTTCTACGGATATAGGGTAGCGTTATCTCTAAATAACTAAAAAGACGATAACAGATTAAGTGTAAGATGGAATTGATTTGATGATGATACAGTAGTACAAACGCAAGCTGAATACCCTTAAGCCTTGACAAACTGATAAGAATGATAAAGAATGATGATTGAAACTAGAAATTAAACATGTTTTGATCAATTTATCAAATGGCAGCAAATTATTATCAATATATAACTTTTACTGAAAAAATACCGAGGTACACTTTTTTCTTTCCCCATCCTCTCTCTCTCTCTCTCTGTTGCTATCATTTCTTACTACTACACATGTCTCCGAGGAGAGGAGTGTGCAATCCCCACAAAAAAAATAAGGTTAAGTACTGCGGTATGGATTATGTCGGCAAATATATCCTAACTATACCGGTATATATCAAACCATTTACAAGTTATTCATTATCCATTTGAACGGGTACATCTATTATCTATAACTATAAAGTATATTCCCCATGTTTTATTTAAGTCTATTTCCTTGTTTTGATTTTATTTCTTTTTTTCTATATGTATGTTATCCGATATGATTTAATCTTCTTCGATAATAACCTTGTTATTGTTGTCTATATTTTCACTTTCCATAATTTAACATCTCTTTCAACACCTCCTGTTATTAAGATTTCATTATCGTCTTCGTCTATAACATTATTAAAATCTTTAATCTTCCCCTTATGCCCTGATAATTCAACTATTACTCTATCATGAATCAAATCAATTCCCCGAATTATCCCATCATCACCGGCTATCCATACCCCAACACTCTTGTCAACATTGGTTAATTTCCTCCAACTAATTAAACTTTGACTATACTTATCTTGAGGTGATAAGGTATTTAAATTCTTAATGATTTGATTCCTCTTGACTAATGAAACACTGGTATCACTATTGATTTCCTTTAATGATACAATGATTAATCTCATATATGGTTCATGAGATGTTCCAACTGCAATCAAGGGGATTAATGAAGAAGTTGGAGTTTGAATAGTTAAACATCGAGGTGAAAAACTTGATGATGAAAATTCAGCATCATTTAAAGAAATCTTATATTTCAAACTTAATGTTTTAAAATCTTGTAAAGTTAATACATCTAATAATGTATTTTCATTCTTACCCAAAACAATGACTAATTGATCTTGATAATAAACGATATCAAAACAAGTTCCTTGACTCGCTAATTTTATCTCTGAAATCAATTCAAAATCTCTATCATTCAATTTAAATGCTCTCACATAGAAATCCCATCCTAATGATATTAAATATATTTGGGAATTGATCGTGATATGTTTAACATCGACAACGAATCTCTTATGAGCTTGATGACTCGCTATTAATTCAAAGTCAATCTTCTTGTCTTTAAATGTATATTTGAAATAATTGATCTTACCATCGATTCCAATTAATAATACATGATTAGCATCAAGTGTTATAATCTTCTTAATCACTACTCTTGCGATTAAAGTTACGAATTCTCCAATAATTTCATTAGTAGCATAATCAACCACGATGAATTTCGAATCATTCGTACTTAAAAACAATAACCCATTAACTTTATCATAACTTGAATTTATAATCAATCCATGAACATTCTTTAAGATTTCAGATTGACTAGGATATGGAGTTGGCCAATTATCAATCTGATGCGTAATGATCGATTGTAAATCAAACGACAACTCCTTATTAACATCAACCACATCCTCCAAAGCCAGACTTAACTCATTGAAATTAATCCGATCTTTAATGATCTCTTCTAAACTTTCAGAGCTATGTAAGGGTTCAGGATTGATCGGTTTACCATGCTCTTCTTCGAATTGTTTTAAAGTCTTATGATAATTATTACTCTGGAGAAAGTGAGCCACTAAAGAATGAATCGCCTTTTTTGACTGGTGGTCCTCCTCTTGATCAATTGACATGGTTAATTATATCGTTCATAGAATAAACCATCAAATTGTTAATCAAACTCGAATCAAAAAAAAAATTATGTATGCAGATAGTGAGAGAAAAAAAAATTCAGTTAGGTCGTACCCGGATTCGAACCGGGGTTGTTCGGATCAAAACCGAAAGTGATAACCACTACACTATACAACCAAATTTTTTTTCAAATTAAAAAATCGTCATCGTTTTGATATGTCGCTATACACTAATAAAAATAGAGGCGCTACCAATTTTACAGGGAAATTTTTCATCCAATCTGTTATTTATTTTCATATTCTATAGTAGAAAACTATAATTTATAGAATCTGATATATTAGATCATATTTAAGTATTTATTTATAAGAAATTTTAGTTTACTTAAGTAAGAAAATCATAGAGATATTAATAACTATTGAGGAATTTCAATAATTAATTTTCCTGAAGTTTTACCACTTTCTAAAGCTTCAGTAGCTTTTGAAAATTCACTTAAAGGATAAACAGCACTAATATCTAATTTAAGATCACCAGATTGTAAAGCATTCAATAAGATTCCAGTATAATGATCCCATTCCTGTGGAGTTTCGACGTAACCTAAAACTCTTGGTCTAACAAAAACAATATTCTTAGCAGATAATCTAGTGATGACTAATGGTGGAACCATACCACTTGCATTTCCAAAACTTACAAATGTACCCTTTCTGGTCAATGATTCTAATGAGATATCAAACGAAACCTTTCCAACAGAATCATATACTGCAGCTACACCTTGACCATTAGTGATTTCTTTAACTCTGGCGGCTACATCTTCAGTTTTATAATTGATAGTAAATTGAGCACCTAATTCCTTGGTCTTAGCTAACTTTTCAGAAGTAGATGCAATAGCAATGACTTTTGCACCTCTCTGAGAAGCTAATTGAACTAAAATACTTCCTGTACCTCCGGAAGCAGCCCAAACTAAAATAAAATCATCTTTCTTAACATTATAAGATTCAGAAATAAATGTTAACGCAGTTAAACCTTGTAATAAAGCACCACCATAAATTTTAAATTCATCTTCAGAAAGGTTATCATCTAACTTTACAAGTTTTGATTTATCAGTAAGTTTTGTATATTGAGCAAATGCTTTGGGGGCAATATAAGCAACATTATCACCGACTTTAAAATTAGTAACTTCATCACCAATAGCTACCACAACACCACTAGATTCTTGACCTAAAGTGAATGGTAATTCTGGAGATGGATAAAGACCTTTTCTAAGATAAGAATCAATGAAATTAACACCAGCATATTTATTCTTGATAATTATATCATTTGCAGCAGCGATTTGGGGAGATGCAATTTTTGCAGTCTTTAAAACGTCGAGCGAACCTGTAGTTTCAAATAATGAAACGAGTTGAGTTTTTGGAATAGCGGACATTTGTTCTGAAAAGGTTTTGATTTTTGTTATAATCAGTTTAGTTGATTTGATTACTGATATAAGTAATGTATCCAAGTTTAGAGTAATTCTACTCTGTATTTATATACCTTTTCAGTAGTGGTGATATTTAAGGTTTTTTAGTTCCTGTGTACAAAAATCTCCGTAGATAGATCTCCGTGCTCCGAACTTTTTTAAATTTACGTAGAATCGCCAAGCTTAATGGTCAATGATAACTAATCAAAATGAAGCGGTTATTAACCATATGGATATAGAAGAAATAAACAAGGGGATTAACTTTCTTTGTCGGAGAGTTGTAGGTGTTTTTGGACGTAAATAGTATTTCTCTACGGGTATAGCGTTTTAAAATTAAAACATGGTTAAACCCGAGTGCTAGATCTCAGGAGATAACCTTAAAATACTTACAAACTTATTTATCTACGTAAAGAGGGTTTTGCCACCTATTGACAGGACTGTATCGAAATCGCTGGCAAAAGACAATAGAATCATAGAATTCACTGCTTTAGTTAATTTATTTGTCATGATTTAAGTAATCAAAATCACAACATTTTCCATGTTTGGTTACTTACCATGGATAATGATAATCCTGTTTGTGTGATATATCCAGTACCATTTTCTGTTGAGTAGAATAACTTATAACTGTATGTACATCAAAGGTATGCGGATTATATCCCATAGAGCTAATATCTACTTTGACAAAATATACAAAATTTTCAAATGTCATAAGTAATAAACCCGATCTACACATTGTCAAAATATTTGATCACTCAAAGTATAAGTGGTAGCCTCATTCGAATCATAGTGATTTTGAATTATCATTAATTATGACAATTTCGTAAATGAATTAATCTAAATTTTGTGCCTGGGATAATAAAGTCATCATCATAAGAGAGGCAGTTTGACTCCATACTTTGTGTGGTGATTATAGTAAGTAATAGATGACAAAGTATTAAATATCCCTTGGAAAGGTTTCATAAAAGAAATTTTTAGAACTAACGCTTTATTTTATTCTTTTATCATATAATTAATTCAGACTCCTTGCATTTCAAAATTCAAAAAACGTCATTGTTTCACTATGTTGACATACATTAACAAACGTTCTGGCGCTACCAATTGTACAGAAAAGTTATTGTTTTTTTTATCTAAATTTGTTATTTCTTTTCAAACAGTTAATAACTATAATTTATAGAATCAAATAGATTCAATCATATTTAAGAGATTTCGTTTACTTAAGTAAGAAAATGAAAGAAATGTTCCCAATTATTGAGGGATCTCTAGAATCAATTTTCCTGAAGTTTGACCACTTTCTAAAACTTCAGTAGCTTCTGAATATTCACTTAAAGGATAAACAGCACTAATATCTAATTTAAGATCACCAGATTTTAAATGTTTCAATAAAATTCCCGTATAATGATCCCATTCCTGTTGAGTTTCAACGTAACCTACGATTCTTGGTCTAAGAAGAGAAATATTTTTTGGAGATAATCTAGTGATTGTTAAAGGTGAAACCACACCACTTGCATTTCCATAACTTACAAATGTACCCTTTCTACTTAATGAATCTAATGACACATCAAAAGTAGACTTTCCAATAGAATCAAAAACAGCAGCTACACCTTGTCCATTAGTGATTTCTTTAACTCTGGCGGCTACATCTTCAGTTTTATAATTGATAGTAAATTGAGCACCTAATTGCTTAGCTTTAGATAATTTTTCCGATGTCGATGCAATAGCAATGACTTTAGCTCCTCTTAGAGAAGCTAATTGAACTAAAATACTTCCTGTACCACCTGAAGCGGCCCAAACTAAAATAAAATCATCTTTCTTAACATTATAAGATTCAGAAATAAATGTTAACGCAGTTAACCCTTGTAATAAAGCACCACCATAAAATTTAAATTCTTGTTCGGATAATTCTTTATCTAATTTAACAATACTTGATTTATCATTAAGTTTAGTATATTGAGCAAAAGTCTTGGAACCAAGATAAGCGACATTATCACCCACTTTATATTTATTAACTTCCTCACCAATTGCAACTACAACACCACTGGCTTCTTGACCTAAAGTAAATGGTAATTCGGCTACTGGATAAGTACCATTTCTATAATAAGCATCAACAAAATTAACACCAGCATATTTATTCTTAATGATTATATCATTTCCAGTAGTGATTTGGGGTGATGCAATTTTTGCAGTCTTTATAACATCGAAAGAACCCAAAGCTTCAATTATTGAAGCAAGTTGAGTTTTGGGAATAACAGACATTGAGTAATTTTTTCAATCAATTGACTTTATTAGAATATTGATATACCAACTAAATTTATCCAAATTATGTGTAACTTATATAATTTTCATAAATCTACACTTGTAGTTCCTGTGTAGAAAAATCTCTCCTCATTGGTCTGAAGTTTTTGTTAATGGCTTTAATGGACCATGAAATAACTAATCAAAAAAACCTCTATGGCGTTAAACCCGAAATATTTGATTAAAGGAGATACCCTTTAAAAACTAAAATGTATAAAGTAATTAACTTCTCCACTGTTTTCAATACTATGGAATAAAGTTCAATTGAAAAAGGGTTAACTCAATTTTAGTATAATTTGATAGATATACGGTATCATTTCCCTTTGAACAGACTAATGTATAATCTGTATCTATTTAATGGGTAAGATCACTTTTTACCTAATGGAAAGTTAAATGAAAATATATGCAAAATTTGCAATTGTCGTCAACTGAATGTTTGATCACTCAAAGTGTAAGTGGTAGCCTCGTTCGAATCATAGTCATTTTAAATTAAATTACCATTAAAATTATGTCAATTTCGTAAATCAGCTAATTTAAACTTTGTGCCTTAGATAATAAAAGTCATTATCATGAGCGGAAAAAGTTTGACTCCTTATTTTGTGGTTATCATAGTAAGGAATAGATGACTTTATGTATGTAATAAATTGCATGGTATACCAGCCTTAAAGGGGCGCATTTTCTGATCTTTTCAGTGAAGAGATACAGCCTTTTTGAAAAATCTATTTTTAACAACAAAATTGATAGAAAAAAAAAGAAATTCTGATTTTTACGCGCCTCTTCGTATCAACTCAGAATTGATTGTATAAATATATATATATATATCGAATCAACCACTCCATAATTGATCCCAGAACCCTAGATTTGTTATATATCAGCTATTCATAAGGAATATCAACAACTAACAACAACTAACAACTAATAATAATATTATATCACATCATGTATATCAAAGATTTAGCCGAGAGAGCTTCTTTCATCGATAATGTCAAATCCACTGCTCAATCATTCGAACATTGGGATACTTGTATGGCCAATAGAACTTGTAAGATAGTGGCTATAGTCGGTATCTGTTTAGCTGGACTTTTCGTTCTTTGGTTAGTATTTGCCTTTGTCCAATGTCTTTGTTTGGGTGCTACTTGTATTGAAGCTTTATGCTGTTGTTGTTGTGGGGGATGTTGTAGACCAAAACAACAACAAGTTTATGCACCACCTCCTCAACAACCTCAACCCATGTATAATCCAAATATGTATCCTCCAGATCATCGTTATAACATGCAAATGAGAGAAGCTCAAAATCCAGTATATAATAAAGTACCAGAACCAGCTTATAATGGAGAATATAATAGTGAATATAATGGAGAATACGATAGAGAACCAGTCTATAGAGTAGTAAAGATGTAAAACAGTTAACTAGATTTTATATACAATTAAACCAGTGATGACAATGTAACGACCACTTTTCCATATTTATTACTTTCTCCCCTTGTAGACTACAAGATCTAATGGTTATTTTTTTTTTTTTTTTATTTATATATTTATCAAAAACTTTAAATATAAACCTTATAACGTAAGTTATATACTAATTAATAAAAATAACAAAAAAAGTAAAAGTATAAAGAATGAATGACATAGAAGAATATTTTGTTCCTATATTCTTCTAATAAAAAAGAATTAAAATGTAAAATAGCGAATTAACTATCGTTTCTTTTAGTTTATTTGTTTATAAAATCTAAACTCCCCAATCTAGACTTTTTCAGCTAATTCTTCTAATAAATTGAAATTTCTTTGTTCAATTGAACCATTTCCTGGTAATCTAGTAGATCCCATCAAGTAATTATCAACTTCTCTAGCACATTGTCTACCTTCTTGAATACCCCAAACCACTAATGATTGTCCTCTTCTACAATCACCAGCAGCGAAAAGGTTTCCATCTTGGGAGACTCTATAAGCATTTGGATCAACAGTACCAATGGTACCTCTCTTGGTTTTAGAAACTTCTAAATTATCAGCTTCTGGTCCAAGGAAACCCATTGAAAGTAAAACAACATCAGCTGGGAAAAATTCATCACTACCTGGAACTTCAGCCATTTGCCAAGCTCCAGAATCTGAACGTTTCCATTCAACTCTAACAGTCTTAATACCCTTGACATTACCTTCACCGTCATCAACGAATTCCTTGGATAAAATAGAGTATTCTCTTGGATCTTTACCATAATGAGTGGCAACTTCAGTATGACCATAATCAACTCTGAAGATTCTTGGCCATTGTGGCCATGGATTATCTTTTGGTCTAGCACTTGGTGGATTTGGTAATAATTCAAAATTGGTAACTGATTTAGCTCCATGTCTAGTAGAAGTACCTAAACAATCATTACCGGTATCACCACCACCAATAACAACAACATTCTTACCTTGAAGAGTCTTTCTAACTTCAGCTAATTCATCATCTAATAAAGCTTTAGTGTTGGTAGATAATAATTGCATAGCAAAATTAATATTCTTTAATTCTCTACCTGGAATCTTTAAATCTCTTGGAATGGTTGAACCAACAGCAAAGACAACAGCATCAAAAGTATTACGTAATTCTTCAACAGTAATATCTTCACCAACAGTGGTGTTACAGACGAAATCAATACCTTCAGCAGCTAATAAATCGGTTCTTCTCTTAACAATCTTTTTATCTAATTTCATGTTTGGAATACCATACATCATTAAACCACCTGGTCTATCAGATCTTTCATAAACAGTAACTTTATGACCTGCCTTGTTTAATTGATCAGCAGTAGCTAAACCAGCTGGACCAGAACCAATAACAGCAACGGTCTTACCAGTTCTAACTGATGGTGGATTTGGTACAATCCAACCTTGTTCGAAACCATGATCAATAATGGCACATTCAACGGATTTGATATTAACTGGATCTTCATTAATACCTAAAACACAAGCACCATTACATGGAGCTGGACAAATTCTACCAGTGAATTCTGGGAAATTGTTAGTCATCAATAATCTTTGTAAGGCATCAAACCATCTATCTTTAAAGACTAATTCATTCCATTTTGGAATAACATTGGAAATTGGACAACCAGTATCAGAAGTACAGAATGGGACACCACAATCCATACATCTGGCAGTTTCATATTTCAATTCATCCTTAGATAATCTTGAAGTCATTTCATTCCAATCCTTAGTTCTTTCCTTGGCGTCTCTGTATTTTTCATTTCTACGTTTATATTTCATAAAGCCCTTAACTTTATCTAATTTAACAATAGCTTTCTTTTCAGTTTCAATATCTAAGATAGTATCTTCGACATCTAAGACTTTTGGTTCCTTGTGACCATCCTTAGCAGAAACAGTTTTAGTAGAGTGAACATGACCATGTTTGATCTTGGCAGCTTCACCATTAGTGGCATCAGCTTCTGGATCTTCTTTAATAGATTTAAAGAATGAGTTTAATTCACTCTTCTTAGCTTCTTCAGCTTTTTGTTTTTCTTTTTCAAGAACCTTCTTATAATCCCATGGTAAAACCTTAACGAATCTTGGTAAGATTCTATTGAAATCATTTAAGATTCTATCAGCAACTTCAGAATTGGTGTAATGACGATGATCTTCAATTAAACCTCTTAAGAAAGCAACTTCAGATGGATCAGTAACTTGAGATAATTCAACAGTGTTGGTATTAATCTTAGTGTTGAAGTCTTGAGCCATGTCTAAGACGTAGGCAATACCACCACACATACCAGCAGCGAAATTTCTACCAGTACCACCTAAGATAACAACTCTACCACCAGACATATATTCACAACCATGGTCACCAGTACCTTCAGCAACAATGGTAGCACCAGAGTTTCTAACGGCGAATCTTTCAGCAGCAATACCTCTAACGAAGGCAGTACCAGAAGTGGCACCGAAGAAAGCAGTGTTACCAGCAATGATTTGATCTTCAGCTTTGAATTTGGATTCCTTTGGTGGGTAAACAACAATTCTACCACCAGATAAACCTTTACCGATATAATCATTGGCGTCACCTTCTAATTCTAAAGTGATACCTGGGGCTAAGAAAGCACCAAATGATTGACCAGCAGAACCTTTAACATTAACATGAATGGTATCGTGTGGTAAACCGGCTTCACCAAAAGTTTTTGAAACTCTATAGGATAAAGTAGTACCTAAAGTACGATCGGTGTTGACAACGTCACAATCAATGGTAACAGGTAATCCCTTGGCTAAAGTGAGCTCGGATTCATCGATTAATTTGTTATCAAGTCTAACGTGTAATGAGTGGTCTTGTTTTCTGACACAGTAAGTTGGAACACCTGGTCTAATAGTATGAGCTGGAGTCAAAATTGGAGATAAATCAATGTTAGCATTCTTGGTATTTCTCAAGTCCTCTCTAACTCTCAATTTCTCGGTTCTACCCACCATTTCGTTAATGGTTCTGAACCCTAATTGGGCCATAATACCCCTTAATTCATTTGCTAAATAAAAGAAAAAATTGATAACATGTTCAGGAGTACCTTGAAACTTCTTTCTGAGCTCTGGATCTTGCGTAGCGACACCTACAGCACACAGATTAAGGTGGCATTTCCTCAACATTACACATCCCAATGCAATCAAAGGAGTTGTAGCAAACCCCCATTCTTCGGCACCAAGTAAACAGGCAATTGCGATATCTCTACCAGTTCTAATTTGACCATCAGTTTGTAAAATGACTCTACCTCTTAAATCATTCAAGACCAAGGTTTGATGAGATTCAGCTAACCCTAATTCCCATGGAAGACCAGCATATTTAATAGATGTTAATTTGGCAGCACCAGTACCACCATCTCCACCAGAAATTAAAATATTTTCAGATCCGGCTTTTGCGACACCGGCAGCGACAATACCTACACCAACTTCGGAAACTAACTTAACTGAGGTTCTAGCTCTTGGATTAGCACATTTCAAATCATATAATAATTGTTTTAAATCTTCAATGGAGTAAATATCATGATGTGGTGGTGGAGAAATTAAACCAACACCTGGAGTAGATTTTCTGGTTTTACCAATAGTTTCAGTAACCTTGTAACCTGGTAATTCACCACCTTCCCCAGGCTTAGCACCTTGGGCCATTTTAATTTGTAATTCATCAGCATCAGATAAATAGTAGGAAGTAACACCGAATCTACCTGAAGCAACTTGTTTAATGGCAGATCTCATGGTATCACCGTTAGGACTAACGATAGATCTAGCAGCATCTTCACCACCTTCTCCAGTGTTAGACTTACCTCCTAATCTATTCATTGCAACAGCTAAAGTAGAATGGGCTTCCATGGAAATGGAACCATAAGACATAGCACCTGTAAAGAAACGACGAACAATTTCGGTCCATGGTTCAACTTGATCAATTGGCACTGGATCGGATGCTTCAAAGTCAAAGTCTAATAACCCTCTTAAGGTACAGTTCTTAATGGCTTCATATTCTTTCTTGGAATAGGCTTCATAAGACTTTTCATTCTTATTTCTAACTGCGTCCTGCATAGAAGCAATTGCTGCTGGATCATTAATATGGGCATCACCACCATCTCTCCAATGATATTCACCAGTTTCGGCTAAACCAATTGGTTTGGAAGTGAATCTAGTTGGGTAACCTCTTTCATGCATGGAGAAAGCATCTTGAGCAATATATTCAAAAGTAACACCCTTAATTCTTGAGGCGGTACCAGTGAAACATCTATCGATAACAGAATTATCAACACCAAGAGCTTCAAAAATTTGAGCACCCTTATAAGAAGCTAAAGTTGAAATACCCATCTTACTCATAACCTTTAAGATACCTGAATCAACGGCGTATTTATAGTTCTTAATGATTTTATCAGGAGTTAAGGCGGCATCTTTTAATAAACCTTCACCCTTCATTCTAATTAAGGTTTCAATAGCTAAGTATGGATTAATACCATCAGCACCATAACCGACTAAACAACAAGCATGGTGAACTTCTCTAGCTTCAGCAGATTCAATAATAAGAGCAACCTTAGAACGTTGTTTTTGTCTAACTAAATGATGATGAACTGAACCAACAGCAATCAAAGCAGAGATTGGAATTCTGGTGCTTGAAGTAGCTAAATCACTTAAAATAATAACTTGATTATCATCAGCGATGGCTTTCGATGCAAGTTGAGAAATCTTATCAATGGTTTCAATATAACCTTGTATACCTTCTGATTTATCAAAAGTGATATCAATGGTAGCGACAGACCATTTTGGATAAACTTTTTCAATGTTTTTAATAGTAGTCAAATCTTTAGTAGATAAAATTGGAGATTTTAAAAGTAATCTATTACATTGATCTGGTTTCATTTCTAATAAATTACCTTGTGGACCAACGTAACATTCTAAAGACATGACGATTTCTTCTCTGATTGGATCAATTGGAGGATTGGTAACTTGAGCGAATAATTGACGGAAGTAATCATATAATAATTTAGGTTGTTCAGAAATACAAGCTAAAGCATTATCATTACCCATAGAACCTAAAGCTTCTTTACCTTCGGCCATTGGAGCTAAGACTAATGACATTTGTTCGTGAGAATAACCAAAAGCAATCAATCTTGGATCAGATTGGACGGTATAGTCACCGTGTTCAGCGTTCTTTGGAGTTGAAAGATCGACGTTTCTAGCTTCTAACTTTTCTAATAAGTCAGTCATGTTGATCATATTAGCCATAACCCAAGATTTAAAATCATATCTTGAAGCAACTTTTTGTTTCAATTCACGATCATCAACAATTCTACCTTCTTTGGTATCAACTAAAAGCATTCTACCTGGTTGTAATCTACCCTTTTGTAAGACTTTTTCTGGTTCAATTTCAATGACACCGACTTCAGAAGCACAAATAATACGATCATCATCAGTAACATAATAACGACATGGTCTCAAACCATTACGATCTAAATTGGCACCACAGTATCTATCATCAGCAAAAGTGAAAAGAGCAGGACCATCCCAAGGTTCCATAATAGTGGCAGCCCATTCATAAAAGGCTTTCTTTTTTGGATCGATATGTTCATCATTTTGCCAAGCTTCTGGGATCATGAGCATGACGGCTTCAGGTAATGACAAAACACCATTAATGACTAATAATTCTAAAACATTATCAAAAGCAGCTGAATCAGAACCACCTTCTTCAATAATTGGAAATAATTTATCTAATTCATCACCAAATAATTCTGAAGTCATAACCCCTTCTTTAGCTCTCATCCAATTTTTATTACCTCTTAAAGTATTAATTTCACCATTATGAGCAGCTAATCTTAAAGGTTGAGCTCTATCCCAAGATGGGAAAGTATTGGTGGAGAAACGAGAATGAACTAAGGAGAAATGAGCTTCGAATTCAGCATTAACTAAATCATGATAATAAGCAAACACTTGATTTGGAGCTAATTGACCTTTATAAACAATGGTTTTGTTGGAAAGGGAACAAATATAAAACCAATTATGTAAACCAATGGAATGAGATGATTGTTTTCTAAGGATGAATAATCTTTTTTCAAAATCTTTTTGATATTTTGATGAAAAATCATCACCTGAAATTTCAGCAGGTAAATCAGATAAAACAATGGCAGGTTGTAAAATATAAGGTTCTCTTGATAAAGAGGCAGGACCTAAGATTGAAGAATCATGAGGAACTTTTCTCCAACCTAAAACTTTTAAACCTAAAGATTGAGCGATATTTTCAAAAGTAACTTTTGATTTTTCAAATACGGTATCATCTTTTTTAAAGAATACATTACCAGTACCATATTGACCTAAAGGAGGTAAATCAACATTACAATGATATTTGAATTCACGTTTTAAAAACTTATGAGGAATGGAAGATAACATACCAGCACCATCACCATCTTTTGGATTTAATTCCCCACCTCTATGAGACATATTACATAATAAGTTTCTTGAATCAGACACAATTTTATGAGAAGCTTCGCCTTTTAAATGACAAGTGAAACCAACCCCACAAGCATCTTTTTCTAATTCTGGGTTATAAAGACCTTTGGCGACTGGTAAAGCTTGAGCCCAAGATTTGTTTTCTGGGACTTCATCATATTTATAGACATTGGTTTGAGAAAATTCTTCTTGTGGTAAGTAAGACATAGTAGGTATTTAATCTAATCTTTTTATAAGGAATGTGTTGACAATAATAATAATAAAATATACTTGATAACAATAATACAATTGATTAGGAAATTGATTAATTGATGATTCAATTGAATAAGTTCTTTGAGATGGTTGTAAGTTAATGCGGGGAGGAGTAGTAGCTAATCGAAGGATAAATTTTGGATTACTGCGCTATTTGTCTTTAGGGGGGAGGAGGGAGAAGACAATTAGGGAGAAAATCAAAATTCAATTATAGCGATGATAAGCTAATGGAAGCAATTAACGTTAATGGGATGAGGATGTGTGGTAAAAATACTCAAAGTAATCAGGATCTCTCTGGGACAATTCAGTAACTCACTTTTTTCTACTCAGTAAAAAAAAATCAGCACGGAAAATTTGGGGGGAACAGGGAGGGAGATATTCAATTCAATTAAAGTACAATCTTCACTCTAGGGAACAAAACAGAGAAGAATTGAAGTATAAAAAGTATATATGATTAACAAGAAGAGGAAAACAAGAAAGAAGAAGAAGAAGAAGGAAGAAGAAAGGAATTATAAAAGAAAGAAAAAATTTTCCTGAGTTTATGAAAGTGAAAATTGAATCAAAATTTAAAATTGAATTTAAAATTAAAATTAAAATTAAAATTAATAGTGATGATTTTGTTTATTTACTTACTGATTATGATTAATGATGATGATTCATCATACTTGGGTAATTTTTCTGGTTACGGTCTCACTAATTTTTAATATTTAATTTTTTTTTTTTTTGGCGGTACCGGAATTTTCCAATCTCATCCAATTATTGACTTGTTAATAATAAGCTTTAACTGCAAAAGTACATGTCAGGATTTAGTTTATTTTGTGATTGTTATTGAGTTTAAAACCTTACGGCAACTTTACTATGTTACTACTCACTAGTACTACGACTACTACAGTCATTTATACTATTTTTTCTTATTATTGTACCTTATTCGAGTTCATAGTCATGTGAAGGGAGATTAACCACTAAATTGATCAGGAGTTAGATAGATCATTGAGATTAATTTGAGTTAATTTCGAATGGAAACATGGTGGGGGGTTTAAATTTTCTAATTACTAATAACCCTCCATTACAACATCTAAAAATGAATGAATGATTCATGTTTTTAAAAGGACTTAAGATGAGAGAAGTCAAAATTGAATCCCCCTACGTAATTAGGTTTATTAGAGGTTAATTTTTTTAGTCTACGTCGTCGTTGTTGATTTACGCCCTGAACCAATTTTATTTTTCTGACGACTCACCTCATGGGGGGTGGGGAGAGGAGAGACAGATTTTCTCACTAAATTCTTTTTCAAGTTTTTCTGCTACCTCCCCACTTTTCTATTTTTTTTCCCTAGTTACATAATGTCTTACATAATCGATTAATTTGCGATAATCCCTAATCAATAACCAATTAGAAGTTAAGTTTTATTAAACCAAAATAGTTGCTATACCAATGTTTTATACTTCTATTATTTAGTTTTAAACTTCGAAAATATATATAAATGACTTCATATCCATCAACATTATCTGACTTCCACTATGTCACACTATCTTTATGACTCCTTTTTACCCTTAGATACGACATAAACACTCTATTCATAAAACCTATATTATATTAAGGTCGTTATCATTACCTAATTAGGTAATTTAGTCCTTTCTACGTGTTAAAATCCATTTTCGTTTTCATTTGTCATTTTCAATTTTCGGCCCGTAATTGAATATATTGCTTGGAATATATGCAGGACTTCTTGGAAAAATGATGTAACGTGATGTAAAAAATTGATCTAATTTAATTATTACTGATAATGCTCGATCTTACATTTGATCGGAATCAGCCGAGGAATAGAAAAGTAAAATTGATCACGTTTTGGTTTCACGTGTCATATCATGTGCAAATTAAAACGTGATTTATTTTTTCAAACAAACAAAAGCATCTTAAAAAAATTGTATATACTAAATTTAAACCAAATGGTATTAATATATATATATCATTCATTGGAATAACGACCATAATGACAACCGAATTAAAACAAGTCTCCTTCCCGCCAGAAGTGCTAGCTAGAATAGTACCAGATGTGTCACTTCAAAGACATTTATCAATTGGTTTAAGACCTAATTTACGAAACTTTTTAGAATTTAAACCAATCGAAATTGCATCGAATGAAAATAATTTAACCACATCAAATAATAATATCTTTGGATCATCCATCATTAAAAGTGGAAATACCACTGTGATAAATACTATAACTTTAGGTATTGTCGAAAATAATGCTAATGAAAAAGTAGAAGACGATGTTTATGTTTCAATATATCCCGTAGTGGATATTCAAAGAGGTAGATCAGGAGCTCCATCAGATGAAGAAATGATCTTATCACAAAATTTATTCGAAACCATATTGCATTCTAAACTCATTCCTAAAAAATCATTAAATATCGAATCCTATGGATTAGCCACTAATGAAGATGGAGATATAAAAATCTTTTATCCTAATAATAATGAAACATCATCATCATCAAATGAATATGAAGACTTTGAATCTCAAAGGAAACGTTATTCATTCGTCCTTTTCAGTCATATAAAGGTATTTTCCAAAGTGTCTACTATTTTCGACTTGTGTCATGTGTCGATTCTTGAAGCTTTAAAAAATGTAAAATTACCTCGTGTATATATGACAGATTTTTCAACTACAAAGATTGTCATGAAATCAAGAAATAGTAATACCAGAGGTCTTGTGGGAATAAATAAGAATAATATCAACATAGATTTGAATCAAGATTTATATTATGATCTTGAATTGAATGGTGATGGTGGAGTCAGTAGTAATTTTGGAGCTATAACTACCACCAATAGAAGTGAAAATGAAGATGAAGAACCACAACAACAAACCGTTGAATTATTGGCTGATTTGGAAGGAGAAGCTGAAGAAGCAACGATTTTGTCAAGAGTATCTATCATAGTTGATAAACTGGAAAGAATAAAACGTATTAGTTTGATCAATGGTGATAATAATAGTGAAATTGGGTTGGATTTACTACAAAAGGCAATTGATGTTGCAAAACTTCGAGCAAAAAATGTATAGAATTTTTTTATTTTGTAATTCGCAGTGTAAATATTATAATAAATTTTAAATTTCGAGCGAATCAATATTGAAAGTAGATTAAATGAAAATTAAGGCTACTCTTTAAAAATCTTAACCAAGTAAGATAACCAGTTATAAAGTGTAGAAAGTGTATTTCTAACTAAATTTTATAAAACGGTACAATTAACTAACACAACCTTTGCAAATGCAGTGGTACTTTACAACCAAGTAAAATCCAGGACTCAAATAGAATAACAAAAGGGAAATCATTACTTACCATCACCATAGTCAAAGCCTTCTGTATTATTGAGTCCTGGATTATCTGGACTCCCATCTTGATCATTGTGGATAGGGTTTGTATTTTTTTGATTTTGATGATAGTTGTTCTGTTGATAATTCTGTTGTTGATAATTCTGCTGTTGATAATTCTGCTGTTGATAATTCTGTTGTTGATAACCCTGTTGCTGTTGTTGATGATAGTAATTCTGATTGATAAGAGCCTCCTGTTTCCTTCTTTTACTTTCCGCACCACATACCAATAAAGCATGAAACACTCCAGGAACGAAAGAAGCAGCAGTAAAAATTATGTTAAACGCTAGTGATATGCCAACTCCTTCAGCCATGAATACTGCAACAGGAGGCAAGAAAAATGCCAAAATCATCATAACACCAATATCTGACTGACTGTTTGACATCTTGGCTACTGTTTTACAGCTCAAAATGATAATTTATTATCGCAAGAATTTAATCAACTATATATATCGTAATAAAATCTAAGAATTGCAAAAAATAAATCTAAAAATAAAACTGCTAAAAATACTTTTGATAAGACTAAAACAATTCCCACACATAAAATACTAAAGCTCCAACTATTTCAGGAATCTAGATTAGATCAAATGAAAATGGATCATATGAAAACTCAAGAGTGTTTGATCACCTCTTATTGCCTGTAGTCTTATTTTCAGAATGTCAAATGTTGATGTAGTAGTATGTAGAATTAATTAGAAGATTACAGGAAAAGAGGGGAATACTTTGCTGTTAAAATTACCTATTTCTTCTAGCTTTACAATCTTCAGATGAAAACAAACTGTGAATTCCGAATACTTACAATAGAGATTTACTTTTTAAATTGTGGGAAACTTGATCTATACATCAATTGAAATCAATTTTGAGATGGGATCCAGGCGATGGCCAGTTGCAAAAAATAATTCTTAAAAAATAATGCACAATTCTTGCCTTACATAGTTTAAGTTCACTTGGAAGAATCCAAAGAATCACAACTTGACCAGTTAATAACATATGAAGATAACAAGTTGAATGAAACATTGTAGAGGTATATTTGTCTACAGAATTGAGAAATAGCAATGTAAATTGCTCTACAGTATTTTCCGAAGCATGCAATTTGTATAGATATTTAAATTTAAGAAATAAATATATTTGAGATTTAAATATGTAATTCAAGAACAGTTTAGCATATACTAAGAAATAAAAATCAGAAACCAAATCAAGGAGTAGGTCCAGCCAAATAAAAAAGCACGAATTCATTCAATTAACATGATGATAATCAGGCTTTTCATCATAGTGATCTTGATATGATGTGTGTTGAGGAGGTGGTTGATGATAATCTTGTTGAGGAGGTGGTTGTTGATAATTTTGTTGAGGTGGTTGTTGATAGTGGTTAGCTTTTCTTTTATCTTCATATTTTTGAACAACATAGATTGCATGAATGATTCCTGGAAGGTGGAACAAGGCTGTTAAAAGAATATTAAATCCTAATTCACTATGACATCCAGAAGTAAGATATACTGCAACAGGAGGAACTAAAAGGGAAATAACTATAAGAGCTCCATAACTAACACCGGTTTGAGCTGGAGGAGGAGAAGACATCTTTTGTTATAATATCAAATTTCAAACTATACTTTGTAAAATGAAAATTCAGAGAAAAATTGATCTCTACCCATAGACAACTTTTAATCAACAACAAGAATTACGAACTTTCAAATTATACTACATTTCAAGTAAATTGGAGAAATTTGATCTCTATTTATAGATAGCCTTTTACTAAGTGTTTAGTAACGGATTTTTACTTTACGATGGTAAATTCTAAAAATAACTCTGTACTTCCATAAATAAGTTTACTCAATTATTAATTACCGAGTAATGACAATTACGATTAGCTACAGTTATTATTTTTTTTAAATAATGTATTTATTTAAGTTTCATCTAAGAAATGTGATTGGAGCCTACATAGAGTATGTAACATAGCTAAGCTAAAAAAAATCAAATTTGAGAGCAACTCAGACAAAACAAAACGAAACCAACAAACCATAAAATCAATCCATATGAACTACTTCACGTTTTTCGTATGGTGGGTTTCTTTCATTTGATTGTTGATTGCTTGAAGAATAACTAGTTTGATATCCTTGTTGATTCTTTTCTTCATCATCTTGTGAAATATATTGTTGATTCTTAATGGCTTTCCTCTTGTTTTCATTAATATTGATTAATACGATTGCATGAATAACCCCAGGAATGTGGAATAAAAATGTCAAAAATATATTAATACCTACTTCAGCACCGCATCCTTTAATAAAATATACTGCAATTGGGGGATACAAAATGGCAATAATTATGAGGGCCCCATAGCCAAGGCCAGTATCAATTGGAGCTGAAGGCATGCTGTATTATAAGTTCTTATTATGGTAGTTGACAAAAGAAGATTAATTTCACATTATATTTTAATTAATTGAAAACAAACTGCTATTTATAGTCGACATTTTAATTTATATTACAGTTCTACACTGATTACAGTATTAATTGTAATTTAGAATTTACGATGATCAGCTGCAAAAAAATAAATCTTGGCTAACAAAAAAAGAGAGAGAGTTCGCTCCCGTTCAAAATATTTTACGATAACCATAATTAATAATAAAATTTTGAACTTTAATTCTATAAATAATACTGCACGAGTGACATGTGTCTTTCAGGTTTTATTTTTGAAGACTGACGATTTATAATTAGACTTAAAGATCTATTTTTAAAGATAAGTATAGACCAACCATTGCGGCAATTTTTAGAAGTTGTCTAGTAGGGGGTTGCTATTGACTTTTCATTTCGACCTATGAGTGACTTTGCTATGTTTGGGAATTGTAGTATAATGATGGGTTTAACCCTTCAAAATGAAAGGAAATGGTAATATAAAAGCACGACTGCCATTTAGCTATTGAATGCTCAGCCTTTTGATAACAGATCGCAATTTGAAGTCATCATTGACAAATCAAGTAAGGGCATACGCCACAATAGTTATATGCTTTATCTATATTTGAATTGAATCCTAATCATCCTTCATTGAAAGTCATTAAACCATGAAGTAGACTTATGGGAAAATATTTATTGTCTACATATTCAATTACACTATGAAGTTTTAAAAAATTCAATTAGGGCATAAAGTTGGGGTACGCGTTGTTTAAATTAGTATGGGGGAAACAGCCAACTAGTTGAACTAAAAAACTTTCATCATAGTGAACTTCCTATTACCGATGCACTTTATATACTTGGCATGGTAATTATACTAAACATGAGTTAAAATAGGAAATTATGTCGATAATATGAAACCATCTTAACCCTAATAATTAAGATTTATGTTAGCCTTCTCTGTTCACGCTAAACAAAATCAAATCTGACACCGAATTTTTTTTCCTTCGACCATCAACCACACATAATCTCACACTCACACGCACACACGCCAAATTTTTACAACAAGTTGTTAAATCGATAATTTACTAATCAAGATTCACGAGTTTTACATTCATCTCAGATCAATCAATCCTTCTATCATCTCTAGTAGTCTTAGAAGGATACATTGATTAGACAGCACTGCAAGAATAAACTTTCACTAACTATATTGGCCTAAGCATTCATTCAGTTTTGATTTGATTCCCTTCCTTCTGTTTGCCGTTCCAGTTCATATCTTATCAACCGTTGTCGAAAAATCAAACTATAGATTGTCATACCCACCATCATCAATCCATCATCACATATAATTATAGGGCATTGATATATAATTATAGACCTCATATCAACACCTATCTCATACCCCATCCATTAAACACGCCATTAGAATCATAACTTCAATTGATTCAATACTCCTGTATCTACACTCCCCATCCCTCACTATTCAAAATCATGATAGAAGATCAAACTTTATCACCATCATCATCATCATCAGCCACACCTACATCCCAACCACCACCTCGTCCAGAACTGACCATATCTTCAATAGGTTCATCAACATCTTTATCATCTGATAGAATACCTTTACCTAATCATCTTAGCATCAATACTGCTATTTCATCTCCATTATCAAACAGTAATAGTCAGAATACTAATATTAATGGATTTCTTTCTGATGGTATAAGACTGGACACTGAATCATTTGTGGAAAATGAATTACTTGATAAACGTAATCTTATAGAAGAATTAATCAACAACAATAATTTTGGTCAGGAAGGTGATTTATGGTATCTTATATCTACTGAGTATCTTAATAAATTCATTAATTTGGAAGTTTCATCATTTGAGGAGTTGAAATCATCATTGGGTCCAATTGATTGTTCTACTATTGTCGATTTAAATGGTAATCTATACCCTGAAGACAATGAACCAGTGGGAACCTATAATATATCACCTGAAATTTTTAATTATTTATTGGAATGGTTTGGTATTAAAGGAGATCCTATCACAAGATGCCTTATAATTAACGATGAAACAGGTGCAAAAGAAGTCGAAAGATTCCCTCCTTTGTTCTATATTCATCAATTGGGTAAAAAGTCTCAAAGTCAATCATCATCATACTTAAATAGTCGTCATTCTCATAATAATCATCATCACAATCATCCTATACCAATTTCAATTTCAAGAACAAAAAAGTTCAACGATTTATTAGACATGGTTAGAATAAATATTTTAAAATCACCTAAGACTTCATCTATAAATGATTTCAGAATATGGTTTATAGATTGCCAAAACTTACAGGCTTTACCTCAAACTATTACAGTATTAAATTTCATTAATGATTTAACCAATAAGAGTTTAGTGCAACATTCGATTCTAAATGATTCATTAAAGAGTCAAGGTATCAACTCAGTTTCATACCATATATTAGTAGAGTCCAAGGATCATACCACAAAAGCATTTCCAATCGATACTTATTTAAGTCTAATCAATTTTGATCAATTCGATCTTGATTTAATATTATCCAAAAGTGGTCATTTAGGTTTAAGCAATCTTGGTAATACATGTTATATGAATTCAGCATTACAATGTCTTTTACATGTTCCAGAAATTAACTATTATTTCTTTTATAATCTTTATAAACAAGAATTAAATGTTGATAATCCTTTAGGAAATCATGGTGATGTTGCCAACGTTTTTGGTTCCTTATTGAAACAAGCATTCGATACAAATCCTTCATCTTCAAGAGCATCAAGCAGCAGTATATCTCCAAGAGAATTCAAATCAACCATTGGTCGTTATTCTTCCATGTTTTCAGGATATCTCCAACAAGATTCTCAAGAATTTCTAAGCTGGTTATTAGATGCTCTTCATGAAGATTTAAATCGTATTCATAAGAAACCATACTGTGAAAAACCAGAATTGAAAGATGATGAAATCAATGATCCTCATGCTATTGTTAGATTATCGAATACTTGTTGGGATCAACATAAACAACGTAATGATTCTATTATTGTTGATTTATTTACAGGATTATATCAATCTACTTTAGTATGTCCCGATTGTTCAAAAACTTCCATAACTTTTGATCCATTTAATGATGTTACCTTACCATTACCAATTAATAAAAAATGGTATCATACCTTTACTATAGTTGATTTATCTGACGAAGGATTACCATTACCACAACGAATTATGAAATTAGAGGTCGAATTAAATAAAACATCTAATTATGATGAATTATTGAATTATTTAAGTCAATTTTTATCAGTTCCAAGTAATCAATTGTTTCTTTTTGAAATCTTTAGAAATTCATTTTATAGTGATTTCCAATTAGACTATCAAAAGAATAAGTTTTTGCCTATTAGTGATATCATAAAGGATACCGATGATGTTCTTGTTTATTATATTCCTCATGATCCTGATACCGACATGACTGTTTTAGTATATAATACAGTCGAAGATCCAGATAAGTCTTATAAAGTTAAAGATTCATTCGGAATACCGTTGTTTATAACATTAAATAAAGATATGGAATCGGCAAGTTTTGGATTAATACGAGAAAAATTACAACAAAAGGCTAGTGTTTTATCTAAGATTAATATTGATGAGGAATATACTAAAATAAAACAAGAATCAATTGGCTACGTTGATAGGAAGTTTTATAGATCTGAAGATTTCCCATTATTATACCAGGGTAATACTCTTCACAGCTCATTTAAGAAGGAGGTAGAGCCTGCTGCGCTGATTGATGATGTCGTGGACGAAATAGATGACGAAGTCAAACTTGATCAAGAACAAGATGTCGAAGATGAAGATGACGAAGGTTATCAATCAGATATTTCGTTAGCTAATCCATACGTTGGTGCCAATTTCGGATTCACAATTAAGTATTCCCAAAACCATTTCCATAAGCCTCATAATAATCTTCGTAATAGAATTCATATGGAATCAAGAGCATCAGCCAACACATATATTCATGTTCCACTACACAAGCCAAACTTTTCCGAGTTTCATTTATTGGCTGACAAATTGCCTGAGCTCAAAAGGACTTACTATCATTACCCCGATTATAATAGCAAATTAGATCAAGAGATGGACGATTTAGCTGCCGAGGTTGATAGTAACTTATTGAATCAAGCCGAATCAGAGGCTTCAGAAGCATCCGAAGAATCTGCATTACAAGCACAAGATGGAAGTGTATCATCACCAACATCCGATTCTACCACGAAAACAAATGAAGAGGATGGATTTATTCTTGTTGAAAACAAGGATGCAATGAAGCGTCCCCCAGCTTTACCGTCAAGAAATTTAATTTCTCAACATTCAAATCTGTCTGACGAAGATACCGAAAGTGAACCTAATCTTGGAAGCTTATTTGATTCTACGACAACTCTACCATTACCAGCATTACCGTATGCAGACTCTATAAAGCCATCTACTGCTAATTCACCAATAGATCCTCCATCTGGGATTGCATCACCTAAGATCGAGGCTAATGTCAGTCAAGAAGCATTAGTTAACAAGGATGGAATATTATTATGTCATTGGGACTATAAAATTTATAAACAATTATTCGGCGAGGTTGATGTACAAACTTGGGCCGATATTCCATTTTTACCTAATCCTGAATTAGAACGCAATAAAGCTCGATTTGAAAGACAAAGGAAAACTAAAGTGTCTTTGTATGACTGTTTGAATTCTTTCAGTACTCCAGAAATTTTGGGAGAACAGGATTTATGGTATTGTCCTCGTTGTAAGGACCATAAAAGAGCCACTAAAACCATCCAACTTTGGTCAACTGGGGATATCTTAACCATTCATTTGAAACGTTTCCATAGTGCTAGAGCTTTCAGTGATAAAATTGATATGATAGTGGATTTCCCTATTGAAGGATTAGATATTTCACCTTACATATCAAATCCTGAACACGGTGAAGATATTTATGATTTAATTGCTGTTGATAATCATTATGGTGGATTAGGTGGTGGACATTATACAGCATCAGTCAAGAACTTTAGGGATCAAAAATGGTATTACTTCAATGATAGTAGAGTAACTGAAATCAATGATCCAGAAGAATCGATAAGTGGTGCCGCTTACTTATTATTTTATAGAAGAAGAAAAGCTACTGGAGACCATGATGATTTCTTAGGAGGAGACAAATTGAATGAATTAATCAATAACGGTCGTGAAGCCAACAGAAAAAGCTTAATTAAAAAGAAAGCTAGTTTGGAAATAATTCAAAAGCAAATCAAGGATTATACAGCAAATGAAGAAGTACTCCAAAAAGAATTAGAACTAGACAGAGAAATTGAAGAAAGAAAGCTCAGAGATGCCGAGGCTAATAATGGTTCCAAAGATGAAGATGACGATGTGACTGCAGCTGCTGATGAAGAAGAAGACGAAGAAGATGAAATAGACGGTGATGTGGCGGAGTCAGGAGAAAATGCTTTAAAGGCTCCAGAAATCGTCATCAAGAAATCAAGACCATTTGACAATATAAAATTAATTTCAACTGTCCCTAGCCATTCCACAAGCAATTCTTCTTCTGGAGGTTTTAATTATGACAATGATGATGTTGATTATGAATATGATGAAGATGTAGATCATATTCGCAAACAAAGATTGATTTCAAAGGAAAAGAATGCTAATAAATTAGTTCAAATCAAAGGAGACGGCAGACAGGAGGTTGCATCTTCGCCTATTTCAATATCAGAATATGAAGAAACAGACAATGCGCTAGATTCAGTTGAGTAGTGACTAATAGTAATTCTACATAGTAGAGTACTGTAATACCATTTATAGCAAAAATTTATGAAACCTGACGTAATAATTATATGTAAGTTATTGTAGTCAGACTTTATCGCTATGCGTAACGAGCGGACCCCAGATGTCAAAAAAAAAGAAATTTGTGCTGGCTATCAAAATACTGTAAGGAGTGATTAGCACTACAGTCAATTTCAAGAACACGATCAAATCATAACAGAAGCAGCCTTACCATCGATAGAATAAATCAATAGGAAAAGAATCGGGGTATTGGAGTAGAATTGTTTGTTTGTTTGTTTGTGCTGAGATTGAAATTGTTTGTCTATCTCCTATCATGACTTCCTTACAATCCGATAAAGACCAAGCTACAAATCTTGATACAGCGATTATCAACTATCTTTGTGATGAAGTATTTCCTACCTTCTCTATCGATAGGAAGACCTTAAACGATTGGCAGATTGAGTTGATTGATTGCTTCCAAGATTATGGCTCGTTATCAAATAGTGTGGAGAAGTTAATCCTCTCCATTGATGAATATGATAAAGGCATTAATTTAGATGTGGAGAGTTTTACTACTTTGATTAACAAATTAAATGAATTGGATGAAGAGACTTATCATGATTTCCAAATCATAGTTCTTGAATTGCTTTTATGTGTCTTTTCAATGATTTACAATTTGAAAATAAGATTACATAAATTAGGGTTTCACCAGTTGCTAATTGAAAGCTTCCTTCACCATCTTTCGACCAAGACAAATCCAGATGAAGAACATATGATATCAATTAATCGACCCTCTATAACAAATCAGTATTCCAGATTGATTATCACTTTCTTGGAATTAGGATGTGACATTCCCTTATTTAAAAGTTTAATTTCTCCATTGTACACAAACTCAAGTCCAATACTAAAATTAGTCTTACTAGACTTATTAGAAAAGATATATACCAACTATCCAGCTCATTTCCAATTCATTTTATTTAATAAAATCACCAGTTTTCCTTTTGTAAATGATGAAATTAAAAGAAATTTTACGATACATTCATGGTTCAAAATTAATCATCAAAATACCACTTGCGATGAACCAGTTACACTTTTCACCTTGACAAACTCCAACGGTGGATCCGAAGTTCCTTCTTCAACTTCATTAAGTGTTCAGTTAATAAATTATAATCAATTTATGGTTGAGATTAAAAATCATCAAAATGGAACGACAGAGCAATTGACATTTAATCATATCCTTAAAAATAACGATAATTCTGATTCTGATGATACAGCAAATATAGCTTATGCAAATAACCAAGGCTACATTCAATTTGCTTTAACTTACGATAACTATGCGAATATCAGCTTGTTCATAGATGGAGAATATAGTGAGTCAATTCCTTGCCCTGATATCCACAGAGTAATCTCGTCATGGAATAAGCTCTACATCGGAAGTGAAGCTTCTGAGGTAACTGACAGTTCAGATGAATTATTTATTAAGAATCTATCAATTCTAAATACAAGTCTCTCATACGAATGGATAAATTTGTTATTCAATCTTGGATTGTCCTATGAATGGGACTTCAAGGAGTTTAACACTGACAATCTTTTGAATTTACTAAACCATCTCAGTTATAGAGGTTTGGTAAATGTGGGTATCAAACAAAGTGAGCTAAGAAATCAAAGAAAAGAATCAAATAGACCTCAACATACCAATTTGTTTGGAAGCCAGAGTGGAAGTAAATCGAATAATCACAATGGAAGAAACTATGATTATCAAAACAGAGACTCCAACAACTCTAATAACTTCCGAAGTAACTTATCGTCCTATATCAAGAATAATTTGCAAACAGACAAATTAGGAATTTTCGATCGTAATTTGATTGTTAAATCACTTTCCAAATTGAGACAAGAAAATATACTATTTGATACAAGTGATTTATTTCAGACTTTCGAACAACAACAAAAGTTTCAAAAACTATCTGTGCCGACAAGTGCCTCGCTTTCTTCGTTTATTTATCATAATTCACCTTCTGTCCATGGTGCGCTCTACACCATAGGTGGTGCCAGTTTATTACTAAAAGTTGTGGAGACCTCTATTGAAGTTTCAGATGCAAAATTAAGAGATACATTACTTTATAAAGCGTTAAATGTTTTATTCATAATCTTAAATAATAATTGGAGATTAAGTAAAGAATTTGAAAATATTAATGGTTATGGAATACTTTCAATTTTGTTAACGAATTATGCAGAAAAATATAACAAGAGTCTTACTTTCACTTTATACGAAGAGTTTTTGGATAACAAACTTGACACATTAACAGGGTGCAGTGGAGTGAATTTGTTAAATATGGTTTTGTCTCATGCTGGTTATGATTTCATCAGTCCATACGAGTCTCTTATTATCAATCCCCTCGGATACAGATTCTTAGTGCTCAATTTTGACTTATTTTATGGAAGCGATTCTTTTGAATATCTATTATATCATATTCAAATTTTGATCCAAGGCTCAAAATATAGCGAGTTCAACAAGTTGGAGTTGCATAAAATGAAACTTCTTAAAAAGGTAATTCAATTCCTTAAAAGTTCATCCATGGTCTCATCCGTTGCTTCGAAACAGCTCAAAGAACAATTATCTTTAACTTTAAGAAGTATAATAATATCAGATCCATCTGTAGATACTATAAAATCGTTGGCATTGTATATCAACTACGCCCTTTACAACACGGATGCCTCTACTGAATATGGTATATTGGTATTACAAACCCTCACTGATTTCCTATGTGATCTGAATTCTTCAATTAAAACACTTAGAAAATTCTCCAGATCCATCACCATACATTGGATCTTACTTTTATTTCAATTCCAATCATCCAAAGAAGTAGCTATATGTGGATTCAGATTATTATCCAAGTTATTGAAAATCTTGGGTCCAGGAATAATCGGTAAATTCTTCCAAGTGAACCATGGATTGGACATCCTTACACATTTCTTAAAGCATTGGTGGGAAGATGACGAAGTATTGTCGTGTATTTTCTTATCAAGTGTTGGTATAGAGGAAAATACTTCAACTTTGAAATCCAAAGATGCAGTTAATAGAGACTTAAGTTCCATCCTTTCAAGCAATTTGCCACTTATTAATCAAATAGCTGTACCAGAGTTCTTGCTTCTACTTAACAATTTAGTTTTGAATTCTATGTATGTATACAGTTTGAGATCAGGGCAGTTACTAGGAAGTAATCCTGCATCTCCAACGAAGAACAAAGTGGAGGAAAACTTAACATTGTCTTTAAATGTTCTTCACTTAATAAATTCATACATAGACGCTGTAAGTTTAGGTTTTGAAAAGGTAACTGCTTTGAAGAAGTTTTTCATGACCAAGTATTATTTGGAAGGTGTGACTGAGTTGTTGGGATATTTACAGTTATCATTGAGGTGGACAAACAACGAAACTACCCGAGCTAGTTTTAAATCGACTTACGAGAAATTAGTGTCTGTAATTACTAGTTTTTTCATTAGTAACTTATCCGAATCAAATGTCACAGAAATTTTGGATAAGCTCAGCGACTTGACAAGAAAAATGACACTTGATATTATATTTCCTGGAATTTTTGAACATGTTAATCAATTTGTCGATAATTCAAAATTCATTTTTAATGAGAAGCAATTTATTGATTCAGTAATAGTTCTATTACACTATTACCAAGTTCAATTCTTACAACAGCATCATTTTGTCAAACAAGATGATCTTGATAAATATATCACCTGTATGTTATCCATTATAGAGGTTGCAAAAGATCACCACAAGGGTGTTGGAAACTTAAAGGTACAGTTGGGAGATGTCATCCTATTAAAGGTCCTTAAATTGGGCGATGTCGAAGATCCTGCTAATTCTAATGGAATAAGCAACCTTAATGAAACCTTAAAGTTGTTCCTTTATAGACAGGTAACGCTTTTTGACAATGAAGTGTTGGACGAGAAAAAGATTAGTCAATTGATTATATTAGTCCTTGGAATGTTTTTGAAATCAGATGCTGACGCACAATCATCTATCATTGAGATTGCTTTCAGTTTCTTACGTGCTTGCTTTTTGATCAACCAAGAGAGAATTTCAAAGATTGTGTCTTTGATTGATGCGGATCAAAAGTTATTGAATGAATTTTTCACAAATTTAGTATCAAAGAATGATACGGAAACTTCTTCAAGGCTACAAAAATATGCTCCATTTACAAGAAGTATAAACCAAAATTACAACACTCTCAGAGTAAAATATAAACATATTGAATTCGTGAATGTGTCTGAAATAATAAAGCTTATGTTGAACACAGGAGGAAAATTAGGCCAAATGAATAGTATTTACATCAAGAGTTTTGAAAAAGATTGTGATCAATTGAAAGCCCTGATCATAAATGGGGAATTGGTGAAATACAACAGATCAGTGCAAGATCATCTGGAAAATGTTCAATTCTTTATTTCTAGTTACCAATTATTAAAAGTAGAGATTTCTAGATTAATCGAAGATCACTGGCAAGGTAAGGATTACTTGTTAGATTATATTGAAAACAATGATAGAATGAGAAGAAGAATGATTCTTAGTGATCAAGTTCCTGATTCAGACAAACTTTCGTATAACATAAATGTTCCACTTAAAGCTTTAGATACTATTAAACCAGATCATTTTGTTGATTTACAAAATTATGACTATGCAATTGCAGCAAGTGGTATTGATACGTTGAGTTTATCATCAGGATCTGCAATCTTGATGGACCAACCCGACGATTCTTTTGAGATAATTGAGGAAGGTTCCGAGAATGGCATTGATGAATCCGACGCACAAATAGCGTACGAGGATAAAAATAGAAAAGTTATAAGAAGTTTATACATGGGTGATGAAATTGTTGCGCTTTGGAATGTTAGTCAAGTTAATGGATTAGTTCCAATAGAGAGTCTTATGATATTAGGAAGTAATCATTTGTATTTGATTGAAAACTATTTTCACAGTCAAGATGGGAATGTTATCGATGTTCAGGATGCTCCTCCACAATTACGTGATCCAATACTTCAGCTAGTCAATTCACAATCAAGTGCAATATTGAAAAGTGATTCTAAATCTCACAGAAACAAAAATTGGAGTTTAAGTACTTTGAGTTGTATATCAAAGAGACAATTTTTATTAAGAGATATAGCAGTGGAAATGTTTTTCACTGATGGTGCAAGCATTTTGATAACCTGTTTATCTAACAGAGAAAGGGATATAATATATAATAAGCTCCATCTGTTTGCATCCAACAAAGGGTTAGATTCCGATTTGACCCAAGCTTTACAAGCATCTTCATCAAATTCCAGCAATTCATTATTAAACAGTTCAACGTCATTCTTGTCATCAAGATTTGTATCGGCTTTTTCTCAGAATGGATTATCACCTCAATCGACAGCTTTTTTGGCAGCCACTAGAAAATGGAGAATGGGGGAGATGTCAAATTTCTATTACTTGATGATTATCAATACTTTAGCTGGTAGAACTTTTAATGATTTGACTCAGTATCCAGTATTTCCATGGGTCATTGCAGATTACACAAGTGACGTGTTAGATTTATCTAATCAGAAGACATTCCGTGACTTATCAAAACCAATGGGAGGTCAAACAGAAGCAAGAGCAAAAGAATTTGAAGAGCGGTTTGAAGCATTAGATAGCTTTAATGACAATGAGAATCCTGCATTCCATTACGGAACTCATTATTCTTCTGCAATGATTGTTACTTCATTTTTGATTAGACTAAAACCATATGTTCAATCCTATTTATTATTACAAGGTGGTAAGTTTGATCATGCTGATAGATTATTTAACTCCATCGAGAAAGCATGGATGTCTGCTTCAAGAGATAATACAACTGACGTGAGAGAGTTAACTCCAGAGTTCTTTTTCTTACCTGAATTCTTGGTGAATTCCAATAATTTTGAATTTGGAACTTTACAAAATGGAGGTTCTCCAAATCATGTTACTCTTCCGCCTTGGGCCAAAGGTGATCCAAAGATTTTCATTGCCAAAAACAGAGAAGCTCTTGAGAGTTCATATGTATCTGCTAACTTACATTTATGGATTGATTTAGTCTTTGGATATAAACAAAGTGGACCAGAAGCTGTTAAAGCTCTTAATGTATTCCATCATCTTTCCTACAACGGAGCTATCAATTTAGATAATATTAATGACGAGGTTGAAAAAAGAGCAGTTATTGGAATGATTAACAATTTTGGTCAAACTCCAAAACGAATCTTTCAAAGACCCCATCCAACTAAGGAAGTTTTAAATTTACCTAATTATTATCTTAATTTAGTAGAAAATGAAGAACATCCTAGATTGTTGTTTGAATCTAAGTTGAAGTTACCAATTGAAAAATTAGAATTAAGTCCTAAGAATGTGAAGAAATGGGTTGGTAGAGCTTCTTGTATCACATCTGAAGATGATCTTCTTATCAGAAAAGCAAATAATTTGAAGTTTAACAGTGGATCGTTGATAATTAATGATACAACGTTTTTGAATATTCATAGATGTAATATTACTAGCATATTACAAATTGGACATAAGTTATTTTTAACAGGTTCAGAAGATGGTATTATAAATGTTTGGAAATGTGAAGTTAAACCAACCACGTCGCTTCAATTTCAAACTATTTTAAGAGGTCATACCAGTTCTATCATATCCTTGAAGTTCAGTAAAAGTTATAAAATGGGTATCAGTCTTGATAACGATGGAGTTGTTATAGTATGGGATTTAGCTAGATTTAAATTCGTAAGAAAAATCATTTCTACAGTTAAAGATGCTATTAAAACTATAATTTCTATATCAAATGATACAGGTAATATTGCTATTTTAAATATCACCGAGACAGAAAACATCTTGAATATTTATACCATTAACGGAGATCTCATTTTAACAGAGAAATTCCAATTGAATGGCAAACAGATAACAGCGTTTAATTTTGGTAGTATAAATGATCCAATGGTTGATACAGGTAAGCATCTGATTCTGAACAAACATACGCATTGGTCAAATGAAATATTTGCCATTGCGGTTAGTAAAAGTATTCATATTTATGAACTAACCCCATATGCCGATGAAGGATGGGGTTTAATTAATTTAGATTCATTGGAATTAGAAAAACAACTTGCGGGTGATATTACTGCCATTGAATTATTCAAGTTTTCAGAAACCGACAGCGAAGACAGATTAAGTAGAGGTCAATTAAAGCTTATTCTTGGCGATTCTACCGGGAAAGTATATGGTTTATAATAGTTTACGAGCATTAATGAATATAGATTTGTATTATATATAAATATAATTCTTGTTGTAAGGCATTCTCTCGTTAATTTTGTGGGGTATACCAAATAGGGAAAATTGCGAAATAATTTTCAAAAAGCGCCATATTTTGTAAATATAAAAAAAATACGATTGAAATTTTTGCTGTTCATTGTTAATCACCAATTGTAATTATAATTACTTCATCTCACTAATAAAACTACTAGAATGAGCAAAACTGCTATTCAATTACAAGACAGGGTTGAAAGAACATATGATATCGACATTATAGAATCAAATACCGCACCCATAACATCAGCTGAAATAGACGAGGCTAATGCTCAAGACCTAGATCCAAATCGGAACCAAAATCATGACTTCCCAGAAGGAGGTTGGAAGGCTTATAGTGTAGTATTAGGGTCCTTTTTAGGCTTGACTGCTTGTTTTGGGACTTTAAACTCGGTGGGTGCCATCCAAGCTTACATCGCGACCCATCAACTTTCAGGTATTAACACATCAACTGTATCATGGATATTTTCTATTTATCTGTTTGTATGTTTTGCAGTAGGGATATTAGTAGGACCATTATTCGATAGAAAAGGGACATTAATACCATTGATAGGAGGAACGATCTTAATCTTTGGAGGATTAATGGCTACAGCCGATTGTAAAACAGTTTGGCAGTTCATACTTTCATTTTCATTTTGTGTGGGGACTGGTAATGCATTATGTATTAATCCATTGGTAGGAGTGATTAGTCATTGGTTCTTAAAGAAAAGAGGTAAAGCTACGGCGTTGGCCACATTAGGTGGTTCTATTGGTGGAGTGGTTATCCCACTTATGTTAAGATCACTTTATCCTAAAGTTGGTTTTCCATGGGCTATCCGTATTTTTGGATTTTTCTGTTTAATTTGTTTAATAAGCTCTATTTTATTATCAAAGGAAAGAATATATCATCGAAACCATGTTACAGCCGATGATGAAGATGATGACAATGTGTATGCTAATAAATATTCCAAAATCTTAGCATCTACTAAGAATTTCATGGATTTTTCAGCTTTGAAAGATTTGAAATATGCTTATTGTATAGCAGGAGTATTCTGTACTGAAGTTTCATTAATGTCAATCTTAACCTATTACACCACATACGCCATTGCTCAGGGAGTTTCTGAATCTACATCCTATATATTATTAACCATTTTCAATTCATCAGGAGTATTAGGTCGGATATTACCAGGAATATTATCAGATAAATTGGGTCATTTTAATGTAATGATAATCATGTTATTTGGGATGGCAGTATCACAATTAGTATTATGGTTACCATTTGGAGGTCATGTAGGTGTGTTATATGCGTTTGCGGTGATTTGTGGATTCTTCAGTGCATCGATTTTCAGTTTAACTCCAGTATGTTTAGGAGCCATCACTCCTGTTCATATGTTTGGTCAACGATATGGATTACTTTATGCTATAGTTAGTACTGGTAATTTATTTGGTGTTCCATTAGGAGCTGCAATCATTGGGAAAGGTACTAAACATCAATATGATATGTTTGCATTATTCTGTGGTGTTATTGCTCTTACTGGATTATTTTGCTGGACTGCTAGTAGATATTACATTGTAGGGACGAAAATAAATGCTAAAATTTAATTTTATGATAGATATATATGTATATAGTTAATACAAAAAATATTTATCGTCTTTTTCGAACATCACTATTCAGAGGGTCAGCTTTATTAGGGACAGGTTGAGTTTTTATAGTTTGTTGTTGTTGCTGTTGCTGTTGTTGAATTCTTCTAATTTTTTCAGCTTGTTGTAATTTTGTTGCTTGTTCAGCAGCAAGAGTTGATGGATTATATTGTTCATGCAATTCAGGACTTATATATTGTAATGCAGTTGGAGCAATCATTAAACCAATGGCTACAATGAAAAGCATAGTATAAGTTTGATTTTTAAAGATGAAACCTAATGGACTACTAAGAAGCATTTCTGATATAGTACCACCTGAATATTCATAAAATTGTTTGATTTGTCTGAATTGAATTTCTAAAGGGTTAGAAGGAGAAATCACTACCCCTGAAGTTCTATTTAAACTTGATGAAGTTAAACTATCTTTTATAGCCACAATTTCTTCATAATCATCAATTATAATTCTAAATCTATCACTTTCAAAAAAGAAATCATAAGAAGAAACCACCAATTCATATTCTCCAACTTTCAACCCATTAAATTCAAAACTATAATCACGATACACAGGACTTGATAAACTATCGAACTTATCAGTATTCAAAGGATATAGTTGTACATTGAATTTAGATTGATAATTATCCCCATTTAATACTTTAGCATTACGAGTTTTGAATAATTCATCAATTTCATCAGGAATATCTTTAAACTTTCCTGAAAACCCTAATCCATGAACGAACGATATCAATTGAACAATCAATACAGTTATATATATACTTAATCTCATGATTGATCCTAGTTATACCTGTTTGCCTTCCCAGAATCGTCTATACCCACAGTTCAAATGTTTTTGACCGTCATATTTTGAATCGCTTGCAAAACTCAATTTACCCGGCCACCCACACCACCACCTGCACATAACCAACACCACGATCGAAATCGATATTTAAAAAAAATTTTCCCCTTATAAAACACTTTAGCAAGTGTTTGATTTACTTCTTTTAAAATCTCTATTGTACCAAGTATGTGTATTATTGTAGGGCAACAATTCTTAAACTCTACGATTGGTGCTCTCTACAACACATACGAGAGTATACTAGTTAGGGAAATGAATCTCTAGGTAGTCATGGAAAATACGGGCGTGACTGAAAATGAACTTTATTGTTCGTTCTAAGTGGAGTCGGATCAAATTATATCTGATGACTTTAATCGGTTGTTAAGGTATGATTAGTCCAATGGCTTGATTACAGTTGTGCATTCTAGCCTCCAAACATTTTCGTAAAAGCAAAGATATTATTATTATTATATTAGTATTACAGTGTATAAAAAGGATATTTTATGTATAAAAAAGGTATCCTATGTATAAAAGCAGAGAAGAGAAGAGAAGACAAGTCAAGAGAAAGATATAATAAGCAAAGTTAAGTTCGAGCACTACCTTTTAAACCTCGTGAACCCCATCTATCATAAGAATATAATCCAATTCCAATGAGCAACAATCCAAGGAATTGTTCATTGGTAACATTACTAAAATTTATATCAGTACCAGTATGGGTTGCAGAAGGAGTTGAAGGAGGAGGTGGTAATGGTGATTGGGATTGATCTTGTTGAGGATCTTCCGGATTTGTAGAAGAAAGTGGTGGGATTGGGATTGCTGTGGTGGCACCTATAGCCATTACGATACTAACTGTAATAATAACTATTCTTTTCATCATAGAAGCAATTGAATATGATAAAGCAGGGATTGAACCTAATAAATGGAAGGATAATAAAGTTTGAATGAAAAATGATAATGAATCCAATACGATTAAACTTAAAATCGATAAGAAATTATATTGATTTGTAGCAGCGATAGATGTAACTTCAGTAATTGATTTATTAAATTCATTAAGTAACGGATTTAATTCTTCCCATACAAATCCAGTGAAGGAGAAGATAAATCCAATGATTGAACAATATAAAATAATGGTGATTTGATCTGGTTTGGTGACTTTATCTAATTCGAACTTTTCAATAATGAATGCAAATGGATTATACACACTGGTATTACTTTGTCGTACAGTATGATTATAAGTTTGACTTAAATCATGAGTTGATTTAGGTGGTGTGACACTGACTGAATTATTACTATATTCGAATTTTTCATCTAATTTCAAATCGGAGGTTGAATAAGGTAAAGTTGCAAGTGAATTTGTATAATTTCGTTGTCTTACAAATTTCGATAAGATATTATTAGCTCCATTTAAGAATGAATTACCATTTTCATGATTATTATTATTATTACCAATGGGTAATTTTATTTCACCAGGAGGAGACATGTTACCATTTTTATAAATGGGAGAATTTGGTCTTGTAGTTTCAGTATTCAATACCAAAGAAGCAGGATTAACGATTCTTGAAGTATTATCCCATGTCATTAATTGTTTACCATAAATATTTTGACCAGCAAAGATTATAGTACTTATAAGACAAAAGATTAAACCTTTAATTTGAATTGAATTTAATTCATTTTTTTCATTAGTTAAAAGATTTGAATTTGAATTGGGATTTTTAATTGAATCAGATAATATCATTAATAATACTCCAATTAATAAAGGAGTTAATGATAAATAAGTTATAATGGGGAATTTAACATTATAAATGATTCTATATCCTGCTACGATTAATAATGGAGATAAAGCTTTTATAGATGAAACTGTGGCTAAAGAAATCAATGAAGTTGCATTAAGGGAGAAATATCTTCCCACAAATTGAAATAAACCTAATGGTAAAACTTTTAAAAACACTGATAAATTAAAGATTGGTTTTGATAAATCATGAGGAATAGAACCTTGAGGGAAGATGGTTGATATTTGAGGGAATTGTTTGATGATTAGGATGAATAGTAAGGCTAAACAAGTACAAATTAATGATTGAGATTGAGCTAAGAATAAAGGATATGTACATCTTGTTAAGATTAATTTTGTTAATTGAGAAGTTAATGAGGAAACCAGGTACCAAGCTAAACAAGCGATAATGGTACGAATGGATAAGGGAGGTATTAGAGCTTTCAAGTACCCGCTATTATTGTTGACATTAGTAGTAGTGGTAGTGGTAGTATTACCATTTGATAAGGTTGAAGATGGTATGTGATGATTATGGAGGTGGCTATGGTGAATGGTGGGAGTATGGTTTGTATGATTATGTTTTGGGTTTGTAGTAGTAGTTGAAGTCATAAGAGTAGAAGTGCTGGTGATGATATGATGGAACGGATTAGATTAATTATATTTGACAAGGTGTCAAATAGGGTGGGGGTATTGGTTAATAGGATGATAAATAGATGGGATTGAAAAAGGGAGTTTTAATGGGTTGCGTTTTGTGTTGTTGTTGTTGTTGTTGTTGTTGCGCGATAAGTTGACTTAGTGATTGATAATGATAAGTGGAGTGATAAGATGAATGGAATGGATTGAAGGCAACAAGTGAGTAAAAGACAGACAGTTGAGTTATTTATTGGTGATAGAAAGAAGTAAATAAATAAATAAATAAATTTATAATAATTTATAGAACACGCACATAAAATATTATTATTATTAAGTTAATTATGAGGTTTAAGGTGGGTGGTTAACTTTAAAGACTTAAGTTTAATTTGAGTTATCTATTCAATCCTTAATGATTATCAATGGATGTGATTATGTAGCAACTATAATATGGTGTAGTATGGTATAATTAATTGTTTTATATAACAATGTAGTACTAATGGGTTCATAGCAACCCTATTCAAATTAAACGTAATACAATAAAACGGTCTACAGTAAAAGTTCAGTTTCTGTTTGTGGTTGTGAGTGTCAGAATTTCTCCGTAACTCCCTATTCAGTTCTGCCCCTCCTGCCTAAATTATTCTATTTCTTTTAATCACCTCACCCCTCCTCCACGAGCTCACCACAGTCTGTCACTAAATAATAATAATAATTACACTCACTCACACTCACACATACACAACACACCCAAATTTTAAATTTACGAAATCTCTCAGGCGAAGCTTTTAAACTTTTAGTGGATGAATAAAATCTACTTATAGTTACAGTCTGGGGTAACTTGGAATAATATCATCAAAGAATCTTTGTCATTAGTAGTATCAGATTGGGATTATGTGATAGAGCAGGCTTATATCTATTCATTCCTATATTGAACAATCAAACCCATACACTGTAATAGTATTATTATCTAACGTCTATCTATCTAATCTGTCTGTGTATCTTTCATCCCCCAAAAGAATTCATTGTTCTTTTCATTAATTATCTCTGTGGGTCTGACTCCCTTAAAAAATAAATAAATTCTTCTTCTTCTTTTTTTTTACCGCATCTTCCCAATTAAGTTATAATCCCTTACCCTTCCCAACCAGCAATTCAACTTAACTAACTAACAACAGTATAAGGGTTTAAAGTGACAAGTGTCCTCATCAGTACAGTACAGTACAGTACACTTGCACTTTCCTGCACTCCATAAATCTCCTCTATTTTGAGCCCGTTAAGCGTCAAATTGATTTTCAATATTATTTACTATTATTTACTATTATTTATTCTCGGTACTTCGTTTACTTTGTTCTAATTTAGTCTATTCCATTCCATTCCATTTTCATCTCATAACTCTATTCTATTTTGTTGGTCTAGACTCTGTTTCATCATTATTCTTCTTTAAACCTATAATATTAAAACTACACATACTGTAACTCTACAGTAGTTTAAAATTCTATCCTTAAATGTGGCTCACTATTCTCTTCTCTTCACTCTGGTTACAATGGATAAAATATTTAAATAGTTTAAATTATAACAAACAAATATGTTATTTTAAACGCTATAAAAGACTTATATATATATACACTAATCATTTTCAGCAACTAATTCAGTCTTATACTTGTCTACATAATTAGCTTTCTTATCATATGATGCACTAGGATTATTGAACCCTCCATTAATATAATCAAAATCAGCTTTAACCCAATGCGCAAATGGATATGTTGGTAATGTCTTTAATGGTGTATCTTCTTTAATAAGACCTAAATCAATTTGTCTTTTAATTAATCCATCAAGATAATCCAGAATATGATCTCTAAATGATTCAAAATTCTTATATTTAATAATATCTTGGGGACCTTCATAAATAATCTTTTTAATTAATGATGGAATCAATGGTTCATCTTTCATTTCTTCAATCGAATAGAAAATTGGATGATTAGTAAAGATAATAGCTTGAGATTTAGGTAATCTTCTTAAAGTTTGTCTTTCAACTCTCACATTAAACTCTTTAGGATCAGTCGATTTCATATTAGCTTCAACATTGGGATTGAATTTAGGTAATTGATAAACATTATTAACTTTTAATTTATGATCCCAAGAAATATACCAACTAGCTCTTTCAACAGGATCACAAGGTCTCATCCTAGCAAACCATCTTTCCATCGATTTTTGTAATTTCTCCTTATAATATGGTACATCTTCATGAATAACATCTAAATTACGACCAATCTTATGATTAATCCCAAATGATCCTCCTGGAAATGGTACAGCAGCAGCCACCAAATAATGTAATCCATCAGGCTTCTTCTTAACTAAATAAAAATCTTCCTTAGCTAACTTAGTAACATATAATAATGGATGTTGTTTCAATGGTAATGTCATATCTAAAATTTCTTGAGTTAATTCATTCTTAATGATTTTACCAGTACCAGCTTTAGAATAATCATCATCATAAGCACCCCCATCTTTTAAAACCGTGAATAATAATGGGTATCTTTCAATCAAATGATTACTTACCACATCCATTAATTCAAAACTGGCATCATAACCTTCAGGTAACCAATCAATATTCTCCTTACCATATTTCAACCAAATACGTTTCTTTTCTTCAATATAATGAATATAATATTTATCCATATCTAACCAATGATTAATATCCAATTTGAAAATCGACATGGTTTGATGATATGGCCATCTAAATGGTCTCCAAGGTCTATCATCATAATTTGAAACTTGATCAGGAGTAATCATTAATGGTGTAGGTCTTGGCATGATATTTCCATCTTCATCGGCAACACTACCATTAGCATAAGCCAGCTTACCCTTTGTGGTGGAGGTTGATGGAGTGGATGATGATGATTTCAATCCTTGAAACCCTGATTTTTGAAATTTATCATAAAAACTTATTATATGAGTCTTAGATAAGTATAATGAGATAGATACTCCTAATAATAAGAGAATTAAAGCTGGATCAACCATGATGTAAGTATCTCTATAATGACAGTTCTATTCTGTTCAGGTCCTGTTTAGTTGCTGATCATGTATGAATTAAAAAATGATTTATAGTTGAATAAATTAATCCATTTATATACTTTATCAACAATCGATCAAATCATTATCTTATCAGTATAATGTTTTTTTATACTCTATTTGGAAATGATTGCGAAATTAAAAAAAATATGTCCGATAAAAAATAATACCACAAACCCAAGGGATAATGTATCCGCATTTGGGTATAAAAAGTACGTCGCCTTATTATTTTGCAATAATAACTTGAACCTTACAGAGTAACTACCGCTACAAAATCACTCCTGATGCTGTACTATAATACTAATGATGCATTCTAAGCCCGACTATTTATAAAACACTATGTACATGTATGGCTTATGTTGAATTTAAATCATACGATTTAATTTCAATTTCGATTTGATCGAGGATTCGGGATTGGTGGGATGAATCCGATTGCGATAATTCAATTAATAATGGCTCAACGGTGTCTTGAAACCATTTATCAATCATGAATGGTTCAGTAATCACGATCGACCCTAAGTATTGATCGAATTGGGCATTATGGAATCGTAATTTATAATAATCATTCTGACAATATTGTTGATATAATTGTTTATAGATAACATTATGATTGTTCAGTTTGAATAAAGACAACGAGTTTGTTGAACCATTGGTGACGATTAATTTAAATTTCTTGTCATTCAAGATGGTAAACACTCGAGGGTATACGTCCTTCAGATTGGGAATGTGGGATTCAAATTTCTTAAATGATTTATATATCAAATATTGATAATATTCAAATCCAATACTAGAAATCATACTAATTAAATCAGGATATCGATTCATATTTCGACTTGGACCATCTTCAAGCACTCCAATTTGTTGAAAGAATGTTCTCGAAATGGTATAATTCACCACCATTAATTTATTCACATCATAAAAATCACTTAAATAAGGTAACATGAATTCATCTAAAAATTGATTCTTCATCTCTACCGTCAACGAATTAGTGAATGTAGGTAAGGTGTTTAGATCATAGTTGATATTATCGAGTTTTATAGTTGGATCAAATAATCTAGTAGGATTTAAATCGTATAATAATCGAATTGCTTTATGAATTTCACTTTCAAATCGAGATTGAGTTTGTACTTTATATCCAATGTAATTAAAATGTTCATGATTTGGATAAAGACTATTGAAAATATCTTGAATTTCTTCAGTTGATGATATGAATGAAATTAATCCTGATTTTAAATTGAATCTCATAATACTATAATTCAAATAATGTTTACCTGACTTTAATCCATTTTCAGTTTGATCTTCATAATTTCTTAATTCATAATTATCAATAAATTGAGATAAAACATTACTATTACAAGCCCGTTCAATGATTCTTTGTTTGGAAATGTCCACTAAAACTGATTGTTTCTTATTTAAAACATTCTTACATTCTTGTAAGAATTGCAAGGTTTGATCATAATTAAGAGCTTTCACCACCTTTATAAAGAACTCTACCATCAGTTTGATCCACATTTGTTGTTGTTCAATCGATAACGTTGCGAAATATTGATTGAATTGATTAGAATGGAAATTATTCATAAAGCGATATTGTAAATACTTATCAAACAAGAACTTATATGATGCCCCTCTTAAACTTTGATTATTATAAAATTCATTAAATTCAATCAAGAATAATTTAAATGATAATGAAGTTAAAATCTTTGATAAACTTTCCATAATCTCTTCACTTAATCCTTCTTCATTACTTAAATAATACTTTACCAAGGTTCGATAACTTTCATCACCGACTTTATCTTGTAAGACTATGACTCGTTTGATATTATTCAGACTGACCCATTGATGAGTATTATGAGTATTTGGTCTTATGATGGCATTATTAAGAAGTTTAAATCGTGTTAAATTGGTATCCCCGAGAGATGGTGATTTGAAAGGTAAATTTTTTTCAAGGGCTGTTCTTAATTCAACCGGTTTTATAATGGGTAATGGTATTTCAAATTGTTGAATTGATTTATAGATGAATCGATCAAATGTATGATCGATCGAAGTAACCGTTCGTAATAATGTAGGATCAACGGTTTCATTATCAAGGCTGTTTTGTAGGATGGTTGCTTTCGATTTAATGTAAGCTGGTGCAACATTTATCCAATCTTCAAACATGTCATTACTATCTTCATTTGTAACTTGGTTAATGGAAGATAAATTCGTAAACCAAGCAATAGGAAATCCATCAATCAAAGTTTTGACCCCGATATATTGATAAAACAATTGTTTTCTAAACTCTTTATTGGTAATAATCAAATCTTCGATCATTTTTCTTGACTTTGGAAAGATGATAACTCTATGAATGGATGAATCTTGTAATATCATCTTTATAATCTTGTCACTACTGTCATCTTTTAAATTGATGGAGTTTGGGATTAGATTAGCATGGAATTCAATTGACGTTAATCCAAAGTTGTATAATAAATTCCATTTCTTCAATACAGATTCATCATTCTTGATTAATTTCTTGTCATATCTCTTTAGTACCACATCATTGAATAATAACAATGGATTGAATTTAAGTTCTTTGATAATCTTTGGTAATTCATAGTTTGTTACTGTCGGCTGATTCTCTTTATCTGTGTAAATGTATGAGAAATTAATCTCCCGACCTTTGACAATCGGTAAAGTTGCCCCAAGTGCATTAACTATAGTGTTTAATTGGGGTTTATCTTGATGATGATATTTTTGGAAAATACGATTTATATCGTCCTTAGAATCATTCGTGATCAAATCAGATACGTATTGATTAACTTTCTCCGGTTCAATTTGTAAATCCCGACTTAACCCATTGATCAACTCATTAACAGTGGTAACTATATCCTTTTCAAATCCCTTAGGATCAAAGATTAATTGATATGATTGGAAATAAACAAGAAACGAATTGCCCAAACTTTCCGACCCACCTTTTTTCAATGATGACGATGATCGACTTATGATATCGTATGGTGACTTGGATGTAGGATACCCTTTCTTGAACGTTATTGGTTTGGTTTTATTATAATCTGTTTTGAATATTCCATAAACTAAGTCATTTATAGTTGAACCATTATCATTCAACGATGCAGATGTAGTTGAATTCAACCGAATGGAGGATAGACAGATTTCACTCTGCCTTGTGGGAACATAACGATATTGTAAACCATATCGTATGAGCCTCTTCATTTCATCATATAAGATATACCTTCAAATATATAATATATATATACGTAACTTGACTGTAAATATTTTAGCAGTTAAAAAATGGCGTGTATATAAACACAACAAAATTTTCAAATCTTCATCATATACTACAATGAATATTGATACTACTAACTCTACAAATGGATAAATAATGGTTAAATTACTTTATAAATGTACATTTCCCCCCTTTACATATAGGCAAACATATATAAAAAGAATACATAAAATATGAAAGAAGTTGTTGTTGTTGTTGGGAAGGTTGTTTGAAATCAGAAATTTCAGTTGTGATATAATGTGGAAAAGACTTGGTATGAATTATACAAGAATGATGATGGATTTTGTGCTTGTTATATATATGAATTATGAATGATGATGACAATAATATATTGATAATAATAAATATCCAAATAGCATTCTTATAATCTTCTACCTCTTCTACCACCCTTTCTTCTGGTGGAATCAGATGGAACTGGAGTAACATCTTCAATTCTACCAATTCTTAAACCAGATCTGGCTAAAGCTCTTAAAGCAGATTGACCACCTGGACCTGGGGTTTTAGTTTTAGTACCACCAGTAGCTCTTAATTTAATGTGGACAGCGGTAATACCAACTTCTTTACATTTTTGAGCAACATCTTGGGCAGCTAACATAGCAGCGTATGGAGATGATTCATCTCTATCAGCTTTAACTTTCATACCACCAGTGACTCTGGCAATAGTTTCTTTACCTGATAAATCAGTGACATGAACGAAAGTATCGTTAAATGAAGCAAAGATACGGGCAACACCAAAAACTTCTATAAGATTATGAGTTAGTATAATTGTTATAATGGGGAGATGATTTGTTGATGGTATGTTATTATCATTAGATGGTGGGATGTGATTGATGGGTTTGATAGTATTGATGAGTTGGGATGGATTTTTTCTACATTTTTCAATAAAATGACTTTTAATGAGTTTGAATGATTTAGTGATTTATCAAGTGTGGAATATCCATTAATGGATATGATTATTTCTAATTCATTAACTTAATGGTAATCTGAATCATTGGTTGTTGAAGGAGTTTACTAGGATGGACTCATTGATTATTCTCTTATAATATTTCTTGATATTGATTGATATTCTACATTATTTGAATGGGAGGTATAATCACTTAAAATGATGATTGACTTTTGAACTCTTTCATTAATACATTACTTCATTCTATTCTATTCATGGTTGATTCGATACAGATTGGAGGAAACATTTTATACGATTGAATAATTTGATACTTCTTTGATTTGATGAACATTGATGGATGGATTGATTGATTCGTAACTTCTCTAGTTTAAACTATCCACATCCATCCTGATGATAACAACATCTATTCCTACTAGTTCTCTAGTTGTACATACCGTTAGTAGACATTATTGATGATATATAATTGTATATTGTATAGTATATTATAACTTCAAATAATTAATATAAACTTTTTTTACTTTTTTTCATTCCTTAGAGACAGAACTGAACTGAACTGAACTGGTTCCTCTCACTGAGAAAATTTTACTCAACCATTATGTGCACTCCTTTCTCTTAACTATGGGAGCACCTTTAATTAATAATGTCGCACTATTTAGATTTTTACATTTCTAGGTCACGAGATGTATTTAATATATAGGGATTGAGCCCTAGCTATCATAATTGTAACACTATATAGTATATCATCAGTATATTATAGGATATCTACATAGTATATCAGTATACCCTAAAGTATAGCTATACTGTCAATAACATGTTAACTACCACCATTAACTTACGTAATCTACAACTATCATTATAATGATATCTCTCTAAATCAATATAGTACAATTAAATATGATTAAATACTTTTATTATCTATACAGATGATTTTTGATTGTTTTTAAATGATGATATATAAGTACATGCAATTAGGAATGATAATAACACATCTAATAGACGAAACCTAAGATTTTACCAGAAACGTGCTTTCTTCTAGCTTCTTCATGATCCATAATACCAGCAGAAGTAGTTAAGATAACATAACCAAATTGTCTAGCTGGTAATAAGTTATCAGTCCATCTTTCAATATCATTAATCTTGACATTGAATCTTGGGGAGATAACACCACATTTGTTTAATCTACCGTTTAATTGAACAACAATCTTACCGGATCTGTGATCATCAATATATTCGAATTCACCAATGTAACCGTGTTTTTGCATAACGGATAAGAATTTGATGATGACCTTGGATGATGGTCTGATCATAACTTGACGTTTACCAGTTTTTTCGGCATTGTTGATGGCATTTAAAGCATCGGCTAAGACGGAGGTTCTAGTCATTTTGAATGATATATGTTAACTAAATAAGAAAGTAAGCTTAAATCAGTTATATTGAAATTTTAAACCATTAATATTTTTTTTTTTTCACTTTTGGTGATACTCATTCAGTTGGTAGTGCGACAAGTAGTTAACAGTTGTCCTGTATATAAATACGTCTCACAAGCAGTCACATAGAAATAGAAAATATACTAATCTGTAAAAAGACATTCTGATTTAAACTGTAAATAAAAGTGATCACTCTAACATGTAAATAAATTTACATGTTACGTTTAGAGTGAGAAAATTTTTGTTACTCAATTTTACTACTCACTAAAAAAATTATCATCAATAAAAATTATAATAAATCTTTTTCATAATCCTTTTCTTGATTAACTATAGTTCATAAAGATTAAAGATGCCTGTATGTATTAATCGTTCATAGATATCATCATCTAGTGGTATACCGTGTTGTTATGTGTATCATGTCATCCATAAGATTTACTAGTCAAGTATTGTTTCATTGTATCGTTTAGTTCAAGTTAAGATCCATCATCATCAATTTTTCATCATTTTATCAATTTATTAAAAGTCAAGAATATTGAAAGAGATCAGTCGAGTAGATAAAGTAATCAAATCAAATGACCATTCCGAAGAAGTTAAACTGAAATATCCGTCAATCAGATATATTAAATCATGATAATGTTGAAGATATATTCATTAAGAAAAACACTAGTCAATTCCATCACATCAACTACAGTTCTAAAAGATTATGTAAATTAAAACAAGTCCCCATTCAATCAAACAAACCAATCCCAATCAATCAACATGCATGATCATAACAACCCAGTGTAAACACTTGTCCAACTCAAACCCTAATACTAACTTTTACTTTTTAGTCTCAAAAATCCTTTAGAACCAAGCAAAAGTTAGCTAAAGCTCAAAAGCAAAACAGACCATTACCACAATGGATCAGATTAAGAACTGATAACTCCATCAGATACAATGCTAAAAGAAGACATTGGAGAAGAACTAAGTTAGGTATCTAAGTTATTTCGTATCGTTTGTTTATTCTTACATATCTTGTCCTTCCATTAAAAGTACGCTGAATCTAAAATTTTATTATTATAACTTAACTTAATTTTGGTGGTTTTATTCAATAATACTGGACTTGTATGTTTATGTGTGACATGATTGATTACACTCATATAGCATTTCTTTACTTAATATAATTATCTAATATATAAAATCCCCCTTCGTTCTTTCTTAGAAAAAGAGCAAATATATATATATAAAACATTGATTAACAGAGTGTAGATTCAGTAGATTGATTGATTAATAATATACTAGAATACATTGAAGTTTATATAAAGAATTAGTTAAATAAAAAAAAGATATATAGAATTAGAACTGATTACAAGATCGTAACCAATGATTATGATTGATTGATGAAAAATCATAGTACTGAACGAAGTTCATCAACTACTAAACTTCTTCTTCAAACACAGTTTCAATTGGTTTTTCCATAAATGAAGCATGAGAAAGAACTCCAACACTACTTGAACCAATTAACCACATCATGGTTGAAATTGGACTAGCTAAAAATCCTAATGGAATAGCCACAATTAATAATCCAGTATATAATTGGGAAGTATTATAACTTCCAAATGGAGTTCTTAATTCTTCACCATTTAATTTATTAATCCCAAAAATACCTCCAATAACAAAGACAGTAACAAATAATAATAATAAATTGGTAATTAAAGCATAAATACTTAAAATTAAAACAAATACAGCATAATTGGCTTGGAAATAATTAAGATTGAATGAAACTCTACTTTGAACTTCACCAAAATTAACTGGTTTACTAAGTCTTCTAAAATCAAAGAATTCTTGGGGTGGTTTAATCTTTGAAACTGAATTTTGAATTGATCCTAAATCACTCTTGATTCTTTCATAGTTTAATCGTTCTGTAATTTGTTGAACCTATAGTGGAAAAGTTAGTAAAATGAATTCAATTTAATCAATCAACATGATTGGATATGATTAGATACATACGGAAATGTTTAAAAGGGACATGATGAAATGTTATGCTTTATATATGTGAAGGTGATAAACAATACGTCGATTGATGATGATAAATAAATAAGGAATATAAATAACAAGGAAGTCTATGAACAGATGATACTACTTGTGCTTTGGGATACAGTAGGGAGGGATCGTTACAATGATATGATGATATGATCTGTGTTAAAGTAAAACTTATCAATATCAAGTTAACTGTTAATTGATATTTTGATTTTCTGTTTTTAGATCTCTGTACGTAACAAGGCACAGGATTTTTTTTTGTTCAAATTAATTTTGGGTTTACGTGTTTTAAAAAAAAAAGAAAAAGAAAAAATTGATCACGTGTACAGTTTAATGTCGCTCACAGGTTAATGTCGTAACAATATGATATATATGTCGTTGGGTATTTTCTACATGGTTTTGCAACTTCAATAGATTTCTTCAGTTCACTAATTACAAAACTATAAAGTTATTATCACTCCTCTTCGTTTTCACTTTCACTTAGTTCTTCTTCATCAAGACTAAACTCTATGAAGCCGAAACTGTTCTTAACCGCAATAGTTTTACCTAGATATAATTCGAGTTCATCCCATAATTTTTGAAGTTGCAGTCTACCTAAATCGTCGTAATTCATAATCAAATCTAGTTTTTTCAAGTTACATTTATAATTCACATCTTTGCTTTCGGGTTGAGAACTATTATCCTCATTTTTATAAAACCCAAGCTTCGACACCACCGATATTTTTAAAAAAGTCAATGATTCATGATACCTAATGGAATCAGTCATGTAGAACTCTTTATCAACGCAATCTTCAACTGTAAGCAGTTCTAAGTTGATTGATAATTTCATGGTTGGTGATATGAATTCGACATCACAATCAAAAAAAACAATTTCTCTTAAATTGGGGTACTTTATAGGATTGTTGAATATTGGAAATTGGAGTATTTCTATAACTTCTAATGATCGCAATACGCGTATTATCAATTCATATGGCAATAGCGGGAAATAATCTGTGAGAAATGAATAGATGTAATTATCATCGTATAATGATTTTGCTTCTATATCCATCTCTCGATGTTGTTGTTGGTGTTCTTGTTTAAAGATGAGGTGGTAATATAACACCTTTAAAATTAAAAATTTAGCAACAATTCCTCATTGAGCACTAAAATTAGATTTACACATACTGAGAGATATATGTAGAGAGCTTAATACATATCCATAACTGCAGACAATTAGATAGTATGGTAATTCATTTTAGCATTATTATAACTTTCCAAGTTGGCTGATATGTCAAATTACTTTGTTTAAAGAGTTTATAGACATTTCATATAAATTTGATCGTGGATTTTGCTTTAATATTATATATTTACACGCACATATTTCTTTTTGCAACCAAGAATCAATTTCATCTTGACTCTATTACTGACTTACCGTTGAAAGAACTAATTCATAATTTTCAAATCAATCTATACTGATATTTAACAGCATTATAACTACTATATCTGAATTAATTAGTCCTCTGACCTCCACCCCTATATACGATTTGACTTTTGTACACAAATCTTCAATTTCATTGGGATTTTCATATACGGAATTCCATTTCATTTTGAACTTTATACCTGTCAACTTAGATTTATGATTTACAATTATAGCCTCAGGATGATCAATATAATCTTCATTCTCATAAGTGTCAAGTTTGGATATCATCGATACCTCTATATATTCCAATGCCTCGTGATTTCTAATAGAAGAGTTGATGTAGAAATCTTTGGGAACTGTATCACAGATTTTAAATAACGTTAGATTTATAGGAAGTCTTATTCTAGGTGATATGTAGTTAATTTCACAATACGTTATCTGTATGTCAGTCAATTTGGGATATTTAGTTGGATTATTGAATACGGCACAATTCTCATTGATTGATGTAATGGGATTGTCCGAAATTTCTAGTACTTCCAAACAACATGGAGGTATAAAATTATCCAAACTAACTATCTCACAATAATCGAAACAAATAGATCTTAACACAGAAAATTCATTGAAATCCAATCTGGTAAATGCAGTCGGATTTCCATAGTCAGATATTTCTAGAGTTCTCAAAGTCTGCTTTGAATATTCAAAATTGTAATCATTTAGAGGAGTTGAACTTTGACAAGAGTTTAATGTGAAATGAACCAAATTTAGTGGAAATTGAATATCATCTGCAAACGCTATGTTAAACCCCCGCAATCTTATCTCTTTCATTCCTAGGGGGATTATTATGTTTTCTGCTAATGCGCTATCTATTTCGTCATCAAAATATTCAAGATTTAATCGTTCTAATGTATCAGGTAATTGATGTAGCATATTATATAACCGATTTCCTTCTATAGTTAATTCAATTAAATTTGAGGGAAGTTTGAAGTTGATTATATCAGCAAAAATAAAATCAACTTGATCAGTAGATTTATCCAAAAGAATCAAATTTTCCAAGTTTGATGGCCAGTCATCAAATGAAGTCAAAATGCACCTTCCTGATTCTATGTCAGGTACGTTTTCATTAACAATAATTTCCAACTTTCTAAGTGATCTAGGCATATGTCTTATATATATATTCTTTCCAGGCTCTTTACTGATTTTGAGATCTTCCAAATTTTTAAATCTTAAGAATTCAACTCCAACATTAACACCAGTTATACATAAGTCAACCAAAGTATCATACCAAGTTGAAAATTTTATACTGGAAAGATTTATACTGTTGGCTAAACGAAATGATCGCAAATCATGATACATTGATAAATCCAAGTTAGTTACCGTTTTATCCATTAATTGATCATTAGTCAAGGTATATATCAACAATTCGCTGACGTTATTAACAATATTCAATTTTAGCAATTGTTTCTGGAAATGATAATCCAAGCGTCGAATTGTTAAAGAAATATCAAAATTATTAGGATATTCTAACAAGGTATTAATAATATGCACTGATTCCAAATTAAACGTAGTGATGAATATTGAAATAGGAATGATGTTATCTTTATTATCATCATTTGTTTCGATTAGTAGATGTATAATATCAAACATTTTCTGAAACTCTAGAAGCAGTTGTTGATATCTTAGTTTCTTCAGTGTATAAGGAATTGTAACGAACATTGCTCTTTCATTGATTTCTTTGAACTTTATACTTCTGATATATTTATCTTTCATTAGACATTGTAATTGTAATACTACTCTAACATGTAATGATCGTAATATGCGAATTATCAATTCATAAGGCAATTGGGGGAAGTAGTCTGTGAAAAATGAATAGATGTAGTCATTATCATAGAATGTTGCTTTGCCATCCAACGCCATCTTGGTGTTGTTGAAAGATCAATTGGTGTTATAAAACGTGTCTATTTATAGACAGCCCATTTAACCTAATTTACCCCAGTATTTGATATCAACCACAAAATTATTCGCGCGTTAGAAATAGATATCTACAGATCTAATTATATGTTATTTTAGTGTATTATAAATCACACTTTATAACCATAGCCAAAGTTGGTTGATATGGTTCAACATTCTAAATATATATACTCTTTATAAATATGTATACGAACTGGTTTTTGAATTGAAATGAGCCTGTTAATCAAAAGATTAAATAAAGTAGTCTTAATTCATTAGGTAAAATGAACCCTGTTTTAATGAATGTTTGTATTCTTCATTACATTTGCTCCTAAATATGATTCTATTTTGCCATACGATTCACGTATTACATATTCATCGGGAATTAAAAATTGGAGGTCTAAATAAGCCAATTTAAGTTTAGGATTAACAAATACTGTATCAGTCTGTACATTATCGTCTTCATCTTCGCAAATTCTAACTTTAGATAAACCAGATATATTTAACACATATAATGATTCATGGTCTCTAATAGAAGAATTTAAATAAAACTCTTTGCCAACATTGTCAGAAATTGTAAGTTCACATAGATTGATAGGAAGTTCAATTTCAGGAGATATGTAGTTAATTTCACAATACATTATCTGTATATCAATCAATTTGGGGTATTTTGTTGGATTATTGAATACGACACAATACTCGTCAATTGAACTAATTGGGTTACACCAAATTTCTAGTATTTCCAAACAAGATGGAGGTATAAAATTATCCAAGCTATAAATTTCACAATTAGAGAAGTTTATTAACGTTAGCTTTGAAAATTCACAGAAATCCAATCTAGTAAAGGGAGCAGGGCTTTCAAACTTGGAGATATTTAGACTTTCTAACGTAAAATTCGAATTCTCAAAGTTGTAATCATTTAGAGGATATGAACTTCGACATGAACTTAATCCCAAATGTTTCAAATTCTGAGGAATTTGTACATATTTACCTTCTTCCATCGTGAAATTTACTTCGGCTAAACTCAATGTCTTAATTCCTAACGGGAATGTAATGTTTTCTGCGATTATTTCATTTGACTTCTCCGTACGACGCCATCTGAATTCTTCTAATGTATCAGGCAATTTGTTTAGAATATGAAAAAAAGGTATACCAGATATACGTAACAGAATCAATTTTGCGGGAAGTTTGAAGTTTCTTATATCGTAAAAATTAGACTTTTCTTTAACAACACGTACCTCATTTAAATCCAAAAGCTGCAAATTTGGTGGCCAATTATCTTTGGAATTCAAAATGCACTTTGCTCGTCCAAATTTGGGTCTATCTCTACATGCCACGATTTCTAACTTTTTAAGAGATTGAGGCATATGTCTTATATATATATTCTTTCCATCTTGCACAGTGATCGATAGATCTTCCAAATTTGTAAATCTCAAGAATTCGATCCCCACATCAACACGATTTAACTTTAAACTTACCAACGTATTATACCAAGCTGAAAATTTTACACTGGAAAATCTTACTCTGTTAAAATCTCTCCTAGTGGCAAGACCAAACTTTTGTAAATTGCGATAGATTGATAAATCCAATTTGATATCAGCTTCTTCCAACAGTTGATCATTAGTGACATACTCTATCCACAAATCGCTGACGTTATTAACAATATCTAATTCTAATAATTGGTTTAGAGCACAAATATCCATATCGCTGATTTTTACTTTAATGTCAAAAGCATTGGAATTCTTTAATATAGAACGAACAATAAGTGCTGAATCCGAACGAAGTTTGTGAATATCTATTGAAATAGGAAATTTATTATTATCATTATCATCATTTGCTTCAATCAGTTGCAGTATAAAAGCAAGCCTTTCTTTTACATCATGAAATCGTTCTTGACAACTTATATGATTCAAATAATATGGAATACTGATACTCAATCCTTCTTTCTTGAATTCTTTGAACTTGATACTTCTGATACCTTTATCTTTAATTAAACATTGTACTTGGAGTATTTCTATAACTCCTAATGATCGCAATACGCGTATTATCAATTCATATGGCAATTGAGGAAAGTAATCTGTGAAAAATGAATAGATGTAGTTATCATCATAGAATGTCATTGTTTCCACTATCGTTCTTGTTGTTGATGATGTAGTAGTAAGATCAATAAAACGTAATTTATGATATCAATAAGACAAGTGTTCGCAATATGTTTTTTGCGCGTTAGAAATAGTGCTTATTTGCAACTTTGTTTATTCGTATTTTTATCTAGAATTATATAATTCAGTTTTCAAATCATTAGTAAAATTGGCCAGTTAAAGAGCAATTATTTGTACCACATCCTCTTCTTCATCAATCAGTAAATATGAATTGACTTTAGCACACAAATCATGAAGTATAGCTTCATCTTCATCGTCATATATAGGATCCCATTTCATTTCGAATTCTATACTTCTCCATTCAGATCTTCGGTTTACAACTACTGGATCCCTTTGTTCCACATTATCTTCTCCTTCATAAATATCAATTTTAGATACCATCGCTATCGATACGACTTCCAATGCTTGATGGTTTTTAAATGATGAGTTTAGATAGAACTCTTTTTCAACATTGTCAGCAATTTGAAATAATTCTAAATTTATAGGAAGCTTTATTCTAGGAGATATGTAATTAATTTCACATTCTGTTATTCGTAAGTCGTTTAACTTGGAGTATTTGTTTGGGTTGTTGAATAAAGCACAATTTTCATCGATTGAAGTTATTGGGTTATAGCTAATATCTAGTTTTTCCAAACAACATGGAGGTATAAAATTATCCAAACTTACAATCTGACATTGCCCTAAGCGAATATATGTTAATACAGAAAACTGGCTGAAATCTAATTTAGTAAAAGGAGTCGAGCTATCATATCGATCTATCACTAGACTTTCTAATGTCAGATTTAACAATTCAAAGTTGTAATCGTTTAGAGGACATGAATTTCGAAGAGCATTCAACGTAAAATTAACCAATTTCAGAGGAAGTTTCATACATTTAGCTTCTTGCATCATCAAATCTACTCCCTTTAAAGTTATATCTTTCATTCCTGACGGAAATATTATGTTTTCCGAAATTGGTCCATATGTTTTTTCAGTCTCAAATTCAATATACAAATCTTCTAATGTATTAGGCAATTGCTGTAGTATCTTATATAATGGTTTTCCTTTTATTTTTAACGTAATTAATTTTGATGGAAGTTTGAAGTTTTCTAACTCTTTGAAAATAGACTGTTCTTCGCTCATATACATATCATTTATACTCAAACTCTGCAAATTTGAAGGCCAATCTCTAAATGAGCTGATAATGCACTTTCCTGATCGATCTGAAATTGCAAAAATTTTCAACTTTTTAAGCGACCTAGGCATATACTTTATATATGTATTCTGTCCAGGTGTCATAGAGATTATGAGATCTTCTAAATTTTTAAATTTTAAGAATTCATGTCCAACATTAACGCCCCTTAGATCTAAACTAACCAAAGTATCATACCAAGCCCAAAAATTCACCCTGGGAGATCTTGACTGAGTGGAAAGACGAAACTTTCTTAAATTAAAAAAGGCTGAATAATCCAATTTAAGTTTGGCTTGATCCAGCGCGGAATACTCGTTCCAGTCTGATATTGATAAATGACTAACGTTATTAATAAAATCTAGTTTTAGAAGTGGTTTCTGAAAACGAAGATCGATCTGCAGAATTTTTAATTCAATATCGTAATTATCAGGATATTGTAACAAATTATCGACAATATTTATTGATGTCAGTCTAAAAAAGGGAATAGAAATGGAAATTGGGATTATATTATATTTATTATCATCGTTTGTTTGAATTGCTTCGTGTATACTAGAAAGTTTATCAGCTAGATCCAGAAACTCGTCTACCGTCCATTCATCAGGAACACTTATGTGCAATCCTTTTTTCTTGATTTGTCGGAACGGGATACTTCTGATATGTTTATCTTTAATTAAACATTGTAATTGGAGTATTTCTCTAACTTCTAACAACAGTAATATGTGTATTATCAATTCATGAGGCATTCTAGGGAAGTAATCAGTGAAAAATGAATTGATATAACCATCATCAAACAACGGTGACCAACTTGGCATGATTGGATAGCTTATGATACTTGATCTGCTTGACGTGAATGACATCTCTTCTTGTTGTTGAAAGATCAATTGGTGATTTTAAATAGTGGTTGAATATTTAAGATAATTTACCCCAAAATTGTTTGACAAAAAAAGAGGTTAGCAACAATTTTTTCGCGCTAGCTATTTATTCTACAGATCTTTTTACACATTATGTTTAACTTTGTTTATTCATTAATATATGGATCCTTTACCTTTTTACTATTTCATATAATCTAGTTGAGACCTAAATCCTTTTTAACCATAGCTTTACAGATTGGATGGTATGATGCTTCGTTTTGTTTAAAGTATTTAATGGCCAATTCATGATTGACAGAGTTTAATAACACGTATCCTGGTCTAACAAACTTCATTCTTCCTACTGTACCTAACCATTCACCTAATCTTGGTAAAAACTCTTCTCTTTCTGCTGTAGCTTGTAACACATACCATCTGAATAATACTTCAGCATTCAAGGTTTCATCATATTCTTGATAAATTTGTTGCATTATTTTTAAACCTTGATGATAATCTTTCCATTTAAAATCAGAACGTTTATTAAATGAAATCAAAGTTTCCAAAAATACCACTGATTGATTGGCATTGAAGTTTTTAATATCTTCTTGAGAAAATTCTTGACTAAGATTATGACTTGAAGTAGTGATTTTAGAAAACCATTTATCAGCTAAATCATAACATTGATCAGCAATACTAGTATCGAATTTAGGATCAACTGGTGGCATACCTGGTTTATATAACCAAGTATCCCAATCAATGGAATTTAAAATATCATGTTTATCATTAAAGAAATCATAAAGACAATCGATGAATTGATAAGAATCCAACGATGTATATCTAAATTTCTTAAAATAATGAGGAATGAATTTATCAAATACTTTCTTACCACCTAATTTTTGTTCAATATGAAATAATAAATTAAACCCTTTTTCATATGGAACACTTGAAAAGGTATCATCAGGATCATCGCCTTGTTTTAAATCTTGAATTAAAGTAGAATAAATATCAACCTTATCACCCATGGCTTTAAGATTATTTTCCAAATCACTCCAACCAATAATAGCATTGAATTGTCTCATGGCTTCACCATATTCAAATGGATCCATAGTGATTTCTTTTGATTCTCTAGCTTCGGCAATAGCAATGCCTTCAAGAATTCTTCTTTCAATATAAACGGTCCAACCTTCATTTAACCAAAAATGTTCCCATGAACAATTAGTGACTAAATTCCCTGACCAAGAATGAGCTAATTCATGAGCCAAAACACTAACTTGAGAACGATCTTTACATATTAAAGTTGGAGTTAATTGACATAAATTTGGAATTTCCATCCCTCCATATGGGAAGCTTGATGGTAAAATTAAGGAATCAAATCTTAACCATTCATATTCAAAGATTAAACTTTCAGCAATTTGAATGAAATTTTCCATATCTTTTTCAAATTCCCATTGACAATCTTTAATTTTAATAGGTTCAGAATAAACATCTGATCTTGGACCTATCTTGGCATTGACAATATCACCCGAAGCAATTGATATAAGGTATGATGGGATAGGAACAGGTTGATCATAATAATAAACATCATCAATTTGGTTCACTGGTCTACCGGATAATAAAGTAAAAAGTGGAGATTTAGCGGATAATTTATAAGTTGATTTTATAGCTGGGGTATCAAAACAAGGAAATAATGAACGAGCATGGATAGCTTGACATTGACAGAATAAGTATGGTTCTTTCTTTCCATCGGTGGCTTCTTTATCTAAGAATTGTAAAGCTGTGCATTCTTCCGTAGTTTCAAATTCAATAGTGATTATTATATTGTTGTGTGCTGATGCAGATGGAATATTAATCGATAATTTTGAACCCAATGGTCCAGCTCTATCATGTAAAGTGAAATCCTTAGACGATACATCATTGACTTTGATGGAATGTATGATTAAATAAGAAGTATCTAATTCAACTTTTGAAACTTGGTTTAAAGCTTTTAAATGATATTTAACTGTACCAACACATTTCTTGTCATCAAAGTTAACATCGAAATGTAAATCAGTTTGATCGATAGTAAAATTCTTATAGTTTGATAATGTCGATGGATCAATCTCGGGCGATTGAGCAGGACGATGATATTTGATGATATCCATGATGATTTAGATCCCCCCTTGAATGTAGAATATATGGGAAGAAAACAGACACGAAAGAGGGAAAAAAAAGTATCACGTACTGAGTTTTTTTAAGGGTATAAAAATTATATCTCAGACTAGAAGTAAGAGATAGTGATTGATGCCGTTGATACAAAGAAAACAAATATAATTAAGACGAAAGAACTTACAATAATTACATAAATGATAGAAACACATCTTCCAAAAACAGACAGATTAATGGCAAAAAATTCCTAAATTCAAAAGGCATTTGAAACCATTCATTGTTTTTGTGGTTGGAGCCGTGTATGTAACTGTAACCAACTTTATTGTATGGACTTTTCTTTTTTTATTTTGACAGATGAAATTATTTTGTGGTTATCCTATTTTTTGAGCCATTACTCCTTAGACAAAGATGCGAGGGATAGCCCATTGTGTTTAGCAGTTTCAGTTTAAGTTTCAGTTACCACATATAAATCAATCTTTATCGTACAGACGTTTTAATAACAATTTTGTGTACCTGAATTTAAAAAATGAATAATCATATATTATAAAATGAAAGATAATAAATAAAGCTAATATACAGAGCAATAGAATCATAAATTAATTTATACCAATACCAGCATTTAATTTGGCATTTTCAAGAGCTAACTTTTCATGATCTTGTAATTCCTTTCTTGACACTGTATTATGTCTTGATCTTGGGATCGATGGTACAGTCGTTATGGAAGCTTCTCGATCTTTACTCAATATAGGAGTAATGGAATGTCTCTTGGCGCTACTTGCTTCGCCCTCTTTATTAACAAGTTGAATATTATTAACTTTTTCCTTCTTGATCACTTTTACAGGACCATTGTTCAGTTCATCTATTGATTTAACTGGAACTTCATTGATGGGTGATTTCTCTTTCTTAATTGGAGGCACCAGTGAAATTACTTCTTCTTCGTCATCCTCATCTTCATCTTGTCCTTCTTCATCTTCATCTTCTTCGTCATCATCCTCTTCTTCTACCTCTTTATCATCATCTTCTCCCTCTTCTTCTTCTTCTTCTTCTTCCTCCTCCTCTTCCTTCTCTTCTTCTTCTTCATCATCTTCGACATCAGCAGGTCTTCCCAACTTTTGACTCACGATCTCCACAATCTCACTCCATGATCTCATACCACCCATTGAAATACTACCATCACCAGTAACGCATTTTTCAACTGGTTTTAAAATCGTCATATTAGGATAAGTCTCTTTTAAAGTACCAATTTGAGTCTTGGTGATAGGATGAGCATACATTGCATTCGTCAATGCCAATGCTGCCACAATTGGTTTAGGAGAGATTAAATTATTAGTCAAAATAGTTGAATCATGAGTATTTAAATTCGTATTTGATGAAGATGAAGGTGGGGGTGGTTGTTGTTGATTATGAAGTTGAGAAAATCCTTGGGGGATAGGCCATAAATGTAATAAATTAGTTAATAAATTATCCGATAATCCAGTGATTAATTTCGCCATGGTATTAGCTGACAATGGACAAATTAATAATACATCAGTCCATCTTTGTAAGTTAAACGCTAAGAAATATTGACTTAAAATATTAGGATTTATTCTAGGTCTGAAATTGGCTGGTAATGATTGAAATTGAGCAATATGTTTTTGAAATGGACTGGTTAAGAAATAATTCGCATCATCATCACTATACCATACTTTAACTTGTAATTGTTCGAATTTATATAATTTTTCCGAAAGAAACCATTCAGCTGATTTAGTTAATATAACTTGAATTTCTAATTTATCATGAGTATATAATTCAAATAATTTTTCAATGATAAGAAAGATATTTTTATGAATTGAAATACAACCAGTGATTCCAATTAATAAATGTAATTTATTATCATTTTGTTGTTGTTGTTGTTGGATTTGAATTTGTTGATTAATTAAATCTAATTCAGTAGTGGGGGATAAAGTTTTCTCTTCGGGATGAGCAGTAGCAGCAGCTGATGATGATAATGAACTATTATTTGAATGACGTAAACTTTCAATATATCTTTTATCATCATGATCAGAATATCTTAAAGAATTCATTCTTGAAGGTGGAAGTAAGGGTGGTGAAGTGGTAGTATTTAAGATTGGAGGACTTACTGAGCTTCTATTAAATGCATTATTGGAAACAAGAGGAGTATTAATACTTCCCATATGAGAATGAGCAAATTGTTCATCAATATTTGGAGTTGCCATGCCTTTATCATTAACTCCTAATAATCCATGTTTGTTGGGACTAACATTATCTACTTCTACTAAGAATGAAGGATGTTGAGGTGGTGGAGGAGTAATTATATCATGATTTGGAGGAGGATGTAATATAGAAGTTACTGTATGAGGAGGGTGAGTCAGTATAGGAGGAATATCTTTAATATTTTCTCCTGTTGTAGGAACTGATGATGGAGATAAACACGATTTTAATGTAGGATCAGGTTTAACTTTTAATAATGGACCCTTTTTAGCAGTATTGGTGGTTGAAATACTTGTCTTTTTGATATTATTATTAGTACTTGGGGTTGAATCAGATGGGTTTTCAGCAATAGTAGGTTCAGAAGGAGCATTAATGGATGAAGTTACGATACCTGGTTTATGAGGAATAGGGGAGTGTAGTACAGAACATCCTGAAGATATAGAAGTTGTGGTGGCGCTTGAATCAGCTGAGCTTAATTTCTGATCAGGAATTGCAATAGTTAATTTTTGTGTGGAGGATGAAGGGTCTAAATGTGATGATGAAGATGGTTGATCTGCAGATGTAGGTGGTAAGGGTATGGTGGTACCTGGGGAAACTGACAGTTCAGCAATGTGATTGGTTTGATCAGTTTGATCCATGGTGGGAATGATTATAGCAAATATAAAATATCAAACAATAGGGAATGTAAATGTCACAAAGGACAGAAAAATAAGGATTATTTATGAATATTATGTAAATAACGATAAAGATTCAGATACAAGACACTTTTAGATATGATTGATGGAATGTCTGATCTAATATGATGGCTGATACAACTTTAGATTATGATGAATTGGTTGATAAAAGTTGACGATGACTAAATGAATGTTTTGATAAATTATTTGGTGATGATGATATAATTAGAGATTTTTTTTTTAAAGAACTGATATAATTTTGCAGAGAAAATGAAGTCACGTGTGTGGGGTGATCCCCCTAAATAAATTTGAAGTAGAATAATTTGAATTTGTGGAGTATAAATTGGGTGACATATTATTTATTTATTTAAGATGCTTTAACGGCTAAATATTAATTGATATAACTACGAATATGTCAAATTAGAATGTATAGGACAAATTTGACTTCTTTCAATCTAGTTTGTATTTCGGCATCTCTATTTCACTGATGACCCTACTATTCCGTCTACAGCTAATTCTGATAAGTGTGTAAGTTTCTTGTAACATAGTGATTATCAGTAGATGTCACAAGGACAATCAATCATACACCTGTTGTTTGAAGATCTTTTCATTTGTGTATCGTACCTTCAATTACATAATTCATATACATTCTTCGAATGCACCCATTTTTACGAGCGTTTAACTTGGAGTATACGTAACTATTTATACGAATCATCAATATAGATAAATCGAACTTTAGGTATGATCTATTATAATTATAATTAGAGATTAAACTATAGATAAACACCGTTTTGCATCCGCCTAAATCCTAAGTCGACTCGTGACCATGTGTTTTAACGGCACGGTAATAAATAAAAAAGTCATTACTAAACCCGGTATAAGATAATTAGGGAGAAAAAGAAATGTGGTTAGGGAACAAATCCCCCTTTCTTTTTCCGATAGTGAGAAAAGTCCCGTCCCGGCTAATTAAACATTCGGTAACAAATCATCAATGACAATGGATGGCAGATAAAAATATCTGGGGGAGACAGAGGAGAAGTTAAAGTAGGCTTTGTAATAGACTTAGTATCGAAATGTAGATCAAATTCCTCCTTATTTTCATATCATAGTTAATATTTAATTACAAACTTAACTACTGATCACCGTTAAATCTTACCTAGTAATAGTAGTTAATCATGTAAGGAGCAACCATTCATCTTGTCGGTAAATGAAAATCACATTTAGTGACACTCCTCTCCCTAAAATAAAGAGAGCGCGTTAAACTTAAAGTCATAAAAATTCAGATGCAAATTTTGACACAATGAAGTTTTTTTTTTTTTGTAGCACTTACCCTCCCACCTCCACAAATTAACTCCAAACAGACTGTGATTTTAAATGGGATATATATATAAATTTCATCCAATCCTTTAAATAAATTATATTTGCCACTAGTTTATATCTATCAACTGTTCTATTAATTAACACCTCAAAGGTTCAATTTAAGTTTGATATATAAAATGGCTCCACCAACAAAGACTCATTCAGTCTCGTCTGAAGAATCATTCACTAAAGTTGATCAAAGTACCACTATTGAAAAAAAGCAACCATTCGTTGCTCCTGATAATACCAAGATCTTGGAATATACTCCATTAGATCAAATCCCCATTGGAGTTCAAAAATTAAAGGATGCCTTCCATACTACTCAAAAGACTCATTCAGTTCAATATAGATTAAATCAATTAAGAAATGTCTATTTCAAAATTAAAGATAATATTGATGAAATTTGTGAAACTTTAGAACTTGATTTTTATAGATCAGCTTCTGAAACAAAGAATTTAGAAATCGTTATTGGTTTAAATGAATTGGTTCATACCATGAGTAGTTTACATAAATGGGTTAAACCTGAACCCGTCACTGATTTACCTGTTTCATTACAAACTAATCCAATTTATATTGAAAAAATCCCTCTTGGTGTCGTTTTGATTATTTCTCCATTCAATTATCCATTCTTATTATCTTTATCAGCTATCATTGGCGCACTTGCTGCAGGTAACGTAGTTGTTTTCAAACCAAGTGAATTGACTCCTAATTTTGCTAAATTATTCACTCGATTATTATCTGAATCCCTTGATGAAGATATTTTCTTCACTATTAATGGTGGTATTGATGAAACTACCAAAGCTTTAGAACAAAAATATGATAAAATCATGTATACCGGTAACAATTTCGTTGGAAGGATCATTGCTAAAAAGGCTGCTGAAACTTTAACCCCTGTGATTTTAGAATTAGGTGGTAAATCCCCTGCTTTTGTCTTAAATGATGTTAAAGATTCAGATATCCCTGTTATTGCCAGAAGAATCATTTGGGGTAGATTCACTAATGGAGGTCAAACTTGTGTGGCTGTTGATTATGTTTTAGTTCATGAATCAATCCATAAGAAATTAGTCGAAGAAATTAAACGTATTATTGACGAAGAATTTTATGCTGAATTCAAAACCTTGGATAATTCCGATGATTCATCTACTATTACTCCAAGTTATACTCATGTCATTCATGATCGTGCGTTTAAAAACTTATCCAATATCATCACTACCACTAAAGGGGATATCATTACTGGAGGTGAAGTTAATTCCACCACAAGATTCATAAGTCCAACTGTGATTGATAATGTTTCATGGGATGATTCCTCCATGAAAGGAGAAATCTTTGGTCCAATCTTACCAATCATAAAATATTCCAATTTATCTACTGCATTGGATGACTTAATAAGTAGTGGTCATGATACTCCATTAGCTCAATATATCTTCACCAGTGGTAAGACTTCTAGAAATTCAAACCCTCAAGTTAATCAAGTTGTAACTAAAATCAGATCAGGAGCCACCATGATCAATGATGTAGTGTTACATGTTGGTTTAGTCAATGCTCCATTTGGTGGAGTAGGTAATTCCGGATATGGATCCTACCATGGTATTTATTCCTTCCGTGCCTTTACTCATGAACGTACAACCTTTGAACAAAAATTATGGAATGATACGGCTTTAAAAGCAAGGTATCCTCCTTATAATGATAAAAAGAATAAATTAATTGAAACTTCCCAAACTAGTTATGCTGGTAATGTTTGGTTTGGTAGAACTGGTGATGTTAGAATCAATGGTCCAAATTCAATCTTTAGTGTTTGGTATGGATTTGTAGGTGTAACTAAATTAGTTAATGATTTAATTAATGCTCTTTAATTGTGATAATTTTATGATATGTGTGTGTGTGAGTTCTTTTCTTTAGTTTTTGTTTTGTTTTATATTAATTAATTTATATTATTATTATTCTAAGTTATATATATTATTAAAGGAGATTATTATGTAGATAAAAGGTATCCCATATATACGCAAAAAATGAAGCATGACAATTATAATAAAAAAAGGAACATTAAAAAGGGCAAAGATTAATTAGAGATACCTTTTGACATAGGGACAAATTGATTATAAGCAAGTAAAAAAAAGGAAATCAAACAAGCAAAGGCAAAAATAAATAAATAGACTATTAGTAATATGTTATGAAAAGGCGGATGGATGAGGGACGAAGGAAGTGAGTTAGTGAGTCACCTATTCTGAGATGAAGGTAACTTCAGTAAAACCAATACCCTTTTCATTAACTTCATTAGTTTCATTAGATTCATTAATTGTAATATTAAATTCATTACAATATTGATAAATATAAGGTTTAGTACCTGCAACTCCACTGACGATATTTTTAACAAATTGAGGAATTTCAGCCATAACATCAACTCTTTCAACTAAAGTAGTTAAATCACCGGAAACTGAAGCAACTGGGATACCGATATCTTCTTCTTCTGGTTTGGTTTCTTCTTTTGATTCTTCTGGAGCAGTTTCACTTTCTTCAACAACTTCTTCTTCAGTAACAGTTGGTGGAGTGGATGAATCGAATTTCTTATCTTTAACATAATTGAATTCAATAGCTTTTGGAATTGACCATCCAATTTCATCAACAACAGAATCTTTATGAACCACTTCGTTATTAATAGTGGCATAAAGGACTTTATCATTAGTTGAAATAATTCCAATATTAACTTTTGTATTAGCATAAGATGGAGGAGTTGTAAATTCCATAGTTACAGCTGAATAATTTTCAGAATGGAAATTCATAAAATTCCAAGCTTTAGCAGCATGATGAGGTTTCATACCTTGTAAAGCCATAACAAACATTGTATAACCATTAATATCTAAAACTTCTTTAGTTTCACTATTAACGATATTACCTACTACTTTACATCTTGGCCAAAATAAATGTCTCATTGAACCCCAAGGTTCATTTTTATCATCACCATAAAGAGTTGTACCATCTTTACCAAAGATTATACCAGGAGCTAATTTTGAAATTTTAAAATCAACAATTAAATCTTCATTAACGGTTGAATCAATTATAATTTGTTGATTATTTTCATCGAATTCAATTTTAAAATTATCAGCATAAAAATTTGATTGTTTAATTTCAAAATTATCTAATTTTGTTGAATGCCAAATATTTTGACTTGGATCTTTAGTATTAAATATTCTACAAGTGAATTGAGCAGTTGTATGAACACCCATAACATTAGAATGAATAACTTGAAGGAATCCAACTAATCCATTAGCTAAATCAGTGAAATAAAAAGTTTGAGTTTCAACATTAGTATAACTTGGAGATTGCCAATTGAAATCATCAATGGTAGTTTCTCTATATATTGGTAATTGTTCTTGATTGATGGAATCAGCAACGGTATAGATGGCTTCTCTACCATATTCTGGTTCGGCGGTACCTGCTACAGCAGAAAGACCTGATTGAACCCACTTTAACATGATGATTTGAAAATTTTAAACGATTGAAACAAAAGGGTTGCTCTTTTACACAGAATTTGCCGTCAGTAATTGATGAAAAGTGATGACTGGAAAAGTAATCAGATAAATGGTAAGGATTGGATTAAAAACTACAATTCTTTTCAAATGAACAAGGGATGCCTTTGAAGGATGGTTGGTTGGTTGATTGGTTGATTGGTTGGTTAGATGATTGTTGATTGTTTGTTGTTGTGTAAGAAAAGGGAAAGAAATTTTTTTGTCTTGTATATTGTCTGGTTTTGTCTTGATTATTTGTCTGTCTGATAAAATATATTTTTTTGAGATGTCTGTCTGTCTGATTTTTATTTTTATTTTCAGTGTCGGACTGTCGGTGTCTGATTTCAGATGATTTGCTCCTGTTTATAAGGGTGTTTAAGAAATAGTCAATTAGTGTGTGTGTTATATACAGGAGAGAGCTATAATATCAGATGATTACTTATTAGTATAACATAATATATACATAGATGATGATGATATATATGAAACAAATTGATGGTTATTTATAATAATGTTATGTTGTATTTAAATGTAGTGAGATCACCAAGAGGTGATATCATTAGTAGAATAGGATCTATATATAGCATATTAAGTATAGTATAGTATTATTCAATCACTGATGAATGATGGTGGGTTATAATGTAATGGAGTGATGTAATGATGTTTTAGATTCTAAGTGAGGATTATATAATTATATTCACAACCATTACATAATCTGATTTTAGTGTCCTGACAGTTTAGTGTGATTCATTCAAAAATCTCTCACCATTTTCTCAGTAACACTTTCCCGCTTAATAAATAATAATATAAAATGATCAGCACTATTAACTATCAGATATTATTTATTTATTCATCATAGTTATCATCATTCATCAACAATTTCACATAATAAGGATATATATAATACACAGTAGAGGTAACCAATGGTTGACCCTATACCATAGAATAATCATAACCTATCCAAGACCAAACAAGACAAGACAAAAGTTCGGCTTAAACATTCACTATTTGTCTCTTATGAGAATTCGATTTTGTGTAGCTATAAAACCTTCAACTGATTAAAATTCAAATTTAATTAGTAACGTATTTAAATTTACTTAACCACCACCACCCACACTAACTACTACCATTACCTATTCTATTTTTAATTAATTTGAAGATATATCATGGTTACTACTATGCAATCTATCAAGTAAACATTGTACGATGAATAGAATAGTAATAGTACTACTTACTCTGTTATTATTATTACTAAATTAGTATAAACTAAATACATACTCTTTACTTTACACACACCTCATAAACCGTAAATAATTTTGTGATTTCTTTTTTCTTTTTCTTTTTTTTTTATTTTTTTTTTATTTTTTTTTTTTTGGTTTAATTTTCATAAACCACCTCTTCATCTTTCTTGTTCGTCATTCCTTAAATTCAATTCTTATTTCATTCTTTACTTTTCATTCTACTTCATACTTCTTTTTCTTATCATATCATATCACTCAACCATCTCCATTCGACTTCACATATCCACTATCATCAACCATCATAGACATACCATCCCTTCCATTCTTCAATTACGTTATTATTAATCTGCATATCTATTCCCATTGATACCCAACCTTTTTTTTCTTCCTGCTTACCCACTCACTCACTCCCTCACTAAAATTAGTTAGTGATTCCCCCCTCCCATGTCTCACACTAGCATTATTAATCTACTACCACCTCCTCCACCACAATCATCATCTACATCCACTCCCATTTCAATCGCATTAAAATTAAATAATATCATACTAGATCATTTCAATCATTGTCTATCAAAATCAATAACTCCAAAACTCCTAGTTAGAAATGGTCAATATGTATGTAATTTATCAGCTTTTTTATTCCTCATTAAGATTTAAATTTAAATTTATTTTATTTTTATTTTTATTTTTTTAGTGAGATTTTATCTTTTTTTACTTACCTCGTCTTCCTCCGCACTTAAAAAGAGTCCCACAAAATATCTGTTTCTTTTTTAGTTTTATTTTGTCTTCCCGCCGCTCCACAACCTCGCGACGCGCGGTAATCTTTCAATCTCCCCCCCTCCCCCTTCACTAATTTTACCTACATTACCCCCCTCGCTACTCACCCTCCCTCCCCCTTCCGTTATAGGCTAGATTATCCTGATCTTTATCTAATTTAGGATATATCTATATCCTATTAATATCATAAACTCTAAAAAGTGCTTTGGAAGACAGTGAGTAATACACCTTAGTTATTGTGATTCATTCTTACTAACTTTTCTTTTAGTTTGTGAAAATATCTGATGATGTGATATTCCCCTGTAATACCATACCTGAAAATTTAAATTTCGATATATATTCAACTAATCCTAATGATAAAGGGGATTTTCAAGGTAGAATTGAAACTAAATTGAATGTTTTAAATGATTCAAAGAATATCAAACAAATATCAAAATTAAAAGTTTCACCATCTTCTACTACTACTAATTCATCTGCATTTACTACATCTTCCCTCCCTGCATCTCCTAAAATTTCCTTAACTCCAGCTTCAACGACAACGACATCTGCAACGACAACTTCACGACTTAATAATGGTCCTAAACGATCATCATCATCATTGCTCCCATTTAAGATCAATTCCAATGATTCAAATTCAGAAATCACTCGGAAATTCTTAAATTTAATCGCATTGGGTCCAATCACCGAATCAACCATCATGAAAACTCTTCACATCACCGAACATCATGTTGATTTAATTGCAGATTTGATCTCAAATCTATGTCAAATCTATAATCCTAGTGATTCATTCATCCAAGATTCAAGATTCCCCAATCAAGAATTATCCAATATTTCAAATTCATCAGATGATGATCAATTTAATTTGATTCCAAAATATATCTTGAAGGATAAATCATATAAGGATTTAAAACCATGGAAATGGAATTTCACCGACTTTGAAAGAGATCTAATCATCAATAATATAAATCATTCCCTAACAAGATTAGGATATTCTGAAACCCATCCATTGCGGAATAAAATCTGTTTGAATCCCGAATTGAATAATAATGATGCATCAAGTTCGTCTTCAGATGATGATAATCATAATGGTCTGAGTAATAGTTCAAATGGGAAAACTCATAAGAAACAATCATCTCTTGGGGGTGGGATTTTAATATCGAAGAATAATAAAAGCTTACCATTCCGGAAATCTCAAACTGATCTGCCAAAACTTTCAAATCTTAAGAGAGTTGGTGGGTCAGGTCATACGAATTTATCTACTGGTGGGAATACATCTGCATTAGGATCACCTAAACCAAAGCCATCTACTGGAGTGACTTCAACTACAACAACATCATCAACTACAGCTGCATCGACTAATACGAAGTCTGCTGCTGTTAAGAGAAAATTATCCATTTCTTCAGCATCATCTTCGGCATCGAATTCATCTGATGAAGAAAGACATAGTAAACGTCCTAAACCAGATTCATACACCTCCCCATCATCAGAAGAAGATGATTCTCATACAACTAATGTCAGTGCCCCTCCTATGGTAACAACTACTACTTCAAGACCTAATACTCCTAATCCAACTACTAAAAAATTAGATTATTATACCAATTTGGCCGTTAAATTTAAATCCAAATATAAAGAATATGAATCATTATATAATCAATTGAAATCAAATTCTCCCGTCAAGAATCCTTCACTTCAATCATCGAATAGTAAGAAACAATTAATGAAATTATTAGAATTACATACCACATTAGCCCAATGGAAGAAGACACTTTGGGATTATAATAATAGTAGTTTAGGGAAATCATCCATCAATGGACTTTCAAAACATAAAAAGGCACAAAGTTTAAGTCCGGCCATCTTAGATAATAGTCAATTATTCCCTCCTAGACCTCCTTCACGACAAATTACTCCTTCAATTCCTCAATCTGGGTCATCGAAATTAAGTCATAAACATAAATTATCCCTTGATTATTAATGTTGACTCTTATTGCACAGTTTAAAAATAATACTCATACGTATATCCCTTTTGCATCTTAACTCTATTTAATCATATTTTATACATACATTATATTAAAGTACATAGAGATATATATTAATTATACTAAAAAATATATCCGTTTTTCTTTTTTAATAATTAAATAAACTTTTATAATACAAACATCTACTTTGTAATAAATCCCAATCATTTTGAGTAATCCACATTTCATTAACCACTTTTAATCTTCCATATACACTTCCACCTTTCCAAGTTAACATTTCAGGATCAAATTCTCTTGGGGGTGGTAAAATATTAATAGGTAAGATTGTCCCTTGATCATACAATTCATCAATTACATCGAAATTGATCTTAAGACTGGCTCGTTTGTTGATATCGGCAAGATCTTCTTCGGTAAGGGTTATATCGTCTAGATTTGGCTCACCTGATGATGTTGAAGTGGTGGTGGTTGTAGTCGTCGTCGAAGTAGATGTAGTGGTGGTTGTATTGGATGCACTGGATGCTGGTGGGGCACTTCCATCTTCGGGTTCTTCTGGTTTAGTTGATTCTTCATCGCCATTTTCTTGAGGTTGGGATTTCTCTTCTTCTTCTTCTTTTTGTTCTTCCTTTTGTTGATGATATTTAGATAATTTTAATTCATCAATTAAAGATTTTTTAATTTGTTCATTTTTAGCAATTTCATGTTGAACAAATTCAATTATACTATCTAAATTTGAATTACTTAAAATCTTTGGTCTCCAGATATTAATTCTATCATTTAAAATTAAATCAAATCCATTAATCTTCCCAAATCCTCCTCCTACAATCAATAAATTATCATAAAATCTTTTAATCTTACCTAAATCAGTAGTCAAACCTGCATTTGTGATTGATTCAATAATAGCTTTCTCTAATGGAATTTCATTAAGAACGATAGGACCTGAATCATCTTCAGTATTTTTATTATTATTATTGAGATTACTATTACCTGCATTTGGACCACCAGTGGCAACTTCATCATTCTTTTTCTCTTTACATAATTTTAATACTAAGTCTTCATCAGTTAAATCTGAGTATGATAATTTAGATTTTAAAATTTGTTGAGATCTGGAAGTGGGATTATTTAATTTCCCATTATATTGATCAGTAGCAGGAGGGAATAATTGTCTTCTTTTTTCTTTTGCTTCTTCATCTTCCTCCTTTATAGATGATTGTATAGATGGGATTGAACTGATTGATAACTTATCAGGTTGGAAAAATTGAGGATAAAATAATCCTAATGGTGCTAACATAACTTCATCAAACACTTTAAATTCAAACTTTTCTGTCATTTCAAATGGTTTCCGTTTATAGAAATTATATAATTGAACAGCAATATCTGCATCTTGAAATGTAACGAAATTATGTTTTAAATCATTGGCTAATTCCCAATCATCAATTCTACTACTTAAATCGATATTCTTATAAGGAAATGAACTTTCCAATAATAATTTAATAAAACATTCTGTGATTTGATCTCCACCATAATTCATCAAGATACGAGAATCATTAATAATCATTCCTTCATCAACACAACTAATGGAAGTAGTTTGAGATCCAACATCTATAACACATGCCGTAGTAGCTCCGGCTCCAAATGTAGCGGCTACTGATTCTTGAATGATTCCAACACGACCAAATCCCACAAATTTAAATAAGATTTCACACCAAGTTTCAACATAAATTTTATCATATAAATCAGGAATAATTAACATTACTTTCAAATTTAATAGATTTTTAATATCATTTTGTCTTAATGATTCAATGATAATATTAGCTAAATCTCCTAAAATTTCTTGTGGAGATTCATAATCAGTAGATTCTTTATTAAAATTACCATTAACAATAGGATATCTTAATTTCCAATTACTTGAATGTTTCTTTGAATTTAAAGGTAATTTTAATGCATCCTCTCCAACAAAAAATTTCTTATTGGAAAACTCTCTACTTCTTAAATCATGCCATTCCTTTTTATAAGGATCATTATGATCTGGTATTCTTTCCAGTTCTTGCTTTTTATTATAATTTGCTACTGTTTCCCGTGAATTTGGTAAAATTCTACGTTTATAATATCTCATTCTGGCTCTGAAATCTTTAGTTACCACACCTTTTATTTCATCAAATTCTGGTCCAAAGAAGATTTCCTTTTCATCTCCATCTTTGGCATTTTCTCGATATTGACGAATTGGTTTAGGTTCATTTGATATAGTCTTTTCATGAGTTGGAACTGCAATAATGGTAGGGATGGTTTGTGGAACGGCATCTGTACCTCTACCAATCCTTATAAATGATGAACCAGGGTGTATTATTATAACATCATGACCAATTTTGGCTTTTTCTTCAGTGACTTCTTCATTTTCATTTTCTTCTTCATCATCTTCATCTTCGTCATCATCAGCTGTTGCTGCTGCGGCAGCTGATGCTTTCTTTTTATTCATTTCAACCTCAATATTATTAAGATCGAAATCATCAAAGTTTTTAACATCATTACCATTATTAGATCCATTAGTATTGGTTTGGTTTTGACTTTCGGCCTTTTTAAGATTTTTTAAATTCTGTTGTTGTAATTTTTCAGCTCTCCAATTTCTGACAAATGAAACTTGTTCATCCTTTTTTAAATATTCTGTATAATAATTCTTTTGATTAATCAATGGAATGGTCTTAACACTAGTTAATCCAAATCCATTTTGTTCTTCAAATCTTCCTATCCCTGTCTTTTTTAAATTTTGAGCTATAGTAGCTGCTGCTTTAATTCTACCTTCTTTACGACGTTGCAAGACTTCAGCACTTGGTTTCTTACCCGCTACAGGGCCAGGTTTATGTCTTTTAGATGGATCTGAGCTCCCATTACCATTAGGTCCGTCTTCATCTCTTTCTATTTTAATAGGTGATGAATTTTCATCGTGTACTATATCGATTGATGATGATGGTGGTATCGGTGGAGGTGTTGACATTATTTCTTTGAGATTTAGAAATGGGTTAATATGTCAATATAGTATATGGTGATGGTAAGGGTTGAATTGTCCTTGATTGATTGGGTGAAAGGATGGTTGGTTGGATGATTGATTCTATATGCTATCCCAATTGCTACTTTGAATGATGAATTAAATTTTTGTTGTGGTTGCCATTTCTTGTGCAGCGGTCGTTGACAACTTTCGTTCTGTTACACTAATTTTTTTTTTCTCTGATCTCGTTTGGTTTGGTATCGCGTAACCATAAAATATAGCATAATAAAATGATAGTGTAAATGATTGACAGTTATAACTGTCTTGTAATGGATATGTCAACATCTTGTCTAGTTTGAAATGGATTAAACTTCAATTGTTGATGGTTACACTTGTAGCTTTTTACATATCTAGGAGCTGACATAGTAAGTAACAACAGATATGAAGGTATTAGGTTGAGGCTTTAGATGAACTTTAATACATGCCTACAATCTAACTATGCTTAGAAGACAACTTTTAAGTAGTCGATAGTAACCTGTTAAAACTTATAAAATAAACAATCTATACCTACATACACGTTACTAGAACTAATAAATAACAGGTAGTAATTGGATGCAAATCAAGTATAGAATCAAAAATAGTTGCAAATACATATACCAGTAAAGTTAAAAATTGTTTCTATATTTGAACAAGTCTGGTTATATCAACACGAAAAGGAAAGAACCTCAAAAATATAATAACGATATAATTATTGCAACCAAATTATACCATTTGCGATTTAGGTTCCGTTCACTTCCATGGTTTTACTAGTTAAATAATGTCGTTACCTCGATTTTGAATATTTGAGAACCTGTCAAGTAAAGAGTTGATTTCTATTCTTTTGCCCCCGGTGCGAATCGGAAATGGATTTTTAAATAGTTTTCACTATATTACCCCTCGTCGTACTTTTTGTCTGTCTGTCTGTCTGTCTGTCTGTCTGACTGTCTGCTCTAAAATTTTAAATAAATTAATTTGCGACAATTTTTATTTTTTTGATGGAAAATGGAAATCATCGCTATCACCTCGGCAAATAGTAACGGTTCATTTCTATTTTACAATCAATCAAGCAACCAACAGTATCACTTCTAAATCGAATAACTTAGACGAAATCACTTATATGACCTTCTATATACATATCAGCTCATAATTCATTCTCTATAATTTAGATATTCCTATAGTCCGAGAAATGGTGATATTTTAAAGCTAACCAGAACAACTCATCCATGCCGCTTGTGCCTAACATCCATACTTCAATAGTTATCGCCCGGCGGATACTATACGCCCGACCAACGTTTTCAACTAAATTTGACACCCAAAACAAGAAAGTACACCAAAAAAAAAAAGTCTGAAATACACAAAAGAGAGGTGTGCACTATTTACTGTGTAAAGGGGAATGTTATGTTGGATTGGAAAATCAAAGAAGGAAGAGAAAAAAATATACCATTTCGATTTTCGATTTTCCATATTTATTTATTTATTTATTTAACAATTCATTTCTAACCTATTTTAGTAAATATTTAGATCTGATCTAATCTAATCAATTCATTATCATATTTATCTTATATAATCATCATCATCATCATGTTGAATAGACAATTCGCTCGTGGTTTTGCTTCTAGTGCTACTGCTAGAAACTATGCTTCCACCATCAAGAACTTGAAAGTTACTGCTGATACTAAGGTTATTTATCAAGGTTTCACCGGTAGACAAGCTACTTTCCATGCCGAACAAGCCATTGCCTATAACACCAAGGTTGTTGGTGGTACTAACCCAAGAAAAGCCGGTACTACCCATTTAGATTTACCTGTGTTTGCCAATGTTAGAGATGCCATTGCTCAAACTGGTGCTAATGCCACTGGTATTTTTGTTCCACCTCCAATTGCTGCCGCTGCCATTGAAGAAGCTATTGAAGCTGAAATCGAATTAGCTGTTGCCATCACTGAAGGTATTCCTCAAAGAGATATGGTTAGAGTTGCTCAAATCTTAAAAACTCAAAGTAAAACTAGATTAGTTGGTCCAAATTGTCCTGGTTTAATTGCTCCAGATCAATGTAAAATCGGTATTATGCCATCTCATATTCATAAAAGAGGTAAAATCGGTATTATTTCTAAATCTGGTACTTTAACTTATGAAGCTGTTTCTCAAACTACTAAAGTTGGTTTAGGTCAATCTTTAGTTATTGGTATGGGTGGTGATCCATTCCCAGGTACTAATTTCATTGATGTTTTAACTTTATTCTTAAGTGATCCAGAAACTGAAGGTATTATTTTAATCGGTGAAATCGGTGGTAATGCTGAAGAAGAAGCTTCTGAATTCTTAAAACAATATAATTTAACTAGAGATGTTCCAAAACCAGTTGTTTCATTCATTGCTGGTGTTTCTGCTCCTCCGGGTAGAAGAATGGGTCATGCTGGTGCCATTGTTGCTGGTGGTAAAGGTGATGCCAAATCTAAGATTGCTGCTTTACAATCTGCCGGTGTTGTTGTTGAACCATCTCCAGCTAGATTAGGTAACTCCTTATTACAAGAATTCAAAAACAAAGGTTTATTATAAATTTAATGTAATATAAATTTAATTGTTTTAGATTCATGTCAATTAATTAACTAATTATTATCTATATAAGAAGAAAAAAAAATATAATAAATCTCCATATCATTCATTCATCAATAACATTATTCATATTGATATTTATCATAAATATTGTAAAATCCATATCTTCTGATCTCTATCTCTATTAGTTAACGAGACTTTTTTGTATTTCGCACGACCGTATGTTTTTGGCAATGAAAAATTTATTTTGAAGAACAGCTTTTTTCAAAACCTTTAAATCGTTAACAACGTTAAAGTCAAGACAATAGTATAAACATTATCTATAATGAATGGATTAAGATCATCATTCTTAAGAGCTGTTTCAGGAATCAGCCACAATAATGTCTTCATACAAAGACAATCACCAATACTTTCCTCATCTTTCAAATCAATAACCAACTTCAATCCTATAATATCAAAATCATCATTTTCTACATCATCCATAGCATTCAAAACCAATACATCAACTAGAACTAAAGAAAATGTGCATGATTTAGAAACTTTCTTCAACCTCATTGGTCGTAATACTATTGAACACGTCGGATTATTCGAAAGTGATTTAGCTAAATTTTTAAATACAACTTCAAGTCAAATGAAGAATATGGGTATAGATGTTTCAACTAGACGTTATATGTTAAGATGGAAACATAAATTCGTCAATGATTTGGAACCATTAAGAGAACATAAAAGAGGTAAGAAGAAGAATGGTGGTGAAAGAAATGCTAAGACTGTCATTGCTAAGAGAAATGCTTTGAAGAGATTAGAAGAAAGAGAAAAGAATGCTGCCAATGAAGCTGATGAAGAAAGAATCTTCTAGGTTTGCCATGGTACAGACTTGAAAACACCAACCAAAAACAATAGCAACAGCATATAATGTATTAATGATATTCTTCGGAAAGGACATACATTCGAACTAAATTTCATTTTGTAAATAGTATCCAATTTAGTTAGACAAAACCACTCATCATATATAATATCAATCAACAATTTCCGTAAATACCAGTTAATACAGACTCAAACAAGTTTGTCTGTAGTTTAATTCATTGCAATGACGTATAATCTTGTATGAAAACGAATCACGTGATTTTTTCAAATTCTAGTAAAAGTACCTGAATAATTGAAGATAAGTAAATAATTAAGAATCGATTATTATCTAAGTGTTTGAAAGTTATCATTTGTTGTATTATTGAAGTCATTTTCTTAAACTTTGATAAATATTGTATGAAGATACCCTTGTTTGATTTTTAATTTAGTATGTTTAAGCTTAAAAAATTGCAAAAAGTAACAAGAAATTAAACTTTAAATAACTTCATATAAAGCCAAAGAAAGTCAAACCAGCTTTATATAGACAACTAACTTTACCATTTAACATGCACCTACTTAGTTATAACCACCTTATGAGCAAGATTGATTGGCTTAACTCTGATATTTGTATAATTGCTTAAGTAAAACGCTTGGAAGCTACCAGTTCTCAATATACAGGAATTTTATAGACCGCAAAAAAAGTTTTTGTTTACATTTTCTGAATGCAGAAACAAACAGAAAAGTCAAAAGTCAAATCAATCCTTTAAAAGACACCATTACAGGAAGTTCAAACATAAGAGCAAGTGTGCGGAGTCATGAATGACGAGGCTTTAAACAATCTGATCTTGGCTTCATTGCAAAGTCATCGAACCAAGAGTCCCTTGCTGATATCCAATAATATGAATGTCTCACCACAAAGTCTGAAAGACCTTTTCACAAATACAACTACCAAGATTGATGCCATTTTATCAACTACCATCAGTGTCAACGATATTGAAATAGCTTCAAACTGTTTCAAATACTTGCATTCAAATAGCATGTCTTCAAATCATTCCATTGCTTCTATTAAGAAGCACCAAATGTTCATAATCAAATTGATAGAGATCAAACAATACGCGACAGGAATCAATGAGTTGAATCACTTAAATCAAGCATTTAATAACTTGGTCAATAGAGTACCTATAAATTGGTCCCAGTCTGTCGATTCATCTTTGATTGAAATACCTTTTAATGGCAGTGTACCAGAAACAGACGTTCAATTGATAAATTTAATAGTCGCGTATCATTTCCTATATTTACAATGTTTACTACAATCTATATCCCATAATCTTAAACTTGTTGCAAGTAATAAAGATCCTCAATTGAATTTATCCGTTTTCAAGTACATCCCCGTGTTGTTCCTTAATTCTAGTCATTTTTCAAACTGGTTGAAATTTGCTCTTGAAGTCACTCCTGTAAATAAAGAAAAATATCACAAGAATTGCATAAAGATAACCAATGGATACATGGTGATACTAGATACTTTAATGAAGAAGATCAAATCCATCGACCTAAAGATGTACAAAACATGTTTAAGGTTAAAGTTTGTGGAGTTCACTGGTGAAAAGTTTGATAGTTGGGATATAGCGACTGATGGATACGTTGCACAATTTTTGAATGATTTGAAAAATTCAGATTATCCATATACATCATCAATCCTTGAACAAGTACAACCTGCTTCGATTGATGATTTAATTGTCGACTTGCAAGAGTTTTCAAAACAACCTACATCGATGTTATTAAATCAACTCCAGGTTAAATTCTTGGCTAATTCAAATGTTATAAACGATTCAAGAATATTACATAGTATAACAAGTGTTTGTCTTCAAAATAATGATATTTCTTATTCCTTTATTCATTTAATCACTGCTCATTTAAGTTCACAATCTGAAGCTATGGACATGTTATCCAAGGGTCACTTTCAAATTCTTGATCACTTTACAATATTCTTAAAGGCCATAAGCAAGAATGTAACAAATATCACCACCTTGAAGTTAATTATGGCAGATCTTCAAAAAGTATTCTATCATTTTCGTCAAGTCAAAAGAATTAGAAACTTGTCAAATATACTTTATAATATTGGGAATATATGTCATGATGAACATATAATGGCTCTCTGTATTGCCTACGAGATTGATATTTATGACATCACACAAGCTAAAGAAGATTTTAACACGTTAAAGACTAAAGTGCAAAAGATTCTGAACACACTCTGTGAAGTTGGACTGGCTCAAAAATCAACAACATTTATTAAAGTATTCCTCGATTTCGCATATCGTTCGAAAGATAAATCCATTGTTATAGACAATATTTTCTTGCAGTTACTTGCTAAATGCATTTCTGCAGATTTATCTGTCGGTACCACTATATTTGGAGAAAACTCATATGACGATACATTCAAGTCATCTATTTTAATAAAACAATTTGAACTTTTAGAGAGATCTACCAACCCCGATATCAAAACAAAAGTGATTAATCATTTATATCAGTCTGCATCTTTTCAAGATGAGAATGTTCGCTGTTTAATTTCCTACCATTATTACAAGATAAATGGGTTAACTGAAGTCATTGATTTGTCGAAATCTCCAAATGGAAATAATTTATTCAAATGCGGTTATTATTTACAGAAATTAATCAATTCTAATTGGGATGATACTTTATTCAAGGAATCTATTCATTGTATGTTGAATTGGTTGAATGATTATCATAGTATTGAATCTGACTACTTGGATTATGAAAATGATATTTTCCGAAGTTTAATTTTGTATTTAAAATTTAATGGTGCTACGGGCTATATCATAAATGTGATTGATAATTATATAACTGCTAGGAAAGAGTTATCGAACGAAATGAATCTATTCATTCAATATCAATACTGTGATTGTTTAATGAAATTTGCTTTGTATAGTGATGTCTCGGAGCTGTTATTAACTTTGAACACGACTTTAAAAGAGTCCAAGATAAATGCTCTCCTGGAAGTGGTAGCCTTTAATCTCTTACAACTTGATTACTTTATTAATGTTAAGGATTTTCCAAAGGCAATGGAAAAGTTCAACAAGATTCACAAAGTATTCGCATCCAGAGGTGAATATAACTTAATATCCAACGAGAATATTTCAACCATGGAAAAATTGCAAAATCTTTTATTAATTTCAAAATTCCAACTTGCTGCTTGTAAGATCAATCTCCTAGCCAACAATCCTATCGAAGCTGTTAAGAATGCAAGGGTATCAATCAAAATTGCTTATTCAATTATTAAGAAAAGTGGACCCAATATTAAAAGAAATACTTACAATGAAATCAAATGGGAAACTACTCATGTCTTATTTGAATCATATAAATATATTATCACTACATTGAGTCTGTTGGGTATCACGAGAGACTTTTTATTCTATTTGAATGAATTCGAAAAGACTAATGATTCAACGGTATCTCCAATAGTGAATTGTTTACACAATTTTGATATCTTATTTTATCATATATGCTTGTTAAAGGATGATGAATTATCAAACTACTTAACAAAGGCTGAAGGTTATAGTCAGAGTGAAATTGTTCTGACTAATATTAATGTCAACTATAAAGGTAACAACATCAAAGGCCTATTAAACTCACAACCTAGTGAATTTAGACTTCCTAAGTTCAATTCGAAGTTGGATATTACTAACGATGAGTTGTTAAATATTTTCAGACTAGATAATGATGAGAATTCGGTTTTGCATCATACCTTATCATTGAAAACTCAACCGAACTTTAATTTTACTTTGAATAATAAGCATACTGAATTGTTGGATATATTAGTAGTGTCAAAAATACAGTTGGCAAACACGATAAAAGAAATAGGCCAAATTCCTCAATTGAATTCACTTCATCAATCAGTACAGTCATTACCAAATATTGTCGGAGACGGATTAACGAATCTGATCATTGATAATATTCCCATCTTAAATAAATTAGTGCAATTGAAAGATGATTTATTCAAATTTGTATCACACCCACAGTTTAAATCACTTGCAGCATATCAAATTAAAGATTTATCTAGCACGATTACAAAGTGTCTAATGTTAATATCTTCAATGTCAAACTTTAAAAGTAATACTAATATTCTACATGAATTATATTATTTACAAGATTTTCCACGAGCTCTACCATTCAAAAACGACAGAAGCATAAATCATACATCTACAGGGGCCAAAGAAATATTACCATCTCAAATTGAACCTCAACCTATATTTGATTTCCATAGTAGAGCTGTTGAATTCAATATCGATTTGAATTTATATTTACCAGATAATTGGTCCATCGTGACGTTAGATATATGTAATTTTACAGGGGATCTAGTCATATCCAAATTCACGAAGGGAAGTCATCCTCATTACATCAATTTGCCCATTCTAAGATCAAATAATACTGAGCAAATGGTAAAATTTGATGATTTGAAAAAGAATTTCAATGATATTATCAAACAAAGTGATATTTCTACTAAAGCATCTACTACCTCCAAGATTTTTACTAAAGAACAAAGAAAAAATTGGTGGAAGTTACGGTTCCATTTAGATTTACGAATGAAGGATCTTTTGGAAAGTGTTGAGAAGAACTGGGTAGGAGGTTTTAAGGGAATATTCAGTACTTTTGCTGAAGATGCGGTCTTTACGAAATTTAAACAGGATTTCATAAAATTGATCCTTGGTTTACTTCCATCAAGACATATTTCAGATGAACGCTATATGAAATTTGATGATAAATTAATTGGCTTATTCTACAACTTATCAAGTTATGATAGATTATCAGTTGATGATTTATTTCACTTTTTGATAGATTCCCTTAATTTCCATGCAGAAACCAATAACTACGAAGAGATAATGATAGCTAAATTTCATAAAAATTTTGAATTATTGTTTGATAAGTACTTCAATTTAAGGTCAAATCTGGTAAATGAGCATTTGGTATTAGTTCCTGGTTCATCATGTAGCTTTTTCCCATGGGAGTCATTAGGCTGTTTTGCTGGAAAGTCAGTTTCTCGTGTTCCTTCAGTTGAACTTTTAATTGACATGTTAAAGAACAGACATTCAAAAACAGTGGATAAATCTAGTCTTTATTATATTATTAATCCAGGTGGAGATTTAAGAAGGACAGAAGAAAAGTTTAGGCCAATGTTCTCCAAACAAAGGAATTGGAACGGTTTAACTGGATCAAAACCAAATGAAGAGAATCTTATGCAAAATATCGCCAAGACAGATTTATTCGTATATTTAGGTCATGGTGGCTGTGATCAATATATTAAAACCTCAACCTTATTTAAAACTTGTTTACCCAATGGACCAAAGTTACCTCCAAGTTTATTAATTGGATGTTCATCCGGCGCTTTAAGTGATAATGGTATATTTGAACATCATGGTAATGTATACAATTGGTTAACATGCGGAGCTCCAATGGTGCTTGTTAACTTATGGGATGTTACTGATAAGGATATCGATCAGTTCAGTTTATCTGTGTTTGAGAAATGGGGCATTTTATCAAATCAACCACGTATCAAACAATGGAATATAAGTGAGGCGGTTGGAACAAGTAGAAATTGCTGCACGTTGCCATATCTCAATGGTTCAGCCCCAATAGTTTATGGGTTACCATTAGTTATTAAACAATAGATGTGTATTTATTTTATAGACAATACAGTTTCAAAAATATTACGACAACATATTAAATTACGAAATTAACTGAAGTCACTGTAGATTTTACCTAATTAAAGTTTCTGAAACCTATTCCGCCTCCGATATTCGTTTCAAAGAATGCATCATCATGTATATCAACAGATTGTACGATAGTTGTACACTATGATTCCCAAAAATAAATTGAGTTGAAACTTGTAGGATGAATTTTGCGCTTTGTCATGGCCCAAATAGGTAATTTTTTTGTCACAAATGAAAAAGATGCAAAATCATACAACATCTGAATCATAATAATACCGATGACTATATTAACCTCAAACGAGCCTAATATATGCAGAGTTAAAAATTTAATATAAATATAGCTTGAATTCTACTTGTTAAACCATTTTTGAAACTATTACTTTTATAAATCATACAAACTAATTCACAATGGCTGCTCAACAAACTCAAACTAAAACTCAATCTGCTAACAAAGATCAAAACAACTCTACCGGTTGGGGTGCTACTCCAAACAGATGTACTATTGTCTAAATAAGTACACTGATGATGCTTATCGAAATCAATGATATGGTCTAAAGGTGCTTGGTAAAAAATTTCTTTGCTGGTGTCTTATGATGGTGTTATATTATGATATTGCTGGTCATGTCTGTTATTTCAACATATATATTCATGAATATTAATTTGAATAAGGTGTTTGATAACTCTCTGAAAGTTTTGAAATAAGAGATTATTAAGGTAGGTAAAGGTATATGATGAAAATAAAATATAAAAATAAAAAAATTAAAAAAAACAAATTACATAGATTTATATATTTCTTTTAATAAATAAATTTGTGCAAAAAAACAAAATCATTGTAGACTATCAGATACGTAAACTAGTAAATTATCTAGAAATAAAAGTTATAAGTTTTTTATTCTATCTATTTTAGGATTTTCAACGTTTAATATCTTGGTCTTAAGAATTTTGCAACATTTTTGAACATACCTGCATATAACAAATCACATAGTTAATAAAACAGCTTCTAAGTACACCAAATTATAAACAACATGACCTTATAACTTAACAGAACAACACTTCACACATTATAATATCTATTAGAAACAAGTATCTATGTAATTATATAGTTGGAAATGAATTAAAAACATTTTGAAAATGATCACGTGCCACATAAAGACAGATTATGGTCATGTGGATTTCTTGAAAATTTTGAAAAGATGGCAACTTGTCCGAGCGGTTAAGGAGAAAGACTTGAAATCTTTTGGGCTTTGCCCGCGCAGGTTCGAGTCCTGCAGTTGTCGTTATATTTTTTCTTCATACTCCAATATTTTTTTTTTCGCAACATTACAGTATCTCAAGTCTTTTGGCGAGGTATGACTTTTATATTACTTTTTAATTTTGGTCTATATAATTAATTAAATCATCAAGAATGGCTACGGTTTCTCTTGGACTTGCAATCCAAACCGTGCATGCACTTAAACGAGCTTTGAAATCATTGGCACCAAGACTTGCGAATTGATCACCAATATGCAAACTTTCACTTTTTAAAATTGGACAAACTGTATGAGATAAATCATCACCAGGATCTTCACAAAGATATCTTTGTAATGCTTCAACTCCTAAACTTTTATCACCAATATCAACCCAAACATCTGATCCACCATTAAAAGCACAAACTCTAATACCTTCTTTGCTTGTACTAGTAAGTTCATTAGGTAAATTTGGAGTAGATGATCCTGTTAAAGAATTAGAGGTTTCAATGGATTGACCACCTTGACTTTTCTTATAAGACAGGGTGGCTGACATTAAAGTTGAATGAGGAGTATAACCAGTTAAGATTTCATCTAATTTATTTGAACATGACAAGACAATTTCTTCTAAATGTTCCCGTAAAATCTTACGTCCTTCATTAGGGATTATACCAATTGAACGTTCTTTTCTAATTAGGGTAGTTGATTCGTTTAAATTATAATATTTTTGTAAATGAATCATATGTTTACCAATAGTTTCCATTATAAAGGTAATCTTATTCTTATCCCAACTAAGCATTAAAGGTAAATGCCATTCATTAGCATCTACGAATCTAAAAGTTTTTATCTCATCTGAATAACGGAATAAATAATTCGATTCACCCCCCATAACTAATAAATTCTCCTTTTGTTTAGGAGTTAAGATACAATCAGGTCTATCCATAGCATCTATTAACCCTTTTAATCGTTCATGATACTTAGCGCCCCCCAGTTGTCCAGGATATCCTGCAGCAGTAACCACACTCACAAATAAACCTAATGATAATAATTTGACAAGTCTTGATACCACATGATCATTTTCAACTAATGATTTTCCATCTTCATATAATGTCACATCACCATCAAAAGTGACTAATTTTAATTTTGATCCTGATTTAAGATGATCTTTATAAATCTTTGTTAATGCTAAAACTTGAGCTGTATTTAATATAACTCTAATATCATTGAATGAAGGACTTACTAATCTTCTTTTGGATATTGACCTTCGTTCATCTTCCACTAGGAATGCTTCATTCAATGGTAACGGGGTAAAGAATCTCCCTACTGACGGTACTAATTTTCGTAATCGACTATTTAAATTTCGACCGGGGTCTTTATCATTTATATCATCAATAATCATAGTATGATCAACTAATTTCTCTACATCAGAGAATATTTCCAGATATCGATTTTGACATTCTGCTGCAATGACTGATTCTTGAGTTTCTAAGTACCGTTCATAATCTTCCATTGATGAATAATGTTCAGCAAACCCTTCATCATAATTTTCCACATCAGCATGTAACACAAATGGAACAGCTAATAAACCTTTAATCCATTCTATAAATTCATCACGACGATGACTTTTCAAGGCATATTCTACTCTATATCTTGAAGTCATTTTGTATCAATTCATGAGTATGTATCTATCGTTTATATCAAAGAAAGAAATATGTTTTCCATTAAATTTTATAGCCAAGTAAATTGAATTCCATTTGAACCATGTGTATGACCCTTTTAGAGACTAAATCCACAAAATTGATCATCATCACCAAAATGTCCATTCCTGCACAATGCTCCCCACTCACATCAGTTCCCCGACATCAGATGCTAATAATTTTTTTCGCAACTATAAATAAATTCATAACCTTTTTATTATTATTTTAACTATTAACTATTATACAAGAATGGGGGTTATATATATAATTTATAAACCTTGATCTCTTCTCTTTCTATCTCTTTCTTCAGAAATAGATAATTTAACACCTTTACCCTTTGGTAATGAGACGTAAGGTTTAGAAGCTTCAGAACCAATAACGAAAACATTAGATAATCTAGTAACAAAAGTATTATCAACAGCATCTTTAATTTGAACTAAATCAAACCCACCTTCATGTTTTTCTCTATGGACAATAACACCAACTCTACCCAAGTTACGACCCCCAGTAACCATGACTAATCTACCGGTATCGAATTTAATAAAATCAGTGATTTTACCAGTAGCTAAATCAATTTTAACTGAATCATTAACTTTAATAGCAGGATCTGGATATCTAATAGTTCTACCATCATGAGTAACAACATATGGAACACCTCTTTTACCTAATTGAACTTTCTTAACTTTACCTAATTTATAAGAAGCTTCTTCAGAAGTAATTCTATGAACAGCAAATCTACCTTTAACATCATAAATTAATCTAAAATGTTCATTAGTAGCTTCTAAAGAAATAACATCCATAAACCCAGCAGGATAAGTTGAATCAGTTCTAACTTTTCCATCAACTTTAACATGTTCTTGCATTAAGATAGCTTTAACTTCTCTACCATTTAAAGCATACTTAAGTCTATTTCTTAAGAATACAACTAATGGTAATGATTCTCTTAATTTATGAGGACCAGCAGAAGGTCTTGGAGCGTAAACACCGGATAATTTATCCAACATCCAATGAGATGGAGCTGCTAATCTTTTTAAATGCTTCTTTCTGTTAAAAAGAGTTAGTAAAAAAGGGTACTGAATAAAGATTGAATTCAAGAGATTAGAAACGTTACAAATTACTTTAAAAATAAGGACTAATAAAAATGGGGTTTAAATGAGTTCAAATATAATATATTACAGAGCTTAACTTGCATGATAAATATAGTATTGGAAGATAGAACATTGTTTAAATCAAACATAAATCAAGTGGTCATTCCCTAGTTATCGCCAGGACAACTTATTTATAACGAGTTGAATCAAGCATATATCCAAAGGTTGAACCATTATACTTTATACGTTCCGCTTGAAATACAGACACATGCCGTATAACAGTACATCATTATAAATGATCAACATTCATAACAACACAACACAAGGATACACATAGAACTCCCCATTATAACAGAAATAACACACTCATGAAATGAATGATAGAAAAAAAACAAAGATAATATCTATAACCAATCCTAATAAATTATCATGACAAGGCTCCCATCCGAGTAAATCACAAAGGGGAAATACTGGTGATACCATTAATCAGAAAGAACTCGAAAGTTCAATCATCGGTATATGTAATACATTATAAATGACAAGAATCAGACGAATCATCCTCAAGTTCATTTTAAACGATATTTTAATTAGTCTATTTTTATAAACTCCAGAGTATGGAGAATAATAAAGTAATTCGAAAACAAAAGTTTCTAATCAAGAATGAATTCTCGATATGAAATATCTGAAATGAATTTAGACATACGGGCCTCTTGCCATTTTGATTGATAATTATTTGATTTGATTTGATGATATATGAATCTGAAGAAGAAAGTGGTAAGTAAATTTTTCAAATTTTAAGTGGTGATAGTTTATTTTTCTATGAATTGAGAAAGTCCACTTTAAAAATCTAAATGGTAAACACACGCACAGACATCACGTGAGGCCATTTGCCGAATTAGGGTTCTAGACCTGGACTCATAATTTCGCTTCTTATGTTTGATTCCCCTCATTACACCACCACCACCCACCACTAAAGAAAGAACCACCACAGTTAAAATTATTTTAGTCTTTGCATTTCAATTCAGCTCGGTCTCCTCCTTAAAGTTAAAGGAGGGGAATGATAAAAAGATTTCCATTTTCACAACCATTACTTGTTTAGATAGGAGAGATAGATGTAAAAGAGGAGAAGAACAAATTAAAGGGTATATAAATGAATTTAGATTAGTAAGTTTTATGATCTAATAATATATATCTTTACCCACTTATCAGTTTCAACCCCTCTTCCTTCCCTTCTTTCATCTAGATTATTATCATTCACTTTGTTACTTCGTTACTTACTTTACAACTAAGGTTTATTTTTCAGAATTTTTGCATCAAAAAAAGTTTTGTATGTGCGAAATTGAATTTCGAAAGTTGGGGTAAACTAATGATGATGAGTTATACCAAGAACTATCTATTACATTAACAGATCATCTGATATAGTAATGATTTAATATTTCATTATTACTTTACGTCTTTGTTACCGAGTTCGGTCAATTGCGTTATTACTCCATCTTCTCTCCTCTCCAATCTCTTCCATCTATCAAATATTTAAGCTATTTTTCAAAATTGAAACTCATTGTAGGTTATATTATCCCCACAAAAACAGGGGAAGACATCATATTACGAAACTCTACTCATAATGATTCATTCCATTACGAAAATCAATGGTGCAAACTCTTAACTCTACCATAATTAAAACCATTTCTATTGAAAATATAATGTATATTCATTTTTATTTACTTTTTTTGGAGCTTTTTCATGTTTTTTATATTATTTTATGTATAGAAGAGTATATTTTTTTATAACATTTTTCACTTTTTATCAATTCATATAACGAGTATAAAGTAATAATAACAAAATAATAATAATAGTAGTAGTAATAATAAATAAGTAACCCACACCGCCTGATTGAAATTAACCTTGTTTGATAAACCAGTATCAATCCTTTGATCAATTAACCTGTGTAAGTAAAGACGAAACGAAATTAAACGAATTAAAAAAGTGTTTGTGTTATTGTGTTTGATGATAATGGAGAATTATACCGGTAATTCTCTCTCTTAAATTGGAATGATTAAAACACGGTATCTTTTGATTCTTCAACGGTGGTAGAACCACGAATGGCAGCTCCTCCAATTGGATGAGTGATTGGATCATTTTCAATACCTCCTTTTTCTAATCTATCTTGATGCATTAAAGTTGATCTTGCTTCAGTAGTTTCTTTAACTACTTCAGCACCAGTCATAACTTTAATCCAATCAATTTTTAAAGAATATGGTCCATATTGTTTATCTAATAACCCAATACCAATGGTTTTAACTTCTGATTTATTAATTTCAGATCCATCTTGAATTATTCCCCAATTAGTCATGACAAAATCATTTAATGGTATAACGACAGTTTCCCATTGACCAGGATGATGTAAAAATAATCGATGTTGAAATAAATCAGTAACTAATGGAGTATTGGCTTGAATATTAACTAAATATTTTCTTCTATCACCTTTAACTCTTAACACTAATGAATTATAACTTGACCAATCCCAATATGAATTACCACTAATCCAAGATTCCTTTTGATCTTTAGTTCTAAACATAGCATACCCAGATCTAGTAACTTCAGGATTATCCTTTGGTAAATCCAAACTTAAATATCCATGGAAATGACCCACATGTTCTTCTGGATCAAGGGTGAAATTAACAGTGGAATATCCACCTAATTCTTTATCTGATCTAGTCATGATATTTTCAATGGTGGATTCATCGATTGTAGCGTCATTTTTGAATTCTAAAACAGTAGAGACAGTTCTAGTTAAATCTGCTTGTCTTGCGAATAAGCTTTTGACAGTGGAGTTTAATCCCAAAGTTCTTAATGACATTGAAAAGTGTAATTTAAGTATCAATTGATAGTAAAGTAGTAGTAGTAGTTAACTGATTGAAAAGTTTTGGTAGTTTGGGTGTTTTCTAGTTTTTGATGTCACTAAAAAAAAATATTATGAAGGTCGTGTGGAATGGTATAAAATGCAAAAAAAGAGGTCAATTGAAGTATGTGTTAGTCAATTGAGATTATATATCTGTTAGGATGAGTTGTATATATATATATGAGATAACAGAATATAATATATTATATATAAGTAATAGTAATTATTTGAATCAAAGAAGTAAATCAAAAATAAATTTATAAAAATTGAATTTAAAGGTAATATCAGCTAATATTTATATCACCATACTAACTCTCTTTCCTAACCCTTTACAAAAAAAAGTGATCCTCCTCCTTTTTTTTTTTTTGGTTTGTATGAGGAGTTTATTTTGTGTAATTTGAGGCCGGGCACGACAAACTCCGGAGATTTTGCTTTCTTTAAAACAGTATAGCACGAAATGATTAAGCTTTTGCAATGTCTGTGTTGTTGTTATTTTTGAAATTGTTGGTTCAACCCGTTTAGTTATCATGTCATTATTAAATAGTATCGTTTACTCCTATATCAGTTATACCAATCAAGTAAAATAATTATAGCATGAATGAAAACCCTTAGGCTATTGAATATAATACTAACAATGATCCATCATCCCCACCCTCCCCTCCTCCTCCAAAATTTATTATATCTACGTAATTAAAATTAATTAATTAATTAATTAATTACAATTAGGGGTATGAACTAACTAACTAAGTGACCGGAGCGCGAACTCGGAGTATACAAGTTTATCAATAATAAGTTTTAGTAAAACCTTTCAAATCAGATGAACTCCGATATCAATTTTATTTTTTTTATAAGCTATTTTTTTCTTATTGTTAGTTTTGTATCATATTTCTCCATACTTTATTATACTTTTGGTAAGTTTTGGTCTGGTTTAAACCCATACAGATAGGTCACAGATTAGTTAAGTTTAAGTATCCGAGATATTGCCTTGGAATTAATTGATTTTAATAGAATAACCTTACGATATAATTTTTACTAATAAATTATTACTTGTCTATGAAATTACATTCTAGACGTTGTAAAGTAATTCATTAATTCATGACATCCTCATCATCCATCATCATTAAAAAACTTCTATTCTCCTCTAATCTCATCTTATGAATGGTAAAAGTGGGTTAAGATACTATACAACCTATGCTGTTAAAAATAATCTGTGAACTGTGGAGAATAATAATTTTTAGTTAGCACTCCTCACTCACTGCACTGTGGATTACATACAGGAACCAAGCTTATCAGGTTTTAAAATTGCAACCCCTCTTTCATTTAATGAATTACTTAAATAAGATATTTCATTGATTAGAAAAAGGTGGAGAACAAACTTTTATTTACTACGAAAACTATATTATGTCATGATAAAAGTTTGTGATAGCTTAGTTTTGTTTGCTACATTGCACAAAAGAATAAGTTTAAATGATAATCTGAATCATGTAAGTGCACCACACTCAGGTTTGTAGAAATTCTTCTTTTTATAAAAATAAATCGGTTTACATAAGTTTATGAATAGCCGGTGGTAAACTTTTAACAATATCCATCCAAACACCACAAGGTACACAATTTTGTCAATATACAACCCACAATATATATGTAAATCATCCCATTTAGAATGGAATATTTAATTTTCACAGCAATTTCAAATCATGGCATGCGAAAAGGAAAAAAGCGGTACAAATTTACCGATAATCAAATAAACACTTGCAAAACATCCACAACAACAAATCTGACAATGAAATAAGAAATTACGATAATTGGCATATATTATTCTATAGATTAACTTCTATTATTTCTAACTATTGTTATTTATTTCTTTAATTTCTGGAATTTGAAGTCCGAAATCATGTAACGACTAAATAAATAAAAATTGAACCATCCTCGTGGAGTCCGGGTTAAACAAGAAATGTTGTTTATTCTGGTCTGTTCCGTTCTCCTTCACTAAAATGGTGATATATCCCCCATATCATTCTTTATAAACACTCAGCCGAATAACAGCTAATTTGGTCTAGATTATTTTATTTCTTTTTCTAAAATTATTATTATTATTATCTTCTACTTATCATTAATAAATGACCATTTCATAAAAATAATTATCTCACACGTGACTAAAGTCACACCACCTGCGGAAAAACGACGGGAATAATTTATATCCATAATAGTTAATTTAACGGTGATATATTTTATCTACGGCTTGATAATGATATGTACATATTTTTGATGTAATTATTAACATTTTAACTATCAATTGCAAAAATAATATCGCTTAGTTTAATAACGGTCATCACATATTTCATATCATTGTATTAGTATTATTATTGAATTCAATATTATCGATATGACTACTGGAATAGGGAATAATATCAAAACCACATTACAATTTCTTTTTTGCGATTGCATATGATTTGAAATACTATTTAAACAAGGTATAATCACAATAATTTTTCAATTGAATGTTTAATTCTTTCTTGTAATTATTATACAATCCCAATCGTATACAAACAAACAAACAAACAAACTTAATTTCAATCATGGTTTCTTCTAGCACTTTTTTCAATCCTGATACTGCTCCATTTTTAAACCCCAAGACTGATCGTCGTGTGGTGTTATTAACTGGGGGTAATTCTGGTATTGGTTGGTTTACAGCCTTACAATTATATTTACATGGTTATGTGGTTTATATTGGTGGTAGAACTGAATCTAAAGTTTTAAAAGCAATTGATGAAATTAAAATCGAAGCTAAAAAGAGAATTGAAGAAAATTATTCCAATGAACAGAAAGCTTCAAGACCAGTTGGAGAATTATCATTTTTATTCATGGATCTTTTAGATTTAAAAACTGTTAATGATGCTGCTGAACTTTTCTCCAAGAAGGAATCAAAATTACATATTTTAATCAATAATGCTGGTCTTATGGGAGTTCCATATGAAATCACCAAAGATGGTTATGAAATTCAATATCAAGTAAATTTCGTAAGTCATTTCCTTTTAATTTTGAAATTATTACCATTATTAAAAAATGTTGCCAAACAAGGTAAAATCGAACCAAGAGTTATTAATCTTAGTTCAATCGGTCATAATTTTTCTTATAGATATTTCCATCCAAGTAATAAACTCAATGGTTTCCCTTTTGCTTTATATACTTGGTATAGATATGGTAATGCTAAAATTTCAGCTATTTTAGGTGCTAAAGAATTAGCTAAAAAGGAACCTGAAATCTTATCTATTGCTGTTCATCCGGGTATTATTCTTGGTACTGAATTATATAATTATTGGAAAAATATGCCAGTGATTGGTATTTTTACTAGAGGTCTTTTTAGAGTTGCCGATGCAACTATTGGCGTTACAGTTGAACAAGGTAGTTTAGCCACTTTATATTCTGCTTTAGATCCAAGTTTAACTATTAAAAATGATAGTGGTAAATATATTGAAACTGGGGGTAAAGAAGGTACTCCAAATAGAGTTGCTAAATCGGAAAAGAATCAAGAAACAACTTGGGATTGGAATGTTGATGCTTTACATGATCGTGGATTTACTTGGTAAATCATTATCATTTGACACTTTTACCCTATGTTATTTTTTTAAGGACATTTTTCTTTTGTTTTTATTATTCTTTTTCTTATTGTTTTTTTTATTTTTATTTTCACTATAACTTTACTCATATTTAATCTGTCACATTATCATTATTATCTTCATAGTCATTATTTATTTCTTGTTTATATTGTTTCTATAATACAAGAACTTTAATTGCAAATTTACCCAAAATTAAAAAATTGTAACATCCAAACCTCAAAATTGTCATTCTCTTTTGTGGTTGATAAGATAAAAAAAGAATTTAATTTTTGTATGATTGATTTTAACAACTTTTAAGATAATTTACTTTCTTTCTTTGTTTTACCCATTTTAATATCTATCACTAACAACTTTGGCTCATTATGGGGTTGTTTTCATTCTTAACGTATGTATAGATCTAGGAGTTACAGCGGGATGTTCATAGAACTTACCCATTGAGGTGGTGGTTTCTTTATCTCCCCCGGGTTTTCTCACTTCTCCCTCCTCCCCCCCTTTGCCATCATCATTGCAAAAACTAACTTATGATATAGCACACTTATTTCAATCGTTTATCCAGTTATAGCTTCTTATAAAGCTTTTGACAATTATTTGGAACTTTCAAAATCAATTGATAATTCAACTATTAAAGTCGCTGGTATATCTATCCCTTTACCTTTGAATTTCCTCTTAACCACAAACTCATCCATCACTACTACAACTACCACCACAAGTGGTTCTACTACTACAACAACTTCATCTCCTGATAAGAGTGAATCTCATGAATCTTTACAAAATACTCTTGTCACTATTCAAAAGTGGTTGATTTATTGGATTGTGTTTGGGACTGTTCAATTTGCAGAATCATTCTTGTTCTTTAAATGGATTGTTCCATTTTATAGTACTTTAAAATTGGCATTCTCAATATGGTTAATCTTACCTATGGTTAAATCCTCATTTGAAAAACGTCAACAAGCTTTAACTACTGCCAAAGATTTCACTATTACTGATGATTGGATTAAATTTACTCAATCAGGGTCAGGATTTATATTCTTTAATTATATTCAACCAGTTTTAGGAGGTCAATTTGATAATATTCAAAAGTTTGCTGATAAAGGGATAATGCATTATATTTTGGAGAATAATCCTGCTATTCCAATTCCATCAGGTTCTTCCCTGACTAATACCAATGGACAATCTACAACTTCTACTACAACTTCATCGTTTTCTCCTTCATCTGCAAATCAAGAATCTTTCGGTGCTGTCTTGGATAATTCCTATGTGATGGTTATGAATATCAAGAATAGATTTGGGTATGGTAACGAAGATGATGCAAAATCCATAGTTGAGGAAATTGACTCAGTTAAGAGTGCAACTACAACCGAAACTACTGGTACCCTTCCTTCAAAGAAGAAAGGTTGGATCTGGTAATAATTAGAAGGTTTTTTTATGTGTTATTTTATATCTTTTTAGTTCATTAATTTTTTTGTTGGTAATTTTGGTTTCTGGAGGGAACTCTATATTAGAGTCCGGCTACATTTGTGTTGAGTTCATTGTTTCTTTCTTTTTATTTCCCAGTTTATGTCCTTTTATTTTATTTTATTTTATGTTATGTTATTTTCATTTACTTCATTTTTTATACCCTCTCCATTAAGCTATCATTCAATATTATTATTATTATTCAGTTTAAGTACAATTTTACAAGTTCTATTCTTTTTATTAGTTATTTTAATAATATTATATTATACTATTTATATTTATATGATGAATTTATTTATATGTACATGCGAAAAGAATTGATCATTTTATAAACCAAGATATTGTTTAACTGATTGTCTATCATGTTTAGTTTCAACTCTTTGTTGATAAGATTTAACTTGTTCTGAACCTGCTTTTTGAACTTTAGAAGGAATGAATGCATTAGGTAAAATAGTTTTACTAAAGATACCTCCAAATACAGAATTTGGTTTATCAGCATCTGACCCTATTGGAACTGCCACTCTTGATAATTCTAATTGAGATTCACTTAATTGAGATTTATTCTTAACAAATTCTTCTGAAAATTCAGGCCAAACAAATGGTTCTTCCATTTCAATAGTCATGAATTTGAATTGAGGAGATCTATGACGAGAATAATCAAATCTACCTCTTCTATATTTAGCATGAGTTAATTGAACAGTAATATTTAAAGCTCTTAATCCATAAAGATGCCATAAATAATCTCTTAAATCCATTTTATTCATACTTTTAGGTACTAAAAATCGAGCTTGATAAGGACTATATTTAGCAGATGGTTTTATTAAACATATACGACCAGCAGGGAAATATACTTTCTTTTCACCAACTTTAAAATGGGGTTTACCAGTTGCTATTTCATCTTGGAAACTTTCAAAATTTCTTCTTGCTATTTGATCAGAATTGGTTCTATATTTGATAGGGACTGGTTTACCAGCTTGTCCATATCTACTTTTGATTTCAGTGTTTGGGAATAACGTATCGGTGACTGATTGTGAAATTAATGGATCTCTTTCTCTTCTGAATCCAAATCTTGGTTTATTCAATTCAACATCTTTGATATTAACTTTAGGATAAGTCTTTGGTGTCACTTTGAAATGCACCGATCTTCTGGCTATATTCCAAAGATTATTTATCAAGGTCCTACTATCCATGACCAAATATGTATATGCTAGATATTAGTCGTAATAAGATGATAATAACTTATGAATCTTCTTTACAACTGGTTGGTTAAACCTGATTTTCTTCCTTTCTTCTGGTCTCTGTTTGAAAAATTTATTTTTAGGGTCGTGTGCCAAAGATCAAAAATTCTCGTTGATGAAAAAAAAAGAAAAAGACAAACTCAAAACGTTTAATAATCAACGGCAATTTTCACGATTTACTATCTGCTTGTTCTACTGATTATCATCCATCAACCTACATTATCCATCAATAGCCCATATATAAAACCATTTAATTATGTCTCAGGGTGATCAGATTGTAGACGATGCATATTTGTATGATGAATCTCTGAGTATTACACCAGAAGATTGTTGGACCGTCATTTCATCATTTTTTCAAGAAAAGGGATTGGTATCACAACAATTAGATTCGTTTGATGAATTCATCGAATCAACCATTCAAGAGTTGGTGTGGGAAGATTCTCATTTGATCTTGGATCAACCAGCTCAACATACTACCGAAGATGATCATGAAAATAGACGTTATGAAATCACATTTGGAAAAATTTATATTTCAAAACCAACTCAAACTGAAGGTGATGGTACTACTCATCCTATGTTTCCTCAAGAAGCTAGATTACGTAATTTAACTTATTCATCACCTTTATACGTCGATATGACTAAACAAGTGTTCAAATCAGATGATAATTTAAGAAAAGAAAATGAATTAGAATGGATTGAAGAAAAAGTTGAAGATGAAGAACCACAACAAAAAGTTTATTTAGGTAAAGTTCCAATTATGTTAAGATCCAAGTTTTGTATGTTAAAAGAATTAGGTGAACATGAATTCTATGAATTAAAAGAATGTCCATATGATATGGGTGGTTATTTCGTTATAAATGGTTCCGAAAAAGTTTTAATTGCTCAAGAAAGAAGTGCAGCCAATATAGTTCAAGTATTTAAAAAATCTGCTGCTACTTCGAATGTTTCTCATGTGGCTGAAATTAGATCAGCTATTGAAAAGGGTTCTCGTTTACTTTCTTCTATGCAAATTAAACTTGTAGGTAAAGATGATAATGCCAAAAGTAAAGGTGTTCAAGGTAGAACTGTTAAAGCTACTTTACCATATATTAAAGAAGATATTCCTATTGTCATTGTTTTCAGAGCCTTAGGTATTGTTCCAGATGGTGATATTTTAGAACATATCTGTTATGATGCTAATGATTGGCAAATGTTGGAAATGTTAAAACCATGTGTGGAAGAAGGTTTCGTTATTCAAGAACGTGAAGTTGCATTAGATTTCATCGGAAGAAGAGGGGTAATGGGTATTAGAAGAGAAAAACGTATTCAATACGCCAAAGATATTTTACAAAAGGAATTATTACCAAATATTACTCAAGATGATGGGTATGAAACTAGAAAGGCTTTCTTCTTAGGTTATATGGTTAATAGATTATTATTATGTGCCTTGGAAAGAAAAGAACCTGATGATAGAGATCATTTTGGTAAAAAGAGATTAGATTTAGCTGGTCCTTTATTAGCCAATTTATTCAGAATTTTATTCAAGAAGTTAACTAAAGATATTTATAATTATATGCAAAGATGTGTGGAAAATGATAAAGAATTCAATTTAACTTTAGCAGTCAAATCTCAAACTATTACTGATGGTTTAAGATATTCCTTAGCCACTGGTAACTGGGGTGAACAAAAGAAAGCCATGAGTTCTCGTGCAGGTGTTTCCCAAGTGTTAAATCGTTATACTTATTCTTCTACTTTATCACATTTAAGAAGAACTAATACTCCAATTGGTCGTGATGGTAAAATCGCTAAACCAAGACAGTTGCATAATACCCATTGGGGTTTGGTTTGTCCTGCCGAAACTCCAGAAGGTCAAGCGTGTGGTTTGGTTAAGAATTTATCTTTAATGACATGTATTTCAGTTGGTACCGCTTCAGAACCAATCATTTATTTCTTAGAAGAATGGGGTTTGGAATCATTAGAATCATTTGTTCCATCAAATTCTCCAGATTCTACTAGAGTCTTTGTTAATGGTGTCTGGGTAGGTACTCATAGAGATCCAGCTAATTTAGTCAGTACTATGCGTGGTTTAAGAAGAAGAGGTGATATTTCTCCAGAAGTTTCCATTATTAGAGATATAAGAGAAAAAGAATTTAAGATTTTCACTGATGCCGGTCGTGTTTACCGTCCATTATTTATCGTTGAATCTGAAGATGATGCACCAAATAAAGGTGAATTAGTTTTACAAAAGGAACACGTTAACAAATTAATGAATTCAGAATACGATGAATACGACGATGAAGACGAAGATGAATCTAATAATTATACTTGGTCATCGTTAGTCAAAGATGGTGTTGTTGAATATGTTGATGCTGAAGAAGAAGAAACTATAATGATTGCCATGACTCCAGAAGATTTGGAAGCCAGTAAGACTCCTGAAGATGATTCTGAAGAATTAGATCCAGCCAAAAGAATTAAACCATCCTTAACCACATCATCCAGTCACACATTCACCCATTGTGAAATCCATCCTTCAATGATTTTAGGGGTTGCCGCTTCTATTATTCCGTTCCCAGATCATAATCAATCCCCTCGTAATACATATCAATCTGCTATGGGTAAACAAGCTATGGGTGTCTTTTTAACTAATTATGCCGTTAGAATGGATACCATGGCCAATATTTTATATTATCCTCAAAAACCTTTAGCTACTACAAGATCTATGGAATTTTTGAAATTCAGAGAATTACCAGCTGGTCAAAATGCTATTGTTGCTATTGCTTGTTATTCTGGATATAACCAAGAAGATTCTATGATTATGAATCAATCTTCTATCGATAGAGGTTTATTCAGATCTTTATTCTTTAGATCTTATATGGATTTAGAGAAGAGACAAGGTATGAAAGCATTAGAAACTTTCGAAAAGCCATCAAGATCAGATACATTAAGACTTAAACATGGTACATATGAAAAGTTAGATGATGATGGTTTAATCGCTCCTGGTGTTAGAGTCAGTGGTGAAGATATTATTATTGGTAAAACTACTCCAATTCCTCCTGATACTGAAGAATTAGGTCAAAGAACTCAATATCATACTAAGAGAGATGCTTCTACTCCATTAAGAAGTACTGAATCTGGTATTGTTGATCAAGTTCTTTTAACTACAAATGGTGATGGTTCTAAATTCGTTAAAGTCAGAATGAGAACTACCAAAGTCCCACAAATTGGTGATAAGTTCGCTTCCAGACATGGTCAAAAGGGTACCATTGGGGTCACATATAGACACGAAGATATGCCATTTACAGTGGAAGGTGTTGTGCCAGATTTAATCATTAATCCCCATGCTATTCCATCTCGTATGACAGTCGCCCATTTAATCGAATGTTTATTATCTAAAGTTTCATCATTATCAGGGTTTGAAGGTGATGCTTCTCCATTTACTGATGTTACTGCCGAAGCAGTTTCCAAACTTTTAAGAGAACATGGTTATCATTCCAGAGGGTTTGAAGTCATGTATAATGGTCATACTGGTAAGAAGTTAATGGCCCAAGTTTTCTTTGGACCAACTTATTATCAAAGATTAAGACATATGGTGGATGATAAGATTCATGCCAGAGCTAGAGGTCCAGTTCAAGTTTTAACTAGACAACCAGTTGAAGGTAGATCAAGAGATGGTGGTTTACGTTTCGGTGAAATGGAAAGAGATTGTATGATTGCTCATGGTGCTGCTGGATTCTTGAAAGAAAGATTAATGGAAGCATCAGATGCCTTTAGAGTGCATGTTTGTGGTATGTGTGGTTTGATGTCTGTTATTGCTAACTTGAAAAAGAATCAATTTGAATGTCGTTCCTGTAAAAATAAGACCAACATTTATCAAATTCATATTCCATACGCTGCTAAATTATTATTCCAAGAATTAATGGCAATGAATATTGCTCCAAGAATGTATACCGAGAGATCTGTTAGTGGTATTCGTATTTAGCTTTTGTTTGTATTCTATATTACCCTGGGGGTATTGGCTTTTTCTTATGTATAACTATAAAATTTACAATTAATAAAAATTTACGATATTTCAAATTACCATAAAGTAAGTGGTGTGTGTATATTTTATGTACAAATTGATGGATGATTATTTAACTGTGTATTGTCCTAATTACATGTTTAAGCAGAATGTCCTTCTAAATATTTCTTTCGAAGTTCAGATATCTTAGCTTCATTTTGTTCAAGTTGTGCTACTTTAGCCTTCATTTGTTCAACTTCATCAGCAAATGCTATTAAATTATCTTTATAAGGATGTTCATCTCCATCGAAAACTTTCAATCTATCCATTCTTATAAGTCTATGTTTAGTCTTTGGTATCATACCTTTAACAGCTCTCTTTAAAATTTCTCCATACCCTTTATTATCTATCATGGTTTCCATTGAAATCAATTTCAAGGACCCTGGACGAGTATTATGTGACCAGTAATGTTTATCTTGCATCTTATTACCTGTTACTTTCAAATGTTTGCAGTTTGTTACTACAACATAATCTCCATGATCTCTATTTGGTGAATATGTTGGCTTATGTTTTCCTTGTAAAGTTAATGCTATATTGGCTGCCAAACGACCTAATGTTCTTTGTTCTGCAGCGACATCCACATGATGCCACACCCTGGTTAAGGCAACGGCCGAATTACCTATTCTTTGAGACATAGTTGTGTTATTTTACCTTGTATTATGATCTAGTTTCACCAAGTCAATTGAAAAAAATTCATTATAGAAAAAAAATTTAAAATTCCTCGAAAGACATATAAAATGTCGCCTCATACAAAAATGTCTCTTGGCTTGAAAAAGTCGAACTCTTTTTTTTTTTGAACAAAAAGGAAATGAAAAATCAATAAAGCTATGGCTAACACTTGAAAGATCAAGACTTAGGGTAACAACTTTACCTTATAATATCTTCTTTCATTAACTACAAGGGCTTTGTATATATCACAAGAATAGTCGGGCACTATATACCCAAACAACTTCATTTGTCATTATTATAATATCAGGTTACATATATCAACATCAGAATGTTTTTCTTGAAAGACTTGTCATTAAACTTAACTTTACATCCGTCATACTTTGGTCCTCAAATGGATCAATATTTAAGAGATAAACTTTTAAGTGACGTGGAAGGAACTTGTACCGGTCAATTTGGTTATATTGTTTGTGTTTTAGATTGTATGAATATAGACGTGGGAAAGGGTAGAATTATTCCTGGTTCTGGTATGGCAGAATTCGAAGTCAAATATAGGGCAGTTGTATGGAAGCCCTTTAAAGGAGAAGTAGTGGATGGAGTGGTAACAACTGTAAATAAAATGGGATTCTTTGCCGATGTGGGCCCTCTTTCAGTATTCGTTAGTACTCATTTAATTCCATCAGATATGAAATTTAATCCATCAGCAAATCCACCAGCATATGTTAGTCCTGACGAAAATATAGAAAAAGGTTCAAGGGTAAGGTTGAAAATCGTGGGGACAAGAACCGATGTGAATGAAATTTATGCTATTGGAAGTATAAAGGAAGATTACTTGGGTCCAAGTCCATTATGAGTTCAGTGTATACATCAATTCTATTCTTCAATGTTTTAATTCATTCTTCTCTTTCTGTACATTATTTATCATAGATATAGTTAATACATAAAAGTTCTATTAATATTACATACATAAGTTTTATCTAGCAACTTTCAATCTTCTGAATCCGATGTTAAATCAATAAAGGTGGCATTACTACTCATACCAAAACTACTATTAGGTACACCAAATTTCAGTATCTTTGAATTATATCTTTGGGGATCAGGTGAATTAATGTAGATTTCACTAATCCTGCCATTTATAGGAGATGTCAGACTCTCAGACGAATGAGTGCCTTGAGATTTTTGAAAATTATTCAATAATTCTGAACTATCTGGACCAACCTTTTGTCTTTTCTGAGCTGGGGCATTTGATAATGATGATACCTGGGCTGATGGGACATTCGCCTTCAATGAATTAAGAATCTTCAAAGCAGCCATTACATCCAGTTCTGCAGAAGGAGATTTATCTAATTCTAAGCGACTACCGCTAGGTATTACTGCATCGACCTCTCTGGTCAGTCTTGGCACTGGCTCTTTGTTTGAAATTGAAGAAGCTGTGCTACTAGAAGTAGGAGAAACTGCTGCTGGCTTTGTATTTCTCCTTTGAAGTTCCTTTCTAGCCTTTTCTCTTTCAACATCGATGGTTGCTTTTGCCTCAGCTTGTTGAGCTAGCATAGTGCTCTTCACTTCAGCTTGCATCTTGATATAATCTTCACGTTTCACTTCTCTTTCATGTAGGATCTTTTCTTTGCGCTGTTGATCTTGACGCTCTAATGTTTTGAGGAAATCTTCTGGATATTCTGGTCCATACGTCCTAGGAGCAGCATATGCTATCACCAAACGATTTGTTTCAGCATCATACTCTCTCAAAAATTTAGCTTGATCCTTGTCCAACTGACTGATTTGTTCTCTAAATTGATTTTCTTGAGCCACAAATTGTTTAAAAAGATTCTGTAACTTCTCATCAGAGAAACTAGTTGATAATACCAATGCGTTTGATGGAGCAGTTGTGGAAGCTGAACTAGTATTATTCCTCAGGTAGGGGCTAGGTTGAGGTGCAGCTGGACGAGAAGCACCATTGTTGAAAAACCTTTGATTTATATTGTCATGCATGGTAGCAAGAGCTTTAGTGACAGGATCAGAGCTAGGGGACACAAATGAGTTTGGTGGAATATTTGAACGATGTATTAAATTTGGAACATTGGACGAATTATTTGAGTCTGCAGCAAAGCTCGTACGACCCCAAGAAGTAGATGGAGTTCTACTTTCATAAGCTGGGCGAGTGGCAGGCAAAGAATCCCGACGCTCTTTATCAGCCGAAGTACTTCCGAGATTTGGAGTTTGCCCATTTGCAACAGTACCGTTAGGTGATGTATCAGGATCACCAAACAAAATTGAACTGCCCAAAGAAAACGACTGGTTCCTTTCCAGACGGTCGGGCAATCTTTGATTTGATATTGTATCGTGTCTCAAATTTGAACTATCAGGGACTCTGTCATATGTTTCCTTTGAAAATCCAATTTCCGCAGTTTGCGTGTATGGAGTATTGTGATCTATACGTTGAAATCGTTCTAGTGGCTCAGCAGTATGCTGAATTGGATGTTTGGAGGACTCATCATTTGTTCTGCTCAATGGAACGCCAGCTTCGACAACCCTTGGTGTAGCACTTTCTTGAATAGCAGTAGAACGAGGCTCATTATTTGATTCAATAGCAGATGTAGTGTGATATGAACTATTTGTTTGGATAGTAGTTGTACTCTGGTGTGTATTATTTGAGATGGTGTTTGAAGTAGTTTCTTGATTCGATCTTACGTTGTTTGAACTTGGAATATAGCTATCAACTACTCTTTCAGCAGGACTGCTGAACCTTGACACAACAACAGGACGCCTGATTTGTGGTTGTTCGACTGAACCACTCGTATCTTTAGCTAATGTATCAGCATTATAATTTTGTCTTTGATTAGAAATCCTATTGCTTCTTTCAAATGATTCAGAAACCAGATTATTGACTCTGTTTTCCAGAGAACTTTGTTCCTGTCTGTCCAAATTTGGAGAATCATCCGTAAACAATGATCTTTGAGGAACTCTTGGACCCGTTGGTCGAGCAAATGGTCTTCTACTCGGAATAAATAAGTTTGAAACTGGGCTCTTTCGATGTACATGATGAGGGGCTGGACTTTTAGGACGTTGGTGAGATGGAGGTATGTTTGTCAGTGGTCCTGTTTCATCATTATCACGGCGATTCGTTGAATCATGATGACGATTCTGCGATATATCAACGGGGCTAGAAATGTCAGGTGGAGATTCACTCGAGGAAGTTTCTATTCTGGGTATTACGAGACCATTAGCACGTTGTACAGACCTATTCGAATTTACCGGTCTAGCTCCAGAACTAGCTGATGTAACAAGACGACTTGCTGGTTGTGTAGGTGGAGATAATCTAGGCGATTGGGTTGCAGGAGATAAAGAAACAGATGAAAATGATTCAGCCCTAAATGCCAAAGGTAAATTTGCCAGTTCGGAACTTGAAGCTCTCTCAGAAGTACTCGCATCATTTGCATTGTTACGTGCATTTTCGATCTCCGAAGGACTAATAGCGGGAGTTATAGCATCGGACAACGCTGGCGACCCTTGTATAACTGAGCTTGGTGTAGATACCACGGGGACAGCAGGTGGAACTTGTGCTTCATCTTCAGGTTCGGAGTCCGAATCTAAGATCTCTATTGCTTCAATTTGAGGCACATTGCTAGAGCCTCTACTAAATGGATGACGGACATCGTCATCACTATCATCACTTAAATCATCAGCTTCATGCTCTGCTAGCCATGTTCCATCAGATTGAATAATAACCAGGTTTACATTAGAATCAATTGAAGATAGTATGTCCATAAAATAATCGGATACAGCTAAATCATCAAAATTAACTTTTACTTGACAGAATGGGCATGACCATGTCGGCACTTGTAATTGAGCTTCTAAGAAAATAGCAGCATCAAAGCATTGAGTATGTTTGCAAGCAATTGATTGAACCGGATGCTTTAATCTTGTATATGAAACTGGATCTCTTAACGATATTGTACTGTTTGAAATTTCTATTTCTTCATCATCTTGTTGGGAAAGGATCTTCTGCAACGTGGTACTTTTGTGAATATGTGGACGTGATAGTATTTGGGCTAGGATTGATTCAACTGGGACTAGTTGAACGATATAGATATAACCTAGGAAGTCTTCTGATGTTTGGGTGTATATGAAATGAATTTTATTTGAGGTAGGAGCACTCTTTAGTAATGATGTTATATCAGCAGGCTTTGACGTACCTACTTTTCCTTTTATACCTTTGAATTGTTGGACTACTTGAGTACCATTTACGTGAAGTTCACAAGGAGTTGGATATTGAATTAAAACATCTCCTGAAGAAGGAGAATCTGATGCTCTCATACCACATAAAAAGTAAAATCTATAACTTTCATCTTTCAGACTTAAGAAATTATTCTCTTCTGCATTTAAAATGAATGAATATGTAATAGTTGCTTTATTCTTCAGAGCTGGACAAAGCTGAGGGCTACCATGAACCAACCTTCTTAATCTATAAAATGGATTATCTTTAAAGTAAAGAGAGTGTCCCCTGTATGCACGAGTGTCATGTTTATGTATTGACTCATCTTCTTGATCTTCTGTTTGTTCATCAGCTTTATATTCTCCACTCTTTATGGCATTGTATAATTGTTTATATGGAGGTAGATTAGACCCATTACATCTCTTCAATACAATAGTTCTGACCGACAATAATCTCACAGGATCCGAATGCTCTACACCTTGATTGAAATACATTGTTATTCGATCCACCAACTCCTGTCTCTTTCCTGTTAGTTTGATTTCCATCGAACGACAGATATCTTTCAACTCTGCTACTTTCATCTTATTAATCCGTAGTTTCGTGTCGCCGACCTCCTGTTCCGACAACGTGTGGACTTTCGCCCTATTTGAATTGCTCATCTTTAGAATGATCTTATATAGTGTATTATTGGATAGTGATTAGGATTAAGGGCATAGTTGGCCATGTATAACTTGATTCAATTCGATGCTTTTAAAGCCATTCACAAAATCACCAAACTGTTTTGATTTTTTGATTTTTTTCTTTTCTTTTTTCCCACAGTAACTGAAGCGCGCCTAACAAAATATAATACGACAATAAAGCATTTATATATTTTACAAACCCTATTTAAAAACAAGACTAAAAGGTAGCTACCCCTAACAAATTAGCAGCATTTTTAGCATCAATTACAGTTTTATCAGTTGAAAGCTTAGTATCATCTTGATCTTCTTCTTCCTCTTGTTGCTCTAATCTTTGTTCTCGTTCTTCTTCTTCTTGTTTCAAGGATCGAAATGTTCTGGAAGACCATGAATCACCACTAGCAGATTGAGATTGTAATAAATTATGCTTCAAATTACTAAGGTTATCTCTATTCAATCTCGATAACCCTCCTCGTTCATCAACAATACGAACATCCAATCTTATATTTTCAAGATGTTTAAGAATCTTTCGATGATATTCAATCTTATTTAACGTATAAGTCTTCAAGAGTCTTTGAAATTTATGTTCTGTGAATGATATTATTTCATCTTTTTCAAATAACATTTCCCCTGATATTCTCTTAACTTGTAAGTTTAATGATTCTTCTGCTTTCGTAGCATACTCCAAGGATCTAATAGCTTCATCAACTTTAATTGGATCCAAGGCTGACTTATTCTTTATCTTTGTGGCTTGTAAATGTTTAGCTTGAGTTTGAGTTTCTGCTTGTATCAATTCTCTCATTATTAAATGTCTATTAGTTAAAGCTTCCTTGATTTCATAAAAATCATCAATTAATGCTTGTACTCCATCACCCAATGAACCCATTTCATTAATAGATTCAATTAAATCCAAATCAGAATTTATTTGAACTATTTTACTTAATTTTTCCCACATATTCTTCATACCAGGATGTAAATTTTCAAATTGAGATAAAACACCTAATTTATTAGATAAATCAAATATACTGATTGATAATTGTTTTTGTGTTTTTGAACTTTTATCTAATAATTTATGTAATTTTTGACATGTTAAATAGGCTGCTTTAATCAACGGTCTGAAATCAGCCAACTCTTCATATGGATCATATGGGACTGCTAATTGTTTTAAAGTCTTACGTACTAAACCACTTGCCACATTTGTCTTTCTTTGAGTATTTATGACAGAATAACCAAAATCATTCTCAATGAAATAGATGAATTCATCGTCTCTGATTAAAATAGGATTGGATGTGATTCTATTAAACCATTCTTGCCACACGTAGATCAATTGTTTAGTTTCATCTTCTCCACCTGATGGATATGATGTAGTCGCACTTGGAATGACAGGTATAAACACTTCCAAATTGGACACAGTCAAATATCGATTGAATTTAACAACTTCATTATATGTTCTCCTTATATCTTTATACTTATTCTGTCTGTATCTAGGTAATCCTTTTATAGTAGCATCAAATCTTAATATAGGATTACCAATCTTATTCTTTTCAATTCCCAACAATTTGATAGTTAATTGATATTTATTAGTGAATCTTTCAGGGATCAACTTCTTCAACTCAGCCTCAGTCAATCTTCCCAGTTGAGCACCTTCTTGACCTTGATGTTGATGTTGATCTTGTATTGTATTCTGATCTGTAGTAATGGTTTCTACTTCAGGTGTATCTTCATGTTGATCTTCATATTGCGGTATTTGTTCAGACCATATTGGTTGTTCTGCGAAATGATTTTGGCTAATCTCTTGATCGATTGGTGCAGCAGAAGGGTTATTGTCCTCGAAGTCATCTGGTAAGTATGGAATTGCCGATGACATTGATGTTTATGATGTATATTACTATAATTGATATTGAAGTTTAAGCAGGTCATAACCCTCCTTCGTTATACAATAATTCAACCCACACTCATTTTTGTTTGTCGTTGTCAAAAATTGATTTGGAAATCTGATCATGTGATCGATTTTTCCCGCTGTTTGAAAAAGTTGAAAATTCAAATAAAGTGGTTTCATAGTCCGTAAGTTATATCAACGACAATAAGATTAAGAATGGCTAGTGGTGCTCCAGGTACGTATAACAGTATCTAATAAGATTAGAATAATGACAATGAATTGTTTACTAACCTTTATTTAGGTGGGAACTTTAGACATTGGTCACCAACTCCTCCAGAACGAGGATCATTTCCTCTTGATCATTATGGTGAATGTACTGAATATATGAATAGTTATTTAAAGTGTATGAAGTTCACTCAGAATCAGAACGCTCCTAATTGCCGTATATTGGCCAAACAGTATCTTAAATGCAGAATGGATAATCAATTAATGGAACAAAGTGAATGGGATTCTCTAGGTTTGGTAAATTTACCAGGTGATGCTGCTGCTGCTGCTGCTGCTGCTACCAAATCAAACAGCACGACAAAGATAGATTCAAAACTCGACCCTGCTACGAAAGAGAAGAAATAATGTTTATAAAATGACTACATATCCAAATAATAAATTGTATATAATATAATGGTGTTTATTTTTTTTTTTACTTGTATATATTTAATAGAAAGTCACTCATGCTTTAACTTCCTTGGTGGATGTATTTTGTCCCCCTCTGTTACCACCTCTACCTCCACGATGTCCATTTCCTCTACCTCTTTGACCTCCTCTACCTCTGTTATTATTTCCTCTTGGTCTACTATTGAAATGACCATTGTCGAGTTCTGATACACTGGATACTTCACTAGTAACTGATGCAGCAGAATGATGATGGGTATTTGGTGTTGGTGGATGTTGGAAGAATTGTGGTGGTAATGGAATACCTGGAACCATAGGAATACCATATGGTGAAGGCGGTGGTGGAATGAAAGGCATTTGCATAGGATGGTGTGGCATTGGTGGCATTGGAGGAGGAGCTTGTCCTTGACTCATGACATTATTATAAATATGGCCATAAACTTGCTTAATAGCTTGACTGTTTCTAAATCCTTCTTCATCTCCTTCAGTCTTATCATTATCAGAAACTTGTTTGTGTTCATTCTTTCTTAATAAAGATAAGATTTCATTAGATTGTTTGGATTTAGCATCTTGTTGTTTCTTTTGCTGTTCAGCTTGTTTCTTTTCCTCAATGATTTGCTTGTGTTTAGCTCTAATAGCCTTTTCTTCTTCACTTAATGGTTTTCTAACCTTTGAAGCTTTACTGTGATAAACAAATTGTTTATTAGTAAGATTTAAAACCAATGAAGAATCAATAATCAAACCTCTGTTTGTTTTTAATTTTCCACCAAGAGTGGTACCACTTAATAAAGTATGATCGAAAACAATGGTTAAAGATGTCTTTGAACCAATGGTAGTAAATCCAACAATAGTACCCTTAGATAAAATTGGAACTTTACCAAAATCTTGAACGTAAATAATACGATCACCTAAGTCAAACTTTTGATCACCTAATAATTGATAACTATCACTTGGATTTAAAATAGCATCCTTTGGAACACCTTTAATATCTCTATTCATAAATTTCAAAGGTGGTAAATTAATCATATAGTTTTCAATAGCTTGGAAACTGAATTTAGTTAAAGATTCACTTTCTAATGAAGCTAAAACTATATCTTGCTTGGCTTCCTTTAACCATTTTCTAACTTCGGCTAATTCTTCTGGAGTAGTAATACTATCAGCTTTTGGAATATCACGTCCTTGTAATCTACTCAATTGATCAAATAATTTAGGGAATTTCTTTTGATATCTTGAGATTAAATCAACGGCTAATGGAGAAAATTCCCATTGTCTACCATCTTTACGAGCATAACCTAAAGCCTTCAATCTTTTACCTTCGAATTTCAATTCTAAACCAATATTTACATTTTGATTTCTATTTTGGACCATAAAGGAACTTGTGATTTTGGAAAGAAGTAATGAATTTATTCTTAAAGCTCTTGCCACTTCATAAGCAGAAAGATATTTATATTCTCTTTCTTCAAGTTTCAATCTATCTTTACCAATCGAAGGTTCTGAGACAGTGGAAATCTTTGAAATTCTAATTCCAAGAGTTTCATCTTTATGACCAACTATATGGGCTGGAGCACCATAACCAAAATCTCCCAAAAATACAACTTGGGATCCAATTGGGAATTCTTCTTCAACTGGAACTGGTTGTCTACTAGCAAACCTTTTATCTTTGTTAGTGACTTCTTTAACAATTAATTGTATTGGATAACATTCTACATCTTTGGAGAATGTCTTAACGTAAGCACCTCTAGCAGTTCTAATTAAACCATTAACAGGTTGAACATAAACCAATACTTCAATCTTATCTAAAATAACACCTTTAGTCTTTTCGTAAACATACTTGGTGTTGGAAACTTCAGATCTAAAATCTTTACTCTCATCTGAATTTAAATCAACAGCAATAACTTTTTTATTGCTTGAGATATATTTCTTTTCTCTATCTTGTACTTTAATGATTTTACATTCTCTTAAGAATGGCCATTTACTGTATACTAATTTATTAATAAATTGTTGACTGAATTGGAAAGTTGATAAATCTTCCCAAACATTGGAAACTGTAAGAATCATTGATTCAGATTTAGATGGATATTGGAAAACTTTAACCTCACCAACTCTTAATTCAGCGTCAAATGGAATGGTAGATAAAGATGGGAAACCAGCTAATAATTCTTTACCAGTTTTAGCACCTTCTATGAAACCAATTCTTAAATCCTTCACTTCGGGTAACTTAAATTCTTCTTCATAACAGTTATCATGTTCAATATTAGCGAAGAATCCTGGTAATGGGGATTGATAAATATAATCGATTTGAGGATTATGAATAAAACTAATTAAATGACCAAATGAGTTTCTCTTAGTTTCTTCAGGAGTTAACTTAGCTTCAATTGGTTTCAAAGCAGCAATTAATTTTTCTTCCTCAACGAAATCTAATAACACAACAGCTTCCCAACTAGCAGTCTTACCATTCATATCAATATCAACTTCTTGAGGATAGAAATTTATAATTGGAGAATGTTCATCAGTCATAAGACCTCTATACACTAAAGGCATTAATTTCTTTGATCTAGCAGGTAAAACGGCCATTAATTGTTCGAATGGTCTAAATGGAGTTGATTTTTCATAAGTCAATTCATGACCTTCTTCAATTAAGGCTTCTAAACCGATGGAAATATCGGAAATTCTTGGAGCATAATGGTATTTATAAAACCAATTCCATGATGGAACTCCTTGATAATAATAATACAATACCCATTGTAACCCTTCAACATAATGCTTGGTTAATTTAACAATTTCATCTTCATCTCTAATGGAGAAATGTAATTTTTCCTTATAATAATCATCTTTCCAATCTAAAAACTTTTCATTATAGATATCTTTAGTAGATTTTAATAATTCTTCAGTATCAATCAAATTAGCAGATTGATACTTTTTAATGACTCTTCTTAAATCACTAACACGTTCTTCGGTTTCTTCAGGAGATTCATAAGGATTTAAACCATCAATATCTAATTTTGCTTCATAAGTGTCTTGAGAAACAGAATGAATAATAAGAATACCAGCTTCAATAGAGAATTTTTTAAGGAAATCTAAATATTTTTCAACTTCCTCTTTTTGTAATGGTAATGTTTTTAATTTACCTTCATTTTCTAATTCAATTAATTTTGATACTGGATTATTTGAAATTTCCATTAACCAAGGTTGAATAAACCCAATTAATTTCTTTTCATCTTTTAAAATTAATAATTTTCCAATTCTTTGACGTTTCTTTTCTCCAGTTATAGAGATATCATCTAATTTTTTATTAAACCATTCAACGTCAACTTCTTGTTTTTCGAAATTTTCTAATTCAAATTCAGCTAAAAAGTGTAACCAAATATTTAAACGTCTTAAATTAATTTTCCCATTTTCATTAATATAACCATCAGATTGTTTTAAAGTTTGTTTGAAAGTAGCAATTAATAAGGGGAAAGCACCTTTATTAATAAATAAATCAGGTAAATTTGGTAAGAAATCATTACCAATAACGTACATGATTAAAATAAAATCATCTAATAATCTATCAAAGTTATATTCAAACGTTAATTGATCTTTTAAATCAGTAAATTCCAATTCCATATATTCTCTTAATAAAGATAAATGTAATAAATAGAATTTTTGATCATTAAGTTCTTTTGAACCACTTGAACCTCTTTTTGGTCCAAATGTAACTTCTTCTCTTAATAAAGCAAAATGAGGATCATGACTAACTAATCCCAACATAATTAAATCAGCATCTAAACCATAAATACAATGTCTTGAATTTGGATCATATTCAGGTTGAGATCTTGCTGATCTAATGTATTCCATAATTTTATGTTCCCCTTCACCAGGTACTTCATGACCACTTAATACAATGGTAATATTAGCCCAATTTGAATCTTCAGTGATTTTTTTATGAATGAAATATTTTAAATTATCAGTTAATTTAGCCATGAATTCTGTACCTGGAGTAATAGAATTTGAATCAAAGGGATCATCCTTTGGTATAGCTTCACCATTTTCAATGGCTTTTTTTAAATTTCCTTCTGCTTCATAAGCAGTTCTGAATCTTCTTGCTCTTTGTTGATTCATTTTAGCTCTTGGAGCCACTCCATCAATAGCCATATAAAACGTTTGATTGGGTTTAATGATTTCAAATAAATGTTCGATATATTGGAAAATAGAAGCATACATTTGATCATCACTTAAATGAGTTATACTACCATCATTAGAATGAGTACACGTATGTAAAATTGAATTCATATCTAAATATAAATTATCAAATTCAGGAATTTGATTCTCATCAATCAACTGAGAGATCATCGGCCATCTTTCTGAGATGAACCTGAAGAATTTTGGAATACCCATGGTTTATATATGTAAAAATCTAGTTTTCTATTTATAAATTTTTCAAAAATCGATTCCCTTTTCTGAATAGTATTGTCTATTGTTAATGGATGTAATTAGGAATGAATTGGATCTAAGGTAAGGGATATATCAAAGGTATATGCTGTTACTATGGATGAATCGTCTAATGATTAACAAGGATGGATGGTTTGATGAGATTTGTAAATAGATATGAAATTTAGCATGAAAGCTTTAACTTGCATTTTAACTTGGTTCGTCCAGTTAAGATTTTTTTGACAGTCAAAAAAAATATTCTGGTGAACTTCTGCGGCACACGACCTTTTTCTTTTTAATTAGTTAGATTAGCATAATGAATGGTTGATGGTAGTATAGTTATAAAGTATGATGATATCTGACAGATTAATGGCATTTAATAAAGTATACAAGTTTAGGATTTGAATGAAAATGAAAATGAAAATCAAGAGAAAAGAAGAGAAATGTAGAATCAAAAGCGTAAATGAACAATTAACAGAAATTTATCTAGATTATTATAAAATGGTTGCAACTATCATATACGAGATGCTGTTGAATGATTACACTACTTGATTCATGAATCTGAAACAATGACTATAGAAGTCTAGAGTCATCTTACTAACTAAACTTAAATTACCTGTGAAGAACGTGAACTTTGTAACTGCTCAAAATGGTAACAAGACAAACTATCATGAAACTGAACTCATTTCTGAAACCACCTGAACCGGTGTAAAATAAGGTCACCCTAGTTTGAAACACATGACATAGATGATAGAACCCATATCATCACTTCTGCATCATTTCTTGGCTTTTTGTTCATATGTATGGAAGTGAATAATCGTATTCCAATAATTACATTGCCATCGCCTAATTAGGAAATTTTTATGTCACAAATTGTCACTATTGATGCAAATTAAATTATATCATGTCATAATCCTAAACCAACCCCAAAAAGAAATGTCATATCAAGTATATCCAGACATTCACCAACACGAACTGTATAAATACACCTCGAATACCAACTTTTCAAATTCAAATTCAATTCATTTCAAATCAGTACACATACAAACAACTTTCACAATGGCTGCTCCACAACAAACTCAAACTAAAAACGAATCTGCTAAAAAAGATCAAAACAACAGTACCGGTTGGGGTGCTACTCCAAACAGATGTACCATTGTCTAATTGTCTGATATAGAGACATATCGGAATTCATAGGATGCTGATATGCTATATTTATTAGATTTTTTTACAGTTCATTTCATTTCATTACATTTCTGACTTCATATTCATTTCATTTCATTTCATATGACTCTTTTTAAACCTGGTGAATTATCCTTTTGAACAATTATTATCATAAGTTGCAGGATCAACATGTATAAAAGATGGTTTAAAAGTCATTTAATTATTATTAAATTAAAAAAAAAAAAAAAAACTTACATAGATTTATATAGATATATATATATATATTAATACATAAATTTATGTAAAAACAACAATAACAACAAACAACTTCGTAGATACAACAATATATTAAAGACAAGAGCTAAAATATAATATTAAATAAACACAACTAACTATATATAGAGACAAAATAAAATAAAAAAAAAGAGATTATTAATGAAGTAGCACACACCAGGAATCAATCCTTGTCACTTCGTCCAAAAGAAAACACAACCAGACAATAATCATAAATTTAAACACAAACAAACAACAGCAATAGCAATAATAATAATAATAATAATAATAATAATCAATTAAATCACCCCATAAACCTTTAACCAGTTGACCAAAGAATAATCCACATAAAAATAAAGATAATAAAAAGGTATAAATATATAAAAAAAAAAAGTAACATAAAAAGTAAACGACACAACTGTAAAAACGTAAACCAATAATAATAATAATAATAATAATAATAATAATAATATAAGATGACACTCATAACACAATAAGATCTTTAGTTAATTGATCATAGGGACCAAATAAATATTGAGTATATTCCACAAATTTATCATGAATAGTTATAGCAGATAAATCTAAATTTTGTTTAATCGAAGATTGTTTAAAAATTTCAATATTCTTTAAAATTAAAATTTTAGATTGATCAATATAAATTTGAATTTTATCTAATGGTTGTTGATCTTTTATATATTGATTTAATAAATTAGTTTGATTAATTAATTCATCCATACCAAATTTTGACATTTCAATTAATTTATTGGCTCCAACTATACCATATTTTAATCCTAATTTAGATTGTTTATCAACTATAATAAAAGTTTCTTTACTAAATCTATCAAATTTAGTTTGAGAAATCTTCATAAAATCAATTAAATTTTGTTGTAATAAATAAAATTGATCCCAATCAATATCATTAGTTTGAGCTCTAATAAATTTAGATAATTTATTGGTCTTTTTTGCCTTTTGACTAAAAAATAAAAACAGTTTAACCGGTGGTTCAACTTCATATACTAAATTATCATATAAATTATAAATTTCAATAATTTTATCTTGAATTTGAGGTGATAATGAATCAAGTAAAGAAGGAGGAGGAATTGGTTGGGAACAATTACACATTGATTTAGTAGTAGATTGAATTAAACAAATAGTTGAAGTTAATAAGTAATAAGTTGGAACAAGAGAAACTATTATAGCACCAAACAAATAATAATATAAATATTGAGAATTTGATTCCATAAAAGCTTGTAAGAATTGAACTGCTTGTAATAACAAAGATTGAATATACCTTTTATCTATAATTAAGAAATTATTAGTTGGTAATGGTGGTGGAGGTGGTGGTAAGGATGAGGATGATTTTGTAGTGGTTAAGTTATTATTTTCAGATTCAGTAGATGATAAAGTTGAGATTGATTTAACTGATGGAACAGTTTGATCAACTAATTCAATGGTATCTTCCAAATTTGAATCATCATTTAATGATGGAGGGATAATGTTGTTGGTGGTAGTGGTGGTTGAAGTTAATTTAATGTTATTAAGGGAATCAGTTGATTCAATAATATAATCATTCCATTCTTGAATCTTCAGTTTAGCATAACTTGAATAAAATTGATTTGAACTTTGTTTAATTGATTCATTAATCTTCGATAAGTTTTCATAAAACTTAATTTTATTACCAATATTTTTGGTGCTGGTAGTAGTAGTAGTAGTAGTAGTAGTAGATGATGATGATGATTTGTTACTGGTAACCACTTTTGATTTATCATCATCAATAACTGCGGCAATTGGAGGAACATCAGCAACAGCAATGATGGTAGAGACTGAATTCTTTTTGATTGATTGTTTATCTGATTCAGATGGAGTGATCATTGGAGTTGTAGTTGAATTGGGTAATCTAAAGCTTCCATTAAATGAAGAAACTGAACTATTAGTAAAATCAGGAGTTACAGCGGCAATATTATTATGATGATTATTTTCAACCAAATTTAAGGGATCATGTTCTCTATCGATATCATCACTAACGGTTGATCTATCATCATCGACATCAGAAGAAGAACTAATAATGGACCAATCTTCATCAGTTGAATGATTTGTAGTAGTAGTAGTACCAGTAGTAATACTTTGAGGAAGAGGATTAACTGGCATTTAAGGGATAAGTGAGGCACACACACAAAGTCTCAGTAAATGATAAGACAGACAGATAACAAATGAACTGATAATTGAAAAAGGGTATGAGATAATTGATTGATTGGCAAGGTAGGTAGGTATAACTTTGTTAAACAAATTGATTTAATCAATCTAAATACACAGTAATTGAATCAAAATAAGTATAATAATAAAGAAACCTTGTTAAGTAATTATCAAATAGGAAAGTGTAGTGTAATCAAAAAAAAAAAGTGACTCCCCATTAATTCTATCCCTCACACCCACACACTAAAAAAAAAAAAAAAGAATAGATCAAGGGGGGGGGAGAGACCTAGAACTACAGGGAAGAGAAGGGAGGCAAATAATAATGAGATGTACTGACTGTATAATATTTACTATTAGGGATATAACTTACAGTAGACTAGTTAGTAACTAGTAACTAGTAACTAGTAACTAGTGACAAACTATCGTCTACTTATAATATATGATTGTGGTTAATTATATGCTATTTATAAACGCAATAGTTAAATATTATAGTTAATTAATTATAATCTATATGCTGATCTAATTCATTTCATTTCTTTTCACTTTACTTCATTTTATTGCTTTGACAACCATTATATTTGGTTTGGTTTATCCCTTATTCGCTTTATTATCCCCCATCTTTATAGTGTTTCATTAAAACAGTTATTTTTTTTTTTATTTTTTATTTTTATTTTTAATTTTTAAATTTTAATTTTTCCTTATCAATAAATAATTGTTCCTTTTTATTTTTTTGTTTTTTAGTGTGTTTAATGGGGTATAAAAATAAAATATCACAAAATCAAAAATTTACTTTTATTCGGTCATGTGATCCAGATCACATGAGTTTTTTCTTTGTTTATATGCAGTATAATATAGTCGATCCTTTTTCCTTTTTTTATTCTTTTTTTTTTTTAACTTCTCACCGCCAAAAAAAAAAAATATTTCTCGTCTTCCATTGTTTAACAACTATGTGCATGCATGAAAGGTTGCAATTTATACAGACGACAAGGCTAAACCCAAAATCAATCATTCCTATTTCTTATGCTTGTAAATCAAATCTCTTTCTTTGTTGTTTAAACAATAGAGATTTGATCCCTTATATCAAATGATGTCTGATATACACTTATAAATACTCATTCATTCAATCAAGCAAGCAAATTGGTAAACTTTTGATTTATTATAATTATATAAATTTTGAAAAAGGGTAGAATAGAAAAGCACACACTTTAAAAAAAAATGAATGTAAATAGTAAATTATTAAATAAAATGATATATAGGTATATACATGGATAAGAATCAGTGTTTCAACTTTAAATTGAATCTCTGTTCTGTGTTTTTGTTTCTTTCTTTCTTTTTAGAATCACTCTGTGGTATGTTGTAAACTGTGTTTTTTTCTTCTATCCCTTGTAAAAATCTTTTGATTTCTGGTTGAATTATCTCGAAATGAATGAATATAACTCTTGACCCCTTGATAGGAAGATGTCCTAGTCTTTGATATTACTATCATCAATACTCATAACTCTAAGAAAATAAACCTTTCACTTTCTTCTGAATAGGAATGATCTCGTAAAATAACAGAAAGTGACATTAAGAATATAGATAACCTCATAATAACCTTATCCTTATGATGGTCCTTGTGGTGGTGGTCCTTGTGGTGCACCTTGAGACAGAGGTGATTGATTATTAGGTGGATAATTGGGATAATGCTGATATGATGGTTGTTGTTGACCTTGTCTACCTTGCTGTTGTTGTTGTTGTCCTTGACCTTGCACCTGTCCCTGTTGATGACCTTGAGGTTTTGATTGTCCTTGTTGTAACTCTTGTTGTTGGATTATTTGCGGTGGTAATGGGGACTGATGCGACAGTGTTGGTGGTGGTTGAGATACATTATATGAACCTTGATTAGTCGTATTTTGACTATTGGAAGATGAATTACCACGCATGAAATATGATGATGATCCAACATTTATAGGAGGTGATATTATCGGTGGTAAATTGATTGGCATGGGACCTGGTAAAGTAGTCTTTATAAAATGTTGTATGGAAGGTATTTGTTGCAGCTGTGAAAGTGGGGTTGCTGGTGCAGTTGAAGAGTGAGGAGGCGGTGGTGGTTGTGGTGGTGGAGGTTGATGCTGCTGGTGCTGAAACTCATGTGGATGATAGTAATATTGTGGAGGCGGTTGGGAACCAGGTGGAGGAGGACCAATATGTGGTAAAGGTAACAGTTGCAGTATCGGTTGTTGTTGTTGATAGGGTGGATATGCCAGTTGAGATTGAATATAATGTTGCGGTGGAAGACTATGATAACTTTCATGATGCATTTCGACATTAGAAGGTGGATATGAGTTAGGTTGACCAATCATTAATGGACGAGCATGTACTGATGGTGATTCTCGAGACGGTATATATATCGGAGGTTGTTGAATTGGTGGCAGTTGTTGACCAGTAGGTGGTTGAGGAATGATTGCACCACCACTACTTCCCGAAGGGAGGATCTGAACAGTAGATGGTCTTCTCTCCTTAATCATATTACAAGCATTGGGACTATTCAAATGTCGAGTTAATGCATCTGGTCGAGCGAATTTCCGATCACATCTCGTACAAATAAATGGTTTCTCTCCCGTATGTAATTTCTCATGTCTTTTTAAATCATGAATTCTTCGAAATGTTAAATCACAAACATTACATACATGAGGTTTACTTGATGAATGGATTAATTCATGACTTACCATATTATGTTTCCTTGTGAATCCTTGATTACAAATCTTACAATAATATTTCTTAGGTAATTTGCTAGGTTTAGATGAACTGGTAGGTGATGATAAATAATGGATACCTGATATTGATGATAACGTTGATGATGATTCTTGTAAGGGTGAATCCATTGGCTCTGCCTTCACATTATTAGGTGGAAGGCTTTCACTATTATTACTATTGATAGTTCTATCTATCAGTTCTTCTGTATCTTCTGGTTGTTGACTTGGACCTGGATTATCTTCGCTTACGTTACTCACTTGGCTAGCCGGTCGTAGCAGTTGCTCTGATGGTTGTTTTGGAGGTTGATTATTTTTCTTCATGATAATATATACAAGTTGTAAATTGTTCCAAAAGGGTTGCGTTAATGTTATAATTTTAATCTCCAAAAAAAAACAGTTCTATATTATATGGTTATAGTTTGTTTGGGTTGTATGTATATATGGATGTACGAATTGAACGATATGATAAAGATTAAATAATTGATTTAACATTGATATGTAAAATGGGGGTTGTTCTTGTGGAAAGTAAGAATTGATTAATAGTACAGTTGTATGTTTTTGTAGTTGGAGTAGTTAATACTTTTGGCTATCTCGTTTTAAAACATCGAATGATATACTTGAGGTTTATATATAGAATGAGAGATACCTTTTTTGCCTTTTAATGTAGATTATCTTCTTGGAATATAATTCTTTAAACAAGAAAATACGAGGGGAGGAGGAAGAAATAATCAAAACAATATCGTTGACTAAAATTATGGTTGATATAATATTGAAAGAATGTGATTGTTGTGGTTGATTCAATGGTTGATTTAATTTGATTTGTTATGATTATGTCTAATTAAAAACTTATCAAAATTAATTAGATAGATTACAAATCTATATTTAAATTAGAATTTGATGACAGCTAAGATGGATTAAATAAGACTTAAGATTTTAATTAAAAGTCATAAAATTATCCTTTTTGATCAAACTTTAAATAGATTGTATAATGGGGGAGGGGAACCTACCAACAGTAATAACTTAAAGTTTATCAATTAGTTAGGAAATGGTAGAAATTATGTGTACTTGGAAAAGTTTAACCCAGATCTCCAAAAATCAAATAAAGAAAATAGAAGAAAACCAATAAAAAATAGAAGAAAGACTGAATTAAAAGGAATTACCAAATCAATCAAAAGAAGAAGAAAGAAATAAAACAATTAAAAATTGTTGTTGTTGATACAGGGGGGAAGAAGAGAGGAGAATGAAATCAATAAAAGAAAAATGGAAATCAAAGAAAAACAAGTACTAATAACGACCAACGGTAAAATGTAGATTAGAACCGATTAAATACAATCAAACTTAGACAAGAAACACGAAATAACACTTGGATCAAATGGATTTGAAGTTTTCGTTGATTTAAATGATAATTAATGGTTGAATTTGCAATTGAGATTTGAAAAAAATTGATACAGACCGATAAATCCCTGGTAGCTCTGATCGTAATTGATGATTTCAGAGTCTGGTGACGATGATGATGATGATGATGACGGTGTTATTGTTTGTTGAAGTTCGTTGTTAGGTCCTCCAGATTAATTTATAGTTTCGATTTCAAAACTTATTCTAATACCAAATGGTTTCTCTTAACCATTTACACAAAAGGCTAAAAATATAAAAAGAAGACCACAACCAAGTATGATTTTGAATCTAGGAAAGGGTTAACTCAACAGTTTCCTTCAATTGTTCACTGAATGCAAATATTGCAAACCAAATAACGGCAAAAGTAGGGTTTTAATTTGAATTTAAATTCAAATATAATATAATGGATTTATATATCCCAATTAACTAAGATAAAAGATATTTGCTCTCTATTTATATTTGTTATATATAAAATAGGTTTTAAAAAATAAAAATAAAAAAAAAAATGTAAAATAAAAACCTCCAAAGAAAAATATAAGCTTAAACAGCAAAAATAAAAAAAAAATTAAATAAAAAAAAAAAGTATTTTTAATTTTTATTTATTTTTTATTTTTTAGGCTCTTTTTTTTTTTTTTTTTTTTCTGAGAATGACTGAGTGAGAGTGAGCGACAAATCAATGGAAGTTGAAAATGGAAATGGAAGAAGTTGACCAAAACAGTAATTTCCAAATTAAACATAAAGTTTTTATTTTAAGCTAAAAAATAAAAAACTTAAACGTATGTTTCAATTTGGCGTGTAGTGGAGATTGTTAGACAGATAACTTTTGTGGTAAATTAAACATAATTACGACAGGCGATATTCGAAGATGAGATGGATGAGATGGAGGAGAGAGATAAAGAAACAGAAGAAGATTAAAGGCGTTCTTCTCGAAGGACTTGATGTTGAAGTAGAAGAAGAAGTAGAAGAAGGAAGGGGGAGCAGACTTCTACTTTTGGTCGGTTAATGACTGTACTTGTAGGTTTCCATGCTCATGTAAGGTATGTTTCCTTTCCGTAACTGAAGGTTAAGCATAACGTAAGTAGTTGATAGTAAGCGTAAGGGTTACCTTCATTTAGACAGTATATGTAAAGTAAAGAGTAGTATATGTAGTAAAATACGGATGCAAAGATATAAAAAATAAAATAAAATTCATAAATGTTGTCTGTATAGAAATTTCTAAATTGTTCTCAATTGCTTCTAGGAAGAATATCACAGATTAGGAAGGGAACAACGACGGCTAATCTTTCATATAAAAATTTTTCTTCTGATTTGAATATAGTTGGATGTTTTTATATTCTGTCTCGCTTAAGCTAGCTACCTAAGGCTTTTGATGATGATATATTCTATAAAAATAATCTGAATATTTCAATCACTATTATTATACGGGGTTCTCTTAAATTAAATTTGATTAGGGAAAAATTTTTTTCTTTCTATTTTTTTGTTGCTGAATTGGTCCAGATAGTCATTTGATCGTCGAATCGAATTGAAGCCGAACATATACTTACAGGAAATTCATATAATAATATATTTTGCATATAAAATTTACTTTACTTCAAATGTTGGGTCTAATGTGGTTAATGAAAAAGTGTTATTTTATATTTACTTATATATTTTAACGTCAAATGTCTTTATAAAGTTGAAATATACACAAAAAGACTTCATTATCGTTAAACAAGGAATGTATGTGGGTGTATGATGTCATTTGAAGCGGTTGATGGTTTAAACTCCCATTGTTAAAATTTATGAAGATCTAAAGACTTGCATATAAATTGTCCAACTGTACATTTATCTAATTAATTCCCACACTCCTGATGGTGAAGAGCTATGTGGTGTTACTTTTTCTTAGGTATAGTATTTGTGATACTCGGAATAACTCTAATCAACGACGAAGACGACATTGATGTATGCATGTGTTAACAGATGTGAATCATTTTTTTAAGCGTTACAGTAAGTAGGACCACCATCATTTAATTTAAATGAGATATAGTTTAAGGGAAAAAAGACCTTAAGCTGATTTTGAGAGATAATGATTTTAAAAATTTGTTCTATTTTCTAAAGTGCTCGAAAGTAAAGCAGTGTGTTTCCTTTCAATTCTGATCAAAATAGGAAAGCCCAAAAACTAAAAATTAAAATTAAAAAAAAAAAGAATAAAAAATAAAAATAAAATTAAAAATAAAATAATTAAAAAAAATTAAAATAAAATAAAATAAAATAAAATAAATTAAAAAAAAATCAAATTTTAAGCTTTCTGGAAGTTAACCACAACCCGTTTATTCGCCTGCTTATGCTTACAAAATTTTTATCACAGTAACTGCAAAAAAAATAAAATTCAGCGTACCGGAAAATATGAGCAGAATACACTCAAAAAAAAAGTCCATTACCATAAAAAATTATCCAAAAAAATAGAAAATAATAAATTTATTGCTAAAAAATTATCCATTATGGCGGAACAAAAAAAACAACATTAAATAAACCAAATGCTTATTTAAAAAATAAATATGTTTTGCAGGAGCAGCACAAGTCGGGAAATATGTCAATTTGATTAGTGAACAATGTTTAGTTGCCACGAAATAACCCTCCCATATTTGTTGTTGTTCTGTTTTTTTGTTTTTTTTCAATTCAATATAATGTCTTAAATAGGATGGATTGAAATGGCTAAGCGTTCATAACCGTAAACGTAACCCTGAACGTATTTAGTTATTTGGTCTCAGAGATATTCTTTCCATCAAATGGAAAATAATGAAGAAAAAACTCTAAAAATGGTTTCCTTGCTACCAGTGGGGGAGAGAATGGATGATTGTACCCATTCTATTATATCTCATATTACTCAAATTTCTTGAATTATTATTTAGGATGGGGTAATAAGCGCCTATATTTTTTTGGTATTTTTTTTTTATTATTATTAACTTAGTTTGATTTGATTTGGTTTTAGTTTTGGTTTGTCGATACGAATTCACATCCTTAAATTTATTTATTTCATAATTGCTAAAATATACTGTATAATGCAATTTATTAATTAAAAGTCAAAATAAAACTTGTATTTCCCCTTGTCAAACATAAATGTAAAAACAAAAAAAAAAAATAGCATTCAAAAATGTATGCAAAGAGCATTACGTAATTCAAATTTGTGCTATTTTTGCTTTGTTCTCCGAACCAAAATAGCAATTTTAATAAAAAAAACAAAAATAAAGAGGTTTTTTTTTTTTGGAGTGAGAGATTATCATTCATAGATAACTCAGATGAATTCTTTTTTTTTTTTTTTTTTTTTTTTTTTGATATTTGATTTTTGAATTTTTATTTATTATTTTATTTCTTTTACTTATTTTTTAGTAAATGTCTAAAAAAACATATGATTTGCTGATCCACAACTAAAATATTAAATGTAAATCTGTCAACGTGACCCAAGTCATGTGTTGATCTGGAGTCAAGTCAAGTGATATGGTGCACGGGTGTCATTTGCGGAATATATTGCCAAATTGAAACTATACAGTACATATAATATTTTAATACACTAAACCAATTAAGAATAATGAAAAGAAATTTATATAAAAATTAACCCACTACACATTTACGATGAGACCTTTGTTAAGGGCTTATGAGCTAACAAATTTACATCATCATTTAAACAAACTGAACTATGATTCATCGTCTAATCGTATTCAAAGTTTAATATTGAAATAAACGTATACGTCGGACGAGAGCAAGGGGGTTAGATCTTAGATGAAGTTAAGTTTTTATTTTTTTTTTTTGATTGATTTCACTAAACGTAAATATAGTTAGTTAATGACACATAATAATACTGTAAATGAATGTTCTGTACATATTACATTTAGTGAGTTACTACAGTAATTATCTTTAAGTTACGCAAATAGGGATGGCACATAGTGTCCACGCCGCAGTTTTTAACTTAAAATAGTGAGGCAGTTTTAGTCTTTAGTGAGTGTAGGTACATTTGTAATCTCTACTGTGTCCACCCGCACTGCCTCAGGGAGAATTCGTAGCAAGAAAAAAAGAAATGGTAATGAAAGGAAACAGGAAATCCATCTCTCTCATAGGAGATAAAGGTTTAGGGGGGTGAGGGGGGGGCGTGTATGATGGATAATCTCACTCTTTTCAGTACATTCTCAGTAAATTACAGAACTGTCGTCCTTTCTCCCCCTCCCCTTAATATTTTAATTTAATTTTAACCTTTTTCTCCGCCTAATAGATTTATTTTTAGTGAGGTAAATAGAGGTACGTTTATTAATCACCACCACTAATCTCATAAAACACATCACCTTTTTGTTACCATTTCCACGACCCCATGTTTTACATTTTTGTGAACAGATTTTTAAATTAAATTAAATCTCATCAATAATTAATTAGTTAACCAAATAGTGTAATCCAATATCAATATCAATCAATCAATCAATCAATTATTACATTTCAACTTTGTTTGTTTACCCCTGTTTCATAGATTTTTGTTATCTAAACATCTTCTTTAGATATATTGTCCTATATATCTAAACTAGTTTGGACTTTAAGGTCTGGATCTTCTACACAAAATCCTCCCTCACAACCCCCCTTTCAATCATCCCATACCTTTTTTTTACCACCATAACCATATCCTACAAATCACCTATCATCCATCCATAAATTATCATTAAATAATACTATTTCATCATATTCCATCAATCAGACTAATATCATCAGTCGTTTATCATCTGTGAAATCACCTTATTGATTAATCTACCTCCTTAATTTATTGCTTAATTATACTATTTATATTTCCTAACTTTAAAATTTCATTATCCCAAATCATTTTATTTCATCCTTGTTAATACACTTTTTATCATTATCTTATATGTTAATGGTATAAATATCATTTTATAATGTCCTTAATCTCAAATAGAAAGCGACCAAGAGGGTTTAGTGAAACCTTTGATAACGCTACCAAGGCCTCCCATCATCAACAAAATCAAATCTTACATAAAAATAATACTAATTCAAATAATACCACTAGTGGTAATTCAACTAATGAAGAAGATTTAAAAAGCTTACAATTGAATTTCATGGATCATGATGTATCAGAAAGTTTATCATCATCATCAATTAATTCATCTCCTCCTCCTACATCTCATTCATCTTTACAATATTCAAATCTTATTGCTAATCCATTTTCAAATTCAATTTCTCAATCTTCTCATAATAACATATTGCCTACTACAAGTGTTTCTACTATTCATTCTTATCGTACCAAATTTAAAGATTCTAAAAGAGGGTCTTATTTTATAAATGATGATGATGATTTTAATGAAGAAATTGAAGATGTCGACATTGAACAGGTTTTAATCGATGAAGATCATGGTTTAGTTGATACCGTCGATCATGAAGATGAAGATGAAGAAGATGATGACGACGATGATGATGACGAAGATGATGATCAAGACGAGGACGAAGAAGATAATGATATCGTTCATGATTTACATCATAATAATAATAATGATAATAATCACCTTTATGTTGAAGAAGATGAAGACGATGTTATTATCCTTGAAGAAAGATCAGTACTTCCTAAGACTAAACGAAATAACAGTGATTCTGTCTTATTAGATCATGATGCATTTGAAGCCTATAATATGTTTAATGTAAATAATGTTCAACCAGTTTTATTTGAACCAGAAGAATCAAGTTCCACCTCATCTTCCTCATCCTCATCTGCCACTTCATATTCATCCGCTTCCACCGCTACCAATATATCTACTGATTTATCTCCATCTACTTTTTCAAATACTCCATTCCCATTAAAGAAACAAAGAACAAATTCATTACCTCAATTACCTCAAGCAAAATGTTTTTATCATAAATTACCTAATAATTATATATTACAAACTCCAAAATTAGGTAATATAAAAGCTAATGTCATACCTCATGATCATGATTTACCTCCATGTGATGATGAAAACGGTCATTATATCATTAAATTACAAGAAAACTTTGCTAAACGTTTCACAGTTATAAAATTATTAGGTCAAGGTACATTTGGAAAAGTGGTACAATGTTATGATAAAGTGAATCGTGAAAATGTGGCTATTAAAATCATTCGTAATATTCAAAAATATCGTGATGCTGCAAAAATTGAATTAAGAATCTTATCAACGTTAAAGAAATTTGATAATAGAAATGTAAATCATTGTATTCATCTTAGAGAATGCTTTGATTATAGAGGTCATATTTGTATTGTAACTGATTTATTAAAAATAAGTCTTTATGATTTTTTGGAAGCTAATAATTTCATTTCATTCCCTGGTTCTCATATTCAGGCCATTTCAAAACAATTGATTCGGTCAGTTAGTTTCTTACATGATTTAAAATTAATTCATACTGATTTAAAACCAGAAAATATCTTACTTCATGATGATACATTCATAAAGAAAAATCTTTATAGTACCACCATAATTCAATCATACTTAAAATTAAGTTCATCAAATTCATCTCAAACCAAAAAACAACCAAAATATCTGAAAATTTTGAAAAATCCATTAATTCAAATCATTGATTTCGGTAGCGCCATTTTCAATGATGAATATCATTCATCCATCGTATCCACTCGTCATTATCGTGCCCCTGAGATTGTATTAGGTGTAGGTTGGTCATTCCCATGTGATATGTGGTCGGTAGGTTGTATACTTGTGGAATTAATTATTGGTGAACCATTATTTAAAACTCATGATAATTTGGAACATTTGGCTATGATTGAAAAAATATGTGGTTATAAAATTGATAAATCAATTGTGAAACTTTCTAAACAAAAGGAAAATGAATGTGGATTAGAATTCTTTACTAATGAATATATCAGACCAAAGAGAAGACAATCAATTCATCAATTACAAAAGCATACTCAAACTTTACCATCTCGTAAAATGAGTCAAATATATACCGTGGTTGATGAAGATGATGATGATGCTGATTCAACTTCCTCAGTCATAACAGACGATACTGATGATGAATTTGGTCGTGGTCCAGATGAATACGATGATGAAGAAGATGACGATGATGATTTAATCATTGATGAAGATTCAGGGGAGCAAAATTCGCTTACCTTGAAATTCCCTACTCCTGATACACCAATGAAATTCATTAACAGTGTGGATGAATTAACTAGGATAGATTTATTCATCTCGTCTCGTATTGGACTTAATATAGATTTGGATTATTCCTTATCATACAATTATAAAAAGAATGAACATCTTATCAATTTTGGTAATTTCACATTCTGGTGGTTTTTCATTGATTTATTAAAGAAATTATTCATCATAAATCCAAAGGATAGACTCACCGCTATGGAAACTTTAAATCATCCTTGGTTTAACTTGGGTATCGAAGATGAAGGTACTTTGTGACGTTTCATTGCTGCTTAGTTTGACTTGCCGTTATTTTTTATTTGAAGTACTTTTTGAATTTTAATTCTATTATTTTTAACTTTTTCTTTTTTTTTTTTTATTTCTATTTCTACTTTTGAAGGGTTATGGGTATATGACCCTTCCTTCATCTTTTATATGTTTACATTTTTTAGTTCGGGTTTAAAAACAACAATCTTCTTAATTTTTCTTTCTATAAGAAGCAACAATTTGAACTTATTCAAGTTGTTAATTCAAATTATAGAGTGCTTGGTGTCTGGTTATATTGTTTCAGTTCTTTTCATGAAAAACAAAAACAAAAAAAAATATATCATCTTATACTTTTATTTTTACTATTTTTGTTATCGTTATATTATTAATATTATAGTATTTGCTATAACCTTTTTATTATCATTATCAATATTTTATTATTAATCTTATACCCTCGTATTTAGTTCTAATTTTATGTCATACTTTTGTTTTGTGATAACGCTTTTTGTGTTTGAAATATATGTCTCATTATATTGGTTTCAAACTTATCATATATCTAAATTAAGATATCCTAGATCAGCTTAGAAAGCTGCAAAATTGGAAAAGTAGTCTGATAGGTTAGATAATTGTATGCGACCTGAAGTGGACTGTGCTCCTTTTCAATCTGGTTCAAGCACCACACACACACACACAGATCACACATTTTTACGATCTACTGCATAAACCATTTTTTAGACTTTATTTATTTTAAAACTAGACTAAATTCCTAATTACACCATTATTTAGAAAAGACAATATATAAAAGTCAGGTTTCCCAATGAAGAGAGTAGGGGCATCAGATTCTATGATCTGAATTGAGTAAAAATTGTATGGACAGGTTATAGTGGTGCGTAAGTAAAAACTTCACTAATTATGCTGCAAAGTATCAATCCTCATAATAAGATTTAAACCTTATCCCCTCTTTGGACTATGATCTCTATGTTTAGATTCTTTGTCTCTTGAATGCCTATCACTTGATCTGTGATGTCTATGACTATGACGATGACTACGATGATGCTTAGATTTGTCTTCTTTCTGTTTTAAGAATTGTTCCATTGGATCTTTCAACTCGTCATCTATTTCATCATCCTTGGCAGTCTCTTGCTTCTTACTTAAGAAACTTTCCATAGGATCTCTTAACTCATCATCATCATCATTTACATTAGTTTTCTTATCATTAGTATGAGATTCCTCAATCATAAGCTTCTTATCTTCTATTAAACCATTTGGTTGTTTCTTCTCAACAATCTCACTATAATCTATTAAATAATCACTTTCCTTTTCTCCACCACGTAATTTATAATAACAATGATCAACTTTCAATTTCTTTCCATCTAACACTTCAATCCCATTAAAATTATCAATAGCAAGTATACAACTCTTGAAATTTTCATATTTGACAAAGGCAAACCCTATCCCACTAGGAGGATTAGGTCCACCTCCATAGTTATTATCACCCTTGTTATTAGTATGACCATTATCTTTTTGAAATGATGATTGCTTTCCTTCATTCTGTTTCCCATCAAAGAAATGTATATGAGTCGGCACACCGTATTGAGAGAATATTTTGATGATATCTATACTCTTCATATATTCTATCGGTATATTCCCAATATATATATAATTAGTATCTCGATAATCATAATGCCAAGATTGAGTATAGTTTATATTCTGGGATAATTCTCGTTGATTGATTTCATTGATCTTCCGTATGTTATTCATTTTAGACTAATGTCCTTCTTCGATGTCCTTCTTCGATGACCTCTACTTTAACTTATGGTTGATATGGTTTAAGTCAGTTCTGATAGTTTATAGAAATTTTCTGATCATGTGATCCATCTTAAGCTTAAATTTTTTTTTTGTGTATGAGATGAGAGAGAGACAAAATAGGAATTTTTCAGTGCCAGAAGTAAGTAAGAGCTTAACTGTTTTAGATTTGGATACTATATCATAACAGAAATGGCGAAGACTGTGAGTAAGGGGAAGAATGGAGCTGTGTCTACAAAGGCAACAGTTCCAACTTCGTCTGTAGTTGAAACACCAAAGAAAAGAAAACAAGAAGAAATAGTTGAAGAAGAAGAAGAGGAAGAATCCGATGATGATGATTTCCAAGTGGAGGGATTATTAGACGATGAAGCCAGTGAAGATGATGAATCTGAAGAAGATGACGAAGAAGAAGAAGAAGATTCAGACACAGAACTTAACAATTTACTAGGTGAAGAAGAAGATCCAAGTGATATTGATTCTGAAGATTTCTCAGATGAACCAACCGAAACTATAACTGATAAACTTTCAGGAATCAAAATAAGAGCATTATCCAATAATTCCTTACCTGAATCAGAAGAAATCGTTGGTAAATTCTCCGATGGAACCACTCGTATAATCAAACCAGAAATCAATCCAATTTATGATAGTGATGATAGTGATGCTGAAAATTTCAATACCATTGGAAATATTCCATTATCAGCTTATGAAGAAATGCCTCATATTGGGTATGATATTAATGGTAAAAGAATCATGAGACCTGCTAAGGGTTCAGCTTTAGATCAATTATTAGAGTCGATTGATTTACCTGAAGGTTGGACTGGGTTATTAGATCAAAATACTGGTTCATCATTAAAATTAACTGATGAAGAATTAGAATTAATTAGAAAAATTCAACAACAAGAAAATACTGATGAAAATATTGATCCTTATGAACCATTAATTGATTGGTTTACTTCTAAACCGGAAATCATGCCATTAACTGCTGTTCCTGAACCAAAAAGAAGATTTGTTCCTTCTAAACATGAAGCTAAAAGAGTTATGAAAATAGTTAGAGCTATTAGAGAAGGTAGAATCATACCACCAAGTAAAGTTAAAGAACAAATTGAAGAAGATAAATTAAATTATGATTTATGGAATAATGATGATGAAGATCAAATACCTGATCATATCATGAATTTAAGAGCTCCAAAACCTTTACCACCAACTAATGAAGAAAGTTATAATCCACCAGAAGAATATTTACTTACAGAACAAGAAAAACAAGAATGGTTAAATGCTGAACCTCAAGATCGTGAACGTAATTTCTTACCTCAAAAATTCGGATCATTAAGAAAAGTTCCAGGATATCAAGATTCCGTAAGAGAAAGATTTGAAAGAAGTTTAGATTTATATTTAGCTCCAAGAGTTCGTCATAATAAATTAAATATTGATCCTGAAAGTTTGATACCAGAATTACCATCTCCTCAAGATTTGAGACCATTCCCAATCCGTTGTTCAACTATCTATCAAGGTCATGAAGGTAGAATCAGAACTATTTCAATTGATCCAACTGGTTTATGGTTGGCTACTGGATCTGATGATGGATCAGTTAGAATCTGGGAAATCTTAACTGGTAGACAAGTATTTAAATCTCAATTAATTAATAAAGATATTAATCAAGATGATCATATTGAAAGTTTAGAATGGAATCCTGATTCTCAAATTGGTATATTGGCCGTGGCTGTGGGTGAACATATATATTTACTTGTACCACCAGTATTTGGATTTGATATTGAAAATATGGGTAGATTGAAAATTGAAACTGGTTGGGGTTATGGAACTTTTGGTAACAAGAGTTCTGATTTAAAAGTTTCTGGAGATGATGATGAAGAAGAAGAAATTGATGATGATGAAGATACTGAAACTAAGAAATCATCATCTACTAATGAAGTTAAAAAAGAAGTTGCTAAATGGTTCCCACCAAATCAAGAACAAGGTGTATTAGGTATAGCGGCTATAATTCAATGTCGTAAGACAGTTAAGAAATTATCATGGCATAGAAAGGGAGATTATTTCGTTACTGTTTCTCCTGATGCTAAGAATACCGCTGTTTTAATCCATCAATTATCTAAACATTTATCACAATCACCATTTAGAAAATCGAAAGGGATAATAATGGATGCTAAATTCCATCCTTTCAAACCTCAATTATTTGTTGCTTCTCAAAGACAAATTAGAATTTATGATTTAGCTCAACAAGTTTTAATTAAGAAATTATTACCTGGGGTTAGATTATTATCATCAATTGATCTTCATCCAAGAGGAGATAATTTATTAGCATCATCATATGATAAACGTGTATTATGGCATGATTTAGATTTAAGTGCTACACCATATAAAACTTTAAGATATCATGAAAAAGCGGTTAGATCAATCAAATTCCATAAAGGGAAATTACCACTTCTTGCATCTGCATCCGATGATGGTATTATTCATATTTTCCATGGTACAGTATATGATGATTTAATGACTAATCCATTATTAGTTCCATTAAAGAAATTAACTGGTCATAAAGTTATTAATCAAATTGGTATTTTGGATTTAGTCTGGCATCCTAAGGAAGCTTGGTTATTCAGTGCTGGTGCCGATGGTACTGCTCGTCTTTGGACCACTTAGATTGGATAATCCTTATTTCCATCTCGTATATATTCACATTTGATTAATTTATTATCATGATATTTAGTTGAAAATAAATCTTGATCATTGGCATTAAATAGATTCTTGAATATAATTTGTATATTATCCACTATTCCTAAATTCTCTTCATGTAGTATCCAATCTAATGATTTCCAATCTAATATACCTTCTTTACAATATGAAATGGGAGTTTTATATTGATCTAATTCAGATTTGGTTATAGTTGCAGTAAATATATAAAGGCCACCTAACCCCATATGAGGTTCTTCCTCGCTTTGTTTATCCTTGGAGTTCAGAACTTCCCATAATAAGATCCCTCTTGATTCATATTGAGGTAAATGTAATCCTGTTTCTTCAAATGTTTCTCGAATGATACATGCTAAGGGTGTTTCATTATGATCTAATTTCCCTCCAACACCATTCCATTTCCCCATCCATGGCAGTTTGTTTCGATTTAAAAGTAAGACTTGCTTGGTTTCAGGACAATGGATAAACCCTAATGTATATCTTAATCTATTAGTTTGAGTCATGTCTGTAGTACGATTGGTATTGGATCATGAGTTGCAATGTTTGTTATCGTGAAAATTTTATATACGCGTTTTATTTATTTTTAATCTCTACTAGGAGCTACCAATTTATTTATTAATCTCTCTACAATGTCTATTTTAAGTTTATACACTTGAACAAATCATCAAACTCCATAGTAAGCAGCTTTTCCTTAATGTTAGCATGACTTAAACTTTCGCTTTCCTTGACCCTATTCAACATCACAGATTTGCCATATTCCGTTATAACATCTGTTTCTAATTCATTTAAATCATAAATATTTGCCAAAGTTTGATAATTTTTATTAAAAAAGAATAAAATCATACAAGATTTCTTTAAATGAAGTAATCTTTCACCAGTACCTAAATTCAAATTAAACAATACCATAGCAAAGATCATGATTTTACTTATTTCAAATTCAGATAATTCTCCATATCCCGATCCAATGCCTGGAATGATGATATTTTTAATATCTCGATAATCAGAATTGTTTGAATGTAACAGAATGAGTAAATTCCAAACTGAATCGAAAACTCCGATTAATTTTTGTAAATGTTGATTCTGATGGTTTAATGATTCCGGGATCATCATTGATGGGATTTGAATTAGATTGGTTATATTCCAATATCGATATGCGTAGGTGGTCTTATACCATGATGAATCGAGGGTTTCCAAAAGGGGGATATTGTGGATCGTTCCAACTGATAAGTAACCTGAGAATTTCTTAAGAGTATGATGTTGAATTACTGATTCCAAAGGTTTGTAATCAAGGGAGGAATTGTTTGTTGGAGTCGGCAATGATAATGCTTGTAATAAGTATTTATCATATCCTCCACCCATATAAGATAAGGAATTAGTAGGGGTTACAGCAGCGGAATGTTGAGATCTATTTATATGAGGATAATTGGGATTAGATATTAATGATTCAATGGTGATATTTTCAAATGATAATTGAAATGGATAATGATTGGTTAAACCATATTTTGAAATAATGACGGATAATTCTTTATAATGATGAATCCAACCTTGAAAGATTGCCTTGTTGGTATCGATAAGGATGAAATTCATTGGTAAAGTTGACATTTGAATTATTATGATTGTTAACTGATGATTTTATTATAATCTTTTAATTTTCTTAATTAGGCAAAAGAGGGGAGGTACTGCAGATAACCTCACAGAACAATTCAATTCAACTCAAACTATTATTAGACATAACATTTAACACAACATTGTCAAGTAGCATATATTAGACATTTAACTGATACTGACAGTCATGGAATAATCGGGTCATTTACATAAATTTTATAAAATATATAATTATAAAATTGAATGATAAGTTTAAAAAGCTTTACTATTATGTTATTTGAAAACCCCACAAATCTTACTTAATTAGTCCATGAGACACATCCACACTGCAATACAAAACATGTCACATCCACACCACAGTAATTAAAGTCTAAAATGTATACAGAGAGACCGAAATAAATCCACGTTGGGGTTCCAAAATAATTAATTCAAGTAAAACACGCCACCATGATTAGCTTATAAGAAGTTATAGTTGTAGTTAATAAGGTTTTAAATGGGACCACGCCCCCCCTATATTCTATGTCCTTAACTATTACTATTAACTATTAAAATCTGTTCCTAATAATTCCTAAATAAATAAATGTCAGACAATTTGGTTAGTTAGTTATAATTGTAATTGTAAGACGGCAAAAAACTTTATACAAAAGTTAATGTCTGATTTGTCCAAAAGAAGTCAAAATAAGTTTAATAATCTTGTCTGTTTATGATAAGTAGTTCAGTTCAGTTCAGTTCAGTTCAGTTCAATTGTGTCTGGTCTACACTGTACTCTTTTTTTTTCCACTCCAATTTTACCCCACGCTTTTCATATGTTAACCAAAACTTAACTATGTAACAAGTGTGGTAATTTTTGTATGACTATTATTCTATAAATCAATCAATTGATCTAAATAGTTTAAACCATATCATTGAAATGTTTCGATATATTGTTATTAGTTTAGCTTAATTAGGATTAGCTTAAACATCAAATGATCATAAAATTAACTAACTATTATTGTTGAGCTGAACTCTGTCTGTTATATGTCTTCCTGTATACAGGACACCCAACAGTTAGAAAATAACTATATAAAAATAAATGACATTTTTTTTTTTGGTTTTTGTCTGTTTTTGGGTTTAGTGTGGTGGATGGTTCAAACAGACAGACAAAAATAGATGAGATCAACGAATGAGCAGTCATTTTCAAAACTAAATCAGACAGACATTTTGGGGTGCCACTCTTTTTTATTCTTGTGAACGAACGAAAATACAAACAACAATCACCAAATTTTTAAATTTTTCCAATTCTTTACAACAACAATTCTTTACAACATCTTCTTCTTCTTCTTCTTCTTTCTTCTTTGTAGATTTCACTCTTCATCAATCTATTCAATTGTATTCAATCAATTAACCCTCAATTAATCTTCACAATGGCTCCAGCTGCTTACTCTGATATCCAAAAATCAGCCAATGATTTATTAAACAAAGATTTCTTCCATTTAGCAACCGCTGCTGTTGATGTTAAAACTACTGCTCCAAATGGTGTTGCTTTTACTGTTAAAGGTAAAACCGCCAAGGATAACTCCATTGGTGCTTCTGTTGAATCCAAATACGTTGATAAAGCTACTGGTTTAACTTTAACTCAAGGTTGGAATAATGCCAATGCTTTAACCACTAAAATTGAATTATCTGAATTATTAACTCCAGGTTTAAAAGGTGAATTAGATACTTCTGTCGTTCCAAATGGAGCTAGAAATGCTAAATTAAACTTTTTCTATCAACAATCTGCTGTTAATGCCAGATTATTCTTTGATTTATTAAAAGGTCCTGTTGCAACTGCTGATTTAGCTGTTGCTCATGATGGTTTTACTGCTGGTGCTGAATTAGGTTATGATATTTCATCTGCCAAAGTTAACAAATATTCTGTTGGTGTTGGTTATGCTAATCCAACTTATGCTTTAGCTGCCACTGCTACTTCCAATTTATCTGTCTTTTCAGCTGCTTATTATCATAAAGTTTCTCCATTAGTTGAAGTTGGTGCTAAAACTACTTGGGATTCAGTTAAATCTTCAAATGTTAATGTTGAATTCGCTACCAAATATGCTTTAGATAAATCTGCTTTTGTTAAAGCTAAAATCGCTGATACTGGTTTAACTGCTTTAGCTTATTCTCAAGAATTAAGACCAGGTGTTAAATTAGGTTTAGGTGCTTCATTCGATGCTTTAAAATTAGCTGAACCAGTTCATAAATTAGGTTTCTCTTTATCTTTCACTGCTTAGATTTACTAAGTATGTTTGAAATTAACCTCAATTTTATTATTACCTTACCTTATAACTAGATGAATCTTTTTTTATTATTTGTTGTTTACTTTTTAATGTTATGATTTCTTTGAAATAATGGAAACAATCACCAGTTTTGGAAATATATATTGTTTATTAATATTGATTATATATATATATGTATATATCACACTCTCTATATTGTTTTATTAATTTTGAAGAAATGATTATTAATTTAAATGAATAATAGTTTATAAATAAACTTGAACCTTTTAGTAAATTGCAAGACCGAAATTGATCTATACATCGGGGATTATACTTTTTCGCGCGATCAGACTTATCTCCGTCAGATATTTCAGATCAATTTTTCAATTACAAATAGAAAGCAGCCATAGTATAAATATCACAAATTTTCTTCACATGAATTACAATCTCAATTCCTTCATCAGTTCATCATCATAATCATCATTATCATCATCATGTCTGCTGCTTCTAAATCTTCGTTAACTGCTTTTGTCTCTGGTGCAAATGGATACATTGCTGCCCAACTTATTGATCAATTATTACACCTTGGATATTCTGTAATTGGATCGGTTAGAAGTGCTGATAAAGGAGATTATCTCGTTAAGAATTTCAATTCATCCCATTTCAAATATGAAATCGTCCCAGTGTTAGAAAAGGAAGGTGCCTTTGATGAAGCATTAACTAAACATCCCAACGTTTCAGTGTTTTTCCATACTGCTTCTCCTGTCCTTGATGTTTCAACCGTTACTAATCCTGAAGCTCAAGTTTTAGCCCCAGCTATCAATGGTACCAAGAATGTGTTAGCATCAATTAAGAAATCATCTCCTCAAGTTGAAAGAGTTGTCTTCACATCTTCAATCGTGGCAACTTGGGATCGTAGTCAAGGAATCGTCCGTGCCACTGAAGAAACTTGGAATCCAGTAACTTATGAAGAAGCCGTTACTAATAAAACAGTGGCATATAGTGCTTCCAAAACTTATGCTGAACGTGCTGCTTGGGATTTCCTTACTCAACAAAAACCAAACTTCACTTTATCAGTTATAAATCCCGTATATGTATTAGGACCTCAAACATTTAATGAAAGTGTTAATAATTTAAATATGACAGCTAAACTTGTCACTAATGTGCTTGATTTCAAACCAAATGAACCAATTCCAGCATTAGAAGGAAGATTCATTGATGTTAGGGATGTTGCCAAAGCTCATATCTTAGCTCTGCAAAAGGATGAAGCTCAAGGGAAAAGATTTATCTTGGTAGCAGATTTTTATAATAATGATACCTTAGTGAATATCATTAGAAAGAATTTCCCTGAATTACAATCGAAATTACCAGTGGTTGAAAAGGAAGCGGATGTATCTATTAATATGGAATTGAAGGATGATAATGCTAGAAATATTTTAAATATTGATTACATTTCTTTAGAAACTTCTGTGGTAGATTCAGTTAAACAATATTTAACTTACAAAAAGGATAATTAGGGAATAGGTAGTTAGTTGGTGTTTACCATAAGTAGTCTAGATTTAGAATTAATAAATGTAAACGTTATTCTACATGATTCTATGTTGCCATCAGTAGTGATTATGATATCATAGAAGTGAAAGAGGGAGAGAGAGAGAGTTGGAATAACTTCTATCGCCAGTTTACTTATCAACAAATTGTATATTGTTCCTACATCAGATTGATAAAAGTGGTTATTATTTGCCACCCATTATGTATTCAATTTTAACCGGTTATATATCACAAACATTATTATTAATCACATATTTGAGGTAAATTAGACATACTATTCTTCTGCTTAACTATATGAACGGCTATAATGCCCTGATGACTTTGTGTAATTTTTCGGAGTGAATCACCAACGTCAAAATTGTATTATTAATAATTTATACTACAAAATTGATAGTTTTTGACACGTACTTATTTAAGTAACTTTAGGAGTTTATGGAGATTAGTGTTGGATTACCAGATCAGGAAGATGGATAAAGGAAGTTAAATGACTTGCCATGACTTAGCCGTCTTACAAATACATGCAGGTTATTATTCTCTCTCTCTCTCTCTCTCTGTGTGTGGTGGGTCGTGTAAATTATCATTATGATGGGGTTTGAAGTCTTTGTTTTTTCGCAGCAAATTGTGTAACGTTCAGAATTATGTATGTGCCCATACAATTACAAAATTGTTATTAATTTCAAGTTTGTAGTCTACCCAACCCCATAGTTTCAATTGCCTTTTCAAAATTGCAAAATATGTCTATATAAATATGATGGCAATTCCGTCTTATTTCGAATGTTGTTAATTATTTTATTCATAATCATTCAATAATAACTTCAAAGGTCTGCTAATCAATTCATGCAATCTAGAAACCCATAAAAAGTATTATTAAATAAAATTTCTCCAAAACCAAAAAGTATCCCAACTCCTCCTCCTCAAAGTCATACTCCAATTAAAACAAGATCAACTATGACTGCTACTACTGTTTTTGTATCTGGTGCTACCGGATACATTGCCCAAACTACCGTTGTTCAATTACTTGAAAAGGGTTATAAAGTCGTTGGTTCTGTTAGATCCACTGAAAAGGGTGAACAATTAGCCAAAAATCTTAATAACAAGAACTTCTCTTATGAAATTGTTAAAGTTCTTGAAGTTGAAGGTGCTTTTGATCAAGCTTTAAAGAATCATCCTGAAACTACTGTCTTCTTACATACTGCTTCTCCATTTACTTTCGATGTGAAAGATCCTGAAAAGGAACTTTTAATCCCTGCTATTGATGGTACAAAAAATGTTTTAGCTTCTATTAAGAAGGTTGCTCCTCAAATTAAGAAAGTTATTTTAACCAGTTCTATCTTTGGTGCTGCTCATTTCCCTCAAATCTCTGATCCAAACTTCGATGGTGGTGAAAATACTTGGAATCCAATTACTTATGAAGAATCAAAACAAAATGCTTTTAATGCTTATTCTGGTTCTAAATATTTTGCTGAAAAGGCTGCTTGGGATTTCGTTGAGAAGGAAAAACCAAACTTCACTCTTGCTGCCATCTTACCTGTTTACGTTTTTGGTCCTCAAGCTTTTGAATCTGGTCTTGAGAGTTTAAATACTAGTGCTCAAATTCCAGCTCAAGTTTTATCTTTAACTCCAGAAAGTGCTCTTCCAGATTCTGCCGGTGCTTATATTGATGTTAGAGATGTTGCTAAAGCTCATATCCTTGCTTTTGAAAAAGAAGAAGCTGCTGGTAAGAGATTCCTCTTAGCTGCTAAGAGATTCGATTTCCAATTAATCCTTGATGTCGTTAGAGAAAATTTCCCTGACTTAGCTGATAAACTCCCAGTTGGTACTCCAGGTTCAACTGATTTCTCAGCTTGGAAAAATCTTAATGCTAACAACACTTACAATATCTTAAACTTTGAATTCGTTCCTTATGATAAGACTATTGTTGATTCAATTAAACAACTTAAAGAATACAATGCTAAGAAATAAGTATCTGTATCTCTTGCTTGAATTTTTATATAGGTTTGTTTTTTATAGCTTTAGTTGCGAAATGCTTCTTTAAATATTTTGATTAACTTCAAATATATACTTTGTTTCCTAATTTTCTACTTTGACTATTTGTAAAAGACAAACTCCCCTCGAAATCATTAGTCAATCATCATACCTTCTAGTTTCTCTTGATAAAATGACATCAATTACGATATCTACAGAAATTACTGATTTGTACTATATATATCACCATACATTAATTTTTTTGGGAACCATCGCACGACCTTTCTGAAAATAGTAATTTTTTTAAACAAATATCAAAAGTTACTTTTGCAAATATGGATAAGATATAGTATTAAGTCAATAAACCTACATCCAATGTCTAATCAAAGTAGGAATGGTGATGGTTATCAAAGGAATCCATCATTATCACCTCAGGCTGATGGTGTAACGCCAACTGGATCAGCATCTTCAGTACCTATCGCAAACATAACTCAAATAGCAAGACCATATTTCACATCATCAGAATTAAGATATTTACATAATAAATCAATAAAAGAATCTGAAAAATTACATTATAGTAGGACCAAACATCAGGTGTTTCAATTCTGTTTTCAAATCATCAAACAATTGAAATTCCCCTTGAGGGTTTTATCCACCACTATGAATTATTACCAAAGATGGTATTTATTTAATAAATTTGATATCGAACAACATGATGTCGAAGATAAATTAACTCTCGCAGCATTTGAAAAAGATCCATATGTGATAGCTACCACATGTTTATTCTTAGCATGTAAGAATGAAGATTGTATCAAGAAATTAAAAGATATCCAAGCTGTGGCCAATAAAATACGAGAAATTGATGAATCAAAATATACCAATGAAAGAACTACTTCATCCATATTGGCAGCTGCTAATGCCGCTAACAACAATACCAACGGTAGTATCACTACAGCTGGTAGTGTCAATAATGCTGCTGTTGTGCCTAGTAGTTCATCAAACATAGGAAGTGGGATTGGTGTTAGCAGTGGTAGTAGTAGTATTCCTGCTCCAGTATATTATACAGTAGGAGAATTACATCGAAAAGCAACATTATCATTGGAATTCAAACTTTTACAAATCATTAAATTTGATTTTAATAATGGAGGTTCAACAAATTTGAAATTAACTACTGATCAATTATTAATTCAATTTTGTAAAAAGATTAATATCAATTATAAATTTTCCATGTTTTGCTGGTTAGTGAATTATGATCTTATCCCAACCTCATTACCATTAACTGTCCCACCTCATTGTATTGCATTGGCCATTATAATAGTCACCCTTAATTTAAAACCATTTGATTTAAAAATTGCTCATTTTAAAGATGTGAATGATTCAGAAACTGAAATTAGTGAAAAATTGGATAATATCGATAGTGAAATTGATTTCAAATGTCCTGAAGTGTTAGTTAATGAAGCTATAATCTTTATATTGGATTTCTATATTCATGAATATTCAAAATCATTATTAAGTCAATATTTACCGTTAATTGATGAAAAATCAGGTAAAGATCAAGTGTTTAAATTCATGGAATTAAAATCGAAATTTAATGATCTTCGAATCTTGACGGAAAAGAGTTCATCAACTCAAGATTTATTAACTCAAGATCATTATCTTAATATTTGGGATTATTCCATAGCGGCAAAGGGTTCAACCAGATTCATGTCGGCCAATAAAAGAAGAAAATTCGCTAAAGAATTATAGCTTTGTATTATAAATAATTAGTATTTACATATATAATTTTAATCTAATTTATAACTAACCGAGGTACCCACCTTATGTAAATTAGTAGAAAATGAAGTGAAATCAACCTTATCAACATTATCACCAGCTATATGTCTTCCATCTCCATTGGTATCACACCATTCTATAGGGATAGTATTTGTAGGATTATTTGGATCAGTATATACCAATACATTAAATGAATAATCATCTTCTTTTAAAACAGGTAAATAAGACACTGATGATGTGATTTGTCTAATAATGGATTGGATCTCACGTTGGGTTTCATCCTTCGACTTAGGAGTATCATTTCCACTTCCAATATTATCATCTTGTAACACGTCAATATTGAATTCCCACCTTTCGATATTTTCCAAGGTAGATTTCGATATAATCACCACCACCAATTTCGCTATTCTTTTCCCATAAATCCATTTCTTAATCTGAAGCATGATATTAGCAATGTATGTTTTAACTTCAGGATCATTACTCACCAATAATGATAGATTATATTTCCTTATCGTTATGAAATCTTCTATAGGGTATATTCCTCTTTGAAACAATATTGAATTTATAGCGTATTCGAAGTAATCAGTAACTATTTTGGATGATCCTTTAAGGGCAAGTTTTGATGATGATGTGGCATCACCATTACCATTGACTCCATTAGATGTCATTGTTATGTCAAGTATTATGAATCAGTTCGATGTTGGATGGTTTGTTTACGTTTAACTGTGAAATATTTTTGATTTCAATTCTCACTCTGAAAGAAAAATACGACACTTTAAATAAAATGACAAATAATGATTCCAAAAGAGTAATTAAGATAGAAGTGATAATTTTACAACAATGGTATGTCTAGTTATGAATGTAGAGTATGAATAAAGGAGATATCAGTACTAACTGCTATTATAGGAACATGGTGTGAAAAGAGTCAACTTGTCTAAAGAAGCCAAGAGGCTCAAATTAGAACGAGATGCAGCCAAAACTGAAAATTATAAGGCATTAACGAGTCAATTATTCACTTCAAGAGATGATCATCAATTAGGATTGTCGGAATTCAATGAAACTACCAAGATCTTATTAATCAATCCTGAATTTTATACCATGTGGAATTATAGACGTGAAGTACTTATAGAATTACGAAAATCAATTGAAGTTGAACAATATATCGATATGATTAATCGAGATTTAAAACTTCTTATGGATCTATTGAAGAGATATCCTAAATGTTATTGGATATGGAATCATCGGAGATGGTGTCTTTTTGAATTAGTAGAGTTAAATAAAGTTAATTGGGAATATGAGTTTGGGGTTGTATCGAAATTATTGGAATTGGATGCAAGAAATTATCATGGATGGCAATATAGAAGATTTGTGGTTCAAAATATAGAACAAGATTCGTTAAAGAAGAAGAAAGAATCACAATCTGAGACTCTCATCTTATTGAATATAAATGCTAATGAATTCAATTATACAACTACAAAGATTAAAAAGAATATATCCAATTTTTCAGCATGGCATAATCGAAGTAAATTGATTCCAAAGGTATTTAAATACTTCAGTGAGGTTTCAGATATACCTGAGCCATTACAAGAGTTATACAAGACGGTGTTTCAATCGCCTCATTTGATTTTGGTGCATGACCTTGAATTGATCAAAACAGGTATGTACATGGATTCAGATGATACATCCGTCTGGCTCTACCTCTATTGGTTACTAACAGAAGAGTTCTTTATCAAAGACTTGACCAAAGAGGTTTACTTGAGTATATTGAAGGAACAATTAAGTATAATTGAAGAATTGAATGAACTTGAAAAAGATGATCATAAAGATCATTGGGATCATTGTTGGTGTCTTAAAAGTATAGTCTTTGTTAAAGTCTTAATCTACAAACAATCAAATGAGGATGCTTTGTCTGATGATATTAAAGCTCACTTGAAAGATTTAATTAAAATTGATCCATTAAGAAAGGCAAAGTACTTAGATCAACTCGAAGGAAAGGTTAGTATTATATAGATCTAAATAAAGTATGTTACGATGTTATTTTGAAGTTTTTGAAGTTTGTAGAGGGATAAAACAGATTTAGTGGTCTTACTATACTATATGGAGGCTATTTTCGGCATATGAATGAGTATAACCTGTTCTATTGCAAATTTGGAAATTTCTCCGTATAAATCATTCACGTGACACAACCCCTGCATATAAACTCATCTTGAAAATTAAATATTTAAAATATTTATTTAAGTTGATATTTACATACTAAATAAGATATAAACCAATAATTGATAATTCAAACAATGGCAGTCAAAGAGAAAAAGGTCAGAGGAAGAAGAGCTCAAAAGAAAGAAACTTCTTCTAATGATATAGAAGGTGAAGTTTTCAAAGTCTCCAATGGTGATGGTAGAGATGAGGATGAAGAAGATCAAGAAAATGGTAAATCAAATGATTCAACTATGAAATCAACTTTCTTTGGATTAGTTGATTCTAATGAATTAGATTATTTCAAACAAGCTGAATCCACTTTAAATATAAATGCGTTTGAAAGTGACGAAGAAAGAATTGGTTTTATCAGATCAGTGCTTGAAGAAGCTAAGGGAAAGGAATTAAAATTAGTTACCAATCAAATCTGTTCAAAATTAATGGAGAGATTAATCTTATCATCTAACGATAAACAAGTGAAGAGAATGTTTAATCTGTTTTTAACTCATTTCGTCGCATTGGCTCATCATAAATATTCATCTCATGTATTGGAAACCTTATTTGTGAGAGCAGCAGCTTTAATTGAAAAAGAGTTGATTCAAGATGATCAGTTTAAGAATGAGGAAGATGAAGAAGAAGAGGAAGATGATGATGACGAACAAATACAATCCACCATGGAAGAATTATTCATTAAAATGATAAATGAATTCAAACCACATTTTTCAGCTATGATAGATCATCAATATTCATCCCATACCTTAAGATTAATTATATTGATTGTATCAGGTAAAGAATTGCCATCAACCACCACATCAAATTCAACTTTAAGATCTAAGAAATCCAAGATTGCTCGTAAAATGATTGAAATCAAAGATAATGATGATTTCAATAAATCATTTCAAGTCCCACCATCTTTCAAATCTGAGTTAAGATCAATTTGTCAACAAGTTAGATATAATCAAGACACTAGAAAGATGAGAGAGTTTGCCGCTCATAAAGTTGCCTCCCCTGTATTACAATTATTAATTCAAGTTGAAGGTATCGTTGATAAAGAAAGAGAAGTATGGCATTTATTATTCAATAAAGAAAATGCTGATAAAGATCCTCAAGAAGAAGCATTTATGGAATATTTGTTAAGTGAATCTGTCGGATCTCATTTCTTAGAAGCAGTGGTTAAGAATGATGGGGTTAGATTGAAATATATTGAAAGATTATACAAATTATACATGAAGGATAGAATCCTTAAATTGGTTAATAGATCTACTTCAGGAGCTTATATTATTCAAGCCTTATTATTCAAATTAAAGCCAGTTGAAGTGGAACATATTCTTGATATAATCATCCCTGAATTATCCAATTTAATCAATAATAACTTAGATTTAGGAATTAAAATCATTGAAGCATCTAAATCAAGATCTGGTTATAGAAAAGATGAAATTATTGAACAATTATTCTTAAAATTCGCTCCAAATTACAACATCCAAGATCCACAAATGAATACCAGTAGTGAATTCTTAGAAAATACTTTACAATTGGCTTCATCCACCTTAGGTAATACCAAGGATGATTGGCCAACAGCCGAAGAAAGAAGAAGATCATTATTCGTTCAAAAATTAATGGAATACGATTATAAATTCATAATATGTGTATGGTATAATTTCTTTGCCTTATCTGTTGAAAGATTTATTCAAATGTGTTTCCATGGTGTATTTAATCACATCATTGAAAAATCATTAGTGGTTGAAAAGGATGAACCAAAACCAATTTTAATCCTTAGAAAAAGACTAATGAATTTATTCCAAAATGAGATTGTTAAATTAAGTTGTAATTCATATGGATCTCATATTGTGGATAAATTATGGGATTTCACCATCTTTTTACCAATATATAAAGATAAAATTGCTACTGAATTATTTAAAAATTCCAAAGTGGTTAAAGAAAGTACTTATGGTAGATTAGTATGGAAAAATTGGTCGATGGAATTATTTGCCAGAAAGAAGTATGATTGGAAAACATTAATTAAACAACAAGAACAAGAATTTATTGGGGAAGATGGTGAAAGAGTTAAGAAACCAATCGAATTAAAATTAGAGAAATTGGCTCAAGAAAAGAAATATAAGGAAGAACAAGCTCAAAGAGAAGCTAATCAAGCATATTATAAATCTTCCGGTCATGGTAAACATGCTTTAGATGATCAAGAAGAATCTTCATTTGAAAAGAAACAAAAACTTAGAGGTCGTAGAAGATAGATAAAATAGTAAGTAAAAATATGTACATTAAAATAATATAATCTAGTAACTTTTTTGTATTTACAGGAAAAGGTGAACATGATGATTAAGAATCATCACTGTCAATGGTATTTATATGATATAATTGTAAAACATCTTTTGCAACTTCAGTTGGACTATCAACCATAGGATCTATACCAGATTGATTCTTAGGGAATGCAATAACATCTCTTAAATTAGTAGTACCAGCTAATATCGCCACTAAACGATCAAACCCTAAGGCCAAACCGGCATGAGGAGGACATCCCATACTTAAAGCTTTTAAAAGATGACCGAATTTTTGGTCATAATTATTGATATTTAAGATTTGTTTAAAGATATAAGTTTGTAATGCTGGATCATGAACTCTTCGAGAACCACCACCTACTTCACAACCATTCATGACGAGATCATAATGTTCTCCTCTAACTTTTATAGGGTCCGACAGTAATAAATCGTAATCTTCCATATTTGGCATGGTGAAAGGATGATGAGTCGATTCAAATTGATGGAAATCATAGACGGGATAGTCTGGATCAGACGAGTATACCTCCACTGGATTAAAAAGAGGGAAATCAACAACCCAACTTCCCACGAAAATATCATTAGGTGATAATTGATTATCTTCAATGGTATTTGTAGATGGATTGAATAATTTTCGTTTTTCATAATCGGGGAAGTTTTCAATCACCAATTGTCGAACTTTACCTAATGGAGTTGGATTTTCATAAGGTACATCAGCACGATTTGAAAATGCAATCACATCTCCTACTTTCAAATTCAATAATTGATTTAATGAAGATGGATCGAAGGTGGTTGTTGGATGTAAGATTCCAGCATCGATGAATTTCTGAAACCAATGTAATCTATCATGATCTGTTTTAATGGATATTGTATATGGAATACGTTTGGTATAATTAAGTTTATCAGTTATGACATGAGGGATTTTATATTTATGTTGTTGATCGGCGAAATTTGGAAGGATTAAACATTCTATCACTGGGAAACCAGATTTAGATGAAGTGAAATATGAAGATAAGTTTATAAATTTATGAGTATATCTTAAATCAGGTTTATCAATCCCATAATTCAGTAAACAATCGATATATTTGATTTTATTAAATTGAAGTTGATCTTGGGGTTCACCTTTAAATTGAATCTTTTCAAGACAATCATTTTCATGATTTATTTTAAAAGTTGATTTTGGAGTTAATTTATTAACCACATTATGAATCAAATCTTCCACCACCAACCCAACTTGATTACTATTATTTATATAACTCATTTCCAAATCTACTTGAGTAAATTCCGGTTGTCTATCTTGTCTTAAATCTTCATCTCTGAAACATTTTGCAAGTTGGAAATAACGAGTGAATCCAGAACTCATAAGGATTTGTTTATATTGTTGAGGAGATTGAGGTAAAGCATAGAATTTCTTTGGTTGTAATCTAGTAGGAATTAAGAATTCTCTTGCTCCTTCTGGAGTTGATTTAAAAAGGAGGGGAGTTTCAATTTCAATGAATTCATGATTATCAATCAAGATATTACGAATCATTTGAGAGATTTTACTTCTTAATCGAAGTAATGATTGGAATTTAGATGTTCTTAATGTTAAATATCTGAATTGAGGAGGAATCAATTGAGGATTTTCATGTTTTAATTTATCTAATCTTGAAGCATCTAAATTTGAAGAATTCAAAATTTGATAATTTTGAATCAATAATTCAATTTGTTGAGGTTGATCAGGTGTCTTTTGTTGTTTTAATTTGATGATACCAGTTACACTGATTGAATCTTCAATGGTAGTATTTTTCATTAAAGTTAATAAATGATCATTAACAGTTTCATGATTCATTAAAAGTTGAATCAAATCACCATTTTTATCTCTTAATTCAGCAAAAGAAAGTGAAGATCTTATTCGTGGTTTACGATTGATATGACCATTCAAGGTGATTTCAGATTCATTGGTTAAGATATGATTTAGATTAGTATATAATTGATTAATAGTATGAGTTGCCAAAGGGAAATTAAATTTTGCAATAGTTAATGATTTATGAGGTAATGATATTGAAGTTGAGGTTGAATTAGATCTAAAGAATGATGATATATGATGATGGATAGGTCGAATGGGATAAGACCTACTGTTTAAACAATGGCGTATCATTCCTAGCTCTTTTGCAATGACAGTCAAAGATTGAATTGGTCGGTGATTGTCAAATTAACCTGCAAAACACCCTATTAAAAATCCACCATGATTTTTCAGTGAACTTTTTTTTTTTTTGATTCTTATGAGACAATGTCGTTACAGGTTTTGACCGGATTATCTTTCTTTTATAAGTGGTGTTACTTTTTGTAAAATGTCGCATTAATATTAACATTCTCTAATCTAAAACTAATCTCAGATTGTAACTGAGGCATATAATCAACATGACGTAATAGAGGAAGATTATAATGGTTATTCACTTACAAAACAAAAAAAGCCTTGGTGCCTAATTCATTCAACCTCTTAGGACCAAATCAAATTAATTCCTTGTAAAAGAGTTACAATCACTAACAAATGTTTTGGAATGGTCTTGGCTAATTAAACGGTATAAAACGGTTAATCGAATTAAAAAAATAAAATTCTAAATACGTAAATGTTAAGACAAAAATAAATCGATAAAAATCAGACACAGACAGACAGACACGAATTAAGAAAAAACAGAATTTAAAAAAAAAAATAAAAAAAATAAAAAAAAAAATTATTTTGATGAACCCTGCAGGAAATGAAAATATTCGCTTTCTCCCATACAAATAGCTTTCTACAACCCACATTCTTTAGATTGTGTAAATGTGTAATTCGGGCAATTTAAACTTCATATCGCTCCCCAATGATAAATCGAAGGGGTCACAGTTGTATTCTTTATCTTATGCAATTGATTGGAATATGAAGATCTATAAATATCAACATGGATTGGTTATTATTGTAACCGTTTTTTGTTTAAAATTAAATCTATTCCCGTTTTCTTGTTACATATGAGAGAGAGGTATAATGCACATAGAAATAAATATCAGTAATTTTTTGTCTGTTTTTTTTTCTTTGAATTTCATTTAATCTTTTTTTTTTTTGGATGTTTGCTTTCGCCAATGTGACATCTACACATTATAATTAATATTTATAACACTTGTTCTTCCTTTTATTCAATTTTATCCTCTATACGAATATATCAATGTCATATTGAAAAAGCCAATTCCAATTCCAATTCCTTTTCATTTTATTTTTTGTTTATAGATCCTGTTCCTCTTTTTTGACTATCTTTTTGTTATCATTATCATTATCGCACTGCATCGGTGAAATCATTTATTAAAAACTATTTCATATCATGAAAGGATTAATTCCTGATTCTATTATAAAACATAATAATGGTAATACTTCAAAATTAAATGTCGGAGTCATATTTAATCGAAAATTCAGACGATTTCTATTAATGACTATTCCAACATTGATATTGTTTTCATTCATTATTTTACATATTACTAAAGATGAATCAGAAACTTATTCAGATCATATTCAACAAAATATTAATTATGTAAGTGATAATTATAATCAACAAGATCAAATGTTTAATATCACTCAATTAAAAGAATATGCTCTTAATATAAAAGGATATTATTTAGCTCCAGGAAATGTTCAATTTAAATATATAAATCCAAAGAATAAAATAGGTAATCCTGATGAAATTTTAAAAAAACATGAAGATCTTTATAATTGGGTATTAACTCAAGAAATAAATGAACCAAAAGATGTTGATTTAACCAATTTAAGACCAAAACATACTAAATATGAAAGAGCAAATGCAACCATTATAACTTTAGTAAGAAATAGTGAATTAGGTGATATTTCTCGTACTATGGAATCATTCGAAGATAAATTTAATAAAAAATTCAATTATCCTTATACTTTCATTAATGATGAACCATTCAGTGATGAATTTAAAATCGCAGTTAAAAAATTAACCAATGCTCCCACTTATTTTGCGGTAATTCCTCAATCATTATGGAAAAAACCATCTCATATTGATCCTGATTTAGAAAAGGAAGGCATAAATGCTTTGTTGGAAGATGAAGTGGCATATGCTGATATGGAATCATATCATAATATGTGTCGATTTTATCTGGGGAATTTCTATAATCTTCCCGAATTACAAAAATTTAAATATTATTGGAGAATTGAACCAAGTGTTCAATTTTATACTAATATCGATTATGATGTATTTAAATATATGCAAAAATCAGAAAAAGTTTATGGTTTTGTGGTTAATTCTTATGATAGTGCTGAATCAGTTAAATCTTTATGGCCTGAAACGTTAAAATTCCTTAATATGGAAGATAATTATAAATATGTTAATCCTAATGGGGCATTCCAATGGTTATTAAATGATATTCAATATCCAACCAAGAATGCCGTGGCAGGGGGTTATTCAACTTGTCATTTCTGGTCAAATTTCGAAATTGCTGATATGGATTTTTATAGAGATGATGCTTATAATGAATGGTTTAAATATCTTGATTCAACTGGTAAATTCTATTATGAAAGATGGGGTGATGCTCCAGTTCATTCTGTTGGAGTAGGATTATTTGCTGATAAATCAAAAGTTCATTGGTTTAGAGATATTGGTTATTATCATAATCCATTCTATAATTGTCCAAATACTCCTTCCAAACGTGGATGTGAAACAGCAACATTCACAAATGCGATTTTAAATTCTGAAAATTGTATGGCAAGTTGGATTGATTATGGTATTGATGATTTAGCTGCTATTTATTAAACAGTAAATTATGTATTAAAAGAGAGACAGAGAGATCTTATATCTTTTTGTATAAACATATGTATATATATATATGAAACAGTTTAGCCTTGTCATTATCACCACTTGTACATTCTCCTTTCATCAGTCATTATCATTGACTCTACAATAGAGGCTAAATTGCACATTGTTGCCTTGTTTAAGCATAGTGAACACACTGAAGACGCGGTAGAGACCTCTTTTTTTTTTGTTGTTGATTTTTTTTTCCGTTGACAGATATTTCATTTCATTAATTTAGGGATTTGATCTTACCACTATTTAAAGGCGTAGTATCACATCATCGTTGTTTTATATACATCTAGTCTATTCTCACCTATTCTATTATTCATACTCACTTATATCATCAATATCAACAACAACAACCATGACTATGAGAAATGTCTTCAATAGGAGGTTTCGACGCATAACTGTCATTATCATTTCAGGAACCATATTCCTTTTTATAATAGTGATTCTATTCGCTAGTAGAAAGCCCTTATCATCCCAAGATTCAGATTTAACCATGGGGTTCAAATCATTTGCTGATAATTTCGACTTCAGCTACTTAAAGAATCTTAAACCTATATCTGATTCAACTCCTCAACCACCTCCACAATCATTATTAGAATCAGAATCAGGTACAGGTACAAAAGGAATTACAGAAGAAGAAGAAGAAGACACGTATGAAACAAAGGGATATCAAATCAAACGTCAAGATGTTAAATTCAAATACATAAACCCTAATGGTAAAAAAGGAACCAAACAAGAAGTTCAAGCTCAACATGATGAACTTTATAATAAAGTTCTCACTAAAGAAATTCATGAACCAAAAGATTTCAATATAGAATCCATTCGTCCTCCTTCCCCTGATATGTTATCAAAGTATAAACATGCTAATGCCACCATAGTTGCTTTAGTTAGAAATCATGAATTCGGTGCCATTGGTAGAACCATTCGAAAATTTGAAAAATCATTCAATGAGAAATTTAATTATCCATATACTTTAATTAATGATGTACCATTCAGTGATAAATTTAAAGATCGTATTCAAGCATTCACTAAATCCCCCGTTGAATTCGTTACTATTCCAGAAGAATTATGGTCGAAACCTGATTCAATTGATGTTGAAAAACAAACGACGGAAATGAATATTATGGCGGAACATAATGTCGCTTATGCTAAAATGGAATCATATCATAATATGTGTCGATTCTATCTGGGGAATATGTTTAATTTACCCGAATTACAGAAATATAAATATTATTGGAGAATTGAACCTCATGTTGAATTTTATACTCTGATAAATTATGATATATTTAAGTATTTGGAAGGTACTAAAAAAGTTTATGGTTTTACTATCAGTTTATATGATATTTCAGAGACTGTCAAGACTTTATGGACAGAAACTTTAAAATTCTTAAATACAGGTGATAATTATAAATATATTAATAAGAATGGAGCTTTCCAATGGTTATTAAGTGATACACAATTACCTGAAAATAATCAAATAGCAGGTGGTTATTCAACTTGTCATTTCTGGTCAAATTTCGAAATTGTCGATATGGATTTCTTAAGATCAGAAGCATATACCGCATGGTTTAATCATCTTGATTCTACTGGTAAGTTCTATTATGAAAGATGGGGTGATGCTCCAGTTCATTCTATGGGTTTAGCTTTATTTGCTGATAAATCTAAAGTTCATTGGTTTAGAGATGTGGGTTATTTCCATGATCCTTATTATAATTGTCCAAAGACAAGTCATACTCGTGGTTGTGAACCAGGTCAATTTTCTAAATGGGATCATTTAAATGATCAAAATTGTATGGCTAGTTGGATAGATTATTCCATTGATGATTTAGATGCCATTTATTAAACAATTTTATTCTTATTATTCTTATCATTATGCATACATTCATTTATTCTAATAGACTTTATCTATCCTATATAGTTCCTTTAACTAAATATAAAATATCACCATTTTTAAATGCTTGTAACGTCTTTAAATTGTTCTTAACCACAATAGGTTCATCTTGAGATTCATTCAATTTGAATATATTCAATTTTTCATTAATGTCAACTGTGGAATTATTAATATTTGGAATATGTAATTCATTAGCTATTGAATCAAGAGCTCTACCAACTACCCAATTTTTCGATACAAATATCGGTTTTCTTTCTTTCTCAATCTTAATGTTTTTGAATTGTTGATCTTCTTCATCAGAAGTATTGTTCTTACTGTGATTCAAGAATAAACACCAAATGTATATTCTATCACTAATCGGTATTTTTGAATCACCCTTTGCTGATTTTTTAAGTAATGATATATCCGCAATCTTAGCACTAGCACTTTTACTTGATTTTGATTTTAATAGACTTGATTTACTTCGTTGTAATTGTAAAAATCGTTGTAATTTCTTAAATGCATTGGGAGTAGTTTTCGCCACATCTCCAACTCTAAATTGAGTTTGAGCACTTGCGGCTGCTTTTTCAAATATCGAAGTTGGTTTATTTCCCGAGGTAGCTAAAGCAGCATCTATTTGACGTTTATGAGCTTCACGATCGGGGAATAATGTCTTTGAACTAGGTAAATTACTTGGAGGACTTGGACTTCTTGAATATTGATTATTAAATTTATCTAATCCTTTACATTTATGAATTTCGACATTTCTATGATCTGAACAAAATATCTCATTACAGAATTCACATTGAAAGGGTAAGAAATCAAGTTGAGAACAGAATGAACAGTTCTTACCTAAGTTCATTATCCCTAATTCTCCATCATCAGGCTTCTTAGATTTATCAATGAATAAATTACTAATATTATTTATAGTAGCCCCTGACATTGTGGAGTTGTTGTAGCTGTTGTGATGGTTGGATGGATGGATGGTTGGTTGGTAAAGTAGTTGATATGTCTCTATATATGTGCCAACCTGTTTGTTTAAATAGTAAATGACACACAGTGGTGGCGGTGGCAAATAAATAAACAGTATAGAATATTCTGGTTAGAAAATGTTCTTGATACTCACACTCTTAGATGATTCTCTTTTTTATCTTTTGTCTCTTTCCTAATTAGGTCAGTGCGGCTTACTCATACAATTTCTCAAAAATATCATCACGAAAAATTTCTGTTACCTAAAATATCAAACACAGAGTATATTTGTTAGGTAAATAGATCCCAAACTTTATGAAGAAATGTTATATGATTTGAATGTTCCATGGCCTGTGAATGATTATCATACCAAACCTACTGATGTGGAACTTTATACTTTAAAAAACACCATTGTCACCTTACATACCTTAGGATATGATCATATAGCGATAAATTTTCAAATTACAGAATCAGTGAAAATACCGTTAAATCAAACTCATTTAATAAATCCGATAGATATAGCTTCCTTACAGAAATCGCTTTCGCCTCAATTCCCGCTGATAAAATTATTCAGTCGATTAACTATTGTCATCTATGATCCTGCTAAATTACAAGGATTAGCCAAATTACAAGCTCAATTCGATATATTAGCCATTCAACCATTAACAGAAAAGGCCTTACAATTAAGTACTACTAATCTTGATATTGATTTGATTTCGTTTAATTTGGGAGCGAAATTGCCGTTTTATTTAAAACATAAGACGATTGGAAGTGCGGTTGATAAAGGAATTAAATTTGAAATATGTTATAATAATCTTATATCTGGATCCATAGGATATGCTAATTCTCCAACTAATCCGATTGATAATATTCAATTCATTAAAAAGAATTTCATTTATAATGTATTACAATTGGTAAGATCATCAAGATCTAAAGGGTTGATTATATCAAGTGGAGCTACCTTACCTTTACAAACTAGAAATAGTGAAGATATTTTAAATTTATTACGAACATTTGGATTAGATCAAAGTAGATCTAAGAGTTGTGTGACTATAAATCCCGAAAGAGTATTGGTGAATGGAAGATTAAGAATCAAATCATTCAAACAGACCATTGTGATGGATAATAATGAGATCTCTTCAAATTCAATCATTGATAATGATAAAGAAGATCCCAAAAAGAAAACTGATTCAAATGGTTATAAAAAGAGATTGGATAGTACTTCAAGTGGTAGATTATTAAAAAAGCAAAGAAAAAGGTAACAAAATGAACCGTATGTAAGTTATAGATTCTTGTAAATATAAAAATTTGTATATTAGTAATACTATAAATATCATTATCATTAGGTGTTTATACATAATCGTACATAACAAAACATTGTCTCTCTAGCTGAATATAGATGATTTGACCGCTTTAACTCTGGCAGTAGGTACAGTCTCTTCTGTTGATGGTTTAGGTTTTGGTTTAGGTTTAATTACAGCCGGCTGTAATCTATTTTTATTCCTTGACATTAAGAAAATCGATGGTTCTGATTTTCGTTTCCTTATCATTAGTGGACTTGGTGATCTATTAATAGGATTAGCTAGAGGTGGTGGTGAATTGCTTGTCGAGACCAGCATAGGTTCAGGTATAACTTCGCTGATTGGATTAGTATTGAAACTGGTTGGAGCATGTCGATGAAGGATTCTTGAAGGATGAGGAGGAGGAGGAGATGCTCGATCTTTAAATGCATCAAATGCAGAATATGGTTTTAAATGTTGTTTAGGAAAGATCAAATGTCGATTCTTTAAATCTTTTCGTGCTTTCCCCAAGATTGTATTTGCTTTCGGGAGAGTGGTTTGTCTTGTACTTGAATGATATTGAGGTCTTCGTCTTATAGTTGGATCCTTTAATAATTCCTTTGCAACTATAATTTTATTAACTTGTTTTTCCTTTTCTAATTTCTTCGTGATTTTCCTTAATCTATCGGTTGAATCCTTTTGAAACATTTCTCGTTCTTTAGTATATCGATAATATAATGCTTTATAAGGCATAGATGAACCTTGAGATTGGATAGGATCTAAATTATTGGGCCTTGTAGGGAAATCTTTTTCAATCAAACCTTGCCATAATTTATCGGAATGAATAGTTATATGAGGAGATTGAGTTTCAATCTGATTAAGTTGTTTCGAATTCATACGACTTAGCACCGATTCTAGTAAATGATATGGTGTGGTACCAATATCTTGAATATAATTAATATTGGCAGCAATGGTTTGAGTCGCTATTGATACTAAAGATTGTATGGTCTTCCTTCTCCAATGAGATGAAGAGTAATCATTTTCCCCCATATTTTTCATATTCCTCTTCAGTCTATCTATGTATCTCAATCGATCGATACTATATCTTCTATGATGTTGTCTTTGGTTACTGATTCTTATGGTTGAATGATTTTTGGCAATTATAAAATTAAAATAAATTTCTGTAAATATTTTCTTTTTGTGATGATTGATTATTTTGGTATGCTCACTGAAATTATCTTAACTATACAAAACCCAATATATAGTTGCAAAAATACTTCAAATTGAGTAATAATAATGATATTTTATTCTTGTCTGATATTACTTTGTTATCTCATTGGATGACTACTTTCAATATGATATCTTGGAATTACCTACTTTTATTCCCTCAAGATATTATGTTATGCTAATTCCAAATCTAAACTTCTAACTTAAAACGATGATTTCCCTTATCCTGTTAAATTTTAAATTATCTTTATCTCTTCTTTTACAAACATATCATATTCATTCATCAGCTTCAAGATGCAATTGACTGATTTACCTCCTGAAGTATTGAAACTTGTCCTTGATAATTTATCAGGTTTAGATATCGTTACTCTTAGAAGTTTTGGGTATGCCAATTGTTGGAGTGTTCAGACTGCTCTTCAACTTATCAAACCTCGTCCTTTGATAATCATTGATGATCATACTGATTATCTTGGTTTAAAAAGAATTGATCCAGCAACAAGATATGAAGCCTTGGTATATATTAATTCCTCTATTACCAAATGGAATGATTATTACACTTCGCTTAAATGTATTGAACATAATTTACAATTCATGGATCATCGATTTTTAAAAGATATTTCTTTACATTTCAAATTAGGAGTTAATGATTATGGTGATACTATGATTAAAGTATTATCTAATTTAATGACTATGAATATTAAAAAAATGAAATTAAAACTTGTGATTGTTAAATTAGTGGGTAAAAAATATGATGAAATGATTAATCCTGATGTGCTTTCATTATTATCCCATTTCAATTGGCATTCAATTAAAATTATTACTAATAAAGCTGAACGAGAATCATTTAATCATGATTTAGACAGACGTCTTTCGTTGCCAATTTATTGGATTAGAAATTCATTTTCATTAAAGGAATTATACTTAGGTGAAAAGGTATTCTTAGAGGGGAAACTTTCTACTATAACATTACCCAATTTAACATCACTTGGATTTGAATGTAGTCATCTTCAAGATCGAATTTCATTTAATTCATTTTTAAATGATCATGCTAAACAATTAGAAAGTTTATCATTACGTAAATATGATTTCTCTCATGATTTTTTAATTCAGAACTTTGAAAATTTAAACCACATTGAATTTTCCGGTTATCAAACTGATACTTGTGTGACTATTGATGATAAAAGATTTCTCGTTTCAAAATTATCAAAAATAACAGTTCATGGGAAATATCCTTCATTCACAGATTTAGTAATTAGTGAAGGACATATCATAGAACAAAACTTAGAACTTGAAGTAAATCATAATGGTGATACTTCTATTTTACCTATCATTGCCCAACAATTGAATTCAGTTAAAATAACTTTTATTGAATCTGGACCTTATGATACCGTTAAACCTGCTTTAGAACCATTCCAAGAAGAAATCCAAAGAGAAGTAAGACAAGTTACACTTTACAGTAGAATATTGAAATTTGTAACTTGTGGATTCTTTCTCTACTGGTTTTCCCGTAAACGATAAATACTACATACTTTATATATAACTAAATGCAATATAATTTTTGCAACCTTTCTATCTATACCTTAGGATATATGTGACACCGGAAATAAATCGCAGTTTACGGCAGGAAGGGAAGGGAAAAAGAATTCGGTCTTAAAGAATTTGTCCCGAACGGGATAAACAAAAAAGTTTTTGATGAATCACCAAAATTGATCAAATTACATAAATAAAAATTATCAACAGCTGTTCGTTAAAGTTAAAGTGATAGTTTAGGGAAAGGACCAGTTCTGTTCATATAATATCAGTTATTCCATTGCCAAGGGTATTGCCAAGGTATTTCATTATCAATCTATCAATCATTGTGTCATCATCTTATCTTTTTTAGCGTGTGACTACAGTTATTATCATCATATATATACTTATTCATTTGCAGTCGTATTCTAATGTTTAGTAAGCTAAAAGGTAAAGTGGAGAGTCCATCTAATTCATCTTCAACTTCGATCGATGAAAAAGCAACTTTGGTAGATGATAAAGTTTATACTCCCTTTGAAAAACCTTCAAAGGATTCAAAATTATTACCTGAACCAAGTTTATCTGATGATCAAAAGGCAAAATATCAACATGTATTAAGTCATTTTCAAAATGAAGACCTTACCATTGCTATTAGTGAAGATAATCATAAACATAAAGATAAATCATTATATAAACCTTTAACTATTGATGAAAAATCATGGTTAACCAGAGAATGTTTCTTAAGATATTTACGAGCTACAAAATGGAATGAAATTGATGCTATAGATAGAATTGAATTAACTTTAGCTTGGAGAAGAGAATTCGAAATCGATAAGTTTTATGATAAAGATAATGGTGTAAATGGAGATTTAGTATCAGTTGAAAATGAAACTGGTAAAGAAGTTATCTTAGGATTTGATAATGATTCAAGACCTTGTCTTTATTTAAAACCAGGAAGACAAAACACAAAGACAAGTCAAAGACAAGTTCAACATTTAGTTTATATGTTAGAACGAGTTATTGATTATATGCCAAGTGGTCAAGATTCGTTAGCTTTATTAATTGATTTTAAAGCTCATCCTATAGGTACTCAAGGTGGTAAGATTCCTCCTGTTGGAACAGGTAGACAAGTATTACATATTTTACAAACTCATTACCCAGAACGTCTTGGTAAAGCTCTTTTAACGAATATTCCATGGTTAGGTTGGACATTTCTTAAAATCATTCATCCTTTTATTGATCCATTAACTAGAGAAAAATTAGTTTTCGATCAACCATTTGTAAATTATGTTCCAAGTGATCAATTAGATAAAGATTTCAATGGTGATGTTAATTTCGAATATGATCATGATAAATATTGGAAACCAATGATTGAAATTAGTCAAAAGAATAAACAACGTTATTTTGAAAGATTTGAAAAATTTGGATCCCAAATTGGTTTAAGTGAAGTCGATTTAAGAGGTGAAAAAGATGAATTGATTTATCCTGTGGGTCAAATTTAGTTAACCTAGACATCATCATATCATCCGTCATTCATTCATTTAATTTTTTTTTTGTATTTTTAGTTATAGATTATAGCATTTCATCATGTATTAGTTAGATAGTCTCATTACATACAACTAGACTATTGTCTATTTTAAAGTTGTTCTATAAATAATATATTTTTAATATTCATATTTAGATACTTATACATTCTATGTAAATGGATTAGCACATTTTCTCTTTTCAATTATACCATTAGTTACATCAATCATATTTTGCCAATCTAATGGATACATTAAATTCCCACTACCATTTTCACTTTTAGCAAATATAACACCTAAATCATTACGTGCTGTAGTTAAATAATAATTGGATCCATCCCCTAATGATAAAATCATAGCCCTAACTATATCTCCTGGTTTATAACTTTCAATAACTTTAACTTTATCTCTTTCTGTTGATCTTATATCTTGAGATCTAATAATCCCTCTGAAATTCTCTCCAATATCTTGGAATTGAGCTCCTGTTAAAGTAGATTGACTAGAAGCAATAGTTTGATAATTTGATAAACTTGCAGATCCACCACTGGGGGTGACTGATACATGACTTAAATCTCCATTAACTCCTATTCCACCATCTTTTAATACATTATCCCCATTTTCAACGGTAAGAATCTCACAATAGATTTGTTTCAAGGTGATTTTGGTAACTTTCACCAACACGATATCATTTTCAGTAGGTAAATTGATTGAAATTGAATTGGAATCAACCAAATGCTTTAATTCTTGTTGATGATTCTTTTGAAAATTAATATATGAACTAGATTTGGGTATCACCACCACTAAATAAGTCTTAACTTTCTGTTGTTCTTCTTCTTCATCGTCTTTATCTTTTCCATCAGTTTCTTCTTCTGGTTTGGTGGATTGAATTTCATTCACATATACTTTCCCTAAGATACTGGCTGTTATGACTGAGACGACTTTAGATTGATCTGCAATTTGTATTGGTGTAATGGTAGTTCCCTTTCCTGAGATATATTTTTCAATTACGTTGGATTCAGTTTGTAATTTATATGTTGGTGTGATATATTGACCCGGTATCACTACCTTCCCAGAATCACTCTGATCAAGTATCATGGTTTCTGAAATGTGTTGGATATAATTAGTTGTTGTTTAATATAATCTTCAGTTGTAGTTGTAAGCTTCAGATTTTTTTTTTTCAATCCTCATCACAGCGTTGATAATATTTTTTTTTTCACATCTATCGATATTGCAAAACAGGCCAATTAACCAACAAAACCAATAATAATAATAAGAACAATGTCCTATCCAGCATTTGTCGATGGCAAACCTCCAGTCATAACCTTGAGTGAATATGATGGCGCTGATTGGGCTGGTACTACCTGTATTGATTTCAGAAACAATCAATATGTGGTAGTCATAATGGAAACCCCAGAAAAAGTGGTTGCTATAATTAATGAAAGTGATAATGAAGTATTGGATAAGATCTTTAGAAGTGCTCATAATACTCATGCCCAACAGCAATCTCAAGCTAAATAAAGTTGATTTGAGTCTTGTGTATGAAAAGTCATTTCGACCAGTCGATCACACGTATCTACATAATATAACCAACTTTAAATAGTTCATTGTACACTACAGTAAATATCATAATATTTTATAATAAATATAACATATATTCATAAAGCATAATTCGTAAAGCAAACTTAAAACATTAAAAACAAAGAAAAAGAAAACAGAAAATAGAAAATAGAAAATATAGATATAATACAGAAAAGTAAGAAATAAGGAGAACTAAAAGATTAAAAACATGGACACCAAAATCATTGGTATCATTAACATTGATCTCTTAACTTTAACTTGATTAGAGGAGTTAAAGTATTCGACAGCAACATTTGGAGTTTGATAAGCAGAATTGACATCACTACTATTAGAGATACCTTCATTAACAGAAGTATCAACCATTGATTCAGTAGAGTTTATTTCTGCATTGGAGTTAGCTGAAGATTCGGCTTGTTCATTGGATGAACCAGCATTGTTTTCGAAACTTTTTTCAGCTTCGGAAGTATTTAATGCATTGATGGTTCTGGTTTCAGTTTCAGCAACATAATCAATCAAAGAATAAGATGGCTTTTCATTGGATTCTAAGTTATCCATATGATCACTTTCTAAGTAACTTTCATCAGTAACTTCAACACCATTCACAATAGTTATAGTTGGAGTATAAACACTAGTATAGTATACACCTTCAGCGTTTGAAGTAACAATTGTTTCTTCTGGACCCTTTGCAAAAGTAGCTTCGTCAGATTCTTCACATACAAATACTGTAGAGGTAATAAGAATCTTAACAGTAGTAGTAGTTGGTGCACCTGCTTCATCAGCAGTAACAAAAGTGCTGGTAGCTTCATACACAGTTTCACTTGGAACAAGCTTTTGACTTGTTGCAGCTTCTAAACCTTCTTCGTCGTTGATTGGAGTAACTTGGACTTTATCAACTTCAACTGCTGTAGTAACTTCTGGAGAAGTAACAACAGCTCCTGACTCAGTAGCTTGTTGTGCCTTGAAAGTTTCATCACTTTCTTCACATACAAATACTGTGGCAGTGACAATTCTTCTAACAGTGGTAGTAGTTGGTTGACCGGCAGCATCAGTAGTAACTACAGTACTAACAGTTTCATAAACAGTTTCGCTTGGAACAAGCTTTTGACTTGTTGTAGCTTCTAAATCTTCAAGTTCAGTTGTAGCAACATTAGCGTCATTTTCAGTTACCTCGGTTGTTTCTTCACAAACGAAAATAGTAGAAGTAACAAGAACGTTAACAGTACTAGTGGTTGTTTCACCTGCAGCATCAGTAGTAATTATAGTACTAACGGTTACATGAACTGTTTCACTAGCAACGACTGAACTTTTAACTACCTCATCCAAGTCCACAGCATCTTCTTTAATATCATTAGTTACATTTGGATCAACTGATGATAAAACCGAACTACTGGAAGATTCTTCACTAGCGTGATATTGAGTGGATTCAACAAGATATATTTCTGAACCAGATTCTTCCAATATAGATGTGTATGTATACCATTCACCATCAGAATTCTCAGGATCAACAATAACTTCAGTAAGGGTAGTTAACACTCCATCACTTGAAAGAGTAACAGTGGTGGTGTATTCCCAATCGGAATGAGCTTCACTTGAACTAGCAACTTGAGACTCAGGAACAGATGATCTGGAAACTGACAATTCGACAATAGAGGATTCATAAAAGGATGATTCAGCAACTTGAGTTTCACTAACAATAATTGATTCGACAGCAGAAGATTCGACAGTTGAAGATAAAGATGAAACGCTTGCACTATACACATCAGATGATGTAGTAACAGAGTCGGTTGGATTTATAATGTCAGCTTCAGTTTCAGGTTGAGGGAACTCTATTTCAAAATCATCTTCCTTGATCGAAAATATAGTAGTATAATCATCTGCAATGATTATACCTGTCTTGGTACTAACCATTCCTTCTGAATGTGTAGTGACAATTGTGGTAGTGAATGTAGTAGCTGAGCCACTAGATGATTGACTAGCTTCAGATTCAGAAACTGAGAATTCAGAAACTGATGATTCAGAAACTGATGATTCAGAAACTGAGGATTCAGAAACTGAGGATTCAGAAACTTGAGTTTCATAAACTGATGATTGATAAACTGAGGATTCAGAAACTTGAGTTTCATAAACTGATGATTGATAAACTGAGGATTCAGAGACTGAGGATTCAACGAATGATTCAGAAACTGAGGATTCAACGAATGATTCAGAAACTGAGGATTCAGAAACTGAGGATTCAGAAACTGAGGATTCAGAAACTTGAGTTTCATAAACTGATGATTGATAAACTGAGGATTCAGAAACTTGAGTTTCATAAACTGATGATTGATAAACTGAGGATTCAGAGACTGAGGATTCAACGAATGATTCAGAAACTGAGGATTCAACAACTGAGGATTCATAAACTGATGATTCAGAAACTGATGATTCAACAACTGAGGATTCATAAACTGATGATTCAGAAACTGAGGATTCAACAACTGAGGATTGATAAACTGAGGATTCAGAAACTGAAGATTGATAAACTGAGGATTCAGAAACTTGAGTTTCATAAACTGATGATTCAGAAACTGATGATTCAGAAACTGAGGATTCATAAACTGATGATTCAGAAACTGATGATTCAGAAACTGAGGATTCAGATTCAATATCTGTACTATATAACGAGGAAGTAGCAGAAGCACTAGGATATACAGCGTCAGTATCAGTATTGGTGTCAGCTTCAGTTTCAGGTTGAGGGAACTCTATTTCAAAATCATCTTCCTTGATCGAAAATATAGTAGTATAATCATCTGCAATGATGATACCTGTCTTGGTACTAACCATTCCTTCTGAATGTGTAGTGACAATTGTGGTAGTGAATGTAGTAGCTGAGCCACTAGATGATTGACTAGCTTCAGATTCAGAAACTGAGAATTCAGAAACTGAGGATTCAGAAACTGAGGATTCAGCAACTTGAGTTTCATAAACTTGAGTTTCATAAACTGATGATTGATAGGCTGATGATTCACTGTCAACAATTGATTCAATTTCAGCAGTTTCATCTCCATGAATAATAGATGTGTATGTATACCATTCACCATCAGAATTCTCAGGATCAACAATAACTTCAGTAAGGGTAGTTAACACTCCATCACTTGAAAGAGTAACAGTGGTGGTGTATTCCCAATCGGAATGAGCTTCACTTGAACTAGCAACTTGAGATTCAGAAACTGAGGATTTAGCGACTTGAGTTTCATAAACTGAGGATTCAGAAACTGATGATTGATAAGCTGAAGACTCAACAATTACGGACTCAGATACAATTTCTGAACCATATACGTCAGATGATATAGTAATAGAAACGGTTGGATATATAGTTTCAGTATCAGTTTCAGTTTCAGGTTGAGGGAACTCTATTTCAAAATCATCTTCTTTAATCGAGAAAATAGTAGTGTAGTCGTTTTGAATGATTATTCCTGTCTTGGTACTAACTATTCCTTCTTCATGGGTGGTAATAAATGTAGTTGTTATTGTAGTAGCTACGTTGGAGGTATATAAACTGTTGTAGTCTGTGGATATACTTCCTGGATTTTCAGTATGCGATGTTTCGTAGAGTGTATTTTCTGAACTGGACATAACATGCGAAGAACTACTCTCCACATCTGAACTTACCTCACTATCTGAATCCGAACCTACTGTTGGATAAAAAGATACCATCGATGAAGATTGACTATATTCTCCTGAACCCCATGGATAGTTTGGTGTTGTGGTAGTAGTATCTTGAGGAGTTTGATTAGTATTACCTGGACCCCAAGTATAATTTGGTGTTGTGGTAGTAGTACCTTGTGGAGTTTGGTTAGTGTTACCTGGACCACCTGGACCCCACGTATAATTTGGTGTTGTGGTAGTTACAGTTTCGGTTACAGTTACACTTGAACTGGTAGTAATATCTTCACCTTCTGATGATTGTTCATCATTTTCATTTATTACACTAGAGGTAGGTTCTTGGAGTGATTGATTAGTGTTACCTGGTGCACCTGGACCCCATGGATAATTTGGTGTTGCAGTAGTTGATGTTGTTCCTGTTGTAACTTCAGAATATTGTTCACTAATTTCACTATCTGGATCTGCTGATGGATGACCATCATTATCATTAATTGCGTTAGTGGTGGATTCTGGAGGAGTTTGATTAGTGTTACCTGGACCACCTGGACCCCACGTATAATTTGGTGTTGCAGTAGTTAATGTTGTATTGATATCATTTTCTGGATATTGTGATATTTGCTCCTCAAGTTCGCTAGTTACATCACCAGTGCTTGGATCTTCTGATTGTTGTTCATTATCTTCAATAGATGCACTAGCTGATGGTTCTTGAGAAGATTGATTGTCATCTCCTGGAAAGCCTGGACCTCCTGGTCCTCCTGGATAGTTTGGTGATTCTGTATTAGTTGGACCTCCTGGACTACCTGGACTGCCTGGACTGCCTGGATAATTTGGACCTCCTGGACCTCATGGACCTCCTGGATAGTTTGGTGATTCTGTGTTAGTTGGACCTCCTGGACCACCTGGACCACCTGGACCTGCTGGACCTCCTGGACCTGCTGGACCTCCTGGTCCTCCTGGACCTCCTGGACCTCCTGGACCTCCTGGACCTCCTGGACCTCCTGGACCTCCTGGACCTGCTGGACCTCCCGGATAATTTGGTGATTCTGTATTAGTTGGGCCTCCTGGTCTACCTGAACTACCTGGATAGTTTGGACCTGCTGGACCTCCTGGTCCTCCTGGACCTCCTGGACCTCCTGGACCTCCTGGACCTCCTGGACCTCCTGGACCTCCTGGACCTGCTGGACCTCCCGGATAATTTGGTGATTCTGTATTAGTTGGGCCTCCTGGTCTACCTGAACTACCTGGATAGTTTGGACCTCCTGGTCCTCCTGGTCCTCCTGGATAGTTTGGACCACCTGGATAATTGGGCGATTCTGTATTAGTTGGACCGCTTGGACCTCCTGGACCTCCTGGACCTCCTGGACCTCCTGGATAATTTGGTGAATCTGTATTAGTTGGACCTCCTGGACTACCTGGATAATTTGGACCTCCTGGACCTCATGGACCTCCTGGATAGTTTGGACCACTAGGATAATTTGGAGTTGCTACGGAAGTTTTACCACCTGGATACCCTGGATAATTAGGACCTCCTGGATATTTTGGATAAAGTTGAGTGGTACTAGTAGCTGGATAAAGTGGTGGTTGCTGGTTTCCTGGACCCCCTGGACCACCTGGATAATGAGGATTGACATTGGTTGAAGTTGTACTGGTAGTAGTTACAGGACCATGAGGTGGTTGTTGGTTTCCTGGACCACCTGGACCATGAGTAGAAGTTGTACTGGTAGTGGTTGCAGGACCATGAGGTGGTTGTTGATTTCCTGGACCACCTGGACCATGAGTAGAAGTTGTACTGGTAGTGGTTGCAGGACCATGTGGTGGTTGTTGATTTCCTGGACCACCTGGACCATGAGTAGAAGTTGTACTAGTAGTGGTTGCAGGACCATGAGGTGGTTGTTGATTTCCTGGACCATGAGTAGAAGTTGTACTAGTAGTGGTTGCAGGACCATGAGGTGGTTGTTGGTTTCCTGGACCACCTGGACCATGAGTAGAAGTTGTACTGGTAGTAGTTACAGGACCATGAGGTGGTTGTTGGTTTCCTGGTCCTCCTGGATACTGGTTAGATGTGGTAGTAGTTGGATATTGAATGTGCTTCTTTTCTAATTGAAACCCCTCTAATAAATGTTCAACATTCGAATAGATTATTTGTTCAATTTCTTGATAGGAAATATCTTCATTGATATTCTTATTAAGTATAGGAGCCGAATTGGCGTGCAATATTAGATATTGCAAAAGTATTGTGTAAATTAACATTTTAAAGTGTGATGGTTTTCAAAACTTTAATTCTACGAATAAATGTAGGCTATTAGAGTTTTACGAGTATATATATATAAATATTTGTAAGTAATAAATTCTATAGGTTTGTCCATAGAGGCAATGTAATTTTGCAATATACAACGGTGATGACATTATCAGGTGTTCAAAGATGTACGTAATTGAAGTTGAAATTTATTTAGAATTTTTTACTAAATGAACTAAACAAATCAAGTAAACGATCTGAACAAATATCTACGTGCATATGTAATCTATCGGACAAATTAACTATGCTTACAATTTAATTAAGGTTTCCTTCTCTACATCGCTAGTTAAATTAAAATTTTCTATTGCGTGTCACTTGTCACGTTTACGCACAAAATTTTGCAGCCCAGTGCATATAAAAAATATTATTTTTTCGGATAAACATAGTCAGTAAGCGCCATAGAAGATCTACCCTACCTGATATTCATAGCCTCTTCGTTAACGATGAACTATTGTTGTAAGATATGGGGATTTGATTGTTTTGACGTCTAACAGTGGAGCAATTGGAAATAATAAAAAAAAGGAAGAAAGTTATATCTGTTACGTACCAATCATTTGCTCATCCGAGAAAGTATTAAGAACTAAAATCATCACATAAGGGAAGCTACACTCGACCAACTCTTCCCAGTCATTGTTACAATAACAATATCAAAACTATTACGGATTATATAAGGGGAACATCGGTGAATGATGGAATCTCTCTCGCATGATGAAATACCTGTTATGTTTCTATGTACGGTCGGGGAAATCCACCACAAGGTTCTAAAAAACATTTGGAGTGCATATAACCCAAAATCTAAATTTGGTGAAATGGCGAAAGATTCCTCATTTTTAATCGATTTTTTTGGTTAGTTGGTAGTACATAATCAACCAGGTCGAATTATGTATTTCAATTATCCTCCATGTCTAGACATAGTGTCGAATAAACAGTGAAATCATATTGATATGACTGATAATTGACCAAATTTTTTTTTACAAATAAAAAAGTATTTCTATTAATAATCTATGCAATAATATGTTCAATGTACACTTAACCAGAGAATGTCACTATTTTAAACTTTATTTTTTGATTTTGGTCTCCCTTGTACATATTTGGCATATCCCGCATGGTAACAGACATTCCGTAACTAGAAAGCTTTTAGGAAAAATCGCAGATCTCTTTTTCAAACTAAGTAAGATGGGCAATGTTCCTTACACTTATGATCAGCTTGTATTGGTTTGTCTTCTACACAGCTAATGATTTGCTAAACGGGTATGGCAGCATTTAAGTTACGTTATAACTCTAGATGAACCTCAATGGTAGATAATCATCTTTTTTGAATTTGATTTATTCAAAATAAGACGTTATTATTGGTATAATAACATAGACAATGGGAGACAAAAAAAGATATAAAATGAGAGCTTTGGGCGAAAGGGGTCACTCTTTTCTGAACTCAACTTTATTTTGTAACGCAGAAGCATTCCCCTTCGGTGCTCACTCCCTGTTGCGATTTTTACCGCTATAAAATATAATTTTTCTGCATGCAGGCTACGACTTCAAAATATTTCATATGCAGGCTGACCTTATTTTAATTTCCAAGTCATCAAAATTTTTCTGTTGCAGCGAACAATTTATGAAAATTTCCCTTCGCTACCAAAAATATCGATATTTTGTCTTGGGGATGGTTTCAGATAATGTATCCATTTAATATTGAATTTACAACTGCGTTATGAGTCACGGAAAATGTATAATCCTGATGGCTCTTTAGTTAAACTTAAATTGTGTTCTTTACGTCATCTGAGCATTTAAACTTTAAGTTCACGTATAGATCGATTTAATCGAAACTTTAAAACTTTAAATGAATTCGCAAAAATTTTACAAATTTAGCGTCAGATTTGATATCTGATAATTAAATTGTGAAATCGAATCGTATTTTTCCAAAATCAACTAAAATGTAAATAATCGTACAAATTGTAACCCAATTTAGAGTTCTTGCTTTAGATACTACAAACTCATTTATAAACAAATGCAGATATTATTAAATTACTAAACTATACGAATGTCAATCAATTAAAGCTATTGATAATTAATAAATAAAAAATGAACAAGAATAATCTTGTGAAATGATGAATTAAAAAGTGGATTTTTATAAAGCCAATTTAAAAAAAGTGGGTGTTTTCTCTTGATTCAATATGAATATCCATCAGACTCTTAAACGCGTTCAATTCTTCTTTAATCTGTTGGGCCAATAATGGAGTTAATTGATTACAAGTAGCAGTATCAGGATGTCTATCATACTCTTCTCCATTATAAGTATCATAAAGGATAATTCTTGAACTAAATCTAACTCCATTAGTTTTAGTCATGAATCTTGGACTTTGATATTGTAATGGACTATTATTTTGACTTTGACTTGGTTTTTTACCCCATTTTCTACTTATTATTGAACCCAAAGATCTAGGTGATGAATTTACTGATGATGAATCAGAAATTGAAGGGATCTTATTATGACTAAATGCTTTTGGTGGTGGTTGGAAATTACTTGGAGCATAATAATTATCTTTATTAGATTCAGTACCAAATCTTTTTGAAATCTTAGGAATATTAGGTAATGATTTTGGTTGAGAATTCAATTGAACATTGTTTTCTTTATTAATCTCACGATGATATTCAGATCCAATATCATTAGCATTAATACCATCATTTTCTAAATTACTAAAATCATCACCTTCTTCTTCATCAGTAGAATCAGTACCAAATCCACCACCAACACCACCACTATTACTTGAATCATCATCAAATGAAATACTAAATGATTGATGAGATTCACTTACTCTAAGATCATGAGGGGCTAATTTACCTCCAAAAATAGGTCCTTTCAACCCATTAAATGACATTGAAATTGGACGGTTGGTGAAAATATCTTTACCATTAGAATCAACTATTGGTCTGTTATGTTCTAATGCTTTTTCTAAGATTGGAGATTGTTTTTCAACTGGACTTGTAATTGATTCTGGTGATTGAGGGTATCTATTTTCATTAATTTGAACCAAGTTTGGAGTCAATGGACTATTACTGTAATATGAATCACGTTTCCCTTGAGCTGTAGTTTGTTGTTCTTGTTGTTGTTGTTGGAATTGTTCTTTGGTGATTTCTTCAGGTGAAGATGAGAGTGAAATTATAACCTTTTCATCATGTACAATCTCATCATCACGAGTTTCTTGACTCACGGGAGGAGTAACAATTGATAATTCTGGTTTTTGAATAGTTTCAGAATTTGTAACCACATTCAACTGTTGTTGTGGCTGTTGATGTTGATGTTGTTGTGGTGGTGGGGGAACAGCCGATGAAGTTGGAATTGAAAATTGTGGTACTTGAGGTACTTCTGGTTGAGCTTTGACAGGTTCAGGTGAAGGCGAAACATCATCATCAGTTGTTATAACAATGAATTCAGGTTTCTTTATTGGTGAAGGTGGTAAGCTTGCTCTAGGAGATCTAGTAGATAATAATTGTTGAGGTGAAGTTGAAAAACTTAAATTATCAATATCAATGAAATCAGTAAATTCAATTAAATCATCATAATTATTATCGGTATTCTCATTAACCAAATTAGATTGTTCTGGTTCAACCACTGGAACTTGATCTTGAGTCATTTCGGGTTCAGGTGAAACAGAACTCATGGCAATAACATTAGCATCAATTGAATTATTAATACCTATTTCATCACTAATGTTTCTTCTCGATCCGGAATTCTTTAAGATACTGTTGGATCTAGTGATACCTGAATTAGGAGAAGCTGATGGACCACTATAATGAATGATATTTTCATCACTACCATTATATCCAATGAATGAATTTCTTTTTGATTTAATGGATCTCATGGATCTTGATCTTTCTAAAGAAACGATACTTTCAACCTCTTGTGGAGTTAAAGATTTTGGAAACAATGCTTCACCGGCCAATTTATTGAAATCAGTTCCATCTAGATGATCGTGTGTATTATTAATATTATTATTATTATTATTATTACTATTATCGGTAACAATTTTAGATAATTCATTACTTGATTTTGGAACTCGTAAACTATCCATTTGCATTGGTGCTCTTTTAACAGGTGAAGCTGAACGACTATTATATTTAACTTTGAAAGGTGAACCGAAAGTTAAATCGTTTGAAATTAAACCCATTTCTTCACCATAAGTTGGATTTGATATTTTCTTTGGTGGATCATAAGTATTCTTTGAATCATAAAAATTTTCATTAACAATTGAAGAATCATCATTATATTCCTCATCTTCCTCATCTTGGTCATTTAAATCTTGAACATTCTTATACTCAGCTTGATGAGGTACGAAATTGTTAGTAAAATCATCATCGCTAACTTCTCTAATCAAACTACTTTTATTACCGCTGATAATTCCGGAAGATATTGAAGCAGGAATGACAGGTGGTTGATTGAAAATTTGTCTATTCAAATGAGCTTCAGGATCTGGGCTTAAACCTGATCCAATTGGTTTTTCTTGGTTATTATCTTTCTTCGAAGTTTGCTTATCATTAGTCTTACCGGAAGTACTCGATAATTTACCCAAATTCTCAGATGACTTATTTTTCTTGAACACATTTAATAAACTTGAACTTGAATCATATCTTGTCAATCTTTTAGGTTTAACATCATCATCATTCTTAGTACTGGTATTGTTATTGTTATCTGAATTAGCAATGGTATTGATATTAGATGTAGAGTATGATTTAGAACTTAATTTCTTCGGTTGTGACGGAGGTAATTGTTTGGTGTTATTATTATTAGTATTAGACATTTCACTCAATGCATGATTCTTTGATTTAGATTTGAATAATGACTTGAAACTGAATTTACTATTTCTTTTATCATTGGCAGTATCATCTTTAGCAAGTTTGGAAATATCACCAAGAGTATTACTTCTCTTATGTTTACCTGGTTGTGGAACTGGAGGTTGATCTTTTTGATTATTAAACGTTGAAAAATTAGACTGCGATCTTAAATGAGGAGATTTTCTAGGGGAAGGAGGTATTGATGTCAATTTAGCTTGCTGTTGTATTGGTGGAGACAATTGTTCTTGTTGTATATCAGAAGTATCAGAAAAATCCAACAACAATGATTTTGGTGGTTCATGAGGTACAACCGGAGCAGGTGGAATCAAGCTTGTAACAGTGGTTGACATGGATGATCTCTTAGGTTTATGTTGATGTAATGCAGGTTTTGAAAGTGGTGCTGGAGTAGTTGTATTGGTTGAAGTAGTAGCGAATGTGAAAGTAGTTGGAATTGACGAAGGAGGTGGTGGAGGAGGAGGGGGAGGAGGATGTTTCAGGAAATCTGAAAATGGTTGATAGGTTGAACCTGAACTAAGTAAAGATTTATAATTATAATTATTAGGATTAAGGGATGGGCTATTATTTAATTCAGAATCTTTTTGTTTACCATTCGACACCAAACTTTCACCTCGTATATTGAAACCTTGCAGTGAAGAATAATTGACTTTGTTCACGTTGTTTTTATCAGAGGATATTATAGGAAATTCATTTGATGAAGGAGTGCAAAAATTTTTTTGTGGCACAAAATCTATTTTTGGAACCAAATTTAATTTGTTGTCCGTATTGGGTAATCGAGAATGTTTACTATTATGATTATCGTTTAAGCTTGGTAAAGATTCTATGTTATGAGGATGAATTACATCATCATTATCATCGATTAACGTTTCTTCTTGGGTTTCAGCTTCAGTATTTGATGTTAAACTATTATCAATAATTTTTAATTGTGGAGATTCTTTAACTTGTTTTAAATTTTGAAACGTAGCAGGTTGACTTAAAATTGGGGTATCGTCAGTACTATAGCCTGAATCGTCTAAAGTTGAGATAGATCTTTTATTCTGATGATTTGATTGATGTTGATGTTGGTACTGTTGTTGGTGATGTTGATAAGTATGTAAGGATTCGGTAGATCTTTGTTGAGATTTTGCAGTTTCAAACGTTTGGATTGAAACAGTTGAATTCTTTATACTTGACATAGGATTATTATAAGGAGAAATGGCATATTTGTGATTGATATTAAGAGGTTTTATTTCTTCTTCTTCTTCTTCTTCTTCATCTTCTTCTTCAATAATTTGTGTGTTATTATTACTCACACTACCTTTACCATTCTTTTCCAATAATATACTTTCTAAAGCTTTCATAGATGGAGAATTCTTCATGAAAGAGGTCTTTTCAGAATTGGGTAATAATGATTTATTAATAGTATTAGATGAGATTGAATGAACAATCTGAATTGAATTCCTCAAGTTCTGAACATGATTAGAAGACTTAGATGCTGAAATAGTGGCAGGAGGTGCAACCGATGATGATTGATTATCATCATCAGTGGATGAATAGAATTGATCACTCAATAGATAATCTTCTAAATTATCTGATTTGGAACTCATGATGAAATATGATTCTGTGTTTAATCCCTTCTGGATCTGTATGTATCAGATGTCTTAACCTTTGTTAGATGGGTTACCCTCTGTAAATTGTTTCTAGGAGGAATGCAAAATTGGAATGAACGACTGAATGGAAATATACTAACTAAATATATCCATGAAAAAACTATAAAAAACAACAACAACTTAAATGAATGAATGAATGAATGAAATGATTAAAAGGTTTCTACTATTAAGAATAATCAAAAAACACCCTTTAGTTTTCTTATTATTCTAATGGTAAAACTTTGGTTTCCAATCTGAAATGAAAATTAAAAAAAATTGTTTCGTGTATGTTAAATAAGGTACATCTATGTACAGGACCACAGCAGAAAAGATACCTGCACAGAACATATTTCCCAAATAGGAAAGTCAATTAGATTTAATTTAATTTAAGACGCGTCGCATCATATTTTATTTGTAAATGGTTAGGAATGGGGGAAGAGTTAAAATAGATGGCAAGCCATCGAGATGCCAATAGTTTATTTTATTTATGATAGTTGCGAGGTAATGTATCTCCACATTTCTTAGTAGAGACCTCCTTAAAAAATTATCAGCTCCTTTCTCTTGCTCTTGCTACACGCCATAAATGTTTTTATATACTTGGTTCCACTGACAACCAAATAGTTCAATTTCTGAATATAGCTTATATATAGAGCTTGTGATATATACAGCCATGATTTACGATAAATTAAAAATTATTTATTCCTTCACGATAGGTCATTATAATCGTGCATGGTAGCGCTTCTATATAAGCTATTTACTAGAATTTAGTTACTTAATCATGGTAAACCTATTAACATCGAATTACATTATAACACAATCTTTCTTCTTTGACTTGACTGTTGTATTGATATTGGTTGGAGGATCATTTTCATGACGACTTGTAGTTGATACCAATTTCGCAAAATAAGTTCTTCTCTTATGTTCTTTACCAGGAGGAGGTTTAATTGAACCTAATCCATTTAAGAGGGATATATTTTCAGCTGAATCATTGGAAGGTAAGTTTGGTTTGGATAAATTTATGGAATTGACTGAAGTATCTTTAGAAGCTATGGATGATTCTGTAGTTGATCTTCTTAAAAATGAAAAACTTGATAATGATTTACCTTCTCCTACTGATTCAGTTTCTTCTCGAGATTCTTCCATTTCATAAGGAGATAATTTCAATACAGGATCCATACCGAATTGTAAGATTGAATTGGATAAGTAGAGATATAATTTGATCCATAAGATTTCCAATTCTTGGGTGAAATGAATTCCAAACCGTTCTTGAAATGTTTGAATCAATGCTTCACCCATTAATTCGAAATGACATCCTTCTATATTTAAGATTCTAGCATGACGTTTACCTAATTTGATTAAATATAATTGCATGGCATCTAGATTTTCTAATTGACTTATGGCCATTGACATTACCCCAGCAAAAGCAATAGCTTGATGTTTAATACTAGGGAACATTTTCTCTAAATTTTCATCTTTTGATAATAAATTCCCATAAAATTGTCGACAAAACAATGATGATGCTACTGTTGAAGTATTAGTGAAATTAAAATAATTATTATTATTATTATTATTATTGGAGGAATTGCTGGTATCATTGGTATTGATATTATTATTTCCTTTAAGATTCTTTTTATCATTGATTAATGGTTCATCTAATAAGACTTTATTCCAACTATATCGAATCAATTCAATTTGTTGACGATTGAAATGTAATTCTATTTTATATCTTATTTTTGAATTATAACTTGAATCAACCGAATTACGACTTGCCATTTTAACTAATTTATAATTATTATCACTGATACTAGTTGAATCCAAATGAGTTTCGTTAGATACAATAGTACTATTACTATCTACTCGCTTTAAACCGGAATTATTGGGATTAGAATTACTCAGTTGGAACGTGTCAAACGAAGAATTTAAAAATTGAGCTGAAGAAGTGGTTGATGAAGATTCTGAATGATCCAATAGTACTGATTTATGTTTATTGGATGATGAACTCGATCTAACACCAGGTATAGGAGGGACAGAATAGATAGTAGGATGATGAATACTAGTAGGCATATTAAACATGATTCTCAAAACTTAGTGGGTTAATGAATTTTAATATAGTAATATGATAATTATTGCCTTAGTGTGATAGTGGTTGCAATACCGAGTCGAAAAAAAAAATACTTAAAACGACTCGTTAATTTTCGCTAATAAATAAAATCAGGCAATAAAATGATAAGACAATTGCTTGGTAACGTATGGGTTCTCCATGAATTATCGGATAGAAGTATGTCGGTATTGGTATTTCTATATATATGTAATCTGAGTAATGGGAGATGGAATAAAACGAAAGAAAAGAAAAGAAAAGAAGATGAAAACAAATGTGAAGAAGGAGGAGGATTGGAGGGTGGAAGATGGGAGGAGGAACAGATCTACAGACCAAAAAACTCATTTATTCTGAAAAATAAAATATTTCCTAAAATTGACGATGAAATATTTTATTACAATGCTATTGTTATTATTATGAATGTGTATAATAATTGTAAATAATTAACTCTATTAAAAATGATCGACACTGTCATTGTGTTGTGGAGGTGTACTGTCAGTTTATTTGGTTAATTGCCATTGTTAATTAACCCAGGGGTAAAAATTACAATGTAAGTAAGAAATTTTTGTTTAGCTAGAAGAAATCTTCACTAATTTCTGTTACACTAATGAACGTAACGAGACAAGAAGTTCTTATTACCCATGGATCATGATAGAAAAGCTTAACAGAAGCAAATCTAACAAGTAATCATCATCATCATCATCAATTATAGTTTTAAACTCATTAGTGGATGTAAAGTTGTAGCACAATTCTCAATTGTTGTTGTCCTAGTTACAGTAAATAGAGAAATCAAAGTTTATATGATAAAAGCTTAATTAAATGATGTTATTTGTTAGGGATAAGTGTATTATATCGTCATATATACATCGATATACATGTATGCACGCATACATGGTGATTTAAACGACGACAAATAACACCTAATTTGATGTACCAATAAGAAATCAAATAACAAATAATGGTTTTACCATCTAGACACATAATAATATTACGAGATAAGTGAAAAATTTATAAGGCGATAATTTACATAACACAATTTTGAACATCAATTTTTTTTCGAATACCGGTCAGTCACATGATAAAGTACTGCATGTAATGTCACCGGAAGAATATATTTTATTCGACCTTAATATAAAAAAATGATATAGATATGAAATAATCTATTGCAATCAATAGATATATAACTATGATACGATAATGAGTATAGAGTCAGATAAAGTCAACTCCACTACTAAAGATGACATCACTGAACATTCACTATCAGAACAAGTCAAATTGAATCTAGTTCATTACAACTTATGGACCAATGTCATCATTCATGATACAACCCCATCTCCATCATCATCTGTAATATCAGGGATATCACCAACTTCAAAACAATTAGAATGGATAGTACCGAAGTCATTCACTAATAAGGATATAACCATCCCAGAGATCGAAACCTGGTTTGTCCAAATCACAACCATCAATACCAAACGACCTCTGAAATTAATTATCGCTATAGTGAATGATGATTCTACTGTGGTTTACTATAATATTCATGATGGGTTAGTCAAACCTAAACAAAATTGAAATGTTCAAATGAAACGAAATTATTCATTCATTAATTAATTAATTAATTGTCAATTGTCATATATGTATTCTATATCATCTATATATTAAAAATAATATGCTATTTTTTGGGGGAGGGAAAATTATTATGTATCGCATTAAAATCAATTCAACTTGATTTATTCCGACTTCTAAATTGATAAAAGTCCATCTCTTCATCACCATTATTGTCTTCATTAATATTATTATTATTGTCATTATTGGAATTAGTACTATTATTCCTAATATAAACCCGATCTTGTGAACTATAATTATCATCTTCATCATCTCTTTCATGCTCTGAATCAGTCATATATCCACTATTTCTCTTCATACTAGCAGGTCCATCATACTTCAAATTCAAATATGATGCCGCAGGGGTAACACTCACACTATTACTATTTGATTTCTTACTTCTAACCACTGAATTAGATGATTCCAAGGAATTTGCATCATCATTAATCGATCTTGACCTTGATCTGGATAACTTTCTGAAATTACCATCCATGGCTAATTTATTTCGAACTACTGATCGGGATGAATTGATCGAAGCATTATCGGATCTATTACCAGTCTTACTAATAGAAATGATTGGAGTCATTAAAAATTGACTATTAGCTTTAAGATTTGATCTTGAAGAATTTAAAGATATTTTTGATCCACCCGAATTATATTTCCTTCTACTTTCATTATCTTTAGTAATCTTAACTGAATTTAATGAACTCTTTTCTTCTTCATCATCTTCATCTTCAATTTTACTAAAAAATTCATTTTCAGGATTTTGATGATAAAATTGATACTCTTCATCTTCCATACCTTCTCGATATTCTCCATCTCGATTCCTTGCTATACTTTCTCCTTCTCTTTCATAATCACCAACATAATTATAATCATCATCTTCTTCATATAAATTATACTCTTCATCAAACGCAAGTGCTGAACTACTTCTTCTATAACTACTACCACTATTAGGTTGTAAATAATTTGCATCAGGAGCCAATGTATCAAAATCAACACTCTTAGTAGAAGATTTTCTTCGCTTATGAAAAGTAGATGATGGAACCGCTATATTAGATTGATAATTTCCATGCCACATTTGTCCTAATTTATCAAATTCAATCATAAATTGAAATAAATCTTGTTCTTGAATTAATGTATCTGAAAATCGAAATTTCTCATATAATTGAATAATTAATGGTAAATCAGGTTCATTTGGATCTCTACTAGGTCCTTTAATATTATAAACTTGACCTAAATAAAGCATAATCTCTCTAAAGGTAAAATAATTTGGTAAATCAGTTTGAGTAAAGGCTTTTGAATCATAAATGAATTTATCTCCTAAACTTCGAATAATATCTTCATAAATAGTCTCTGGAGGGAATAAAGTACCTGCTTCACCTTGTTTATAACTTACTTGAATATAATGAGGTGGAGATACACCAGGATGATTAATAACAGCCAGACTATTAAATAAGGGCCCTGCCTTTAATCTAATATCTCCTATACATAATCTTAATTCTCGATCTATCTCACTATAAACTGATTTTGGATAATCATTTTCATCAGGGATATAGACGGAATAAGTGGGGATTTCATTCATATGAGATTTATATTGCACTATTCTTGATAAATATAATACGGTGCTTAGAAAAAGGAATACCACACAAACAATAATGACAATAAACATCTTTATACCACTGAAACTTGTACCTGAAGTTTGAACAATAACATCTAATGGAGTAACTGCCACAAATCCTAATGTTAATAAAGCAAATATAACAGAACTGACAGAATAAATATATTTAAACAACTTCTTAGGTAAGGTGAATAACTTTTGAGGAGTTGAACGAGGTTTTATATTCAAATCATTAGTATAAGCAGCATTTGAGGTGATTAATCGATTCAAAGCTGATCTTTGTGACAGATCATCAGGGTTACTACTTGAGAAAATGGACATTTCAAACTCATCTTCAAACCCTTCTGGAAATGTGAATCGTGGATGAGGCTGTTGCAGTGATGGTGAATGTGATGAAAGTGATGGTAATGATGTGATATCATCGGGATGATACTGATGTGGTGATTGTTGTTGTTGTTCTGGGTCCACATCCTGATGTCGTGGTAGTTCCGGCGTTTGCTTCAGTCGATTATGGTTGGTTAAAGAAAACACTCTATTTACAGCCATTGTATCACTCTCTTCTTCGTCATATACTCATCAGTGTCTATTGATCTTCACTTAGTTGTATCAATCACTTAAATCCAAATTCAATAATTCATATTTCATCTTGTGGTATTTTTCTATGAATTGCTTTTTTTTTTGAGGAGACAGAAATTCACTCAGCCGAAATTGATTGCAAAATTCTTTAACTATATATTTCTATATATAACGCTGCTACTATATATATGAATCAAGTGGTTGTTTCCATTTCAAATGATTGTAAAGGTTCTATATGTTGATACCGTATATCGTCTTTATCGTAAATATCCGTTGGTGCTACTACTAGATTACCTCTTGGTCTACTTATCCAATTTATGTATAGATTATGGAAGATTGATTTTGATTCAAACACATTGACGAATCCGGGTTGATGTTTTCCAACCACATAGTTTAAGAATTCACGGGTAGTTATATTTTGGGAAGTTAAATACAAATGTAAAACCATTAACATTAAAGGGAATTCTAACCCTAAGATACTCCAAATAGCCAATAAAAATGCTACAGGATATTTCGATATGGATTGATAAAATGTATGAACGTCTGATGATTGACTCATCAGTCTATAATGAAACACATGCATAAAACATTGAATAGTAACTATAATACATGTTACATTAATCAGAAATATGAGCCAAAGAAAATAATGATAATTTCGATACCCCACACAATTATTTAAGAATGCACAATGATGATCTTGAATCTTTACACATACATTACATGTGGAACAATGACTAGTACGAGGTGGTTTCCAAATATGACATGTAGGACAATACCGTACTGTAACCCCAATTTTATCATCATTATGATAAGGTAGTTTTATACTGTTGAAATATTCAGAAGGTGGATTTTCAATTTTATGAGTTTGGGGATTTGGTAAACTTGGTAAATGAATATTACGAGGTAATTGACCTGGATCAGAACTTGAAGCTTTGATAAAGAAAAGCAAACTTAATAACCAAAAGTATGCTGTTAAAATAGGCAATGCAGGACTTAAATGATGCCATATCCATTTACTTTCAAATATGAAGTAAAGTATACCAGGAACTAATATAGCCAAGAATGTAACTATATTAATTGGTTTCTGTTTAACGATATGACCTCTTCCACCAAATATGTAAATATATTTCATATCTTTATAGTTTTGAACTTGATAATTACGACGAGGTTTAAGATGATCATCATCAGGTGTTGGCAATATATCAGGATCTGTGATTAACCAATTAGTAATGAATTTGTATATAAATGGGATATGTGACTTTGGGGTGTTCTGTTCAGCCAGCTGCCATTTGAACGACTGATCATGGGATTGGGACTGACTCAGTCTACTCAGCATCCTCTGTATTGCATTTGTCATATTGAATTCATCTGATAATAACTACTTGATGTGAAAGTGTATATACTTCAAAGCTAAAATTAAACCAAAACTCATTTTTCTTTAGCGGATGCTCTCCCACTAAAAAAAAATTAGTGAAGAAATATCAAAATTGAATATAGAGAGAGGAGTATCTTATTATAACAGGTCAAACACTTTATAATGTTTCTACGAACTCAAGCTAGAGTTGGGTTATTTCGATATAAACCATTATCTCATCGAACCATCCAATTAACTCCCAGAAGATCCTTGAATTTAGCTTCTAGATTAAGTGGGATCCAAAATTATGGATTCATTATCAATGTATTTTCAGGAGCTTATTTAGGAGGATTAATCGTATCACTTGGATCACTTTATTTCCTTTATCATGATGCCAACGAGAGACAGAACATTCCATTCTGGGACTTGAGTTTTCAACAACAAATCACTTGTGTTAAAGCTATCAATAAAGATGATGTTTTAAGAAGTCCAAAATATGCTGTTAAACATTATAAACGTTTGTTAATTGAATTATATAAGCAAGAGAACCCTAATGTTGAAATAGATGAAACACAATTCGAAGTTCCATTACTTAGTTCTGAAGTTTTACTTTATCAAAAATCAAACAACTTTGCTAACTTTTATATCGATATGATTTTAAGATATAGTAAAGCATTATTAGCCAAAAGTCAGCTAGATGCCTCGATTCATATGTTAAGCTCAGTTATCAATGATGATGAATTATTCTTCAAGTTGGGTGATACAGAGAAATTATCGGAATGTTGTCGATTATTAAGTAGAGTGTGTCCTGATGAAGAAGATAGAATCGAATATTTGAAGAGATCAATCTTAAATATAGCAAAGACATTCCCTGGTAGTATCAAGATCAATGCTGATTATCTCATTCAGGATAATTCTTTAGTCACTGATGAATTAATCAAATGTCTTAATGGTTTAGCTTTTAACTTAGTTAAGACTGGACAATCTAATGAAAGTTTAAATATCTACTTATCTAACTTAAAACTATTATCAAACATTAAATCAACCTTAACTTCAGGTGACAAGAACCAATCCAACTATCCATATTTAAATGTTGATGAAGAAAACTTACAAGTATTGATGGTCACAATTAAATCCTATATAAGTGAAATCTTATGGCAAAAAGGGTATAAGAAGAATTCTATTTCTTGGAATGAAGAAATCATTGACGAATGTTATTTCGCCCATAACAACTCTCAACAGCTTTCCATCATATTGAATCAAGTGTTAAAGAATTTAATCATCATGTATGATTCCATTAATGACGTCCTTGCAAAACAAAGATGTGAAAAATTACAACTGGAATTAACTAATTTTACCGATACAAGTAAGGCTCATGATTGGTATTTTAGTTTGATTAATAGATTCAGTAGGATCATCTATCATCGTGGTCCATTGGGAGTTATTGAAAAACCATTATTAGAAAGATTTGGTGGAGCAGTTAAATTACCTGAAATTGAAGAAATTGAAGAAGAAGATGTAGAATAGGTTGTTAAAGTATATAGGTTTGATGCAAAATGTCTTGTAAATAATAATAAATGTCGCATTAAAATACATGAAACAAGTAAAATGTCGGTGAACTGAAAATCAAAATAGATACCACAAAAATTTAAAACCATAAACAAATCGAGATATTGCAAAATACCTATATCAATACCTATAATAAAACACTCATATAACAATGCTAGATAGACCTTATAATAGAAAGGTGAACAATTACCAAACAAGGAAACTCGAAGTATGCAAAAAATACATAGACATGAGAGATGAGGTGAAGCTTGAAGATGATATAACCCATGATTTGGAAGATGGTTTTGATGCTTTGATGCAATATGATGAAATCCTTTATGAATATAAGATCTTAAGAGGGTATCTACAAGATAAATCTGATATACTCACCAGCGAAGATAGGATATTATTGAGTGAGATGGAATCAACATTGAATGGAATAGAAAAGGTCTTACCATTATCCTTTTTAATATCAAGAATTCAAGAGTTAGCACTTGTAAGACGAAATCTTTTTGAAAATGCTATGGAAGCACCTAAACTTCTTAATCAATTTGAGTCCAGTATTCCCACAATGGAGAAGTTCATAGAACCACCCAAGATTGTTCATTCTACTCTTGCGATTAAACCTAAACCACTAACTCCATTCACTGATAGTACTTGGTCAGCAGCTCATGTCAAAGTTGTATATGATTCAGTGCTTAAATTTCGGACTAATGTTGATAGATGTGTTTATATCAAACAAAAATTCGAAGATAAATTCCAAGTTAATATATCTACCAAAGTAGCGTCATATTTTTTATTACATTATGGGTTTAGGGATACAGGTTGTAAATTAGAGTTATTCAATAAAACCATGACTGAAGGATATGCTTTAAATAGAAATATCCCCACTAAAGATAGAGTTGATAGGATGCTTCAATATTTCATGAGTGAGTTGAATCTTGAGGTTACTAAAAATGATCTTGATCAAGGTTCAAAATTTAGGAGAGTTTTGATGAATACATATTATAAATTCGAAGAACCAGAGGAAAATTATGTGGAAGTTTTAAAACATGCTCCTTATTTGAATGAACAATTGATTCCATTAAAACCATTCAGATAGAAATGGTAGTATTATAAATATATGTATACATAATTAAATGATTATATGATCCATTCATTATTCTGAAAACACCTAAGTATTTAAACTAAAAACTAAAACTACACAAAACTACACTAAAACTACAAATAAAACAAACATAAAACTAACAAATAAACATAGTTTATCTCTTTCCACCCATTAATTGAGTCAACAATTGTGAGCTTGAAGATTGATTACCAACTGCACCAACATTATCATAATTAACTGATGCTGGAATTGGATTTTGTAAACCTACAACTTGCCCAAATGGTGCAGCTGGTTTAGAACTAGCAAATAATCCTGGTGGTGGTGGAGTAGAAGTATTGGCACGTTCATTGGCTCTGATATTATTCAATTGATTCACAGCAGCTTGTGATTGTTGTTGCTGTTGTTGTAATTGAAGTAATAATAACTGTTGTTGAACTTGTTGTTGTTGGGCATTACGATTTGCACCTTGAACTTGTTGTTGTTGAGTTTCCAATAATTTCTTAGCATGTTCTAATTGTAGTTGTTGTAATTGAGCAGTAGGTAAATTTGGAGTTTGTTGTTGTTGAACTTGTTGTATTTGTTGAACCTGTTGTTGTTGAACTTGCTGTTGTTGAAGTTGACGTTGCTGTTGTTGTTGGAGTTGACGTTGTTGTTGCATGATTGGATGGTTAGCATAAGCTAAATGATAATTCTTAACTGGTCTTAATAAATACTTTTCAACCACATCAAGAGTAAGGAGTTTACCATCTTCTGGTTTACTATCATTAACAAAGTTTTCTCTATTACCAAATGCAAAAAGAGGTAACACCCTACCTTCAGTTTTAGATAATTTTTTGAATTGAACATTCAACTTTTCTTTTCTTTCTTCTAAATTCTTTAATATTTGAGTAGTTTCTTCAATAAAGAGAGCAGTCGAATCATCATCAAGATCAATATCAGCGGGAAGACTTTCTTTCTTAGTCTTACGACCTTTAACCTTGACTTGTTTACCACTTTCTTTTCTTTGTTGAACTTGCAGTTGTTGTTTTTGGTCACGGAATATTTCACCCAAAGTTGGGAATGCAGCAGAGTTAGCTAATGGTGTATTATTATTAACGGAAGGAGAATTGGAAGCAGATGCACTTCCTGCTTTAGCCCATTGAGCAGTAGCAGGTAAAGGATTCGAACTAGTATCATTATGATCTTGTTCTTCTTCTGAATGTAAAGAAACATTTTCATCACCACTATATTGATGTTGAGAACCAGCAATATTGGTACTACTACTAACTCTTGAATTTGCATTCATACCCATCATACTCATCTTAATACCTTGTTGAGTTGATAAATCTTTTCTAGTGTATGAATCTGCTTCTTCACCTGGTTCATGTAAGAACATACAATTTGGATTTGGACATGGATGACCTCTTAAATATGATGAACAATATTTAGTTGTACCATGAGCAGCTCTTAAAATTCTACCGTCACATAAGGAACCATCCAATTCATTTATACATTTTAAAGCATCTTCTTTCCTAGTAAAAGTCACGTAGACTACAATACCAGGACTTTGATGATGATGATGACCAGCACTACCTGTTTGGGGAGCAGGAGATTTTTTATTAATGACGATTTTTGATATTTTACCATATTGACCAAAATATTTATCTGATCTTAATACAGCATGCAAATCTTCAGGAGGACAAGGAGGATTTAATCCTGTAACATATACTAAATTCTTTTGTACAACTCTTAATCCAGCTAAATGTTTCTTATTGGCCATTTCAGTTTCTTTCTTTTCCTTTTCACGTTGTTTCTTTTCACGATCACGTTTTTCACGTTTCAACTGTTGTAATCTATATTCATCGGCACTGATTGATTTATATTCCACTGTTTCATCACTATAGAATCTTCTACAACCAGGACATCTTCCATTTAATTCAGGATTTTGTTTGATATTATTATAACAAAATTGACAGATTTGATATCCACAAGGACAAGGTCTAAAGTTCTTATCCGAGATATCCATTTCTTCCACACATAATGGACTAGAAAAAAGTCTTAGTTAGTATAATAGTCTTGTAATAAACATAAATAATCACGGTTTGAGTCTTGTACTTGCCATTCTTACAAACTCAAACCATTTGATGGATAATAATACATACCAATATTCTTCTTCATCGTCACTGATGAACGAGTCGTCTGTAGGCACCATGATTACACGCTATGATATGATATGATATGATATTCTATAATGGAAAAGTTCTTCAAATTAATAATTGATTTGGGGTTTAGTAATTACAATCTTTTGGTATGTGGATTTGATCTTTAAATTTTTTGTATGTTTAAAATCAAAAGTCAAAAAAAGAAAAGGTCGTGCGGCTTAACAATTCAATCATGTAAAAAAAATGATATTCTGATTATGTAATAAATGATATAAGCAGAGGAAAAGGTTGTCAAACTAATTTGTTCAAAGGGAACTGGAAGTTATACCAGGACAAGAAGGTTTATACTATATCAAAGTAACTAATAATGTCATTCTTTGCTGAATTGTGGGAATCAGTGTTCACGCCAGGTACCACTCCTGCATTGATCACTGCCACTCATATATCATTTATACTTTTAATAATCTCATTAATTACATTGATATTTCTAAGTAAATCAATTCATTTCGTTAATTTATTGGTGATTGCTATTTTACTTTATGGAAGTGTGATTTGGTTTATTAATGAATTGAAAACTATCAAATTAAAGGATAATGCCGAATTAGAAAAGGAAACCAATGAAAAGGAAGGTTCTAAAGAAGAATCTGAAGGCAAAGCTGATAAGAAAGACCAAGATCAAAGTACTTCAAGTGGTGCTTCAGTTCAACCAACTAGTCCTGTTAAAAAGAGAAAGGCTTAAATGAGTTTAGTTAATCATGATTCAAAGATATCTCTAGTTCCAAGTGAGTTGACTAGATACACTACATAATTCAAGATTTATTGCCCTATTGTATATATCTAACCCTAATAGACAGCATAACTAATTAATGAATCCATTCATTCATTCATTCATTCATTCATTCATTCATTCATTCATTCATTCATTCATTCATTTGATTCGATATCCGTTTAATCTGGTATATCTCGTAGTAATTGTAGTTTCCAGCGATTTCATGAATTCTCGATATAAAAAAATATGAGTTGAAAAAATAATATACATAAGCTTAACTTATCACTATCAAATGAGTTTTGCAGATGCCTTTCAAAAGTATATCAAATCTCCTGAAAAGTTCCCATCTATAATCAAATATCATGATGACAACGTTATTATCATACGAGATTTATTTCCTAAATCAGTATGCCATTATTTAGTTATTCCTCGTTCCAATGAAATAACTCATATTCATCCACTAGACGCGTTCTATAAAGATTATTCCAACATAACAGGTCAAGAGTTATATGATCTAATGGAGACCTATGTAACCAAAGCTAAAGATCTCATAATTGAGGATTTAAAAGGAATGTTTAATAAGTGTGAATTAAATAACTTAAAGCTTCAAGAGTTTAAGAATAGTTTTATTAAAGTTGGTGTCCATTCAATACCATCATTACGAAATTTACACATCCATGTCATTACTAGTGATTTTGAATCACCCAGTATGAAACATAAAAAGCATTATAACTCGTTCAATACCGACTTTTTTGTTGGGTTTGATAAGCTTAACCCCATGTTAAATAAAAGATATCAAACCATAGTTAGCAGATCGGGACCAGCAGGAGGAGAAGAAGATTATGCGTCAGATTCAACAAACTCAGAAGATGATAATATTTACGATGATTATGGAGATGACCAAATTGAGTATGTGAGCCATATTAGGAATGAGGGCATGTTAATGAATATTATCAAACAATCACCCCTTAAATGTCAGTCGTGTGGTAAATCTTTCGGAAACAAATTTCAAGAGCTTAAGAAGCATTTACACGAGGAATATCTTACTAAATACGGTCAATTTGATAACTTTGATCATGATAACATAGTACAATACTATGAAGACAGACCTCGTTGATTATACATAACTACTATATATCGATATAATTACATACATCATAAATGTTTAATTCTAGTTTACCCCACCATTCCCTTATATACCCCAAAATAGAATCAAAAAAAGTGGGACCCCCCAAATTTTTGATGGGCGTACTCAGAAAAAAAAAATATTGCAAAAATCCTAAATCAGTTATAGCCGCTTCGAAGATTTCAAAGTAGTGTTCTACCGATGACTACACTATAAATAGTCTACCATAGCAACCATTTCTTAAATCCTATTTTCTGATGATTCAAGGATCAAATATTTTCCGTAATCTAATGTGTAGCTGAGGGGATCGACACTCATAACCCTAGCAGTAATTTTATCTTAACAATAGAAGTCAATATATTGACATTAGTCATACTCGAGATAGATTGCGAGAATAATAGCGAGATTCATCTCATTTTATAAAGGAATAATTTAATAAACTTTGAACTTGCATCATGGCATTGGGTTGGGTATGTATGTCAAAACCCATTTAATAATTTTAATGATATAATGTTGGCTCACCAAACAAAGGCGTTTTCCCGAAGAACAATACCCAATATGTATAATTAACATAAGGTGGGGTGCATTCCCACATAAGTGTAGAAAATGTACCTTCCTTGTGCCTGTAACAATGACCTAGAACTCATACGTCTCGAACCTATATAAATTAAATGATTTCCTCCAACTTTCCCCAGGATTTATAAACTGAGCCTCCATTTAAAGTTAAGTATCATCAGAACAAAAACTAAATTACAAAAGAAAAGAAAAGAAAAGAAAAGGTAAGATGGTGGATGCAAATAAAGTAGCTCTCGATGCTTCATCTTCTGACAGTTTTCATGAAGATGATAAAGTATTCCACAAACTTGGTGTTGCCGAATTAGGTGCCCAATTTGATTTTGATAAAGAATTTAATGATATTGAAATCTTAGCTCAACAAGCTAAAAGAGAAAGTACCTTCTGGCAAAAAGTTAAAAACTTTGAATTTGAAATTAATTTTAAAAACAAGACATATATGATTTATTTATTAGGTTGTTTTGCTTCTGCAGCGGGTTTATTATCGGGTTTAGATCAATCAATCATTAGTGGTGCCTCAATCGGTATGGGTCCTGCCTTACATTTAAGTTCTCATCAAGCTTCTCTTGTTTCAAGTTTAATGCCATTAGGTGCTATGACTGGTTCTATCTTGATGACTCCATTAAACGAATATTTTGGTAGAAAGAAATCAATCATGATTTCTTGTGTTTGGTATACTATTGGTGCTGCTATATCTGCTGGTGCTCATAATTATCATGTAATGTATGCTGGAAGATTTATCTTAGGTGTTGGGGTTGGTATTGAAGGTGGTTGTGTTGGTATCTATATTGCAGAATCAGTTCCCGCAAAAGTAAGAGGTAATATCGTGTCTATGTATCAATTTAATATTGCTGTCGGAGAAGTTCTCGGGTATGCCGTGGCAGCAATGTTTTATGAAGTTCATGGAGGTTGGAGATTTATGATTGGTTCTTCTTTATTATTTTCAACTGTATTATTCTTTGCTATTAGTTTTCTTCCTGAATCGCCACGTTTCTTAATTCATAAAGGTAAGTTAGGTGAAGCCTATAATGTTTGGAAAAGATTAAGAGATGTTGATGAATATGATAGTAAATTAGAATTCTTAGAAATGAGACAAGCGGGTATTGAAGAGCAAGAACGTAAAGCTTCGGAAAATTATCTTCAAGTTTGGTTAGATTTATTCACCATCCCCAGAAATAGACGTTCCTTGGTCTATGCTGTCATCATGATCAGTCTTGGTCAACTTACAGGTGTGAATGCCGTTATGTATTATATGTCTACCTTGATGGCTAAGATTGGATTTGATACTAAGAATTCAGTATTTATGTCATTAGTGGGTGGTGGTTCATTGATGCTTGGTAGTATTCCAGCTATTTTATGGATGGATAGATTTGGTAGAAGAACTTGGGCTATGAATATTGTTGGTTTCTTTATTGGTTTGGTATTGGTTGGTGTTGGTTATAGAATTAATATAAAGACTAATTTAGCTGCTGCTGAAGGTGTTTATCTTACCGGTATTATTTTATATATGGGTTTCTTTGGTTCTTATGCTTGTTTGACATGGGTTCTTCCATCTGAAGCTTTCTCGATGTCTAAGAGATCTGTTGGTATGACCATTAGTTCTGCATTCCTTTATCTTTGGTCATTTACTGTTACTTATAATTTCACTAGAATGCAAAATGCCATGACTTACACAGGATTATCATTAGGATTCTATGGTGGTATTGCTTTCCTTGGTTTTATTTATCAAATTTTCCTTATGCCTGAAACTAAAGATAAGACTTTGGAAGAAATTGATGATATTTTTGAAAAGAAAACAATTGAAATTGCCAAAGAAAATATTAGAAATATGAAGAGATTTTGGAGAATTTAAATTTGGTAGCTCCATCTCTCTCCGGGTAAAAGTTCCTCTCATAAATAAAAAATTTTCACTATTGAAATTTTTAATGTGAGATAATTTTACATACCTTTTTTAACAACTATTTCTTCTAAAGTAAGAATCACTAATTGCAGTATATATTCATTAATATACGACTTAATTCAATATAATTAATCCATGTAGAGAACTGAACAAATTACAAACCGGGATTTATCACCAATTGCATGCCATTCCATCGATGTTATTGGTAAACGAGTCCCATAAATTGATCAAACCATCTGCAGAAGAATCCATACTTCTTTCCGAAGAAAATGTCAGTGTATGATATTCTTTTGATGATGATTTACATTTTGTTAATCACTTTTCTATATTATTACTATTCCATTAAATACCTATACCCATTTACTATTTACGAATGCAAAAATTGACTTATTTTTGGCCCTAATAATTTCCGATTATGATCCACTGGTAAGTCACTATTTGGAATCAAGCATTGTGAGCGGAAACTGCAATAACCACACATTTTGTGATCATTGGTGTGACTAGGAAACCTTTCACCTGTCCAGAATGTAGATGCCAATGTGGTTTGTTTGTTCAAGACTTCGATATCATATTTATATTTAACCGTCTTGAAACACCTGTTAGTCCTACCATTATGATATTCAACTGAAGTTTCATCTCCTAATAAGTCTTTTATGAGAGCGTAAAATTGAGATCCTCTAGCCGCAAAGTACCTCAAGGTTGGTGGTGTTACCCAATTCCCCATTACCTCTTGTGGGAATACGTCATGAAAATTGAAAGGATCGATTTCAACTAAATCATCTATTTTAATTCTTTCATATGGCACATCGATATTTTGAGCAGTTTCAATGATTGAACTTATATTGTACTTTCCTTCAAATGGATTAGATTCACAATATTCATCGAAAGGTTCGAATCCAATAGGTTCACCTTGACTCAATTTCACAAAATCATTCAATAACAATTTAGGATACTTTCTAAGAATAGTTATCAATGATATAACATTAATTGGTTCATCCACATCAAGACCTCTTACTTTAGCATTCTCTATTAAACTATGATACGCAAAATGAGGATCGTCCCCTGACTCATTACTTAATAGCCCCATCATCTTTCTATAGAAGAATATTTGATGTTTAGCAGCTTCTATTACAGATCGCTGACCGGGCACATAATTCAGAGATCTTGTCTTGACATCAGTAGTCTTGAGCTTGTAAACTCCAGCATATTTTTTCATTATTGATGGGATATCTTCAAAGTATCTTGTCATATCAACGCTTACATCTTGATACTCTCTTTGAAGATAATCATTGATCTCTTCAAATAAATCATAGTCGTCTGGATCTGAACTATTCGTAAGTGAGAAATAATCAACAATACCACTTACCAATACTCTATTTTCATTAGCATCACCTGTTTTATAGGGAAATGACTCAAGTTGTTCAGTTGTTGACAAGAATTCTCGATCATGTAAATTCAAAAATCCATGAACTAAAATCTCTCTAGCTTCAGAAGTTCGTATTAATGAAAACATACGAGTAATTATTTGATCACACCATTCCAATGCTAATTCTGATTCTTGTTTATTCCCGATAGCAAACTTGTTAAATGCTTCCAAATCAGATTCATACATTAAAAGTAAATTCTCATCATCAGTAGCTTCAATCAAATCATGATATACTTCTATATTTTGTTTCATATGCCTAGTTAAGAACTTTGTCAACGATATAGAATCTATAATCACATGAGTTTCGGTTTCTAAAGCTGTATGTCTCTTTAACCCTAATTTGATGGCAGCAGTAGGTTTGAACCCTGGTGATCCAGCATAAATATTATAAAAATCACGTAATTCACACCATGAATTGGTTAATAACTTTGTAACTGAGAGTCTTGGACTGGTCACATATGAATTATCAGCATTAGTAGTTGAATGAAATTCGTATGGGTTCAGATTACTGTTATTGTACAATGGTAATAATTTTGAAGTGGGTATATTCCAATTGAAATAAAGATTTCTTAACGCATCATTTTCTAAATTATCTAGCAAATCAAATTCGTTTGATTCCCCATTTGGATCTTTCAGGGTATGATAGTCTATAGGGAGTATGAACTTCTTTAATAACTTTCTTATTTCTTGATTCTCTGTTTTAGTTTCATTATCTTCAATAACTTCTTCAATTGGTGGTGATGCTGCTGCTAAAATGGGATCTGACAACGGCATAAGTGGTTCTGAAGGTATGATTTCGCGGGATGTCGCATGAATGCCTCTTAATAAAGTTCTCAATTGGATTCTGAAAGGTATACACCGACTGATATGCTTCATATCATAGTGGGTTCTGATGGTGATAACTATATCATAAGAAGTATGTGATGTCTAACTTTATTGCAGCAGTTTTTCTCAAATCTGGAGCGCGTTTGAGTTTTTTTTATTTTGAATATGTTATCTATCACCAGTTTTGATTTACAACCAATGAGCAACTTGTTACAAGTAATATAAATCGTTTTATGTATATTAGTAAGAAATCATGAAGAAAATTAAACTATAAAAGAAAAAAATTAAATTGACTTGTCGGTCAGTTAATTGGTATGTATATCCAAATAACTGCAAAAAAAATTAACAAGTGTATCAATCTATGTTTTTCAAATCAATCAAGATGATGGAATGGAACAAGAAAAGGGAAGAATTGAAAATAAAACAAATGAAATTAAGATTTATCATAAAACAAGTGGAAATATAAATTGTATATATATATAAGAAACTGAAGATCAAAACAAACCCCCAAAAAACAAACAATCCGAATCTAAAAAAAAAAAACATCAAACGAAAGACAAACGAACGAACATGTATAACAAGTTACAAGGATGTACCAGAACTTTTTCTCTAAGGAAGAGGAAAACACAAGACGAATTAAACATAGAAATAGAATCATTAATGAATACCTCTTTTCATTTTCAAGGAATCTCTCTTCTTTTCACTTAAAGTGAATTGATTGGCCAAATTAGCAATGCCTCTGGAACTATCTGATAAAGTAGCATCAGAATTGGCACTAAGAACAGGACTTTCACCACCACTACCATAAAAGGATGATGCATTCGAAGAAACCATACTGCCAGCACTAGTTGGAGGTTGTAATATTTGATTTTGATTTTGAACTTGGTTTTGAGATTGAACTTGGGATGGATTTTGATTGACTGGTGGTTGGAATTGATTAAAACCATTTGAGAAATATCCAAAATCATCAGATGGAGTGGTAGCAGACATAAATGGTGAATCTAAAGTTAAACCATTAGCTTGTACATTACTGTTATAACCACCTCTAAAAGAGTTCAACCCTAATGGAGTAGTCACCCCATTCAAAGCATTCAAGGCTTGGATATTGGCAGTTTCAGTATTGATAGTTAATGGATGGGGGAATGAATTGGTTCCTCTTGAAGAACTTCTAGATCTCTGTTGTTGATTTTGTTGTTGTTGCTGTTGTTGCTGTTGATATAAATGGAAATCATCCAAATCAGAATGAGTGGCATTATGACCATGATTGATGGTATTTTGAATGGTCTGATTATTGGAATGAGGTGGAGTCATAGTTGGACCTGAAACTGAACCTTTGTTTGAATTTGGTGGAGTTTGATAATCCATCATCATTGAATTAAAACTTCCACCACTTCCATTTGTGGCACTTCTATTTATATAAGACTGAGGAACATAATCTTGAATTGATTGTAAAGAATCAGTACTCATATTGAAATTTTCATTAATAGGGCCATTATTTGAATTATTACCACCACTAGTAGTTGGTCTTATACTATTGATATTTCCAACATGTAACCAATTATTACTAGTATAAGAATTATTTCTAGTTAAAGAATGTTTTCTTAAACTTAAAGATGATGAACGAGATCTATTTAATGCAGGAGGTTGAGCTGGACCAGTACCATTAGTTGGATTAGTTTGTTGACTGTTATAATTCAGAATATTCAATTCATTAAGGGATAAATTTGAGATTGAAGATTGACGTAATCCTGTATTTGAAGTTACTGAGATAGTGGTTGAATCAGGTAATCTATTGCTATTATTATTGATATTGTTGATATTAATATTATAACTGTTATTGTTACCGATGATGGTTTTATCATTGGCAGAATTATTAGCATGATTATAATTACATAAATCCAATAATCTTTTTCTGATTAGTTGTAAGAATATAGGTTGAAAATGTTGATTTCTTAAATAATCAAGATTTATAATTGATTGATGATCATATAATGGAGGATTCATACTGGAAATACTAGTGATTAAATTATTCATGGTTTCATTGGCAACTTTACTTACTAATCCACTAGGAGGAATAGCACCCAGAAATGGAGTTGTGGTTGGTAATGATAAAATATATGAATAAATGGATAATACCAATTGATCAAAAGTGTGAGTGAAATGCAAAGTATAATTTCGAGTTGATTTAAAATTAGACCCTCCAACATCATCTATATCAGTTAAAATATCATCGGATTCATTATAAGCAGGATTTGAATACATTTGATTGTTATTCGACACGGGTGGAGGAGGAGCAAAATAAAATCCATTTTGATTATTATTTGATAAGAGACCTGGACCACCGAATTGAGGATGTAATTTAGGAGTATCCACCGGAGTCTTTAAAGTTTGATCTAATGGAGTGAATGGAGCACCCATATCCGAACCACTAGAAAGGTTACTAATGGACTTATTCAATTTAAGTGTTAAATTCACTTTTTTATTATCCATGATGAAAGATAGTTTCTCTTTATACGAAACTTATAATTTATAATATGCTGGAAAATAGTAAATGACAATAGCTAAAACAAAGTTAAACAAACGAGATGTGCAAGTGGGTACTAGTGGATGGTGATGCTGGTAGTAATGACAAGAAAGAACAAACTTTAATGAAAGGAAAAGGAAGTGAAAAGAATAATTATTAAATTGAATATTGAATATCTCCAAGTCAAATATTAATGGCAAGAAATTTTTATATTTTGCGAACGCGTTGGTTCCCGTTAAAAGAAGTCAAAAGGGGGGGAGAAGCAAGGAAGGGGAGCGGGCAGACTCACTAAATAAATCTTTTTTTAGTGGAGTTTTGCTTTAATTTTTAGTGAGAAAAACAAATTATTTGGCAGATTTTTTTAATTTTGCTGGGCAGGTTCCAGGCGGCGAGTGAGGTGAGGTGGGGAGGAGCAGAATAGAAGGAAAGAAGGAGTTTTGATTTGATTCGAATAATATAATTCCAACAAAAATAACAATGAAAAGGAAGATGATTTGAAACGGTAGTAACAATGGTATCGATGTAACTGTCAATCCAGATTATAAGATTTAAAGCAACAAGAGGGAATTTTGTTACTTATTTATGGTATATCTGATAGTTTCTTGTAACAAACGTGTGACAATAGACCCAAAATAATAATTATTGAAAAATAAATAATAAATAATAAATAAATAAAATAATAAATAATAATCTTGCTTAAAGTCAAATAATTGGCCAAGTGAAATAGTTCCAAGAAATGAAATATGCTACGGGGGGGGGGGAGGTCAGGTCTTTAATTATGATGTTCCGTAAATTGCGTTTTTCCCCCTACGAAAATGACATTTTTATCGGGTTAAATGAAGAAGCTGGGGGAAGAACAGCAAAGAGGGTTTTATCCAATGAGTTTAGATCGGTACCAGCGGTTATACCCCCTTTAACCGGTTATGTCCATGCAGTGTACTAGTATGAAAACAAGGCACAATCGGTATGCCTCCTATATGTTTGTCTGTCAAACTAACCATAACACCTCTGTTCAACCCATACAGTTGAAATAATATAATATAACAGTAACTAATATGGTCTAGCCATATTTTCTTATGCAAAAATTCAACGCAAATTATTTTTTAAACAACTTTATTTATTTAAGTTGCATAATGTATAATTTAATTTCGAGGTGGATATACACCAGTTATTTTTTATGGTTTCCATTGTATTGATTACATCGATGTTTAATTCATTTTGAATTTAATGCTACATATTATAGGAGGTGTAAGTGATTGTTAGTTTCTTTTTTATTTAGAAATGATAATGCTGTCGATCATTGATATCAATTCCAGATCCATCACTTCAACTCTACATATATCGTAAGACAAATGGCATAAATAACCTTGAACAATAGACTTAATTGGGTTTTGCAATATTTTTGAAACATTTCGAGTGAACGCGTTTTTGCGGTTTGCGAGAAGTAAAAAAATTTTCTCAATTAGATTTCCTAATTGGGAAAAACTCCTAATTAGGTTAAATTACAATATGAAAAATAATTTATTTTTATTCTTAAAGTCTGTTCATTTATCAAACATTTGATGGTTTAAGGAAAGGAAAGCTATAGCTTTAGCTTTTTAGTTTGGTTGACAATTAAAAACAAAAGTTAATTAAGATATCGTCATATGGCACAATTTCAACTTTGAACTTCCAACTTTCCAATTTCAATTTCAATTTCAATTTCATGTATTGTAGGTTTCGTCGTACAATTCTCTGATTCAGCCTCTTTCTCTTCAACTCTTGTCTAGACAGATCTGCATTGATCTGATGTTAATTATAAACTTTCATTCCGATGCTTGATTGTAAGGCTATTTTAGTCCCTGTTGTGGGCATCCTTCTACTTTATCGAATTAAAATTGTTAATCATAACGTCATAAATTATGTTAACAACGACCAAGAAAATTCTTAAAATCTACATGTTATAAAGTATAATTTTGTCATTAGGCAAAAGGAAAAAAAATCCTTTGTTCATTAAGAATCTATTACTCCAAATTAAATAAGTTTAAAGCCTACACTAAAATATTAAACTATTATCACCACCTACACCTTCATCATTGATGATTATATTATCATCTTGATGTATAAGCCCTTGATCTTCAAATACTCTATCATCTCTATCTCCTTCATTGGTCTCTATCGGTACTTCTTCCTTTGGTGGTTGTGGTATGTACTGATTAAGATCATCATCTAATAACTTATCATTATATTTGATATTGTAGGGTAATAATTCATTCAACTCTTCACTTGGTTTAACTTCATTATGATGGATCGGTACGACTTCGTTCGTAACATTGGTCTGTATTTGTGGTGGTTGTTCGACGTTCTCATCGTCTACTTCATCGATATTGATGATTATATGATCATGTTTATTCACATTATGAATCTTTTGTTGATCCGGGTGAAATTTAATATTGGATTGAAATTTTAAAAATTCTTGTTCTAAACTTGTATTTATGAATTTTAAATCATGACCTAATTTCAAATCTTTTTCAATCAAATAATTAATCCATAATAATTTATCTTTATTGGTTAATTTGTCTTCATCATCAGGTTGTATTTGTTGTTGTTGTTGTTGTTGTGGGGGTAAATGTTGATCAAATTGCATAGAAGCAGTCCGAGTCAATCCTGGTGTATTATTACTATTTGGATTCTGTTCGATTAAATTCAATTGATTATAATATTCTTGACGTTCTTTCCGTTTTCGTTTTCTTCGTTCTTGATCTGTTTCTCCATCATTACCATCTATTTTCCTCTTTTCAATCAAATTCTTGATAAGATTCATGGGTAATTGATTTAATTTATAACTTAATCTGAATTCATCACTATAATCTATCCAATTTTTAAAAGCTTCAATTGATTTTGTATTGGTAACTTTCATCTGTTTATCAACATTAATCTCTATTCCATCCCCAAGATTGACTCCTTTAGGAGGAAGTTTTATAAATGTACTTGGTTTAACCGTCCCTATCAAACTCAACGCTTGGAACACATCAATGACATCGATATCACCGTTATGACTTATACATTGATTCACTTGATCAATCAATTTATTCATATATTGAATATAAATATCAGTAACGATATTTAAAGTTGATGGTTTACATTTATCAAACCCATTTGATTTTAGAATTTGAGCAATCGATATTCTTAACAATGCAAAATGAAATGATTCATCCATTTCTCTCCTCTTAATAATGATCTGATCTTGGATGGTTATATCATTGACCCTTTAAATGATATTTGAATGTCTTTGACAGGTTTGTGGTTGCTTATAAGATTTTTGTCGTTAGACAGTTTAACTTTTGATATTTTGACATTTCCGCACGACCAAAGATTGTTCAAGCCATTTGACATTCTATTACAATGAAAGGGTTATACCATTACTCTATGGTAACAGGTTAGAAGTATAAGACGATTGATGATCAAGTATCACAACTAAAGATATCGTAGAATCATGCTAAAAATATGCTTGAAAATATGTATTTGAAGTATATATAACATTACTTATATATATAAAAAGAATTAATAATAATAATATACAATTATAAACCTTGTTGTAAACGTTCTGAAATCTTTTTGGAAGCGAAAGAAAACGCATCGAATAACCCTTTATCGATATTAACATGAACGTCGATTTGATTAGAAGGAGGATTGGTGACTCTACTTACGATAATAGCCGGATCAGTTTCGATTATAATCCCATCATCAATGGTTTCATCAATGGTTAAAGTTACAATATCATATTTATCTAAAATGGTGGCTCTATCGATGGTATTGTCTAATAATATATTCAAACTTTCGAATAAATTCGCCATGATGGAATAAATCAATGATTCATTTTCATTAATCTTAGCCACTACCAAAAGAATAATATCATTGGATTGTTTATAAGTGATCAAATGATTATCGTATAAAATGATATCTTGATGGATTTTATTGACTTTGGAGAAGAGTTCCTTTTCGAATTTCAATTGTTGTGATAAAGTTTGGAATTGATTGTCATTAGAAAGTTGGTGGGGTTGTTGTTGTGATAATAATTGAGTTTGAGATTGAGGTGGTCCATCAATGGCAGGTGGATTATAATATTTGGCATATAATCTTGATCCCTCGTTATCTAGTATCAACACGGCTGAGATCGTGTATAAGGATATATTCAATGCCATGATGTAATAGTAATTGTTATTGATATGGATTGGTTAATGATTGATTCCTCCTTTTTAAAAAACACGGTGGTTGATATTTTCATGCTATGAGGAAATTTTAGATTTTCCAAATCGACACAAATGTCGTCGCTCATGACGACATAATCAGAATGTCGTCAACCATTTCATTACAAAAAGACTGCAAAAATTAAAATTGTAAAACAAAACTGAAATGATATGTATATAAACGTATATATATAGATAGGATTGACGTATATAAAAAGGGCGGAGACAGACAGATGTATAAGTCTTATTATTAAAAAGTAAGTATGAATTATTTTTTGGAATTTTAATACTTTTATAAAAGTAGGGATAAATAATATAATATAAAAAAAATAAGTAGAAACAAAAATATAGGAAAATAACAACATGACGAAGATTAAGGGAAAGGTCTTAGTTGACTAAGTTAACAACATATTCATGAACCCCTTTATGGAAACTATTGGTAGTATAGAATTCATCATCGAATTTCAAATCTAAACTTCTCCAACCAAATACGAAATTAACCACAAGAGCAACAGTTAAACCAAAAGCGACAATCAATGGACCAACAGAATTATCTAAATGAGTATCTGATCTTTCAGTAATGATGGTTCTTCTTCTCATAAAGATATAATAACCCCAAACACCAGAGAATAAAGTTAAGATGAAATAAAAGTAAGCTAAAAAGTTAGATAAACCTTCGAAATTTGAATTTAATGATGAATTATAAATAATAAATGTTAATGATGATAATAAAGTTGTAACATGTAACCATCTATTAAACGTTCTTTCATTAGCTAACCAAACTTTTGGTTCAATTTTCAAAGGTCCAGCATTTTTAATCCAAGAATCAGGTTTAGTAACTCCAATTGGTAATTCAACTTCTTCTTCTTCACTATCAACATCAATTAATTTTGAAAATTGATTTGGTAAATTAAAGAATCTTGAGATTGGATTTCTTTTACCAAGACGAGAAATTTCATCATCTTCATCATCATCATCATCAAAATCACTAGATTGATCATCAGTAGCAGTAGTGGTTCCAGCCGGTAAATCTTCTTCAGGAATAGATTGGATTTGTTGATTACCAGTATCGATAGAATCTTGATCAATAGTATTACCATAATTTAATAATAAAGAACCTGAAAATGAAGCAGATCTAGGTTGAAAATTAGATTTATTATTTTTAAGAATCATTTCTTTAAATTTAGATAAATTATCTTCATTAGTTAAATCTTCTACATCTAATAATTGATTTTGTTGAGGAGTAACTGGTTGAACTTGAATTTTTGGTTTAATGGTTAATAATGAATTATTTGAAATATCATTTTCTAATTCATTAAACCAAAGTGGAATATTATCTAATTTATCATCTTCTAAAAATAATGAAGCAACTCCATGAATAAATTTTGAAAAATTTGGAATTTCTTTAATTAAATAAGATGAATTAATTAATTCATTAATCCAATTTAATTTTTTAAAATTTTTAGCTGCTGATTTTTTAATTTTAATTTCCATAGTTGAATAAGGGAATTTTGAAAATTCTCCTTTTCTTAAAAATTGTTGAGTCTTAGTTGGATTTGAATCAATATCTAATCTATGCCAATTTGATGGATCTCTAATAGGTAATTGAGGATCAAAAGAATCTTCTCTAATAAAAGTTAAATTTGAATCAATAATAATTCTAATTTTATCATCACCTGGGATTTGGAAAGCAGTTCTATTATAAGTTGTTCTTAAGATTGGTTGTAAATGATAATCTTTAATAAAATTTAAAGTATGATTAAGATTAGTTTCATCATTTAATTTTTTTAATTTTGATGGAATTTCTTGTTGAATTATAAATTGATTTAAATATTTTTGTTTAACAATTAATTTATCATCAATATTAAAATTTGAATTAGCATCAAATTGTTTCTTTTCCATAATAATTTTTGGTTTATCTAATAATTTTCCAATCCATTTAATTCTTAAAGTTGATGAATTATTAATTTTAGTTAATTTATTATTATATAATTCAAAATTTTCATTATCAAAATAAATACAATTAATAGTTTGATTTGAAATATTATTAAAAGGATTTGATTGATCATTTTCATCAAGATCATCATCATCATCATCATCATCATCATTATTATCATGATTTTCATTTCTATAGATTAATACAGGTAAATGTCTTAAAATAGTGGTTTTAACTTCCATTAAATTATCAGGATGAACCCAAAATTTAAAGGATTGAAATTCAGCATTTAAACCTGAATCATTAAATGATGATAATTTTGATAATGATTGATCAACATTATAATTATCTCTTAAGAATTGAAATAAAGTACCAACTTTATAAATTAAAGGAGAATAATCTTCGGAATGGAAAGGTAAAGATTTTAATCTAACATTTAATAATGGTTTAACAGAATAATTTGAATGTAAACGATCATGTTTTTTAACAATTTTAATAAATCCAGTATAATTAATTCTTTGAAAATGTTCTAATTCTTGAGTAATGGATAAGATTGAATCTAATTTAGTTGAAAAAGATTCTACATTAAAATTTTCTGAAGTATGTTCAGTTTCTAATTGTAAATCATTTAATTGATCATTTAATTCATCAAATTGATTATGTTGAAAAGTATAAACTTTTTCTAAATTTTCATCTAAAGCAGAAACGAAATTTTGTTCATCTTTTTCAGTCCAATTATTCTTTAAGATGACACCTTCTTTTAATAATTTTTTTAAATGATTATAATTGATATAATAATCTTTCCAAGGTTGATAAATTTCGTTATCTAATTTGGTAGCGAATAACATATTGTTGTAGGTGGTAGTAGTGGGAGTGGCAGCAGAGGTTGAAGTATGACCGTTGGTTGTATCAGACATAGTGGGATGTATGTACGAACGGGAGGGAGGAAGGGAGGGATAGTAGGTATGTACGAACGGGAGGGATGAATGGAATGGAATGGAATTGACTGGATGAGATGGGATATAAACTAGATACAATCAATCGATGGATGGATGGATGGATGGATGAGATGTAACTAGTCAGTGGTAATTCAATTGATTGATGGGATGAGATGAGATGAATTGATCAATCAGTTGATGGAAGGAAGGAAGATGGTACAACTTTAAACAAAGAAGAGAGAGATGAGTTTCAAAATTGACTGTCAATTTGAAATAATTTGAAATAATTTGAATTGAAATAAAATCCCTCCTGTTAAATGGAAGAAGAAGAAGAATTTAAAATTTCTATTGGATCGTAAATGAATTGAATTGAACTGTGCTTAACTATACACGCTTACTGCTGCTGTAACTGTAACTGTAACTGTAGTACTAATTAATCCTTCCTTCCCATTGACCATTTTTTAACTTTAAGTTTTAAAATTAAGCATATGATGAGGACTGTATATAAGGAGAGGTAGGTACACGTGGGGGGTCCTCTCTGTCACTCTCTCTCTCATACTTAAACATCCATCCATCGCCCATCATCATCACCCATCACATCTAATTATATACAGGATACGAGCTCAAATAGGGACAGGTCAAACCAAATCAATTACTAACTAACTAACTAACTAACTAACTAATTAGATTCATATCATGTCATTATGTCAATATATTTATATATACGTCAATCAATCAATACATTCATTCATTCATTCATCAATTCATTGTAATATCTATCTCACTCTCATCACTTCTTCTTTCATTCTTTCTTTCTCTCTCTATTTCCCTTTTAAGCCCTTTAAATTTCGCTTTTTCTTTTTTTGTATTGTTTAATGCCCTCCGTCCTAATTAGGAAGGTCTTATATACAGGTGCCATGTCGTAGTACAAATTATAGTAATTAACCCTTACAACTAACAAATCCATATCAATCATAATTATAATATGATTGACATAATTAGTTATGTACGAACTATACTCTTAATGAAATTAGTCCATCCATCCCTCCATCCCTCCCTCCCTCCATGTTACCTCATCTTTCTACTCTATATTCAAACTGGGATGGTTCTATTTTTGTGTCATTATTATTATTCTTTTTTTGACATAAACCACGAGTCAACTAAAAATACGACACAATAAATTTTAGACATGACATGAATAATTAATTGAATTTTCTTGCACCCAAAAATTGCAAAATTACTCATCCAAAATAAATAAATAAATAAATAAATAAATACATTAACCTTATACAATCATACATATTCTAAAATGAAAATTGATCACTATTACTCTCTTCAAGTTTAATATCTCCATTACTACTACTACTACCATTATTATTATTATTACTACTATTCCCATTATTATTATTATTACTTGAATTGGTAGGACTACCAGCACTTCCAAATCCAAATAAATTAGATAAACTACTAGATGAGGCAAAATTTTGTAATAAAGTAGTAGCACTCTTAGTTAATTTTATAGCTGCTCCACTCGGTGATGCTGGTGTTAATCCCGTAATAAATGGTTCATTATTATTAGAATTATTATTATTATTATTATTATTATGAAGAGATATTTGATGATTACCAGTTCCAGGAACTGGTAATGGTGTAGTGGTATCTTCCGTAGCAGTAAATGCAGTTAATACAGGGGGGACAGGTACTCCTAATCCTGCAACTTGATGATTGGGAATCATTGGATTTGATCCTGATATAATCGATGATGTAGTAGATGATTCAGTAATCGATGATGATGAATTGGATCCATTCATATGAGGTCGACTCGAAACATGAAATCGACTTGATTGAACATGATTAACCGGGATTTGAGGAGGAGGTATTACAGGAGGATAATGACTTGGAACTTGTTGATAACTATTATAGATTGATGATGGAGTAAATTGAGGAGATTGAAGAAATGAATTATATTGAGCTTGAATCATAAATTGATCTTCATCTTCAGGTGTTGAAGTTCCATTGGTAGTAGTAGTGGTAGTAGTTGATAATCGATTTAATCCCATAATTGGTCGAACATTATTATTATTATTATTATTACCACTATTAACCATAGTTGATGAAAAATCAGCTATAATATCATCAATCGAAAATTCTCGTCCATCACCAAATTGTGCAGTAGATGGACTCATATTTTGATTCATTGGCATATTGCTCACTGACTGCTGTTGTTGTTGTTGATGATGTTGTTGTTCATGAAGTTGTTGTTGTTGTTGTTGTTGTTGCTGATGCAGCTGCTGTTGAGCATTCTTTAAATTAATTAACCGATTTCTATTCTCATTCAAATTCAAATACCAATTATTTAATAATCCATCTGATCTAATCAATTTATTAATATTATTAAAAAATGTAAAATGTTTCGATAAATTATCACTAAAATATAATATCTTAATCTCATCATCAATCAATAATGAATTCAATTTTAAATCTTGACCATTATTATTATTATTATTTAGATCATTTGTAGTTGGATTAATTACTTTATATTTAACTGCTTCAACTTTTAATATCACTTTTAATAAATGTAATAAATGAGGTAATAATTGAAAATTTGATATTTTTAATTTAAAAATTTCAGAATCAGATGGTTTTAAATATTCATTCAAGTTATTAATTAATTCATATAATTCTAATCTTAATGATTCAAAACTTATAGGATAAATTAATAATAATTTAAATAATACTCCATATCGAATAATTTCGAATACTTTTAAATTCTCATCATTAATATCAACTTCTCGTTCATTAGGAATTAAACTCATAATCTTTTGTTTTAATCCCCAATATTTCGATATGGAATCATCTTCAATCACTTTTAATTTCACATTAAAACTGGTATGTTTACAAAGTTTAATAAAATGATTGATTTCAAAATTCTCTTCACCAATATCTTCCATATCATCTTCATTCTTATTAATATCTTCATCTAAAATATTCAATAATTGAAATAATTTATTGGAATTATAATTATTATTAATATTCTCTTGTTTATATTTTAAAATCTTTTTCGAATTTAATTGAATTATAATATCATTATTTCTAAATCGATTTAAATTATAATTAAATGATGAAAATAATAAATAATATCGTTCAAATGTAAATATCATTTCAAATAATTCCGATAATTTAATAATTAAACTACTATCATTATTATTCTTAATATTAATTAATTGAAAATAAGTAATACTTCGATTTAAATTCATAACTTTTTGATACTCTTGAATTTCATTTCCATAATTCCCATCCTTAGCATAAATTTGATGATTAATATTAACTGTATTATTAGGAGATGCTGAACTTGAATTACCTGTACTTGTAATACCTGTACCGGCACCTGAACCTGTACCACTACTACTACCAGTACTTACATTGGTATTGCCATTAATAGGATTAACATTGGGGGCGATAGGAATGGCATTTAAAGTATTGGTTAAATTCAAAGTATGATAATAATTACAAAGATGTAATGAACTCAAAGATAAATTATAAAATACTTGATGTAAATTTAATAAATTATGAGTATTGGGATTATTAGCACCACTATTTTCAGTATTGATACTACTAATAGCATTTGAATTGGAATTGGGAGGAACTGATGAATTACCACTAGTTGTAGAAGATGCAGCATTATTATTATTATTATTAGTAGTAGTAGTACTATTATTTTTAAATGCATTTTGAGGTATAATAGGAGGAACAATTAAATTAATTTCAATATAGGAAAAGATTTCAATACATTTAAAATGACATAAATTCTTAAAATTTTTAAAATTTCGAGTTTCTAAATTCTTCTTAGGATATTTTATAAAATTCTTAAATTTTCTCTTTTTAAATTTAATTAAAATCTCCGCAATGATTAAATTTATAGTCAAGATAATTAAAACTTGAGATAAATATAATGAATCATCATGATGATTAGTAAGATTAATTTCTTCATTCATAGGATTTATGGGTGAATTAAAATAATTTGCAAAATTAGCATTTAAAAAATCAATTAATTTACCATAATTTAATATAAGAGATTGAACCGTCAATGGTTGAACTAATTCTCTAATGATTGGTTCTTCTCCTATTAATCGAATATTTTCAATAAGATTTGATGGTGTTGGTCTATAGTTGGTTCCAGTATTGTTATTGTTGTTTGTGGTTATATTAGTAGGGTTATGAACAGTAGTAGTTCTGGTAGATTGAGTTGATGGTTGAATTTGAGAATTTAAAGAAGGATTTTCAACTTCAATAATTGAATCTTTTAATGGACTATTGTTTGATTGATTATTATCACTATCATTACTAGTTTTATTCCTATGTTTAATATTAGGTACAGTATTAGATGTGGTAGTATTACTGGATATGGAAGGAGTACTATTAATACTACTATTTTCAATTTTAATATCATTTGATTGATTATCATTAATTGGATCAATCTCATTATTATCATTACCTCTTGTTATATCATTTATAGTTTGATAAGTATTAATTCTTTGAATAGTGGCGGGTCTAACTGTTTTAGGACCTGATTTTTTGATTTCTCTATTAAATGTACATTCAATACCACTTTCAGTACATTTTTTACAAGGTCTCTTTTCAGCACATTTAATCTTTCTTGCTGCACAAGCATCACAAGCTCTAACATTTGATTTTCTCTTTTTATTAGTTTTTGATAAATCTTGAGGTTGAGTATGTTTATTAGTGACTGGAACTTGCCGTTTTTTATTATTATTATTATTATTTGATGAAGTTGACATTTCAACATTTGATGATGATACTGATGAAGATGGTAAAACATTTGGCTCTGGAGTAAAACTTCGTGACCCATTTTCATTTTGGACAGGAGGTATTGATACTAATGATACATTTTGAGATGGATTATTATAGGGACTATTTGAATTTGATTCTATGAAATCTAAATTGTAGTAATTTGGATAGCTCATTATTTATTGTATTGATAAAACCATTAAGCAAAAAGCGTATAGATTGGGAGGGGGGAGCTGAAGGGATGGAAATATGTCTGCTATATTTGCTAATGGAGAACTTTCTATTGCATCTGATGAAGTAAATTAGGGTGATAAGACTAGGAATATGATGAATTAGAATCTAGATAAGTCTAATAAGTGCTACGTAACAATAGTAGTGACCGATTGATTTGATTGATTAATTAAAGGTATTAGTGATACTGTTTCTAACTCTAAGTTCTAGGAAAAGACAAGCTATGATGGATGCGATAGGATACGATATGATATAGGTTTGATATGATGATTGATGGAAGTATATACTGATGAATATATGGTATTGACCAACTCCAACTGGCTGCTGCTGCCAAAATCAAAATTTTAAAAAATGTGAGACGCTGCGAAGCGGAGTACGGGAACGGGGGGTAACTTGGCAACTGATAATCAGACTTCCAAATCACTTGATGATTGAATGGGTTGGATTGAATGGATGGATGAGATTAGATTGATTAGACTAGCTTAATCAAATAGCTTATCAAACGAAGATTAGAAATGGATTGGATATTAAATTATTAGAAATCAATCACAACAAATCCACCACTGACCACCACTCAATTCAAACCAAACCAAAAATAAAAAAAGTGTCAGTCAAAAAAAGGAAAGAGAGAAATTTACTGTTTGTGTAACTGTACATAGTTAACAGATTTTCTTACACAGTTTAAGGTGAGGAAAAATTTTCTGGTTGAGGGAGTTACAAGAGCAGTTAAACAATAATACGAAGTATCCCACAACAATTAGAAAATGAAGTCAAGTAGTAACGACAAAAGCTATATAATATTATCTAGTCCTATAACTAGAAATTGGCAGAGCCGAATTAATTTCATCTCAAAACGGAAGTTAGTGGTAATGAAAAATTTTTCTTGTCTCTGTCTATCAATCTGTTCCACAACTATTTTTATTTTTAGCCCTTTTTCTTTTAAATTGATTAATTAATTAATTAATATTAATTTAATTAATTTATATTTACGTCTAAAACCAACAATTTAGACGTGGGGTACCTACTCATAATTCCAATTATACTACTACACGTACTCGTGATTGTGTTAATTAGTTAGTTCCATGGTTGTGTAATGCGTTTTGATAATGAATAATTTATCTCTATTGGTTAATTGGTTTGGTTAACTGTTCACTTTACCCACTTCAAACCACCTTTTTTTCAAAACCCCGATCTACCTTAGGCATAGTCTAAAATTTCTATACATCCTTCTGTTACATTTATTTATTTCCTTGGTAAATATTACTGAAATCCTCATCTTTGCAAATAAAATAAAAATACGAATGGACTTATGTCTTAACAACAATCAGACCATTTATAAAACATATTTGAATCAGATTTAATCGATGTTTGTGTCAAAGCTTATTTATGACAAATAACATTCTTTTGGTTATAGGTCGTTTTTTGAAAAATTTTGTATTACCGCGGGGTCAAAAAGAGGGGTAAATTCTAATTAATATACGCTACCCAAAAATAAAAAATTATTTCATTTTACTCTTCATTCATTCATTCGTTCTATTCTATAAATTCTATAAATTCTATACGGCTCTCATCATATCCCTATATTTCTGTTGTCTATTACACATATCAATAAATATCTCGTACTTTACCTCCAATAATCTCCGATCTTTATCTGAAGGTATGGTTTCTCGGATATTGGCGGTGTGAATCTTATGTTCCAGTAATATCTTTTGTAATCCTTCACCATACTCTAATTCCTTATCTTGATATAATTCAACCCCAACCCTGGCCATTATAGATGCCCCTTTGACCACATCATATTTCTTATCTTCCTTATCTAGGGTGATGATCGGTAATTGTAATATATTGCTTAATAATTCCACAAATCTTTTATTATGACTTTGAGATCCAACCATAACAAGTTTTTTAATAGGATTAACTCCACTAGTATGGAAACCATCTATCATTTGTTTAGTTTGGAAACATAAGAATTCTAAGATAAGATTATACTTAATAATTAAACTTTGTATTATTCTTTCATCTGATGACTCATCACTTATAATGGATATTGATTTGAATGCTTCATCAATACTCTCACTATTCATCCCATCAATTATCATTTCACTCATAGAAAAATCATTCAATGGACTTCTATTCCCAAATACATCTCCATAATAGAAATAATTCTTAATCATTTGATTAATAGATTTATGATATTTAACCTCGTACTTTTGAATCTCAGTTTCAATATAATCAAACACTAATTTTGAATCATTAACATCCACTATTTTCCTTATGGTCTTTTCATAATTTTGAAATAATCGTTCAAATAATTTCCCAGTAGCAGGTTGTCCAAATTCATACATATGAATATCATCACTGATCTTAAATGGTCCCCAAATACCATCCACAAACACATCGTTTGCTTTGCTCAAACCAGGATATAAAAAGCATGTAGATGTTCCTGCTACCATCGTACATATTCCATTATTGAAATCATCAGGGTTGACGATGGTAGACAACCAACCGGCATAACAATCAATACAACCATTAGCAATTATAACCTCATGATCTTTCGATATTCCGATTGTCTGTTTGACTTCAGTACTTAATTGACCTACAGGGTACCCCCATGGAAGTAAAGAATGATTTTCAATGCCAAATCTATCTTGTTGAAATCCACCTACTTGAATGTTATCAATATGGAATAAATCTTTCAATGTAGAACTTGACCACCCTTTGATAGATCCATCTAAAGCATAACTATCATCAGCATACGATTGAGGATTAAGTGTAACGATTCGTTTAGAACCAATGCTAGTACTTAATAAATTATGAATCCAATCATAAAATTCAAACACTATGAACTTCTTATCAGGATATATTGATTGTAAGTATTTTAATTTCGGTATACCTAATTCAGGAACCAATTTCTTTCCAACTCTATTTAATATCGATGAAGGTAATGATTGATTTAATTCATTGGTTTCTTTCGTGGCTTTATTATCCATCCATAAAAATATATCAAATATATTTGATTGTGACCCTATAGTGGTTGGTAAATGGAAGCTTTCCACTATATATTCATTACTTGTTATAATCTCCTGTATTTCAGTCACCACCATAGAACAAGTGGCTGCCGTTGACACTGCCACATAATCTTTATGATTCAATTTATTTAATAATTTAAGAATATTCCTAAAGATTTCGTTGGATGATTGGCTGATTATATCATCATTGACATTATACGTAGTGATTGGTTCATCATATGATTCGAATATACCATTTACGGCATCATGATAACATACACGTACTGAACCTGTTCCAATATCAATACCAACCGTGGCCATTGGAATCGTATCTTATCTGTATACTAAAAAAGTCAAGATCGGTCAGTTCAACTTTTAAAAATTTAGCAACACTTTTAATATACAGTCTCGTCAAAATTACAATACTACAAATATTACACGAAGTGAATTTCTAAAACAAATGAAATACAAACCTGAAATTAAAAATACAAACAGATGAACTATATATAAAAAAACATAAATATACAAAATATAGTCTATGGAGGATAAAGAAAGAATGAATGATAATGATGATGAATGTGTGTGTTACTTTTTTTTTATTTGAAACTTTTTATGATTGTTTCCCAAAATATGACCAATGAATAATAATAATAATAAACCAATCCCAATTTAAATAGTTCTATAAAGTGCTTTCCTTAGACAATAAGACTTAGATTAGACTTATTGAATGGTAGCAACAGAACCGGATTGGTTAATCCATCCTTGGACAGTTTCGGAAGATAAGACAGCATCAAATGAGTTAGCAACTTCAAGGATAGATACAGAATTACCTTGGAAAATAACAGCAGCAGCTAAAGAACCTGAAGTTGGTCTGGAGAAATAATCTTGAGAACCACCTCCACCTTGAGCACTACCGTTTGAACCTTGACCATCATGTAAATGAGAAATTAATCTGTTATCACCTGAATCTAAAATTTCAAATAAATCTAATTCACCACAACCAGTTAACCAACATGAACAAGTGGCAGCACCATATTGTAAAGTTCTTGGAATTTTGGCATTTAATAACCAAACAGCTGGCATATCAAAGTTTAATCCACCAGATGCACCAGTATCAGTTGGCATTTCAAATTCAAAAACAAAAATCTTTTGATCTCCACCAAAACCATGATAAGCTGGAATACCACTTCTATAGTATCCACAATCATCACCACTACATTGTTGACCGGAAAAAATAACATATTCGTTATTGGATGGCACAAGGTTACTTCCTAAAGCAACTGGGGTTGATGAACCACCTGAAGCATCGGCATTGGCGTATGATAAGGAGTTACCAAAAGATGATGACCAAACACCAGAACCAGAACCACCGTAATAGTTCATGAATACAAGGTTGTTGGCACTACCTGGAGAATAGTAAGCAACTTGTTCCCAATCACCGGCAGCAGCGGAAGATTGTGGAGAAGAAGTATTTGAAGTAGATGAGGTTGATGTAGTTGATGAAGTGGATGAGGTAGTTAAAGTGGTTGGAGGAGCAGCTGCTGTGGTTGGAGTAGAGGTAACTGGTTCTTGAGGTGGAACTGAATTAACAATTGGGGGTGGAGCTGCAACAGAAGTAGCAACAGTAGTAGAAGATTCAACAGTTTGACCATTAATATTAACATAAACAGTTTCAGTAACTTCTAAAATTTCAGTTGCTCTTTTATGTTGATGATGAACATGTCTGGTTTCACAATCTTCATCAGCAATATCAGCTACAGCTTGTTCATCTCTTTTAGTATTAGATGTACCTGCTGGTAAATAAACCCCAAATTGTAATAATTTGATTGGACCTCTGAAATGAATGGATAATTCTTCATCTAAAGGAGATAAATTACCAGAGAATGCTAAAGATTGTTGAGTACAAACTCCAGTTTGTTCATTCATATCGGTAACATCTTGATATGAACCAGAATATCCAAGACCAGGATAAGTGATTTTATTGGTTTGAGAACAGTAATAGTTACCACCATCGAGGGTACAACCAGCACTAACAGTGGAAGTTAATGCGGCAAGAATAGATATGAAAACAGATTGGGTGAACTTCATGATTGATATATTCTTTCTTTTGTTTGTTTGTTTTCTTCTATAGTTTAGGTATAATTCTATGAGGGTATTATTGTAAAAATAAGGAAGGAAAATGAACTAGTATTGAAGGAATGACTTGAGTTAGAGAGGAGGAAAAGTAATAATAGTGTTCTTTAATTTAAAGGAGTGACAGATATTTCTACTTATATTTAGAAATAACGGAAAAGAAACACAGGGAAGTGAAGTAATAAACACACACGAAGAAAGTACTATAAGCCTTGGATGTAGGAAGGAGCCGACAATTAATTTATAAGTTAAAAAAGAAAAACAAACAAAAGAACTACAAAACAAAAAAATCGCCAAAAAATATGTTCAAATATAAAACAAGAAGTAAGGGATATCGGTTGTTTATTATATATTCGTTTGTTTTGATTATCGCCAAAATTCCAAGACCAGAAATTTTTCGCAGTATAATTCTTTACAAGCAAAAAGTGTAATATTTTTTAATTTTCGGTTAATTTTGCTGGTTGTTAAGGATTTATTATGTAAAATGTAAAAATTACAAAAACGCGATAAAAAATTTCAACCTGAAATGAGTCGATGGAATGTAAACAATGTTCGGAAATGGTTTTCTTAATTACTGGTGCGCGTGATCATCCCACGTTATGGTTTTATAGTTCCCTGCCATATTCCGGGTTTGTGGTGCATTGGTCGTATTTCCCAATTTGGATATATTCACTTCCCAATTAGTCCAGGATAATTATGCAAATACTTGTTATTATTATTATCCATCTCTATCTTTCTTATGTTGTGGTATTTTCTTTTCATATTACAAGTAATATTTAATATATATCAACTGTTAAAACCAGCTCATCCTACTTGTTTGCTTAATTTTGTACATAATATTTAATCTTATGCTCCCCTACATCTTAGATCTGGTTACAACAAATGATATTTATTTCATGTTGTACCCTGGTAGCAAGTATCTCTCTTTCACTCTACCATCTTCGTCAACTGGTGAGCCTTTTGGGTTATGTTATGTTTTGAGGTAATATTTTTTATACCGTGTAAAATAAAAAAAAATCGTTTGTGTATTAAAGAAGTGTGTTTGTTTTAAACTCTCTACAATTATGAAACTTGTTCATAGTAATAGCAATCGTAACAGGTTAATCGTCAATATATAAATCTTAACCTCGCAACAACATCGTTACTCCTTATCATAATGAGACGATAAAAATTTTCTTTTTTAAAGGCTTTCGTTGTCCTTTATTGTGTTCATCGTTGTAAATCATTACAAGTCTCCTCATATTATTGTCAAGCAATTTTAAATGGTGTCAAGTTGCATCAATTTGCAGTGGTCGTGTCCCTTTTACCAGTTGTACCATTTTTGTTTTTTAAAAAAAACAATTTACAGTTTTTCTCATTTTGACACATTTACACTTTTTAGCGCTGGTAAAACACCGACCCAAAAAAGCTTTTTTACTTGCAATAAGAGTTTATTTTGTACTTTCACTTTTAGCAGCTTTTGGTCATGTATATTTTATAATCCTGATCAGTGACTTTAGATCATTGGATGAGATCAAAGTAGCTGCTGGATATGATCTGGTTTGAACCAGGATCATTAGCTGTTAAAAAAATACTGGGTTTTTGTAGCAAGCGTATTGATTCAATTTGAAGTGAAGTGATTTGATTTGATTTGATTCGATTTGAATCCACTTTTACATTATCCCATCATAATTGACATTTTCATTTTGATCATTAAGAAATTCCCATTGTCTTCTGGAATTTCTATTTCATTTGGTAACAGCGTAACCAATAGAACATTTCTAACCTTTACAAATCATTTTTTAATTCAAAGTTTTGCCTATATCCATCGACATACATATCTTGACATAATTCAACGTAATTCTCATTTAAAACTAACCTTCTTTGAATCACTTAAAAGATCGACAATCAAGTCAAGAGATGAAGTAGATAGACAAATGTCAACTAATATATTCAAACTATTAATGATTAATTATGCTACCAAGTGATACTAGGGAAAGTTAGTGTCCTAATTTGTTTGATAAAACAGTAAATCCTTACGGTACATATATCAACGGTATACTACCTAGTTTCTAAGATGTAGTTCGGCATCTAATTTAAATCTCTAGTTATTAATCACTCATAAAATACAATGAAGTGATGTCATTCAACTCCAAATTACAACCAAAAAAATTTATTCCAACGGTTTTTTTACGGATCGCATTAACTTTAATTAATGTGGCCCATTGTTCACGAATTGCAAAAGTTGAAAAAATTTTCACTGCAAATTTCTTTTTACATATCGTAATGCTTCAATGACTTATTTAATTAATGTATTCTAACCCCCATTTAGGTTAATTTAACTTTTATTCATGTACTATGCCAAGTAGTCGAATTAGAAAAATGTAGTATCTCGGTTTATGATGCTTGTATCTCGGATTACATTTTGATTAAACTAGGCTTTGAATAGGATCTAGAACATTTTATTCATGATACATTCACTGTTTTAAGTGGAGTAGTCATGTAGTATCGATTGAAAGATATGAGTGATTATTCAACGGATTAATAATTTCTAGATTAAATAGCTCTTTGAAAATTTTGCAAACTTTAACAAAAAGTATAGTAAATGTAAAAGTAAGTTGGGATCTTTCCCTTCAAATTAGAACAAAACTGTAAACATTTGAGAAGAACTTATTAACCTTTATATACCAACACAATAAACTATTTATCATGGTTTTGTATTACTATATTATAACATATGTATCCATTCTAACCAATTTTAGATAACAAAATTGAATCACATGATCTGAAAGACATGATGCATCTCTTTCCTGCATACAGAAAATCTTTTTTTCATTATTTTTCTTTTTATAATAATAAACTAAAGCAGAGATGGGTAAATCAAACAATTGATTGATCGATAAGGAAGGAAATATTATAGATCTTGTGCAATGAGTGAAGAAAGATCATTGAAGAAACAAAAGGTTTCTGATGAATCAACTGCCGAGATTGTGGCCGAGGCTGCTGAAGAAGCATTAAGATTACATCCTCATCCTCAAGTTGATGATACTTTAGTTCATCATGATAATGGGGAATTTGCCAAATTTAAAAGACATCAAACTACAGCTTATGATGCTGAATCATTAGAAAACAATACGATTAATCCATTCACAGGGAATGAATTCAGTAACCAATATTTTAAGATTTTAAAAGGAAGACGTGATTTACCTGTTCATGCTCAACGTAATGAATTTTTAAAAGTTTTCCAAAGTACTCAAATCATGGTATTTGTTGGGGAAACTGGGTCAGGTAAAACCACTCAAATTCCTCAATTTGTATTGTTTGATGACTTACCTCATCTTACTGGTAGTCAAGTTGCATGTACCCAACCAAGAAGAGTGGCAGCTATGTCTGTTGCTGCCAGAGTTGCTGATGAATTGGATGTTGAATTAGGTCAAGAAGTTGGTTATAGTATTCGTTTTGAAAATAAAACCAGTAATAAAACCATTTTAAAATATATGACTGATGGTATGTTATTAAGAGAAGCTATGGAAGATCATGATTTAAAAAGATATTCTGTTATAATATTAGATGAAGCCCATGAAAGAACATTAGCTACTGATATTTTAATGGGTTTATTAAAACAAGTTAGTATTAGAAGACCCGATTTAAAAATTATTATTATGTCTGCTACTTTAGATGCTGAAAAATTTCAAAAATACTTTAATGATGCTCCATTATTAGCAGTTCCAGGTAGAACTCATCCTGTGGAAATTTATTATACACCTGAATTTCAACGTGATTATTTAGATGCTGCTATTAGAACTGTATTACAAATCCATGCTACTGAAGATGAAGGGGATATTTTATTATTTTTAACTGGGGAAGAAGAAATTGAAGATGCATGTCGTAAGATTTCATTAGAATGTGATGAATTAATAAGAGAACAAGATTGTGGACCAGTTGATGTTTATCCATTATATGGTTCATTACCACCTCATCAACAACAAAAGATTTTTAATCCTGCCCCTCAAAAATTAAGACCAAATGGTAGACCAGGTAGAAAAATCATTATTTCAACTAATATAGCTGAAACTTCATTAACTATTGATGGTATTGTTTATGTGGTTGATCCTGGATTTTCAAAACAAAAAGTTTATAATCCAAGAATTAGAGTTGAATCATTATTAGTATCACCTATTTCCAAAGCTTCAGCTCAACAAAGAGCTGGTCGTGCTGGTCGTACTAGACCTGGTAAATGTTTCAGATTATATACTGAAGAAGCATTTAAAAAAGAATTAATTGAACAATCATATCCTGAAATTTTAAGAAGTAATTTAGCCAGTACAGTATTAGAATTAAAAAAATTAGGTATTGATGATTTAGTTCATTTTGATTTTATGGATCCACCTGCACCAGAAACTATGATGAGAGCATTAGAAGAATTAAATTATTTACAATGTTTATCCGATGAAGGAGATTTAACTGCTTTAGGTAGATTATCATCTCAATTCCCATTAGATCCAATGTTAGCTGTGATGTTAATTGGATCACCTGCATTCAATTGTTCTGAAGAAATTTTAAGTATTGTATCATTAATATCAGTTCCAAGTGTTTTTGTGAGACCTGCATCAGCCAGAAAGAGAGCTGATGAATGTAAAATGCAATTTGCTCATCCTGATGGAGATCATGTTACGTTATTAAACGTTTATGAACAATTTCAAAGTGATGATGCTTTACAAATTGGATTACATCAATGGTGTCGTGATAATTTCTTAAGTTATAGATCATTAACCACTGCTAAAAGTGTTAGATCTCAATTAAGAAGAATTATGGAAAAATTCGATTTAGAATTAAATTCAACTTCAAGAGAAGATGATATAAGGAAAGCATTAGCTGCAGGATTCTTTATGCAAGTTGCTAAGAAGAAATCTGGTAGTAAAGGATATTTAACAATTAAAGATAATCAAGAAGTTTTAATTCATCCATCCACTGTATTAGCCAAGGATCCAGAATGGGTTATATATAATGAATTTGTCTTGACCAGTAAGAATTATATTAGAACTGTTACAGCTGTAAATCCAGAATGGTTAGTTGAATTAGCCCCAAAATATTATAATTTAGAACATTTTAATAAGGGAGATGTTAAATTATCATTAGAAAGAGTTATAGATAGTGTTGAAACCAAAAAAAGAGTTGAAGATAGTAAAGATAAGAAGAAACTGAAAAAGAAAGCTTAATAAGAAGTAAAACCAAAATCTTGTGTATATTAGATGAATAGATGCAAATTTATTCAAAACCTTAATTTAATAAAATAGAGTATAACTTAAATGATATGGGTATTGCACATTGTAGATAAAATCTGTACAAATGCTTAGTTTTTTGACAGCTTTCAACTAAAGGTATAATCTAAACACTGTACCCCTTTATTATATAACCGATTTGAGGAATTGTTGCAATTTATGAGAGACGCGTTTAATAAATCACAAAACGAGAGAGTTTAGACGATGGGAGATTATTATTATTATTATTATTGTTTGTTTTGGAGGTTAATAAAATTGGCGATAATAGAATCGTTAAATGGGATGATATGAATGTTCATTCGGTTCCACATTATTTTGTTCTTCGTCTATTTGTTGATTTAATAATAATTTAAACCGTTTATTTAGTGTGGTGAATTAGATATATGTTAAGCTATAGAACGTTATTACTAGACTATTCACTTACTATCTACTCTACAACTACTTCTACTAACTAAGTTCCAACAATGGTTCAATTACAATGGTAGAAACTAAAATTGACATGTAATTTTAGGGTTTCATTCCCAATGATTTTTATACCCCGATAAGGAAATAATTTAATTTGAGTATGATGAAGTGTCCGATAATGAGCAATTTTAAGAGATTTACACTCGATCTAATTCGATAGCATGATGAAGGAACCTCTACAAGGTACACTTTTAGTACCACCCTCAATGACCATATCATCTACATCAATTAAACATTATGACCATGAAAGAATTAAGATTTTATACGAACAGAAAATGCCAATTTTGGTTTTTCGGTTTGTGTAACATTTTTAAATTATCGCCTTTTTTTCAAAAACTGAATTGTTTACATCAAAGGACAACTAATATATATATATCTAGACATATCTAACTATCTTGTCATTCGATTTAAGCTGTTTCTGATATTCCATAGAAGAAGTGGTAGGTCGTAGTTGCTTCGATTTGTTTGTTTGTATTATTATTTCATCTTCTGTCAAAGGTTCAATTAGTTTGTGGTTGTTCATAATAGGGTTTTCATCGTCAAAATATCCTATCATTCCATTCACCCGTCATCTCCTCCTTTCTTACCCTTTACCATATATCATAGCATAACACATCATAATATATCATATCATACATCATGGGTCTCTTAGTATCAAGATTATTTAAAAATCGAGAATTAAGAATATTAATGCTTGGATTAGATAATGCTGGTAAATCAACTATATTATATAAATTAAAATTAGGTAAAACTACCACTACAGTTCCAACCGTTGGGTTTAATGTAGAAAAAGTTAAACATAAGAATATCTCCTTTGCAGTATGGGATTGTGGTGGTCAAGAAAGAATTAGACCTTTATGGAGACATTATTTCACTGGTACAAATGCTTTAATTTATGTGGTTGATTCATCTGATATAAATAGATTAGAAGAATCTAAAAAGGAATTATTAAGAGTTATAAATGATAAAGAATTAGTTAATTGTTTATTAATTGTTTTGGCTAATAAACAAGATGTTCCAGGTGCTATAAAACCAAAAGAATTAATTGATAGATTTTCATTAAATGATTTAACTGGTGAACATACTTGGTCAGTTATTCCAACCATTGCCATTGATGGTACTGGTTTAGTTGAAACTTTGAATTGGATATCAAGTCATAGTAAGTGAATAACTCATTCTAACTTTTATTGCTATTATTATTTCATCATTTCATGTGTTATTTTATATCTTACTCACGTAATGATTTGTTCATGTTATTATTATTATTTTTTATTATTATTATTATTATATATATATTGTATTAATTTATTAGAGTCAAAGTCGTCCTTATAATCAAGTTAAATTCATTCAATTCAATTCAGTCAGTTCAAATTCAATTCATATATACCATTTTTTGATAAATAGATACATAAAAAATAAATAAATATTTATAATCTCCTCCTCCTTCTCTTAAACTGTCCATTGGCTTACTTTACCATCTTCTTCACCGAAATAAGAAACAGAAGCAACATTAGTAAATATCCCAGTTTCAACTACTCCTACTAAACTTTTAATCTTATTATGTAAACTAACAGGATCTTTAACTTCTCCAAAATCAGCATCAATAAGAAAATTATTATTATCAGTTATAATTGGACCTGCTTTAGCTTTACCACCTTGTCTTAAAGTAACAGTGATAGCACCTAATGATTTCAAATCCTTAGTGATTTTAACATATGAATTAGGTACAATTTCAATTGGGATACCTTGTTTCCATTGTTTCCCTAATACATCTGATTTCTTTCTATAATCAGCAACCACAACAAATTTCTTTGCACTAACAGCTACTAATTTTTCTTGAAATAAACATGCTCCACCCCCTTTGATTAAATTCAATTGAGGATCAACTTCATCAGCTCCATCAAAGGCAATATCTAAATCTGAAAATTGTTCAATAGTACCTAATTTCAATCCATTATCAATAATCAATTGTTTAGATTGGAATCCTGTTGGTATACAGATAAAACTATCTTTATTCTTTAATTGTCCAATTCTTTCTGCCACATAAACTACAGTAGATCCACTTCCAATCCCAACGTATTTAGCATGGGGTGGGAAATTGTCATCCACTGCTTTATAGGCAGCTTGCTTTTTAGCTTCTTCAACTAATGACATGATTTTAGATGATGAGGTATGGAAGGAGTAGGATGGGATAGATCGGAGTACTGAGATTGAATTGAATGATGAATGACTTATACTCTTTATCATGTAACTGTCCAAGTCAATCTAAGGAGTACTCCAGATTTGTAGATAGATAAATCACATTTTGTGATTTGATCGGGATATGGTTGCCAATCAAATTGGTATAATTTTGCTCACGTGCCCAAGGCCAAGAGCGGCATGGATGTGATATTGGATCCCATAGTCGTCCGAAATAGGAAATTCATTGAAAAAAACAGTCCCATCAATCACATGACGAAGAGATTCCTTGTGTGCAGTACATTTTATCAAAAGTCTTCCTTTTGGCAATTTTACAGGTTACTATAGTGCGAAATATAATTTACAATTTACATTAGGGCAATTTACAAGTTATATACCTAATCTGTAAAAAGGGTTAAAATGTATAGCGAATTTTTTTTCATTTCAATTATGAGAAAAAATAGGCAACTTTTGAGTTTTTCATTAACCACTTTCAATACCTTTCATATATATAATTTATAGTATAAGTGATCAATATGTCTGCTGCCAGCAAGATTTTATCAGAAAAGCCAACTGAATTAGAATTAAAAGTTGCTCAAGCTTTTATTGACTTAGAAGGTCAAGCTGATTTAAAAGCTGATTTAAGAGCTTTACAATTCAAATCTATTAAAGAAATTGATGTTAGCGGTGGTAAAAAAGCTTTAGCTATCTTTGTTCCAGTTCCATCTTTAATTGCTTACAAGAAAGTTCAAATCAGATTAACTAGAGAATTAGAAAAGAAATTCCCAGATTCACATGTTGTTTTCTTAGCTGAAAGAAGAATCTTACCAAAACCAGGTAGAGGTACTAGACAATTACAAAAAAGACCAAGATCAAGAACTTTAACTGCTGTTCATGATTCAATCTTAGAAGATTTAGTCTTCCCAACTGAAATCATCGGTAAAAGAGTTAGATACTTGGTCGGTGGTAACAAGATTCAAAAAGTTTTATTAGACTCTAAAGATTCATCATCTGTTGACTATAAATTAGAATCATTCCAACAATTATACTCAAAATTAACTGGTAAACAAGTTGTTTTTGAAATCCCAGCTGAAACTCATTAAATGTCTTACTAATGAATCATCCATCCTCCTCCTTCATAACTCCTCACCTCACACGTCCTACACATATCACTCATATATAAGTGAACAGATTTAAACTCATGAAAGATTAAAGTTGATAGAATTTATTTATAACTATGCCATTGATTATTTAAGGAAATTAAGGATTCTTTATAATTATATTATTTTGTATATTAGAAGGTTTTCACCCAAAAAAGGATTGCTTTACAATTTTCCAAATTTTTTAATAATATATCATTCATCATTCGTTTTATAATCGACTGGTTATACCTTATTCAATCTTCTTTCATTTTCTAATTTTGTTAATATCTATTCTCTACCAACCCTTCCTCCACTCATACTTACTTCTCCCAAAACTTTTATATATATAAAAATTTAATAAAAAATTCGGAAATTTAGAACTTTAACAATCATGTAATCTATAACATTTTTCATATACATTTTTATACAACATAGTCTTATAATTTCTTTACATAAGTAGATGGAAATACACCAGTTACTCCATTAACTTCACCTTTTGTCCATCCATCTACATCTTCCTCTACTAAAATGATTTTATCTCCTACGCGTATACTGACTTCATCATCACCATCAGCAGCATAATCATAAACTGCTTCAAGATATTGAACTTTTTTAGCTCCTCTTCTAGGAGCCACAGATGGACCTTTCTTCTTATTTGATGGATCAGAAACACTACCATTCCTACTACTAGGGCCAGGACCATTACTTCCTCCTCCTGTAGAATTTATTTCGATATAGGCAGTTGGAACTATACCTTCTTCACCACTATCCATTCTAACTTCTGTCCAACCTGAATTATCATTATCAGGTTCAACAACTGAGAATTCATCTCCAACATTAACCGTTAAAGTATCACCCCCTGTTGATGTAAATGCAAATGACACTCTACCTCTTAATCCACTAGTTCCATTACCACTACTAGTGATTGATGATTGAGTCTTGTTTCTTCTTAAACTAAAGAATTTTGAATTGGTTGTATGATGACTATTATTAGTTCTAACGGTTTGTAAGGAATGCGTATCAGATGCATCATCAGGACTAGCAGCTTCACTATGTTTCTTTGAACTACTTCCAAAGATTCCAAATCTTGATTTCTTCTCTTTAACTTGTTCAGTATATGATAAATCCTTATCACCAGCGAATTTCTCAATGATTTGCATTTCAACATCTCTTTTAACTCTCACATTATCATCTTTTAAGAAGGTTTGTAACACGGATAAGGATGTATATAATGGACCATCGAATTTTAAATTTAAACTTGATGGATCTGATTTTCGTGAACTGGTTGATTCTTCTAATTTTTGTTTGGAATCAATACATTTTTGTTCATAGATGGCATATTCATTAGATGCTATATTTAATTTCTTTCTTAAATCATTTAATTCAGGTCCTGTTGTAACCAATTCATCTTCATCATGCCAGATTGGACTTGGAATGAATTGGAAATCAGCTGGATCATGCCAATCTGATAAATTATGTTTAATATACATCACAGTATCTAATCTAGGATTATTTTGTTCAATGGTTTCATCAACAGCATGTAATTTTTCTTTGATTTTATCACAAGTGTTACGTTCTAATATAGATGCATTCTTTAAAATCTTATTCATTAATGCAACTCTACTTTCATTAAGTTCTTGATAATAATCAAGTAATTCAGGAATATCTTCATAATAATACTTCTTCTTTAAAGTATTGGCCACATAGATATTTAATAAATAATCATTCTTACCAATATTCATTTCAACTGTCTTATCATTTAACCGTTTCTGATATTTATCACTTGATGATTTTTCACTCTTTTCACGAGCTGTTTCAGTAGATTGACATAAAGCATCATATTGTTTCTTAGATTTTAATACACCATCATCTATTTTTTGTTTCTCAGTAGTTAAGAATTCATTAATACCTTCAATATGTTTACTAATCTTTGCACTTTTTACTTTTAAGGTATTAAAATTCTCTCCTATATTGGTATTTAATTGACGATGAAATTGTAATTTTTCATCAGCAATTGCTTCAGTTTGAGTTAACACATCCGTCCATAATACTAATGAAGCACTTTCTAATGATCCAGGAGTTATAACAGGTTCATCACCCACAGAGAGATGTGATGATAATTTTGATTTCTTATCGAAATACTTTTTACATAAATCCTTTAATTTGGAAGCATATTCCTTTTCAATAGTACCTCTTTCACGATAAAATTCTTCAATATCTGACATAAAATTAATACCATTATTGACCCATTTGGTAGTGGATTTGAATCCATCTTTCAATTCGTTACCAATTGATATGGTTTCAACCGACATCACTGGATTTGGTTTGGATTATATTGGTAGCAATGAATTCTTATGCCCCAGGATTGGTTAGGTGATTCAAATATCGGGTATGAAGAGACATTTTGATGATCTCGGAAAATGTCGCCAAGTAATCCAAATAGGGGCTATCGAAGTCCACTGCGACATTATACCACACAAGTCAAACCTACCACTAATTAGTGTTTATGACAATAGAATTGCTATAATATTGAAGTGAATGGGTTATGATACTTCATGAGATCGACTAAATCTATTTTATCTCATAATTCTAGCCATATTATAACTTCTTTTGATAGTTTATGATGTAAAATCAGGTCTAAAATATCTTCCGACTTATCAATAACATCAAATGCTTATCAATTAATGATATATCTGGATCTAATCATGATAAGTCCCCATATCTACCCATATTCGTTACTCTAATATGGTGCTGAATATTGGTTCAATGAGCCATGATTTGATGTTAGATATTTTTAGCAGCAGCCGCACCTTTTAACCAGAAGAAAAATTACTTTAAATCAAAATGAACTCTAATTCAAAAAATTGCCCTTTAAAACTGAAATAAATATCTAATTACTTCAAAGGAGTTGAACCAATTGATCTAAAGTATTACGTATAGTGTCAATTGTACTACATACTCTCAGTGGTGGCATAAGATTTGACATTTCAAAAGTGAGGGGTCCTAGGTCATTTATTAAGCTCGCTTCTGGGTTGTTATCTACACCAATTCAATTAAGATCATCAACTTCATTAAGGAAATATCCTAGGAATTCAACTTTAAAGTTTATCAGTGATACTTACAAGGATTATAGAGCTTTAGGTCATAAGCATAAACGAGTGATTGATCCTTTAAGGTTTGTAAGGGTAAGAAGAAGATATATCCCACTTATGACTGATAGATCAAATCCATCTTCATCTAGTTATGAAACTAGTGGCGGGGATGATGTTCCATTATCAAGACGTCAACGATTATTAGGATTTGCGAAAGCAACCAGAGAAACTTATATCCCTAAGATTACCACTTCAGTTACAAGATTGGCCACAGATGCCTCGCGTGCCTTTACTAATGGAGCTGAATTATATGATGATCAAGGTCATCTTATTCTTCCTAAGGATACTACTATTGAATTATTTCCATCTTATACTAGGGAAATTGATGGAAAGTATTTTGTTGATGTGAAAGGTTGGGTATCATGTCCTGGATTAATGACTAGGAAAAATCGTTTAATCCTTTCATTAGCAAGACAAATCACAAAATATAATACCAATGGTTCAAATTCAAATCAAGCCTTATCTCAATTAGGTAGTGACGCCTTACATCAAGATACATTATTGAATACAGATAATGCATCAGATTCAGATTCTATAATTTCAGATCAATCTAAAATTGAAGAAGGTTTAAATCCTATAAGTTCAGCCAATCTGGCTTATCCTAATGCAGAAGATACTATTAAAGAAAGATTAGCATGTTTCATAGCTCGTTCCATACCGAATGCTGAAATAGATATAGTGGTAGGATCTCAATTCAAAATGGATCATAACAAAATCAAAGTTGAATCAGTTATAACTGATAGTTATGGTAATTTTGAAACTTGCATAGAAGTAGATTATCGTCCATCAGTAGTTCAAGTTAAAGCTACTACTGATGAATCAATCTTTACATTCCAAGATATAATGATTACATCTGGTACAGGTATAGCATTAATAAGTGATATCGATGATACTATTAAACTTACTGGTGTTATTGGAGATAAAAGAGAACTTATGACAAATTTATTACTAAATGATGTATTAAAATGGAAAATAGCTCCTGTGGTTAATTGGTATGATGATTTATATACTACTGATCATATTTCATTTCATTATGTTTCTAATTCACCTTGGCAATTGTTCAGTACGATTGAACAATATTTCAAAGTTGTTAATCTCCCTGTTGGTTCAGTCCATTTAAAACAATATTCAGGTAATATTCTATCATCATTAATGGAACCATCAACTGAAAGAAAGAAGAAATCATTAACTAAGATTGTTGAAGATTTCCCTAATAAGAAATTCATTTGTGTAGGAGATTCAGGAGAATACGATCTTGAAGCATATGTGGAGTTAGCTAAATTAAACCCAGGTGTTGTGATATCCATTAATATTAGATATGTTAAGGATTCCCTTTCTGAATTGGATGACTTGAAAATTTTAAGTGAATTAAGAAGATTACTTGCATCAAATAAAAAATCATTAAATGTGGTGACTTCTCAAGAAAAGGAAATCTCTCCTCCTCCACCACCTAAAGTAGAAGTTAATTTGATTGATTTAGAATCATCTTCATCAGATGATGAAGGTCCATCACCTGTCTACTATGCTAGAAAGACAAAATTACCTCCTATAGTACCTAAGAAACCAAAAGGACTTCAAGGTATACAATTAGAAAAATCCCCAGCCTTACCGTCTAGAGATTATCTTAATCGAGCTCAAACTGATTCGGTCATTAACCCAATTGAACACAATAAACCTGAAGATGATGAACTACCATTACCACTCCCACCAAGAAGAAGTACAGACCAACCACCACAACCATTTGTACATGCTGCAACTGATACGCTTGATCATGATATTAATATCATTGATAATTTACAAAATATTTATGATTCACCTTATTTTTTTCAATTAGAAGAAATGGATAGGAAAGGTGCAAATTGGATTCGAAAGATTATAACCGCTATAAAGGATTTAGAAGGTACCGGTACAGAATTAACTATTTTTACTGATGAAGAAACTGATTTCTTTGATACAAAGCGCATTCTTGAAGAAATTAAAAAGTTAAAACTATAAATTAAATGCATATATATAATATAATATATAGTTTTTATTTACTTATAAATAGTATATTGTACATGTAATGAAGGAATGAAGGAAGGATATATGACTAAATCAATTAACAGGTACCGCTTCTGAAGTATTTTCTTCAACCACACCATTTTCTATATTATTTGAGGTTTCAGTAGGTGTTTCAGTAGATACTTCAGTAGGTGTTTCCGTAGAAGTCTCGGTTGGTGTTGTTTCATTTTGATAGAATTCGACTATATTAGAACCATCCCCATAATCTTTTATATTTTCATCATCATCATGAGGTAAGTTATGTCTAAGAGCAGCTAAATCAAATTGTTCAGCACCATCATCTTCTTCAGTATAGTATTTATCAGCAAACTTTTGTAATATAACTTCTCTACCAGTTAACACTCTTCTTCCTGATTTTTCTTCTTTCTTTCTATCATCATCTTTCTTAGCGTTTATCTTCTTCTTCCATTCATTAAATGATTCAATTGTAATAGGGTGGAATTTAGTTTTATCTAATTTTCCTCTTTCTAGTTCAATAAATTCTTCTAATGTGATTTCTGGTTCAGCATCAGCAGCTATTCTTTCTAGTCTCTTTTGTTCTTTGGTCTTTAATACAAAACCAGCTGGTAATGAATGTCTATATTTACATTCATTACCCCCATTTGGACAAACCCAAAACCAACCATATTTACCATTCTCCACTGCTTCAATGAAATGTTTACAAACAATATCAGTAGTTGTCATTGGATTACCATGTTTTGATGAAATAACTTTTCTTAATTTTTCTTCATCCCAATTATCCATAGTATCAGCTTCCTTTTCTTCTCTGGCATCGGTATACAAATCTTTCTTAACTACTTTTCTACCCACATCTGGATCATGGGAGAATTTACATTTATTACCTTTGGTACAAAGACCTTGTTTGAAAAATTCACACAAAATAGATTTTGGATCAACTCCAAATGGCACCTTTTGTTGTTGAATACCAAATAATGCAGCAGCTTCCCTCTTAGCGTCTTCAGCTGCTTTCTTTTCAGCTGCTTTTCTTTTATTTTCTTCTTCTCTCTTCTTTGCTAATCCACCATCTGCACCTTGTTGGATTTGTTTTATTTCTTGTTGGACTCTCTTCGATTTATTCTTATTTTTCATACCAAAGGTTTTATCCTCGGATGATTTAGACTTAACCTTTGGTTGTTGTTGCTTCTTTGGAGGCATGTTTGATGTGCTTTTTAATCTAACCTATACAGATGGTAGTACTGATCTGTACATCTCTGAAATGAAGTTTTTAAATTTTTTTTTTCAATGCTTAAAATAAATTTCCTTAAAAGTCACGTGAGCGTAAAAATTGCAAAATAAATATAAAATATTTCATAAAATTACATTAAAACTTTTTTAGTTAACCTATATACAACTATTTAACGAAACTTCTGAGAGTTTTTATTCTTGTCCTTTAGTTTGGGGGTAATTGATTGTCCATTTGGCGCCGAATTGGGTGGAGTGTTTAAATTTGCATTAAGACTTTTGTTACTTTTATTACCAGTTGAGCTCCATAATTGATGCGTCGCGAGATCTGGTGAATTAGAATTATATGAACTTGGTGAATGTTTAGTTACTCTTTTGGATCTCTTTTTACTACCACCTAATAAGTTTTCTAATCTGGTAGAATTATCAAGATTGACTTGGATTGAATCAGGAGAATTTATCGTGGTTGGAGAATTAAGATTTCCTGGAGTTGAAAGATTTTGGGAATTGTATGGTGTAGTAAGATTTTGACGTTCAAATGTAGGTGACTTTGGCATAACTGGTGTGGTAAAACTATCAGTCTTCGTCCTTAAGCTACTTCTACTTGATCTGAATGGGATATATGATCTCTTGGTTGTGTTTGAACTTCCTTGATTATTGTAATGACTTGGACCGATAGAGTCAGCCAAATTAGCCTTAAATGAAGATGTTGATTGAGTTCTTGCCAAACTCTTATTCAAGATAACAGACACCTTTTTATCATAAATAGTTTGAGCTGAATCCATTGGAGCCAGTGTGTCACTTGAATTACTATACTTTGTATCAACTGATGCACTATGAATGTGAGTATTAGAAGCTTCTCTTCTATGATTTAATAAAGAACTTGGTACAGCTGAAACACCGTTAGAGGCTGAATTCTTAGTAAAAAATAAATCAAAATCATCTAAAGCAGCCCAAACATTGCTTAAGGAAGCCTCAGGTTCATCAACACTAACTGAGACTGTATCACCATAATCTGGAACAGGAGCGTAATAATCTTCCATATGAAATTGAAATTCTTCGTCTTTAGCAGTTTCTTCGTTCTCATCTACTAAGGTAGCAACCACACAAGTAGAAAATACAGCATGTACATTGTTACGAGTGCTAGCAGCCGTGACAGCTGGCATAGGAATGGCCCATCCACTCTCGTCTGGTATACCAAATAGAGTAGCTGTCTTCTCGTATTCTTTTTTCACCGATGAATTTCCTAAACTCATACGAAGTACATCTCGATCTAATTGAGAACCTGATATGACAACTGCCTCGTCTAACACTTCCAACGCTGGCTCAGCATAATCAGTCAATAAAAGTCTAAGTAATGGAGAGATCAAGTCGGCTCCCACACCAACGAACTCGTCTCTTTCCAAGTCAACAAATGGGAAAATGTGCTTCAACAAACTCATAGTTTCCAATTTAATCCATGGGAGCTTGTTAGATAAAAATCCAAGAAGGAGTACCAACGATTGAGCTTCATATTCTGGATAGAACAAACTTTTAATAGTTGATACAGTTTGTACTAAGAAATCTTTCTTGGAACGGAATCTATTTTTAGATAAAGAAATCAATATTCTAGACAACGATGGCTTGTCGGCATTAGCTGCTAATTTACTTATATTTAGTGCTGCAGCTTCAACTTCAGGAGTTATTGTTTTTTGATCTAACGCATGAAGGAATCGTGGCATATTTGATAAGACTGCCATCAAAAGACGCGAATTTCCAGTACCAATGATTTCACTATCTTTCAAAGGATTCAATTTATCAAGAAACTTTATAGAAGCTTCCCATGATGTAGCTGACCTTAAACCAACTAATACAATATGCTGCAACCCTTCGAATTTTCCTTCCCATTTTGGAGGGAAAGTAGAGATTAAACAAGAAATGGTATCTGGAGCATCTAAGTCAATCTTGGAAACAAATTTGTTTAAAGTTGAAAGTACTTCAATAAACTCTTGCTCGTGTATTGTACTTAAACATGCCACACTAGACCAAAACAATTGAGGAAAATCAATAAGTTGTCCAGAATCCAATTCCGCTGTTATTGCGTTTAACGTCATTAAAATCTGCATAGCAAAACCTTGAATATCCAACGTTTCATCAGAAATGGTGTTGGATAATCTATGTAACATATCCTTTAACATTCCTTGATCTAAAAACGATAATAAAGATCTGAAGATTTGAAAAGACCGACAAGCGATATGTCTCACAGCACATGTAGTAGCCCAGTTTAAAGACTCTCTACTCCAATCATCTTGAAGATTGGTATGAACTGTAGAAAAGACTTCCAAGATATTTCTGGCCAATAAATCCATATTTTTTGGAGTTCTTGCACCTTTTTTATCGTTATTTAAATCGTCGTATACCCAAAGATATCTAAAATGATCTCTAGGTCTCAATGTTTGGATAGTTTCAGCTGCTTTCTTTGCATTAGGAGCTAACGCATGAATCAAATGAACTAAAAGTGTGCTTGCCTGTTCTTGTACAATGAGTAAATAATGATCTAACAATGAAAAGGCGACGTGCAACAATAGAGGCAATCTTTCTAACATTACATCATTCTTGACAGTCAATAAATCAACAAGGAAAACCATAGATAATTGACCAATTGAAAATGCTGCATCTTTCTCATTGTATGGAATAATTTTCCATAAATTTGCAACGTAAGGGAATTCATTAGCATTATTGATAGTTGTAGTGATTCCTTTTGCCAATGGAGGAACCATTAATTTAGGTTCTAAATTGTTGATCAATTTATCAATCACAATCAATGGATCAGTTTGCGAAAAAGCCAAATAATCAATGATCTGTCTGGAATACTCCACAAATGACGGATTCTTTCTTTCAAGACAATTGCTCATAATGAAGTCAATGATTTTATCAAAATTGTTAGAATTACTACCTAATGCAACCCATAAAGCCTCCACTTCGTTGGATATCTTAGAACTAAATTTAACTGTGATTTCAAACAAGTTATTCAACACCATGAGCGAAGAAGAATCAAGCTTTCTTCCATCAAGAGCTGTCTTGTTGGTATTTTCATCAACTTCAGAATAATTTAACACAACGGTTTGGACCCATGGAAGTAAACATGACAAAATATCTCTTCTGGAACTGTTATCAACGAGATTGAAATATTTAGTCATATAACTAATTCTAGTGAATGCACCTTCGGGTTGTAAAGCAGCAAGATGCGCAGATATATCAAATAGAGCCTTTTTATAAACAACCTTTGTCTTACTGCTGACTGATTCAGTGAATTTGTCCGCAGTGGTGGAAGTCTGGAAGTACATCTCTTCTAAAAAGGTTAACAGCTGCATAGCACCAACTCTGACTTCATAACTGTCATGCCCAACTAAAAAGTTGGCTAAGCACATCAAGTCATATGGTGTTTCTTCCTGCTTAGGAGACTTCAAAAACACACCCACAAAGACAGTAAAGTAACTCTCGGTCGTCTTCAAGGACTTCTGAGGCGTGTAACATTGTTTGATAACCTCCTGATAAATCTCTGGAGTTGTAAAATTTAGCTCTAAAATATTCCTTAAGGCCAACTTACCAATTTCATGAGCTTTATCCGAATCAGAAGTAAATAAAGCATTAATCCAATTCATAAGTGATGGAATATCAAATGACATTACTGCTAATTTACCAGGAACTTCAATATGATGCTTTATATGCCCAGAACATAAAACAGCCATACAACTTAAGGCAGAGACTTGTAATGACTTCCTTTCAACTTCCAATATGGCTACTACAGAAGCAACCTCCTTTTGCTGGTTAACTCTCTTTATCATCGCATTGTAACGATCATCTGCAATGGTACTAGCATCTCCATAACCACACCATTCCTTTAAAAAGTTGAAACAACCTATTCTAGCTTCAAATGGTAACCATTTATTCAAGTCTGACTTGTCCTGCAAGCCAACAAAAACATTCTCCAAGAAGCCACAGAAATACCTTCTGAGTCGTTGATATTCTATACCAATTTGAGTTGATGGCAATGATAAGAATGATTTCAAATTTTTTATGATGGTCACTAAATTAGCTACTATCCAAGAATCCATATATATTAACTCATCACTTTTGAATCTGCTAGTGATATTAAGTAGAACTCTTATCATTTCAATTCTCAAACTATCTTCATTCGAATCTCTTTTACCAACACCTTCCCACTCACTAACGCTGGCTGGAATATTTTCAAGTAAGGTTTTGAAAATATTAATATTGATTGAGCTTAATCCAGAAATTACTGCTTCACGAACCATTTGTTGTTGTGATCTCAAAAGAGGAATGACCACTTTGAAGACAGATCTAGCACTTGTAATTTTCTGATGTTGAATAAACATCTGCATTGACTTCTTCCTTCCATGTGTTGGTTGACTTGGGAAGGATATCTTTTGCTCATTCGTCGATGTTAAAGAACAACATGCAAAAATTAAATATAATTTCCATTGATTTATCATAACTTCAGGAGGAATTGTGGAAGATTTAGCAAATAAGGAAGAAGTATATGATTTATAACTCTCCGAATACTCTAGAACAAATTCATGCATCTGAACTATACAAACGCAAACAATAGATCGACATAATGCTACTGCAATTGGGCATCTTTCAAAGAAAATGTCAAGCAATTTTGGATAGACTCTAAACCAGATTGTAGAATCAATACCGTAGTCTGACTCAGCGAGTCTAACAAGAATGTTCTTTTTATTCTTTAATTTCGATAACCTGCCTCTTTCTGGAACACTAAGCTCTTTTCTAAAAGGCTTTATCAAATCCAAGAAGTCAACATCTTCTAAAATATGAATAAGTCTTGTTCCAACATCAGCTGCAAATTTAGATGAACTTCTGGAATGCTTCTTTAAAGAATCTGACTTAGAAGGTATTGAGTCATTAGATTGGCTATCAGTGATGTTGAAAATAGCTTGGTCAAATTGCTCAACTAACTTTAGAATCACAATACCATAATGTCTTGTTGTTGAATCTTGAGAACAAAGGAAAAATAAACCATTTCCTTCAACTTCTTCAATTACAGTAATTATAGATTTCCACTCAAACTCATCGCTAGGTTTTAATTTATTTGCACTTGGATTTGCTTCAGCGTTTGATAAATCTTCATTTTTATGATTGATTTGATAAAGATCGTTTAACACATCTTTATTCATAAGTTCATCGTCTTGAGCCATTGGATTTGAATTCTCGGTATTATTTTTATTTTCCACAATATCATGGAATTGTCTTAACCAACAATTCAATAATTCCGCATATATTCTTAACAATGTGTTGAATTCTTGTGAATTCATGTATGTTGCATCATATCCAGGACTTGGTTTCTCACTAAACTGGAATGCAATTTTGGCAAACATAGTTATCAAATTACTTGGATTTTTTCTTGAAGCTAACTTCTTAAGCGCACTTATAGCTGCTGAAGCGACTCTAAAATTTGTATGTACTGCATTTCGAGTCAAGATTTCAACAATCTGCTTAAATGGTATACCTGCTGGCAGAGCTTTATCACCTGAATGAAGTACCATTGTCCATGGGATAGCATCTATAAGAGTAGCAAACAATTCTACGTGAAGATTTCTTGTAATTTGATAGCTGAAGTCAATACCAAAATGGAAAGCCGAAAATGGCGATTGTGATTTTGAAGAATGTCCTGGTGTAGACAGTGAGGCTCCATCAGGTTGCCAGACGTCACTTCCGTATTGAGCATCCAATATTCTCAAGAGACTACCGAACGTACGACAAATTTCATCATGAGATTGAGAATTAGTCGAATTCTTAGCAATGAATTGAAACTCATTCAACCTATTTCGATTTCTATTTTTATCCTTGCTGGATTTTGCTTCGTTTTCGTTTAAAAATCTGTTATTAAAGATCTCATCGGTAGGAAACATTGGTTTATTTCCTAATTCATAGTCTTCCAATATAAGCAAATAACTCTTGACAATCAAAATCACCTTCTCAGCAAAGATATTTTCCAATGAAATCCCATTAAAACTCAATTTCAATAACTTCACAAGAACATTATCTAAAACATAATTCAAGTGATTGAATCCAGCGATTCTAATAGTTTCGACCAATGAACCAATTAATAAATTGTCTGATGTAATCCACTGCTGCTTCTTAGTTGTTGAATTACTATTGAAAAACAAGTACTGGAATAATTGATCTAATCTCTTGATTGTATTATTCAATGTATCAGGTAATCGGTAAATATAAACCCAAAGCAAACGGCCCACACATACAATAAATGTGGTTTTATCGTCAATTTCAACTTTTGGCTTTAACTTGAATATGTTATCTTCCACAAGTTTGAACCATTTCTCAGCAAATAACTCCTTTCTAGAAACTGATAACATTGAAGTCATCAAGTGCAACGAATATGCCCAACCACTATTTCCAAACGAAATGGCTTGTAAGGTTTGGCTATTGCTGTATCTCGTGTTAAATGAAGTTGATGAAAAAGATGTCGAAGCAGAGCCACCATTTGAAGATGGGGGTAATCTGGTTGAGAGATACCATATTTTATGAGCCTTGTAATAAATTTCTTCAATACCTTCTACCCATGTTGGGTGGTTAGTTTCTGCCGTTAAAATATTAGCCAATGGCAATACCAAGTTACTCAATACTTCACAATAAGCAAAAACAATAGTTTCATTTTGAGCTTTATCAAAGAACTTAGCTAATGATTTAATAAAATCAGCACTTTCTTCGAAAACTTCCAACGGATAATTAGTTAAAATCAAATATCTCATTCCACTAATCAATAAATGCAATTTGGGTTCTTCTTCATGACTGACATTAGTAGGGATCTTTTCTAAATCAGCAATAAATCTATCACTAACACTTAAAAACCTCTTTTCTGACATAAAACCTAATAATTGGGCGAATAGATTCCAATTAGCAGCCCTAACTAAAGACTGACTGGTACTTATAGCATCAGTTGTCTTAAGTTGAGTATAGACTATTTCTTCTAATTTATCCTCTAAATCTTCGCCCATTACCTCATAAGATGTTTGCTTAACAACTTCAATCAATACACGGCATAAGATATATATAGAAGCCAACGATTTTCTATCTGCTTGGATGGCAGTTTCTCTTGCTTGAGCTATTTGAGCATCATAGTAATATTTTTGTCTCAAAAATTCATTCTCTGGCTTTTCTTGATATGTTGGAGATTTGGTTGCTGTTGATGACATTGTAGATGATACTGTGGTAGGAACTGCAGATGATGCTGATTGATTACGACGATGTGAAACTTTGGAGAAACTTTTTGATCTCATTAAGCTTAAACTTCTCTTTGATCTCGAATTTGAATTTGCATTTGCAATTGAATTCTTGGCTATTCCTGGATTTGATGGACCAAACGTTTCTCCAGATATATTGTTGTTACTTGCTTTCAACAAATTGGATTTTGCTGTTTCTACTGTTCTTTCTACTTCAGATGCAGCCATAGTTGCCACTTCACTTTTAGATTTTCTCCAAAACATGACACTATCGATAACAGGTTTTGGTTTTCTTCTAGCAATATAACCTAAAGAAGCTACTATTTTATCAAAATGTGGATCTACCCCTTCACATAATAATTCAATAATTGGTGGTTCTTCGTCGATTGAATAATCAAGACATGAATTTAGTTTACGTTCTGCATGACGAACAAATTGGGTAAATACAATATGCAAAGTATATTCAGCTGGAGTTTTCAGTTCAGTTGCTAATCCTCGCCTCAATGTACTGAAATCTTCTCCATTAGATAAGATTAATTTTTGAGATGACGCTGAGGTTGATGCTGGGGGAGGTAATTGTGGAGATGGTTCTGAATGATCATGAATCGGTATTTGAGACATTGGTGATGCTAATTGTTGAGATAAAGATAACTTTGCTGTTTTAGAAGAATTCATTCTGAATGATGCTGGTGATTCCAATTCTGTATTTCGATCTGTAGATTCATAAATTAATTGTTGTTGCTCTTCATTGTCTGATTTCGGTTGACCAGGTTGCATTGACATTGAGTATGTATTTAATGATTTTTCATGAATGCTAGGTGGATCTTGTAATTTAAAAGCAGGATTTAATTCATTATAATTAGATTGGGAAATTTCTACTCTTTGAATTGGAGTTATGCCATTGTTTGTTGATTGTCCATAGTTAATATATTGGGGCGATACTTCATAATCATCATGGATATTATTACCAAGCATCCGATTGCTATTACCATTATTAGTTACATTAGCTGGTGGAATGAATACTTGAGGTTCGCTACCATTGCCAGTAGGATGGATCAAAAACCCAGTTGTGTTTCTAAAGGCGTTTTCTATATCTGCTGATGTTGTAGGTTCCATTGTTATACTTTGTTGCAACGATAATTGATTGAATTTAGCCTGTAATGCTGACGATTCATCGGCCGAAGTGAAAACGATTGGATCAGATACCTCTTGGAATTGAGGATCTTCTTCTAGGTTGATTGCACCATTAGTATTGTTTGAATCACTATTTCTTAACGATGATGACACTTTCTCCAAACTGATTTGTTGTTGTGATTGTAGATCCAAACTAGGAGAATAATTGGATAACTCATCCAAACTAGGAATCTCAATCATTGTTTGTGTAGTGTATATCACCAAATAGATTGATGATGGGATCTACTTTACTGTGATAACCTTATAACGATCTATTTGCACGGTATACAATAGTTTTTAACCTTGTTTTGTTGTATAGGCTAGCAGGAGCTAGAAAAAATTTAGGCAACCAAAAGGAAAAAAAAAGCGCGTAAAAATTTCTTGTGGTAACTAATTGCCTCTGTAAAGAGACGAAGGGGTGTTGTTGTCTAGGTATATCAATCTAAGCAAGCTTTCATCCTTAAATCGATGAGGCAATGAGGAGAATATGCAGGGTGTTGGACTTGGTGACTAGCTCTAAAGATGTTATAACCAATTAGATCGATTCTGTTTGTATGAGTTTACCAGTTGGTGTTCTTTTTTTTTTGCAGCACTGTAAAATGGAAGTTATGACTATGGTGAGAAGGTCGTCAATCAATCCAAACCATCAAAGTATCCTAAAGTTGTTAAATCAAGTTGAATCGCAAGTGTTAGTAACTTCTTTGCTAACTATGCTTAGGAGAGTGTTAGTCCCAGTAGAAGTAATCAGAGTACATCCTATCTAATTGACTACTATTGTATTTATTTTTGAAACTGAAGCTAATTCTTCTATTATTTGTTGCGCACAGCATTAACAACTGTTAGAAGTTATATTTGAACATGAATTTACTTCATGATTTATATCTATTATCGATTTAGATTATCAAGTTGAGCTGTTCAATGTTTTAATAATAGGTATCCCATTGGGATAATTTGTACTAAACAGTTTAGCGGTTCCGCTCACGTGAGTTTTCAGATATCACCAAAAAAATCTTTTCACCTCGATAGATATGATAAATCAAATCTGGAAAATCTTTGGGAGCAAAATAAGTTGTAATCAATCAACATTGAAAAGATACAAGGAGCCACGATACTAAATGGCAGGTCAAGAAGAGTTGATTGCTGGATCAGTCCATAGTATTCCTACTTTGATAAACCAATTTATTGCAACGGTTGATAAGGAAGATGAGCCAGAAGCTTGTCAAGTCTATTCTCAAGAATTATCTAATCTTATTAATCAAGATGAATTGACTCTTTTGGGATTCATTCAAAATTTGGGATCGTCTTTAACTTCAGACTCTGATAATTTGAGAACAAAATCAGTTCAATGTTTGTCGTCTACTTTAGGTTATCTCGTTGACTCTACAAAACTTTCCAAACAAGATATCAACGTATTGGTCGACTTCTTATTAAGTAAATTTGATGATAAAGTCTGTTTACAATATGTTTTAGGATCAGTAAATTATTTGATTCAATTCAAAAATTTCATTCCATCCTTAAATGACAACTTGAAGAAAATATTTATCAGATTATTAAAAGGGTACGATCCAAAGAAAAATCTTGCCAAAGTTAGATTTGAAACTTTTCAAATCTTAGCCACAAGTTTAAAGTTACATTTACCAAAAAATGAAGAAACCAATGATTTATTTATAAAGTCATTCATTCATATTGCATCTGGTGAAAAAGATCCTCGAAATTTATTGATATCATTTGAGTTAAATTCTAACTTGAATTCGGTATTTGAATTTGATACTATTGACAATGAATTACATAAAGAATTTATCAATGATTTATTTGATGTCTGCTTCTGTTATTTCCCCATTTCATTTACTCCACCTGCTAATGATCCATATAAAATCACTGCTGGTGAACTTAAGAGCAAATTAAGAGCTACTATTGCATCTCAATCATTGTTTGCCAAAGATTCATTTAGTAATTTAATTGAAAAATTAACTTCAACCAACGCAGTCATTAGAAATGATACGTTAAAAACAATTCTATTATGTGTTGAAAACTATTCAACCTCCGTATTAGAGGAATTCTGGTTAACCTTGTGGAATGCATTAAAATTCGAAATTTTACATAATGATATATCCGAAATCTTTAAATCAAATTTGAATACTTTGATTCCAGACAACTTTGATGAAAACATTGATGATAATGATGACAATAAATCGCTAATCTTAACTTTACTAATTGTTGAAACTTTAATCGGCAAACTTATTCATGAATCAAATCCTCGTGCACAAACAAACTTAAATAATTTAATAGAAACCATTCAAAATGAATTAAAGGATAACTTATCTTCTGTCAAAGATAAGTCAAAACAGTCAACATTACTTTTAGCTACCATTGCTTCCATTTCAATTGAAAGTTTTAACAAAGTCATTTCATTTTTATTTTCCTATGATGTCTGGGGTAAATATGTTAATATTGAACAAGAAGATGTTGAGATGGAAGCTACTTCAAGTACCACTTCTAAGATCACTACAGATGAGCTTGAGATTGATGTTAATCAAGCCACCGCTGTTTCTGACAACGATAAAGATTTGACATTAACTACGGCAAAACAACGAGATTTAGTTGATAATTTTGGATATATTTTCATTGCCTATCAAATATTAACTACAAAGTATTCAAAAGTTAATGAAGAATCTGACTTAGGTAATCTCAAAGATTATCTTTTGATCTTTATGGGACAGTTATTAATGACCTCTTCAAGTATTGAAAAGACCTTACGTTGCAAAGTCATCCAACAATTGAGTAAATTGATTTCATTACCTAAATTCCTTACTGATAATGAAGTTGAATTGATCTTGGGATACTTTAAAGATATTTTAATCTCAACCATCATAAATCAATCACAAGATGCTTGGGAAAATGATCTTGTTGTGAAAGAAATAATTAAGGGTGTTATCACTATAGCAGAAACTCAAGGACACTTGGTAATCGATTTGATTATAAGTGAATTATTAAACTTATTAGACGGTCTGGATAATACTAATGTGAAGATAGACTTGGTCCAATTCAACAAGATTTTGAATGTTATTGGAGATGTATGTATAAACTATCAAATCTTAGAGGTATTGTCTATTAGATTGTTAAATAAGATTCAATATATCGGTCAAGAAGATGATAAGGATAAGTCTAAATATATTGCATTAATCATTGAATTATTTTTGAAGTTGATTAATAAAATTGAAAACTTACATCAATTTTTAACTAATACATGGTATAAATCATTCTTGCCAAAGTTGTTGAAATCAATCTTTGACTTACAAAGAACCACTTCTTCAAACGATTATGTGTTGATTGAATTAGTTGGAGATTTGTTTGGTTTAATTATTAGATTCATTGATAAATCCAAACATCAAGAGATATTATCCAGATTTGAAAATACTTTCATTACTTCTAATGACACCAAGGAAGATGACTTTAATGAAAACTTAATTGAAACTCCTCTGATCTTTATTGGAATTTGGAATAAGATGCTTTCAAACTTGGATAATTCAGTTAAATTTCAAACTAGTATTATGGAAGTGTCTGACAAAGTCATTCAACTTATTTATAAAATCGAAACTAAAGATGAATATTTAAGAATTCAATATTTGCAGAATTTATCATTGTTATATAACAAATTTATTGAAAATGATATTGTTGTTGAAGTAAATCTTGAGAAATATGTCTCACCAATTATAACTACAGATTCAAAAGTTCAATTTAATGAGACTGATTTAGTGACATTTGAAATATTCATTTGGATATTAAAAGCATTGGTTATAAAGATGAACAAGAGTGGAATTACTTACTTATATCAATTATTAGATATCCAACAATCAACATCTTCTACTGATGTCAAGCAACTTATTGGAAAATCATTAAAGATCTTATTTATTGATTTAAAGATCTTTACTAATGAGTTTGATATTTCATCGACTGCAACTTCACCTACCAAGATCACGGGTAAGAATATTATTTCAAAAGTTAAGAACTTGAATGTCAAGTTATTATACAAGCAACAAATATTTGAAATCATTTTACCAAGATTGATTAGCAATATAGAAGAGAATAAGACCAATGAAAACAATACTAATGAAATCTATTTGAATTCATTGTCATTGATTTTAGAAGATTTACCAAAAAAGATATTATTAAATCATTTAACTAAAATCTTGCCATTGGTATTAACTAGTTTAACCTTATCTAAATCACAAACCAATCGATTATTACTTTCATCATCATTAACTACTTTGAATGTTATAATTGAAGAAAATCCTCAACTTATTGAAAATAAATTATCTGTTTTAATTCCAATTTTATTGAAGTTAAGTGTATCAAAAGTTGTGTATAATAAACAATTGATTAATAGTGAAGAAATTAGAGTTAAAAGTTTAACTAGTTTAATTCAAATATTTAAGGTATTCAAGACTGATGACTTACACAAGTTTAAACAATCGATACTTAAAGAGTTAGTGACTGGATTAGATGACAAGAAGAGAACAGTTAGAAAATTAGTTTGTGATTTAAGACAACTGTTATATGAATTATAGAATAGAATGTGTATATCAATCAAGTATATATATATTATTAATAGAAAGTAAGGAAGAAAAGAGTATGTATATAATGCAAGTGTAGTGTTAGGAGAATCGATCTAATCAGAATCTTCTTCGTTATAATCTATAGGAGCCAAACCAGGAGTCAAACCAGGATATGAAATAAACCCCTTTTTAACCTTATCATTGAAATCATTAAAGAGAGTATCTTCTTTACTACCATTAACTCTCTTCTTTCTGAGTCTTTTTGAATTTTTATTAGTAATAGTTTCGACTAAGCTTGACCTTATATCATTTATTTCATCTTCGACTTGATCATTAGAAAATTCACTAGCCATTTTGATTTGATTTATATTACGTTTAATTAATTTCTTTATATATTTCCCTTCTTCAATAGATGGATTTGATTTATTAGTGATGATATTATACTTTATGAATTTGTTAAACTTCTTATCCAGTTCGACTTGTTTCTTTATTTTAGATTGCTTTTGTTTCTTTAACTTTCTGGTATTTATACTGGTAGTTGTACTATCTAATTGGTTAGCAAGTAATTGGGTTGATGTAGGAGCATTGATTTTCTTTTTATTGGTTTGACTCTTTCTAGATGTCTTTTGAGATGTTGGTAAAGACGGGATTATATTGGAGAGTAGCTTGTTGACAGCAGCTTCCGCTTGAAACTTTGAAGCTTCTGATTTGAATGCCATATTGTTTTGATATCTTAAGTTGTAATCTGAATAACTTCCTTAAATCAAAATATAAAGAAAATTATTCATTATAGAGAAGACCATCTTTCACAATTTTTTGGCGCGTGACTAATCATGTGATCAATCGTCCTGTATATAATATTCTTCTTTTTTTTCATATGAATTAGCTTGTGACAATTTTACGTCATGATTCTGAATAATAAATCATCACCAAAGAAAAAAAAAAAGGTGGGGGAGGGGGGGAGAGTTCCATAACTATTTTTATCAGCTTCTTTCTATCTCAAGTTCCATGGTCTATTATATTTTGATTTAAATGAGTTTCGGTTGACTTAATGATGAGCAAGTTTTAAGTTTGACGGAATTAGCAGTTGTGTATCTTTGTATCTTTTGTATTAGCCCATTCCCATTGACTTGACTTTGATTTGGTTAAATTATTATATATTCTAGCTTATCTTAATTAGTGAGAGGTATGTACTGACTAGTTCAAGATATTTTCCATATAGTATTGAGAATACGAATGGTTTAGTCATATCTCCTTATGATCTATGGTATGATAGTTTTATATATATATTACTACTCTATAATATTATCCAAAGTTATAGCAATCATAATTAATAAACTTATTTTCAGCATTGTGAAATTTTGCAACTGATAAATTTTGTTGCACTTGATTGTAGTTACTAGTAAACCTTGTACCTTAACCCCACTGAAATCATGGAATATACCTCTGCATACGATACTATCTCTATTATCACCTAGTTATGTTAAATCCTCTACTTACTTACTTACCTACCTACCTACTTACCTTCAATAAGACTATAAAGAAGGTTTTTGAAATTATTATATTATATGCAGTACCAGACAGTTGACTGACCGAGGATAGAGCGCATGACCTAACCAGGTAAGCACTACCCAAATAGGAAATTTGACTTGATTAAGCGTGAAATGAATTTTAAATATTTAATTCACATGTTGATGATGATGATTTTCACTATTTGTTAACTAAGGACAATTAAATAGAGGTTGGGGTAATACGGGTTCATTTGATTTATAACTTATATATTGTATCCAACTTATATATAAGAAGTTTATTTTCCCATTTAAATTTCATTTTCTTCTCCTTTTCCTTTCCTTTCCTTTTCTTTTCTTAATTACTACTGATCTTTTATATTATAATTCCTTAATATTTAATCATCAATATATCAATCCTCATAATCAATCAATCAATCAATCAATCATAATGTCTAAAGTTGCTGCTGAAGGTTTCGACTCCTCTGAATTTTTAACTTTATTAGAAGCTGGTTTATCTGATGATGCCACCAGAAAGAAGGCTATTAGCGGTGTTAAAGCTGTTATTGTTTTCACTTTAAAAAACAAGGATGGTAAAGATCAATCTTGGGCTTTAGATTTAAAGAAAGAAGGTACCATATCAAAAGTTGAAGGTACTGCTCCAAAATCTGATGTTCAATTAATCTTAAAAGATGCTGATTTCGTTAAATTGGCTGAAGGTAAAGCTAATGGTCAAAAATTATTCATGAATGGTAAATTAAAGGTTAAAGGTAACTTGATGAAAGCTACTGCCATTGAATCCGTCTTCAAAGCTGTTGATCCAAGACCAAAATTATAAGCTCCTCATTTTTGTTTATTAAGATTTGGATTCTCATTATTCTAAATGCTACTTTTGATGCTTGATGCATATTCAATCAACATTTAGATTAACCTAAAAAGAATTTTGATTAAATGCCATGTTTGAAATGTTTTCTTAAAAACCCTCTAATTTTTTTTATCGGTTAGATATATTATTAGTATATAACTTTATAAGTGTGGAACCCCATTTTTATTTCTATCTTAAAGATCTATATACATGAGTTATTTATTATTACCATTAATAATGTGTTATAATGTGTAGAACTAGTGGTTTGAATCGTGTCATCAACCAATAAATCACTTGGCTACTCCACAAATATGGAGTAAAAGCTAATCTTCGGTTACGACCGTTGAATCAATTATAGACTTCCTAATTAGGAAGCATGTGGAAAGATCATACAAGTAGTGTAAATTACATTTCTTTTTTTTTGTGACAACCAACACACTTTTTTTAGAAACTTTGAAAATACTTGATTTGGCAACATATGTATAAGGATCTACATCTAACCACATAGACAATGACAATTGATAGATCTTATGCTGCTACTCCTGAGCTAGCCGCTGGAAGCAGTGGTGGGTTGTCGGAAGAATCATTAGCTATGTTTTTCGATCCTGACTTTAATCCATCTAATTATATTGATAAATTATTTCAAAATATAACAACGTCATCAACAGCATCTAATTATTCAAAGAATTCATTATCACAATTATCCAATAGTATTCTGAATCTAACCACTCATTTGGATTATTATACTAATGAGTTATCTAGTCAAAGTTTAACTTTGAAATTAGATACTTTAAATAATTCAAATTCTTTAATTATACCTAAAGAATTAGAAAGTCATAATAATCATATATCATCAAGTACCAAAGGAAATCAAGAGTTAACCAGATTGAAATACTACATTAACGTATTGAATAATTCCATAATATCCTTACAAACTGATTTAAACTCCATCAATCAAGATTTGAATGAAAAACCAACCATCAATTCAGAAGCTAATGATGATATAATAAATAGTTTAGTAACATTAAAACTCATCAAATCAAATCTTGTCAACGTGTTGAAATTATTTGAATTCTTAAATAATGCATTGATTCAAAGTTATAATAGTTTATCAACTACTATCACTCCTACATCCGTTGATCAACAGCATAATTTCTCGGTTGATGAATTTCAAAATATTTTAAATAATTTATTAGATACTTTGAAACTACAATTAATCCAAACCAGTAATGATCCAAATAAATTCAATGACGTGGTGAGTTATATTAATAAATTGATTAATCTTGGATCAATGTTTAATAATTTAACTAAATTCAATCTTCCATTTAGAAAGTTCATTAATAGTTTATCTTCCGAATTGGAAAAGTATCATGCTAATTAGTTCTGGATAGCTTACATTCATGGTATTTGACTTCATTAATTGACGTTAAAGATTCCTATTTGCATAATTATAATAAAAGTAATATACAAGGGTTTATTTTTTTTTTGGCTGATAGTGTTTTTTTTTGTAGAATTAGAGGTCACCACTTTCTAAATTAGCTAATCTTTTAGCTTCTTCTTGTTGTTGTAATTGTAATTGTCTTTGTTTCGATAAGTTCTTATTCATGATTTCTAACTTTTTGATTTCTTCTCTTGGATTATAATTACCACTAGATAAATTATCATAAATTTCATCATATTTACCATTTGATAATGGAGCATTACCTCTCATTCTTCTTCTCATATCAAACACCCCATTCTTACAATCCATAAATGCTCGAAAGTTGGCAAGACAAAGTTCTGGTAAATCTTTCTTCAATTCAGGATCCATTAAACAATCCTTAGGTGTATTCCTTTCAATCAATACACATGGTGATCTCTGCAAACATATGGCCAATGCTTTCTTTTGATCTTTACAACTATAATCTTGTCGTTAGTATTCTTAGTTCTTGAAAAGCTATGTGCATAACGTAATGCTCTCTTGTAATACATACCTAGCACCCATTTTAACTAGCTACTCTTATAGTGAGTTAAACCTTTATTTACTATCCAACTTCACTATAAAGATATCTGGTGGTAACCAAAAGAAAAAATTATGACAAGACATGGCCCGACCCTTTAAGACTTTTATGTGCAGGAGACGACTCCAACCAAAAATGGTGAAATCACATTGCAACCTCAAATTAACCTAATTTACTATTTTAAATTAATTACAACTCCTACTTCAGTACAGATTCCACAAGAGATTATCAATAAATGACAATCACATTCGTGCCTGGTGAGGTCAACAAAGGACCGTATTCAGTTCAACAAGTGGTATGGAAAACACATCATATAATTGTGTATGGATCAGGTAATAATCTTATAATCTGTAGTGGGAATTTAATTAATCCTAGTGCAGAGAAAGTGACTCCTAATAACTTAAGTAAGAACTTACAAACGATATATCTCGAAGCAGATCCAGTTGCAATTGATATCAATCCTGATAATGGGTTGATTGTCATTTCCATAAATTCCAAAATCATCGTCTATAAGCCAGTTAATGAATTCATGGTAAAGCCAAAATGGACAGAAGCATTACAGTTTGAAATTGAAGATAAGTATCGAATTAATTGTTTGAGATGGGCTGCAGATGAACAAGAAGTTATAGTAGGGACATCCAATTCTTTAATCCTTTATCATATCTATGATGAATACGGCACCATAAAGTATAACAATAGATGGTATTCTCAACAAAGTAATAGTATCACTGATGTTAAGATTACCAGATCTGGTAATAAAATAATGACTGTCAGTGGTCCATATGATCGATTATTAAAAGTATGGTCACGAATGAACTATGGTGATGATAATACCTTGTTTGAATTGAGTTATTTAAGTCATCCTAAAGATTCATATATCTTAGATTTCCATTGGAGAATAAGTTGTAATGATAGTAATGAAAGTGATGGGAATAATGGTTCCAATGATAAAAAGAAAGTAATTGATAGTTCAATGGCAGGAATTAAAAATATAAGAGGTTATATCCATGATAATGATGAAGATGAAGGTGAAGTAATATATACTATTACAAATGATTTTAAACTTAATGTATGGGCATCTCATGAATTTAGTGGTCATAGTCATATAATGAATTGGTCGACTTTAGACTTAAGTAAAATATTCAAGCAGGATGATTCAATTGCTTGCACAATCATTATAGAAAATCATTATCTTCAAAAGTCATTGCTTCCCTTTTTAAGCTCATCTAGCTTATCTGCATTATCAAATTTAGAGCATTTTGATTTATTATTAGTTGTTTCCAAATCTGGAAATGTGATAATATATACCATTGAGAATATCACCTCAAGTCCACTTAATAATGTTAAATTCACTCAATTAAATCCTCATATAATTTACAAGTTCGATTCTAATACATTCCCTATAAGTCTGTTTGATATGGGTAATGATGAATGTATCAATAGTAGTAATCACAAAGCAGATCATGATACTAGCAAATTATCAATCGAATACATAACTTCTGAAGAATTTGTCATAAATCATATAAAGCCAATATTGATTCCTGACGTTTCATATTTAATTGGTTCTTCAGATCAACCATCTCCCATTTCCTTATTGATACATGATAGAATAAAAAACACAATTAGATTTAATGGACTCTTATTTTCCAATATTATAAATCCTACTGAAGAAAAAGTTCAATCTTTAGGAGCAGTATTGATAAACAAATTACAAGGACATACAAAGTCAATTCGAAAATTAATTAAATCAAATTCATCTTTTTCAGATAAGAATATCCTTTTATCGATTCTGAATTTTCCAGAGCATAATTATATTTGGGAACCATTACTCTTGAATATTTCAAGTACAAAAAATATGACATTAACTAAGAGATTTCAACTAAATGTGAAGTCCGAATCAGATGATATAGGTAGTAATTCGCAGGGTATTTGGACAGCAGTTATAATCAATGATATTGAGCCTCCTAAATTATCCAAAAGAAGACATTTGGTTGTATCAATTGACAAGAATAGTGTTTTGAGTTTCTGGGATTGTGATGGATCAATCAACGATGATCAACCAGCTGAATTAATCAATACTCTTGAAATCATGGATAACTCAAATAAAAAAATCATAACTGAACCTCAAGCATTTGTCTTAACTACTTTACCAGTTGTGGATGAAAATACAAAGGAATATTGTATAGTAGCAATCTTCTCCAAGGAGTTAGTTCGAGCTTGGAAGATTTCAATCCATTATAATGAAGATAAGACAATTGAATCATTCGACTTCAGTAGTTTGAAGATTGATGGTTTACCGCATCCAGAAAATGTTTATCAATTAGTTACTATTGATAACTTCATTAATGCTATAGAGAGAAGTCTAATCGCTGTTATTGATGAAGAGGGGTTATTAAGAAGTTTTGCCTTGAATCTTTCTGCTGCAAGTACAGGATCTATATCATGGAAAGAAACTCATACTGTTCATACTGGTGTTAAAAGGGCCAGTAAAATCCATGGAGCAACCTTTATTAATAAGTTAGCGGTCATTGATGAAACGGGATACAATCTTTCTATCTGGAATTTGAGAGCTTGTGTTTTAGAATACGAAGAAACCTTTCCTGAAGACTATGGAAAAGTTAAAGATATTGATTGGACTTTTATTAATGCTTCTAAGGAAAAACTGACTTCTAATGCAATCTTATCCATTGGATTTGGTAGATTCGTGTTGCTTTATACCCAATTACGTTATGATTATACTAATAATATCCCTACCTTTGCTATGTTGAAGAAGATTGATATTTCCGATTATACCTCTCACGAGATTGGAGATCTGATTTGGTTGAATGATGGATATTTAATCATTGGTAGTGGAAACCAATTTTTCATAGATGATAAGTGGATTCAATTAGGTTCAGGAAGTCTTGATACCACCATTAGACAATTAATGATCGGATACACTAAAACTAGAAACAATTCAGATCCAGATCATCATGATGATATTGATGACGGTGGTGGATACAAGAGAATTGATAAATCATCTGATGAGTTAGTTTATGATATTTCTCATTTGGTGAGGATTTTGAATGGTCCATTACCGATCTATCATCCACAATTCTTAGCACAAGCTTTGTTCATGAGTCAAACTAAATTGGTGCAAGATATATTGGTTAAATTGTTTCTGGATTTAAGACAAGGTGACCCAATTGCATGGGATTTGAATATGGAAATATCTAAAGAAATCATGAGTATTATCATGGGATCTCATTCTGGAGCAGGTGAACAAACTCCAAAGACGGAATTTCTTCAAGCAGGTAGAAGATTCAGTATCAATCTCGATATATTTAAAAACTTTGATTCTAATTTAGCCGATATGTTAATCGAGAAATTAATGAAAATTTCGTTACCATTATTAACTAGACATCAACAAAGTACGTTGATTTCGATTATATTGATCGTGAAAGATTTGAAACAGTTCACCCTTTCATTGGATGATAATGGGATTAGATTCTTCATTGGTTTCAAGTTATTCCAATTATCTACCAAACAATCGAAGCTTTCTATGAGAGATATCAACTGGGCCTTGCATAGTGAAAATAAAGAGATGTTATTGAATTTGGTAGAAGATTACTTTAAGAGTCGATTAAAGTGGGAAAATATAAAGCAAACAGGGTTAGTCTATTGGGTTCATACTGAAGGAATCATCAAGCTTATTGAATCCGCAGCTAGGAATGAATTCAGTGATTCAAGAGATCCATCCGGTAGAGTTTCATTGTTTTACTTAGCTCTTAGAAAGAAACAAATCTTATTAGGTTTATGGAGAAATGTAACGCATAGTGAAAAGCAGAAAATGTTAGCTTTCTTAAGTAATGATTTCACTCAGAAACGATGGAAATCAGCTGCATTAAAGAACGCGTTTGTCTTATTAGGGAAACATAGATATCTTGATTCCGCTTATTTCTTCCTTTTGGGTGATTCAGTCAAAGATTGTTGTTCTATTTTGGCTAATAAACTTGAGGATATCCCATTAGCAATTGCTATTGCTAAAGTGTATAATGCCACTGATCCTAGTCTTATCTCTTCGAAGCTGGCATTAAGTGATAGTTTAAGGTTAATCATTGAGAATTTTATATTACCAGAATCTATTCAAAATGGTAATAGATGGACTACTAGTTGGATCTTCTGGCAAATGAATCTCAAGGAGCTTTCAATCCAAGCATTGGTCAAGTCTCCTCTTGAAATGATTGAAAGTCATGGAGATAAATTTTCAGAATTTTGTAATACCAATTTTATTCAAAAGATTTCTACATCAACTTTGGGACAAAGTTTCTTAAGAGATGATCCTGTTTTGATTTTATTATTCAATGATTTAAGACAGAAGAAACTGAATTATTTAAAGGGATCAATGGGTATTACGCCTATTCAAGAATTCGAATTTATTAAAAAGGTGTGCGGTATTTATACTAGAATGGGTTGTGATTACTTAGCGTTGTTATTGGTGAGAAATTGGAACTTTGTCCATACTAAGGAAGTAAGAAAGATAACTAACAATGAAGCTGTGAATGGTAATGGTGCTGCTGTTACTATTAATGGAATTCAAAGTGATACAAATGGTTCAAGTCAAGTACCTAATATGTTAGAATCGTTTAATATTGGTAGCCCTACTACTGAGGCTAAGTTTCTTAATAGAGCTCCACCACCACAAAGTGTATTTGAAGAGCCAGATATGGGATCATTTAATTTTGGGTTTTAATCGCAGTATGCACAATATATACTTCAATACAACATCTACTTGCTACAGTGTAAATATAAAACACTTCGTAAAATCATATTAATCGTCAAAACTCTATATATATAACCTCTCTTTCAAAATACAGTATTAGCTGTTCTTAAGACTCTTGATAAAGTTTCCATTACATTTGCCCAAGATTCTGAAATTGTGATAATAAAGCCAAAGATCAAGAACACCCACATTCTTGAAACGATGACACCTTGAATGGTAGCAAAGAACATTGAATTGAATACAGCCAAAACCACTTCTGTTGATTCATCCATTCTTTTCCAAAATTGTTCTGCGTTTTCCAAGGGTCCATCAAGGATTTGAATTAATATCATAATAAACCGTCTTAAAGGATATACTCTAACTAATCTAAGGACAAAGTTATCCCACATTTCAACCAAATAATGACGAACATAAACCAATTCAAAAAATTCAAATTCTTTCCTTTTTAAATAACGAGGATCACCATAATTTGGATCCAATAACTGTGAACATTCTTCAGGACGAAGTTGACAAAATGGTTGTGTCAACAATACTACTTTGAAATTGGTTTTAAACTCTTCAATGGTAAATGGATTAACAATATAGGGTATCACCACTATACACGTTAAAATAGGAATGATCACAAAAGCAATGAATTTAATATTATCGATAATAGCTTGTTTGTTCCTAACAATTCTACTTCTGATATCACCAACTGTAGCAGCAGCACAATTGGATATAGATGATGGCATCTCTACCATATGATCTGACATGACTGATTAATCACACGTCTGGCAATGGATAATTGTACCTCCCCTAACTATAACCCCTAAAATTATTTATTTATGATCTCACGTCTAGATATCTTTTTTACAGTAGCTTTTGTCGCATGCTCGTTATCATCAGACTTTTTTTTTTGTCATCTCTTTTGTGGAGTAGATATATATGATTTAAACAGATCAAGTTGATAAAAAAGAACTGTAAAGGTTTTACTTCAATGATGGTAGTTAAATAGTTAAAAGTGATAGTAGATCTTTAATGAAAAAATAATAGTAATATTTTAACTTTCAAAAGGTTAACCCTACCCGGGACTCGAACCCGGAGTCTTCCGCTTAGGAGGCGGATGCCTTAACCGTTTGGCCAGCAGGGCATGTTTGTAGATCTATAAAATTTGCTGGTTCAAGGCAAGGGTGCAAAATACATGAAAATTCTTTTGGTCATAAATTGATGAATATTACCCTTTTTGAATTGTAATTAGTCTTTATTGAATTATAAAACCTAGGTCTATCGTTTAATATCAATAAACAGGAATATTATAATCTCTGTGGTGATGATTTTGAAGTAAATAGAAAATAATCGGTTGCAGAATTCAATGAGGAACCAGATCTCATATGATGGTTGAAATAAGATTAAGATGAAGAATTTGATTTATCAAAAGGTAAATTATATCAATAAAAGTTTATGACCAGTATTTAAAGATGAGTTTATGATTTTGTTGTTGTTCAGAAGCTAAGAAATGTTGTAAAGATATTTGAACATATTTTATTTTTCAAGGTTCCATAAACTCTGAACCAATTTTGTATTTAAGTTCATCATTTTTTTTGAAAACCATCATTATACTCTTTTTGAATCAATATAGTTTGCTTATTTGGTAAATATACTTTTGTAAAGTGGTTATTTAAGCTTGTGTATAAATTCACCTATTTTTGCAGTTTAAGCTGCTAAAAGTAACTAAAATTCAACTTCAAAACTCTTCAAAAACCAGAATTCTTAAAACATTTATTCATAATTTTCTCCTCTTTGAAATACTTCTTAGTAATTATAGCCTTCAAACTTTATAATCAAGTTATTCTCCACTTAAATCGCAATTATATATATATTCACTTCTAATCAGAACACATTCCCAATTAGGAAATTGACGTAAATAAGGTCGTGTGCAGATGTACAAGGACTATTTTTTTTTTTGATGGATATTTTAACTTGAGAAGTCGAATAGAGGAGAGAGAGAGACCAATGCTTATTTATCAAACTTGTGATAATTTTTAACAAAACTTAAATTTCGAATATAGCAAGCATCAGCCTCTTTCATTAACTTCTTAGATACCAGTTATTTATATATACTTATATATATAATCAAGTGTTAGAAGTAGACCTTGACTTCACCCTTTCACCCCTATATGCATTTTTCATTATCATCTCGTATATGAAATAATCTATTATCAAGAAAAAATAACCACTACCAATCATCATGCAACTTATTCAATCCATATATGCGTTGATGTTATCAACCAGTTTGGTTTCAAGTTTGCAATTTCCATTTGATACTAAGAACTTGTTCAAATTCAATAACATCCAAGAAGGAGATATTTATCGTCATTATACAACTGTTCCTGAAGATGAATTGCCGATAAATTTATATCAATATCAAGATTTTGTAATAAGAGTTGATTATTCCGATAATAAAGAGTTAAAAAAGTTCTTACTCGAGACTAAAACTGCTAAAGATCAAAATCAAACCAATGTAACGTTTAACAAATGGGCTAAAAATAATCATGGTAACTATATCGATTTACAAATTAGTGAAGAAAATTTAATCAAATTAATAGAAAAATTCCCCACCATAAATTACAATATCATTATCGAAGATTTAGCTCAAAAAATCTATGAAACTTATCCAAAAAATCATCATGAATCTCTTAAATTAGCTTCAACCGATTCAAAATATAAATTCAAAGCTACAGAAGAAATAATCGCAGAATCAAAAGTAAATGTATTATCAGAATTATTCTTTAAAGAATATAGACCATTAGAAACCATCGAAGCTTGGTTAGATATTTTAAAACAAACTTATCCTGATTTAATTTCTTTTGAAGATATTGGTCATACTTATGAACATAGAACTTATAGAGTTGTCCATTTTTCAGTGCCAAATTCAGATATTGAACATCATGAAAGAAAAACCATTGTGGTAACGGGGGGTGTTCATGCCAGAGAATGGGTATCAGTAAGTTCAGTATTGTATACCATCTATTCCCTTATCTTACATTATAATGAAAATCCATCATCCAAAATCTTATCTAATCTTGATTTCTTATTCATTCCAGTTTCAAATCCTGATGGATATGAATATTCTTGGAAAACTGATAGATTATGGAGAAAAAACAGACAAGAAACCATCTTTCCAAATTGTTTTGGTATTGATATTGATCATTCATTTGATTTCCATTGGACAAAATCTTCAGACTGGGCTTGCGGAGAAGAATATAGTGGAGAATTACCATTTGAAGCTTTTGAATCACAAATCTGGGAAGAGTATCTTAATCAAACCAATAATGATCATAAGATCTGGGGTTATATTGATTTACATTCTTATTCTCAAGAAGTTTTATATCCTTATGCTTATTCCTGCAGTGAACAACCAAGAGATGAAGAAAACTTGATTGAATTAGCTTATGGTATTGCCAAATCCATTAGATTACAATCCGGAAAAACTTATAATGTGTTACCTGCTTGTATAGACAAGGATGTTGATTTATTACCTGACTTAGGATCAGGATCTGGTTTAGATTTCATGTATCACAACCGTGCTTATTGGGCTTATCAATTAAAATTAAGAGATAGTGGTAGTCATGGTTTCTTATTACCAGGTAAATATATTGAACCAGTTGGTAAGGAAATATTCGCTGGTATTAAATATTTCTGCTTATTTATTTTGAATGACGAATAGTCAATAACACTGATTCATCAATTCCACCTTACAATTGTATAGTGATTATAATAATATTAGTTTAGTTCTATGAAAAGCCTTTTGAATTTAAACATTTTAATTTCGTATACTGTAAATTTGTAAAAGTCGATTAGCGAGTGAAAAAAGCTGAAAAAAAAAAGACTCATAAAATTTAGCGATAACAGTGAAGATAACAGGTATTCAAAATTACAGATACATCTTTCAACATGAGAATAGTTATACAGAAAGTGAAGAAGGCTTCAGTGACAGTGGATGAAAAAGTGATATCAGAGTATGTAAAGAACTAGTTTAGTTGAAGGTAGACAAAGTACTAACAGAGCCTATTAGGATAGGTAAAGGATTAATGATCTTAGTTGGTATCTCAACTAAAGATACGTTAGAAGATATAACCAAAATGTCGAACAAGCTCCTTAGTTTAAGGATATTCGAAGATTTAGACCATCCCCCTCAAACTAAAACCAAATGGTATGGTAAGCCATGGTCAAAGAGTATAATTGATGTTCAAGGTGAAATATTAAGTGTTAGTCAATTTACTTTATATGGAACGATCAAGAAAGGTACCAAACCTGATTTTCATAAAGCTGCCAAAGGTGATGTTGCCAAAGGATTATATGATACATTCTTGCAACAATTGCGTACTGGATTGGATAAAAGTACTGAATCAGAAGAAAGTAAAGTCAAAGATGGTGAATTCGGAGCCATGATGGATGTTGAATTGATCAATGATGGTCCTGTAACTATCGTATGGGATACAAATGATCCAACCTTGTAAATAGAGGATATTACATTTGATAGATCTACTTTAAAATAATATAGAATTAAAACACTAACTAAATATAACTGTAAAAAAGGGTGACATATATATATACATATCAAGAAGAATTAAATACCATTACTTACACAAGTGAATGGTTTACCATAAGCATCAGCTTCATATGACAATATGATAGATTGGATAGTGGCGTATAAACCAGGACCAAGAATATAGAACCCAATGAGAGCAATGATTAAATTTAGTATTATTTCACCTTTAGTGACTAAGGTTGATCTTTGAAAGATTTCCCAAACCGATAATTTTCTATTTTCTAATTTGAAATAATATAATTCCTTTAATTTGAAGTAAGCACGAGACCAGAAGAAGAAACCAAATGAACAATCGAATAATGATGACATTAAAGATAAAAGATCACTAAAGAATGGAATAACTTCGGCAACCACAAAGGCTAAGATCCATAAGATAAGATTAATACCACCCCAAACAATCCAACCTTTGGAAGTATGACTATTTCTATGAATTGAAGTTTTGGAGAATATGTTTTGAAAGATGAATTGAGCAGAAACATTAGAATATAAAGCTCCTAAGAAAATAATAGTTGGTACAGCAAATGAAAATGAAATCTTTTTATAAGTAAGACTTAATGAACCAAAACCCGGAGAAGTAATATAGTTATTACCAACATAAATATAAACAATGACACCAGCTAATGAGAATAAAGCAATTTCTAAGAGAGTAACTGCCCATAAAGCCTTTTTAAAATCCTTTGGATTTTTCATTTGAGAAATAAATGATGGATAAGTAACTTGACCCACAAAAGTATAAACAATGTTTAACACGGCAGACATGATATTAACATAAGTAGTACCTTTGATTGGCCAAGCGGTCCAAACAATAGGTAATTCTTCCTTGTCCCAATCGAAAGGATGTTTTTCAATACCAGCAAAAACCATAGCTAAAACAACAGCTATAAACATAGTAACAGCTGAAAAAATACCAATAATTGACATATGAGAAAATGTTCTTGGTAAAGATACAAAGAAACATATCACAGAAGCAACAACACCAAATACTACTGAACAAACGGTAGTATTATCACTGATGGTATTAAGATATTTAGCACCCACTAAAACATGTAATGATTGAATTAATAAGTTATTCAAGACAAAACATATAGCAGTCAAATGCCAAACCCATCTTTTACCCCAGAATAAATGTTGACCAATATCACAAACATTGGTTAAATGAGGATAAGCAGCACAATAATCAGCTACGATTAAACCAGTATATAAAACAAGTAATGCAACAATTAAAGTGACAATTAAACCTAAACCAACTCCTAAAACCGAAAAGGACCATGGGAAAGATAAAATAGCCAAACAAATATATTCACTGAATAATAATCCAGCCGTCTTTTGCCATGAACAATTTCTATAGTTTATATCATGAGCGGATTCAAATTCCACTTCCTTTTGTAAATATAAATCAGGATCACCTTCAATGGTGGAATCATCTTCTTCGAAACGAGTTTGACTTTCATAATCGACATTCTGCTTTTCATGTTCAGCATCTGAAGCCAATTTATCACCAGTAGTGATGGTATTTGCAGTCTGGTTAATCAAAGGTTGCGACATGCTAGCTTAGCTTATCTTTTTCTGCAGGGGGGAGGGGGGGAGGATCTCTTCACTTTTAAAAATTGGGTAACAGATAAAATGAACTAATAACAATAGGGACAAAACGATATATATTTATAGATAACCTAATTTGCGATGAAATACGGTAAATCATTAAATAATTTTATGTCAATGGAATTATAACTGAATTAAACCAGTCCATCACCCATCGGATAGGCGGTCGAACTATAGTTGGGTTCCATTTCGTATCAGCAACCCAAATTGGGGTACAAAAATGACAGGCTCCAGAAAATAGAATATGTAAAAAAAAAAGAAAAGTGATTTTGGTAAAAAATTGTGGTAACTGAGGCTCCTTCCCAATTGGGACTATGACGCAATCATGTGCTTAACTATGTAGAATCAAGTTTTAAACTATAGACTAAACCCTAAAATTTCATAATAATAAACTATTGCTAGTTATTTCACCATAATTAGGTCTAATTACGATTTGAAACCAATTAACATTTACTTAGGTCAAAATTTATGACAATAAAAAGAAATTTTAAAATTACAAAGGTAATATCGATACGGCGATTCACTAATTCAGATTTAAAGTCATCTTCATCTACTTCATCGTAGTGTTCTCCTTCATCGGAACAACTTGTATCTACCTACCTACCTGCTATCGTAATTGAGGTATTATTCATATCACAAGCGAAGATAATGGGGAATGTCTATCATAATAATAGATATACGAGATATTAAATTAAATTAAATTAAATGAATTAGCAATATGTATATGATTCAATTAAGAAACTGTGCATAGTCATCTCTTCAATAATATGTCATAGGAAAGCTGTTCTAGTTTGACATCAACATATAATTTGTTAGAGCCCTTCTCTATAGTTGTTCCGTTATCAAAATATTATCTCTCTTATGGAAATTTTCTCCTTCGCGAGCTAAAGGTTGCGAATTTTTGTTTTCATTATCTTTGGACTGTAGCTTCTTTTATGCTTAAAGTTAACATATAGTTTATCTTTGTTAATGAAGACTATAAAATTGTTATCTATCTTGTAAACTTTATTTCTTTTCACTTCTTTTGTGCTTATCTATATAACCAACAATAATCATGAGATTTAATTCAGTATTTTCTTTCGTTATTCTATTCTTTCTGGCAAAGGTGATTTCTGAGAGGGTATGTTGGAATCAAGATAAAATAGTGCAATTTAGAGTTTCTTATCCTACTATAGCTGAGTTAACTAATAGTACTGAATCTAAGTTTAAGTTAGAAGCGGTTTTCCCATCTCAAGCATTTGATCTAAAACCAGACTCTAACAAGAATAATGATACAGAAAATTGTCTGCCATTACCCCGCTATAACATTACATATGAATCATCTGACACCATCGAAGAAGATGAAAGTAAATCATCAAAGGAGGAAGAAATGCAAACAAAATTGGAAAAAAAACTCTTAAGAAAGCTAGTTGATGCATACACAATACCATTACAGTCAAAAGTTACAGAATTTACTTATCATTGAGTTGGATAAAAGATTAAACCAGGACACACTATGAATTGCCTTCTTATGAATAATCATACCAATAACATTAATATTACGCCTAAGTAAACTAATTAGTCCAGAATTTAGAATGCTATTACCATTTACATACCTCATATTATGCTTAAGCTAAAATAAAATACCTTATAGTCACCATTCCTGAGACAAATTACAATATTCTTTCCCTTTTCCAATTTTATATTGACTTTAGTAATATAGATATGTTGTTCTAATTCTAAGATAAAAGGGAAGATCATCCCAATCAAATTAACTTTCAGAATAGTCTTTATTTTCTTTTCATTTCAACCATTAATCAAGAATGAAATTTCAAGGTATTGCTCTTAGTGTTGCTGCTTTCCTCTTGATTGGGAATGCCATTGCATCTGATATCAACGAAATGCCTCCTTCGCCAAGTGCCAAAGTTACTGCTGTTGGATGGAATTGGCCGTGGCCATCATACAAGAATCATACAACTTTAGTTACCAAGACAAGAAGTACAAAGACCGCAAGTCTTCCTACTACCACAGCAATCAAAACTTGTCAACCTTATGACGTTAAGTGCCATGGATTCAAGCCGTATAAACCAGCCCTTCCAACTAAAACAAAAACCGAAGAACAATTGTTTACAATCTTGCCCATTAAGACTAAACCAACCCCTACAATCGGAAGCATCAATGAAGATGCCACTGTTACAAGTATTACAACTGAAAAAGATAAATGGTTCTCAATCTTACCCATTAAAAATAAGCCAACCTCTTCAGTCGAAATTAATGACGAAGATGTGACCGTTACAACTGTTGCTGCTGAACAGACCAACTAAATCAATTAAAGTTACTACGGTCTATAAGTTAACTTCATTCTCTCTCTTTTTCATTTTTTATTTATTTTATTTTTTTATTAGTCTAATATATAAAAGTTTAAAATTATCATGATTTAAACGTAGACTAAGGTATAATCAAGACCTCATAGTTATATAGGACCAATTGACTACAACCAATACAGTGCATCAAGCCGTGGACAAGAAATCAGTTGGGTCAACAATCACGGGTATAAGTTACAACCTTTGCATGTAAGCAAAACTGCTCTAAATATAGCATAGCACCAACAGTTGTACTTTAGAATACCATATTATGCTTAAGCTACCATAAAAATATTAGACTTACCAAAGTTGATACACATAAGGAGGATTTAATTGCCTTGTATAAAGAAAAGATAATATGCAAGTCATTCAATTATTGTACGTTTATCATCATTCAAGTTCTGGATATAAAGTAGCAAACCAAATTATCTTTAAGAATAATCCTACTTTTCTTTTCTTCTTCTCGCTTTAACCAAATAAACAAGAATGAAATTCCAAGGTCTTTTACTTATTGCTGCTGCTTTTATCACCACAGCAAATGCTGTTACATTACCCCCTACTCCTGAAGCTAGCATAACTGACAATCACTGGACAGTACCCAACGCAACACCCACGAAACATACCACTATGAGAAGCCCTGAAGAATCATTAGAACCACAACCAGTTCACCCTTTATGTCGATTTCCTGCTTATTGTTCTGGACCAGTCAGAGATGATTGGAATAAGACTGAACCTGACCATCTGTCATAGCTTTATTTAACACGTTTATTTTCTTATTTTCTATTAATAACTAGCAGTTTGATTTATGTTTAATATAAATTCTTATCTTTACATTTTCGCCAACGTAGATCATAGGACCATCAGTAGTGACATGATTATAATGAATGAAACGATTGCTATCCAACCATATTTAAAAGTATCATGAATATGAAACCTTTCATTAGGATCAGATTGGAATTCGCTGAATATATGATTTGTAATTGGGTTTTCTGATGCCGTGGATGAATAATGTTTCCAGATACTTGGATCCATCAAGTAATTGATCAAATCATATTTAGTTATGAGTATAGTAATTAAGGACACTATAACAATTGATCGTATTATGGGATTCTTGGTACTAAATAATCCAATTTTCTTTATCGTTTTCTCATCAGTCTTATCATCTGACATGATTATCGTATAGAAGTCAAATGGTTTATAATCTTGTCGTTAAACCATTTGGTTATTTGATGTTTGTTGTAAATGATTTTTACCCGCACTTTAAATCGCGTTAGAATTATTAATGTGTGGTAAACAAAAAATCATGACTCTTTGCTGATAACAATCTATACTGTAATAAAGCAATAAGAACGGTTAACTTATACCATTGTTGAACTTGTCACTCTTGACAAAAGTAATCAATAGACTCCAGCGTCTGTACAAGGTAATATAACACCATATCATAAAAAATACTGCCAACCCCACAAACAGTAAGATCAAACCAGTTGCAATAGCCAATCGTATTATACAATAGATAATATCTAATTCAGCTAAGATTACAGAGAACACACTAATTATTATATTCAAATAAGGCAACTTACTACCAGAATAGACGAAATTAGTACCAGATTCAGCTGTGATATTAAAAAAAGTATTGAATGCATTGGTGAATGGTGGTTCAAAATTCTCAGGTTGTATAATAACAGAGATTGGTGATTTCTGATATACATTTTCCACAAGATCATTCCATACATTATTAAAAGCCAACACAAGCAATCCAAACATCCTTCAACGCTATTGACTATTATTCCATTTGTTTGTTTCCTATTGATATTGACTTCACTTGATTTGAAATAAACTGTGTTGTAAATATCTCAGTCATTTTGTATTGCCTTAGAATAATTTTGAGTTTCGATTTGTGTAACTTTACAATTTTTGACTGCCAAACAGCGGTAAGGATCTTTTTACAATGAGTAAAAGGCTGCTAATTCAAGATCATGATGAAGATCAAGATGGTACAACCAATATCAATAAACGAATAAAGATAACATATGAATTGGTGGATCTTCCTGTTGATATTCTTCATTCGATTTTCAGTTATTTGACTAGCGAAGATATTGCAAATGTATCGATGATTGATTCTTATTACAGACAGAATTTTATTCTATTTCTATTTAACAGAATCAAAACTACATGGCATAATTTATTAGCTGAATTTGAAAGCAAAGCAAATTTCTTTTTAAGATATAAATATTTAATTGAACAAGTACGAATAATCGATTGTTACTCGTATGGTGAATGGCATATCAATATATTTGACAATTATTTGAATTTGTTGCCCAATTTAACTCGGGTAATCATTAATTCAAACAATTCTTCCAATTGGATAAAATATAGACAGAATGAAAAAATACATCAATTAACGCTTTATCTAGATAAAGACCATTTCGAAACCCAGCATTTACAAAATCAGCCCAGAAATGTTAGCGTCAAGCCTTTGGCATCCCATTCAATTCAACCTAGAATCTTCCATATCGACCACATTAAGGATTTTCCTTGTCTACGAAAGTTAAATCTTGATAATTACCATTTCAATTGGGAAGTTAATGAATCATCGTCTCTGTTTTATCATTTAGTCGAATTGAATCTAACCAATTGCACTTGGGAATATCCATTTAAACTATCACAATTTAATATGGATAGATCAACTCTTGCTATACTCAATATTAAGTATTTTAGTAACAATTCATTCATACTTTCTGAAAGATTTAATGAGTTCCTATTGAACCTTGAAGAAAATTTCCAAAGTTTAGCCAATCTACAATTAACCATAGATCAGGACAATTCAATCAACCCTACTCAATCCATTTCCTGGGAAAGAAGACTCCCGTCAAATATATTCGATAAAATTCTAAACAAAAGCTATTTTCCATATTTAAAACACGTTAAATTGTTTGGTTGGTATATTAATCTCAGTAATGTTAAGAACAGTCTAAGAAAGCTAGATGTCAAAGAACTTAATCACATTGAGGTTATAAATTTAAAGCGAGTTAATAATATTAACAACAACAACAGTAATGATAATGACGACCAAGATCTTGCTATATTACATGACATTCTTGATGAATTGATGACCTACTCTATAAAATTAATAACTAATTAGAAATTTCTGTATATACTGCGACAAAATATATATTCGCGTAACTGAAAAAAAAATTTGTAGCGAATTAGATCCCCTTATATTTCAGGTTTACCAATATTGGACCGTTATGAAAGGGTGTATATCATTCATACTATCATTACTTGTGTTAATCACTTTATGTTTAGCCAACACAGAGACAATTTTATTTAAGATCCCTTATTACTATAACATTAAACCTCATGCATTACCTTATACTAATCCATCCACTAATCATAGCATAATCAACATAAATGATACCCATTCGCTTATTAACGATTATCCAATAAGGTCTATCTCATCATTAAATATCGATGAGAACTTGATTATCTCAATTGATGACTATAACAGTGGTGAACTGTTTGAAAGAACGTTGCTTGTGAAAGTCAACAATTATGAAGATCACTCTTTTGAATCAAACGATTTCATCAATGTTAAGCTATGTTGGCCAGCAACTTATCCCTTTGATTTTCATTTAAATCATTTATTCTTAAAACCAATTGATTTAGTAGGAGAGGGGGATACATTCAGCAAAGAAGATAATGATAACGAGAATTATTTTGATATATATTTGGAAGTTAAATACAAATTCAGTGGGTATACCTTTAATCCGAGTTCACATCTGTCGAACCAACAGCTACAATTTCAACTATATATCAACAAGTTGGCAAATAAATTGATCCCAATTCCTAATGAGTTATATGGATTTTTGACTTATTTTATCGATTTGTTAATCTTTATGTATATCATACTACCTTATATCTATGAGACCATTTTTGAAGATTCAGTTACACTTACCTAGCTTTAGAGTTGGAAATATGCATATATAGTAGTAAAACAAATATACATTTACTAGCAGCTACACTGTAGCGAGTTATTTTACTATATGTAGAACAATCTGATTTGAGAAATCAAGAAGATCACCCTTTTTTTTAAAGATCTTACTTTTTGCACTGTTCTTTGTTCTTTACAACCCTCAAAAATTGGCAACAGATTTTTTTGCAGCGTTTAGATATTTACAACACTTCTTTTAATAATCATTTTGTTAACCAATCAAAAAAGTAAGAGAATCAATCAAAATGAAGTTGATTTCATTGATGATTTACCTATGTGCATGTTTGATTGATTTCACGGTAGGTTTAGAATCAAATAAGACTCACAATTTGGAAAAGGAAGTAAGAGGTTGCCGTTTAGAGAAAGAAGTTAAGATGGAAGATTTGATGTCAATGACAACTGAATTTGGAGGTAAAAATATGTTTACTGTTGATAGAAGACTGGGATTAGAGAGTTATAATGATACTGGAAAGTTCATTTTAGAATTTTTGTCTTCATTGAACCAATATTACGATATTTATCAGGTGCCATATGAGGGTTATGGCTTTTGGTCAAACAACAATTATCTTCAGTATGCCCAAAAAAAGCTTAGGTTATTCCCATATTTTTACTCATTAATGGGCGATAGATGCCCATATGTGAACAAGTTAGAAATAATCGATAGCCAAGGTTGTATACCTGAAGAATTTGACAAGTTTCCCGGTAATACTTCTGTTGTTGTACAAGATGGCGGGTGCGATATAAATAAGAAAACTGCATTAGCATGCTATTATGGTGCCACATCATTGCTTGTAAATAGTACTAATACATTCATAATGGAATCACATGTGAATCATCAGAGATTCCATCTTTTACACGATTCTACATTCCAACCATTTAAAAATGATCAAAAAATGCATACATGTCTTGGAATTGTGTTCCCATCATTCAAGATTCGTTCCAAAGATCTTGATCAGCTAATGAGGGAAAACACCAATTCGACTGTTAGTGGTGAGTTGATAATGTCAACTTTAGTATTTGCTTCTTATTTCACCAATATATTTGCTGTAAGTAAGCTGGGTAATAGTTCAAATGTTGTCTTGGCAGGAGCAAATTACGATTCTTTTGCAAATTCGGTAGGCATGAATGACAATGCTTCAGGCGTGATTGCTCTTTTGAATATCGCCAAGTATTTAACCAAGTTTCAACTCAATAACAAGGTTAGTTTTGCATTCTGGGGTTCGAAAGAATCGTATCCTCAGGGTCATAGTGTTCCAATGCTGGACGATATGCAAGATAACGTTAAAATGTATCTCGACTATGATACAATAGGCTCTCCTAATTATGTGCCTTATGTGTATGTTCCAACGCAAATGGAACCATCCTTCTATGAAATGTCAATCAATAAACAGTTTATGAAAGAGAATCACATATCAGCAACTCATGCAGATTTTTTCCTGAAGAATAATATCACTTGGAAGCCTTTTTACGAGATGGAACTTGACAGATCTCATTTTAGAAGTATATATAATGTACCAATTGGTGGACTTACTTCCGGCTCACAAAAGGTTAAATCAGGAGACATGTCATTGTCAGATTCTACAGACGATCCATGTAGGCACTTACCTTGTGATACAGATATCAATTCCGAAGCTTTATTCATGAATACTCGTGCTGCTGCCTTTGCAATTGGTACTTATGCCCGTAATTTGACAGGCTTTGAAAACAAAGAACCCAAAGAATAAGTAGGTTTTCAGAAACCGAAAAATGATTATGCTATATACAGCTCTTATAATTTAGCAATTAATATATGTCAATTTTGAGAAGTAGTAACAATTCTCCGTAGTAGAATCTAACGGATTCCTATAATTTAACTAACGATGTCTTGGCTATATACTTCTTTATGTAATTGCTACTCTTGTTCAGCTACTGCAAGATGATAAATACTACATCGACATCTATTACTTTCTTAATAATAGCCCTCATTTAACTCTTTGATAATTAATGCTATAAGCATACTCCTTTTTAATAGTATTGACAAAATATATTTTTTAGTATGCTTATCACATGATCCCCTCTCATCAAAAAAATGAGCACATTAACAAAAGTAGTGACTTTGCTTTGCGAAGAAGAGTTTAAAGATTAGCCTTTGTTACAACACTTACTTGTATCAATTGTTCCCTTAATCAATCAATTATCATGTCATCATCACCATTAAGTGAAGATGATCCATTAGGACCACCAACGAATACTCAGCATTTAGACTTATCCAAGTTATCCCCTGAAGAATTGACTATATTTAAAAGATATGGGAAATTGCCCACAACTCAACAGATCCTTTCCAATAAGTTTCGAGAAAAGAAATATTTCGACAGTGGAGATTATGCTATGCAAAAGCAAAGTGGTAATAAGAATAATCAAATGTTTCCTGGTGTTGGGGTACCTTTAAGACATCCCAATGCTGAAAAAGTCAAAGAAATGTCGAATAGAAATAGTATCAGTGCTAGTAACGCTGGTTTCTTGTTTAACGGTAAATCTAGTTTATTAAATGAATCTACGCCTGATAAGGCAGAACAGCAAAGTGAACAACCTAATAACAATCAATAGATTCAGTTCTCATCAAATGATTGTTCGCTAAACAAAAGTCGCTCTAGTTGAGATCGAGTAAGGCAAAAGGATACCCCTTAAAACAAAGAAAGGCTAAAAAAGTGCATCTCAAATAGTATTAATTGACTTGGTGATAGAAGAAAGATTTGTTAGTTATGTTGCGTTGCTGCGTAGTTAAGTTTGAATGACATTCGTTGATGTGTATAAGTTCAAGGAAATCAGAGGGAAGGAATACCAGTAGGGCATAAAACGGGATGATGTACAAGTTTTGGTGTAATGAGATAGCTTTCTGGTGGATTGTTTTAACATTAGTTATATTTTTTATTTCGTTATTGATGATTGAAGAACGATGATTATAAAGAGCCCGAATTGGAATTAACAAGGAGATCGTTTTATCGTTTTAATTCATTATTCAATATATAGCTCTATGTTCTTTATTATTTTTTATTTCTATTCTATTCATCTGCTATATGATATAGCAGATGATGTTTGCGTCAGCAAATCTTTAAATATATGCATATAGTTTATCGTTTTGTTGTAGTCAGCTATATTTCGATGTGGTATCTGTATTCCACACAAAAATTGCGATAAAATATAGAATAAAGCAATAAGCAACCAACACTACAACATCTATTGAGGAAAATGCTATGGCTATCAACAAACAATTATTTGATCAATATTTAGACGAATTCAATGATGTGTTGCTTGATACGTTGATGGTTGTTAATAGTACATCTGTACTTGAGCTAGATTTGAAAGTCCTTGTCAATTTTACCAAGACAAACCCCTCATACAGCTATACAAGAATTGAACTAACAAATATAGCACACAGTCTTTCTATTGGGGTAGAGTTTACTGTATCGTTTCATGAGTTGTACAATGTACCTATATTTTATTTCCGATTGATTGAGAACGGTCAATTGATAATGTATGATGATCAATTGGTACATAGAATATCTCGATTGTTAAAATTCGACATTTCAGTACAACCGTTTCAGATTGAACTACATCATATTCTTCAACAGCCATGGTTATGTTCTCATATTTGCCAAAGTGAACAGTTTATGGACCAGTTTATCAAGTCAATTCCTGATAGTAGTAAAACCAAATATAGTGATATCAGCACAATTTTATATTTGAAGAGTTGGTTTGCGGTTTATGGATTGAGTGGCTTATATCCTAGATTAAGCTTAAGAGATTAATAAAGCAAATAATGATATTGTAACATATAGTTGTATTTTTTATATATTTAGATGTATTTTAAATGAGGTTCTAATAATAATATACTAAATTACAAAACGTTAGAATGTAATATAAGAAGAGAAAGTTATGCTTATGAAGTGATTGGTGACTGAATTGTGTGTGATGATACAATCGAAAGGAAATGAATTGGAAGATTAGGAATGCTGGACTTTTTGTAATGAAAACTAGTTTATCAACACCCTTCAACTGGATGCAACTTTCTTTTCTGTGAAGATACGACATGGGTATTGATCAGTAAACATACCATGCTCAGGCTCTTCTAAAATTTTCCATTGAAATTTGTTTAAAGAAGGTGCTACAATTGGTTCACCTGAAGAACCTAATAATTCACCTTTTATGACATTAGCTGGAACAGATTGTAAAGTAGTTGCTAAACTAACTGGTTGAGTTGAATCAATATAAACAGATAATTCTTTGGTACCTTTATCACCAATTGAAATTCTTGGATTTTGAGCTGAACCTAATTGCAATAAACCACTGATTTTAGATTGATTAAAAGTATGTACTTGAGGATAATTTCTTCTATAATCTCTTTTATGATAAGGATTGTTTTGAATATCACCTGCTGGATAAGTTATAGGATCAATATACTTTTTGGCATCTTCAATTCTATCACCAGGAGGTTGCACTCTGAAACGATTGACGATCGGATTACCACTAGATCTATTTGGAACCAAGGCTAAGATTTGTCTTAGTCTTTCCCAGATACCGGTTGACTGAGTGGTATACTTCTTCCATACTGGAACTGGACCACCTGACATGTTGATTTTATGTTATAGTTGGTACAATTTTAAGTGTATATATTATCATTTTCTGAAAATAGACCAAAAAAGTAATCACAAATTTTCTGTTGGTTAATTGGATGGACTGAGAGTCGTGTGAATGTGTATAATAATACATTGTTTATATACAGGAACCACCATTTTAATACTTCAATTTGCATCCAAATATGATCATTCATTCCTAGTCCTTTGTTTTGGGCCCTATCCTTTCATCAGTATCATCATTGTTGATAAAAATAATTTTCCAATTTAAAAATAAAAGACTTCTCCTCTTCAAGTTGTTGAATTTAGTAAGTTTGTTTCCTATCTTGGAATTAATGCTGCTGAGTTTAGGCACTTTGGGATACATATGAAACTAATGCTGTCCGATTTCAATAGAACATAATTGCCACGAAAGAAACCAGTAGCCACAAAGACATTCATAATTTTGGCCATAGCTTCACAACCTAAGGTCTATAAATTAAACAAATAATCTCTTCCTAGTTAGCTTTTTCCAGTGTAGTTATATCAATACCATCTTAAAATGTTCTTTTCAATAAAACTCGTATATTTGATTTCATACACATTTGTTCTATTACTAGTTGGTGGTGATAATGCCCCAATGGTGAATGACTCACCCCCCAATGCCAAATATATCGCCCGTTTCAAGCCGCATGCTATTAATGGTGATTATCATGTTCGTGGGTTTATTTCATTTCAAACCTCACCCCGAGGATTTGTTCAGGTTCATCTTGATGTCGATGGTTTACCTACAAGTGGTGGCCCTTTCCCTTACCATGTCCATCAATATCCAGTTCCTACAGATGGCAACTGTACCGGTACTGGTGGCCATTTGGATCCTTACCATGGATCTGCCACCTCTCCTGGAGATCCTGCAGGTTTGCAAGTTGGTGATTTAGCTGGAAGACATGGGGATATCCCAGTAGGTGTATATGCTTTCGAAACTTATTATTTTGATCCATTCATCTCATTGAATCCCAGTGATCCTGCATTTATTGGCGGTCTAAGCGTTGTTATACATTTGGATAACTTGACCAGAATTGCGTGTGCAAATATTACGGTTGGTTGTGATGATCACTGAAAGAGTTTGAGATCAAGTGTTTATTTTTTTTATAGCTTTTGAGTATTGTTGGATATATACAACTCTATTATATAAATTTATGTATTCTATATATATAAATTTAATAAATTAGGCTCTTCCAAATAATCCTCTTCCGATCTTTCCAAAGATTATTAATCCACAAAAGAAGAAACTTCCAATCCATAACCAAAGTGCGATTAAATCTTCATGATTAAAGAAGTTATATTGATTTATAAAGGTATAATTTTCAAGATAAACCATCAAACAGGCTAATCCACTTATAATCAATGAACTTAAAAATCCTGAAAAGGTTCCATCCAACAAGATCCATAAACCTGGGTTTAAAAATGAAAAAATGATAGAGACTTGTAAGAAGGAATTCCATTCGATATTTCTGATAGCGTAACTTATTCCTAAGAATGTGATAGAAGCTCTTAATAAATCATTAAATAAATTAGAATAATTAGTGGAGTGGTTAGGGTCTGGATTTGACGATAATATACGCCTTGAGAATTTTGATGGTAAAAGCTGATCCATGATAGGATGAATTGTACCCATTAATAAACCTTGAATACTTAAGGCTACAACTTGATCAATTATCATGATGAATTTATCATTAATAGGAATGTAATTACTAAATTTGAATTTTTCCAATAAACTGAAAAAGAAAACATTTGTAATTGTCATAGGGAATGTTGCAAGTTCATTTTCACCAAAATGATTATAATTGATTTGTTTTGTAATTTCATTATAAATAAATGCTGAGGATGATAATAAAAGAATCTTAAATAATAATGGAGTATTGGCTAAGGTATGCAGATTTTTATGTGATGGGGAAGAGGAATCAATATCGTCGTTAGACCCATCGATACTGGAACTTATAACGGAATCCATAGAAATTGATTGACTATTGGCTAAGTCTATACTTCCACCATTGAAGTTAGAAGCTTGTTCAAGTTGATGAAGTTGATGCTGAATAGTATGAATGTGATTTGGATCATGATGATGATTATGGGAGTTTGTGATTTCAATGGATGATGAATTCAACTCCTTATTCAAGTTTAACAAGGAGTTGTCATTGTAGATACCATAAAGGGATGGCTTTGTAAGGTTTAAGATAGAATCAGTTCTATCCATGGTTGATATTGGAGTGGAAGAACCTGAGGTTGTAGCCGAAGGTGTTTGACTGTTTAGCTTCTTAAGATTAGTATTCGAAGCGGTTGATTTTCTCAAGTTACTCATGATTTTTGATTGATTAAATAATAATGGTTTGTATAGTTAAACGATGACGGTTATATTATTTATAGGTTTTGAAACTGGAGGAGGGGGAGTGATTGAATTGGTGGAGTGACCAGACAAAATAGCGGAAGAAAAATAAATCGGTGTAAGTAAACAAACCACGACGATCACCAATATACAATAAACACTAATTTATGAAACTGGATGACACAATTAGATATCTTGCTTGTGAGGTGTAAATTATCAATAACAAATAACAATTTGAAACTAATTATCACACTTCAAAGTAGGGCTTGAAATGAAAAGTGGAAAACTATTGCTGAAAGAAGAAAGAATAAAGTGTCTAGTGAGGTCCTGGCCACTAGAAAAAAATTTGTCACTACACTTCGAAGCTAAAAAGTTATACGAAAGTGGGGAACGACCACCAAAAAAAATGTTTGCATCACTTTTCTTGATTTTGCTACAAATTGAAAACAGTTATGGAGCATTGGAAAGGCTAGTCAATTTGTTAGAGATAGAAGGTTAAATTTGATGTATCTATAAATTTTCTATGATCAAGTCTATTCATATTTTGTATGCTGTTATAGTGTTAAGCTAATTGTTCACTCTAATAAGACTCAATATGGAAATGATCTGACCAGGAAGACAACCTGTAAAATTACTGCTACTCTTCTTTTTTTGGACTAAATCTGTAAATTCGAAATAACATGTAAATTAAATCATTTTACACTTTGTAAAACATCCATACCTCTAAACTAGGTTATGTCTTGTTATTGTTTTTATTTACAGTATCAATATTTACAACCAATTTATAGCATCCAACTTTTGGCAAGAGTATGATCGAATATGTCATCTAATGTATTTGAAACTTCAGAAGGTGATTCTGCAGTGAATAAAGCTAACAAGATAAAACGTACCAAACCTATTAGTGACTCAATTGACGATATCGATGATGGTTTAGATAAATTAATCAATCAATTTAATGATCTCCATTCAGATGATGATGAAGATGATGATAACGATGATGATGGCTTAGGTAACATCATCAATCGAAATGCACTCGATAACTATGATGAAGATGATGATGATGAGGGACATTTGTTTTTATCTTCTACCGAAGATGATTATGATTCGAACGGTGAGTTGATGGAAGATGATTATGATGAGAATTATGACTTAAAAGATGCATTAAGAATGGCAGGAAATTTCAAAGTTAGAAACAAAAAGAAAGGTAATAGGTCAACTGCTTCTGCTTCATCCTCAACAACAACCAAATCTAAATCCTATTGGAAGCGAAAAATGTTAAGATCAACAAATCGTGAATTAGATCCAGAAGTTAGAATCAATTTATCATTAGCTAATGAAGCGTTTGTAAGAAACGATTTACAAGTAGCTCAAAACCTTTATCTCGAAGTTATTAAAAAGGATCCTAAGAATTTCAATGCTTATAAGACGTTAGGAGAAATTTATAAACAACAAGGAAAATTAAATGAGTGTTGTAATTGTTGGTTATTGGCTGCTAATATTCATCCCTGGGATAGTCAGTTTTGGGGTAATGTTGGAGAGTTATCAAGTCAATTGGGCCATATTGATCAAGCTATTCATTGTTATAGTAGGGCAATTCAATCAGATACCAATAAAAGCTATCGATTTGTATTGGAAAGAGCTATCCTCTATAAGGAAAAAAAACAATATGGTAGAGCTTTAGAGGGATTTCAAAGAGTAAGATTACAATTTCCTACTGATTCAAATATTATAAAGCACTTGGCTAGTGTATATGTTGAACAAAAAAGATTGAACGATGCCATTAACTTATACATGAGGATTCTAGACAATAATATTAATCCTAATCTAAATCTTAATTCCAAACAAAAATATCCCAAGTTTGGATGGGCAGAATTAAACATCTTATTAGAATTATATATCCAACAGCATTCTTGGAGAGTCGGGATTAAAGTTATAAAACTAGCATCAAGATGGTTGCAGAACCGTGAAAATGAAACTTGGTGGGATGATAATGACGATGATGCTGAGTTTGACGAGAAGAAGAGATTCGAAGTCTTAGATAAATTAGTTACTGATGAATCCTCAGAAGAAACTCGCAAGAAGTTTTACCATTTACCAATTGATATAAGATATAAGATCGGTAATCTTCGATTAGGATTGAATCAAAAATCAATAGCCATGAACCATTTTGATTATTTATTAGAAGATGAAGAAGATATAGCTGATTTATTCTTTGAAGCCGGAAAAGTTCTTGAAGAAAGTGGTTACCACGAAGAAGCATTAACATTTTTGACAAGAGCATCCCTAAGCGACGAATTTAATACATCTACTGAATTAATTAACTTGTTAGGAAAATGCTTCATAGAAGTTGGAGATTATAGCCAGGCAAAAGATGCTTATGAAACTTTATTACACCACGAGCCTGATAATTTGGATTATAAATTGGCATTGGCTGAGGCATTATTCCACTTAGGCGACGAGAGAGCTGGTCGCTTAATTGTTGAAGTTTACAAGAAGCATCCAACGGGTGCAACTACTCTAGAAGTAGATGATATTGAAATACCAAATAAAGATGACGAAAATAACAATCTTTCATTGATTAAGAATCAAAAATTAATTCGAAGTAAGTCAACCAAATTGTCAGACCAAGAGAAGTTAGAAATAGAAAACAACGCCAAACGTACCGTTCTTGAGAAATATAGAAGAATGATAAGATTAGAAGAATCAATTAATCAAGGTGATAAAGTTGCTGTTACCGCATGGATGCAATTAGCATCACAATTGGTAGAAATGTTTATGAGAGTTCGAAGTTTCTTCCCTCGAGATAAAAACAGAACCTTCAAAGGGATTGTTTTATACAGAAGGAAAAAGCAAATGGGAATTGATGAAAAATTAGCCAGAATGTATAATTTATATGAAGGGATTGTCAATGACGAAAATTATTCACGTCAATTTTTAACTTCAAAAACAGAATATCGTGGTCTTAATTATAATGAATGGTTTATAATATTCATTCAATACGCTATATTTCTATCTAAATTTGATAACAATGTTGATTATGGTAATGAAATTATCGAAGTTGCTATGTCTGTTAGTGTTTTTGTCCAAGACAAACAGAAAGAAGCTCTTTTACGGATATTGAAGTTAATAATAGGAATTGAAAAAGATGAAGCAAGTACTACTATAACTACATTCGTTAGATTCTTTTTGATCGCCAACCAATTTTCCCCATTCATTTATAAGTTTTTCATCTGTTGTTATGCATCAGGAATCAGATGTTGGGACACATTCACCAATTATAATCATCAAAAATTCTTTTTACGTCAATTGAAGGCTTATGATTCCATTATTCAAAATAAAAGACTAACAGGAATGGCAACTATAACGGCTGATGTTAAGAATTTTAAACTTGCACGCGAGCATCCTGATTTGTTATATGTTTACGCTAATTTATTGGGTGGTAGTAGAAGTTATGTATCATCAGTTGTCTATCTCAATCGTGCCTATAAAGAATATAATAAAGATCCTATGATATGTCTTGTGTTGGGTTTGGCTCATGTTCATCGATCCATGCAAAGATTAACCAACAATAGACATATTCAATTACTACAGGGAATTAGTTTCATCTTAGAATACAGAGACTTGCGTGAAAAGGACTCAACTGACTATGAAATACAAGAAATTGAGTATAACTTAGGCAGATTGTTTCATATGTTAGGGTTGTTTTCATTGGCGATAAATCATTATAATAAAGTGTTTAAATATCATGACACCTTAGAGGATACTTACGATTTACTGGTTGATGCTGCCTATAATTTGACATTAATTTATAACATCAATGGTAATTCACTATTAGTCCGTGATTTAACTGAAAAGTATTTAACTGTATAAGACAGAAAGAAAGTAAATGTACGAATTCTCACTGTAAAATTTTTGTAGACCAGAAAAAAATCAAAAAAAAAAAATCCTGTTGCTGCTTAAGATGTGTGAATACTATAATACCACTCAAACAATATAATGGTCAGAATAAAGCATAGATATATCCTTTTTGAAGTGTTATATCCACCTTCAAACCCTAATCATGAAGAATTTGTGAAATTCTCAGAGACCCAAGAGGATGCTCTTTTAACCTTACATCAAGCATCGCCTTCATCGATAAATGCTAGACTCATAATCTCAACCATTAGAAAATCAATACAAGAGCATTACGGTGAACATGGAGTTGGGGCAGCTGGTTTACTGATAAATATGAAGTATTGGAGCAATAAGACATCAACGGGTATAATACGATGTGATCGAGAATCCTTTCAAATAGTGGTGGGAGCTATCACTTTAATCAATAGATTTGAAAGTAATCCTGTCATAATACGATGTACTCATATCAGTGGTACCATACATAAATGTGAAGAATATTCTATTCGAAGATCAAAGGAACTAATTAGACTCATAAATAATAGCGCTTTACGTACCAAGGGTAAACAATCATCTCAATTTTTGCTATCATTAGAGGAGAGTACTAGTCTTAAAATTTCTGACGACGACCGTATTGAAATTGATGGTTAATCAGGGTGTAAGTTCGTTTATGATATATTAATGTAAAGGTTTAACTGGCGTAATCTAAAATGGTTCTATAAAATTTATCAGCAAAAATATCGATTACTTTCTTTTCATCTTGATAAATCTCGTCATATTCGGGAGCATATGGAAACACAACGATCAATCCCTTAGCAGTCGTTACCGCATTTATAAGAAAGTGATAGGTCAATGCTGTATTCAGTCCAAAATAAACCTCTTCGATATCGAATGAGCAGTTTGCGTCAGTGGTAACTCTACCGAGATTTGAAACTCCAAGAGTCTGCTTGACTTTTTGTCCAATTCTATCGTTGAAGAAATTGAAACAGTCGATAATATTATAAAATCCAATTGGCTTGAATGATTCCTTGGTGGAAAGATGCTCTTGCATAGTTTCAAACGAATATTTCATATAAGGTAATAAGTCATCCCCAACAATGGGAGCCATATAAATCGGATCACCACATACCATTGAACCATACTTAAAGTTTTTGATATCTTCGGAATAATAGCGTCTACCATTAACTGCAATTCCAGTCAAAGTCGAAAATTGGGTGGTAGGATCAATATGCTTGAATACAGTATCTTGCAAGCACTTTAATGCAATGGTGTGTAAATATGGAGTAACTGTTATTCCTTTCGCCTTGGTATATTTCAGAATTTTATTAATTTGTTCAGGTGAAAAAGTAAAATATTTAAATTTGGATTTGAGATCCTTTTCAAGTGGTTTCCAAGAATAAAGTGGATTAATACCGAAGTTTGGTTTCAAAGGCTTAGATATAGTAACCGACTGATATAGATACGAAATAAACTTACTCAAAGTACTAGCGTATTTGCTAACATAAAATTTAATGTAATCCCAGACTGATGGTATGAATAAATCTGTAAGCGTTTCAACTGGAGGTTGAATAGTAGCTGGCAAATACTCGTAATCCCTTTTATAATCGAAAATAACATCCTGGAATTCATCTTCTTGAGCATTATCCAACTCTTTAATCAAATCTTTGTGAAATTCAACTCCCGACAAACCATCAAACAGGGAATGGTCAAACGCAGCTCCGATATATTGGTCGCCGTTTGCTGTTTCAAAAACAACAAGTTGCCATAAGGGGATATGTGGTTGGTAATTGGAGACAACTATATCATTCATGTATTCAATAATTGAATCGTCAAAATGATCAATGTTGCGATAGCTGACAGCATCATCAAACTTTATTCTATTCATAAATGTCCTATTCCAATTTTTGTAGGCAACTTGACGATCAATCACATTATTATCAGTCTTGATGAAATTCAATGCTAACCAAGTATTCTTTCTTATGAATCCTTTTAATGCGTTGGAAAGTAATTGTTTAGAAATCGACTTGTTGTACTTTGCTATGATACTGAAGTTAGCATAAAACCCTTCACTACCACGACAAACGTAGTAACGTTCGTTGAACTCCAACTCCCTTGAATGTCTGGATTCTACCATCACTGCACGTTGTCTAGAATATCCTGTTTGTCTTAACTACAATATCAATAACTTTATTTATAGATCGAGATAACTCGCCCTAACGGTCTTACCATAAATCAATTTTTTCGAGCTACCACTTTAGGAAATATAGGCGACTCATGAGTCATGCTAGAGCTCAAGTAATACACACAAGCTAAAGCTACGCTTACTTTTCTGCATTGGTAAGATTATTTAGACATGATTCAAAGGTCAACAGATTTGAAAGCATTTGATCCAAAAAGATTAGGTTTGAAAGGGAAATAACCTTTTTATAAGACCTTTTTTCTTATGATGCCTTATAATCGCATACACCAAATTTAATATGCGCTTACAATGCTACCACATGAGTGATATTTTTACAACTTCGAGGACAGAATGATTCAATGGTTTTGATATGAAAAATTATTCAATTTTAGATTGATATACTTCTTATAACATTCACAGACGAAGGAGAACACGATGATCGAGGTGGATTATTCAGTATATCTAGTCACTGACTCGACTATGGTTCCGGAGTCTTCGACTTTCTTAAAGCAAGTTGAAGATTCGATAAACAATGGAGCAACTCTTATCCAATTACGTGAAAAAAAGCTTCTGACTCTTGATTTTATTGAAAGAGCCAAACAAGTACATGAATTAACCAAACAGAAGGGGATACCTTTGATAATTAATGATAGGATTGATATAGCTTTGGCCATTGATGCTGAGGGAGTTCACGTTGGTCAGGATGATATGCCTGCTATTTTAGCAAGGAAGTTACTAGGGCCGAATAAAATTTTAGGAGTAACATGTTCTAATGTCGAAGAAGCAAAGACTGTCGCTGAAGAAGGAATAGCTGATTACGTCGGTTTGGGAACGGTATACAAAACAAACACCAAAAAAGATGTCAAGGACCCTGAAGGAACTGGTCCAATTGGAATAAGAAAAATGTTGCAAGTTTTGTTCAAGTATCAGAAAGATACAGGGAAGAAGATTTATAGTGTGGCAATAGGAGGTATAAACCATTCTAATGCCAATAAGGTTTTATATCAGTGCAGTATTCCTGGCTATGGTCTTGATGGTTTGGCAGTGGTATCTTGCATTATGGCCAATGAAGATGCTGGCAAGGCTACTCGGGAATTGGTGGAAATTATTCTAAGTAGACCTGAATGGACCAAAAATATCACAGAAACCAGATCAAAATGTCAACTTGAGGATAAATTGAAATCTCTTCGTCAAAATAAACCTTTGGTTCATCATATAACAAATAATGTGGTAAAGAACTTCAGTGCCAACGTAACATTAGCAATAGGAGCCTCGCCAATAATGTCTGAGTTACCTGAGGAATATGAAGAGTTTGCGTCAACAATTCCAAACTTGTCATTGGTGCTCAATTTAGGTACTCCTTCCTCCAACTTGATGGAGGTATTTAAACATGCTATAAAGGTCTATAACAAACATGGTAAGCATATTTTATTTGATCCTGTTGCGTGTGGTGCTTCGAAAGCTAGGTTGGAATGTTCAAGAATTCTTTTGAACACTGGTCAAGTGTCTGTTATAAAAGGCAATGTTGGTGAAATTTCTTCGATTTGGAAATTAACCAGTACATATGAGGAATCTACGGGAAATCAAGCTTCATTAATGCAAGGTGTTGATTCGATTGCTGATTTGTCAGAAGATCAAATTATTGAAATAGGTAGAGAAGTTTCAATTGATTTCAAAACGGTTGTTGTTATTACTGGCGTCAACAATTATGTTATTGATGGTTATACGTTTGAGAAGATCAAAGGTGGCCACCAGTTGATGAGCTATATAACTGGAACCGGTTGTTCACTTGGTAGTACTATTGGTGCATTTCTAGCTTCAGCAGCTGATGGAAACTTTAAATCGACTTTTAATGTTTTTGATGCGGTTGTGGGGGCAGTTGAACTTTACAATTTAGCTGGTAATAATGCTGGTAAAGTTTCTTCAAGTCCAGGTACATTTATGACAAATTTTATAGATCAATTATATTCCATGTCAGTTGCTCAATAGTTCAAAGTTAAGAAATACTAATAACTAAATTTATAAAAGCAATTCGTATCTCAACATTTAAACGAGTAAACGTTTTACTGATTAATTATACTGTAAAACATTTTTTTAAAGCTGGTTATAATATTCTAGAAGAAGATCAAAATTATCGAAGTCATAATGATAATCATAACCATAAAGAAGAAGTTCTTTATCTTCAAAACCAGTTAAATTAGCAGCATAGTTTCCAACAGCGAAAGCAGCAGCCCGGGTATTGATGAAAAGTGCTTCAAAATTTATCTCTGTATCGCACGATAAATGATTGCAGGCATCATAGGGACCTTCAGTACCATTTGTCAAAAGTATCTCCTCCTTTGTTTTATTAGCCTTTGACCCTGAAAAGAGTCCCCCGACGGGAACACCATACACTTTTCTGAAGTAATCTTCATCAAGCTCCATGTCATAGAAAGGCTTCCATGAAATGTTATTCTTTTGGAAAAATTCTAAATGAGTAGCAGCTATGTGGTTCTCCCGTTCAAATTGCTTCTTCGTGAAATTTTCATATAGTTCAGACTTCGATGGAAAAAATATATGAGGAAAATAATTAGATGATCCTAAGGTATCATAATTAAGATATAATTTTAGGTGATCTCGGAAATAATCCAGAATTGGATTAAGGTGACCTTGTGGGGTTGTTTCCTTCGAACCCCAGAATGCAAATGCAACCTTGTTCTTTAACTTAGATTTAGTTAAATACTTCGCAATATTAAGAAGCGAGATGATTCCAGAACCATTATCATTCATTCCAGGTGAGTCTGGAAATGAATCGAAATTTGCGCCTGCCATAACAATATTGGAAGGGTTACCATCTTTACTTATTGCTAGAATATTTGATGCTGTACCTGCATAATTGTGATATCCCTGCTCAAATCCTATGTAAACATTATCTTTCCCGTAAGAGAATAATAGCTTCAATTCATTAAGATCGACCGTCTTCATTAGAGCAGCTGGAAATGGTCTTACTAAACATCGGATCATATTAGAGTCATTTCCATAAATTTTGAAAGTAGAATCCATGATATATTGGTATCTTTTCAGAATATTTTCAGTAATAGAAAACAGCGAGCTACTAACAATCAATGCTGCTGCCCCATTATAACAAGCCAAAGCACTTTTCTTGTAAATGCTACAACCTCCATCTTGAACTATCAAGACTGTATCATTTGCATACATGGTGTAATCGTCTGGATCACATCCTTGCCTCTCTAGAAACCTTAAATTATTTGTATATTTGTAGAACGATGAAGCCAAGGGGTATGATTTTAATTCAAAGTTTTGTCCTTTGACTCTTAGGTGAGACTCATTCGGTAAGGGCATCAAAGGCACGACTGCATCGTACCTTAAAGTGTATATATCATAGTAGGCACTTAATTTTGAAAGAAAATGATCAATAAACATACCAGAATAAATTAGCCCATTACTTTCAAATGATCTCTCATCCAAAGGGACATACTTTTTGAATTGATCGGTAAGTGAAATCAAATCCTCCTTTTTGACCTGTTTCTCTAAACGGCAACCTCTAACATCGTTATCTAAAGAATGGATACCATTTGTATCCAATCCGAAACTAAATTCGAAACCAAAACCAACAAAACATGCACAAATGCACATCAACATTGAAACCAACTTCATTGAGATTGATTCGTTAGAGACTGTTGGATAATTGGACAATTGAATCAGATATAGTAAGTGTTGTAAACGCATTTTAATTGAACCGCTGCAAAAAAATAAGTCTGTTGCCATTTTTTGAGGGTTTGTTCCTTTGATTTCTGGAATATTTATTTTACTGCAAAAGTCATGTGACCAGCATTTCCTACATATAAGCTTAGAATTTTGTTATTGTTTTGTGTTCTGCAACACGCATATAATCAGAGCAGAAAAAGGAATGATTGTTTCTGATGTTTATTTAGAGAAGTAATTGTATATGAGTTGTTTAGCTCTAGACTAGGTTAAGTTGATGATATAACTAGTTATACAAGATGGTTAAACCAGCAAATAAATCAAACAAAAAGAAAGTTGCCGAACCACCCAGGCCGTCACCTGTATCAAATATTGAAAAAATAGGGTCATTAAACAAGTTCCCTGATAAGGATTATGCAAGAGATTTACTTCATCAAATAACCAAATTAGTGGCTCCTATAATACACGAGAACAACTTCAAAGTAGGGACGTTATGTGAAATGTATCCTAAGAATGCAAACCTTCTTGGGTTGAATGTCAACCGTGGTCAAAAGATTTTAATACGGCTTCGATATCATTCAAATGATAGACTGTTCTATCCATTAGGTGATTTGATTGAAACCTTTTTACATGAATTAACGCATAATCTTCATGGAAAGCATGATGAAAAATTCTATAAATTCTTAGATGGATTGAAACAAAGATTTGAAACTCTTCAACATGGAGGTGTTATCGGATCTTATAGGTGTGAAGAGGAAGTTCTTGGGTCAAAGTTTGATCCTATTGGTGGCTATACGTCTATCAGGGATAAAAGGATAAAAGAATTAAGTAAAGCTAAATATAAATCTGAGTCCAGAAAATTGGGTGGTAATACAACTTCAAGGATTAGTAAAGCATCATCTTCAGATCCATTAGCAGTGAGACGTCTCATGTTAGAAGCTGCAGAAAGAAGATTTAAAGACTCTAAATGGTGCCCCTCTGATGTTGATATCAAAGAGGTGGAGCCTACAGGAGATGAAATGGATATAATTGAAATAAATGACGATGAGTATGATAAACCGCAAGAAAAGGAAAAAGCCAATCAGGAGCAACAAAATGGTGATCATCAATGTTCTAAAGAATATAAGCAAGTCATCGACCTCACAAGTGAGGAGTATGGCGAGCCAGCAATGGAAGACTCTGAAGTGGTTATCATTGATGCTTGCGACGAAGAGCAAGAGGAAAAGCATAAAGCAAACATTGAATCCCCTATACAATATAAGGCATTGATGGCAGAGCCAAAGTCGATTCTACGGCTTCCTATAATTTTAGATGGAGATTCTGATTCTTCTCCAAAGGAAAATAAAAAGGTGGAGTTTTCAAACTTATTGCCATCTTTTGATGATGAGAAAAAGGAATCGAAAGATAATGAAAGTGATGACGAAGAGATTCAGTATACAGTATCAATATCCCCAGGAAGAACATTTTTTGGAGGTGAAGATTTCTATCCCAGGCGTAAATTAGTAGCTGATTTAAATTTTGATCAAATTTTTAGAAAAGGTGATAAACTAGAACCAAGACAGCCAAAACCTTCAAAAAAGAAACAAGGCAATAAGAAAAGTAGCACTTCAAAGAAGAAACAAAGTAAGCAACCCAAAGAAAGTAAAATAGAAACCAAGGTTTTTAAAAAAACAGTTAAACCTATAAGCTTTGATGATTTATTATAATTCTCTTTAGTATATCTTTTTAATGTATGTGCTTTTTTTTGCGTCGCGCTGAAAATTATTTGCATTATTGAAATTACTTCAATTCTCTATTAATAGCAATTGACACCAGTTAATCACCAACTTTTATATCAACAATTGATTATGATAGTCTCATATGTGTCATTAATCTTCAGTTATTGTTTATTGTTGGCGAGAGGAGCTGACTTCATTCATGACCCTTCCAATGACATAGACATCAATCTAGTTGCAACATGGTCCACCACAGACTTCAAGTTGAATTTACTTGAAAGTATTTCATCACATAACCATTCATTATATTTGCAAGCCGTATTACATATATTTGATATAAATAATGAAGATTCTGAAGATAGCCCCATCGAATCGAATTCAGAACAGTCGAAGTATACTGATATTATCACCAAAGTGAATATTGAAGAAGAATCAAAAGGATTTATAGATTTTGATTTGATATATAAAATGTACTCCCCTCGAATTCAAACTCATTATAAACACTATAAAAATGAAGTGGAACCAATTTATTCAAAGAGATTGATCGAAGAATGTACCACCGATTCTTTTGGAAATCAAATTTTAACTGACAAGAAAAAGAAACATGACGCATGGGTGGTGTACAATAAACAACTATATTGTTCAAAGGATGATCTTTATGCTTTGAAGACTGATAAATCGTCAGATGCAGACATTTTACCTTTTGACAGGGTAATAGGAGAGAATAACAAGGCTCCATTGTTGGTATTCTATGGTGATCATGAGTCAAATCAATTTAGAGAATTTTTTGAGAACTTGTATGAAAGTGCTAAGTCTGGAAAAATACGATTTGTGTGGAGGTATGTACCAAGTCATACTGGTAAGCTTGAAGAACTAAATGGATATGGAGTCGATTTGACAGTAAAAAGAACAGATTATGTTACCATCGATGATAGGGATGTAACAGGAAAGACAAAGGAAGAATCTCGATCAAAATCATCTAATTTAGATATCACTTCCGATTTTTTGAAAATTCAAACTTCACAAGAGCTTAAGCCAGTAAACAACGAAGAGTTAGAAGATTTGGGTGTCCAATTAACATATTTTATCCTCAACAATCAATATAACAATATCTCACAATACGACTTTTTAACACAATTACTTGAAGAATTCCCCAGATATGCACACTATGTATCCAAATTACCTAAAACTGAGATTTACAAAAAGGCTAGAGAGCAAATGCATCATAACGAAGATGTTGGATTATCAACTAGCTCTTATGATTTGTACGTAAATGGTTCACCTATTAATAAGTTAGACTTGGACATTTTTAAATTGTACGAAAAGATCAAAAAAGAGCTCAAATTGATTAATCATTTACAAAGTCTTGGATTTAGTGTTGAGCAAGCAAAGCTTCTTCTTACGAAATTTGCTTTGATTACATCTGTCAAACAAACTCAATTCCGTTCGGGAAATTCTGTAATGGGAAATAATGAAAATAGATTCAAATTATATGAAGATGTCTATGATAAGTCAAATGGAGTAGTTGTGTTTTTGAACGACATTGAAAAAGATGATGGTTATCAGCAATATTCAACAGATAGAAAGGATGTGTATCTTGGCCCAAACTCATTCATGTTAAGATCGAATCAAATTCCTCCACTAAGAGAAAATGTTCATGACTTAATATTTGCCGTTAACTTAGCCAACAAAGAGCAATTAAGGGTTATGTTTACTTTATCAAAGATTATTTTAGATAATGGTATTCCGCAGCAAGTTGGTATTTTACCGGTTATTGGTGAAGATCCAAAAGATTTAGAACTTGCTGAAAGATTCTACTTTTTAGTGAAGAGTACAAGTGTTCAAGAAGCGTTGGCATTATTGTACAAGTATTTTGAAGCACCTGCTCTGGATGATGTCGAGACTTTGTTACGATCTGTCCCAGTGCCTGATGATTTCAATTTTGATCTTGAAAAGTTCCAATCCACTTTAAGGAAATACTCCATTGATACTGCATCAGTAATATTTAATGGTGTTATCTATGAATTGACCTCTCCAAATTGGCAAATAGCTATGGGTCAGCAATTATCTCAGGATATCGCATTGTTGAAGAGATACATTGAGGATGATAGAACCAAGGGAAAATCTTTGAAGAGCTTGTTATATCAAAATGCTAAATCAGAAAGAAATTTAAGAATCATACCCACGGAGCCAGGTGATATAATATATAAGTCCATTGATGAGGACTTAATTTCCAAATCTATTAGATTCAGAAAACAAGATAGGAGCAGAGATATAACAGGTTCCTTTTGGTTGATTGGAGATTTTAACAAACTTTCAACCATTAAACAGCTTATCAACATATTTGAAGTTTTCAAGAAAAGTGAATACGATACACATATTAGAATCTATAACACTGGTACTAGAGTGAAGTTAATAGACTCTATTATCAAAAGCTTCAAGTTATCTTCATTGTCAACAGGAGATATTAATAAGATTATAGAAAAGCTTTCGAAAGTTAAAGATTCAAAGTCTTCTCCAGACCAAGAATCTATAACTCTTTTGGAATCAAAGCACTTACCACTGAATCATGAGTATTTATTGCTTAATGGTCGTTATTTCCGTTTGGATATCCCATTGTCGAACAAAGATTTAGAGTTAATGTTGGAATACGAATTTAGTCAAAGACTAGAGATCTTTAATGACATAGTTAATGCATATCCAGAAAAATTCAGATACAAGAAAATTCTCGAGTTTAACATCCTTGAGAAGAAATTAGAAACTCACGATTGGTTCGACGTATTATCTGTATTAGTTACCAAATCATTCCATGTTGATGACAAATTATACGTTTCTGATGTGAATAGATTCGACTTCAGCAAGTTGGACTTAGGAAATGCTATTGAAGTATTTCCTTATAATCTGCAAAAGAAAATAGATTTATTTTTGATTATAAATCCGATTGACGAATTTGCTCAGAAGGCTATTAGCATTATCAACTCATTTAAGGATTTTCCATTTGTTAACACCAGAATTTTACTCCAGCCTCGTGTAGAATCTGTTGATGGTGCAAAGATTAATAGATTTTATAAAGGTGCTTTCCCATCCACCAAACTTGAATTTGATGCTAATGGAAGATTCAGCTCATCTAACGGAGTCAAGGTGAAGAATATGCCAGGTTCTACTGTTTTTACTACGGATATAGATGCTCCATCGAGCTGGGTAACTACTATAAAAGGAAGTCCCATTGGTGTTGATTTAGACAATGTCATGTTTAACAACTATGAGATCAAATCAATATATGGTACCTATCAACTTAAACATATATTGGTAGAAGGTTTTGCAAGAGATGTAACAAATGGGAAACCTCCAGCTGGTGTTTCTATAGAATTAACAAATGGGTTTATCTCAACAGACACCAGTGTCATGTCCAATTTGGGTTATTTTCAATTGCAGGCTAATCCTGGAGTTTGGAAATTTCAAATTAAGACTGGAAAGAGTAAAAAGCATTATTCATTATTATCAAGTACCGAAAATAAATTTTCAGCTAATACTATCCCAAACGATTTTGATGAGTTAGCTATTTTGACAGTTCGCGGATTGCAAGTTTATCCAAGGTTAAAGAAGAAGGATGATTTCAAAGAAGTCTCTTTCTTGAATGATGTTGAAGATGAAGATGTTGCTGAAAACACCAAATCCGCTGGACTTATGAATTCATGGTTTACAAAAAAAGATTCAAAAGAACCAAGTCAAGCTGACATAAATGTATTCTCAATAGCAAGTGGCCATCTATATGAAAGATTGATTTCTATAATGATGGCTTCGGTTAGAAAGAATACCACTAAGCTGGTTAAGTTTTGGATTATTGAAAATTTTGTATCATCTCATTTCAAAGTGTTATTACCTATATTAGCAGAAACATATGATTTTGAATATGAGTTAATCACTTACAGATGGCCCAATTTTCTTAGAAAGCAACGTGAAAAGCAAAGAACGATTTGGGGTTATAAGATTTTGTTTTTGGATGTGTTATTTCCTCAAGACTTAAAGAAAGTAATTTTTGTTGATGCTGATCAAATAGCTAGAACAGATCTTTTCAATTTAGTTAATGTGGATTTGGAAGGTGCACCATATGGGTTTACTCCTATTGGTGAATCAAGAGATGAGATGGAAGGGTTTAGATTTTGGAAGCAAGGGTATTGGCAGAATGTCTTAAAGGAGGATCTTAAGTATCATATCAGTGCATTATATGTGGTTGATCTTGTTAAATTCAGACAAATCACTGCTGGTGATAGATTGAGATCACATTATCAAAAGTTATCATCTGATCCAAATTCATTATCTAACTTGGATCAAGATCTCCCAAATAATATGCAAAGACAAATTAAGATCTTTAGTTTACCTCAAGAATGGTTATGGTGTGAGACATGGAATTCAGATAGTTTATTAGCAGATGCAAAAATGATTGACTTGTGTAACAATCCATTGACAAAAGAAAATAAATTAGATGTGGCTAGAAGGTTGATACCTGAATGGTCAGTATATGATGAAGAAATAGGCCTATTAATCGATCAAGCTCAAGACATAGAACAACAACAGCAACAACAACAAGAGGAACAGGTACAGGAACAGATCCAAGACGAAAATGAAGAAGATGAACATCATTTGGATGATGAAGACGAGTATGACCCATTTAACGACTTTGACCATGATGAATTGTAAATAGATTATCATAATTAATATATAAAATTTGCAGCTTTTAACATCCATCATGACTCATGAAAATCACATGCTTACAGAAAGCCAAATGTGTTGCGGTAACGGTGCGCTCTCTCATTTTTTTTTCTGTTTGACCCATCAAATTTTTCAGTCCACGCACGTTTTTTTTTTTAGTTTGATTAAAAAAGATCACAGAACTTGAGTTATACGACTAAACCAGATTAACTGAAAGTATCAACAATAAAGTCAACATATTTAAGAGGTATATAGATCCGATCTTTTCGTTAAGAATAGGATTTAAGAGTGCTGATAGAGAAATACAGACAATAAAACTATCAACATCAGAAGACCCCAACTCCTCCCCCTCATTTTTACTTTAATTATTATAGTCATTCTTTTTAATCAACCGTCGAAATGAAGATATCCGATAAGTTAAATCAAGCTCATTCATCACCTAATCCTCCTCCTGCTACGTTCTCATTCGAGTTCTTTGTTCCTAAGACATCGCAGGGGGTTCAAAATCTTTATGATAGAATGGATAGAATGTATGATTTAAATCCAATCTTTATTGATATCACTTGGAATGCAGGTGGTAGATCATCTTCTTTAACCAATGAAATGGTCTATACTGCTCAATCAACTCTAGGTTTGGAAACTTGTATGCATTTAACTTGTACCAATATGAAAGTTGAATTGATTGATGAAGCTTTAGAAAAGGCTTATAAATCAGGTTGTCAGAATATATTAGCTTTGAGAGGTGATCCTCCATTAGATGGAAGTGAATCTACAGGTGATTTCAAATACGCTAAGGATTTGATCAATTATATTCGTAAGAAGTATGGTAATCATTTCAATATTGGTGTGGCAGGTTATCCTGAAGGTCACCCTGAAGAAGATAGTGATGATGATCTCTTGAAGTATTTAAAAGAAAAATGTGATGTTGGTGCTGATTTTATCATAACTCAAATGTTTTATGACGTTGAAATTTTTATTAACTGGTGTTCAAGATTAAGAAAGATTGGTATTAATATCCCAATTATCCCTGGTATTATGCCAATTTCTACTTATGCTTCATTTGTTAGAAGAGCTAAATGGTCTGAAATTCACATTCCTCAACATTTCTTAGATGCTTTAGATCCAATTAAAGATGATGATTTCTTAGTTAGAGAAAAAGGTACCATCTTATTAAGTGAAATGTGTAAAAAATTATTAGATTCAGGTTATGTAAATCATTTACATTTCTATACTATGAATTTAGAAAGAGCAACTATTATGATCTTAGAACAATTGAATATCATTGAACCAGTTAAATCTCACGATATTATTGGTGGTGCCGAATTACCATGGAGAAAATCATTACATCCTCAAAGATCGAAAGAATCTATTCGTCCTATCTTCTGGCAAAATAGAAAATTTTCTTATATCACTAGAACCGCTACTTGGGATGAATTTCCAAATGGTAGATGGGGTGATTCCAGATCTCCTGCTTTTGGTGACATCGATCTTTGTGCTACTGAACTTTTAAGACAATCTCCAAAGAAAGCATTAGACTTGTGGGGTATTCCTCAATCATTAAAGGAATTATCAGAATTGATTATTTCTTATTTAATGGGAGATTTGAAATCTTTGCCATGGTCTGATGGACCTATTGGTGAAGATACTGCTGTTTTAGTTGAAGGATTAATCAACTTGAATAACAAAGGTTTCTTCTCCATGAATTCTCAACCAGCCTTAAATGCTGTCAAGTCTAATGAAAAGGTCTTTGGATGGGGTCCAAAGAATGGTTATGTTTATCAAAAACAATACTTAGAATTCTTTTGTCATAAGGATTTGATTCCAAAGTTGTTGTATAAGATTGATTCTTTCAACAACAATGAAGGTGAATCCTCTTCAAGTGTTATTAGTTACTATGCCGTCGATAAAGATGGTAATTTAACTACTAATTGTAAAGATGACGATATCAATGCTGTCACTTGGGGTGTTTTCCCAGGTGAAGAAATTTTGCAACCAACTATAGTTGAAAAGATTTCCTTCTTAGCTTGGAAAGACGAAGTTTACAGATTATTCAGTGAATGGGTTAACATTTTACAAAGTAACTTAGTCGAAGCTGATAAAGAAAAAGTTCAAAATTTCACCAAATTGATTGAAGAATTCACTAATGATTTCGTGTTATGTAATGTTGTTAACAATGACTTTATCGATAAGAATGAAACCATTTTCAATTTGATTGAAGGTTTAAATGTTCCTGATTTAAACTAACCTTCAAGCTACAGTCCAGCTACCATTTACTAATGATTTAGAGTCATCTATTTCTAATTTTTTTTATTCCTATTCTATTTTTTTCTAGTTTTTTGCTTACATTTTTATTGTTTTCCCAATGCTTTAATTCACTTACGCAGGTCAAAAAGAGATCAACTCAAGGAGCACTCAACGTACTCCGTTATTAAGATTAACTTCAACATTTAATCTTAATATTATCCCCGTTTTAAAATGCGATTACTCGTATTTAATAATGATTACGATTTATGATCAATAGTTACGGTTTTTATTTTTCACATATTATTTTGCATATCTTATTTCTGAAATAGTTACTTTCAGTAATAATCCCTTTATTCATTTCAACAATAGTTTATTTCAAACCCATCATTTATTTTTATATTTTTAGTTTTTAAGTTTGGTATTAAAAGTCTCCTGTGTATAGTGGCATCCTCAACGGTATGGTTTATTCTTAAAAGGTTCAAAGAGAATCATTTATTAAATTTGGAAGAGTTATATATTTATATTCTATAGTCTATTGTGTATTATAAAATAAAAGAAAATTCTTTCATTTTTAAATTTAAAATTAGATTCGAAAGTTTGTAGGGTATATAAAAGAAAGAAACTAAAACGGAAAAGAAGAAATTTATACAAAAAACCAGGCGAATTCCTTTTGAGTAAATTGTAACGCCTTACATAGTAAGGAAACTAAAAGTCATATAGTTCGACTTCAGCATTAAAAGAAAGAAATTAAAATAACAATCAAGGCGGACATGAATCCAGTAGAAGCCATTCTTGAACTTGCTCCTGCTTCATAAGTACTAAGCAATGGTGTTGTTTCGTTGCCTTGTGCTGAGTATGGTGGTTGAGAAACAACAATTGGAATTGATGTAGTTAAAGAAACTAATGTAGAAGCTGACGAAGTGATGCAATTGTTTTCAGCATCACATGAAGTTGATGGTAAGTAAGATGTTGAATAAATAGTAATGTCGGAATAATAAGTTGTGATTTGGGAGGATGTAGCTGGAACAGATGAACCCACTTGTTCAACTAGAGTAAGAGCAGTCAAGGAAGTAGTTTCTTGAACTTCAGCTTCACTACTTGGAGTAAATGAAACAGCATCTACAGATGCGTTGGTTTCTTCAGCAGCAGTTGACTCGGTGGTAGATGCACTTGAGCTTGGTTGAGTTGTTAAAATTGAACCAGTAGAAGCGGCAGCAACAGTCAATGAAGATTCAGATGGAACAGCAATTATACTTTGTTCAACACTTGATGAAGTAGTTTCTGTAGCTATAATGCTGGAATTGATTTCACTAACAATAGAGGTAACGGTTGGTGTCACTGTATGGAGTGTAAGCGAAGCTACTTCACTTAATAAGGATGTAGAAACACTTGCGGCACTATCTTCTTCAGCTTCTTCAGCAGATAATGGACAGTAAGTGGTATAAATCGATGTTACTTCATTATCAGTAACAGTGACAACGGATGCACCGGTAGTGACCAGGGAAGATTGACAAACTGTTCCTTCACAAGAGCTTACAACAATAACAGTGGTAATAGGACTCTCGGTTGAAGTAACTTCAGTACTGGAAGCTGAGGCATAATCCGAAGTTGTAACAGAACCGGAAGCAGCAATTCTAGTTGAAGATGGAACAGCCGATACTGCGGCAACAGATGATTCAGCAACAGATGATTCAGCAACAGATGATTCGGTGACAGTTGATTCAGCGACTTTAATACTAGCATCAGAAGACGACTTAGAAGTATCAGCAAGTTCAGAAAAAGTTGAGACATTAGAGACAGTCTCTGGTGTAACACTAGATGTTCCAATTTCACTTGGGGCATAAGTAGTAGTAATAGCCGTAGTAGCAGTCAATGGACAGTAAGTAGTGAAAATAGTAGTAACCTCATTATCTGTAACAGTAACAACGGTTAAACCAGTTGTAGCCACAGAAGTTGTACAGCCAGCTTCATGACAAGAAGTAATAGTAACGATAGTAGTAGATTCTGCAGTTACGACAACAGAAAGAGTAGATTCAACTAAGCTTACTGATGGAACATTCTCAGATGTAGCAGCCACGGATGTTGAAATAGCTGATGACAAGACGGAATCAGCAGTTGACACACTAGTTTCTGAGGATACAACTGAAGAATCAATAGCTTCTGCAACCGGAGAGGTAACAGGACTGTCTGAAACGCTTGAGGATGTAATGGTAGTACTAGTAGTTGAACTTGAAGTAGTTGAGATAATTGAACTCGATTTAGCATCAGCATCAGAACTTTCAGCAATTGAAATAGATGAAATAGAAGCACTAGTATCGATTGAACTAGAAATAATAGAAGAGCTGGAAGTAGTAGAAGCAATGGATGAAGTGGTACTAGAAATGGTATAACCACTTGAATTGATAACAGTACTGGAAGTATTGGAAGTACTTGATGTTGACTCACTTGAGCTTGCAATAGATATTGAACCGGAACTAGTAGTGGAGACAGTCAAAGTGGATGATGGACTTGAGGTTGTAGAAGTACTAGATGAACTTGCAGTAGTGGAGGTACTAGAACTTGTAACAGCACTAGAAGAAATGATTGAAGAAAAACTGGAAAAAATACTAGACAAACTAGATGTAGTAGAAGTAGCAGCAACTGAAGAAGAAGAATAGTAACTACTAGTAGAACTAGTAGCTGGTGTGGATTCAACTTCATATTCCTCAACTGGTCTGGTTGTAGTTAAAGGACAAAATGTAGTATATGAGGTTTCAACTTCATGATCAGTAATGGTGACAACGGTAACACCTGTAGTAGCAGCTGATGTAGAACATATACCATGGCTACATGAAGTAATAGTGACAACAGTAGTAGAATCGGCAGTAACAGTAGTGTATGTGGTAGTTTCAGGAATTGAAATTTGAGAAGAAGTACTTGATACAGTGGAGTCAACTGTAAAATAAGAAGATTCAGCTAAAGAAGAACTTTCAACGATTGAACTTTCAATAGCAGAACTAGAAGATGCAACATTGGTTGATGTAGTAGATGAACTTGGGATGATAGATGAAGAAGTAAATAAACTGACAGTAGTGGATAAAATAGCAGAAGTGCTTGAAGGAGTTGGTACACTTAAAACTGAAGTACTGATATCTACTGGTCTGGTAGCAGTTAAAGGACAAAATGTAGTATATGAGGTTTCAACTTCATGATCAGTAATGGTGACAACGGTAACACCTGTAGTAGCAGCTGATGTAGAACATATACCATGGCTACATGAAGTAATAGTGACAACAGTAGTAGAATCGGCAATAACAGTGGTATATGAAGTAGTGTCTGAGATAGAACTTAATGAAACAATACTAGAAGTTTCAGAAACGGTGCTTGATTCTGGAAGACTACTAGTTTCGAGAAGAGAACTGGATTGAATGTAAGCTTCAGGGGTTGAACTTGATGAAACGATAATACTAGTTTGAGGAATGGAGGTAGCCGAAACGATACTGGAAACTTCAGCGGAGCTGGATTGTGGGACGCTAGATGAGGAGCTAATACTGGAGGTCGTAAATGATGTTGTTGGGATTTCTGATGTTTGATCGTCACAATCAGATGTTGTTGGAACTTCAGTAGATTTATCATCACAATTAGTTGAGGTTGGTTCATCATCTTCTTCTTCGCAATCAGTTGAAGTTGGTACATTGTCTTCATCATCCTCATCACAATCGGTGGAAGTAGGAACAATATCTTCTTCTTCTTCTTCACAATCAGAATCTTCCTCTTCAACCTGATAACCAACTTTATTTCTTCCATATAAAGCAATAATCTCATTTATTTCTCTTTGATAGTTCTGAGTTGTGTAGGTAGTAACAGTAGCAGTTTGTTGAATATATGGACTTGTATTTTCCTTAGCGAGACCAGCAGTAACACCAACAGTCAAAGCAGCAATTGATAAAATAGTTTCAAACTTCATGATTAAATAAATATCTGATTTTCTTTGAAGTTTTAACAGAACAAGAGCAAATCAAGTTCTTTCTTAACCAACCCTGGCCATGGATGATGGATATATCATTACCCTTATATATTCCATGAAAATTGTATTCTAGATTCATATCTGTTTCACAAACAAGGTTTACATAGACATGTTTGTTATTCATTACCCAATTAGGCGGTGACAATGGTAAAAACAATTAAGCCCACGGATAAAAATTTGCAGCATAGTAGTAGCCATGTTGAAAACAAATTTGAAACACACTTAGACGACTTTGAAACATTAATTTTTTTTTTTGCAGTATACCTCGTTTAATTTCTTTTTTTTTTCCAACTCTCTGCAAACACTGTTTTAAAAAAAAGAAATTATATGATACTAGATGTAACAGAGCTAATGAAAGACATGCTTCATACTCTTATTGGAAAGGTATATTCTATTATTGAACGTAAGAGGCAATAGTAATCATAATAAGAAGTTAGAATTCTTTCCATTTGCCGCAAATATACGCCCTAGATACAAGAATGTACTCAGAATTATGCGAATTATAACCTCGTATATATTTAGACAAACTAGTAAATACAGAGACTCTAAATTAAAAAAAGCTTGAATTGTTTTAGACGAGTTAAAAACAAAGATTATGTATAAAATGTATAACTTTATTTTACAGATTTAACATTTCATTTTAATCCTAGTAAGCCCTTTTCGTCTAGATCAGTTAGCGACCAGGGTCTAATATTCTCCATTTAGATACTTTAAAGTTTCTAAATATACTTTTGCTTCAGGAACAAAGGCGGGCAATCGCCAGATTATTTTACTAATAGACGATTTATATCAGTCTCTCTCAACGAGTGCATTCCCTGTACGTCATTCCCGAATTGAACTATTTCTTGTCAATCCTATCTTTAGTAAAAGTAATACACTTTTAAGTGGTTCTCAGATCCAATTTCAAGCATTGCATAAACAGCAATTTGCTAGACAAAATAGAGTTTAAATGTTGGCTTCCAACCGGTTCTCAATATAGTAGTTCTAACCATATTGTATCTTTGAGTCGGCAAACAATAACATGAGTTCATTCTAATGTACCAATTCTCCAAATTTCTAATCCCATGATTTTAAATTTCCCAAATTTTTCATCTACTTGATCATTTAGAATTTCGTTTCCAAAAGTTTCACATCTATAAGTAACCCCCTTGTATAATGATTTATCAATATATAATCCATTTTGTCCATTTGAAGATCCTATTGATATAAATTGACTGTTTGAATATATGATATTATCATTGATACCGGTATACATGAAGGCTTTAAATCTAAAGGCTTCTTTTTCTTCATCTGGTAAGGATGTTGCATGCGATAAGGTTCTTGGATTATACAGCTCGCATTTCCAAAGGAAACATTCTCCATTCCCATAATATCTTTTATGTTCCATGATTTTTAAGTTTTCATTTAGATAACATCCAAATTTGGAATTCTTTTCATCCTTTATGATCAAGACGTAACCTTGAGGTCTTCTTGTTTCAAATGCATTGAATGTATTGGCAGCTCTTCCTACTACCATATTCTTAACAATGGCATCAGCATAACCCTTTTCAACTTTCTTTTTCTTTAGTTGTTGTAACTGAAATTCAGGATCACAATGACGATATAAGGTATTCAATGAAATCCCATGTTGTTCAAGGGAGTAGACCAAGTTCCATTCATCAAATAACTGTAGTCTTGCTGGTAATAGATTTCTTATATTATTGGCCAACTCATCATCCAATAATTTATGTTTAGTACTAGCTTTATAGCCTTTCAATGATAATGGTGACAAAGGGGGGAGATAAGTCGAGCTTGAAGAGCTCGACCTTGACACTCGTGTGGAAGATATTGATGGTGAGGGAGACTTCCTTCCTATTATTCTATCGAAAAATGTAGATCGTTTACGAATTTGTGGAGGTGGGGCAGTCTGTTCTTTGTTTTGAGTTGATTCAGATTCTTTTTCAACTGGTTTATCTGAGTTTGAATCATCATCACTCAAATCTATTAAATTTTCAGTGTCATCTATCTCATAAGTGTCTACGTAATCACCGTATTCTTCTGATTTCCTCCCGGATTGATTAAGGTTTGACATGTTTAGCAATGATTAGAATGTCCTATTGTTGATTGAGATGAGTTATGGTTTGGTTTGGCTCTGAAATGCTTTTTTTAAGATATCAATTGAACTATAAAGTAAGCCTCAAAGCATTTACTATGATAAGCTATGAATATATGACAATGACTATGGATGAACAAACTAAGTGTAATAACAACAAACAATATTTATGGAACAATTTCACAGAATAGTTTACATTTCAAATCTTTTGATTTTTTCTGTTTAAGAAGATAGCTGCTGCGTAAAAAAAATTACGAAGGCTTTGGGGTATATTGGATACGTAATCACTAAATTTAGCTATTATTATTCGCTAATTTTAGTGAGATATCTTAGTTTATATATTATCAACTTTATATGGTCTATATTGAGATATCTATATATTATCGATAATGATACTTAATTGTAATAACAATTTGGATCATATCAGTCCATCCTAAGTGAATTCTAACGATGCTCATTAAATCGAATGAGAGCAGCTAAAAGCTCAACTCCAACTTTAACACTATCAATGAATTGGATACCTTTAAAGCTTTGTGTTAATTTCTCATCTAACCCAGCCATACCAGCACAGCCCAATAACACACAATTGATTCCAGAATCTTTGTATTCATCATTAAGGATCAGATCTACTCTGTTGTAAATCTTTTGATATTCCTCAGGGTTACTTAAACTTAAAACACTAACATCAAGACCCTTGGTTCTTTCAAACTTTTTACTTGGAAATTGATTATTTTCATTCCCAACAAAATCAATAATTCCTTGATCCAATAATGGTTCCCATTCATTCACACTAGTTAAAATAAACAGTTTTGTAATAAATGGATTCAGTAAACTATAAAGTAAAGTGGCTTGCATAATTCCTAAAATAGGCTTATCGGTGACTTTACCAAGCGAGTGGATTAATGGATGATCTGAATAACAACAGATAAGGAAACCATCATATTGTTCGACTAATCCTTTAGAAACAAGATCTGGTAATACTACTTGTTCTGATAATATCGACGTACTTTCACCGGTAATCTCCGCTGGAGCTGTAGTTGGTGCAGTGTAAAAAGAAAACTTAACTTCTAAAGGTTCAATAAGAATCTTTGTAAGATTATCCGTTACCTTTTTAGAGGAGTTAGGATTGATAATTAGAACTTTATAAACCATTATATTTTGTAGTTATTTCTTATAAACTGATAAGCAATTTATTAAAAATTTGGATTTCATCAAATATCTATAAAAAATATATTGGAATCGCGTATAAAGCTCCAAACCATTACATTCAATTGTTTTATACATAGAATTAACTACTTACGAATTGATCAAACGATGTCATTTGTAGGAGTTTTTGACTCCAAGAAACACACTTTAATATGGTCCAAGAGTATTATGGCTCTTAGTGGGCTATCAGAACATATAAAATTTGTCATTTCTGATTCAAGTCTTTCAATAGCAGCTGTCAACAGTGCTAAAACTTCCCATGCAGAAATTACCTTCACTAATAGTTTCTTCGATGAATATTCAGTTGATTTCAAAGATGTTATGGATGATGGCTATGAAATTGATTATGAAAATAATGATACTAGTTACTACTCGTTTATTGTCAATTCAAAGCATCTAGCGACCTTATTTCGAAATTTAGATGCTAAAGATTTAGACTATATTTGTTTGAAGGTTTATTGGTCAAAAACTGCTCCAGTCACAATGCAATTCAAATTATTAATAGAAATCAAGACTAAGAGCCTTATTGTCAAGAAGTATCAAACCAATTATCAGCCAGTATACAAGAATTCAGTCAACATTGCAGCATTATACAAAAAGGAACTTATTGATAATCAAATCCAGATAGAACTGGCTGACCGCATCAAATATTTAATGATAGAGCAAATAATACCGAAGCAATTCCTTGATATGGTTCCGTCGAGCACAGAAGATTTCAAAATCGAAGTTAAACCAGGTAAAACTCTGTTCACGGCGTATACGAAACAGGTACTAAAGGATAGAGATTATTTAAGACAGCCAATGTCAGTCACTATTTCCTTAAACCCAGATGATTTTCCTAATTCAAACTTCAAAGAAGTCTTTGAGAGCGAAACTGACTACATCTTTGGTATTAATTTCAGATTGAAGGATTTCAGAAATTTTCTAACTTTGGCTGCATTTATCACTTCATCATTAGCTTTAAATACTTCAGAAGATGATTATGTGGATATTGATAGCAACGATTACTTTGAAATATTCTTTAAGAATCCAGGTGATCCAATTATCTTCGAATTAAAAAATGTCCCTTACGTTTCAGTTCAATTCATTCAAATTACTTCGGCTGATAATACTGAAGATCAACCAGTAGCTAAGAAAGTAAAGACAACATTCGCATTACAGTCCAACGTTGTTCATAGAATTTTGGGTCAAGAAAGTCAGAGATCTAAATCCCCTAGTGTCACACAATCTATTCCCCTCCCTTTGCGCATGATGTCTAAGTCCATTGGTGAAGTAATTAATTTTACTGAAAGAAGATTTCAACCAACTAATGTATCTGCTCGCCCAAACAACAACATGAGGTCAATGTCACGACTGAGAAGTCCTTCAATGTCTATTCACAATTATGACTCTGGAGAAGATGTTATAACTTATAGATATGAAAGCGAACGTGTTGCAGATCCAGAACCACAACGTCAAAAGGCCCCAACGACTAAAGCAAAACAAAAGGGTAAGAGAACGATAATAAACCGTGATGCTGATACAGATTATTCTGAATCGGAAGAGGAAAATGATGGAAACAAGAAGAGAGAGATTTCACTTGGTCCAACACAATTACAAAGGCCAAAATCGATATTCGATTAATAAAAAATGTATATAATAAAACCTGTAAAATGCAAATGTATAATTATTAATCTAAATTATAAGTCTGTCCGAATTTATCTCGTAAAGTGCCGTGACTATTTCGATTTTCCCATATTTTATCTGTTTTATCGTATGCTACCGGAGGTAATTTAAAAGGTAATCTTATCGGTTGATCATCACTCAGATCTAACGTATCCGAATTGTAGCATGGAACTAATCTATCGTCAGCATCAGGGAATACCAATACTCCTAGTTCATAACTTGAAACCAGATATTTCGACTCATTCCCCTTATTAAATCCTCCCCAAGCTTGTTTGGACAAATTATGACTGCCAACTAAGACCCATTTAAGTGTTGCCCAATTATCACCATTATCACACATGTAGAACTTACAATGTGGTACAACTAGTTCTCTTCCTGTTAGTGTCGTTTTTCCTGATGAGTTCCATTTGTGCAAATAAGGTCTGATGTTTTGATCATATTGACGTTTATGGATATAAGATTGACTCCCGTTAAAATGCACCGCTTGACCTGCACCGAAACCAACATTGTTCTCTGCTATTTCTTTTACAGTAGGAAATATGATGCTTGGTTTGTAATAGTTGTTCTTCTGATGAGCTTTGAATGAATCAGCTCCAGATTCCAAAGGCTTAAATCCTTGGTTACCTGAAAATATTAAAGGACATAAAACATGTGAGAAAATAGATGAAGTCCCTGTCTTTGTTACTGTGTAGGGGTATGAAATAGATGTCACTTGTGCTATGAAATTATAAAATTTTGTACCGTCTCGGTTGTCTACCAATAGGTTATTCCTCTCTAATACCTTTAAGAGTCTTCCGAACCCATATATATCTTCAGATTTGTAGCTGCTAGTTGTGTATTCGCCAGGGGCTGATGCAACTAATTCCACTGTTACTGGCAGGAAATCATAAAGCTTTAGTTTTGATACCAACAGATCAACTGTGGCTTTTCTGTATTTTAATAAGTAAGAAATCAAATCTTTCTGAAACCTGGTGCCTTTATCTAAAGGCTTTGCTTTATTGACCAACTTGTTTAGTCTACCTGATCTCCAAACCATCTGTGTCAATCCACCAAAATCAAGTTTGGTTATATTGGATGTCATAATAACCACCTCACAAGTATTATCTTCAAAGAAGTTTATCATCATTTTTGTATGATGAGTACCAAATCTATTCGGTATGTCAGCAATAACTTCAGAAATATTGAATTTTGATTTGATAAACTCGAGTTCTGGTTCATCCGAAGCTAATAGCTTCGAACCAGTGATAAATGTCAATTTTTTCTTCTTTTTAGAAAAATCAGGATGTAAGAAAGTCAAGAAGAATGGTAAATCGACACTGAAATTGAATTGAAAGGTTTCATCTAAATCTTTCGTCCCTATTAGATTGCTTATCAGAACAGTATCTTTATTTATTTTATTCTCATCACTATGGTCATAACTTGGATTGTGTAATAGTTTTATTTGAGAGACCTTTTTAACTTTGGGATTGGGTGTGACAACTAATTCATCATCGGATGTGATTTCTATAATCTCTTGAACATCATGTTGGTTCTTCTTGTTATCTCTTTGCTGTGGAGAGTCATCTATTTTAGATTTTTTAGACGCGTTTCCCCAATGATTAGAAGCAGCAAGGAATGCACTGCTCCTCTTATGGTTCTCTGACATTAAAAGGAATATCCTTTTAGTGTAATTGGATATTCTGTGAGTTGATTTGATGGTGAACATCAATTTAACCAACGTAATTCCTTCTACAAATTATCAAAACTGCAGTCGCACTTATTCATCATCGACCAACAGATTCAAAAACTTGGTAGCGACAGGTAGGGCTCAACCAATAGAATTTGAATCATGGATAGCAAACTAGATAAAAGAAGTTTGAAAGATTATTCAGTATGATAAGATAGAGATGTTTTCTATTTGATACAGTATTCAAATACATTTCTTGATAGAGCTTCGGTAAAACTTACTGTTAAAGCAATTTTGTCTGTGGACATTGTGGACTTTTCTATTACAATAACATGTACAATCAGATACTTTTAACAGATCCTTCCTAAATTGAATCGTCTGGTTTGTTCTATTTTATGTAATATGCCAAGAACTATTGTTTATTAAAATTGCAACTAAATTTTGTAAACGATTTCCAGATTGAATTTTTATGACACCTCACACATTTGCGACCAAGTGATTTAAATTTAGATCTTAAATGTATACAGACAACAATTCTATGGTATTCTAATCAAGACAAACAATGACTATAACTTTCAACTATAGTAATGGTGAAATTGTGTCATCGCCAACAGTCATCGTCAGTGGTAAGACATCCACAAATGTGAATGGTGGTATCGTTTCGTTTACCAATAATGCTAACAAAGTGTTCCCTCCGCAACATTTCGAAATCAATGCGCAAGGAAACTTCAAAGCATTACTTCATGTATCACCTAACGAAGTCAATAATTTCAGTGTCGAGGTTGCAGAAAATGGAAAAGTATCACCATTGGGGTATGCTGAATATGATGGAAGTGAACCTAAAATCATTGATAAAGGGACTTTATCATTAACATTCAATCCTTTACCGCAAAATAAACCAGTCCATTTATGTTTAATTGTGGGTAAAGATTCTCCAGGTACTTATGATATGCCTAAATATAGACTTGATAGAGGTGAAAGAAATGATTTGGATTCTGCCATTAAAAAGTTAAAAGTAGGTGGAAGATTAATGCAAGCATTTACTCAAGAAGAATTCAGAAACGTTGGTCTTAGTAATAGATCATTCCAATTTGTTGAAGAAACAGTTGATTCTCAGAGAATATTCGGTTATGATGTTATTTCTCCAACCGCTCATCAAGAAGTCAAAGTCCATGTTTTAAGATCGCCTAAGACAGTAGTGGAATTAAGAGACCCTAATATTGCTCAACAAAATCCAAATGCCAAAGATAATGGTGGATTGTTTTCTCATGCCTTAGAGCTTATCAAAAACACCCCGGAATTATTTGATAAAGTAAATGGCCTAGGAACTAGTATCCAATGTGCTTGTATTTATTTGGATTCTACTTGGGATCGTGGAAATAAGTTAATCTTAACTCATGCTGCCCTTGGTGGTGGTCATCAAGATATCAAATTGGCTATTTTTGGATCCCATGGGTTACATTCCTGGCCAGTAAACTTCCCTAGAGTTGCTCCAAGTTTCTTAGATGTTACTAAATTATCAATTAATGAAGTAGCCAACGATTGTAATCAATGTGGAACGAGTTGGGAATGCTTAAATATTACATTGGGTGCCTTTATGCACGAAATCGGACATTTATTCGGAAGTCCTCATCAAGTTAACGGTGTTATGCTTAGAGACTATATATGGTTCAATAGAAGTTTTATGACTAGAGAGCTTCAATGTTTAAGAACTGGTAGTGGAGGTGCTACTGTTGATCTACAAGGTAAATGGCCCACGGTCTGTCACTGGAACCTCCTAGATTTGATTAGATATTTATATCATGATTCATTCAGTTTACCAATTGATAGCTTTGATAAATTATTTGCTACAACTCAGTTACCAAATTCAAGCTATCCTTTGAATAATGTGCCAGTTCTGTATAATGTTCCTAACGGTGGTGCTGTTATTAAATCTGATGCAGGGATTTATTTGGTTGAATATGTTACCAAAGACTTGGCATACAATCATCAAGTATGGTACCCACAATCTTACGGTGGTGATGGTCTTCAAAGAGAAATCAAACTTGATTTCCAAACGAGTTATGAGTTCTTAAAACAAAAGAAAAGGGATGCTGAAGCAAATTTCTCGGTAAGAATACTTTCATTAGCTGGAGACTTGTATATTGACAATTTCAAAGCTCATTGTGACTCGCTGCATAAGGACGATTTGATTGAAGGTGACTTTGGCTTAAATAGAGGAACGATAAGGGGTTACAAAACATCCTTATTAGGAAGAAAGAATAACAACGGTCAGCAAGTGATCGGATTTGATATTAAAACTATATACAAAGTTCGAGTTTATCATGGAAATGCTTTAGATGGGGTGAAGTTCTTCTATAAGAGTGAAAGCGGTGCAACTTCAAATGCACCACCTGTGGTTCCTCCTAGAAACTATTTGAGCAAAATCTTGAATAAAGCTACTTCAAATGCTGATGTACTGGGAGAAGAACGCTCCTCTTTACTTGGTAAAGAAAGACCTCATTATACTGATTTCCTCTTACAACCAAATGAACAAATAACAAAATTCAATTTCAGGAACGGTGCTTGGGTAGATGCAATTCAATTTGAGACTACTACCGGTAGAAAGTCTCCAATGTACGGAAAGGCTGATGGAGGACATCTTTCTAGTTTAGAAGTACCAAGTAGTGAGTTCACTATTGTAGGGATGTATGGTTTCGTAGGTGGTTGGTTAGATGGTATTGGATTGATTTATAGTCATGATTTATAGAATATAGATTAGATTCCTATAATGTATTCACGCGTCATCAATTTGACGTTCTAAAATCTTATTTCTAGCTTGGTTATATTCGATAGGATATTTCTTTATGACTCCTTCTTCTGATTCTCTTTTTGCTTTCATAAATGGGAATATGGCTCCTTTTTCGTTTCCGCTTTTCAAACTTGAAATCCGTTTCTCTATATCAGTTATATCATGTCTCATTTGTTCAATCTTACTTATATTAGAATTAGCATCGATTAAGAAGTTCTCTTTATATAGGGATTGTAGATTCTTGAGCTTTATAATGACTTGATTTCTTTTCTCTATTAGTATTTGATTTTGATTGTTCAATTTTCCACTTACTTGTGCCTCTAAAGCAAGAGATTTATCTAATTGAACAGAATCCAATGCATGGGACAAAGAATTCACGAGATATGTAGTGTGATCTGCTATACTGCGGGTATATGATAAACGAGGACCATTTTTAGACATCAGGTATCCATTATAATCATCATCGTCACTTAACAGATAATCATCATCTGTATCTGAACCTTCTCCGTTGCTTGCCTGATAAATCTGAGCGTCTGGGAGTTCAATTGCTGATGATGTCTCTATGGTGCTACCACTATGATCATCCAGTACTGGGTCTGGTTGTAGTACTTCGTCAGTCGACATCAATCCATTGATATTTAAACAGTAAGTAAAGTTAATCCATTTGATTTTGTGGAGGCATAGAATAAAAAATAGATCGCATTTTTCGTGTTGGCCAAATCGAAGTTATAACAAAATTATATCACCACTGTTTGGTTCTGCTCATATCATATCAGATCAGATTACACCACAATCATGGCATCCTTCCAGTTGCAGAATTCGGAAGTGTTGGCACGGTTGAAACCATTCGGTATTCTGTTTGAGAAGTCATTAAGTGATTTAATCAAAGGAATACGATCTCATTCGAAAGAGTCACCGGAGAGTCTACTGCTGTTTTTAGACGTGGCGATACAAGAGTGTAAGAATGAATTGACAACCACAGATCTTGAGACAAAGGCTATGGCAGTCTTGAAGTTATCATATTTGGAAATGTACGGTTTCGATATGTCATGGTGCAATTTCCAAATACTAGAAGTTATGTCTTCATCAAAGTTTCAGCAAAAAAGAATTGGATACTTAGCTGCCATTCAATCCTTTAAAAATGAACAAGATTTGTTGATATTGACTACTAACCAGTTTAAAAAGGACTTGAATTCACATAATCATGTCGAAATCGGATTAGCATTGAGTGGAATTGCGACTATTGTAACTCCAAATCTATCAAAGGATATTAATGATGATGTTATCATGAAATTAAATCATTCCAAACCATATATAAGGAAGAAAGCAATCTTGGCCATGTATAAAATCTTCTTGCAATTCCCAGAAAGTTTACGAGCTAATTTCAATCGAATTATTGAAAAGTTGGATGACACAGATGTATCAGTTGTAAGTGCTACATTGAATGTCATTTGTGAAATATCAAAGAAAAACCCAAACATTTTTATCAACTACTTGCCTAAATTCTTTTCGATTTTAGAAGAAACAAAGAATAATTGGTTAATTATACGGATCTTAAAATTATTTCAAAGTTTATCCAAAGTTGAACCTCGTATGAAGAAGAAAATATTACCTACAATCATTGATTTGATGTTAAGAACTCAAGCTTCATCATTAATCTATGAGTGCATCAACTGTATCGTTAATGGCCAAATGCTTAGTCCAGAATCTTTTAAAGACAAAGAAACTGCCAAACTCTGCATTAAACAAATTATGGAATTCTTTAAAACAAAGGATTCCAATCTTAAGTTCGTTGGTCTCATTGCTTTGATTAATGTGCTAAAGATTTTCCCTATCTTTATCCACCAAGTTGAAGGTGTCGCTGAAGTAGTTACGGATTGTATAAATGATCCAGACTTAATCATTAAGAGGAAATCACTAGAAATTTGCCATTTCTTGGTCACCGAAGATAATATAGTAGAAGTGGTTAAGATATTATTGGTTCAATTAATTCCAACTGACGGTAATCAAGTTCCAGAATCTTTAAAGCAAGAAGTCATGTTGAAAATTTTGGCTATTGCAAGCCAAGATAATTATTCAAATATTCCTAACTTTAAGTGGTATATTGCGGTTCTAAAAGATATAATCAACCTTACTCTTTTACCATTGCCATCATCATCTAATACTAGTGCAATATCATATGCTACCGCAAACTTCATCGCTGGGGAAGTGGGTCAAGAGTTCAAGAATTTAGCTACAAAGGTACCTTCCATAAGAGCTGATATACTTCATCGAGTGATAGTTGATTCGGTGAAGAATCCTAGAGTGTTAGAAATATGTCCTACCTTGCTCAAGGACTTTTATTGGATTATGGGTGAGTATATCGATGAATTAAAAGGCGATCCAGTTGATAGTGAAAACAACGAAATTGAAGAGGGAGATAGTAATACTTCTATTGCTGATTTGGGTAAAAAGGTTCAAATCTTTAACACCCTTGTTAATCATAAAATTGATAAGTCCTTGAATTTGTCTGTAAATTTAAGATTTCCAATTTCTAACAAGTTGATCAATTTGAACGATCATGATGTATTAATGGTCTTAATTCAAGCGTTAGTTAAGTTATTTAGCGGCATTGTTTCGGATTATAGTGAATATTACTCAAAGAATGGTGCACTCCCGATAGACAAATATAATGAAGTAGCTCATTTCCTATACAAGTTGGTTGAGTTTCTTAACAATTGGGAAAATAGTGTCAACTATGAAGTTCAAGAGCGAGCTCTATCTTGGTTGGAATTCTTGAAACTCTCATTGGAGGCTATGACTGATAATGATTATTCGGCAATTAAGGCGTTGGAAAGTGATGAAATTGAATTTTACAGAAATTTTGTTGATGATTCTAATGAGAATGAGGATTCAGATATCGATGAATCAGACGATGAAGAAGTTGAAGATAGTGAATCTGAAGACGAAGTTGACTCTGTTCCGGAAAATATAAGAGAACACGATGAAGAATATGATAGTTTAGAGTCATCGTCTGATGAAGTTGAAAGTGAAGTTTTGGCTAGAGTCAATGTAAGTGATAATGGTATCGAAGAAAATCCATTCGCTACTAATGAAGAAGAACCTACTTTTTTCAGTGAAACTAACTCTAAGGAACTTGTATTACCTGTGCTTCTTAGTCATGTGTTACCATCATTCTTCAAATCTTATCAATTGAATCCTATAGCTAAAAATTCACAAAGGAAAATTGCAGTCCCTCTCGACTTGGACCTTGATACCCCTATTAATTCAAATAATTATAGTTCATTAGACGAAACAGAAGAAGAAACAGAATCTGAATATAATTTATTCTTAGCTGATCAATTGGAAATTATCCAAACTTCAACAGAAAATATATCTAACGAAGGCGATACCAGTGTTCGTAAAAAACAGGAAAGGTTGGAAAGATTGAAAGATGATCCATACTACCTTACATCCACAAATGGTGATAAGAAAGGCAAAGGGAGGGGGAGAAAGCTGCTTCTTATTGATGATTCCAAGGATTCTAGTGTCGATACTTTCAGTGAGAGAACTTCTATTAGTTCAAGCTTAAACAATCAAACAATTAAGAAGAAAAAGAAGCCTCTAAAGATCAAGAAAGATAAAGTTGTCATCTTAGCAGAGGAAACAATTGGTGGAGATTTTGATAATGAGGAAGAATTAAAGGTTAAGGCAACAACCAAGAAGAGAAATGCTTTAAAGATTGACTCCTCAAATCTCGATAATTTCGATCTTGAATCTTCTTCTCTTGCAGAAGATGATTCAACTTTTAATGGCAAGGACTTTGAGTACAATATCGACTTAGAAGAACTAAGAAAGAATTTAGCTGAGGCCTCGAAAAAGGCAAAAGAAAAGGAAGAGAAGAAGAAAAAAATGAAGAAGAAATTGTCTTCACTGAAAGAACTGACCTCTAAAACTAAATCCAAAACTAAAACTGAGAGCTCAGATGTCGGACATTTTCCAACGGCTGATGATATCGTCGTGGATCTGAATCTTCCAGAAAGTGATAACAAAGTTGTTACAGTTGTTAAATCCAAGAAAACAAAAAAGAAAGCAAAAGCTGCAATAATAGAGTAATTTCACATTAGTATTTATTATATATAATTAGTTTATTTTTATTCTAATCTAATCTTTTACAATTAATGGTGTATCTTCGGCGGATACTTCGACAGCTTGTATGTTGTCTTCGGAATCTTTTGCAATTGGTTCTTCTGCTGTGGCATCGTTAACTGTAGCAATTTTAGCTGTAGCATCCGCATTTTTAACTGCTGTCTTTTTGACCGTATTTCCTTGCTCAGTTAATGGAGCAGCCTTTCCACCACGGACTTTAGAATAACCGATTCTTTGATAAACTTTTAACATATCTTCATTTACCTTATTACAAAGCTTAGTCACGTCTTCATTGGTTTCTAAGTCGTCTGTGGATACTGGTGGTAAGACTTCAACAAAAATTTCACCTTCGTTAAATACCTTACGCTTTGAGTTAAAAATATTGGAGGTATTGCTAATAACTATTGGAACAACAGGAATTCCAGCTTGCTTGGCGAGATGGAAAGCACCCTTCTTGAAAGGAAGAAATTCCAATTTTTCAGTACGTGATCTTGTACCTTCTGGGAACATGAATAAAGCACGATTATCTTTTTTCAATGAAGCTAAAGCAGAGTCTAAAACCTTTCTTGCTTTGTCACTCTTACTTCTATCTAAGAAGAAGGTACCTGAAAGCAACATGAACCATCCTAAGATAGGAACAAACTTTAAGGATCTCTTGGCTGTAACTGAAAAACCTGGTTGGAAGATTTTACCTAACAAAAAGATATCTAAAGCGGATTGATGATTGGATATATAAATAGCTGGATTTGATTGCAAATACTTTTCATTTGTCACTGTGATTTTAACACCTAATGCCCAAGAAAATGTGTATAAAAATGCTCTTGCAACTGTATATTGAGCATACTCTCCTTTGTTTACAAGTCTTAGAATAACAGAAGCTATGACCCCATATAAAGCACAGCCACAGATCAATGAACCAAAGGCTATTGTCTTGAGATAGTATTTCAATGTTGTTAAGAATTTACTCATAGTAAACGTTGGCATATACCTATGAACTCTTTCAAGTTTATGGATTGATTACAGTTCAATCCCTTTAAATATAACACTTCATTTCCCCAAAATTAAATTTCTGTTGAGTATACCACAAATGCGTACACAAAATTAAAGTTTCACACACCTTCCTTTAATCCATTGAGTATGGAAGTTGGTTGACATGTAAATAGATTTGATTAATTGACTTTTTTACTGAAAGGATTAAAAGTTGATTCGATGTATGCAGCTGATGATGTATACATATCCAGGGTAGAATGTTGAAATATCAAATTGTCTACAAAATGTAAATTAAAATAAAATAAAATAAAATAAACGGTTTTCATATGATGAATTCATTCATTCATTCATTCATTTATCTATATCTAATATACTAAATAAAAACCTTTAGAGTGTCGTTAAGTAAATGAGAGTTGTAGCAAGAAAATATAGTTATAAATGGATTGACAATAAAGACGGCAATATATGTCATACCCTAATAAATAATAATATAGTATAATAAGGATAATTGTGATATGAAGGAGGCAGATTATCTATCGTTACTTTCTATGCTCTTTATAAAGAGTTAACCTGATGGAATTTATGTGGATGGTTCTATTTCTTTGCTTTTCGTTACATTATGACTTAACCATCTTAAACCTTGACCTATTTGAGCAGCTTCATTGACGAAATGACAACCGAACAATAAATAGTTCTTTGGGGTGACAGCTAAGGAGTATCTCATGAATACTAAGGAATACACTATTAAAGAACCTGTCATAGGACCACTGATTAAATCTGGATCTTTCTTCAAATCTAAAATAGCAGCAACAGGAATCCCAAAATTTGAAACTGGACCCCAAAAGTGTGTTGAGCAGACATATTTTAATGCTCTCTTAGAAAACAAAAAATCAGTGAATCCTTTAAACCCAGTAGACATTATTATGATAAATATATGTTTGAATATATAATAAAAAGTGCTATCACTTAAATTACTTATTTATAATCAATACTGCCAATCCGGAAGTTCTGGTTTCAAAGATATTTTCTTACTTCAGAATCGTAGAGAAGTGTCAAAAAAAATTAGCGGTGTGTTGAATTCCGATTTCTGGGCACCTGACTGGTCACGCGGACGGCATTTGATTTAATTTAATGCCGACTTTATTTTGCAATAAACTACAAATCTAATAAATTGAAAGACAGAATAATACATTTTTAAAATTAAAACTCTATATGAAATATTACAAAACTAATGCATAATAGAAGCGAAAAAATGACTTTTTGATGTTATAAGAATGAATATTTATTTTGATTATTTACTGCTGAGATGGTGCTGTAGAATCATCTTGCTGAACATTTTGTTGTGATGGCTGACCATCTTGTTGCTGTTGGGAAGTCTGATTGATATCGTTTGGTATTCCTAAGCCGGCATTATTAGAATATTGTAATTGTTGCAGAATCTGGAAGTCTGATGGACCATAAATGAAAGGATTCTGTTGTTGTTGTTGTTGTGAATGGTCTGTATGTTGTAATTGTTGCTGTAATTGCATTTGCTGCTGCTCTTGTGATACTTGCAGCTGCTGTTGATGTGTTTGTTGCAGATAATTTGGAAGTTGCTTTGGATTCCAATTTTGTGCATAGTTTCCAACTTGTTGAGAATTTAAGTCTGACATATTATATTGAACATTTGGTTGAGAGACAGGTATACTCTGCATTGTGATATTTGCACTATGACTCATCAGCTTTCTCAAGTTTTCTTCTTCTCCAATAGTTGAACTGGTAGGAATTGTACTTGAAGTTCCTGTATTAGTCGCGTTGGTAGAGGATGCTGAACCAACTTTGAAGGAAGTAGATGGAGCATTTTGAAGATCGTCATCGCTGGGAGAACTAAGATAAAAAGGTAAATTTTCGGGATTTGTTAACCAGAAGGGACCATTAAATTGAAATCCATAGAGATAATCAAGGTCAGGATTTTCGAGTTGGTTGTTCAAGTCAATAGAATTGGTAGCATTGCTTGGAATTGGTGCTGCCATTGGATGCTCGACATTCTGTTGATACCCAGTATCAAATTGTGAGGATTGTGTATATTCATGAGACATATTGGGCTTTTGCTTCCTTCTACTCTTCTTCTCTTCCAATACTTCCCTTTTTCTTTCATCTTGCTTTTTATAAATTACTTCGATGTATCTTAAGACTCTCTTCAAAATATATGAAATCTTTTCAAGCCATAATTTCGATTTTGTTGTAAACATCTTCTCGATAGTTTCATCAAACTGAAGCAAAGTGCTCAACCTTTCTTGAAATTTCTTAAGTAGTTTGTTATTGGAGACTGAGCTTGGCTTTCTATTAACAAAATCTTTAAACTTATAATGTAAAAATGTGAAAATCACAATAACAATTTGGTAAACAAACAGGTTTAGAAAGGGAAAGTAAACTCTAAAAATCTTTCCTACCTTCACAAGATTGTTTAAATCTTCATCTGAGCTTTTAGGAGGCTGGTTTGATTTATAAGTTTTATTTCTCGACCGTTCATGTTGTGAATTATATCGTCTCTCTCCAAACAATTTCAAAAACTTTTGAATAAATGTAATTAAAAAATTTAAACTCTTAGTGATAGAATCCACTAAATGTTTTACAATCATTTCGTATTCTGTTAAACTCTCAAATTTGTTAATAAAAGGTTCAAATAGCTTGGATCTATTAATATGAATAACAATTAGATCCATTAAAAGATTTTCTTCATCATAGTCTTTCTGAATACCAGTTACAATATCAAATTCCATGGTAGTTTTTCTTACCTTGATACTTTTTTTAGCCTTTTCTAGCAATTTAATCTCCCGATCAAAAGTTGAGTCTAGCTTTAACAAATCTTCAACAGAGAATTTAGTCATAAAACTTTCGATCAACATTAAGTTGGATAATCTCAAACATTCACTTAGACCTGTTTTCAATAAAATATGAGTTTTCTCTTTCTCAATTTGTAATGCTTGTAAACTTGGCGAAGACTTTTTTATTAGCACAGAATCAGCATAATTGATGTGGATCGAGATTGGATTTGGTCTTCCAAGAATAGAACAAACTTGACCAGTTAAATTCTTAAGTGCAAACCAAACCTTGTATCTAGTCAAATCATCATCACCTTCATTATTTTCATCACTTATTGATTCTTCTTTTGATCCCTTTTCATTACTATCCGACAGACTACTACTTCCACCGACTAAAGATATGTTTCCTTGAGAAGCATTTCCTCCTCTAAATTGACCCATAACATGTAAACCAATTGAGTAAGCTATAGAACAAGTATGGAACATCATTGACCAACATTCTTCATACTTCTGTTCAAGAAAATGATATTCTGTACAAAGAATGTATGCTTGAATAGTGAGTAAAGATTCATTGATCAAGTTGTGTCTTAACTTTTGGAAATTGTGCAACAAAACATTGTTTGATAGATAATGTTGATATTTTCTAAAGAGATGAATTGAACTCAATGGTAGTAAATCCAACTCAATAAAATCTTTGGGAGTCAATTTTTGGATGATCAAAATTAAAATCATATAGAGTACAAGCAAATCATCATCATTCTCCCATTCTTTATCCTTGATGTCATTGTAGCTGTTTAAAAAATCAAGTACCTTTTGCTTTGAAATAAATGATGAATAGTAGTAGTTAAATTCGAAAAAGAGATTAACCAAGTCAGTAATTATTTCAAAATTCAATTTTTGAAGGTCTTGAAATGTTTCAGAATCAGAACTTAAATCAGGATCATCATACTTAAGTAGAGTATAAGCCAATGTAGGTAATAATTTCTTTGCTAAACTTTTCTCTACCATGTTTGAATGCTGTTTAGGAGATCCCTGAGAAATTGTATCATCGTTTTGTCTTTCCCATTCCATGGATTTTGAATCAAAGGAAGATGATGTATTTTCTATTGTGAATTCTTGATCAGTTATATTCATAGTAATTATTTTTTGTCTTTTAGATTCAACTGAATTCGGTATTGGAGTGGGATTCAGTGTATATAAACTATGTTTTGAAGATGATGGATTTTGTGCTTCCTTTGAAATGATAGCTTTAGTTCTGTTAATGTTATCAACAATTACTGGATTCTCACTTTGTTTCAATGCCTCTATCATGAATGGTGTAGATTGAGGTCCATAATATTTTGGCCCTTCTTCACTAGTTTCACCCGCAATTGGAATTGCTTCAGGGTTACCACTTAAGTTGGTTGCTGCTAAACCTGAAGTTTGCAAAGGGGTATCATTCAGCAGCGTGCTAATAAATCTTGAAAGCTGTTGATTCAATTTGATGTTATCTTGCAACAACTGGATGTTCTCATTTTTTAAAAACTCTAATTCATTTCTTAGTGTAAGATATGATGATTCGATTTCTTCATTGTTTCCAAGTGTTTGAGATCTTTCTTGGTTTGACATCTGAGGAAATATAGCTGTAATTTGGTTGTCATTCTTCAACTGTGATGAACTTGGAACAGGAGGTACATTTAATTGTGGAGGGAATAGCCTTTCTTGTGAGCTTGAAGAAGATGTAAAAACTCCTGGTGATGAAACTTGATCATTAATTTTTATGTTTCTAAATGTCGCAGGAAATTCACATGGAAGATTTCTTCTCAAACATTGATTGCAAGGCTTCTTCTTATTACATTTGATTTTTTTCCTTCGGCATGATAGACATGATATAGGCAGTTCTTCGGACATTTTGGGAAACTATGAATACATGAATCAAAATAATACTGGTATTAATGTCTTAAACTTATGGGGTAGTTAAAGTGGTGTATATGCTCGTTATTGCCTAAAAAAAATTATTTTTTGTGCTACTCCTTTTTTTCTTTTTTTGGCAGCCGTTTAATTACAGCATAAAAAAAATAATGAAATACGAAAAGTGCAAGTTAAAGCGAGATACAAAGTAGCCTAACCAAGTATCAAACCAACAACAAAAATATATAGTAGTCGACAAACCCAATACAGACAGGGAAATGGAATAACACACCACTTGAAATTAATAGTCACCAACGAAGTTAATTAGATAAGATAACTTGTTTATAAGCAGTACCGAAAGAATTTGTGAAGATATCCTCTTTTATTTTCTTGAATTGATGTGAATAGTCAATTTCGAAGTGAAAGTTATTGGATAAGTTACAAATCAATGAAAACTTGGATATAACTAACAAAAGAAATGAATTGATCTAATATGAATAGTATTGATTCAAATCTTATTATTATGTTGAATGTAGCTTTTTAAGATTCCTAAGGCAAGGTGATAATTGTACAATTAGACGAGATTGGAATCAATACAATTAATGATTATTGAATGCCTAATGTATCTTAGTTCTCTTTAATCAATAATATATTGAAGTTAATCAGGTTCTTTTTAGAAAGAAAAGACTGTGATTGTCGATATTTTTCAATTCGAGACCAGCTTGAGAATAGATATGATCGTTCTTTAAGATCCAGTTAAGATAATGAATATACGTAAGTACTAGAATTAAATTTGAAGTGAGCTTATGAAAGAAATAAACCTTGGAATTGAACAGTCTTCTGAGTTTGGAATGTCTTACAAAAGGTGGACGAAATTAATTCTTAGCTTTTTGAAGAACGAAAACGAAGATCTATCTCTTGAAGAAGTACTATTCTTGTCACAGATTTAATACCGAATTAATATGAAATAAAACACCTGGATCTTAGGTTTCACTCTAATGTATAAGGAATTTTCAATGAAAAGGAAAGATTAAAATTTAGCAAGTGTTGAAGTAAAAGAATTCTCGAACCTATAATAATAAATGATATTTTAACGATAGGGATTACTAAGTCAATTTAATAAATTGTTTGTTATGAATTGGAGTTCGGTTATGTTTCAGGGCCAATTATAATTTGTTTTAAAGGGGGTACCACAACTTTTAACAATAGATCTTCAACGGTTATGTTGATTTCAAAACTCCAGGAAATAATATAATCTTGTGTCGGCGGTGAAAAATGACACACTTTTATTCACACCAAACAGATATATAAATTAGGTAGTATCAATCTGATGTTTAAGAACTGAAATTGTAATGGATGGTTCCTCTTTCTTGATTTTTTTGGTGAGTGTTTTCACTTCTTCTTGACCTCTGATGTAAGTGAATCTTATATGGATGAAAAATGATCAATAAATGGATATATGAATTTTGTAAACAGCTTTTTCTGAACTGTTTTGTTATGAATTTTGGAAGTGTTGTTGTTGGTTTATTAACGGAAATCCGATAGTTTGATCCAATCCGTGTTTGTTTAGATTTGTTGAGTATGTGTGATGTATGCTGTAGGATGATATAATGAGCAATCAAATTCCCCAAACACCCCAAATTAAAGCATGAAGGTGTTTCTTGGCTTCTTGATATCACTACCCTGTCTAAAGAGTGAATAGATTCTATCACCGATTACTAAAATAAAAAGCAAATTTTATATCAAAAAAAAAATAAACAGTCAGGTAAATCTATTGGTAAATAATAAAAATATTTGAACCTCGTAAAATTTAAAATCCCAAGTTATCCTATGACTTGATAATCAGCCTGTATTTTCGGAAATGTACTCAGTTGCTTCTATTCTTAAATTGATGTCTTGTAAGAGCAACTGGTAGTATTTTGAAAGATGTTTTTATCTTTGACTTTTTTAAACTATTTACTTTTCAAATTTTTAAATTAGTTCTGCTTAAATATTTTTTTTTATTTTTAAATTCTTTTTGCTGTAAATTTTTATTTTGTAGGCCGTCGCTAAATAAGCACGTATTTAATTCAAGTAAATTTGAGCGTTAAATATTAAAAAATTTGGAATTTTAAACCGACCAAGTGCAGTAATGATGCTGTATAGTTGTTTCTCGCAATTTGATTATAAAATTAATTTGTTAATGATGTGTTAATTATATGGTTGTGAGATATTGAAATTGTAATTATAATTCAAAACTAATTTATATTTTTTTAAGTTATGTCGATCACTGTCGAAGAGCTGATTTTGTGAAAAAATAATGTGATTATTTTGCTAAACAAAGGAGGATGAGTTTAATCCAAATAATAAGGATACCTTCCAATATCACAAAGCTTTATGTATTGATATATGTGTGTTATTTTTTAATTTTTTGGAAACCGAATTTGTATGAAAGGAATTAATTAAACCACAAAGACCAGTCAAGCATGGAATTCCGCCCTTTAAGAAAAACATGAGGAAATATATATATACAAAAACAACGCCATAATTTTAACCCAAATGTAATTAGGAAAAGAAAAAGAAAAGGGAAAAGTAGATATCAGAAATTAGCAAGGACATGTTCTAAACCAACTTTTTTTTGAAAATAAAAAGCTAATAAAACTCGCCACAAGAAAATAATTTGAAATTTTAAGGAGCATCAATTAAGAAACGATATATCATTCCAGTCGCTTAAGCAATTATTTACGCACAATTAAAACTGTAACTCATTATAAGTAATGTTAAAAAAAGAAGCAACTTTTACCAAACTGGATGATGGGATTAGCAAATATATAACAATAAAAAATAGAAGGATATTAAAATGGGAAATCGTCTTTAATTAATATCTCTGCAAAATTTGAATTTTTGAAGTTAAACTTGGGACAAATTAAAATGCAAAGTCTAAAAGTTGAAACAAAAGATTTATTATTTAAAAATCTAAAGCAATAGACTTCTTGATATTAGATGCTTATAGACTTCTATTCTGTCTATCTATTCTTTCACAAAACTATGATACTATCCCGTTTTAATACCACTTAAGTATGACATCTATTTGAGACATGACTTACGATCGGTATCAATAAATAAAAAGAAACAAACAAACAAACAATTTGCATTGCATGATGATCTTCAAATCTTCTCTTGTGATGATGGTCGATCCTTGTTCAAGCGATTTAAAAAAAAAATATTTCTATTGGCATGGTAAATCAATATTGGCTCCTATTAGCTAGAATTATCATTAAAAATATCATCTCTAAATAATTTCCCCCTGGATATATTTTATTTAATTTAAATCATCCCCCAAGGTAAAGTTCATGACAAGTGAAATCTTAAAAGTTGTTGGTGTGGGGAATATGAGAATCAGCGGGGATTATATCACTATAACTTTTAACTCTTATATCCAACAAATAAATTGATATCCTTACCTTTGATTGTTAAGACTAAAAACTGTTGCATCTTATTTCTCATGACATATTGAAGTTAGTTGATAGAAGACACTTATTGTATCGATTGTTCCCCCTCATTTTAGTTTTGCTTAAAATGCAAAAAAATGTGCAGTAAAACAAAACCGAGCATGAACACAAAATTAATTGTGAGACCATCGGCATAGTATAGTTTCAAATTATTATTAGCCTACTCATTATTATTCTATGCATCATCTTTGCTTGTAAATTCATTTGTAAATAAGGCGGTCTCTACTTTCCAACTATTATGGTAAGTCTCGGGCGGATTAAATATCGACAATAGGTTAAAGCAACCATTTAAAGTAACACAAAATGTCTATATGTGTATTATTCGGACAAATGTTTTTTTGTGACTTGAGCATCATTAACGGCTAATAAAGTTAATTATTAGGGTTATCAGAACACTTTAGACATCACTAAGTTCAAGAGGGGAGTGTCAGACTAACTGTTTCAGCTGTAAGCTTTTTCTATAATGCTTTTAAATATGTATGCATCTTTCAAATGACATCTATTGACTATTCTGTGCCTGGCAGGATCTATTTCATCTTGAGATGTATGTTGTTATTGATCTAATTTTGTGTTAATAATTCTGAAATTTTAACATAACTTTAGCCCCCAATTTACATAACCATGCATTGAATCAAAGTAGCAGCCTTTTTGAAATTAAAATACAAGTTATTACTACAATCTAAAAGTTTTTACCACATCGCAAAAGATGGAATCACATCTCCGCTCTCATCAAAAATCGAAAATACACATACAATAACTAGCAACCATATATTCAAATTGCTAATTGTTTTTTTTTGACTATTTTAGTGCATAAGTAACGGTTATGCAGCAAAAAGTCAGTAAATTAACTAAGATGATGATTTAGCTGAGACTAATGAGGCCCATGAATGCATTGCATAAAAAGCATTCTAATTAGTTTCGAGGATTTACTAGCATTAAAATAAAGCAATCTATTGTATATGTAACTTGGTATAATGCTTAAAACTATTAAACCTGTATGACAAACATTTACCTCGGCTTTAATACACACATATTGATACTGATTTTTCATGGTCCCTACTTCGATACATATACAGAAATTGAGTTTTTAAAAAATTCTGCTAATTTACTCCTTTTCAAACTTTATAGTTTAAATTGGAGTACAGTTTTTTAACATTATGACTTATAATGGCTTGACTTTGCTTCTTGTATCCAGATTATCTTTCCTCTATACTTCCATTGATATGATGATCTCAATTTATTAGTCGATCCTCTTATTTCCTAGTTCATACCATCACTAGTTAAAGGTTTAGATTATACCATTTAATTTGGTCATGTGACTAAGGCTGTGGGTCGTGCGCAATACAATTAATCATCTCTTGTGCATAAGCACACGACCTTTCTTTTGATTTTTTCTTATCTTTCAGATCCCATTTTGTGTGTTGTTTGCAAATGACCATCAAAAACACTTAATTTCATCTTTTGTCATCAAAACTTGATTTTAGTGATTAGAATCATATAGTTTAAGATATTAAGCATTCAATTTATCAATAAATCATCAATTGTATCCAATACCGCCGTTAGATCAATCATTATAACATCAATCAAATCTTACTTGTTACATATATCATCTTATCGCTAAACTTAGATAAGGATAATTTAAATTACACGAAAAACACATCGCCCATTTTAATCTAATATACTTAGATCAACACATTTATCAACAATTCAGATTACTTTACTTATATCAACTATTGAATGATTAGAGAGCCCTATTTTAATTCGTCTTCGTCTTCTTCATTTATCAAACCATCGAATTCAAAGAATTATTCTTTTATTTCTCATGATTTGCCAACCATTAGTCCTCAGGATATGAAGCATAGTTTAGCTCCAAGCTTTCAATTATCTGCTAATCCTTCTGTCCCAGCTCCTCACAAAGCCAGTTCCAAGTTAATCTTAAGAAGAAACTCAATAGAACCTTATTATGTTAAACCAATCAAAATAGGTACTTTGCCTCCAAGAATCTCATCAATATTTAAGTATACTTTTGTTGATGATGAATTTGATGAAGATGAACATCGTCAACTTCATAATAGTCGCAACCATCAAGCTCAATCGAGCGGTCCAGTAGATGAAGATGATGATTATGCTATTATATCTGATTCCGATAATGATTTGATTGATTCCGAAGAGGATTCTGATAATGAATATCTTTTCTTTGGTAAAAAACATGCTCCTAGAAGTTATACTCATCAAGGTAGTAATGTTTTAAGACCTCCACCTTCTTCAAATGGTGAAACTTTATCTAGAAAAGTTAGTGATAATTATACTTCCAAATTAGATGTTGATACCGATTCAGAAGAAGAAAATGAAGATTCTCTTATTGAAGATTTCAATAAATTAATGAAACCAATTAAACCAACAAAATCAAATAACAACCTTTATAATTTAAAACCTCCTTATTTACAAAGTTTAAACGATCTTAATGAATCATTATTACAAAAGTCAAATAATCCAAATATTTTAACTAATGTCAGATCAAGAACTTTATCAGAAAACTTGATTGCTCCTCCAAAATTAAACTCAAAAATCTTTAATTATAATCAAATCTTTTTAGATCCAGCTCCAGTTAAATCAGGTTATGATCGTGATGATTTTGATTATACTATGTACAAAAATTATTTAATTTAAAAAAAATGCTTACTTATTTTGCCACTTTATTTCTGGTTTTTTCTATTTTTATATATTTTTGTTATATTTAATACAGGCTATTATATTTGTTTATATTCATATTAGATGTAATCAGTGCCATTGTTTCAAATGTTAGTCCCTGGTACAAAGGGTACAAAATCAGAAATATCACGAAATTTATTTTTTTTCTGTTTACAGAGAAGACATCATTTATTTCATATCATCAAGGGTTACATCAATTGTCACTAAGATGGACTTTGTATATGCTCCGCCTCCTCCACCACCTTCATCAAAGAAGCCGGATGTAGATAGTAATGCAAATCAAAAGAATAAACCACGACAGAATAATAACAAGAAAAATAACAGAAATAATAATAGAAAGAACAAACAGAATCATAAAAATCAGAATAATCAACATCAACAGACTATCAAGCAAGATATTGACACTACTTCAAATGATCAGTATCAACCTGATAACCAAGTATTGTTTGATTTACCTACACATTTGCCCAATGAAATTATACTGGAGCTGGTTAAAGTTGACGATCTGATAGTACAGGAATCAAATAACCCATCGAATGAAGGTATAAATCACACTAATGGAAGCGATAATGAAGAGGTTGACGTCGAAGTGAAACCTAAAGATCCAAGTCAACCAGTTTTTATACCAGGTACGTCAATAACTTTGCAGACTGAGGAAGATATTGCTAAATGGATTGAAGAAAGAAAGAAAAAATGGCCTACAAGAAGTAACGTACTTAAGAAGCAAGAAGAAAAAGAACTACTGAAACAACAGGATAAACAACAAGATGAACCAAATTCACGAAAGAGAAGGAATTCAATAGATCCAACTACAGAGAAATCTCCTAAGAAATCACAAAATATTTGTCGATTTTATCAACAGCATAAACATTGTAAATTTGGCAATAAATGTAAAAACATACATGAATCACCATCAACAAATCTCGCCAACAACAGCAGGGTTATAAATCCCATAGTTAACATGACTGATATAGAGTCTACTCATTATAAGCGTACTATTAACGATGTACCGGTTATCATACCCAAGTTATATTCCAACAATCAAAAATCAGGAGGAAGATTATTTAAACATCTTGTTAAACGAGAACATTCTCAGCATGAGAATAATGTAATCTTGGATTTTGTCCAATACTTGGATGATAAGGGATTAATCGATCATGACGTTATGAAAAGCAAATAGAATAATTTTATTTTATATACTTAAATATGAATAGAAAATTTAATATAAATCACCATCATATTTTCTAGTGGCATCTAACATTATGCTACATTGTTTACCAATTTCACCTAATTTACTTATAACAATTTCATTACCTTCACCAAACCCATAAATTGAGTAAGTTAATCCAACTTCTTCACAAAATTTAATAACAAAAGGTTGAACTCTTCTAAAATTATGCCTTGGTAATCTAGGGAACAAATGATGAATAACTTGAAATTGTAAACCACCGTGAAAGAAATCTAACCATTCAGGGCAATCAACATCCATAGTAGTTCTTAATTGACGAGAAGGAAATGATTCACTAACTCCTAAATCAGAAGTTGACATAGCAAAATGACTCAAAGTAATTTGAACATGAACCAACATGGTTGAAACATGACTAACTAATACATATAAGAGTCTGTTACCCCATCCATCAATTGATTTGAAGACTACTAAATAGAAAAACCAATAGAAGAAGAAACTTAATCCTGCTAATTCAAAGTATCTGAACCAAGCAGCTTTACCACTTCTTGGTCCTAAACCACGAATCAAATGACTCCAGGATAAGAAATAAAGATTGAATCTCCCAAGTGATAATATTGGATAGTACATATACTTTTGGATTGGGATAAGATATTCAGCAGCTTTATCAAACCAAAGATAATTATCATAATACGTGGAATACACATTATTAAATAATCTTACACTGACGGCAAAGAATGGTAAATGTTGAATATCTGGATCATGGACTGGATCATTAGTTACAAGATGATGAACATTATGATTTCTTTTCCACCAACCTAAACTCAACCCACCAAACCAATCAGCAATAATCATACCAAACAAATTATCAAGTTGATAATTATGAGTAAGAGAGACGTGACCTGAATCATGAGCAATGAATGTCATTTGATGCCATGCCATACCAATACAGACAGCACTTAATGTTAAATAATTCAATTTTAAAAATGAAAAAGCATAAAGGAAAAGACTTCCAATTTTGATTAATTCTCTTCCATAGTTCCATAAATCACAATCGTAGAATCCATTACGAATGATTATATCATGTAATTCATTGTATTTATCTCTTAAATTCTGTTGAGTCTTATAATCTAAGGCAGGTAATTGTAATATATCTTTACGGGTTAATTCATTGTCATAATTTGTCATTAGAACTTTTGGATCCACAACGATAGGCTTCTTTGATGAATCATTTTGTTCGCTATTACCTAATGGGAATAATTGATCTATGTTTTTACCTGTTATTAAAGTATTTTGAGGAACTACTGGTTTAACCGTATTAACATGAGGATAACCCGCTGAATAGTTTTTAGGAAAGATATCATCTGATGGAGCTGTGGAACTAACGGGAGAGGCTGTTTCATCATCGGATGAACTAGTTGAAGATGATAAATTATCTAACTTGTCATCTAATGATTTACTTCTACTTGGTAACATTTCAAAATCATCTGCTGTTGTAATATCTTGTTCATCATATTTGCCCCTTTTATAGATACCACCTTGAAGAGGAGGTAATAAATTCTTCCAATATTGATCTATTTCACCAATTTTCCATTTGGTAAAGGTTGCAATGGATTCATAGGAATGATAGGCATTCATTTCATCAGTGGCATCTCTACCAACTAAATGGTAGATGGCCTTGTCCCCCCCTGGATGATTCTTAATCCAATGAGTTAAATTAAGTACATTATTCTCATAAATGACAATCACTTTCCCATCGGCAATGAGATCGATGATGTCAGATCTGGACAAGATCTTACTACTCCTTTTCGACATAGTTTCAGATCTCTTAAAACGAATGTGATTGAAATTGAACACCAATGTTGTTGATACTTGTTAGATCGTGGGTCTAGGTCTTTGGTGTTTATATATAATATTTTTTTTTGCACTATGGTAAGAAAAATTCACAGCCCGTTGCGAGCAGAAAAATTAGCAATTACTCGTTTACCAGTGGTTCGATTAAACAGTGTGGTCTATACGAACAAAAGAAAGTAGCACAATCCACGTAAGAGCAAACTGTTTACAAGAAAAAGCCAGATGAATCGATGATTAGTATTATAATTATTAGTTCTAGATTACAAACAAGCTAATAAAATCTATTTAAAAGTTCGTAACCAATTGGTAAGATGATTGGTAAAAAGAAGTTATCATTAAGATCTGAGGTTCCTTCTAAGATTGAACTTATGAAAGTGATAACAAATAAGTTTTCCCAGTTTGTAATTGGTAAGTAAATTGAGCTGTAATTATTCAATAAGTAATAATCGATAGCGAAAAAGGAAGCAATATTAACAATAATAAACGCTGCTGACCCTTGAACGGATTTATCGCTACCTTTCCATTTGAAGGTACCAAATCTGCCTCCTACAATTGATGCAACTGCATCACCTAAACCTAACGCAACTATACCCATATATCTTACCACACTGATTTGGTTTGTTTCTTGAGAATTTAAAGTAATGTAATCGTAAGCAATTGGGATAGTTATTCCGATTAATAAATAGATGTAAGAAAGGTTTAATGGACCTTGTAAATCTTTATCATCTTGGAATTGGACTAAGATTTGAGATAAGTATTTTCCAATGAAGGAAAATTTTGAGTATCTTAAGATTTCAATAAAGACAAAGATAATGATTACACCGAGTAAACTAATCAATGTGAACTCAATTTGATCAATCAAGATAGATGGAGTAAATAATAACACCACGATTATCAAAAAATGCCAAACTTTTCTTCTTAAATTCTTTGACCAATATTTGGAAAAGGTGAAGATCAATGGAATCAAAACAACCAATAAAGTTGACCAGAACTTTAAAAAGTTTAATCTAGTTTCATTCAAAAAGATATATTCATATAACCAAACGATTGAATTTTGGTTAAAGATTAACTGTAATTGATAATCGGTGAGGAAATAGAATGAAGCTGAATATGTTATAGCAGTAACGATGTTTGGTAAATATAAATAGATTGGATAATTGACTAAAGTGGTGATTAATAAACTGATTAATAACTTTTGGAATATGACTAATGGTAAATATGGATCGACCAATTGTCTATTTAATAAGACATTGGTGATAATCAAACTTACTAATTGAATTTCAGCTTTTGAAAAACTCTTATGACTTTCAACTTCAATGATTTCATCTTCGACATCAACTTCATCATCATCAACTTCAATTTCAATGATTTCATATTCATTTTCTAAATTACCATCATTAATATAGTTTAACCCATAATTTATCATAAAATGAATTAAACAAATTTGAATATAATTAACCGTAGTAATGGAACTCTTTTCAGTATCAGCACTATAAATTTGATAAAATGCAATGGAACTAAAGACAGTGAAGAATGGATGTAATCTATCAACAATGAAATAATTCAATGCTAAGTTAACGTTGAAGAAGTCATCATTGACATATACAATATTGAATAAAAATGGCAAAATGATACTGTAAAGATAATTGAATTCAGGAGGATACTTGGTTTCACCAGGAGCAAACCCTTTAATATAATTTAACAACAAAGCAAGTATTACACCAACGAAATTGAATCCAATCACTTGCATATTATCTTCAAATTTATCTAATTTAGTATAATTAAAATAGATCAATTCGAATATATAAGTAAATACCATCAATTGGAAAGACTGTAAGTATGTCAAATGCTCGTTTAAGAAATCTTGGACTCTATAAATGATATTATATGGAAACCCAGCTAATTCCAATTCGAGATCTCTTTCTTCTTCTTGGGGTACTTCTGCTGTTGGTTCAGCCACCTTACTTGAATCATCCGATGGTTTTAAAGTATCAGCGTCCACATTTTGAAAGATAGCAGCAGTAGACCTAGCACTAGCACTGGCAGCAGTTTCGGCCTCCTTAGCAGCTCTACTACGAGTGTTATACTTTTTAGGTGGCATCGATTTAGGATCTGTTTCTTTTAACAATAGACTCAACTTCTTCCTCTTTCTCTATCAATTTTCAAATTTACGACGTATGCTCTTTTTTGTTCAACTTTAAGACAGATGGAGAAAATGTCTCACTTTTTTGACAAACGGGAGACATTGCTAGTGATCCCACGACATTAGAGATCCAAACGCGTCTAAATTTGAAAATGTAAATATTTACCATTACAATTCTTTGCAACTGTCATCTATCATCTACATCCATCATCAAAATGTATATTAAGAAGATCATCATACAGGGGTTCAAGACGTATAAGAACCAAACAGTGATAGACCTTGTATCTCCACATCACAATGTGGTGGTGGGTCGTAATGGGTCAGGGAAGTCAAACTTTTTTGCTGCCATTCGATTTGTATTATCGGATGCGTATACTCATATGACAAGAGAAGAAAGACAAGGGTTGATTCATGAAGGTTCTGGAACTGTCATGAGTGCGTATGTGGAGATCAGTTTTGATAATCTGGATGGAAGGATTCCTATTAATAAACCAGAGATTTCAATTAGAAGAACTATTGGGTTAAAGAAAGATGATTATTCATTAGATGGGAAATCATCCACTAGATCTGATATCATGAATTTATTAGAAAGTGCTGGTTTTTCAAGATCAAATCCTTATTATATTGTCCCTCAGGGTAAAATCACATCATTAACCAATTCAAAGAATTCAGAACGGTTAACATTATTAAAGGAAGTTAGTGGAGCAACTATATTTGAAAATAAACTTAAAGAATCGATCAAAGAAATGAATAATTCCAACTATAAGAAACAAAGAATCGATGAAACATTATTATCGATCGATGAAAGATTATCTGATTTACAAATTGAATCGAAAGATCTTAAGAAATTTCAACAATTAGAGAAATCAAAAAAGATTTTAGAGTATAATTTATTTGATAGAGAATATAACGAATTGAATGAATCAATTGAAGAGATTGAAGAGAGTTATAATGAAATGTTACAACAATCTTCTCTGGATTTACAAGATTTAGAGAAACGAGAAAAATTATGTCAACAATTACAATCAACTATCAATGAATTAAAGATTTCTTTAAAGATATCTAAATTAGAAAAAGATCAATTAAATTTGGATTATAATCAATTATTTAAATTGGTATCTACTAAAGAAATCAAATTACATGAATTAACCAATTCAAATCAAAATTCAGCTGAGAAATTAAACCTGATTAAACAACAAATTGAAGAATATAAAACCTTAAAGTCAGATAATGAAGCTAAAATCTTAAATTTGAGGCCCAAATTAATTGAATTCCAAACTACTGAATCAAAATTGAAAGAATCATTACTTGAATTAAAATCAAAGCAAAGATCATTATACTCCAAACAACAAAGATTTCTGAAATTTCAAACTAAAGATGAACGTGACTCGATCTTAAATCAAGAAATCAGTTCGATAAAGAAACAATTGATTTTAAAGGATAATGAATTAAATCAATTAAATTCAAAAATTAAAATTTCAGAAAATAATCTTGATGAATTGATTGAAAAGATATCTTCTTTGAATTCAAGTTTAAATGACGAAAAGTATAATTCATCCCTTTCAACTTTGAAAAACTCCATCAATGATTTGAAATTAAATTTAAATCGATTAAATGATAATCGTAAGACGTTGTGGAGAGATGAAATCAGATTCAAGAGTATTTATGATTCACTTAATAATGATTTGGTCAATGCGAACAATTTAGTTAATCAAACCATGGATAGATCACAAGCCCAAGGTTTACAGGCTATAAGGCATATCGCTTCGAAATTGAACTTGTCAGATAAAGTGTATGGTCCATTATGTGATTTATTTGAAGTTAATGATAAATATAAAACTGCCGCTGAAGTTATTGCTGGTAATTCATTGTTTCACATTGTGGTAGATACTGATCAAACGGCATCTTTAATAATGGAAGAATTGATTAGATCGAAATCAGGTAGAGTTACTTTCATGCCATTAAATCGATTAAATGATCTTTCACTTGATAATACTCAATATCCTGATAGTAATCAATATCAATGTATTCCATTAATTAAAAAGATTAAATTTGATAATCCAAAAGTTGCAAAAGCCATAAATCAAGTGTTTAGTAAAGCTATTGTCGTAGCTGATTTATCCACCGGTAGTGAATTAGCTCGTAATTTCAGATTATCCGCCATAACATTAGATGGTGATAGAGTTGATAATCGAGGTGCATTGACTGGGGGTTACAGAGATTATAAAAGATCAAGACTTGATGCGTTAAAGATTCAAACCAAGAAGAAAGCTGAATTAAGCAAAGTTGAAGTAGATTTGAATAATTGCACAAAGGAAATTGAAACTTTAAATCAATCAATCACTACTATGAATAATGAATTACAATTAAATGTTCGAGATTTAGATAAATTACAATCCCAACAAGAACCTATTAAAATCGAATTAACTAGATTGAATGATAAAAAATTCAATATACAACATGAATTAAAGGATTATAAGTCTCATTTGAACAATTTGAAATCATTAAAGAATTCATTATTAATCAATTTAAAACAAAATGAGAATGAATTAAATTCTAAATTTTCTCAAGTTTTAACGGATGATGAGACTAAACAATTGAATGAATTGAATATTATCATAAATAATAAAGAAACTGAATTGGATAATTTAGTTACCAAGCAATTATCCGACTTAGAAACGAAGATTTCTAAATTTGAATCCGAATTGAATAATAATATAAATCCAAATTTGAAAGATTTAAATATTGAATTGAATAAATTTGAACTTAATTCTGACGTCAATTTTGAAATTAAAGAATTAGAGCAAGAATTAACGAATTTGAATGAAGAATTGAGTGCCATCACTGTGAAACAACAATCATCATTAAAAGAATTTAAAAAGATCACTGATGAGATTAGTAAGAGTGAAACTTCATTAAAGAAATCAAATGATCAACAATTGAGTTTATTAAAGAAATTAGAGAAATTCTCAAAGACTAGTGAAAAAACTTTAAATAAAAAATCGATATTGATTAATAGACGAGATGAAATTCAAAAGAAAATCAGAGATTTAGGAGTATTACCTGAAGAAGCATTCCAATCGAATGAGAATAATAGTGATGAATTATTAAAACAATTGAATAAAGTTCATGAAGAATTATTGAAGTATAGTCATATTAATAAGAAAGCTATGGAACAATTCAATACCTTTAATAAACAACGAGATGAATTAGTTCTGAGAAGAGAAGAATTAGAAACTTCGAGATCTTCAATTGAGAATTTGATTAAGAATTTAGAAAACCAAAAGGAAGAAGCGATCAAAAAGAGTTTTAAACAAGTTGCGAAAAGTTTTAATGAGATTTTTGAAGCTCTTGTACCGGTTGGAGTTGGTAATTTAATCATGCAAAAGAGAAATGTTAATAATGATGATAATGAAAATACAGAACAAGTCAGTCAAGAAGATGGGGAAGTAAGAGAAAACGACAATGATGAATCAGATCAACAATCAATTGATAATTATGTGGGTGTTGCTATTTCAGTATCATTTAACTCTAAACACGATGAACAACAAAGAATTGAACAATTATCAGGAGGTCAAAAATCACTATGTGCGATTGCATTAATTTTAGCTATTCAAAAGTGTGATCCAGCTCCATTTTATTTATTTGATGAAATCGATGCTAATTTGGATACACAATATCGTACATCTGTTGCAACCATGATCAAAACATTAAGTTCAAGTGCTCAATTTATATGTACTACCTTTAGACCAGAAATGTTACAAGTGGCTGATAAATTCTTTGGAGTGATGTATAGTAATAAGGTTAGTACAGTGAGTGAGATTAATAAGGATGAAGCTATGAGTTTTGTTGAAAGTCAACAACAGACGTAAGTAAGTTTTGTATAATAATAGAAATATAGCTGCAAATATGAAAACAGTTGTTGTTGTAGTTATGTTCTTAATCCTTCCTAATTAGGAAATATTCCGCACGTGACCGTTCCAGGTTAAACTTTTCTTTTCTTTTGAGAATCTCAGCCCTGTATTTAAGCCAGAAATGATTAAAATCGAAATTGAAAGAAAAAGAAATAAACAACGGGAAACGTATAACTTTCTTCTTCTACTTCATCTTACTATTTTCATTCTAGTTTTTAGTAAAACCCCAATTAGCTTATATTCAAAGATGGTATGTATATGTGATCAAATGAAAGGGGTCAATTCCTTGTCGTTGTCGAAATTTGAAACGAAAAAGAACTGAAGGAATGAGAGTGTCACAATAAGTCATGGTGCAGCAAATAAATCTCCCATTCGCTGCCCCACCGATGGATCATGACGTCGGTGTATACCAACTACAGTTGAGTGCAATAATCATTGGTGCATACGAAATGAATCAACTGATTTGATGTTCTTGAAATCATTCATTCAATCATCATCATCATCAACAATAAATCAATTTCAAATTATACCTTTGCTTTGCCTACTTCTCCCTAGGTCTGCCTGCCCTTTGATTATAGTGTCCGCTATGAAGAAGAAAAAAAAGCTTAACCAGGGGGAAAAAAGCGAAATTTGAAAATGAAAACAAATTGAGCCGACAATAAAGTTTATAAAAGTCCATACCGCAATAGTGTTAGTTGCGATGGACAGTGACGACACCGACTGAAATGAATTTCCTAATTAGGAAGTGGTCCTTTTGAAAAAGTGGTATTTTTAGCATCTACTAACTAGTTTTGTTTATAGTCTTATCAACAAGGTCCTCCTCAACAAGGTTATTACCAACAAGGTCCACCACAAGGTGGTTACTACCAACAACAACAACAACCAATGTATGTCCAACAACAACCTCAACAACAAGGTGGATGTTGTCAATCCTTCTGTGGTTCTTGTTGTGCATTGATCTGTTGTTGTTGTGCTGAAGAATGTCTTGGTATGTTATGTTAGAAAAAATGTACTACCATTACCGTAACTGCTATGTTTGACGTTTAATTGCTGGAATTCAATTAGAAGTTCATTTTCGACTGTTTTTAAAATCAAAATCAAAAAAAAATATTAAAAATAGAGAAAGATTTTTCCCGCTAAAATTCGCTATAGATGTTTCAAATTATTTGTTTTATTATCGTGTTTAATTTTATAAATTTATTAAAATATATAAAAACCAAAAAGAAAGATTTATTTCATCTGATCATTTAAAAAAGTGTGTCTGTTTTTTGACATTGTAGACAAATTCACTGAATAACTAATGGGCGGTAAATCCTCCCGATGCAAAAATGGTTTGACCCGTAACCCAAGCACCTTCAGATACTAAAAATCTAACAATTGGAACAATATCATGAGTTTCAGTTAATCTTTGACCAAAACCAACACTCTTTAAATAAGCCACTGATTCATCAGTTTCTTGTCCATATAAAAATGGAGTATCCATTGGACCAGGAGCAACATTATTGACTGAAATAAATCGATTATTAACTTCTTTTGATAAAGCTTTAGCATAGAATTCAACTGGAGCTTTGGTACCTTGATAAATACCATAAAATGGAGTATAAGCAGCTAATAATGAAGTAACAATGGAAACAATTCTACCATTATCATTTACTTTCTTTCCTGCTTCTTTTAAAAAGAATAAAGCAACTTTATTATTAACTAAATCCATTTCATCAAATTCTTCTTCAGTAATTTCAATAATTGGTTTCTTTAAAACTTTACCCACATTATTAATAGCAAAATCAATCCCTTTATCAAAAGCTTTTAAACCAGCATCAAATAATTTAGTAACATCATCAGCTTTAGTTAAAGCACCTTGATAAATTTCAACTTTAATATCAGGATATTTCGTTTGTAATTCCTTTTGAAATTTAGCTGCTTCTTCACCATTGGATCTATAATGTAAGAATAAATTAACTCCATGACTAGCTAAATCTTTAGCTGTTTCCCCTCCTAAATTCTTAGTACCTCCAGTAATAAGAGCAGTCTTACCTGAAATATTTGCGCTAGCTTTGAATGACATTGTTTGTGTTTGATTTAGTTATATATTGTATATGATTTTTCAATGATAATAGTATCGTTTCGTTTTCTTGAAAATTATTAGTCTTATTTATACTCACAATTTTCCTATCGCCTCAATTTAATTATTTGTAAGGGACAAGTCAACCCTAAACCATTGCTTGGTATAACTTGAATTTGGCAAAAGTTGCAACTTAATAAAAATTGTGGAGGAGTCGCACTCAAAAATTCGGTACTTTATCCCAATGGGGAATTTCCAAGAATCCTCCCAATTTCAGGATTCGTTAACTATATATAATTAAGGTTTTAACCGGCATTCTGTCATTCTACAGTTTCAATTGGTCTAATTATAAAATACAGGTTTGTTTAACATTCATTTATTAGTTTATGACTTTGTTTATATGTATGTATGTATGTTTATATATACGTAAGTGGTTTAAGTAGAAATCTAACGTTAAACTAACTTAGTTCTTACCTTTCTTCTTTTGAGAAGTAGAGTTCTTTGGTAAATCTTTAGTGAAAGGAATAAATTCTGGTTCACCTGGAATATACTTTCTTAACACTTCAGGAACAACAAATCCATCTTCCTTTTGATAATTTTCTAAAATACAACATAAGGCTCTTTGAGTAGCACTTAAAGTTGAATTTAAACAATGAACATATTTCTTTTCAGTTTGATTTTGTTGTTTAATACCACATCTAATTTCTAAATTTCTAGATTGATAATCAGTACAATTTGAACATGAAACTAATTCTTTATATTCCTTTTGGAATGGGAACCATGCTTCTAAATCATATTTCTTAGCAGCAGCATTGTTTAATTCACCTGAAACAATACCAACTACACGATATGGTAAACCTAAAGATTTATAAAATTCTTCAGATAAACCAATCATTCTATCAAATTCTTCCCATGATTTATCTGGTTCAGCTAAAACAAATTGTTCAATCTTTTCAAAAGCATGAACTCTAAAAATACCCCAAGCATCCTTACCATGAGATCCAGCTTCTCTTCTAAAACATGATGAATAACCAGCATATCTAACTGGCAATTGCTCTTGAGGAGATTCAAACCATTCACCAGCATGATAAGCTGAAATTGGTTGTTCAGAGGTAGCAATTAAATATTTTTCATCTTCACCATCAATGACTTTATATAATTCTTCATCGAATTGAGATAATTGAGCAGTTTTAGCCATGACATCTTTATTCATCATAACAGGAGCTTGTAATGGAGTATAACCATTCTTAGCTAAAAAGTTTAATCCATAATTGATTAAAGCTTGGTTTAAGAAAACACCGTAGTTTCTTAAAAAGTAACCACGATGACCAACAATTCTGGCACCTCTTTCTGGATCGTAACCATCTAATCTTAATAAAACTTCATGATGAGATAAAGCAGCTGGAGCTCCAGTAGCAGCAGCAACATTGGTGACTTCTTTATAATTTTCTGGTTTCCAAAGTCTGACTAATTCATTGTTTTCTTCATCTTGAGAATCAACAACACTATCATGAACAATGTTACCAACTTGATTGACTTTAAATCTTAAATCATTATCAGTTTTTTGTTCTAATTCAGATAATTGTTTCTTTTCTTCAGTCAATTTATCCTTTTCTGCAACTAATTCACTGGCGTCTTCCTTGGCTTTGAATTTCAATCCAATTTGTTTTTGAACAGCATTGATGGCTTTGTTCTTTTCATCTAAATCGAATCTAATCTTAGTCCATTCTTTATATTCATTAATGATGTCATCAACAAGTTCAACGGAATCTCCTCTCTTTTTTTGAGAAATCTTAATCTTGTCTGGTTCTCCTCCCTTTTCAACAAGGAATGCGTTAATATCTAACATATTTGCTTAAACTTTTAAACTTGTCTTTGCTTAAGTGTATGTCTTGAGATGGAAACTTGTCATTTTGAGTCAACTTTTTTTTTTCTATATGTAAGTGGAAATTTTTTTTTGTGTGTGGTGATACTTTTGGACACTTTGTGTGCAGGAAATTTATAAAGTCTAAGAGGAAGTTTCGTTTAAGCTGATTTGATTAGTGATTACCTTTCTTATTTGCTTCAACTCGATCAGAGAAATTCAATTATGATAATAGTGATATGATGAGATGAATGACCTTTTATTTGATAGATTAACGGGGGTGATAACCCCCTTGGAATTTGCTACTACTGTTACCGAGTCATTCTATTCGTTATTAAAGCAAACGGCAAAGAAAGATGTGTTTCCTGCTAATTGTCATAGCAATGCTGCAGTGAATAGTTTATCATTAGAGAAGAGTGATTATCAATTCCTATTGAGTGGTTGTGCAGATTCTTCTATCAAATTATGGGACTTGAAACAACAAGATATTCAAACTACCGAAAATGAAGTGGATGCTTCTTATATTAAGAATATTTCTGAATATGATAATTATGATTATGATAATCCAGTATCAGCTTTCACAAATCTAGCGACGATACCTCGAAAATCAGCTCATCAATTTGGAATTTCTGGTTTACAATGGTGGCCTTATGATACGGGTATGTTTGTTACTGCATCGTTTGATCATACTGTGAAAATATGGGATACTAATGAATTGACTCCAGTTCATTCATTTGATATGGATAATAGAGTTTATTCAATTGATATTTGTGGTCATGAATCTCCTAATAAGTTGACTTCATCAGCTTTAGTTGCGGTTGGAAGTGATCAACCATTCATAAGATTACTAGATTTAAGGTCAACTTCTAGTTCTCATACTTTAACTGGTCATAAGGGGAAAACTTTAGTGGTCAAATGGCATCCTATTAATCCCAATCTATTAAGTTCAGGTGGTTTAGATGGTGAAGTGAAGGTTTGGGATATTAGAAGAAGTAAGAGTTGTTTATGTCGTCTTGATATGTTACGAACAAATAGTACCCTAGTTACGAGTAGTGATAATTTAACTAGAGCTTCAGTTAAGGCTCATCTGGGTCCTGTAAATGGTTTAGTTTGGGATGAACAAGGTACTTCGTTATTCACGGCCGGTAATGATGATAAAGTGAGAGTGTGGGATATGGTATCTTCATTAGCACCCCCAGTTAATAAATTGGTTAATTTTGGTCCTTTAACGAGAAACAAATATCCTCAAACTATCCCAATACTATTAAACCCAAAGGGAGAAACTGAACTACAATATTTATTATTTCCATCTGAAAGTAGTGATGTATTTGTTTATCGTACTATTGATGGGAAAATGGTAACCAGATTATCAAGACGTGGTACCAAAAATATCGGTCGAACAACTTCGATGGTAAGTGCAGGTCCATTTACAGGAACTTATTTCTGTGGAACCATGGATGGAGAGATTATTAGTTGGTCTCCTCATTGGGATAAACCAAATATACGAGATTTGGTAGATGATATCCCATTAGAAGAAGAGACAATTGATCTAGACCCTATAAAGACAAGATTAGACAAACAAGAAGTCATTGATAGTCTTGGAGCTGATCCATTCTTTAAATAGTTTATACTGTACCATCATCTGTATTAATATATAATATTGTAATTACACTTTAAAGTGGTACCTTTTTCAAGGTGTACTATACAAATTTCCCTGAAATCAAAAAAAAAACGGTGAGAAATTTAAGTTTGTGTCAGGTTGAAAGATTTGAAACAAATAAAAACAAATAGACAGAACACTTTTGATATCAGTAACATTTTAGATCAATGGACACCAATTGGATAATAGTACTATAGAAATACAATATGAAAGTGAAACTACAGATCATACTAATTCCAAACTATTTTGCTTTGATTCCTACCACCAATATCAATCCTGATTTTTTCAAGAAATTTGTTCATTTGGTGGAATCAAAAGCAAAGTTATCAAGTATTTCAAGAGGTTTAACTAATAGGTTTGCAAAATTATATCCTGAAGAAGACCATCTAACTATAGAAGCATATCAAGATAAAGACACTTTTGATCTTGATCCTGATTTTTTGGTCAATGAAATATTTGAAAATGGTGATGTCTTAAGAATCATTGTGAAAAACACATTCTCAGCTAATAAAAATGCTCTTCTCTTGGCCATTGGGGCAGCTAATGAGTCTGCAGATGAAAGTAATATATCGTTGCCTCCACCTCCTGCTGAAAGTCCAAGTAGTGATAGGATTATTCCTAAGAAAAGAAGATCTCCAGCTACTGCTAAAGATAGTAGACTTCCAGGAAAGAAAAGAATCACGTCTGGAATGTTAGTAGCTCCACCACAATTGGATGATATTAGTGGTCCAGAGAGCGTTGAAGATGAAGAAGAGATTGATTATAATGATGATGAAGATGATGATGATGCCGATATCGATCTGGAGGATTTATTCGTTGAGAATGTTACAAAAGCAGCTACTACTTCAACTCCAACAAAAAAGAGAAACCCCGTAGGCTCTAGTAAGGATATGATATCTAAACTGGAAGTGATGGATCTTTTCAAGAATAAAAACAAGCTCGATAAAAAGTCACCATCTTTAAGTGTGGGTAAAAGAGCTGCTTTAATGAAAAGTTTAATAATAACTATGAATTCGGATCCTCCTAGCACCTCCAATAGAGGTACTAGAGCTGCAAAGCAAGCAGCTGAAATAGCCTTATATACTTCATATCCACCACCATCCCCTTCTTCTGCGAGTCAATCAAAATCTAAAAAGACTTCACCATCCAAAAAGTCTCCTAAAAAATCGCAATCACATTCAAAGTCAGGTTCAAATACAGGGTCATCTGAAAAGTCAATAACAAAGAGAGAAGTAATAGATGCTGACCTTTCTGATCCTATTTCTATAGCTACAGTTGCCTTGCAAAAGAAATCTCCAACTCCACATGATACTATTGATATTCCATCAGATGTAGAATATGATCCAAACCTGAAATTAGGATCTCTTTATCAGAAAATCAAGCATTTTGAAAGTCATTTATTGAAGCATGTCAATCCACTTGGGGTGCCTAAGAACATGACGCCTCTTCCTGAGCAACGTACCCTTCTTCATTCTGAGATATTAGAACCTACGATTGAATTAATTATGAATCGTCCAAAGAAACCCAAGGTTGTTGTCGAACAAAAAAAAGAAAATGGGAATAGTTCTATCAGCCTTAATTCAGAAATAAGCTCACATCAAGATAGGATGATAATTGATGAAAAGATTGATCATGAGTTAGATTTACCAAGCAGTGAAATTGAAAATCATGGTAGTTTACAATTGGTTGTTACTGAAGATGGAATTGGATCTCATCAATATACGGAACCAGAAAAACCTGAAACACCAAGAAGTGATTTTCATGATGATGTTGTTACTACAGAATCGTCGTCTGTAACAGGTTCGCCAAGCACAGCTTTATCAACTATTGCATCTACCGTAGATGATTTAGGTATTTCGGCAAGCATTCCTGTATCAGAATCAATCAGAAAGCATTTCAGTCCATCTCAACGGGCTTCATCTCCCAAGACGAGTCCTAGACAAGCGAATAGCATATTCAAAGAAACAACAAACTCAGGCAAAGTAAGAAATATAGCTCCCAGAAATATCTTTTCGGTTCCCAAGAGTAATAGTATATTTGGCTCTAATCTGAATGGTAATGGATATGCTGGATTAAGAGAAAGAAGACCACCACGCTCACAGATGCATCTTGCTCCACCAATTTCAGGACATGTTCATCATCAAGTCTCATCAGCTTCAGCATCTGACTCGAGTGATTTTGATGATACTACATATGATGAAAAAGAAAATCCAAAAATTTCAAAATTGGTTGCAAAACTTCCAAGTATTATAGTCCGTAGACCATATTTGGAATCTAAGAAACATAAATCAGTAACATTTTCAGATATTCCTATTCTTATACCTGAAAATGATCACGATTTTTCTCCTGATGATGAATATGCTAACAATAATGAAAATTATATGGAAGATGTTCAAGATGATATTTATCCAAAAATTGAAGAGCTTAATGGTCATAATGATGAACCGGAAAAGTTTGGTAATGTCAAGCCTGAGAAAGTTGATGCAGTAGTTATTTCAAATGCTCCAAAGCGTAGTTTTGCTGATTTCATGAAAGATAAAAATGAAAAGAAGCTTGGAATTGTAAAATTAGAATCAACTGAATCATCAGCACCTGTCAAATCTACTCCAATTCAAACTGCTCCACTTGAGCTTACACCAGCTGAATCGGGCCCAGTTGAACCTGCTCAAGCTGAATCTGCTCCGGTTGAAAATGAAGTCATACTTGTGCCAATTAATTCGACTACAGACGAAACTACAAATGAAGTTTCAAATGAAATTTCGATTCCTAATAAGAAAGACTCCGTCTCAATTCCAGCTAAAACAGATGAACTGGCTGAAGAGCCTGAAGATTTGATAAGGAAAGTTTTATTACCATCTTTAGATGATATAGAGTCTGTTGCGGAAGTGAAAGAGAAAGTAACTTCACCGACACCATCACTTCGACCAGCCAACTCACTCAGTAAATTACTTGGTTTTGATATCAACGATGACGAAGATACTAATGATAATTCTAATGATAAATCAGAGGAAAGTAGTGATGAAGATGAAATTGTCAATACTACAGATGAGAAATTCCTTAGCGTGAAAGCAGTTGAACAACAAGCCCAAAACTAATTTTATTTCTTTCCTCGGAATTGTTTTATAAAATAAACTATTTGATCCATTAATTTTTAATTCTATTCGGTGCTTTTTGTTCAATGTTTTTTCATTTCTTGATTGTATAATCAATCTCCTGTCTTTTGCTAAGTTTGCTGGTCTTCAATTCTTAATTGAAAGTTAGAATATGTTTGTAATAGAATTTTTTAAATATAGTACGTACATCTTGTATATTAATCTATTTTATATTTGAAACGAATATATTTATGTAAATAACAAATTAAAAAAAAAGCAAAAAAAGAAAAGAAAAGTAAAAAACTATAATATCTATGTTTTATCTAAAAAGATGTGTTACGCAACTGGTGCTGTAAGAAATGACGATTTTTAATAAAAGGGGGTATAAATGAAATGAAAAGCAGAGAACCAGAACCATTGAATAAATAATGAAGAATTGAAAAAGAAAAAAAAAGTCCAAAGAAAGAAATCACACAGACCTATCAGTTTTTATGGTAAAGACTTCTACCTAAAATCCCTGTAGTCCAATTTTTATAAGTTATTTGAGGTGGTAAAACAACAGTTATAACTCTTAATATTTCACTATAGATATCACTTATGAATTTTTCTGCCACTTGAGGTTGTTCAATTAATAATGCTGCCATATAACATTCGAAATAATCACCTAAGAATTCTTCTTCATAAATTCGAGTTTCAACTGCATCTCTTTCTGGATGTAATTGACCCGTATATAAATGTGGAAGATATTCTGATCTTATAATCTGTTGTATGACTTGATCATTAAGACCTTTATGTAAGTTATAAGCCACTGTTAATTTTGATAATAAGGTATTGGTAGCCAATATGATTCTTAATAATTGATAAGTATTATTATTAACCACTTTATTGGTATCCTTACAGAGTTCATAAATCAATCTTGAAGTTTCATGAGCCAAGAATAAATCTCCTAAACCATCTAAGAATGATAATTCATATTTTAATACCAAATAATCTTTATGATTCAAATCTTCATAACCATTTGCCACTAATTCCTTTGCGAAAGGATGTTGAGGCACCAATAATAATCTATAATATTCACGATGCATTAAAGCTTTCACTAATAATTCTTTATTATAAATCTTTGGTAATGGTGGTAAATAGATTTTACCTGGAGCAGCTTCATAAAAGGTTATAAAAGGTTTTTGCTTTTTAGAATATAAAGCATTATAATTGATTCTTGCATCGTTAAAGTATTCCTTTAATAAATTTAATGAAAATTGATCTTGTTTATTGGAGATTTCTGGTAATAACATGGTTTTATTTCTTGAATCCATATAAATATCAATTATTTTATCTAAGAATTTCTCCACTTCTTTATCATTATAAGATTGAGATAAATAACCAAATATTATATATAACCAATGTCTTAATTGTAATTGTTGATCTGAAGAGATGAAAGGATCTTCATCTTCTAATAAAGCATTATTTGAACTTAAGAAATCCTTTAATTTCTTGGATGATTCTGATTTTGAATCAGTTAATTCTTTTCTTATGAATGTAGTAATATCATAAACCACTTCTTTAATAATACCACCACCACCAACAAACAATAAATGTTTGAATCTTCTATAAGATTCTAAACGTAAGAAATCAAATCCTAAACTAGAAAAATGAGTCTTAACAAACTTATCTGATTGTAAGATATTATTTAATTGTTGAGGAATCAAGACATCATGATGTCTTGATGATGTTGATGGCATGGAACGTGGAATAGCAGAATTTGAGGTAGCAGTAGCAGTAGCAGTAGCAATACCAGGACCAGTAGCAGTGGAAGCATTAGCTCTGAAGTTTGTTGATGTTATGTAGGATGATGAAGACGCGCTAGCTACCGCAGCAGAAGCTCTTGAACGGGTACCATTCGATGACATTCTATTAGTTCTTGATAGTATGGTAATCATTGATAGAAGAATAGAAAAGAAAAGAAAACAACAAGATATTTAAACGTTTAAAAAAATGATCAGATGGTGAAACTAAATATAAACAAATTACTATTTTAAGAGATCAAACGTGTATTCACAAATCATCACAGTTTTAGGTTACTTGAAATTTTGTATGACCATTAAATGGAACCCAAAATATCTCTCTCTCTTCTGATAATGGAACTCTTTTACCCCACGAGTGCGCAATCATAAAAACATTACACAAACACTTTTTTAATATTTGTTTACATTTTGCAGTTAACTGATAAGAGATTTTATGATTGTTATGATTTGTGTATAATGTTATTTAAATGGTTTAACAACTATTATGTTCAGGATATAGCGGTTGTTTAAGTTGATAGAATTGGTTTGAATTAGTTCTATTAGTTTGTTCTAGTTTAATTAGAATTTAATTATAGTCAAACAAAAAAATACTATAATTAGAGAAAAAGCGCAATCAATCTATGACTAACAATTCTAGTCTATAAATATATCTTATTACAAGTATAAATAATCTATTATGAGTCTATTTCGCTATGAATGTATGGATTAGAAGATATAATAGTATGAATCGGGATCCTCATCGTTTGTCATTACCTCTTCTCTGCTATTTATCACTCAATGACTCAAACAATAATTAAATATTTGATCACTTGAATATCAGTGACTCATAGAGATACAGTAATGTAATTATCATAGTCTACCAGTATTATAGGCACACTATAACTATTTAAAGGACGTGGAATAAGGAGTATCATTGACTGCTTTATGCTTATCGGTATTTGTACTTACATACATGATGCTATTTGCCCAATTGTAGTTGTTACAACATATTCTACACTGTCAATAACTCTAAATTATTAACAGTGCTTAAATAACTCATTAAAGAAGATATTTTGATCATTCTTTTACAGATACTATAAACCATTTTCAGATTAAAACCTGTTTTTACAATTTCTGAGTCAATTTTCAAAATATGTAAAACTCCAAAATATGAAAATCATCAAAAACAAAGACAACAACATAAAATCAGCTTCATTAGAATCATAACGACTATATAAACCGAGAAATATATTCAAACCCATCAATATCCTATTGAAAGAGTCAAAATTTTCAATTTTTCGAAATTTTAATATTTTCAAAAATCAAGTTTTTAATCGGTGTGTCAAAGCCGAAAAATTAAGAATTCGTCGAAAAGACTCATAGCGCAATAGTCTAGGAAAATTCTTAGTACGGCAATAGGTGAAACACAACTTAGCGGTTCGAAGCCTGCCAGGATCAGAATTAGTACATTCCAAATTGCAGCTAAATACAGTTTAGCGACTGTTCAGCAAAGGTCGGTAACGATCTATTAGGTTGTAGGCTAGCCCCCTCCCTAATCACTATCCAAAGGTACCTAAAGTTTAGCGACTTTCAATAGGATGCTTTGTGACACAGGAACCCTAATTCAAAACCTATTAGCGCTAGCACCGCACTAGGAGACAAAGGTAGTACTATAGGAAACCTATTAGCGAATTCAAGCCTATTAGCGCTAGCCCCGCACTAGGTAGTAGCACTAGGGAGTACTTCATGAAAAATAACTTAGCACGGAGACCTTCTTTGCGACTGGTTACAAATGTGTTAGCTCCACAGAATACCAGGACCTAGAATGGTGAAAAGCAAGTTCAATATTCATTAGAGTGAATGCCTCCTGCTTGGAAGATTTGAGATTTTAGCTGTCTGCAAAATAAATATCTCAGTGGCTCGATTAAGTTCGCCCTGAGGTTTCGATCTCCAGCAGTGAGAGTTAGTAGCGAAGACAGCCAAAGATTTAACGCGGTGTAGCTACCATTAAAAATGTTACTTCTGAAATTTGGGCACCCACACAACCTTAGTGGGCACTTTCCTTTTGCGGTTTTAGCTCAGTTGGGAGAGCGTCAGACTGAAGATCTGAAGGTCCTGTGTTCGATCCACAGAAATCGCATTCTTTTTTTATATAACCTTTATTTTTTTGAATTAGACGTATAGCTCAACCTATGGTCAACATAGTTATGTTATTTTTATTGAAAATAGATCATTATTAGGTTGGTTGGTGTAACTTTTAATAGAAATCTATTTAGCGAAGGAAAGAAAAAAATCATCACTAAATGTTTTTCTCCCGCAATTGGTCTTAGCGAGAGAAAATTTACTTTCTCGCTAGGGGTCTTTCCCTCAGTAATTATTTTGTAATTTATATATATATATATATGTATTCATTAATCATTACAACTAAAATAATTATATAAGAAACGTAAAAAAATGTGTAGTAAATAGGTGCAATGAAGATTACATTGACCAAAGAATAGAAAAAAATTAGCGTCTAGGAATAAAAATGATATGATTGTATGGTGGATTCATTCATGATTCAAAATGATCTTTACAGAATCCTCTTAATGCAGTGAATTCAGTAGTTAAGAAATTATCAAGGACATTTTCACTAATGATTAATTTAAAATTACAAAGATATAAAAAAGAAACTTCCAATCTAAACAAATCCTTGGTGGTGATTCCACCCACTGTAGCAAAAGATTTTTGTTTTTGATAAACATCTTCTAATTTCTTAGTTGAACATCTTATGGAAGCAAGGATTAATCGATAAACATTTGATTCAGTTAAAGGGACAATATCTAATAAGATACATAATTTAAATAACATTGAAGCAGAATGAATATAAGAACTCACTGAAATGGATGATGAATAAGTTTTAATTCTAATTAAAAATTGATCAATGGTTAAAGGAGGAATTTTCAATAATTTAAAACTTTTTAATAAATGAGTAGTTTGATGTTGTCTTTTTAAATCTTGATTATATTGATATTCTTTAAAGAATTTATCATTATTGATATCAGTGATAGGATTTTCAATTGGTTCCAATGAACAATTTTTGATCAATTCATCTATAGGTATATAAGGAGCATTACTTTGTTGTTCATTATTGTTATAATTATCATGACTTTCATTATCATCATTCGATTGATCAATGTTCTCATTAGTGGTATCATCTTGTAAATCATCCTCATTTTTTTCATCTTGATTCAGTTCACTATTAGACAAAGAATTTGGAGTTGATTCTCTTAATGATTCGAAATTTTCTGTATTTGTATCATTACGATTTAATTTAGCAAATTTCAATGGAGGTGATAAAGGAGGAGTTGAAGATCTTCCAGGAGGAATAATTGAAGATGATAATATGGTTGGAACTCTTGAAGTTGGATCTGATGAGGATACGGATGATGAAGTAGAAAGTAAAGGTGGCGGAGGAGTTAATTTATAATCATCTAAATTTATACCGTATTTCAATAATTGTTGATGTTTAAATTTTTGAAATAACTCTGGATTTGATTGTAATTTGATGATATCCTTTAAAGTTGTACATAACACAACTATGGCATGGAATACATGAAGTTTATTTATATTTTTAATACCATGATTTATATCAAATACAAGATCATCAATAAAGACTTCATCAATCGAAGTTGGATCATCGACAAAAGTTTCTTGAGTCTTTTTTAACGGTATATCACTTATATCTTTGACATAAGCCATGACGACTGGGATGATATTAATATGAAGAAGGTAACAATGCAAGAGATGAAAGAAACTGAACTAAGAAAAACAAAACAAATCCAAAATGATGAAAGATGAATGATATGAAATGAAATAATATGATATGAAATGATGTATAATGATAAGGTTTAAGCTTGGAGCAGAAGCGTTAATTTCAAGTACAAGTGGAAAACGTTGAAGTGGTGTAAGTGTGAACGTATATGATAGTGGAAGTTGAGACTACTAAGATATATCTATAACGAATGGGTAATAACAAAGTACAATATAGATGTTTATTTGTGGAGACGATATTTAAAATGGTGATGATTTTTTTTATTTCTTCTTCTTCCTTTCTTCCAGCGAGATTTATTTTTGTTTCTTTTTTTTTTTTTTTTCTGTAAGAAAAAATTTCTATTTACGAGCACTCAAATTATTTATATGTACAAGGTGAATCTTAAGTCGTTAAAATGATTATGTGATAGAATGATAGTTGGTAATAGTATAGGTGTACTACTTACAATACTCTATACACTATTCAAATAATTATATTCTATTAATATGAATCAATTTCATGAAATAAAACGCTAACGAAAATAAGGTAGAGGAATTGAAATTCAACTGGAAAATTTTCGCAACTACTTAAACTCTATTATTTGCCAAGCTATGTCCAGTTAAACCCCACATTTTTACTTAGTTATTGTTGTAATAGGAATGTTCATTGATCAATTGTAAATGTAACTTACCAATTGTAATTATACCTCATCATTATGTTAACTTGGCAATGACTTTAAGTTTTGTTCAGAGTCAAGTGTGATTTGATTGGTCTTGGCTTAACTTGACATAGTTACTTTGGTTATAATTGCAATCAGATTACGTGAAAGAATGAAGTCAAGTATGTCAAGAATGGTTAACCATATGATACAGCCCCTATTCATCAAGTTGTTACTATCTCTGACTTGATCTTATTGTCATTATTAAATAATAATTTATTTTCTATACCAATTGTTTACAGTGTAGTTGATCATTATTGATGTTAGTACATAAGATCATTATGATATTAACTGTCTATATTGATACGCGAAATGTCATAATCATAAATTAAATAATTATTAACTTAATAAACATAAACAAATAAACAAATAAATTAATAAATAAATAAATAAATAAATAAATAAATAAATAAATAAATAAATAAATAAATAAATAAACACACATACTTATAAGGGTTCAAATCACTTTGATCTAAATAGAGTAAGAGAAAGAGAGAAGATCTCCGACCTTGTAATGTATACCACTCACGGGAAATGTCACACCCCCGGAACTCTAGTTTAAATCGAAAGACGCGGAACACGCTATTTTTCCATTTTTTGTTTTTATTATTTGTCTTTCGTAATTTGGCGTTGATTGATTTACAAGGAGACATTTTTCAATGTTTTTGTACGACATGGAAGGTTATTTATAGAAGGAGCGGCACCGACATTATTGATCCCAAAAAATTTGTTTGTAGTTAGTTACAGCCAAGCCTTTAAATCTTACCATAGTTAAGGAAATGAAGAAGTAGAAGAAACACTTCAAATTTTTTTTTTATTTACAACCACTTTGTTTCTTTCTGGTTTCTTGTTTGTTTATCATCAATCATCCATCAATCTGAGTTGATCCATCCATCCATCAATCAATCAACTTAACCAACCCATCTTACCATCTTATCTGGGTTTTGCTATCTTGTAAATTGCACTAAATCTATCCATTCGCTAACTACGGATCAAATCCCTGAAATAAAGAAAAAGAAATTTTTTTTTTTTTTTTTTGCTTTCCATTTTTGATTTTAATACAGAAGTTTACATCGTTGTCTGAATCAATTTTTAATATAGTATATACCCCTTCAGAATCAAGTTGTAAACTAGTACTTTCGTTTGGCATCATTTATAGTCTATAATATTCATATTCATATTCATAGCATAGAAGTACATTAAATCAAATCATATATCATATCATATCACCCAACCCGTGCCTTTTACTATAGAGCATATTTTAATAGATACCCCACCACACATATCCACTTCATAATGTTGATAATACAGAAATCAAGCTGGTTCTTGTTTCTCCTTCTATCTTTCATCATCAATCCTATATTTGCTGATAGAACTCTTTCTGCAACCTCCTTGGTAACATGTATGCAAAATTCTCAAATTTCTCCATCATATTTTAATGTTACTTTTAATCCAGATGATAAATCTTTAAGATATTCTCTTGATTTAACTACTGAAATCTCAACTTATGTCATAGCTCATGTTCAAGTTTATGCTTATGGCTTTGTAATCATTGAAGAAGATATCGATTTATGTACCTTAGGTTGGAAACAATTTTGTCCTGTTTATCCTGGGGCTTTACAAGTTGAATCGATTGAATATATTAGTGAATCTTATGTTAAAGATATTCCTGGTATTGCTTATTTAGTCCCTGATATCGATGCTGTGGTTAAAGTCATTGTTAAAGATGCATCAACCGGGGTTCAATTATCTTGTTTACAAGCAAGTTTCACTAATGGTAAAACTATCAATCAAACTGGAGCAAAATGGGCTACTGCCATTATTGCTGGTTTAGGATTGTTAATCGCAGCTATCTTATCAACTTTTGGTAATTCAAATGCTGCGTCTCATATTTCAGCAAATGCTGTATCTCTTTTCCTTTATTTCCAAAGTGTAGTAGTGGTTTCAATGCAACACGTTGAAAGAGTTCCACCTATTGCAAGTTCTTGGGCTGAAAATTTAGCTTGGTCAATGGGTTTAATCAAAGTCGAATTCATGCAAGATATCTTTAGATGGTATGTTCAAGCTACTGGTGGTACCCCAACTACTTATTTCAAAGGTACTACCAAACAAATCTTAGTTCAAAGAGCTCTTGATTTCTTTGATAATCTTCATGAATATGCTAAAAGATCTCTTGATTTTGGTTTACAAGGTAATAGTAATTTAATTGTGTTAAGAGGTATTGAAAGAATTGGTTATGATTCAAATATTGAAGTCACTTCTATTGTCGTAACTGGTTTCACATTTTTCATTTTAATGGGTTATCTTTTAATTTTCATTTTAGTCATTATAAAATCAATCTTGGATTTATTATATAGATCAGGAAAATTAAAAAATAGAACTTTTTCTCATTTTAGATTAAATTTCCTGCAAATCTTAAAAGGTTCATTATTAAGATACATTTATATTGGTTTTACTCAATTGATTATCCTTTCATTATGGGAATTCATGCAACAAGATTCTCCAGCTGTGATTGTTTTAGCAGTTTTATTCCTTATCTTGCCATTAGGTGTATTGTCATATTCTTATTATAAGACTTTAACCTTTGGAAGAAGATCAATTCAAAAACATAAAAATCCAGCTGCTATCTTATATGGGGATGGTAAATTTTTAAATAAATATGGTTATTGTTATACCATGTTTCATGCCAACAAATATTGGTTCGGTGTGGTGCTTTTATCTTATAATTTAGTCAAAGGTATTTTCATTGGATTATGTCAAGGTTCAGGTAAAGTATCATCCATGGTTTTATTCATTGTTGATCTTGCTTATACCATTTATTTAATTTATGAAAGTCCTTATTTAAATAAGCCAACCAATATCTTGAATTATTTAATTTCCATCGTTACCACTGCTAATTCATTCCTTTTCCTTTTCTTTTCCGATTTATTTGGTCAACCGGCTCCAGTAGCTTCTATTATGGGATGGGTATTTTTCATTTTAAATGCTGGATTTTCATTAATTCTTTTAGTATTCATCATTGTCTTGATTGTTATGAGTGTTATTTCAAAGAATCCAGATGCAAGATTTGCTCCTGCTAAAGATGATAGATCATCATTCCAAAGAAAATCATCTGTTAAACAACGTGGTTTCTTTGGTGATAAAAAAGATCCAAATAGTCCTAATGAAAAAGATGATTTACAATCAGATACTGGAAATGGTAATGGTGAACTTGCCGCTTTAGGTTTGGCTGCTCAAGATCACGCTACCGATTGGGAAGCTCAAATGTATAAATTAAATGATCTTTCAGGTGTAGATGATACTACTAGTGGTAATGAAATCTTAACTCCTTCATTAGAAAATGAAGATAAATTTAATAATGAAAAAGGTTTGAATGATGATAATCAAAATGGTGTTGCTGGTGGTTTCTCAAGATTGAAAAATATGGTGGCTAGAAAATTATCTACAAGAAGACCAAATGAAAATTCAAACACTAATAAAGACACAACTTTAGTAAGTAGTTCATCAGATTCAAGTAATACAAAGGGTAATATCAGAATGAGTGATACATTAATCAATACAAATGATGAAGATTATGATGATGATTATGATAATTTTGATGAAGATGTCACTCATACTGCTCCACGTATGACTCAACATAATAGAAATGAATCAAATATTTCAAACTATTCAGCCCCTACAAACACTAAAGATTTAATTTAATTTAATTAAGTTAACCATTTTCCTCATATACCCCTCCTCATTGTACTATAATTGTTAATCATCATTTTTATATTTTTCTACTTTTGGGTTCCATCTTATTTTTAGATTGCTTTTTTCTCCGTCAGTTAGTTTTGTTTGTTTTTCTATATTCGTTAAACTAATTTCTATTTTTATGTAAAAGTACTATATATATACAAGTTTATTAGTCGTTATTATTCTTATCTTGTTCCCCAAAAGTAGTATCCCAAATCTCTTGAATTCTGGTTAAATATTCAATTCCTTGTTGTCCAAATGATAAGAATAAATTTGATTTTTGGTCAGATGAAATTGCTTTAGAAAGCTTATATAATATACTATCTTCAACTGTTAAACTAGGATTTTCCAGTTCATCTGCCCAATTTAAATGATTTTTAAGTAAATTATTAAAATCAATAGGTGATGTAAGCTTGTGTAAATAATTTGCCGTCATCGAAACAGCTTTTGATATTACATGAATATCAGCTTCAGAATAATCATAATCTTCATTTACTCTTATTTTAGTAGCCCAAGTATCTCCAAACATATCTGGGGTATTGGTGGAAGAAAACCGAATATTAAGTGAAGTGGATGTTGATAAATATGGAATGGTTTGAACTAAAGCAGGATTAAATATATTCAATAAATCATTTTTAAACCATTGTTTTGTAGTATCAGCAGCTATTAAAGGCAGAATAGGTTTAGAGAGTGAAGAATCACATTCAAAATCTAATGTTTTAATAAAATCACTTGTAGAAAATTGTTGAAATATTTCCCGTCTTTTATCAGCTGGTATTAGACATTCAAATAATCCACCCACAAATGTTTGAGGAACATAAAATGATAATTTCTGTTTGGCATATTTCCTTCTTCTAGCCATCTTGTAACAAGCGAAATTCCTGGATTCCCACTCCATTGTAGACTGTGGATCAGCACTCTTAATATCTTCATGATGTGAATATGATTTTTTTCCAGTATATTGTATTGCATTTCCACTAGAGAGTTTCTCTAGTGTCATATCAAATATATGTCTAAGATATTTCTTTGCGGTTTGAACCTTCTCTAATACTATTTGTTTAAACTCTAACAGCTTGGTACCTTCGATTTCTATCTTTGAAACTTCCTCGTCTACTTCCTTATCTATTAAATTTTGAATTGTATCATCTGGGGGAAGAGTTAACATATCACCTAACTTAGGTTTGAACATACAGAAAGGTCTTTCCCAATCCACACTTGAACTACTTTCTGTTCTAATATATTTCAGATAATCAACCTTTCCATGGTTACAATGAGTTAAAACTAGAAAATGCATACTGACAGGATGTAATAAACCAGCAATCTTATATTGTCGATTAATTTTGAACCCAGTGAATGGAATTGTATTGCTGCCACCAGGATCACATATCTTATTTTCTTGGAAATACCAAGTTGCATGAGCTACCTTGATCGCATTAAAAACTAGTAGTAACCAAATATACTGTATATTCATTGAATCTTATTCAAAATATGGTATGACATGAACATAGTTGGTGTAAACCCATTGGAATTAATTTGTTGCAAATAGATTTTAGCCGCCAAATTAACTTTTTTGTGTCACTGTAATTGAAAAAAGAAAAAATTTTGAAAAATTTCTGGTCACATGACCGAATTTTTGAGACTAAAAAAAATTTAGAGAGATGTGATGCTTCTTAAAAAAAAGATGCTAAAAGATGGCATCAGAGGTTAAGATTTGATACTTTAGCTACCTATTACAAGTCCAACCACTGTTCAGAATATCTTGAGAGATGGAATCGCAGCAGTCTAATAAGACTCACAGGGGAAGCAATCCTAAGACCACAGCCAAAAAGAAATTGCATCAAGATGGTCAAAATAAAAAGGCTTTTGCTTTCAATGCTCCAAGAAAGTTAGAAAGAATGGCAAGACGTTCTCATGATGTAAATGAAAGAAAGTTACATGTACCTATGGTGGATAGAACTCCAGATGATGATCCACCTCCTGTCATAGTTGCTGTTGTTGGACCTCCAGGAACAGGTAAAACCACCTTAATAAAATCGTTAGTAAGAAGATTAGCTAAAACTACTTTAACAGAAATTAAAGGACCAATCACAGTAGTAAGTGGGAAAAGAAGAAGATTAACATTCCTTGAAGTTGGAAATGATTTAAATTCAATGATAGATGCTGCTAAAATTGCCGACTTGGTGTTGTTATTAGTGGATGGTAATTATGGTTTAGAAATGGAAACTATGGAATTTTTAAATATAGCTCAACATCATGGTATGCCAAGGGTATTGGGTGTATCAACTCATTTAGATTTATTTAAATCACAATCTACTTTAAGAACTTCAAAGAAAAGATTAAAGCATCGTTTCTGGACTGAAGTTTATCAAGGTGCCAAATTATTTTATTTATCTGGTGTTATAAACGGAAGATATCCTGATAGAGAAATTTTAAATTTAACTAGATTTATATCTGTTATGAAGTTCAGACCATTGAAGTGGCGTAACGAACATCCATATTTATTAGCTGATAGAATAACAGATTTAACTCATCCTCAAGAAATTGCTGAAAATTCAAAATGTGATAGAAAAGTAGCAGTTTATGGTTATTTACATGGTGTACCATTACCATCACAAGACACTCATATACATATAGCTGGTGTTGGAGATTACTTTGCTCACTCCATAGAAAAACTCCCAGATCCATGTCCAACTCCTTATTTCGAACAACGTTTAGATGAAATAGAAAGAGAAAAGGCAAAAGCTGCCGCTGCTGAAGGTCAAGAAGTAGCCAAGACAACCAGAAGGAGGAAGAGATTAGAAGACAAACAAAAGATCATCTATGCTCCAATGTCTGATGTTGGAGGTGTTCTTGTTGATAGAGATGCAGTCTATATTGATGTTGGTGCCAAAGAAGCATTTGATAAAGATAATGATGAATTAGGTGAAGGTGAAAAATTGGTTACTGATTTACAAGATGTACAAAAGACTATGCAGGAAAGACTTGAAGAAGGACCAGGTTTGCAATTGTTCTCAAGTTCTAAAGCTCTTAATAACGTAGAAAGTAATGGAAATGATAGTGACCACGAAGGTGGATTGTTATCTGATTTAGATGATGATGAAGATGATGAACAAGAAATCGGTAAAGTTAACACTGGTAGAAAAGCTTTAAGAAGACCAAACATCTATGGTAAATCCATCAATGAAGACGATGAATTTGATGATGAATTATCTGATGATGAAGATGAGGATCATTATAACTCAGATGACGATAAACCTGAAATGGTAGAAATCGATTTTAATAATGACTCCAGAAAATACAGAGATGATGAATTGGAATATGTTGAAGATTCATCTTTATCCTCTGACGAAGAAACTGGATATGCTGATGTGGCTGCCAGATTGAAGGGATCTGCTATTAGAAAGTGGGACATTAACAAGTTGTTATATTTAAATAATATTGATCCAAGCGATGTCATAAAAAGATGGAGAGGTGAAAACGAAGATGATGAAGAAGAAGAAGATATCGAGGATGAAGAAGAAGAAAACTTCTTCACTAAGAAAAATTCAAATGATGCATCTGCGGACTTGGATACCTTCCAACCAACCTACCCTTCAATTGAAATTTTGAAACAAAAGTTCAGTTCTGAAACTGTTGAAGAAGAAAACAGCGATGAAGAGTATGAAAATGGTTATAAATCATTGAAATCTAGATTCTTGGTTGCTCCAAAATTGAATAGTAATGAAGACGGTGATGAAAATGACGAAGAAGGAGATGACAATGAAAAGGAAGACCTTTATGGGGATTTCGAAGACTTGGAAGACGAAGAAAATGAATCCAAATCCAATGGCAAAAACGACGAAGAAGATGACGACGAAGATGAATTTGCCGACTTTGATGCCGAGGAAGAAAGAGCCGATCTTGGATTGGATGAAAAGTCCAACGACGAAGAAGATATAGACTATGATAATTTAACCACTGAAGAAAAGAGAAAATTAAATGCTGAAAAGAAGGCCAAATTAAAGATGCAATTCGAAGAAGAAGAAGATCGTGAATTTGGAGCAGATGATCCAGAAGGAGGTGAAGCCGAAACTTGGTATGATTTCCAAAAGAGTAAAATGGCTAAACAATTGGAGATTAATAAAACTGAATATGAAGATATGACACCTGAACAAAGAATAAAGATTGAAGGTTATAGAGCCGGTTCTTATGTTAAGATTGTATTCGAGAACATTCCTTGCGAATTCATTGATAACTTAAAACCAGAATATCCAATAGTATTAGGTGGTTTACTTTCAACTGAATCTAGATTCGGTATAATGAATGTCAGAATCAGAAGACATCGTTGGCACAAAAAGATCTTGAAATCTCAAGATCCATTAATCCTTTCCCTTGGTTGGAGAAGATTCCAAACCTTACCAATATATACCACTTCTGATTCCAGAACTAGAAATAGAATGTTGAAATATACCCCTGAGCATGCTTATTGCTTTGCTTCATTCTATGGTCCATTAGTCGCTCCAAATACTACCTTTGTTGGTTTTAATATTATTGATAAAAAATCCACCACTGGATCTTTCAGAGTTGCTGCCACTGGTATCGTTGAAGATTTAAATTCTTCAGTTGAAATTGTTAAGAAATTAAAATTAGTTGGCCATCCATCTAAGATTTTCAGAAATACAGCATTTGTTAAAGATATGTTCTCAAATGGATTAGAAGTTGCCAAGTTTGAAGGTGCGTCTATTAGAACTGTTTCTGGTATCAGAGGAGAAATAAAACGTGCATTATCAAAACCAGATGGTCATTTCAGAGCTACATTTGAAGATAAAATTTTGATGTCTGATACTATATTCTTGAAGACTTGGTACCCTGTTCCAGTCAAGAAATTCTATAATCCTGTTACTTCGCATTTGTTAGGAGATCATGACCAATGGAGAGGTATGAGATTAACTGGTCAAGTAAGAGCCGAAAACAATATCGCAACCCCATTACTCGCGGATAGTGCTTATAAGAAGATAGAGAGACCTGAAAGAAGATTTAATGCTTTGAAGGTTCCAAAATCGATCAAGAAATCATTACCATTCAAATCACAAATTCATCAAATGAAGCCACAAAAGAAGAAGACATATATGGCAAAGAGAGCTGTTGTTGTTGGTGGCGAAGAAAAGAAAGCCAGAGACTTGATGCAAAAGATTGCAACAGTTAGAAAAGAAAAGGATACTAAGAGAAAAGAAAAGAAGAGTGAGAAGTTCAAAGAAAGACTTAAGACCATTGCTAAGAAGGAAGAAATCAGAAAGGACAAGGAAAAAGAACGTAAGAAGGAATATTTCCAAAAAGAAGGTAAAAAGAGATCACTTCCATCAAGTAACGCTAATGCCTTTGGTAAGAGACAACGTTCATAAAAGTTTTACAACAGGTTATAGAATATTAAATTACATAATATGTACTTTTTAATTTGCATAATATAAATAAATAGATTATAAAATCTTCAAATGTGATACTCAAGGAGTCTTGTAGTTTCAGCTTTTGATAAAAGGTCATTATCACCCCAGACCGCTCTCATAACGTCATAAAATTCTCTTGCGTAGAAAATTTGAATACCATATTTCTTTAAGTAGAACTTTTCAACTTGTTCCATTTTGAAATCGTTCTCTTCATTGTCTCTCAATAATTCATTCATCAAGTTGGAGTCAACTGGCTCACCAGCTTCTTCGACACTTCTACCGTATTCTTCGATCAAATCCTTTCTGTTCTCACGAGGAACAATCATTCTCTTGATATTACCATTCAAATGAGCACCCATCATTTTTTCTTTAACACCTCCAATAGGTAAAACTAAACCTCTCAATGTGATTTCTCCAGTCATGGCGATATCAGCTGGAATGGGTTTATCTAAAAGAACAGATAAGAACAGCAATGCCATGGTAATACCTGCAGATGGTCCATCTTTGGAAATAGAACCCATTGGAACATGTAAATGAATTTCCATATTGTTAAACTTATCGATTAAATAGTTTTCCAGTTTGTCTTTGACATTCAATAAATTCCTATAGATCATCAGCTTAATGAAAGTTAATCCAATCTTTCCACTTTCCATTAATACTTCACCTAATCTACCGGTCATATTTAATGAACAACCAGAATTAGTATTGTTGGGATTTCCAATTCTCTTATCAAAACCAATACTTTCGAATACTAAGACAGATCCTGAACCATCTGAATTGTAAGATAAACCATTGACAATACCCACTCTGGAGTTATTGTATAAAGATCCCTCAGCACTAGTTAAATCACCAGAACTATATGGAATACCTAAATACTTAGGTAAATCATTTTCATCAACATTGGCGTTGTAGACTTTCATGGTATTACCAATAGTTTCACAGTATTCCACTGCTTTGAATCTACAAATAGTACCCAATCTTCTTTCAAAATTTCTTACACCAGCCTCTCTGGTATAATCGACAATGATTTTCTTCATTACTGAATCTGAGATATTAACTGAGTCATTTGTCAGGGCCGAAATGTCAAATCCATTTCTTCTAATTTGTCTTGGTAATAAGTATTTCTTACCAATGATAAGTTTTTCATTGAAATCATATGCTCCAACTTCAATCATTTCAAGACGATCTAATAATGGTCTAGTCATATTATGAGGTTCATTGGCAGTACAAATGAAAATAACTTGAGATAAATCCACTGGGAAACCTAAATAATGATCAATGAAGGAATTATTCTGTTCTGGATCTAACACTTCTAACAAAGCAGCTGATGGATCACCATTAAATTTGTTTCCTCCACTATTACCTCCAATAACTTTATCAATTTCATCCAATAAGATCACAGGATTCATTGATCTAGATTTTCTCAAAGCTTGGATGATTAAACCAGGCATAGCACCAACATATGTTCTTCTATGTCCTCTGATTTCACTTTCATCTTTGATACCACCTAATGAAATTCTTTGGAAATTACGACCTAATGATGCTGCAATTGATTTAGCTAATGAAGTCTTACCTGTACCTGGTGGACCAGCCAACATAATAATTGGGGACTTATTACTCTTGGTAACTCTGATAGATTCATTTGCTAACAGATCAATATGACTTTCAGTAATTGAAGTTTTAACTTTACTTTGAGCTTCTTTATGAGCCACTGAAGTTTCATCGTTATTTGCAATCACAATAGATGAGTTAGAATCAGGCAGTTGATCTTTATCATTCTTATCATCCACTGGTCTCTTGTTCTTATTGGAGATATTTATTTGCTTTTCTGCATTCATTCCTAATAACTTCAAGACAACAAGATATTGGATTAATCTTCTTTTAACATGTTCTAAACCATAATGATCATCATCCAATTGTTTTTTAGCGAAAACCAAGTCAATGTCTTTATTTGTTTTAAACTTTGTTACATATCTGTCCCACGGAATGTCCATAACGATTTCCAAATAATTACGTATAACATGGAAGTCAGAGTTACCACCACCTCCAGGGCCGTTATTGGATGATTTTATTCTTTTAAAATCTTTGACAATCAATCTCTTAGAATCTGCAGTTAATGTGGAAATATTTGGTAACTTATTCTTCACAAAGTTGGTGATAGCTCTCAATTCATCATCTTCGTCATCATCATCGTCATCATCAAAGTTTTCTTCGGGATCACTTGTAGCTACACGACGATTTTTAGGTGCATTATTTGGAGTATTTGGTGGTGTGTTAGGAGCTCTAACAGTTGATCGATTACCAGTAGGTATTGCCTTTTTGGTCATGCCTTCTAATAATAATCTGATCGATTTCAATTGATTGGCCACAACATTTGCCTTTTGGATATTGGTAGCTTCATTATAAAACCAATGACTAATAAAAGAATTATTTTGTTTCAAGCTTTCAAAAGTTTCAATTAATAGGTTGATCATTTCTTCGATAGTATCAGTTCTTTCCGAAATATTAATTTTATGTAATAATTTCAATTTAAGATTATTTGGAAATGGAAGAATACCACAAGTAAGATCGATTAATCTTAAGAAAGATTTACCATCAATACTCAAACCAGAATCATTTGCTCCAAACTGACCGTATAACTTTTGTAAGCTGATAAATGCTTTTGAAAAATCCTTTGACCCTGATAATTGCAAGTATAAAGCAGTAGCTAACGGATTAAGAATAAGCAAATCACTGTCATCGTTGTTTGTCATTTGAGAAGCTTGATTTTCCTGAGCCTTTTTCAAATTCTTATTTACCAAGGATAAATTTGAGTTTTTACTATTGGATGAATGATTATTCAATGCTTGACGATATTGAATGATGAACTTGTCCATAGCTTTAAACAAATTTGAACTACTTTCCTTTAATGTTTTGAAATTTTCTTTCAAGTTTGGAATATCAAAGTTCCAGTCTACATCAATTAATTGTTCATTTGGTTTCGATTTCTTCTTATCTGGCACTTTCAGACCTCTTGTAATAGCTTGTAATGTTAATTTGATATTAGTAGTATCGTCAATGATTCCGATAATTCTAACAATGGTAACAACATTATTATACTCCTTTGTATCAACGTTTGAACCCTTAGGTTCTTTAATTTTGGAAAAGTTAGGTTTTATAGCTAATGTTAACCAATCAAAGTCACTTTGAGGAGCTAAATCGATATCAGATAAATCGGAATTGGCAACCACTAAAGAATTAGAACTCTTAAAGTTAGACTCGTATTTATAAAACTGTTTGATTCCATTAACAGCATCGGTTGAGATAACTCTTGGACTAGTGACTTCTTCTTCACTGAAGTTCTTATCATCCTCGATATTGTCAAAGTCATATTCCCCAAGTAGATTATTAATAATCGATATTTGTGATACTTGCTCCTTAAATCTGTATAATAAAGCTGCTGCTTTAAATCTTGAAAATGTAACATTATAGATAATCCCTGGCAATAAGACTAAGTTGGAATCAAGTCTATAAGTTGGAAGGACCACCTGTTGACTCACCTTAACTGGTGAACTACGATTTGATTTATATTTTGCCATTGTCAATATTAGATATCTTTATCAGCTTGTCTTGCACCGTTTCTTATCTATTCTTTCACGTCTTTTTTAGAATTTGAATTTATAAACAACACCAATACCTAACAAACTCCTGTAATCACTTGACTCTAATCAATACAAGATCTGATAAAGAAGTGAAATCAGGGTTAGGATATATCTAGTTGTGATAGAGTTAGTTCATATGATTTCTGGTTTTTCCAATCAAAAATATTTTGTGTCACTAGACCTGGAACTTGGTGAGGGAGGGTGGGGACACCGAAAATGGAAAAGTTATACCGAGGAAATATCATGAACTAAAATTATTACGGAAGTTTCTACAACAATTATGTAATTAGTAAAAATATTTTGATTCTTACTGTGTAGGTCTATTTACAATGAATAACTTTTAATCTATAATACATCCTTTAAATTAACTTGACCTGAACCTCTGGCTAAAGGTTGAGGTTGAGTTTCACTCTTTTTCCATCCTATCATGAATATGATATTAAATGTGGCAGGTAATGTGACTTTACCATCAGCATCAGTCTCACCATGTAAACTTTTATATATTTCATTGGCAGCCAACAATACATCTCTTGGTAAAGTATTAGCTCGAGATAATACCGCATTTTGCTCTCCCATAGCTTGTAAATCTTCACAAACAGATACAATATCAGGAAATCCTCCCACAATAACATCTTCAGCATCAATGGTTAACATACTGAATCCAGCTCTATTCAATAAAGATCCAATATCATTAAGATGAACCAATGGAGACACCCGAGGAGAAATACCCCCTTTTCTTTCCAATTCTGCCAATTGTAATGAAGTTCTTAATTCATATAAGGTGTCTCCTCCAAATAATGTACCCATGAATAAACCATCTGGTTTAAGTACTCTGTTGATATTAGCTAATGTTTGTGGTAAATCATTAATCCAATGTAAGGATAAATTAGATATAACAGCATCATATTGATCTGATTCTTTTAAACAATCATGATCGAATGTTTCTTCATCAGCAACACATCTAATCACTTCACCTTTAAATTGTTGATTAAATGGTTCTTTAATATCTCTATAAAGCAATTCACTGGATGAATCTAACAAGTAAAGTTGCTTGATTTTATCTTGAATTATCTTTTTATCATTGTTAAGTTGTTTGGTGATCTCTGTTTCCGCATAATCTGCACCAGGTGGTATCTCAGTATCTATGCACAAATTCTTTAATAAATTACCCAGATGAGATCCGAAATCAAGTACCTTGGTGAAATCTCTAGTGATGAATGCCAATCTTTCAATAGTCTTTAATGCAACTTCATCTCTTAAGTATTCTTTCTTTCGTGATAATTCTGGATTTAATTTGGCAATTCTTGTTCTCTGCACCAATTTAGCAGATCTATCAAATACATTAAACTGCTGTTGCTTAGTGATAGATTCAGCAGACGTGGCAAGATATCGCCTTACTATCAACGGTCTGTACATTAAGGTTGAATGTTGTACTATTAGATAAGTTATAAACGTTACCGTTATTCTGTACATTTTTTTTTTTCAATCATCTTCACTGAAAAATATTTGATCGCAAAATTTATTTATCTTCACTGGTAAGACATATTGAATGAAAGTTAATTTCATGTTCAGAGGTATAAGAATAGGAAGGGTACTGTCTTCAGTGTCACTTGGTCATGTGAAGGACTTGAGAATACGACGAAGTTTCCATTCAAAGATAGTTGCAGAAGACTACACTCAATTCAAATCATTAATCACGAAAATAAGTAGTACTAGTATTTCAAATATTAATAAAGATGAATTCGACATTCTCCAAGATCCTGATACAAGAGACAGCTTCTTGGAGTATTTAGTTGATAAGAATTGGCATAAAGTTCTTTGGAAATACTGTGATCTAATAAAGCATTGGAAATTACCAGTGACGACTAAAACATACATTTTATTATTGCAAGCTGCTTCATCAGACCACAATGTAAATATCAACTCATGCATATCTATCTACCTAGAAGCTGTAAATCATTATCAACTAGAGAAATCAAGTTTAGTTGATCCTTTAACTGATTCAGAAAAGCTTGCATTATCAAAATACCTCCTCCAGATATTTTCCAACTGTAATGATTTTACCAAACTTTACAGCCTAAACACAATTTGGAACACTTACGTAAAAGAAATGAGAAATAATAAAGAGATAAGACTACTTTATCGTGCAGCATACCTTGGGATATTGATAAATAGTGGTCAAATCGAATTGGCGTTGGATTATTTCGGAAAACTCCTTGAAGATGATTCTATCAATCAAAACGATCTAACTAGTTTAAGTAAGATCATGTTACCCACATTATTACAAGACAACAACATAATCGGTTTAATAAATCTATTGCAACTGTTGATTGATAAGAATATAATTATAGAAGATGGTGATTGGATGAAGTTCTTGGAATTAGGTTTATCCAACAATAACTATGAGTTGGTTATTTTAGTGTACAGAAACTTTGTGATGAGAGGATTTAAAGATTCAAAGATATCCATTGAAGAAGCAGTTCTTCATGATTTAACTTTGAGCAATAGTGGATTTACTATGATCAATGATGAATTGATTCATAGAATGCTCCATACATTAAGTTCTACTGGTGATGTGAATCTGACTTTAAGTTTAATAGAGTCACATTATCTACATAAGTTGGCAAAGGGTGAGAAGGCTTTAAATAAAGAGTTGTGCATAAATATTATAGAATCATATTGTAACCATGATGATTTACTGCATGATTGGGATAAACAAGAAGAGTTGTCGAGCAAGGATGAAAAAGACCAGAGTATAAAAAGAGTCTTGAGTATCCTAAATGGATTCATTTTGAAATTGAATAAGGACAGGGATTCAGAAAGAGTCATGTATAAGGACATATCATCTCCTCTATCAACCAGGTTCTGGAAATATTATGATTATGATAAGAACGTGAAGAAAACATTAGTTAAAAGGTCAAATATAGCCAAAAAGATTCATGAAGACGAAGAACAAATTGATAAACTTCCTAGAAAAATTGCTAATTCAAATATTGAAAGTTCAAAATTTGGTAATATTCTTTCCAACTTGCATATATTAAACGATTTTGTTCATATTCATATTGCCTATCTTCAGTCAGATCCGAAGTTTCAAAGGGAAACAATAACTTTATTCATCAATTGTTTGTTGGAGCATTTGAACTTGTATCAAAACTTCAGTGCTCAAGTGAGAGTATTACAAACTTTGAATCACATAGACTCAGAATTTATCAAGAAGTGGCTTGATGCAGACCTGTTTGATATAATGTTAAATTCATTATCGAATTCCTCTGCAGCAAAAAAGTGTTCTATAGTTATTTTCCAATATTTCAAAGAAAACAACTTGCCGTTAACTCGTATTCATTACAAAAATCTAATATCAGCCAATTTAAGAGGAGATATACATGATAGTTTGCAATTCTTTATTTATCAATATTTGAAAGACTACGGAAGTCCCTTGGATTCTGAGATACTGGAATTATTAGCTGAATTATCTCAAGATGAGCTCAAATCAGATGAATTGCTGCGAAAATTATTTTCATTTCTTAAGACAGATCTGAATGCAGACCAAATCGATGCCTTCTGGGTAGAGAATAAGCTTTGCATGGATTCTTCTCAAATAGGTACTGAAGAGGTAAATAAATTAGAAAAGAGAGTCTACCATGAAGACTTTGATATTCGTGATTCAAAACAATTAAATCATATATTTAGACATAAAACACATACATAGGTATAAATAGAGAAATGAAACTAACCATTGACGGCAGCATTTATGTCGTCGGCATTTATTTCAACTTTTGCTCTAGATAATGAATTAGAAAGCCATTTTGCTTTTAATCCTTCTAATACACTAGAATCAGCATCATTTTCGTCAGTGAGAAAATCAGGGTATTTTTGCTTATGAGCAACTTCTAATACTGAATCATTGGCAAATGTATTTGAAGACATGGAAGAAAAGGATCCATTTAAGGTTGATCCTAACATTGTAGAATCTACTGCCATACGTAAAATATTATCAGCATGACAGGCTAAATGATCGTAATCAGAATCATCAGCTTCACATTGTTGGTTTTCAATTTGAGGCTGTGGAACAATATCCGCTTTATTTAATACCAAAGCTTTATCGAATTTTAAAATCTTTTTATTTGATCTTTGATTGTTTAGTTGAACTTCCTTTAATACGGAAACAGGAGTTGAAGTCTGTTTAGAAGGACCTGAAGGAGAAAAGTATATAGTTTTATTTGGAATGGGGGTATTATGAACTGAGGATGATTGTTGACGACTAATTTCATTGCTTCTGGCTGGTTCTTCAGCACTGGGTACTCTAGATCTTTTGACACCTCTTTCATTCTTTGTGGTGGGGATCTCTTTCTTGGATGCTTTCAGCGATCTTATTTTGACTTGCTTTTTCACTGTCTTTGTAGGAAATTGAAGTTTATAACTACTGAGAAATGAGGCTTGTTCATTAAGCAAATCTTGTAAAGGGTCAACCAAATTGAAAGATTTATCATCATGACCTAAAGGTTTCAGAACCACTATTGGAGCTCTTGGTTTCGGAATATCATCTAATTTTAAATATTTTTGCAATAAAATATCTCTGGGTATCAATAAATGAGAATTCGATATTTCATATTTGGATGGGAAGTTATAGTCAAGAGACTCTTGAGGGTGAATGTTATAAGTCGTCATTGGTAACTCAGTCTATTGAAGAAGCACCCTGTAACCAAAAATCTGACAGTTCATAAGGTTTTTCATGTAATATATAGATTTGATAAGCATTTTTAAATATTTTTGTTAAATTGAGTTTGTTTATAACTGTTCCCAATTAGGAAATCAAATTAATGTGTAGCAAATTCGAACTTTTTGCGACCATTGTTAGTTAAATACCAACTCTAAATATATTCTTTACTTAAACTTACAATGGCTTTAAATAATGAATGGAAGTAAGGTGTATGCATCTTTAGGTTAGTTTGATCCCTATTAGAGGAAAATCTTATATAGGATAGGAGAAAGGGCTAAGTTAAAGTATTGCACTAGAAAGCACAATTATCTCATTGCTTATGGACATTGTTCCTATACTATTTATTGATTTTTGTTAAAGTGGATCTGTCTAAAAACTTATGTTAAGAACTTTAATATAACTCACCTACCTGTTATGATAGTTAAAATTCGAAATATGCTATCATTAGTACGAATTGGTCCAAGTGGTATCAGGTGTAGATCAAATGTCTTGATACGACATTAAAATGATAGCGACATTTTGCTTACATCATATTTTCTTCTGAAGCTTCGTGATTGGTCAATTACAAAACTCAGTTGCAAACTACAAGTTGTGTGTTTATAAGCCTGAAAGTGGATTATGTATTACATATGTAAATGTTATATACTAATATACAAGAAATTGATCGATATCAAGTTAATTGAGTACACCGAATCAATATTAAAAGCGTGATATACATGAAAAAATCGTCAAAAATGAACTAATCCAAACATTGAATGAAAGGTTAAGTTCTCAAATATGTGAGCAGCATCGTTAGCTGTTATGAATCATTCTAATATGCTTGAATGAACTATTAATGTGTGGAAAATATGAATTGAAATAAGAATGCAGAATGTGTGTTTTGAATATGTGCTGGAATAAAGCCGTAATGAATACCTTTGTTAAGTTATAAGCTAAATATTGGAAATCATAAATGGCATATTGGGGTTATTGATATGTGTTTACTGGTTTTAGTAACTTTATATGGTCTTATCTTCATTTAATTTCTGTTGTTGTCTTTTCAATCTCTCATCGATCACAGATTCATTACCATGGACACTATCAACGGGACAAGGTAATACCGAATTTGCTCCAACTAACAACACACAAATGGCAAATGTGGAAGTAAATAATGAATTAGTCACTCTATTTCTTTGTGTAGCCCTTATTGCAAACATTTTGGTTATTGATTAATAGTTATGGAGTTTAAATATGAACAATGAACCAATATAATGGACTGGAATAAATATAAAATTATAGGAACAGATATAATGGATTAACACACAATCTGGTTCAGTTCCTTCTGTGAAATAAGATAAACCAAGGCTTAATAAATATGAATACTTAGATATTAAAGGACAAGGTTTATCCATATTGATCGATTGGATGTTATTTTTTTTTTCATCCATCTTGGAACAAAAAATTTGGTCACGTGAAAGAGATCTAATTTAACCAATCATCGCTATTGGCTTTGTAGTATGGAATGTTATGCTTTACATGTCATTTACTATACTTATAAACAATCTATATCATAAGCATGTGAACCATTAGAGACATTACAGATGTTGACGTTATAATATCTTAATATTATATTAAAATTATATGCATTAACCGTTGAAATTTAAATTTTTAGAATATGTACAGAGAAGTCACCCAGACGAGTCAAACTATAAGAATATCAAAGATCAGATATTATAAGGAGATGTATTAATGATCTCTTGAAAGTATTGACTGGTACTGAGGGATATGAAGAAGTATAATACAATGAAAGGATGCACGTAGAACTTGGAGACAAAAGTAACTTCATTAGCAAATAGGCAACATCATACACTTAAGTGTAAAGTAACAACCAGTTGGAATAGCATGTGTGATTGGCTATGTGAGCTTTTGAATCACTATCTTGTATGTCAGATTCAATATTTGTATTTTAAACCCACTATTGGTAAGTTTTATTAAATAACTCTCCCTTTTCTATTTCAAAGCCTGGTTTGAATTTTCTATCTTGGTTGATCTCTTGTGGGGTTTGTCTTTCTTCAACAAGTTCAACTTTAATTAATTCTTTAACCTTGGATAACTTGATAGCAGTAGCTGCTGATATAGTTTGGTAAACAACTTGATTTCTTCTCTTGAGACCTAAAGCCGCTATATTCTTTCTTATAATTGGAGGCATTCCAATGATGGACCTCACTTGTGTTATCTTATAAAACATCTTCTTATTGTTGTTGACTAACTTATTGAACAATAAAACTTTCTTGCAATCAATTTAAAGCATTTGAAAATTTTATGTATTAATTTTCAGACACCACTGGAAAAAAATTTGTATACAGAAAAAAATGGTATCCAAAGCACACGACTTTTTTTGATAGTATAACGATAAACGACTATTATAGAAATTGCAGTCAAACGTAAACACTTTGAATCATTTGCAAACAGGAGTAGTATGGATGATGAGGAATATCAAGCAGATGCGTTGGTCAGAAGGCTTGATATAATATATCAAGATATCTCCAGATTGATTGACGAATTGTCAAATATCGTCTCAAATCAACATTCAATACAAAAGGCAACAGCAATATTTAATAGACTAAAGTTATTAATTAATGAATCTGAACCAAATCCAAAGCTATTAGACAATCAATTGGGGTTTTATATTCCATGTTTAACAAACCTATTTCTTGCATTAAAGGTTCTGACCCCATTGAGGAGTGGTATATGTGAGATCATTTACAATTTTAGTAAAATAAGAGGCTTCAAATTTATAAGTAATTACTTTTCATCTGATATTTATATTATAGATACCTTGATTGACATGATAGAGAATTGTGATGGAAATATTGGGGATAATGAAATGTTTACATGCCTTCTATGGTTGTCAAATTTAGTTTTAATTCCATTTAAATTGGATGATATTGATCCAAAGTTAATGAATCGTTTTTATCAAATTGGGTTGGAACATTTAAAAATACATTCAAACGCATCTAAGAATCAAATTGTATCGCTGATTATACTATCTCGATTGTTGACTAGATCAGACTCAACAGAGCTTTTGCAGAGTTATTTATATGAACAAGTTGGCCTTGAGTGGAAATCCAATAACTTGGATTCAACTATCAGATTAGGTCATTTGCTTACTATCAACAAGATTTTAAAGAGAACCACTCTTTCTAATGATGACTTAATGATTATATATGACTTGATCTCCCTTGATTTACTTTGTTTACAAAAGAATATCAATTCTTTAAACAACAATCATATATTATTTTTGATTAAGATTCTAAGTAAACTATCAATAAGATTTGGGGAAAACTATTCACAGATTTCACTTATTATAAATAACTTGATTAATGATGTGATGAATTTATTAATGAATAAAAAATTAGATATGAAATTACGGTATGAGATTGCTAAATCACTTTCAGAAATAAATCTTAGTTTATCAAAGAGAGCCTTAAATTATCGAAACCAACTAATCATTCATGTATTGGATTTACTTGATGTAGATCTAACCAATGATGAAATAGAAATAAATGATGATAAGATAATAATCCCTAAATACCATACAATTTTGTTGTTTTTGGGTTATATTTCATTAAATAAATCTTTACCATTAGACTTCGTTCCATTGATTCTAAAGATTATCCATAGGACATTGTTTATTGAACAAAGACGATTTCAAACTGTTTTGGGTAATCAATTACGTGATTCATCTTGTTTTATTCTATGGTCAATCTGTCGAACATTGACAATCAAACAATTCGATAAATATCGAACATATTTAGAAATTGTCCTTTTTGATCTAATCAAGGTTATAATATTTGATTCTGATTTGATTGTTAGAAAATGTGGATTAGCAGTATTACAAGAATTCATAGGTAGATTCGGTCAACATATGTTTATTCATTTGCAAGATCCCAATGAAAGAGGAGAGTTTATTATTAAATTTATTGAAATATTTAATAGTTTTAATAGACCTCTTGAATTAATTAAGCCTTTGATAATAATTGGAAATTTAAATAAGAACTTGTTTATTCAAATATTGCTACAAAAGGTATGTGATGACAATAATTCATTAAAATTGAGAAAATCCTTATCTCGTTCTCTTAAACAGGTGATTGATTTACCTAAGGATGGTGGCATAGAGTTCGGCATTAATCCTGTATCATATACTACCGAACAAGTTATAAAGAGTTTAATTGAAGAAAAGGCTTCCATATATACTATTTGTGAAATTGCTGCCGATGAAAATGATGATAAGTACAGTGAATATCTTGAAGGAATTTATAACAATTATAAATTTGACCATCATCACGATAATGCTGAACGAGCGGAAGGATATTTGAAATTAGTCAATACATTTTCCAATAGATCATCACAATTTGAATTCAATAATTGGGATACATTACTTGAAATAACAAGAGTTAATAGTTGTGATATATATCAATTCCAAATATTTTTTGAAAATTTAAAGACAGACATTCCCGCTAATGTCTTTCAAACCATCTTGCATTATATAAATAATTCCAATTTTATTTTATCCCAAGTTATCTTCAGTTATGATGGTTTAACAATTGATCAATTGGATGAATTGATGAGGATTATTGAAAATAAACGGATTGATAGTGATATCCGAAGTAATTTATTAACCAATTTAACCCATAACTTTGATTTAATCAAGCAAGATAATGATTTGTTAGTCAGATTGATCGACTTACTTGATGATTATACCATCACCAACCAAGGTGATGTAGGTTCAAAGATTAGATTGAGGGCTCTTATATTGATAGATCAGAATTTTGATCGTTTTTCAGAGTTATTCAATAGCGTAGAGTTAAAAGCCATAAGGCTAGTTGGTGAATTGATGGATAAGATTAGAGTAAAAGCATTTAAATTGGTGTTAAGGATCAATAGTGTAAGTTATATAGATGATGATTTTAGTGATATATCAAGTTCATATTTTGCAACTTTATTCACATTTTTCAATGATAACGTTTTAAAATGTGACAAATCGGACTTGGTAGAGCAATTTTTAATTGGTATGTCATTTACAATTGGAGCCATGGTTGCTAATAAGGCAATTACTCATAAATCATTTATAGAATTTTTGAAATTTTTGCAATCATTAGATGAGTTGGATCAAGATGAGATTCTTGATATATATCTCAACAACTTATTAAAGCAATACAAAACATCTGATGAAAGACATTTGAAAGGACAAGTTATGATAGTTAATGTATTCCAAAGGTTATTTGAAAGTAATTATCAATTTCCCTCCAAGTTTAAATTTGAAAAATTATTCATTGGATGTTATAATTTACATATTAATACTACTAATATTAATCGAATACAGATATCTGCTAATATATTTCAATATATTTTACAACACAATACTTCTAATGAGTTAAAGATCAAGATTATGAATCGATTAATATGGATAAGTTGTCAACATAGGATCCCAAAGATTAGGAAAATTATTGGTGAAGAGATATTATTTGAAATTAATCAGTATATGAATGATAATGATGTTGATACTGAGATTAAGATACAAGAGATACTTGATTCCATTGAATGGGATCATGAGAGTCCACAAAACTTGAAGCGACACATACCGATATTGCAAAAGATGTTTTTAAAGAATTTACAAGTATAAATTTTAGAATTTATTTAAATCGTTATAAATCTTATATTCATTAAATCGTAAACCAAATATAGAATTGAAAAAATATACCTAATAGATAACATCACCATTTGTATATATATATAAACCTGTGAGTAGAGGCCAAACCTATTCTACTCAGATGGTAGCAAAAAAACCCCAAAAATATTTTTAAAGAAAAATAATTGAACTGTGGTGGTACGTTTATAAGCCAACCACTAAATTATCAGATGATCTATAATACTTTTCTTCTTTAATTAAATTGTTTAAGGAAGGATTAATGGCGTGGACGTTATTTGAGTCTTCTGTAGTTTCAGTTGATGATGATGAAGAGGGGTTTAATTCAGATTTATTTTCTGATTCAGTGATTTGAATAGTTTCTGGTTCACCAGAGACTGAAGGAGTAGCAGATGAGGAAAAGAAATTGTAAGGCATTTTAGATTGAAGATTGATTAGTTGTAGTATAGTATAGTTTAATATAAATTATAATTGAAAAAGAAGAGAATCTAAAAAAAGGGGAAATTTGATATAAATTTATACTAAACCATATTTAGTAGATAGAATGAAGAGATATCACAAAGATTAAAATTTCAACAGATAATCAAAATGTCATTACGATAGGAAAAGTATGGCATCCCACGTAATTAAGGTTAAGTGAACAAAGTTGATCATTGTTGTTATGGTGAATGAGTTTTGCGGGGTGGAGACTTTTATTTTGGAGTAATTATTTATTATTGTTTTGTTGTAAAATATTTTTTGCAGTACTGTAGTAAAGTAAGAAAATAAAAACAGGTAATGCTATATGAATGAATGAATGAATGAATGAATGAATGATGGTATGTATGTATGCTTGGATGTTGATGCTTATATGTACAAGTCACGTTAAGTTATAGTATATAGTAGATTATTTGCAGTTAGGGTGAAATTTATGGGTGGTTCAGTACAGTTTATACGTCACACGTCATTTACTCCACAAAAAAAGTACCAAGCCTTGACCTTGATCCATGCCGCAGTATATTACTCAAATATAATAGAGTTCCTTAAAATGGACAATCCATAAATATTTGAAGTTTAAATTATATTGAGTATATGATACACTTTTATAACTAGTTATGACTAATAGATACGAATGTGATTGTAAAATAAAACTAAAGTTTAGTACTATATAATATAGTTAATGGCTAATTAATGGTATACACTAAATAGCGAGGAGGAATTTATTATTTGTTCGGTACCGAATAGGGGGTTCTGTCTCACTGTTAGTTAAGTGTAGTGTGCTGCCGGATGATGATCTCCTTTTAACCGAGAAGTCTGGGGAAATTATCAAATTAAAAAAATTAAAAAAATTAAAAAAAATCCTGTCATCCGAAATAGTTTTTTGTCTGTCTGACTTTATTTACAGTCAGACATTTCTAATTTGTTTGATTTGATTGTTGTGAAATTTTTACAGCCCAAGTTTGAAGTTACCCAATCAATCAATCAATCAATCAATCGATCCATCAAGCCACCGATCAAGCCATCAATTGAGCGATTGAGCTATCACAGAGAAGGCGGATCAATCAATCATGAAAACAACAACGGGGAATAAGAACCATTTGACGGATCACCTCCTATCTCAACAACAACAACAACAACAACAACAACAACAACAACACTTACCACAGTCTCAATTAGGATCATCATCAATATCAATACAAGATCATCTCAAACATGAACAAGGTGCTAATGACCTTAATCTCCTGCTAAGTAGTGATGAAGAAGATCAACCATCTTCATCATCCAATAAAAAACATAAACATCATAAAGATCATAAACAAGATAAATCAGTATCCAACTTCAAATTAATCTCAACCACTTCAGGGATTCGTGTATCTCAAGCTTGTGATCGATGTCGAATAAAGAAAATCAAATGTGATGGTCAATACCCTTGTCATAATTGTAAAAAAGTAAGTTTTGATTGTAAAACAAGTGATAAATTAACTAGAAGAGCATTTCCCAAAGGTTATACCGAAAATTTAGAACGTAAATTAAAAGAGTTAGAAGAAGAGAATCGGTTATTAAAGTTGAAATATAGTATTGAAGGGTCTGGTTCTGGTTCTTCTGCAACTGCTCTTGGTGGAGGTGCTGCGGGTAGTAGTAACACTAGTATCAATGCCAATCTCGATACTATAAGTTCAACCCCTGCATCATTATCTTTGGATAATACTGTGATGTCAACTCCCAATGTAATAACTTCAAATAATAAAGTACTATTAACTAATCAATCTACTCATCAAACTGTTCAAATTAATAATCCTATTGATCAAATATTTAATCTTGATTCAAAAGGTATTATAATTGGTAATGATAATATCAATTTCGAATCTCAATTCAATCATTTATTAATCAACTTAAATTTACCATTTTTGAAAATCACTAATTCTCATAATTTCTTATTAAATGATCCAGATAGCTATCTATATCATCCTTCTTATCATATTTATAATCAACTTCATAATAAAGATTTGGATGTCATTTATAATCCTTTGACTGGAAATCATTCATTATCTTCTCATGCTTCAAATCCTTTGGCACCCCCAAACCCTACTGAAATTGATCATTTATTAGTTAATAATCAATTACCCATGGATATTTATGATTTATTTATAAAATTAATCAATAACTTTAAAAAAATCTTTAATAATAAAAAGGAATTAGATAATCAAATCATTCAATACTTTTTAAATTATAATATCTTTATTCCAATCTTTGATTATAAACAATTCATGGAATATTATGAAGCTTTTCATACCATGTATCCATTTATTTTCACTTATGATGATTCAACCATAAATGGGTTCAATCTTTCTAGTAATAATGATTATCAAATCGTTAATGAATATCTTATGATTATCATTCAAATCTATGCCATGATCATGATTAATAACCCCACTATAAATTTGAATTTATTATTAAATCATACCGATCCAAATTATTCCTTTAATAATAGAAAATCATCTTCGAATTCAAGAGATAATAATTCCATCATAAAATCAGTATATGATTTCTTACCATATTTTAATAATTTCCATGTATCTGTGAATCAATTACAAACTTATGAATTATTTTTATATTATTCATTGTTGACTAATAATAAAGAAAAATCTTTAATTTTATCATCTTTAATCAATTCATTTATTGGTATATTAGGAATCAATTTAAATTCAAAGAATTTATTCTTTAATGATTTATCATTAAGTTTACTTCAAAGAAGAAATAGAGTTAAAATCTTTTGGGTCTTTAAAGTATTACTTAAATGTTTTAACTTAAAATTTGGGTTCAAACCAAGTTTAAATACTACCGTTATAAATCCTGTCACTATAGATCGTTATTTCCAATTAACACCAGAAAAATTATCTACTTTATTAGAAGATGATAATAATGATAATAATTTATTTACAACATTATTAAAGCCCAGTATTGAATTTTTAAATTTAACCAATATAATTATTCCTTCATCATTTTCACCTAATTATTATGAATATCTTAAAAAATCAAAAAAGAAAGATCAAAATTCTTCTCATCCAAATCCTCATCGTCAACATCTCGATTGGATTTTAAAAGAAGATGATGGTGAAGGGAATGATGGGAATTTAAATTATAATTTTAGTCAATTTTTAACCATTGATAAAAATTTATCAAATTGGAGAAATTCTTTAAAATCAAAATTCTTAAACCTTTTACCTTTACAACAAGAAATGGGATTACCAAATATTTTAAATATAACTTCAAATGATTTATATCATGATTTAAAAGATTCTTCAAACTTAGGTACAGGTATCACTCAAGATGGTTTGATTAATTTTTATTCTACTGGATTACCTGATGTTCATACTGCATCTCAATTAATCAAAATTCAATTAAACTTTCATTATAGTTTAATTAGATCCATGAATTATTTAAATTTCATCGTTGATCGTGAATTAAAATATATTTACTATGTCGAAATCTCAAAGATTAGTAGAGAAGTATTGAATTATTTCTTACTTATATTCGATCATATTAGTAAAGCCATGGAAGTTAAAGTTGATCCTAAACCCACCAATGCTAATAATATAGTGATGGAAAGTTTAGGATTAGATGTTGATGAAGATGGATTTGTCATTAATGACTTTTCCGTTAAAAGAAGAAGACATTCAAATTCAACAAATCAAAATATAACCAAACGTTTAACGAAGGAGATTCATCTTTCACCATTTAATTCAATGTTAAATGGATTATCCATGACAATTATTAATTTAAAGAAATCAATGATCTTACAAATGTTATATCTTTTAATCTGTCAATTGAAATTCCTTAAACGTAAAGAAATTGCCTTGATTGGTGATACCATTCAATTATTAAATAGATCTGTGGATTTATTCATAAAAGTATTTATAAATTATAAAGTTGGAGTTAATAAAAAGGACTCTAAAAAGGTCAAGGAGGATAAATTATATCAAAAGTTGATGAATGATGAATTAAAAGATGAAATTTTAAAAGCACAAGCTAACAATGATGATGATAGTGATGATGACGATGATACTGTTCTTGATTATTATAATCAAATTGATTGGGATGATGAAGAAATGGATGAAGATTTGAAATATTTAAAGATTTTAAAATTCATAAAGTATAGGAGTAACAGTATTCTTGATCAAATAGTTAGAGTTAAAGATAAATCAGTTAATATTGATAATTCTTCATCAAACAAACTTGATCAACAGCAGCAACAACAACAATTTCACCATAAACAGGAAAATACACCATCGTCCATTGACTCGAAATCGACAAATCAAAGTTCACATTCTCAAACCGTAAACCCATCTTCTCACACTAATCCTAATGCGGAGAATCATCTTAACAATTTCTATACTCCATCATCTTTCGGTTCATTCAGTAAAGTACCGTCATTATCAAAATTCGACTTTTTTGATGCAAGTGGAACAGCTTCGCATAGTATACAAAGCTCATTAACTCCTCAAGATGAAGAATTATCAAAAAAGGAAAAGTTGGTGATTAATGATTTAATGAGTTTAAGACATGGAAGTCAAAGTAAATTATACCCTCAAAATAATCCTAATTGGAACAATAGTAATCCAAACAGTTGATCTTTTTGGATGTTTTTAAAGACGGATTGTCGAACATTTTCCATCCTATTTATTTATTTTAAGTATATATATCTCTAAACTGTGTACTTATGTATCATATGCAATTATTTATTTATTTATTTATTTATTTATTAATATATATTAATACACTTTTATTAAATCAGTCAGTATTTAATTCAAAAAGTTTTTCTCACCGTTGTTTTGGTTAAACATTTTCGTCAATTTTGCAACCAAAATCCAAAATTAAACTAGGCGATAACTCCGCACACACAACAGATCCAAACTTCAAAATGAATGAATATATGAAGAACAAGCTGAATAAGAGAATAAACTCCTTAATTAGTCAGTTTTCATTGAAAAATTTCAAAAAATGAATTTTTCAATTTTAGTCATTTGAAATACTGCATAAACCACAAAATTTTCTTGAAAATAAAATTGGCCTGGCTAGCTCAATCGGTAGAGCGTTTGACTCTTAAGTTAGATATCAAAAGGTTGCGGGTTCGACCCCCGCGTTGGGCTGATATTTTTTTGGATTATCATTCTTCTTTTTGAATTGATGAATAAGCTGAGGCTAAACTACAACTCAAAATTTTTTAGTTTGGATCACATCTGTTTGATGTAAGGGGTTTAGAATATCACAGTTATTAGTTTTCTTCTTTTTAAGTTGTTGTGCGATACCCATAAATGAGATGTTGACTTTAATTACCTTGATACCACATTTTTGAGTAGTCCGTTGATGTATAGTTATAAGACTACACGGATAACTATACATGATAATGGTTAATGAAATGCAGGTAAATATCTCACGGATCTTGTCATTTGAAATAAGTAGCTTCTGAATGTCTTCCGTTCGCGCTACCTTTGATAATATTATTGTTAGATGTTAACACTATACATCTCTTTTAAGTATCCAAGCATACGATTTAGAGAATTATTATTATATTGGACCATCATGCAGCACAACTACTATGGTAACGATAGTCGTGTCTTGTGCTGTAATGAATTTTGATGGAATTCATATCTTTCTCATTCAAGATATCAGACTTTTTTTTGGTTGCGAAAATTTGACTTCATTCTTTTTTAGTTGAAAGATGCATTTCCTTCTTTAAACTCCTATCCTAGTTTACTTAATTACTGTCTATAATAGTTTAGACCTTACTATATATATATAAAGACAGGATGTTAAATGCTTGAGGGTCATGTAATTTTGTTGATAGCACGCTCAAGAAAGCATTCTAACAAAAATATCCAAGTATGGGGTTAACTAAGCTAAAAATCTTATCCAGTACTCTTTATCATTCTCTAACTCATACTTATTAGTAAAAATCTTTAAATTAGGGCCATAAATAGAAAAAAATCGATAGGAAATTAAGAACCTTATTTAAACAACACCAAAACCCAGCAAATTTTGTTGTCAGAAAAATAGCCTGGCTAGCTCAATCGGTAGAGCGTTTGACTCTTATGTTAGACATCAAAAGGTTGCGGGTTCGACCCCCGCGTTGGGCTGTTTCTTTTATTTTTCTTTCAGAAATATTTTTTGCACCTAAAATAAGGACAAGACCAATATATCTACAAAGGAAATGATTCGACCTAAATACTATAATTTACAATATATTTTTTATATAATGTCAAGCGGAAACGAAAATACAAACATTTAAAAGCCTTTAAACAACTAACTAGTAAAAATACAAAAATTAAACATCATTCAACAAGTATAAATGAACCAAAACTTGTTTATTGCTTTCTTTTTGTGTAAAAATTGTACTTATAAAATCATAAATTTTTGAAAACCCAAAAACAAAAATGCAAAACCATTAAGAAAAGTCCGAATACAATGGAAATGGACTAGAATAAATAAATAAATAATATTGAATCGAATTCAATCTATCAATGAAGTGATACTATTCTAATGTTTTCCACCGGTTCTTTCTTTTCTTATTTCGGTTTGTTGTCTTTCAACTTCAGCATCAAATACGATGAAATCGTCTAAAGCTTTACCACCTGGAACCATTGGTAAAACAGGAACTTTCTTTTCAACAATAACTTCTAATAAAACTGGACCCTTGGCATCTAAGAATTTCTTGACACCTTCTTTTAATTCTTCTTGAGTTGAGATTTTAATACCTTCAACACCCATAGCTTCAGCCAATTTCATGAAGTTTGGATTAGATTGATGAGTATGAGAATATCTATGTTCATAAAAGAGTGATTGCCATTGAGTAACCATACCTTGTTCTTCATTATTTAAAATACATACTTTAATTGGAGCATTGGCTTGAACAGCAGATGATAATTCCATAAGAGTCATATTGAATGAAGCATCACCATCAATATCAATAACAATGGCATCTGGCTTGGCAATTTGAGCACCAATAGCAGCAGGTAAACCAAAACCCATAGTACCTAAACCACCTGAAGTAATCATAGTTCTTGGTTTAGTCCAAGTAATATGTTGAGCAGCCCACATTTGATGTTGACCAACCCCAGTGGTATAAAGAACTTCTTTATTATAAGTTGAAGCTTGTTCAGAGATTTCTCTAATTAAAGTTTGAGGTTTAACTAAAGAACCTGGAGTTTCAAGTTGATAAGCGTATGGGAATTTTTCTTTCCATTCATTAATTTTAGCAAACCATTGAGGTCTTTCTTTAACTGGATGTAATAAAGGAATAAAAGTTTTTAAATTGGCAGTAACATCACCTTCAATAGCTTCAGTAGCTTCAACAATTTTATTTATATTTTTTGGACTAATTTCAAAATGAATAATACCACCTCTATTTTCTTGAGCAGCTAATTTAGCAACAGGAGCAAATTTAGTAATGTTACCAGTAACTCTATCATCGAATCTAGCACCAAGAGCAATAATACAATCAGCTTGTTGTATAGCAGTATTGGCAGCACCATTACCATGCATACCTAACATATCTAAAGATTTTGGATCTCTTTGATCAAACGTACCTAAACCTTGAATAGTGGTAGTTACCGGTATGTTTAATTTATCAGCTAATTCTTTTAAAACTTTTGGACCATCTTCATGATTTAAGATCCCGGCACCAGCATAAATGATTGGTTTTTTAGATTTATTTAATAAATTAGCAGCTCTTCTAATAGATTCACTTATAAAAGCATTTTGAGCTTTTTTAGTGATTTGACTAAGAGCATTTGATGGTAAAGTGGTATTTATTGGAATAGCATGTCTTAAAATTGATGCAGTAACATCTTTTGGTAAATCAACTAAAACTGGACCTGGTCTACCAGTAGTAGCAATTTCAAAAGCTTCATTGATTCTTCTTGGTAATTCAGCTACATTTTTAACCATAACATTCCATTTAGTACAAGATCTTGAAATACCAATAACATCAGCTTCTTGGAAAGCATCAGTACCAATTGAAGTGGTTGGAACTTGACCAGAAAATACAACTAATGGGACACCATCCATAAGAGCATCAGCTAAAGGAGTTATAACATTAGTGGCCCCTGGACCCGAAGTAACAAGGACAACACCAGGTCTACCAGTAGCCTTAGCATAACCTTCGGCCATATGACCTGCACCTTGTTCATGTCTTGGAAGAACAAATTGAAATTTATCAGAATTATAAATGGCATCAAACACTGGTAAGATAGCCCCACCAGCATAACCAAACACAGTATCCACATTATGTCTTAACATCATTTCATGAAAGATTTCCCCCCCAGTAAGACCAATGAATGAATCATCCATTAAAACTTCAGTATTGTGATGATTATTTATAGATGGATAAGTATTGGTAGATGATCTTGAAGTTGGATGTTGTTTGCTGATATCAGCAGCAGCAGCATTGAAGGCAGGAGAAGGACTAGGTCTCGAAGTTGAAGTCATAGTAGCATTTTGTAAGTTTGTTTTGGTAATGGATCTCATTTGAATTTTCATCATCATCAACTTGGTTGATTGACGACGACAACAACTAGCTGTTCTTATATTCTGACTAAGCATTTTGCACAGTAGTATATTCTTCGTATCTTATTCGAACTGAACCAGATCAAGTATATGAACTTTAAAAGAACTAGGAATATATAAACTTGAATTATACGATTTGTAAATATATTAATTTTGAAAAACCTTTATGAGTCAATTCTCTGATTTTTTTTTTCAATTTTTCACTCTTAGGGTAGAATGTGGGTTAAATTTTTTTTACCAGGTCTGCGTAACCGGAATTTTTTCGCTCGAGCGGGACGAGTTTCAAAAAATGATTTTTGTCCTTTTTGAGTGATGGGTGAGATCATGTGATTACAGATATAAGAAATTTTTTTTAGCAGTAATAGATATGATATTTGCATCATCAGTTGGGCCAGATATGATATTGTTTAATGATATCATGGCACATTTGACGATTAATATTTTATAGAAAAATTTTAAATGTTTTGTTTATCTTCTAGAAAATGTGTGTGTATATATATATATATGTATGTGCTAACTATTATATATACAAGTTTATATATGTAAGTAAAGATAGTATAGGAAATGGTCATACCAGTATTCAAACAGTCTTTTTGGAAACTGAAACCACAGGTTGAACCACTCCTTCTTCTACATCTTCTTCACCATATTCGTAATCATTATCATTATCAGTCTTTTGAGACCTTTTCTTTTCATTTTCATTTTCATTTTCAGACCCTGATGCATTATTATAATAGGAGGATTTACCTCCAATAGTATGAGTGGATGGAGAAAGTAAATGATTATTGGTAGTTGTAGTTTTATCACCATCAGAATCAGCAGCTGTATAACTTTGAGCTCTGGAATGAGCAACTGTTGGTGGAGCCCAATCAAGGAAATCTCTACGAACTTCAACATAATCATACGCAAATTCTCCAATTTGATCTTCATCAACCCCAGCTTCTTCTCCATTATAATCAATTCTTAAATGTAATCCGGGAATCTTATTAATGATAAAACAAAGTATAGCAGTAACCACAGCACTATAAAGAGTGGTGGCTAAAATATAAGCAATTTGAATATATAATTGTTTCCAATTCTGATCTAACCAACCACCTTCATGATCAGTAACTCCATCATAACCAATAACAGTTGAACTTCCAAATAAAGCATTAAATAATAATCCAATAACTCCGGCGATTCCATGCTCAGCTAACACATCAAGAGAATCATCAACTTTACAAAGATATTTTATTTTGGTTGATAAATTACAAACAATTCCGGATACAATTCCTAATATTACTGAAGCCCATAATGGAATCATACCTGAAGATGGAGTTGCAGCCACTAAACCAGAAATACAACCAGAACAAACAGCAACCATTGACCATTTATTTTCCAATCTGAAATCTAATAAACACCAAGAAATTGCTCCAAATGCTCCACTTAAATGAGTATTCATCATTGAATAAGGAACTTTAATAGATGCATTAGCACATGAAAATCCATTGAAAAATAACCAACCAAGATAAAGTAAACATGTACCTAAAAATATAGTTGAAATATTATGAGGTCTATAATTAATCATTAAAGTTTCATTTCTACGACCCAAAAATGCACTATAAACAAAAGCCAGAACACCACTCAAGATTTCAACAGGACCTCCACCGGCATAATCCAATACTCCTGATTTAAAGGTCATAGCCCAACCTCCACCCCATACCCAATAAACCACAGGACAATATACAACTGTTGCCCAAGCAAATAAAAATATCATGGATGGTAAGAAACGACCTCTTTCAGCCACACAAGCACCAGCTAAAATAGCCAATGTAACTAATAAGAATTGCATTTGAAAAAGAGCAAAAGCAATTTGAGGATAATCTTCACCTTCAGAAGCTCCTAATAAATTTTGGAAACCAAAAAAATGTAAATTACCAATAAACCCATTAGTAGCGGTATCTGAAAAAGCCAAGGAATAACCCCAGAAATACCATTGGAAAACTCCAATGAATGAAGACATGATACATATCCAAATAAGAGATAAAGCAGATTTTCTTCGGGCTAACCCTGAATATAAAAATCCTAAACCGGGTACCATAATCCAAATGATGGAAGAAGCCACGGTGAATGCTAATATATAACTGTCATTATAATTTTGATTTTCGGTGAATACTTGTCTTCTCGTTAGTATCACTCTTTCTGAACTCATGTTGATAATAAATGTAGTAGAATATGATGGTTGAAATTTATGATATATACAAAATGAATGTTATTTTTGCAGTATAAAAAATGATTGCGCAAAATACAAAAGTTTGTAGTTTGAGTAAGCGCAAGTAAAGCAATGTAGTTGTTGATGTTAAAAGCAAAAACAAGGAATGAATAAAATAATATGGAATTGAATAGATGAAAGTATATAAATAAGTATAGAATTGAAGAAAAACAAAAAGTGATTAAATTTTTTAAAAGAATAGTCATTGTATATATATTATATGAATTAGTTAATTAAAAATACATAGTTAAGCATTAGACTTTTTTAGCGTACCAAGTTTTGACTCTTTTAAATCACAAAATAGGCCACTAACAAATAGAAATATTTTGATTAACGTAATCGTTTCTTTTCTTTTGTTTTATTTTATTTTGGATTTCTTTTTTAAACTGATTTTGAAATATTTTTTTCTTGATCTTATTATTATCAAGTCATGAAATTTGGTTAAACTCAATCAGTTTTCTATTATCATATGGCTAAGCATTATGCAATTACAACCTTATGACGGTATAAAATATTATTATTGTGCGATGGATGAGTGATTGAAAAAAAAGCATGAGCCTCTCCCTAAAAAAATAAAAAAGAAAAAAAAAAAAAAAAAAGAGCAAAAAGACGCAAAAAAAGAAACAAATTAGCGTTAGCTTGTGGGAAATATACTTTCATCATCCAATGAGAGTAAAACTCTTTATCTTTATCTATCTATCTATCGTAGTTGGTTTATCTATACTTATCTATGTCTAGGTTAAACTCAGTACTAGTTCTGTTCAATTGCTTTTTTTGATTTATTTTTATTCGATGGGGTTCGTTGTCAGTGATTCCATGCGTCAAGGGGTAACTGTTGCAAGTTTGATTTCCATGTTTAATTCTATTTCTATTTCTATTTCAATAGTTCCCTATTAACCATTGATTTGATTAATTTAATTACTTTGATTAATAATTATTTGATACCTGTATATACCAAGGAAACCGCCGCTGTGTCCTGCATCTGGTCTTGGCATGTCAATATATAGACCAAATTGCTTATTAGTCATTTAATTTTAACTCTTTAATCTCAATCCAATCAAATTTGAAAGATGCCGTGCACGTGACACGGTAAATTAAAATTTTCGGTTTTTTTCTTGGGGCATTTTAGTGTAAAAAAAAAAGAAAAAAAAGAGAGGAGGTAAAGGAGGAGGAGCAATAAGGAAGGCGGTTACCGGGCCTGTTTCCTAAGTTACTTAACCAATTTTTATGAGCAATAATATAATAATTAACTAGAATAAACTAAAATAAAGAAGTAAAAGAATAAAAATCTATATAGATCAAATGATCGATCGATCTATAAATCTAAAAAGGGGGTTTCTCTCTATAAATTAAATAAATGAGGATTCTTTTTTTGATTAAAAAGCAAGCAATGGCAGTATGATAAAGAATAATATCATTAATAATCTACTCTTACCATATCTTAAACTATTACCACTACCTTCATAAGCAAGGGCAGTTGGTTCAATGGATGATGATGATGATGATGATGATGATGATGTAATGGATGATGATGTTGAAGTATAACTTTCAACAGGACTAGAAGCCAATGATGGAGCCGATTCGGTTTCAATTATTGCACTACCACTAGTAGTTATAGTAATCATTTCAGGAATAAATGTAGTAGTTGGTGAACTGATTTCGATTGGTGATGATTGTTCTGGTTGTTGTTGAGAATAGGCTGCAACTGATGTTGAACCAGTTTCAATCTCTGGAACAACCGAATTATTAATTTCAGGTTGAATATTAGTTTCAGTTGGAGTTACTAAATTAGTAGTAGTAGCAGTAATATCAGCAGTACCTTCACCAGTTGGACAATATACCACAGTCTGAGTTCTAGTAATAATACTAGTAACAATCACATTATTAGCACTAGTGGATGTAAATGTAGATTCTTGAACTTCAACAACAGTACTTGCTGGTCCTTCGGAAATAGGTCTAGTAATTGGACAATCAGTGGTTGTGAAGGTAATAGTTGGATCAACAGTAATAGTAGTAATTATGGCTGGAGGATCAGAAGCTGGTGGATCAATGGATGTTGGATCAACAGATTGTAAGTAAGTTGGATCATTAACGGGAGTTTCAATTTCAATGGTTTCAATAGTAGCATCTGGTCCCATAGGTAAAGTAGTAGTGTAAGTATAACTACCAGTCCAACCAGTGGTAATAGTAACAGTTTCAATATCGGCTGGAGTTTCAACTTCAATTGTTTCAACAGTATCATCTGGACCCATTGGTAAAGTAGTAGTTAAAGTGTAAGAACCAGTCCATTCAGTTGTAAATGTAGTAGTGGTGATAGTTTCTGTTTCAGTAACTAAAGGAGTTTCAACTTCAATGGTTTCAATAGTAGCATCTGGTCCCATAGGTAAAGTAGTAGTGTAAGTATAACTACCAGTCCAACCAGTGGTAATAGTAACAGTTTCAATATCGGCTGGAGTTTCAATTTCAATTGTTTCAACAGTATCATCTGGACCCATTGGTAAAGTAGTAGTTAAAGTGTAAGAACCAGTCCATTCAGTTGTAAATGTAGTAGTAGTAATAACTTCAGTTTCAGTAACTAATGGTGTTTCAATCTCAACAGTTTCAATACTAGAGTCAGATCCAATTGGTAAGGTGGTTGTATAAGTATATGATCCAGTCCATTCAGTTGTAAAAGTAGTAGTTTCAATATCTTCTGGAGTTTCAATTTCAACAGTTTCAATAGTGGTATCAGATCCGATTGGTAAAGTAGTAATATAAGTGTATGATCCAGTCCATTCAGTGGTGAAAGTAGTAGTAGTAATTTCTGGGTCTTCAGGAGTTTCAATTTCAACAGTTTCAATACTAGAGTCAGAACCAATTGGTAAGGTGGTTGTATAAGTGTATGATCCAGTCCATTCAGTGGTGAAAGTAGTAGTAGTAATTTCTGTGTCTTCAGGAGTTTCAATTTCAACAGTTTCAATAGTGGTATCAGATCCGATTGGTAAAGTAGTAGTAAGGGTATAAGTACCTGTCCATTCAGTTGTGAAAGTAGTGGTGGTGATTTCTGGATCAGAAGCTACTGGAGTTTCAATTTCGACAGTTTCAATGCTAGAATCGGACCCAATCGGTAAAGTAGTAGTGTAAGTATATGATCCAGTCCATTCAGTTGTAAAGGTAGTAGTGGTAATATCTTCTGGAGTTTCAATTTCAACAGTTTCAATAGTGGTATCAGATCCGATTGGTAAAGTAGTAATATAAGTGTATGATCCAGTCCATTCAGTGGTGAAAGTAGTAGTAGTAATTTCTGGGTCTTCAGGAGTTTCAATTTCAACAGTTTCAATAGTGGTATCAGATCCGATTGGTAAAGTAGTAGTAAGGGTATAAGTACCTGTCCATTCAGTTGTGAAAGTAGTAGTAGTAATTTCAGGATCAGAAGCTACTGGAGTTTCAATTTCAACAGTTTCAATAGTGGTATCAGATCCGATTGGTAAAGTAGTGGTATAAGTATAAGACCCAGTCCATTCAGTTGTAAATGTAGTAATGGTGATTTCTGGATCAGAAGCTTCAGGAGTCTCAATTTCAATAGTTTCGATAGTTGAATCAAAGCCTATTGGTAAAGTAGTGGTATTAGTGTAAGATCCAGTCCATTGTGTGGTGAAGGTAGTTGTAGTAGTCATTAAACTCGTGAGTGGAGTAGTTGGGTAATAAGGTAAAGTTGAAGATGAAATTGGAGTATTAACTTCAACAGTTACTTCGGTGGCATCAGAAGCGGTAGACAACGTAAATGTAGTTGTGTAAGAACCAGTCCATTGGGTAGTTATAGTGGTTGTTGGCAATGGAGTGGTTGGAGTATTAACTTCCTCGGTAACAATGGTAGCATCTGAACCAGTTGGTAAAGTAAAGGTAGTAGTATAAGAACCGGTCCATGGAGAAGTAACAGTAGTAGTTGAAATTGGAGTGGTTGGAGTATTAACTTCCTCGGTAACAATGGTAGCATCTGAACCAGTTGGTAAAGTAAAGGTAGTAGTATAAGAACCAGTCCATGGAGAAGTGACTGTAGTAGTTGAAATTGGAGTAGTAGGAGTGTTAACCTCTTCTGTGACAATGGTAGCATCTGAACCAGTTGGTAACGTAAATGTTGTTGTGTACGAACCAGTCCAAGGAGAAGTGACAGTTGTAGTGGACAATGGAGTGGTTGGAGTATTCACTTCTTCAGTTACAATGGTTGCATCTGAACCGGTTGGTAATGTGAAGGTGGTGGTGTAAGAACCAGTCCAAGGAGAAGTAATAGTAGTTGTAGGTAATGTACTTTCTGGAACTTGTACAATAATAGTTCCAGTTGATTGTCCAGAAGATAAAGGTAAAGTAGTAAGTTGAGTATAACTACCAGTCCAAGTAGATGTTGTAACAACTATGTCAACAATATCACCAGTGGAATCAGTAGTACCATTAAGAAATTCGGCAGTGACAGTGGAACCTGATTGAATAGTTGAACCATCAGCGCAATTTATTATATAACCCAAACTATAAGTTACTTGATTGGATACAAATGGTTGAAGACCTTGAAGGAAAACTTGATAACCATCAGGGATAGCACCAAAACTCACTTCAACACTATTGCTTGTACAAGTACTTGTTCCATCAACATTAATGTAAGATTGAGGGAAACTAAAATCATTTAATTGATTCGAAGCAGCAGCACTAAATTGATTACAAATGATTGGATCAACACTTTGAGCAATTACTCTACCACTTGTAATACCACCTGGACAAACACCAGTTAAAAAATAAACTTGAGCCAAACCGGGAGGAGCATTTATGAAATATGCAAGAGCAAGAGGATCAGATTGTAAAGTCCATGCAACATCAGTAATGAGAGTTGTGGTAGTTAGTCCACTCCAATTAACTGTATTAGCACCTTCAACGAAAACATTTGCACTTTGGATATCAGCTTCGAAAGTTGAACCCCCTAAATTAAAAACAAATCCAAATGAAACTGAACCTGATATATCAGCATCAGTATATGATGAAATAGCATCAGTAAGGGTACATTGTAAAGTTGAAAAGTCAACTTGGAATGAACCATCTGTAGAAACACATGTAGCAAATGTTTGACCATCAGCAGTTAAAGTAATATCGGTTGAACCAGTACTAACAAAGAAAACATTTGGCATATTTAAAGTGAAGGTATCACCAGCAGAATCTGAACTTGGATCTAAAGTCCATGTCAATGTGGCAGTTCTTATTTCATTATTAGTTATATTTGAGATACTTAAAGATTGGAAAACATTATCAATAGTAGCAGCAAACGTTAATTGTATAGTTAATACTAACAATGTAAAGATCTGCAATTTTAACATTGTAATTATGATTGTGAAAGATTGTGTATATATATGTATATGTATGTAGATAAGATTTTTGATAATATCAATAGTAACGAAAGTGAATAAAATAACTTCTATTCTCCTTGAAGGAGACGAGACATGAGGAATAGTCTTCATCTATATATATACATCACGTCAAGCTTTGGTCATTGCTAAGTTTGAAAAGGCTTCTATGAAAAAGATAATTATTTTTTTAAAGTTGTTTCGAAATAATGAAAAAGAAATAAATGATAGTTAATAATTACTATCTATATTGGAGAGGGATAGTTGACAAGATGATTAAGCATGGAGGCAGTAAATTATTTCATCAGACATCCTGCAAAGCCCTTAAAAATATAACTTTAAAAGACAGAACTTCATCACCCATTACTAGCAATACGTGATGAAACACATGGATGATGCATAAAAAATATCTAATAGAGTGATGGGGGTTCTTTTTTTTCTCTAATTAGACTAAGTCGATGTGCTTGAGATAGTTCCTTTGTAGTCCCAAATAGGCAATTTTGTTGTAAAATTTTCTACACCAGAAGATTTTTTCGGTGATGTTTAGAAATGACCTACATCTCAATTTACTAAAAAATATTTTTAACTAACTAAAAATATTTTTCGCAGCATGGTGGCATGTATGTATGACATTCGTTTATGTTGATTAAGTATGTATGTCGATAGGTTGCCTGATTGGGCTATGTGAAACTTGTAGATCCTGATATAATAGATTTGTTTCTTTGTCTTTGATTTCCTCGGGTCAAGAAAATTTACGGCAATGTTCCAAAAGGACGGATCAAGAAAGAAAAAGAAAAGTTTTTTGACAGAAACTATGATTGTTACAATTAAATTGATGTATCAAAGTATGTATGTACGGTTTTGAATCATGTATATATACAAGACATTGTTTTAACTAACTAGTTAATTCATTATTGTGGTTGTTTCAAATGATCGTTCGATGTAGAATACTTTTCATAAAAATGAAAAGATTCAAATCCAACTTCAACCATGATTAAAATAATAATAATCCATTCTAACCTAGTACTTTTCTTTTCATTCAATACTCCTAAGAAAGCACGTTGTTCCTCCGTAGCATAATCCAACTTTCGATTCAAAATGGAGATTCTAGATTGGATATCAAGGATTTTCGATACTGAATTATAAATTTTTTCTAAACTTGGTTCACTCCAATATAAATCGGGAGTTTCAATTAATTCACTATATAAATTTAATTTCCCTCTTATTAAAAACAATTCCCCGGTAAGTTTTAAAAAATCAGATTCAGTCATTATAATTTTATTCCCCTTTGATAAGAATTCAGCATTTTTCTTGGTGATTAATAAATGATTTTCAAATTGATTTTCTAAGATGGATAATCTTGTGGATCGAGATAATCCAATGGCGAAAGCTGCTTTATCAAGAATCCGTTTCGAAGGAGTTTGACCTTGAACTACCATGATTTCACCTTGTAAATATGAATTTCCATTATTTAAGGGGAATTGAGGGGGGATTGAATCTAATTCTATCCAATCCATTTCTTCAGATTCAAACTCAGGATAAGTATCTTTAATATAATGATGGAAATATTTATCATTACGATGGAATTGTAAGATTTCTGATTCAGTTAAATTCCATCCTACTACTGTCCCATTTGAAAGTATCATTAAATCTTTATTATTAATTTTGATATTAATAACTTCATCAGGTATAATGACCAGGACATTATCATAACCAATGAATGCCGAAAATAATTTATCTAAATCAATCGATTCACCAAGAGTGACTGATGTAACTATTGATAAATATTTTTCTAAATTTGCTGAAGGATTATCATTTGGATTATTATCATTTAATAAAGATAAGATATAATTAGTTGATTCATTTAAGAAAGTTGGATCTGTTCTTCTTAAGTTTTTTTGAATGGTATTCTTTTTCTTTATGTTTGGTTTAGCTGTGATTGGTTTTAATTTGTTATTAGTAGTTGATAAATTTGAATTAAATCTTGTCGGTATGATGAATGAGGGTGATAAAATATGGGATGAATGATGATGAATATGATTTCTTAAGCCTGATACCAGCAGTCTTAGTAATGATGTAGTTAATCGACTTGGCAGTGACATGTTTGTGAATGGATTATGGAGATGGAGAAGGAGCGATACCACTTATTCAATGATAGGTTGATTCATGATTTTAATATCTGATCATTATCTGTGTGGTTACTCCACGGGTAAAGTTTTGAAATATTTTGAAGATGTGATCACGTTAATTTCATCACGTGACTATATTTTGAAATCAATATTAATTTGTAATATATCCCCACTAAATACTATTAAATGATTAATTTATAATTATATAATTACTTTTAAAGGAATTATTCGATGTACGATCAAGTTAAAAAGTTATATATAAACTTATCATCGATATACGGCATCCGAAATAAAATAATTAGATTGATCTAGAATTGATGAATGAGATGAAGATATGAGATAAGAGAAGGATTAGACCATACTATGACTAATTGGATGAAAGAGTTATGAGTCGAAAGGATAATAATATGATGCAGTTAATTTTGATTTAGCTACCTGTACAAATTCAATGGGTAAGATTACATTTACGATAATGTACAATCGATTGAATAACTAGACATACAAGCAAGTCCCACTCACCCACGATTGACACATTGGAGGAATGGAATTGGAATCCCTTCTTGTTATTGTTGTTGTTGATGCAAGTTCCATTTGTTTGTTATTTTGCAATTACAATATATATATATACCACAAATGATCTGTAGATGCAATATTTTTATTTACATTTTGCCTAATTAGGAAGTGTAATTAATTTGATTGAGGGCGCGCGCCTTTGAGAATAAAAAAAAATAAATTACTTACATGATCAACCCTGACAGAGTCCCTTTTTGAACAGAGTGTTCTAGTATAGATTGATTGATTGGTTGGTTGGTTGGTTGGTTGGTATATGGTACATGATGTGACTAATTAGAAAGTAGATGTCGAATCAAAAGCAATAATAGAAACAAAAACAAAAAAAAAAAACACAGTAGAACAGGTACGGGTACCATACCGTTAAGTCAACTTGGCATTGCCTTCTTTTGTTCCTTAAATTTTGATTCTGGGCCATCATTAAAAATTTACCACCATATAAACGTAACACTAAATTAAAGTGAAGGGAAGTGAAATTAAAATGAAATGAAACCACAAAATCAAAATTTTAATAAGCAGATGGCAGATGGTAATGGGTGGGTGGGTGGTGGTCATCTTTAATAGTTTATTTATTTATTTATTTATGTATTTACCGTTTTAAGAATAGGCTATGGACATCAAATTAATTAAAGATGCTAAATATAAATATTGTTAGTGTTTTCCATATTTTAAGGTAAATAAACTTACCATTATATATATATATATATATATATAGTTAAGCTTGCTAGTTCGTTGCTTATTTGTTTTTCATATCTATCAAGAGTAATCATTGTTACTACTTACTACTTACTACTTACTACTTACTATTTACAGTGTGTGTTCTATTTTTAAAACAATTTTTAAACACGTCTTTTAACACAAAAAAAAAGACTCACTAAACCAAACAAACAAATCAAAATTAAAAATATTTTTCCTAAACTGGATCTCATAAATATTTTTCTATTTCTGGTCAAAAGCTATTTGTTAAATTCATCTTTTACCTGTTTTCTTTCATTAGATTGGTTAATTGATTGTCAATATATCAAATAATCACACCTATCCCATCCATCTATCCAAGTCAAAAGTCAAAGACTTTGAATCATTCCATTCCATTCCTTTCGTTTGTTTTACTAAAGTATTCATTATTTTATTAGACGCTCATTAGAACCTATCCATTCTCATTCCCCATCCCCATCCCTATCCCCCATCATATTAATCATACTCATATAGAATCATGTGTGGTATTTTCGGTTACATCAACTTCTTAGTTGACAAAACAAGAGGTGAAATCATTGATACTCTTATCGATGGTCTTGAAAAATTAGAATATAGAGGTTATGATTCCGCTGGTATCGCTGTTGATGGTGATCATAAAAATGATGCTGCTATTATCGTTAAAACTCCTGGTAAAGTTGAAAATTTAAAAAGAAAAGTTAATGATGAAAAAGTTCCAAGATCAACCGTATTTGATAATCATGTTGGTATTGCTCATACAAGATGGGCAACTCATGGTCCTGCAACTGTTATTAATTCTCATCCTCATAGATCTGATCCAATGGGTGAATTTGTTATAGTTCATAATGGTATTATTTCAAATTATGGAGTTTTAAGAACTTTTTTATTAAAAAAAGGTTTTACATTTGAATCTGATACTGATACTGAAGTTATTGCAAAATTATTTAAACATATTTATGATTCAAATTTAGATGAAGGTTTACATCCTGATTTAAATCAATTAACTAAATTAGTTTTATCAGAATTAGATGGTTCTTATGGTTTATTAGTTAAATCTTCTCATTTCCCAGGTGAAGCTTGTGGTGCAAGAAAAGGTTCTCCATTATTAGTTGGAGTTAAAACTGAAAGAAAATTAAAAGTTGATTTTGTTGATGTTGAATATCCTGAAACTGATACAACTTCTTCAACTATTTCTAATGAAAATTTCTTATTACCACCTGTTAGTCAACAATCAGAATCAAATTTAAGAACTTCTCAATCAAGAGCTTTCTTTTCAGAAGATTCAATTCCAATGCCAATTGAATTTTTTTTTGCATCAGATGCTGCATCAATTATTAAACATACTAAAAAAGTTTTATATTTACAAGATGATGATATTGCTCATATTTTTGATGGTGAATTACATATTCATAGAGCTACTAAAAAGAAAAATGATGAATCAACTACTAGAACTATTGAAACTTTAGAAATGGAATTAAATCAAATTATGAAAGGTCCTTATCAACATTTTATGCAAAAAGAAATTTTTGAACAAACTGAATCAACTTTTAATACTATGAGAGGTAGAGTTGATTTTGAAAATCATAAAATTACTTTAGGAGGTTTAAAATCTTGGTTACCAACTATTAGAAGATGTAGAAGAATTATAATGATTGCTTGTGGTACATCATATCATTCATGTTTAGCTACAAGATCAATTTTTGAAGAATTAACTGATATACCAGTTTCAGTTGAATTAGCATCAGATTTTCTTGATAGAAAATCTCCAGTATTTAGAGATGATACTATTATTTTTGTATCTCAATCTGGTGAAACTGCTGATTCAATTTTAGCTTTACAATATTGTTTAGAAAGAGGTCCATTAACTATTGGAGTAGTTAATACTGTTGGTTCATCAATTTCAAGACAAACTCATTGTGGAGTTCATATTAATGCTGGACCTGAAATTGGGGTTGCTTCTACAAAAGCTTATACATCACAATATATTGCTTTAGTAATGGTTGCATTATCATTATCAAATGATACTATATCAAAAGTTGAAAGACATAAAGAAATTATTGATGGATTACAAAAAATTCCTCAACAAATTGGTCAAGTTTTAAAATTAGAAGATAAAATTAAACAATTATGTAAAAATCAATTAAAAGATAAAAAATCTTTATTATTATTAGGTAGAGGTTTTCAATTTGCTACTGCATTAGAAGGAGCATTAAAAATTAAAGAAATTACTTATACTCATGCTGAAGGTGTTTTAGCTGGTGAATTAAAACATGGAGTTTTAGCATTAGTTGATGAACAATTACCAATTATTGCATTTGCTACAAGAGATTCATTATTTCCAAATGTTATGTCAGCTATTGAACAAGTTACAGCTAGAAAAGGTAAACCAATTTTAGTTTGTAATGAAGGAATTGAAATTTCAAAAGATAAACTTATGACCACTTTAGAAGTTCCAGAAACAGTTGATTGTTTACAAGGATTATTAAATGTTATTCCAGTTCAATTAATAAGTTATTGGTTAGCTGTTGATAGAGGTATTAATGTTGATTTCCCAAGAAATTTAGCTAAATCAGTTACTGTTACTTGATTCTTTTTTTTTATTTTTATTTTACATCTTCTCTATCTTCCCCCATTTTAGTTTTATTTTATATATAATTCAAATTTTTTTTTTTCTTTCTTTACATATTATCAAAGGGTTTTATAAATACACATCAAATATAAAAATATATACATACATATAAACATAATAATAATTAACATAATTTATACATTCAAAAGGTTTGATTAAACAATATATACACAATAAATAATCAAGAATAAATGTAAAGAATATATAACCCCTTTTATTGAGGTTTTTGGGGAGCAGCACAACATGTATAACAACCAATAAAGAAAAAAAATTAACGGGCTCCCTTACCAACTTTCAATCAAGCAAGCAAGACATAAAACCAACAATATTTGACTTGACTTGAGTTTAATTTGACTTGATTTACTTACTTACGTTTGAAATAATCAGAACTACTTAAGAAAGCAGCACTAAAATCAAATACTTTTTCACCCACATCTAAATATTTACCGGAATAATATTTTAAATTTGAATTATTATCAAAGGCATCAAAATCAACCGTTAAGCCTGTACTTCTTTTGAGACCGGCTAAAAAGGCGGAAACCAACACCAAGTCTACACCGTAATGAACTGCTTTTCCAATCTATATGAGAAATGTATATGTGGTTTTAAGTTTTTTATCCTGTGGATCTGGAGTCCTACTTTTTTTTATTGAAGTATCGTCTGGGGGCAAAAAACAAAATGGTTTGGAAAGGAAGGGCAAGGCTGAAACTCCAATGGTAAGGTCAAATTCTTAATTGATTTTGAATTGAAGAGGGGGAATAAACACATAAGCATCACCATCCTCATCGACATACATTCCACTCATCAATGTACCTTACACAATCTTCCATAGAGGACAAACATATCTTAAACTAAAATAATTAAGGTTTGCCTTCACCCCAGCTTTTTTTTTTTCTCCCTCCCACCCCTTATATACATCAAAAATAGGCCTAGAAACAAGATAAAAAGAAATCACATAAATAGGTTAGTCAATGTCTTGAATGGTGTATCTGTCGATGGTATAGATGATATACTTACCATATTTGTTTATAAGTTAATAGTTTTGATAATTGTATGTATAATGTAGATAGTATTTAAAAATGAATCATTCTAATTTTGGTTATTTTGATTTCTATTTATTTATTTATTTACTTTTTAGAGCGATAGGGTAATATACAGGAAATCTCAATTTTTTATTATGGAAAGATTTACCCGGATATTATAACGCCATCCAAACCTCAAAAAAAAAATAACGATGATGAACCAAGATGGTTCCAATCGATACTGATAATATGTAGATGTATTCATCAATTAGTTAAGTCAAATTTGATTAGATGCATGACTGATATCTCATTAGTTATATCTATCTATAGAAGATAATTAAAATACCAAAACATGTGTTGATCATGTTTTTGGTTTTTGTTATGGTTGGAATGATTGGTATCCACATTTGCGATAATTAATGAAGTAGTACCCCCTGTACTTGAATGTATTACCATAGATGCTGTATAAGGTTGAACAAGTACTTTACTGTTCTTGTTTTGCTTATAGGTGTGTTTTTCGTTTGTCTGATTATTTAAGTTTAATTTTTGTGTATAGAGTATTATGATTTAGTGTTGTTAATGCTGGTTGGTTTTAAACAGAGATAAAATATGACATTTCCCAACAATCCCTACCATCAATCAACTATATGTCATTATTATTGTTACTACCGTTGTTAAATGATTTAAATGGTATAATCATTCCCAAAATACCATCATTACGTTTGTGGTTTACTACATCAACAACATCAAAGTATATTCCATACTATCATATCAAACGTATGATTGAAACATACGTCATTTCCTGATCTTCTAAAGTTGATAATCTGAATCTCTTTGCTTTACTTCACCAATAGTGGAGTCAACTAAAGGCGTGTGATAATCATCATCTATCATCATTGTTTGCCTCTCTATTTATTTCTCTTGTCACTCCCTCCTTTTGTAAGCCTTCGTTTTGATATACGTCGAATCAGATTTATCAACTTGGAAGAACAGTATCAATTCGATTCCATTCCTATTTATTATCAAAGATTCTTAAATATGATTAAAACTGGTTACTTTGTTGCTGGGTAAAAGTAATTAACAAAATACATATGTTCCGGGTAACATATTATATTTTGTTAGAAGTATTTCTCAAAGGGAAAAATTATAACTATATGAATATTTTTGGTACGTACGACTAATAATTCATATAATAGATCATTCAATACAGTTGAATAGTTACTTGATAATAGATTTATCAAAGTATATCATTCATATTGAATCAGTATTATCAAAAATAATTGGTTTATCGTACTTATTTTGATTATTGATTCTTTCTTTCTTTTGTTTGTTTGATTGATTTTTTAATTTTTGACTGTCATTTTTAAATAATGTCTGATAAATATAGACCACCACCTTCAGGGCCAAGGTCTCAAAGAAATTATAGTTCATCATATGGTTCATCATCATCATCATATTCAAAGGATACATACAAACCAAGTGGTCCAAGGCGATATAATAACAACAACAACAACAACAACAAAAATGAACGCGATAGTTATAGAACAGATGTCTATAAACCTACACCTTCACCATCACTCGAAGAAGCAGCAGCATCATCATCATCATCATCATCACCATCAACTACTGTTAAACCATTATCAACTCAATCACCCATAAGACCATCAGGTCCATCAAAATATAGAGAACGAGATAATTCAGCTCCAAGTACAGATAGAGATATTGGATCGAAAAGACCCATGATACCTTCTGGACCAAGTAGTTTTAAGAAACAACAAAGAGATTATTCTTCATCGTTTGTGGGTAGAAGGCCAGAAGGTCCAAAAGGGTTTGCACCACCCAAAGGACCAAGAGAATTCCAAAGACCTACTTCAAGTGGTTCAAATAGATATATACCATCATCATCATCTCAATCAATCGAATTACCAAAATTATCGCCATCACAAATTTATTCTATCAAAGTTACTAGATCATCTAAAATATTTGACAAAGTTCAACAAGTTGGAGAAGGTACTTATGGAAAAGTATATAAAGCTAAAAACAATATAACTAATGATTATGTGGCTTTAAAGAAATTAAGATTAGAAACAGAAAGAGAAGGATTTCCTATAACTTCCATTAGAGAAATTAAATTATTACAATCCTGTGATCATCCTAATATTGTTGGATTATTAGAAATGATGGTTGAAAATAATCAAATTTATATGGTGTTTGATTATTTAGATCATGATTTAACTGGTTTATTAACTCATCCTGATCTTAATTTAAAAGAATGTCATCGAAAATTTATATTTAAACAATTAATGGAAGGTTTAAATTATTTACATAAAAAGAGAATCATTCATCGTGATATAAAAGGATCTAATATTTTATTAGATTCAACTGGATACCTTAAAATAGCTGATTTTGGATTGGCAAGAAGCATGAAGATTTTAAATGATGGTGAAAGTCCTGATTATACTAATAGAGTTATAACAATTTGGTATAGACCCCCAGAATTATTATTAGGAGCTACTGATTATGGTACCGAAATTGATATTTGGGGTGTTGGTTGTTTATTAATAGAATTATATTCCAGAAATGCTGCTTTTCAAGGTTATGATGAAGTTAGTCAATTATGTAAGATTTTTAATGTAATGGGTACTCCAACAAAAGAAGATTGGCCTAATATTCATAATTTACCATGGTTTGAGATGTTGAAACCAAAAGTTAATGTGTCATCCAAATTTAATTCCCTTTATAAATCAATCATGAGTCCTCTTGGTTTTGATTTAGCATCTAAATTATTGGCGTTAGATCCAATAGCTAGATTATCTGGTGAGGAAGCTTTAGCCCATAGTTATTTCATTGAAGACCCTCAACCAGAACCATTAACTTTCTTGAAAGATATCAAAGGTGAATGGCATGAATTTGAAACTAAAAAGAGAAGAAGAAAGGAAAGAAAGAGATTACAAGATGAAGCCAAAGCTAAACAACAACAGCTTGCAAGAACAGAAAGTACTGTTGGTGATAATTCAATGAAAACTGATGTTGACAGTGTTTCAGAAACCTTGAAGAAAACTAAAACTGAATCTGAATTCAACAAGGAAGATCCTAATGATATACCTAAATCTGACATTGATACAGGGAAGTCTGAAATAGATGATGGTACCAAATCAGAAATGGAAGTTGATGATGACGAGACAGTATATGCCGTCAAGGAAGTTATTGAGATTGATTAGAGTGATCTCTTATATAGCATGTAAGTATAATAATGTAAGTATTTAATTTTTTTTGGCTTTAAAAATTTGATTTTCTAATTTTGTAAAAGAATTTTTTGCGGCATAATAGTTCTTCTTAACCGCCAATCAAAATAGTCGTCATTAACAATGTTATTATTAGGTTTATCATTATTTTTATCATTAACGTGGGGATTTGAAGTAAATATTGATGGTTTATCTCAATTTGTTCCCGTACCAGAAGTCTTATCAAATATAGTAGTATCAACTACAGATAATAAATATATCAATTCCATTCAAAAAGCCTTCAATTTAGAATTCAGTCAATGTATAGTGAACACAGAGAAGAATAATGAGACTTATCAACATGTTGAACTATTTAATAATGATGAGAAACTTCTACAATGCTCCCTTTTGAATGATGTATATGAAAATTGCCAAGACGCTGGTTTAAAAGATAATAATTTTTGGTTTTTCCAGTTATTAATTGAATCCACATGTAAAGAGGCCAGTGATAATGAAGAAAATTCAAACATTTATCAAGCAAATGGAGAAGCTGAACAGAGTGAAGATTCATTGAAGAAAGAGAGCCTTCGAAAAAGATTACTTGATCCAAGATTTAAAAATATTAATTTTGATGAATATTATAATAAGAATTTACCCAAGGCAATGTCATATGATTGTGGTTTAATGCTGGCATTGAAGACTACTGTTGCTACTGACCCTAAAGTCTTGACAAGGTATACTTCTTCATTCATAGTTGCTGGAGCCATAGAGACTCATCTTACAACCTTGGAATTGATCAAAGTAGTTGGTTTACCACAACCTCTGATGGTGATTGCCAAAAGGGATATTGATGAGATAACATTCAACTATACATCCACCTCTTCGTCAGATGACAAGTTCAACAACAATCAAAACACTTTGTTTCTGACTTTAATATTTACCTTTATCCTTATATATCTCATATTCCAATTATCATTAAATTAAATGATATTTACATAGGATAAATTTATTTGCAATCATTTTCACATTTTTGGTTTGCCGAATTATATACAGGCCGGTCAGTCAAGAATGTCTAACAAAAGAAAAAAGATCCAGAACAGGCAGAAATTTATGGAATTATAATCAGACGGTTTTTTTGTTTTTATATAGAGCAATCGTTTATCTTCAACAACTTTTTTATAAATATATAAATTTTGATATATTCATTCTATTTTCATCTTCATAGTTGTTCACAATTGAAGTGAACACAATAGTTTTCAAAATCATAGGAGAGGAAATTTTTATATTGAGAAAGGAGTTTAGCTAAGCATAGAGAAATTTCAGGTGTGAGTGATCATGGGTTCTTGTACGTCAAAGGATAGCAATGATATAAATACTGCTACCAAACCTTCTAATACCCAAGCAAGACGTAACAATCAGAGAAGTGCATTGCAACAACAGCAACAATCAGGTCTGTCCAATAATATTCAGCATAATCCATCCAGTGATTCGTCTAATGTTCTGGATAAGCAACAATCCAATAACACAAGCACAACTAATGGAACTGCTCAGATAGGAAATGGATCTGCCACCACATCTGCATCTTCTCCACTAGCACTGGCTGCTGCAGGTGGGTCTAATGGAGTAACCTCCATTCAACAACAACTTTCTTCAAATCCAGTATCTGTTGCAGCTGAACAATCACAATCGGATTCTAACGAAATAAAAATCCTATTATTAGGTTCAGGAGAAAGTGGAAAGTCAACTGTTGTGAAACAAATGAAGATATTACATCAAAATGGTTATTCAAAGTCAGAATTACAAGAGTATAAACCATTTGTGTATAAAAATATCTTGGATTGTATCAAAAATGTCATCAATGCTATTATTGATTTACAACCTGAGTTAATTAATAAATCCAACGATAGTAATTTAATCAATGATCAAGAAGTCGAACAAAATGAAGTTGATAGTGTTGAAAAGTACGAAGGTAAAGGTCTCAAAAAGCATGTTCTTGAATATGATGATTTGAACGAAGTCTTAGATTATGACTTTTCCATTGATTCCGAACAAGTGTTTAATCCAGACATTGCCAAAAAAATAAAACAAATCTATAATACCCCAGAAGTGCAATACTTTATAAAGTTTCAGCAAGGTAATTTCTATTTAATTGATTCAACAGATTATTTATTAAGTGATATAGATCGAATCACCAATCCTGATTATTTACCATCCGTTAATGATATTTTAAGAACAAGAAAGAAAACTTCAGGTATTTTTGATTTCAGATTTCAAATGGGAAGAGGATTAAATATTCATATGTATGATGTTGGTGGACAAAGATCAGAACGTAAAAAATGGATCCATTGTTTTGATAATGTTACTTTAATTATCTTTTGTGTGGCTTTATCTGAATATGATCAAACTTTATTAGAAGAAAGTACTCAAAATAGATTAGAAGAGTCATTGGCTTTATTTGATTCAGTGGTTAATTCAAGATGGTTTACCAGAACTTCAGTTGTTTTATTTTTAAATAAAATCGATGTATTTGAGAAAAAATTACCTTATTCTCCATTAAAAGATCATTTCCCTGATTATACTGGTGGTGATAATGTTAATAAAGCTGCCAAATACATCTTATGGAGATTCAATCAAGTCAATAGATCAGGTTTAAACATTTATCCTCATGTCACCCAAGCTACAGATACTTCCAATATTGTTGTCGTTATGGCAAATGTCAGAGAAGCAATTTTAAACAATTCATTATCGGATATTGGAATTTTACCATCTGCTTGAACGAAAGAGGTCAAATCTTCACATATTACATTTCTCCCATTTGCATTTTCATATCAACTTATATTACGACTTTATTTCGATTGCATATTCATATCTCTTGTTCTCATTATTTACGAAACGAAAACTGATTTAGTGACAATTTTTTTTATTTTTATTTATTTTAACAAAAACTTTTATTTTTAACTATAGTGTATGGTATTTGTGTGTTTCTTTCAAAAACAAAAATAATAAAAAAACTATTTATTTATTCAAAACAAATGATGCATGTTATTGTAGATACAAATATACTAAGGCTGTAAGTAAAAAATAATTAATTATACATTATACTATCATATAAATCTATACGAAGCAAGAAATAAATAGTGTGAGTGTGGAATAACCAAACAAATACATGCTGAATCTTTTATTCAGTCTTAGCTTCTTCGCCTGGCTTAGCTCTAACATAACGAAGATTGAAATTAGCAGCTGCATTACCTCTACCTCTTCCACCCCTGGAATTACCCCTTCCTTCAAATGTACCTCTAGAAGATCCTCTACCTCTACCTCTGAATCCACCCCTTCCACGACCTCTACCTCTAGTGTTTGAACTAGATGTATCTTGTGATGCTGATGAGTCTATTTCATCTGCTTTATCTTTCGATTTTTCATCTTCAGCAGCTGATTTTGAACTGATAACTTCTAGTGTTGGTGGTTTGGACTCTTCTCGTGGTTTACTTTCTACGACCTTTTCAACTTTTTGTGGTTTTGGTTTGGTTTCTGATACTGATACAGGTATATCAGATTTAGATGGTTCTGTATTTTCATTGGAGACTTTTTCAACAGCTGGCTTATTAAAAACCTTACTCTTATTTTTGGTAGGAGAATGATTTCTGTATCTGTCACCAGGATAATATGGTTGTCGTTGAGAACGGTATCTCCTATTTTCATCTGTAGTTGGTGGTTGATTATCTGTCGCTGGAGTTGGAGTATCACCATTACTTGACACCGTATTTTCAGATTCAGTGACATTGACCTGCTGATTATTACTGTGATTATTGTTACTGATATTGTTGTTATTTCCGTTGTTATTGTTATTGATGTTATTGCTAGTGTGATAGGGACGTTTATTATAGCTAGTATTGAATGAATTATTATGATTACCCTTGTATGACGAATATTGATTATTGAATCTCTTTTCTTTTGGTGGCACTGGAGTTGCCTTTTGAACTAATTCACTCAAATGCTTTCTGAAGTCTGGTCTTTCTTCATCATCAAAATCGGTGGATGGTTTGGTTGTGATGGGTTTGGATTGAGTTATTTCAACCTTAGAAATGGATTCAGTAGCTTTTTCGATGTCTTTCTTTTTTTGGTCCACTTCCACGGGGGTTTTCTTTGAAACTTCAACCTCTTCATTATGTTTCTGTTCTTTTTTCTCGTCTTCCAATTTAATAACTTCACTTTCTTTTATGGTTAAATCTAATTTCTTTGGTTGGGGTGAACTAGTGGTGTTTATTTTCTTTTTCAATATCACAGGTTTGGAAACTATTGGCTTTGGAGTATGACCTTTAGTTGGAGTGTTTCTTCCTCCTGATCCTGAATTATCATGAGATTGTTCACTAAGCATTTCAGCCATACTCTTTCCTGATCCATTTATGGAATAGGGTGAATTTGTTGGTAATGGAATAGTAGTGGCAGCATGAGCTGGTGTGATTGTTGAAGGTGTTGGATGTGCAATTGCACCTGATGAAGTGTTATGATCAGATATGGTAGGACGTTTCAATATTGAAACAGATGATTTTCTACCATTATCAGTTGATGATCTTCTTGAGCCTGAATTAATGGAAGATCTTCTTAAAGTTGGAGATGCCTTTTCATGAAATTCTTTAATGGTTTGTTCAACATCTGGAGGAAGTTCACCTTCAGGACCTAAAGTTTGAACAGTTGTTTTATTCAAATTGATTAATTTCTTTTCTATTTCTTGTTGACGAGTTAATGTATCTACTGGTTTGGCATCACCAAATGGGTTTGATTTATGCTTATGTTCTTCATGATGTTGTGAATTTTCATGATGTAAAGGAGGTTGATCAAAATGATGTTGTTGAGGGGAAATACCTCGAGGACCTTGACCAGTACCAAACCCACCTGGACCTCTTTGAAAGTTATTTCTGGTGGGAGGATGATATCTTGAACTTGGAGTATCGATTTGAATATTATCAAGTAAAGCCATATGACGAGGTTGATGTTGTTGTTGTTTACTTGCTATGAAATCATCTTGAATTTGTTGAATTTCTTGATCATGCTCTTTATTAAATTGAATACAATATTGAAAATCATTAAAATCGGCCATTTCTACAATCACTCTTCTTGTACCTTTATAGAATAAATCATGCCATTTAACCACTTTTCCTAAATCTTGAAATGAGTTTAATTCAACAAAGGCTACTCTTTTTATGACATGAGTTTCCAATATATTTGAAGAAGGATCAACCACTATTTTTGATTTTTTAAATGTTGTGAATCTACTTTGAAATAAATCAGTAACAAATGCATCATTGGCCGTCACAGGTAAGTTCAATAACTTAACAATATAAGGAGGTCCATTATCACCTGCCATTGAACCACCACCACCTCCTCCTGCACCGCCGCTATGATGGGATGAAAATCCATCATGAGAATAGGATGAATTATAATGGGTTACTCTTTCAATTGGTACTGATATGGAAGCCATATCAATATCATCATCTGCCCAGGAGCCTCCATACGCTAAAAAAGGGGGTAAAGTTAGTATCAACTATCATGAAATGTGGAGATATAAAAGTAAATACGCGACCAAATGGCTTGTCTCGCTATAAAAATACAACCATCAAGTGGTGCAAATAAATACATACATTCATCGTTGAAGAACTCCTGCAAGGTCATCTTCTTAGGTGGGACTAAACAGACTATGTTAGTATCAATCCTCTATCATTATCAGCCTTGTAATTGTAGTAATTGGACCCCCTGTCAAAAAAAAATAAATAATTCAAATATTAAATAAAACGTCTCTGTCTTGATCATTTTAAAAGGTGGTTCAATGCATTCGATTCTGATCAGCACTTACACCCACTACCACAATCACAAGCCATCGATGAATCCAACATAGGGATCCATATAATCCTTATCGTCATGTACATACCCATAATAATCACTAGTATTTATATGATTCTGTTCTAGTCAATTGATATGAGATTGAATTTTAACTTTATAAATATTTATACCAAATTTATTTTTTGTTGTCTATTTCTTATGCTGCTTATTTTTTTTTTTTTGTTCTCTGTTATGTTTGACAATTTTCTTGACGAGTGACGATACTTTTTTGAGTTAATTTCTTACATAGGGCAAAAATCTATCAGGTGATCCCGTGTCACGTGTGCGATATAATAACCATGAAAAGTGCTTCAAACATTTATAAAAGCTTAAAATAATGCCAAGAGTGGAGATGGAGAGATAGAGGTTTGAGACAAAAAGTTTATATATTTTATATTATGATATTTCTTTTTTTTTTTTTTTTCAAGTTATTATTTATAAATCAGTATAACTATCATAAGTCTTTCTCCAATTAGCAAAGAATCCAGTAAAGAATTTGATACCTAATCCAATATCTTTAGTACCAACAGTTGCTCTGATGGAATGCATAGATAATTGAGGGATACCTAAATCAATAGTTCTGGCACCAGTTTGTAATGAGATTGATGGACCAATGGTTCCACCTGATCTTGAATCATTTCTAATTTGGAAATATTGTAATTCATCATTATTGATTTTAGCTAATTCTTCAACCAATGCTAACCCAGTAGAATCTGTTGCCATGTGACCATTTGGATCCAACGCAATTGAAATACCTTTATTTGGTAATGGTTTATGATGTTCTAAATAAACCAGACTGAAATTTGGATTAAATAAATGATTCACATCAGCAGATAAAATAATAGTATTAGCATAAGTTAATCTGATTTGTTCTTGAATATCTGAATTACTTGGATTAAAATAATTGGAAGCTAAAATTCTACTAACTGTCAGTTCAATTAATCCCCCTTTAATACCTTGTCTTGTAGCTGATCCAATTTCTTCATTATCAAATAATCCAACAATAGAAAATCCATCCGATTCTAATAATGAATCAGTATCAGCTTCTAATAATCCATAGATAGCAGCAAATGAACAAACTCTATCATCAACTCTTGGAGCAAAAATAAATTCATTATTCAAACCACCTTTAGTAGCATGATGAACATCATATAATTGTAAATCCCATTGAACAATATCAGAAGCTTTAACTCCAGCAATCTTTGAAATATATCTGATTAAACTAATCGAATGTTTACCGTACAATGGAGATGCTTTTTCTTCTTCAGTTGCTTCGGCTGGTTCTTCAGTAGAAAATCCAACAACAGGAACAGCTTGCGTTTCTTTATTAAATGGTCCAATAGCTGGAGCACCGAAATGAGGAGCTAAAGTTGGAATATGAGCAATTGGATTTGGGGATGAATCAACTAATTTTGGTACAACTTTCCCAGTCTTTGAATCTTTAACTAATAATCTACCACCAACACCTAAATCTCTATCCCACCATACACTTTCTAAAGTCCCACCATATGGAGCAACTCCTAATAATTCATAACCATCAACTTTAGTTTTAGTAGAATTTGGTTTTAAAATAACGGTAAGAGAATCAATATGAGAACCAATAACTCCAACCCCTTTAGAAGCATCCCAATCTTTACCAACCACAAAAGCAATTAATGAAGAACCATTTCTAATGGTGACATATTTACCAGGAGTTAAATCTTCCCATGAATCCTTTTCATTTATAAAAGTGAAACCCTTAGCTTCTAATTTTTCAATGAAATAATTGACGACATGATAAATGGTTGGATTGTTAATAGTGAATGAAATATATTCATCAGCATATTTTTCATAGAATGAATCAGAATATTTCTCAATTGAACTTGCATTGCCACTATTTCTTCTAGTTGAGGCTGGAGTTTCAACTTCTTCATTATCAGATGAGGCAGCACCAGTTACATTGGAGTCAATGGCTTTCCCCAATTGTTCAAATTTCCCAATGGCTTGAGTTAAATTCTCGAGGAATTTTTCTAAATCAGCAGACTTTAAATTAGACATTGTATAGTTAGAAGTGTCCTTTGATGAAATAAGTTATATTAAGTCAATTAGTATATTTTGTCAGCAAAAGGAAACTTATAGTTATTTATATAAAAAGATTGAAATTATCCAGGTATGGCTTCTTCTCAAATGATAAAGTATGGCGGGGGCTCTCATTTAGTTTCTATTTTTGTTTAGTGAGGGCGTTATCGGTGACGTTGTGCCAATTTCGGATGTGGCACCCTAAAAAGTGAGACAGTGAGGGTAAACGACCATTTAATCTTTCCTAATTGGGATTTCGACAAGCACCCTAAAATGGATGTAATTCCACTTCATTGGGGCACATTCAAATATACTATAATACTATTTTAGCGTATATATGTGATATATGTAAATCATCTTGCATTAAACTTCATTATTATTCATACCGTTATCTATTATATCTACAAAAAAAATGGACTGAGTTAAAAAATAACTATGTACAGAGGGGGGAAAGGAAATCAATTAGGTCTTTCAGCTGCAAAAGTAGCTGCAACAATCAATGGTAAAACCATACTAACATCAGCATATACTTTAACTGATTTAGCTTCACTTTTAATCTTACCCCAACTAACAGCTTCATCAGGTCTAGCACCTGCATCAGATCCATCGAATTCTTGACCAGTATTAATATATACCGCATAATCAGCTCCATTTCTCATTAAACAAGCATTACAAATATGATGTTTAATCAAACCACCACCTAGTATAAGCATCCCAGCTCTAGAAGCAGCCATGGACATGGAGTTGATCTTTCTGATATCAGCAACAATATCTAATCTGAATTGTTGTGGAGAAGCTTTAAAAGTATGGAAAAATAACATATCACCAATCGAACCATCAGTAAGAGCAGGACTGAAAATTGGGATTTTATTCTTATGAGCCCAATATAAAACTGAAGTTTCATCATTGATTTCTTTACCTAATCTATCAATTAATCTTGATGGAGTCCAAATAGCTTCTGAATCAGCATTTAATCCTTCTGATCCTAATTTTTTCATAGCATCTTCTTGTTCTTGTAAGATTGTATCTAATACCGGAACTATCCATTCTTCGAATTTACAATAATTATCATTTGGAACTAATAAATTCCCAATTCTATTCATACCTTGATCTCTTAATCCTTTACCTGGTAAACTAAATTCTCCCATATAAGTTGGTGCTAAACATTTAATTAAATCTTCTTCAATACCACCTGCACTAGCTACAATGGCACTCACTTTTTTATGTTGAACTAAGTATCTTAAAGTATCTCTTAACCCAGAAGATATCAAATTAGAAGTGAAACCCATAAAGATTGTAGTCTTTTGAACTCCTTCATCATCAAATTCTCCAGTTCTTTCATGTTCAGGTAAGGAATCCTTATGTTCACCTCTCCAACTTCTCATATCATCAATGATTTCACAAGCCTTACTTAAACTTGAAGCTTGGAACCCCATAGTCTTCATAGATTTGATTAAGTCAACTGCATTCATATTATAAGCATTATCTTTAGAATAATCTATACCTTTAACTTCTTCAAAATCTTCAGGGACCGGTATGGATTGCTTTAACACAGCATCAGATGCTAAATTTGGTAATTTTCCAGATGAACTCATAATGACAACTTCTCTTAGTCTATGATATTCTAACCTCTTTAATAAGTAGAAGATATAATAAGATCTGAATCGGTTGTAAAAAAATTTTCAAATCAGTTTATGATTTTTTTTTCTTTTGCGCATCGTATTGAATTTACTAATTAGGAAATGATGCTGTTGTAGAAATGTGATAGATAGATTTAGAACTACTTCTAAGTGAATGCTTATCAATTACGATATCATACAATCCCATTTTTAGACGGGATAAGGATTAACTGATTATAACGTTTATTTTTGTAATATAAGTATAATTGTATATAAAAGTAGAAATTCAAATTATGAAGAATCAAACATCAAAATATATGGCTGACCAGGAGCTTATGATAATATATGATATTGAAACTGTAAAACTTGAATCTCAATGCAATAAGAAAGGAAAAGGGAGTGGATATGGCGTTGAATTGATGTAGAATATATATGTGTATATGATTGAAGCTGAATGATTAATGAATGTTTTAATTAACTTCTATCCGACACAGTTGGTTCCCAAGATGTGAATTTTGGCTTAGCAGTATTATAAGGAACATAAGCACCAGTAGTATTGGTTAAATTTGGTTTATGCTTTTCTGGTAATGGATAAGCTCTAACTGCAATTGCATCACCAGTTAATTTGTTTGGTGGGGTATTATTACCATACCCTAACCAATAATGCCAAGCTGGCTCAACTTTGGATATATCAATTTGAGTCCATCTATCATTATATTCAACCCATCTTGTTCTCATATGGATTTCTTCTGCATTATCAGTTTCATAATATTTATTACCATAATCATCTTCACCAACTAACCATCCACTCTTGGTATCATTGTGAGTTTGGATTTGCCATAAACCTCTTCTTATACCTGATTTGTATATGTTCTTGATGGTACGAACAATTGAAGTAGACATCTTTGATTATATATTGCTTGCTTAACCAAGGTATTCTATATACTATTGATACAACATTTTTGTTTTTGATTTTTTTTCTCCAAATGTGTGATTGGGCGAATAAAATTAAGAATTAATGTGCACGTGACAAAAATTATGAGAAAAGAAATTCTCGCTACCAAATAGACATAGAATCAATAAAGGATTATCTATTTCAAGTTGATTCTAATACTGGCTAAAATAAGAATTAAAAAGTATACTACAAATAAAACAATGAAATAATGAAGACATTTATTCAAAAAAAAGTTTTTTTTTTTAGTTTTATATATATATATATGGAGAAAGAGAAAGAGAAATAGAATACAAATTAAAAAATAGAGAAAGTTGACCAAAATCAAATATATTGAAACATATGACTCAATTAAAGGATCACCTTGATAAATAGAAATACAAAAAATCAGCAAAAGAAGTATAACAAAACATTAACAAAAAAATGGGTACCAAACTATCACCAGCATGTGTTCATAAATAGTTTGATTCTTAATCTATTAGAGTATTAGCAGCCATCCTAAAGTTTGAATATCCAATTAAGCATCAATTACCAACCAGCAGTTGTCTAAGTCTGTGATTTAGACAATGGTATATCTGTTTGGAGTGGCACCCCAACCGGTACTGTAGTTTTTGTTATCTTTGTTAGCAGATTGAGTTTTAGTAGTTTGTTGTTGAGCAGCCATTGTGAATATATTTGTTTGATGAGGAGAGAAGAAGAGATTTACAAAAAGTTAGAACCATTGCAGGATTCTTCTGTAGTTTATATAGTTGTGTTTTTCAAGTTCCAATTGATAAAATTGTATCTTTACTTTGTTCTGAAAGGCAAATTGTAAAGGTTAATCAAAAGGATTGCTGTAAATAATGGTGTTCCAGAATATCACCAAAAATTTCCTTTTCAAGTCATGACAATGTAAATGCTCAGATTAGTTTCAATTAAGTATCGGTTCCTATTTCGAAATCGGCAGTAGGGTGAATTCTTCCACCTTCTCTTAAGTCACACAGTTGAACTTTGACTAAAGGCCACTATTTCTTTTTTTGAATTTCTCCAACAAGTTACGAGATTTCTCTATTTCATTTTACGAATTTCTTTTTCAACAAGTGGATGTAAGTATCCGAACGGTTATCCATCGGTTATTGCTTACATTGATCAATCTAGTAAGAATAGCGATGCTTTAAGATTCACGATGTTTCAAACTAGTTTTTGAAACAATCACAAACACAAACGCGTGTAAAGTGTGAAAAAAAAAAAAACAGAAATTGAAAATTAAAAATAATAGTTTAGATGCTTACTTTGAAACAATCAAATAGAAGATAGACTAGGGCCCGCCTGAGTAGTTCATAATGCTGGCTGTTGATAATTCTCAGTCGCTTGAAGAAGACTATCAATTGCAGATTAGTAATCTCCAAAAATTAAGATCCGTGTTACAGGCTGTTAAAGTTTCAACCGATAAGATCTATCAAGATATTCATGATGTTACACAAGTTAATAATAAAGAGATATTACAACAATCAAATGACTTAAAGAAGATTCTAGATCAAATATGAATTTGCGATGCAGGTTTATTTGTATCTTTATCTATATACAGAAATGATGCTATTTCCTTTTAATAACTTTTATGGTGGGGAAATGTCTATGATGTCCGGTTGAAATTTGGACTTTATACAGGGTTGATAATGAATTTAAATTCGATTTATTATCATTCAAAATAGCAACGAATTGATCTAATTCCTGTGAATAGCTTTTGACTGTGGATGATAACTGATGGTACCATAATAAAATCTGTTCATTATTGACCCAAAATTCATTAAAGGATTCGTTATTTTCAATTTCATGAATCAATTGTTTATAAAGACCTAGAGTATTGTTCAATTTTAGTTTCACTTGAGTTAATATTTGTTTGGTATTATCGAAATTGGAATTATCAAACTTTAAAGAATTCTTGTATTCAGCAAAGCTTGGTAAGTTTGGTACACCAATGCTTGACCATGGTTTTAATCTTAATTTAAAAATTAATTCATCTTTGAAAACTGGAATCAATCTGAATGACGACAATACAATTAAATAGCATGAAACACTTTCTAATAATTCCTTTAAAGCCGACCAACCATTCAAGAGATACTCATGATTAAATCTTTGAATCTTAATAAGTTTAGGTAAAACTTCTTGATTATTAATTTGATTCTGAAGTTTTAATTGTTCCTTCTTTGGACCAGCCTTTAATTTTTTAATCTTTTTGGGAAATCCCTTTTCAATATAAGTGATCTTTTGATTGATATTACTAGTTAATCTTGTATTGACTAATTCAATTAATAAATTTAATAAATAAGTCGAAAACCAATAAATCACATAAATTTCAAAATCTTGATAGATATCAAGCGCAATTCCATTCATAGCTAAATCAATCATTAAATTCAACTTAGTATAGTAAATAAATGTACTTATAGGCAAAGTTGGCACTCCCTCTGATATTTCTTCTCCGATTTTAAACGTAGAATAAACTTCAAATTCAAAGGCTTCCCATGAAACTTGTAATGTATCCCATAATAAGAGCGCTTTAGATGTTAATTGTTGTTGACGGCAAGGATTTTGAGCGTAGATGGTTAAATTGTGATATCCAGAATTTTCAAGGTCTTGTAAAAGTGGTTCAATTCTTTCGAGAATTGACTTATTAATATCAGGTTGTTGTAACAGTTTTAAAATCATGATGTTACCACCCACAATCGACTCAATTTCTTCAATAACATACGTCAGCAAATTCACATTTGGGGATCCAAACATTGATTTATCATCTCGAATGATATATAATTGAAACACTCCTCTTGCCATGACGTTGAAATTCTCAATATTATAACTAATATCATATTTCAAAAAGTTTTGTAATTGTTGATGGTTGGTTAATGCATTTGATGACTTGAAATAACTCAATATATTATTGAATAATCTAGAAAGACTATTCCAACTATCTTCCCATGAGATTTCATAAATTTCACTAGGTATATTCTTATTATCTAAATCCAATTGAATAAAGGTAGAAAATGATCCAGAAGGAGGTTGATGCGTATTGTCTTGCACTTTCAAAACATTTATAATCTGTTTTGCTTTTAAAAGGAATTCCACTAAGTGTAAGTTATCTTCAGTTGGTTCTGTTAAATTGACTTTATGATTTAATATAGTTACGATCTTTAATAAGTATTTTGATAAATTTAATTGAGAGATTAAAATATCAGACTTATCTTGAAGATTTAAGGTTAAAATCCATTCCAGACATTGATCAATTTGTTCTATGACTATCTCCTCGTCTACTTCAGTTAAAAAATCAAGATTCATGTTTCTCGTATTGATATCTTCTTCTTCATATAAAACATTTACACCGATTGTGATACATATTCCAATGAATTTAGTTATGGCAATGGAAAATATTTTCAATACTTTGTGAACTAATTGATATTCGACATCATCATCAAGGCTTTGATTTTTATCTTGCATTTCTTTGGTTTCGAAGAATCGAAGATTTTTAAATGAACATTGATCTAATAAATTTTTTGATCCTTGATTTCTGGTAAATGTATAATTTTCTAATAAGGTTTGAATGTAACGACAACTCAATACCGTAACAGGCAATGAACTATTATTAAGCCAACTCATTAACAATTGGAATAGTTTATTTTGAATCGAAATAACATTATCAATCAGTTGTTTGTCATTGGTATTGAATGAAAGATCACTTGGCTGTAACTTTATTAACGCAGTATCTAACCGGGGATTAAGAACTTCAATGGCTCTTGTTCCCTCTAACAAATTGAAATAATCTGATTTGACCACCTGATGATCAGTTATAAGTGATAATGAATTGAATAAATCATTGGTAATATCTATATATTGATCATCGATAATATCATCTTCGTGATCTTCCAGTATCGTATGTTTCTTGTCGATGTCCTCGATATTCAAAGGATCTAAAATAGAACTATGTTAGTAAAACAGTTTACTGGAGATTACTGCACATTTTTCAGACTTTAACATACCCAACGATATCATTACTGGTGATACTAATAATGAATATTAAGATAATAGGTTGTAAAATCAAAAGTCTCTTATTTTTTTTTCATTGACTTAGAAATAATTTACGACAACATTTTGTCGCAAAATTTTGATGATAGTGTCGCGACATAAGTATAATCTTAAAGTCTTTTGACGTATTTTGCGGCTTGTAATTAAAAAGTAGTAATAATTACAAGTCATAATTGCTAATTCTACGTGATGAAATATGAACTGATTCAATGCTTGGTTTTCGAACTAAGTCGCGGTATAGCTCTTTATAAAAATATGACTTCAAGAATAAAAGAGATTTGATTGAAATCATGATGTAATCAAAACAAACGAAAATAATCAAAACGAAAGTATATCAAGGACGTGTTAAAGGTAACGTTAATCATGTTTAACTTTAAAGTTTGATCATTCGAAATGTTTCTAATCTAGACTCAAATCGATTATAAATTAAAAATAGAAATGATCCCAAACGGCCTTTCTCTTTACAATGAGGGATAATTGCAATAGGTTTTAGAAAGATTTGAGGAACATGTTGCAATAGAATGAAACGGCGTAATAGCTATTTTCCAATGTGTAAATATATCAATAGAATTTATAATTTTATATAGGTAAAACGGGTAAAGTTCGAGATGTATGACCTTTAACCTATTTTAAACTGCAAATTTATATTTAGAGATAAGATATTTTTTTACCAAAAAAAACGTTTTTTTTATTTGTCAGCACTAAGGCATTCCGAGGGCTAACGATTTGGAACCGGTGGACTTTTTTAGCATGCGCGTAAAAGGAAATCAAAAATCAAAAATCAAGAAAAAAAATAAGAGGCTGATATTACAGTTTGACAACAGAGTGGGGATTTATGTCGCACCTCTAGAATCAGAAAGTCGCAACATTATCAGGACCTCTTTCTCATCAGGATCAAGGTTTGAAGGTAGTGGAACACACAAAAAATTGCAAAAGCCGGATTATCAAATCCCTTAACTATGGTATAACCATCTCTATCAGAAACATATAGTATATACGTATATATTTGTAAAAAATTTCAGTAATAAATAGTTGATGAATATTAAATAGTAGAAGATACTCATAGTAGGATAATTCAATTATAGAAACTTTGGAATTGACACGATATTCATAATTATCTGTGAATTAATAAGTGAAAGAGATCGGATGTACTACAGAAACTAAGTAAAAAAACTGAATTTGGTTACAGTGGGGGAGCTCATCTTTTACAAAGAATGTAGATATAAAATACCCTAAGGATAATCTCAGAAAGTTAGAAAAGAGTTAGGGGATACTAGAAACTTCTTGTCAAAGTTTCGCAACAGAGGTTTAAAAGTGAATTTTTGCAAATTTTAGTAAATATTCTTCGGATATCAATTAATGTTCTTATTGGTGATAATCAAATCTGTCCATCTATTATACAAATGTTGCTATAAATGCTTTTCATTGGGAAAAATTGTATTAACCGTAGTAAAGTCAACCCATTAACTAAACTTTAGTACATATTGATCTCATACCATCAACAGTCAACTTCATTCACTACCCACCTATGCAAAATCATCTTGAACAACTTATACAAATATGTTTTATTATTCAAATCCAACGGTAAATGCGGCAGTGAGTGATTGAACTGTATCGATCCATGCATATCGTTATCCCTTTTTCAAAGTAAACTTTCTTTTTCTTTAGATCCTTGAATGTCAATGAAAGGGTATTAAGAAAAAGGGCTAGATCAAGTAGTGGGTAAATATTAGCGAACACGAGTTCCCTAAATAGCCTAAACAATAGAAATTTCACAAAATGTAGAAATGGATGGTAAACATAAATTTCAAATTTTAAGATCAAAAGGAAATCAAAACAGGCAGTGCATTTTGAAATGTTTATGAGAGATTTTGTTTTATTGCTTTTCATTCCCTACTGTATGGCAATTAATTCCATTTTTGAAAGGATTGTACTATGTTGATTCTTAATTTCATTAACAAGATACAATTATGGCGTGATGCATTTTATAATGGCAAAAAAATAGTCAAACACCTGTTGGCAGACTCATAAAACCATTATCTTCATTATGCATTCATGAAAAAAACTTTATACTCAGAATTGAAGTACATACACCTAATTAGGTTGGTTTTTAATTTGAGTTCTAATATTTGACCATTTTATCTAACCAAATAAACAGAGTTTACGCAGCAATATTTTTTTGCCAGTACATATTGACAATGGCGCAAAAAAATATATGTGAAGTCTAAATGACAGCACTGCATATAAATTGTAAAATAAATTATTTCGCGTTTAGATTTCAAATCTTAAAATGATAGAATTACGAACATTTTGATAGGAAAAAAGATAGACCAAACAGTTAACAATGGCTTTCAAGATTAGGTCGAACCAGTTCAATCTAGTTAAGTAAATGCCTCAATTTTCAAGTGTGTTCATAATTGATGGCGAAAGAATTATCTAAATACTTTAAAAGATGATTCTTCTTCTTTTTAGTTCACAATCACTTGTTTTACAATTCATATGATGGAATCAGTACGTATTATAGAGCTTTAATAACTACAAATATCCTGATAACTATGGTATGTAGTGGATTTGTTTTGACTTTTATAGAGGCGGTTAAAATGTAAAGATACAATGTTCAGTTTAAAAGTTCAATCTTGCATTGGTGTATGCAGCCAACAAAGAAAAAGAATCAATAGGTTGCATATTTAAAGAAGCCGAATAATTGAGATATTTTTAATAAAATATTAGTCTTGCATAAAAAATAATTTGAACTATTATAAACAAGTTATTAATATCCCAAAACAGTCGAATTATTTCCTAAACTGGAAAATCATAAACGTGACAAACTTCTTATGGATTTCTTCTAATTTTTTTCTTTTAACCAACGATTCATACATTATTCAAGTTATATGGGTTGGAACAGCTGAACTTTGCAACCACATGACAAGATCATTTAGCAAAGAAGTAGACCTGAACAGTTAATGGACGAATACGAATCAGCGTAAATATCAACAACAAACAATATCATGTAATAGCTATGCGAATATTATTGTTAGTCTCGAGGTTTTACGAAAACAATAATATATGCAACATGTGCATATATGTGAATGTAAGAATAGAAAAGCCTGTGGTAAAACAGAAAACTGAACTGATTTGGTAATATATTTTGAAAGATTGTTTTCCCAAAAAATATCTTCTTTTGGTTACCGAACTGCCATACTCTTCCCAGTATGCCACACAAAATAGAAAAGCTTCTATATTCCGAAGTAGACTGGATTTGTCCTTTTTCGTTTCTACTTGTTAAATATCAACTGCTGAAGATACAGAGCATCTCGGTTTATAATTCTTTCTAAAAATTTATTGAAGAGACTTATGTAACTACAGCTGGTTGAATCGAATCTCTAATCATTTCCGCATAACTTATTCCGCTGTTGATTATCTATTCAATGCATGTAATAGTTTCTTTATATGATTTTAACATCTGCTATTATTACTAATTCTCATGGAATAAAATATTATCAAAGCTTTGTTTTTAATTTCTTTTTCTTTAAAGTTTAGATCTCGCATATAGATATTTTCCCGCATATTATTGTCATTTATACTTGCAAAAAATATTGATGCGCAAACAAAATAGTTTCAAAAAATTGCAAAACCTAGGAATCAGAAATAGAGTACCCTAATTAGGATCCTACATTTACGTTTGTATATTTGATATTTTTTATTGATGCACAAATAACAAGATAAAGAAAATCGAAGTGGGACATGGGAAATCTCTGCCGATCCTGATGGTACAAATTCGAAATATTCCTATATTGTGGTATACAGTTTATGCTGGTTGGAATTGGCGAAGATGTTTATATGCGTCAATTTCTTCCAAGTGGTTACACAATACTCCCGTTTGCAATTTATAATTATCTGTAAACTTTTTACTTATAGTCTGTTTCCCATATATATATATATACAAATGGACATTTTATTATGTAAAACCATTTTATTACTGAATCTTAAACTTCAACCAAAGCAAACATGAGATGTTCACCAGTAAAGCTTATAGCATCATGGCTTCTGTTTCTGCATTTGATATCTGCTATCTCTACTGAGACATTGACATATACAGGTACAGTTATTAGTTATTCTACTACTACTGATATTGGGAGAGACACCACGGCAGTAATCGAATACATTCCAATTTCAATTGTTACCCTGACAGAAGAATGGACTGGAACAACAACTAGTTACACCACAACTACAGATGCTATCGGAGGCACTGCTACTGTTATTGAATATGTTCCTATTTCCCAGGTCACCGTGACTGAGATCTGGACAGGGTCGGTGACAAGCTACTCTACCGTTACTGATATATTTGGGGGAATAGAAACCATATTAGAATTTATTCCTATTCCAACTGTGACTCTGACCGAGACTTGGACTGGAGAGGGTACTAGTTATACTACAACTACTGATGTCATTGAAGGTACTGCTACTGTCATTGAGTTCGTTCCATCGTCAACTACTACTGTAACTGAAGCTTGGACTGGATCAGTCATAAGTTACGTCACAACTGTTGGTCCTCTTGGAGGAACTGCTACTGTTATCGAGTATGTACCAATTTCAACTGTTACTACTACAGATGCTTGGACCGGTACAACAACTAGTTACACCACTAGTACTGATATTATTGGAGGCACTGCTATTGTGTTTGAATATATTCCAGCTTCCGCTTCCACAGAAACTGTTTTCTGGACAGGCACGACCATTAGTTATGGTTTAACAACAGATATTATTGAAGACATCACTGCTGTTGTTGAATATGTTCCAATTTCAGTGACAACTGTCACTGAAGATTGGACTGGTACTACCACTAGCTATACCACAACTACCAATCTTTTTGGAGGTACTGCAACTGTAATCGAGCTTGTGCCAGGATCAGAAACAACGGAAACGATCACTTGGACTGGAACTACTACTAGTTATGGATTAACAACTGATATAGTTAACGACATTACCGCTGTTGTGGAATATGTTCCAATTTCTGTAACAACTATCACTGAAGCTTGGACTGGAGAAGGTACTAGTTATACTACAACCACTGATGTCATTGGAGGTACTGCTACTGTCATTGAGTTCGTTCCATCGTCAACTACTACTGTAACTGAAGCTTGGACTGGATCAGTCACAAGTTACGTCACAACTGTTGGTCCTCTTGGAGGAGATGTTACTGTTATAGAATATGTACCAATTTCAACTGTTACTGTCACGGATGCTTGGACAGGTGCTTCAACTAGTTATAGTACAACAACGGATATCTTTGGAGGAGATGTTACAGTGATTGAGTACATCCCACTTTCGTATGTCACCATCACAGAACCTTGGACTGGTACATCAACCAGTTACACTACAACTACCGACATTTTCGGAGGTGCTGCTACAGTTATTGAATATGTTCCAGGAACAGCTGTTACTGTGACTGAGGTGTGGACTGGATCAACAACTAGTTATACTACTAATGTGGATATTTTTGGAGATGAGACTGTTATTGAATACATTCCAGGCACTGGAGTTACAGAAACAATAACATGGACTGGTACTACTACTAGTTATAGTGTGACAACCGATATTATTGGTGGAAATACTGCCATTGTCGAATACGTCCCAGCATCAGTAGTTACTGTTACAGATACATGGACAGGAACAAGTACTAGTTATACTACAACTACTGATCTTTTGGGAGGTACTGCTACTGTCATTGAGTTCGTTCCATCGTCAACTACTACTGTAACTGAAGCTTGGACTGGATCAGTCATAAGTTACGTCACAACTGTTGGTCCTCTTGGAGGAACTGCTACTGTTATCGAGTATGTACCAATTTCAACTGTTACTGTTATAGAAACTTGGACAGGTACTTCTACTAGTTATACTACTACTACTGATATTTTTGGAAATACTGCTACTGTATTAGAATATGTCCCTAGTTCTGAGGTTCTGAGTACCTCTAGTAGCGTGTTATCTTCTTCTACAGAAGTTTCAGAATCATCTTCAGCTAATTCTTCTTCCGAATTCGAAAGTAGTTCATCTTTTGAATCAAGCTATTCATCTTCAGTTTCTTTCACTACTTCTTTAGCATCTTCTGTATACATCAGTTCCTCGGAATCTTCTTCCCTTGCAGAAACAGAATCTTCTTCTGTGTCAGAATTGAGCAGCTCGAGCTCCCTTACTTCCAATATAGAAAGTAGTTCCACTGAAAATTCATTGTCTTCATCGCTTGCTTCTTCTTCTTCCAGTGAATCAATTGAGTATTCAGCATCATCTTCAAGCACTTCCGGGGTAGCAAGTCTTACGAGTTCAAGTACTAGTGAATCTACAACGTCTATACCAGTTTCGTCAGTATTGTCAGCAAGTGAAAGTCTTACATGGACCCAACAAGGACCTTTTGCAACCCCATTACCAATGGCTCCATCATGGGATGCAGGCTTTGATCTCTCATTTCCAAATGGAACTCAACCAGGAAATCAATTCAATTTAGCTTTCCCTAATGTTTTTTCAATTACCACCAACTCATCCGGTTTACAGAAGAGAGATGATTCAGCCGGAACAATTGCTTTATCGATTGATGGTGTTGAATATGCTGTTTGTGAAGTATTTGATAGTGGTATTTCAAGCTCAGCTTCATCAATTCAATGTACTGTGTTGGACACTTTAGCTTCAAATCCATCTGTTTCAGGAAGTATTTCAATTCCTCTTGTTTTTAATGTTGGTGGGTCTACTTCAGATTCAGATATACAAGCAGCTAATGCATTTGTTAGTGGCCAACAAACTATCCAATTTTCTGATGGAGAATTTGATGTCTCAGTTGAAGTTGATTTCAGCTCTGGAACAGAATCTAACGAAGATGCAGATGATATTGTTTATGCTGTAAGACCTATGCCATGGTTAGGACAAACTTCGTTGTATGCTTTAGGTCCTTCTTGCGAAAATGGATGTGTTAATGGTACTTTGGGTATTCAAGTTGGAACTGATGGAGAATTAGATTGCTCCAGTTATGAAGCGTTTATCTCAAACGACTTAAACGATTGGTATTTCCCTAAGTCATATGAGACGTTGGATACAATTACTCTTGTTACATGTTCTGCATCTGAAGTCGTTATAGACTACTCGAACGTTCCTGCTGGTTACAGAGTATTCTTGGATATTGTTGCAGACACTCAAAATGATGGGGATCAATATATTACTCCAACTTACGTCAATCAAGCTGTACAAAATAATTCAACCAGCTCATCATCAGCCCTTTCTTCGTCATCTAGCTCTGTAAATTCCAATGAAGTTTTAAGCACCGAAACTATTACTTCAGAGACTACTATAACTACGGTGGTTGTGTTATCCACTAATTACTTCTCGTCTGCCTTTTATTACAATACTACTGAAACTGAAACGGAGACCACAATAATTACTGAAGTAACTACATTATCACCTGGTTCAGTAACTACAACTGAAGTTACCTCTACCACTGCATCATCTACCAGCAGTTTTATTACCACCAGCTTTGCAACAACAATAACAAGAACTATCACTTCTACTGGAGAAAATGGTGAGCCAACTACAACCACTGAAACAGTTATAACTACGATAGAGACTACTTATTGTCCTTTGACAGCTGAAGGTACAGGAACAAATACTCCAGCCACAACCGTATTAACAACTGAAAGTACTGAAACAAATACTCCTGCTACAACTTCTACAACTGCATTAACATCAGCACATGGTGGACAGTCCAATGGTAACACTCAAGTTAATGGCGAAACAGCTAAGGTTGGAAATACTTTGACTACCCAAACACCAATTGTTACGGTTGCATATACGACTCAAGTGAACAATAATGAAGAGACTTCGGTGACAGCCAATCCAGGCTCTTCAATTGGCAATAATGTTGAATCATTATCATTCACCAATCAAATCACACAAGCCACCGTTGAAAGTAATCCAACAAGTTCTACAACTTCTTATTCAACAACAAGTGTGCAAGTATCTTCTTATGAGGGAAGTGCTAAATCGTTGGTTATACCTTCCACTTTTATATTTGGATTCCTTTTTACATTGTTTGACTTATTTTAAGTTTTTTCTTTTTCTGTGCTTTATTCTATTCTTTAATTAATTTGAATACAAAAGTAATATATATATTATAATTTTTCTGTGTCGACATAATCGTAGTCTCTAAGTTCAATATATCTATTTAATTTTAAACTACTATCCTAGAAAACAACTCAGGTTTTAAAGTCCATTCCTGTACTTCACACAGAATAATATGCTATCTTGTGTTAATTATATGATTAGTTTTAAGTATATATATATAATAATAATTCTAAATTGATGACACTGATTACATATTGAAGTAGCACATTTTAATAAATTATAACTTTTATTGCCAAAATTGCATGGTATTAAAGGAATATGGCTAAACTAAGTTAAGTAAAAAGAAAAGAAAATAAGTTAGCGAAAACTAGATAAAAGAAATGACTGAAAGGCTATAAACCGAAACTAAAAATAAGTAACTAAGAATAGTAAACTAGAAAGAGTAAAGAGAAGTCCAATGACTAAGGATGATGGTATAAGCAAAGTATTTGCACTTGCTTCATATGTAGCAATATCCTCACCTACTGGGGGAGATAAAGAGGTTTGAGTGGAAAAATAGAACTCACTAACATTTCTCTTTTTAACTTCAACATTAGAAGTGGGTATTATAGTGGTGATAGTTGTTGGAACCAAAGTTGTTTCAGTAGTAGTGATTGTATCACCATCACTGATCGATACGATTGTTGTGATACTTGTAAAATCTGTAACTATGGTTTCAAGTGAACCATCATCTGCTGCTGCAGTGGGAACATATTCAATCACAACACCAGTTCCACCAGCAGGTAAAATAGTTGTCAAGTAACTAGTAACAGATTCTTCCCATGTAATAACTTCAGTTATGTATGAACGAGGAACATATTCGATAACAACAGCAGTTCCACCAACTTCTTCTGTACTGGTAGTATAACTGGTAGATTCACCTGTCCAGGTAACGACTGCAGTTACTTGAGATTGTGGAACATATTCAAGAACGTAAGCAGTCCCTCCAATAGTGGTATAACTGGTACTTGTAGTTGTTCCGGACCATGAGTATGTTTCAGTAGCTTGTGATTGAGGTAAATATTCAAGCACGTAAGCAGTACCTTCCAAGGTCGTAGTAGCATAACTAATAGTAGTTCCTGTCCATGTACCAGTTTCAGTAGCATAAGATTCAGGGATGTATTCAAGAATATATTCAGTACCTTCAACAGTGGTGGTGGCATAACTTGTTTCGGTACCACTCCAAGTATAAGTCTCGGTGGTTTGTGATTGAGGAACAAATTCAACCACATAGGCAGTTCCGTCAATAGTAGTAGAACTCAAACTAGTGGTTGTTCCTGTCCATGTACCGGTTTCAGTAGCATATGATTGAGGTAAGTATTCAAGAATATATTCAGTACCTTCAACTGTAGTAGTACTGTAACTTGTTTCGGTACCACTCCAAGTAAAAATTTCGGTAGCTTGAGATTGAGGAACATATTCAACCACATAGGCAGTTCCGTCAATAGTAGTAGAACTCAAACTAGTGGTTGTTCCTGTCCATGTACCGGTTTCAGTAGCATATGATTGAGGTAAGTATTCAAGAATATATTCAGTACCTTCAACTGTAGTAGTACTGTAACTTGTTTCGGTACCACTCCAAGTAAAAATTTCGGTAGCTTGAGATTGAGGAACATATTCAACCACATAGGCAGTTCCGTCAATAGTAGTAGAACTCAAACTAGTGGTTGTTCCTGTCCATGTACCGGTTTCAGTAGCATATGATTGAGGTAAGTATTCAAGAATATATTCAGTACCTTCAACAGTGGTGGTGGCATAACTTGTTTCGGCACCACTCCAAGTAAAGGTTTCAGTAGCTTGTGATTGAGGAACATATTCAATTACGTAGGCAGTACCTTCAACGGTAGTAGAACTTAAACTAGTAGTTGTTCCTGTCCATGTACCGGTTTCAGTAGCATATGATTGAGGAATATATTCAAGTACATAGGCAGTACCTTCAACAGTTGTAGTGGCATAACTTGTTTCGGTACCACTCCAAGTGTAAGTATCTGTGACTTGAGATTGAGGAACATATTCAATTACGTAGGCAGTTCCATCAAGAGTGGTAGAACTTAAACTAGTAGTTGTTCCTGTCCATGTACCGGTTTCAGTAGCATATGATTGTGGCAAGTATTCAAGTACATAGGCAGTACCTTCAACAGTAGTAGTAGTATAACTTGTTTCGGTACCACTCCAAGTGTAAGTTTCGGTAACGTCTGTCTGTGGTAAGTATTGAAGTATGTAGGCAGTTCCATCAAGAGTAGTAGAACTCAAACTAGTGGTTGTTCCTGTCCAGGTATATGTTTCAGTAGCATAAGATTGTGGTAAGTATTCAAGAATATATTCAGTACCTTCAACAGTGGTGGTGGCATAACTTGTTTCGGTACCACTCCAAGTAAATGTTTCAGTAGCTTGTGATTGTGGTAAGTATTGAAGTACATAGGCAGTTCCATCAAGAGTAGTAGAACTTAAACTGGTAGTAGTTCCGGTCCAGGTATATGTCTCAGTAGCATACGATTGAGGTAAGTATTCAAGAATATATTCCGTACCTTGAACTGTAGTAGTACTGTAACTTGTGTCTAACCCACTCCAAGTGTAAGTCTCAGTGACTAGAGATTCAGGTACAAATTCAATTATATATGCAGTACCTTCAACTGTGGTGGTGGAAAAACTATCTGATGAACCAGTCCAAGTACCAGTTTCAGTCACAGCAGTAATAGGAAGGAATTCCACGATAACTTCAGTTCCCCCGGCTTCTTCAGTGGTGGTAGAATAAAGTGTAGCGGTACCAGTATACATAGATGTTTCAGTGACTATCGAAATTGGTACATATTCGTAAACAATAGCAGTACCAGCGGCATCTTCTGTAGTTGTACTATAACTTGTTGTGGTACCAGTCCAGGTGCCTGTTACTGTTACTGTTGAGACTGGAACGTATTCATATACTACAGCAGTACCTCCGACAGCAGCAGTACTTGTGTAATAACTAGTGGAATCACCGGTCCATGTACCTATCACTGTAGTAGTCGTAATAGGGACATATTCATATACAGTAGCAGTTCCTCCAACTGGTGCAGTGGTAGTTACATCATAAGTTGAATCTCCGGTCCATGTACCTGTAACAGTAACAATAGTTATTGGAAGATACTCGTATACAGTAGCTGTACCATCATTTGCAGCATATGTTGTAGAATAACTTGTGCTATCACCAGTCCAGGTATCTGTCTCAGTAACCATCGAGTATGGAACATATTCAATAACCGTAGCAGTACCATCAGCATCATAGTTTGTGGTATAACTTGTGGTATCATCAGTCCAAGCAATTGTTAAACTGGTTGTTGAAAATGGTACAAATTCGACAACAGTAGCAGTACCACCGATTGGAGCAGTAGTAGTTTGATAATAAGTACTATCACCAGTCCATGTGTCAGTCTCAGTGACAGTTGTAATTGGAACGAATTCAATAACTGTAGCAGTACCATCAGCACCATAATCAGTAGCATAACTAGTACTAGATCCGGTCCAAGTAGCAGTGGAATAAGTCAGGGTAAATGGTACATATTCGACAACAGTGGCAGTACCACCGATTGGAGCAGTAGTAGTTTGATAATAAGTACTATCACCAGTCCATGTGTCAGTCTCAGTGACAGTTGTAATTGGAACGAATTCAATAACTGTAGCAGTACCATCAGCACCATAATCAGTAGCATAACTAGTACTAGATCCGGTCCAAGTAGCAGTGGAATAAGTCAGGGTAAATGGTACATATTCGACAACAGTGGCAGTACCACCGATTGGAGCAGTAGTAGTTTGATAATAAGTACTATCACCAGTCCATGTGTCAGTCTCAGTGACAGTTGTAATTGGAACGAATTCAATAACTGTAGCAGTACCATCAGCACCATAATCAGTAGCATAACTAGTACTAGATCCGGTCCAAGTAGCAGTGGAATAAGTCAGGGTAAATGGTACATATTCAATAATAGTAGCGGTACCTCCGATTGGAGCAGTGGTGGTTGAAAAATAAGTACTATCACCAGTCCATGTATCAGTTGCTGTGACGGTTAAAATTGGTACGTATTCTACCACAGTGGCAGTACCTTCAGGTCCATAATTTGTAGTGTAACTGGTACCAGCACCAGTCCAAGCAAATGTTTCATAAATCAGAGAATATGGTACAAATTCAACAATAGTAGCAGTGCCACCGATTGGGGCAGTAGTGGTAGAATAATAAGTACTATCACCAGTCCATGTATCAGTAAAATAGACAGTTGAAATTGGAACGTATTCAATAACAGTGGCAGTACCTCCAACTTCTTCAGTGGTGGTGGTATAATATGTACTGCCACCAGTCCAAGTATCAGTGATGGTAACAACCGAGATGGGAAGATATTCAATTACAGTAGCAGTACCTCCGATTGGGGCAGTGGTTGTACTATAACTGATAACATCACCACTCCATGTCTCAGTCAAAGTAACAGTTGAAATTGGTAAATATTCGACAACAGTAGCAGTACCATCAGCACCATAATCAGTAGTATAACTAGTACCAGCTCCAGTCCAAGTAGCAGTGGAATAAGTCAGTGTAAATGGTACAAATTCAACGACAGTAGCAGTACCTCCGATTGGGGCAGTGGTTGTTTCAAAAGCTGTAGTAGCCCCAGTCCATGTATCGGTGACAGTGACAGTTACAATTGGAACATATTCAATAATAGTGGCCGTACCACCAACTGGTACAGTAGTTGTTTCATATGATATACTATCACCAGTCCAGGTGTCAGTAATAGTGACTAAAGTGATGGGGAGATATTCAATTATAGTTGCAGTACCATCATCAGCTTCAAAAACTGTGTTGTAACTTGTACTGGCTCCACTCCAAGTTTCTGTTGTGTAAACTGTAGAGTATGGAACATATTCGACAACAGTAGCAAAACCATCATCATCATAATTTGTAACATAACTTG